ACAAATCTCGCAACTTCCAAGACACAGACATATTTGCAATGCATACTCGCTGGTTGCGCGCCCCGACCAGGCTCCCCTGACCCGGCTTCGGCGGCTTGGGTTTCGCCGCCAACCCGGCGTCGCCCCCCATCTCGCCAAAAACCGCAAGCTCTATCCTGGGCAAAAACGGGGGCGACACGCCAGAGTCAAGTTGGGAACGTAAGTAGCAGTACCAATGATCCAGAGAGTGGTTTGGGAGTCACGCATGATATTTAGTTTTACAGAAGCATCACAAATTCGAAAACACGATGGCAAATGCCTGCTCCATGGGGCTGCGCATTTTTACAAGCGTTCCTGTAATTGCAAATCCGCATGACAACTCTGGGGTTGGAACCACGTTTTTACTCAGGATAAGCTCAAACTCATCGTCACTTGGGTTGTCCCGGAATTCCTGCTATGCATTGCAAGCTTCTAGTCTGGGTCTGGGTTTGTGGTGCAAGATTTGAAGGACAACAAGATCTGTCACGCATCGAGAGGAGTGGTAGTATTCTTTGTCGCGCTTGATGTAAAAATGCTTCCACATATTACGAATCAATGCATTCGTATGAAGCCGAAAAAGACTTGTCATGCTGTTGCACATGACATCAAGCGGCCAATCTTCCATGCGCATGCCAGTGTCAGCAACACAAAGTTCCAGATCCAGACATAAGTATTTGCATTTGATACCTGCGCAGCGTCTTTGTCCACAACTGAAGTAACATTATTTTGTCAACATACATTGTCATTTAAAATCTGCATCACAAATCGTCGCGCTTCACTTTCACTTTGTCATTTGGAACAGCTGCATCACAAATACACTACTCTCGAAGTAAGGACTTACGTTGAAATTTCGGTCCCTTTTTCCCCTTCGTTGTGTTTTGCCTCTCCAAAATATCAAACGGCAAATATGTTATCTGGGTCTAATGCTTGTCAAAACCGAATGAGAAACAAAGAAACTCCTGCAGTACCTAGCCAAGCATGATCAAGTTTTTCAACAAGCGTGCGCCATGCGTAAATTAGCATGAGAAGATACCCAAACCGCGCTCCTTTTGCATGACACACCATGCAGCAGCAGCGCTGAAGATCCGGCTCATGCATCACAGGTTCTTTATTTGGAATTTCATTTGTCGATGAATTGCGCAGTACGGATTCAGACTCTACTTCCAGACCCAGACATACGATTTACAGTTGATACAAAATCCGCGCCGACAGAGACATCGCTTTTTTTCCTTTATCTTTCTCCATGCCGGTCATGTGATAGTCCAATTCCCCTGGCTTCTTCTATGGCGAGAGTGCACAACTTCTACCCCTCGCGTGGTCTCCCTTCTTTATTGCAAAGTTGTGTGCGTTGTACTACATCGCAACAGAAATTACCAAATATAGCCGCCGGGGCGGGGGTAGTGAGGTCGTGGGCGTTTTTTTGCCGACCGCAGCCTTGGCCGCGGCTTTGCCTTTTATGGGCTCGCCATACCGCCGTGAGTAACGTTATGCCGCACGGTATGGCGGCCACTTGGGAAACGTCGCAAATTTTGGCAAATTCCCGAAATTCCTTTCCGAAAGCCAGCCCCCATGCTATGGGGCCGATCCGGGTGCCACGGGGGGCGCCCAAAAAGCGAAGAAAAATCGGGCCCATAGCATGCGGATTGGCTTTGCGCGTCTGGGGCGCTTTTTCTTTTTGGCGTTTTTATTTTTCACGCCGGCGCTTTTTGCAAAGCTTCCCAGGATCTGAAACCGGAGAAAAGGCGGCCGCTTTCGCGGCCGCCCAAAATCCTCCGAAATCGCGGCCGTGCCATGCTGTCTCGCTGTTCTGATTTTTGGCGCGTTTTTTGCGCGCCCCTTTTTGGGCGCCCCAAATCGCCAGAAACCAAGGCGGCGCTCACTCAGAAGGGCGCCCCTTTTGCCGGCTCCCCTGCGTCGTTTTATCCAGTGCGAATCGATAGTTTTCGACCGGGCTTGTTTGTTGGCACAGCTCCGGCCGCTTGGTACTTGAAATTTTTTTTTGTGCAAAAAGCCCTCCGGCCGCTTAAAAACTGCCGGTCGTTTTTCAGGGTATATGGCAAAAAAACTCCCCGGTTAGAACCGTTCGGTGACCTCACTACATATAACCTCCATGGGAAGGAAGCAGTTAGTGGCTTCTGCATCACAAATCCAACGCACGGGCTGTCGGGTTGTGTCGTGGATTATTATCTCCGGTACTAGTTGTCATGCAATTATTGCGGCCAAGAGGCAGGGCCTGGTACAAGAACTATTGCTCTCTTGCAAGAAGACAAAGGCGAGGGCGACGGGATGAAACTGCGCACTCGGATACCTTTTGCGGAGACTGGTCGGGCGGGTCGAACTTTGTCACGTCGTCTTTGCCGGAACCGCCAAAGATACCTGCCAATGTAGGTGGATTGCAGTCGTGCATCAGATGTTAAACGACGACTTTTTGTCATCCGCATTCGATTTGGTCCACCAGAAGTCAAGTGGATGTAGACCCATCAAGATAATGATCATGATAATACTATACATGTGATAGTGATTTCCACCCAAAAAATTTGAAAGCAAAAACTAGTTGATTGATTATATTACCTCCAAACAGACCCTTCTTCTTCTTCCCCGTTTGCTCCGCTGCACCAGATGCCTGCGCCGCAGCCGCATCCGCAGCCGCAGCTCCGGCGTCCCCCGTATGGTGTTCTCAAACGTTACACTCTCAACTGTTACATGATTTGTTATGCAAAATGACCATGACCCGCCAAACGATCGAGCTGCTGCGCATGACAAATTCTCGGAGGGCTAAACAGCACTATAATCGTCCGCACGAAACCTGTAATGTAAGATGCGCAAGGTTCTCCCTCTCACCTGTGCTAGTCTTGCATTACGAATTCATGTAACAGTTGAGAGTGTAACAGTTGAGAACGCCATACCCCGCATTCGCTGCGTTTGCCGCGTGGTCTTCTATTGAATATCAAATGCAAAAATGTCTGGGTCTGGAAGAATGCGCGATTTGTCAAGTCATGCTGCTTTTCCATGACCCGTGAGGACTGGAATGCAGGCCCTAGCATGACAGATTCTGCGCGATCTCTCTCATGCCTATCCTGCATGAGAAACTCCCTCCCTACTTGGTCAAAACTGGACGACTTTTGGTAATCATGCAACACAGATTTTTGCATGCTTCATTTTTAGCATGACAAGTTGCAATCTTCCAGACCCAGACATATTTGCATTTGATATTGAACTCGGCGGTACTGCGGCCGGTGGTGGCGGAAAGTGTTCTTCCGCGGCTTCTTCTAAATTCGGCAAGGGCTCTGCTCCGGGCGGGAGCTTGTGCTTGTTATCGTAAGGAAAAATCCCCCCTCCCCATATTGAAAACGCATCCGTCTGAAAATTTGTGATGCGCATTTGTGACCTCAAATCCTGTCTGTCTTGCAAGAAGGCAAGTCCAGAGAGCGCCCCGCATTTTGCAGGCGGTTTGTGATGCTGTTGGGCTTAGAGAATACACGTTTGCCATGCTAGGCGCCTACGTCAAAACCTCTCGACTGAGGCTTGGCATATGCCTGCAGTACTCTACTGCAAGACAAACCTGATTTGTGTACGCAAATCCAGCATCAGAAACTTCCGTTTGATATGGGGAGGGGGGATTTTTCCTTGTGATACTTGTGCTGGGGTGGTGGGGGCTGCTGCTGGCCACCTGCTCCGGGGTGTCCTATGGGTGTGTCAGGATCGAGATCGACAAAGTTGAAATAATCTGTGATGCATAAAGTGCAAGGCACGAAGTGACTGTCTTGCAGGGATTACGAGTGAGGCCGATTGTAAGCCTGTTTCGGGTTTATTGGCATAGAGCTGCTAAAGGAGCATGACAAAGGATCATGCCTTCTTTCGCTAAACAGCATTACAAACTGGATTTCAATGACGTCGAAATTTGTCATGCGCAAATTGGAAATTGGGCTTTCAACTGGTATAATCGGTTTTATGCATCACAAATTTTTCTACTTTGTCAATTTCAATCCTGACAGTTCCATATGTCCTGTCTGCGGGGTGTCCGGTCTGCTGGAGGGGAGCAGAAAGCCGACCTCCTTTATAAGAGTGCACAACTCCCCCTCCCCCTTATTTGTATGGCATGAACAGCAATACAAACACCAGCCCCAGCGCACATGGAGCCTATGCATGACAAATCTCCGTACCTGATGTAGTATTGTTTGGGCTTCCGGAATTTGTCATGCAAACAGTGCCACAAGGCAGCGACTGGATTTGGGATTTTGCATGACAAACGAGGGGGAGGGGGAGTTGTGCACTGTCATATGCTTCCCACCTCCGCTAGAAGAGGCCTTGCCACTGCCGGAGATCTGCGGGTTCACGTCACTGACCCCCACCGCGGCAACGGGATCGTCGTCGGTCGGCATAATGATTTTTATTTTTTATTTGACTATACAGCCCAATCGATGTTCTACTACTTCAAACTCATTTCAACAGATCAGGCGTGGATCTACTTCACTGCGTCTTATTCAGCTATGTCAGAAAGAAACTACACGACCTGAGAATGCAAGTACCTACATCGCGACCACGACGACGAGGTTTGCTCATTTGCACTCGCGAAGATGTTCTTGACCTCCCCTCGACAAAAATTCTTCAGGTAGATTTTTATTTTCCTACGCAGTTGCGCGCTTTTGCTCTTCGCTCCTGATAAGCCGAGAAGAAATTGACGATTACGAACTGTCGATTTGAGTCGATAACTATTTTGTATGGTAGTTCTATTCACGTCGATAGCTTATTGTAAATACGAGGAAACAACGGCAAGAACGGCATTTTCACTCGAATAGAAGACCACACATCAACCGGCTTGTATCTATTAAGAACGACGTCTTCACTTCTATAGCGATAAAAACGAAAATATTCAACTCTGTATTAATTAACGACCTTTTTTCATCGTCTCCAGGATGGAACTTTTGCCCGAACAGAAAACAGTAGACCGTGGGGTCTACTACGTGTTTCGAAATCTAGTATGTCGATCTTGCCGTGCTTGTTGCAGCGTGAGCGGGTCGCCTGTGTAGTACATGTACAACTCACAGCTTTATCTCTTGCAGCAAGAGCAATTTCTGTGTTTTAGTATTTCATCATGTCCACCTTTTCATCCAGGATAAAAATTTTGTGTCTCTCCTTTTCTCAGCGCTTCATAGTCAGCCTCTTTGCGAAGCAGTTGAAATCATAAATCAACTTGAGGGTTTTAAAATAATACATCGCTTTTGATGATCATGCTGCAAAGCTGCTTCCAATTTTCTTGCTTTGTTCATCTCACAACAGCTCGAGAAATTCCTCCACCCCGACGTTCGGACACTTCTCCGCCAACCTTGCCATATGAACTGCAAAAGTATCCTATCGTACTCGTATAAATGCATTACAAATTTCCTCAGCATGAGAGCTGGAATTTGTCATGCTGTTTTACCTTAATAAGAACAAGATTTGTAATGCGTAAAAGCAATTAGTACGAGTACGATACTTGTGCACAGGATATGCCAGATCGGAGAGTAATTCCTTTTCCACATTTCTCATCTTCGGTTCGAACGCGTATTGCTGGAGGAAAGTAGGAAGTAACCCGGAAGAAGATGAATCCCGCGGGCTTGCTTGCTGCAGATGGGTACTTCTAGAGGGTGCAGATGACCCGGCCGCGCCTGTGTTGCCGCGTGAGGGTCGTTTGCTACCTTTGGCACTATCCGAGTCGCTAGCTGATTCTGTATCACTATGAAAAATCCCCCCTCCCCATATCAAAATGGAAACTTCTGACGCTGATTTGCGTACACAAATCAGCTTTGTATTGCAGAGAGGCATTGCGGGCAGATCTCCAGGCTGGATAGGGGCGCACGTGTCTAGTTGCTCAGCATGGCAAACGGCTCCCCTTTAGGCCCAAGAGCATGACAAATCGCTTCCATAATGGGGCGAAAGCTCCTGCCCTTGTCTTCTTGCAAGACAAATATGATTTGTGACCTCAAATCAGCAACACAAATTTTCGAAGTCATACCTTTTCAATATGGGGAGGAAGGATTTTTCCTTTCAATATTCTGAGTCGACTTGCAACAGCGTTCGGCGAGACGGGGGAACTAGAGAATCATCTTGTCTGTCCGCAGTCGTTGTAGAACTACCGGCGACCTTAGTTTTACCCTCCGTACCACCTTTGTACGAAAACTTGAACACATTCGTCGCCAATTTCGCATGAGAAAGCACTTGCTGCCGGCGGCCAGACCCATCTTCTTCCCCTGCTGTGATGTCTCCAAGAACTCCGAGCGACTGCACAGTACTACTTCCGACAACACCACTGACCCGCGAGGCTATAAAATTGCCAGAGTTTATTCGGCCTTGTTCCGAATTTGAATGTCTTGTGGAGAACCGTGTTGAGCTGTTTATCCTACATTTTTCCAATTCCGGAAACCACTGCGCGAAGTTCTTCCGTAGTTTTTTCAAATCCTGTTTAACGTTTTCCAACTTCTGCGTTTCCTCCAACAAAACCGAATCTAAAGACTTCATCTCCGCGTCATAGTCCTGCTCCATTTTGCTCACCAACTTCACAATCTCCTTCGGTTGTTTCTTCCGGAGTTGTTCTAATTCTCGTTTTTTCACTTCCAATTGATAAGTCAACTCCTTCAGCTTTTGTATCTCCTTCGTTTCCCTCTGTAAGGTCAAGCACTCCCGCACTCGCTCGAATAAATCGAAGTAGATGTGCCAGAGGTGCTCCAGGTTGCAGGTGAATTTTTTTAACTTTTCTTCCGGCTTTTGGAAGTTGCTTTTCGCCGAACTGGTTGTAGCTGTACGGGTGGACGTGGTCCACTTGGCGGGAAGTTTATTCGCACCTCCTCGAACCCCTGGTGAGGCTGGAACTCCACGGAAATGATCGGGATCGTGACCATTCAAGAATGGAAAGACGCCGATCCTGTAGTCAAGTGCAGCTGGGACCACTGGTCCTCTATCCTTTGGTGTACAACCAGATTCCACCCTCCGATCTTGATGAACGAACCTAGTACAACCCTTGTCACTGTGTACCTGCCTGCTCAAGTCTTTTACTCCCTTGTCCAAAATTTGCACGAGGTTCAAGTAGTACAGATTCTGTTCCCCGAGTTTCCCCTTCCGCTCCTCGGACAGGGAGTTGACGTTTCCGATTTCTGCGTTGCAACTATCGCTAATTTGCTTTTCCAGCTCCAAAACATCCTCCCGTGTCGCGAAATTTTGCTGTCGGCGCTGTTCGTACTGCAGGGAATGCTCGATGCGGGCGACGGAGGGAACAATATCTTCAGAGCTGCCCCACGTGGTCGGCGGAGGAGCAGGTCGCATGATCTCCAGCTTCTTATTCCCCCCCGATGCAACATATTCACCGTCAAGAGGTTCTTTTTCCGGAAGAACAATGCTGCGTCGGCCGTGTGGGCGGATTATATCCTGTGAACCGTCGAGCATGATCGTGTTGGCTACAGTGTGTTTCTCACGTGGATTTGGATACTTCCACCAGTTTTTGCAGAAACACGAAACGAAGCAAAGAAACACGACAAAGGGAATTCACCCCCCAGGGTTGAGAAAAGCTAGGACGATCATCTTTACTTTATAGACCAAACCTAGCCAGCCTACTATAAAAATCGTAATCTCGTAGCTGAACACAGATCATCCCAAAACTCCAGCTACCGCTGTTCGTACTTGATTCCTTCATATCCTCATCTTGCCCTGTAACCTTTGGCACATGATGCGCGAAACGCGAATTGGTGTCCAACATTTCTGCTGCAAAATGCAGTAAGTCTTCACGCGCTCATTTCCATTGGCCCCGCAAGAGAGCCATCAAAATGGACCAACAAAAGTGAAGATTTTCGCATTCACACTTGCAGCATAAGAAATCGAGATCAAAGGAGCTAGTAGTGTGAAATGAAATTTGGTGAAGCGTATACGTCCTGAAAAACGTCTGCACACACAGCAACATCAAAATAGAATCAAATCACGCTGACTAGATCGCGCGGTGTTCAAAACTCCGGCTGTAGATCTCGCGCCGAGGCTAAAGTGAAGGCTGCAGCGGCCGTGCCGCGACATTTTCCCCCCAAGCATCGGCGACCAAGCGTTATCGCCAAATTCGCAGGTAAACATTCCAGAGAAACAGGATGCCACCTGCTGGGTCAAGATAGAGCTCAACGGCGTTGGGCCAAGTTTTCCTCGGTCTCAAGGCCCCAGAGTAGGGGCGATAGAGCATCCGCCGTCGGAACGTCTTCGTGGTTGCATCGTGGGTAGAGCTTCTGCAGCAACTCCATCCGTTCCATTCTTGTGAGTATATCAGCAATGTTTCTCATGCTGCATACCCAGGCAACATAAAAAAGAAGGCCGAGACGCTGCGCGAACTTGTGGAAATTCTTCACAATTCTCCCCGTCGCAGCGCACCTACTGTCGTTCCGGATCAGCGAGAAGGCGACCCCGGAATTATCCTGGTGCACTATCGTGTAGTGATTTTTCAGCGTTCCCGCATACTTGCGAAAAGCCATCGCCGCCGCAAGTGCCTCGAGAACACCAATGTGAATTCTGTCACACCACTTCGGTATCCGGTCAATCTTCACCGAAAAGGAGTACTGAGTATCTTCATCGACATACAAGAAGGCCCCAAGAAAAATTTGGTGCTCCTCGATAGCAGCGCCCTTCCGTATGCCTTTCTCGATTTTCTTGTTGAGGCCTTTCATGTCGTGCAAGGCTGCGTCCGTGTACAGATGGCAAATCTTCCGGTCCACATTGCCCAGCGTCAGCTCCACTGGCTTCACCGAACTCACCATGCTTTTCATGAGTTCCACCTGCGCCCTGAGCTGCTTCTTGCATTTGTCTTGGTATATTCTCTCCATAAAAAGTTTCTCCACCGTCCAGGCGTCGAGGGGACGGGCCAACGCGCACGCCGGCCGGTCTAGCTGCGCGCAGTGTCGATATAATCCTTTGAAGGACTCGAGCCGTTTTCTGTCAATCCGGCTCTTCTGAATGTCCCGGAGGATCGCATTGGCCTTGGCAATGCATTCCGCGACCTTAGCCGGGTTGACCTCGATCCTGATCGTCAAACCCGGCGCCAGGGTGTACGCCATGCCCAACACCGTCAGCGCCCTCTGAGTGGCGTCAAGCTGCGTGGCCCCTTTTTCGGAGCTTTGCCACCACCCACCGAGGGCCAGCATCAGATCGACTAAAACTTCATCAGAGGCTAGCTGCCTCTTCCTACTTAAAATGTGAAGATCATCAATGTAGATACTAACTAAAACTCTAAGCAAACAGCAACAGATTATTTGAAGCGTCTCGCTTACCGAGACGCATTCATAAACGCTCGATAGACTCCCAAACAGTTGCACCGCGCTGAGTATCAAAGCCCAGGCATGTCGGGGTCGGACCGGCTTCCCGTTTCGGCCCCGTTTTCTTGGCGTCTCCGGTTTCTCAGGCTCCGTCTGCGGCACCGGGAAGAAAACAGCATTTTTAATTTCTTCACGGGTGCCACACTGGTAATAAAAGGACCGCAGGTCCCGCTTCGCACCATACGGGCGGAAGCAAAACCCGTCCTCAGGCTCAGAGCCTTCCTCGTCCTCTTTGTTGTCGCTGCTTTGAAAATAGAGCCTGTCGGAGTTGTCATCGGGCTGCGCAAAGATCCGCTGCGACTTATTCTGGTGCAGGTTGTTGTTCTCGATGATAGCCCGCAGCCGTCGCTCCTCGTCCATGTCTGCCAATAAATCTTTCTTCGACTGGAAACGAACTGGATCATTGCGGCGGCTCGACATGCAACGCTGGATGATGGCCATCGTGCACCTGGCCCCATTTAGACGCATGCGCTCCACCGGTACTATGCTGCGATTTTGGGATCTAAAATCTATACAACACCTGGCGCGGTTCGGATCATCTTCGGTGGGCTGCTTGACCGGGAACGCCAACGAGGCCCCCATCGGTAGTTTTGTGTCGTTCGGCACCACTCTCCACCTTCCAAGGCCAACCTGTTTCAACATTTGTTTGTGGAGTTCTACGATCTCCGCGTCAGTGGCCCAGTGGTTCCTCGTCGGGCAGCAGGTCTCGCTCGTGCCCTGATTTAACTCCTTCTGCAGCTGCATCACCTTAGCCGACTCCTTTATTTTGTCACTGGGTAGAGGCATCCAGAAGCCCGACGCCGGTAGCACGGCGTCTTGCCTAAAACCCAGAGTCAACTTCTGTATGATGCCCATGATCTGGGCCTTGCGTGCCTTATAAGCACCCCCCGCTTCGTCAACCGCGAGGGAAAGTAAACGGCGGAGATAAGCAAAACGCTTGCCCTCGTATACTTTCTTCAGATGATCTGCCAGCTTCTCATGTATCTCAATCTCCTCACCCTCTGTTTCTTCTACGATACGCATGAGAAGCGCTGCAACTCTCTTACTCTTGTACTCCAACGACTCGCACGAGCTGGTTTTCAAGAAAGCAATTAAACTATCCATGTAGGACGGCACTACATCTCTCAAGCCGAAACTTCGATGTTTGTCGTCATGGATAAACTTAGGAAAATCTTCAGCCTGTGGCAAACTAGAACAGGCTTCCGACATCTTTACACAAATTCCTGCCAACACTTTTAAAAGCTGACAGGAGGGCCTACTTCTTCAACTCTTAATCTTTTTCACACTTCAAAACTCGCCAGCAGCTAGTTATTATGGGGCGGGGACCTGTGTTCCAGTACTTTTACGAAAGAAGCATGGGCTTCCACTGCTCATGTGTGTGTTCCAATTGGCCACATCACAAAACACAGCCCATCACTCAGCACTTGTTTGCACCCAACGGTCCTGGACCATTGTGCTAAGACAGAAATCTACTAGCCTTCAACCTCAACCGAAAACGGACTTTTTGATGCTCTCAGCCCAGGTTCTCCGGCGCGGAGAGCGCTCACGAATCTCCGCCAACTTCTGCCCCAGCTTCTTGTCGAACTCCTGCGTATTATTTATTTTCGCGTTTGACTTTTAGCAACGCTGCTCAGTGGACTCGAGCTTTAAGAAAAATCGCCGCAACAAAAATTACTTTCTGATGGTCCTGCACAGTCATCGCGCAGAGCGCTCGTCTCGGTTTTTGAAGTTGTGCTTTCCCCTCCGTCAAGAGGTACGAAAGCCCTACCTTCGCGGCACTAATCAGTGACATGCGTGCAACTTATATATAGGCACCCCACAGAGAGCTGCACTCTCAGTGTTATAAGTGCGCAATTATACTCATACTCATGCATGATCATCAGACGCGTCCATCTATGGCGATGCTACCGCAATGTAGCTATGGTAGGCGGACCTACCCTGCTCACCACGTGGATAGATCGCGCTTTCAGGCATGAAGTAACCAACTTCGCATGACAACTTCGATTCAACGTTCTACAACAAATTCAAAGAAGCGAGAGCCATCGGCAGTGTGTGATTTATAGTGACTTGTGAGAACTTCGAACGGCAACTACACCATGTGTCAGGCTGCCGGCCCCTGGCAAGCTACTGCGTTAATTCGCGGCTTAAATTTTTCTAATTTGCCGGACATAAGGCAACACAGACACAAGGCGGCGCCCGATCAAACAAAGGGGGAGGCGGCACCCTTCCCCGGTGGCAACACCACACCGGCGGACACCACCCCCCCGGGCCCCCCCGCGGCCCTGTAGCATGGAAAAGGGCGCAAAACTTGGCGCCACCGGGCAACATTACGCGGCCGGGAAAACTAAAACGAGCGCCGCCGGGGCTGCGTGGTGTGCCGCGGCGCCCGCGAAATGAGGAGGCGGCCCAGAAAGCAGCCAAGGAAAGGCGCGGGCGCCTGCAAGCGCCAAAAGAAACGCCCCCAGAACCCAAAGAAAACAAAGAAAAGGCGCGGGCCGGGCAAAATCCACGGCGGCCCGGGCAGCCGCCTGGCCCTGATCGATACCGGGCGCACGCCTGCCAGGAAACAGCCCGCGGCATCCGCCGGGCAACTCCGGAGTCGCGTCGGATGGCCTTCCGGGCGGCCTTCAATTCTTTGGGATTTTTGGGCGATCTTGGGTGTAATTTTTGATTTAATTTGAGGTCTAATATTTAGTCTAATTCTTGGTCTAATTTGAAAACCAACGAAACCTTCCCGATTTCGTTGCTTTCAAATTAACCCCAAGAATTACCCGCAAAACTACCCCGCTCATTACCCTCCGGGAGCCGGGGCGCCCCCGTTGAAATTAACTACGACCCGCGCCGCTGCCCCATGGAATATCCGGAATGGCCCCCCAGCCGGCATCCCCACCAATAACAAAAACAACGAAGCCCTCGCTAGGGCACAAACCAAACCCCAGCCCGGCCCCCCGAGGAAAACCAGAACCCCCGGGCCCTGCTTGCAAACAACAAACCCCCCGGGCCCGGCCAAAACACAAAGGAACAAGGGCAACACCCGGCCCGGCAATTTCCAAGGAGAAGAAACGCCAAAAGCTGGGCAAAATCATAAGGCCGGGCCGCTGCGCGACACAGGCGAGAAGCCCGCCCATCGAGCCCAAGGGCCCCAACATTGCGGGGGCGGATACAAAAAAAAAGCGGAGGCCTTCGGAGAAACAGAACGAACAAGACTGCGGCCGACCACATGCCCCGAGGGGGGCGCCCTTTCTCCACACACTGCCACGACTTCCAAAGGAAGAGCACGACGGAACTGCGCCGGGTCTTTGCTAGGATTTAGATTTTTTTAGGCGGGAAATCAGTGGCGGAATTTGCCAGGGGCCGGCTACCTGACATGTGTCCTCTAATCAGGCGCGTGGCTCTGCTCTTCATCTAGTTCATTATCGTCTTGCGTCCATACCCTATAGCCCTGGTTTTAGGTACGCTCCTTGGAGCTAGCATTCCTTTCTAAATTGTTTTAATTTCGTTACAATGGGGCGGGCAGGATGTTTGCATATCGTGGTGTACTGCTTGTCCATCATTCAATTTTCTTGGTGTCAAAGATTCGACTGCGTGTCTGAATCAGCGTGCCACTGCATAAATGCGAGCGGCTTCTGATGCTCGAGAACCTTACTACCAAAATACTAACTTCAAGATTAAAAACCCGATCGCGATATAGTCTAAGTACAACATACAAAAGGGCTCGATCTATGGCTGTTGTTTCGAGAGCTTCAACAATTCCTCACCAGAAAGGCGGGAGTTAAGAAATCTCTTGTTCAGAAAGGACAACTTATCGAGATCCCCCCCGTGCTGCTGCTTGTCGGGGCAGGGGCCAGATTTGGAACACTGGCCCTGCATCCACTTTAAGCATACCATGGCTCTACCTTTTCCGTCGCCCTTATTCTTCAAGCGCTTGGCCTTATCATCAGCATCCGCCAAAGTGAGGCGGCGCTTGTTCATGTTATTGGTAGCAGTAATTACCTCCTGCAATTTCTTCTCCTGCTTATCGATTTTCTCCTGCAGAACCTCCAACGACTTCAGGGCGCGGATTTCTCCGGCGATCGCCGTTTGAAAAGCCGGACCGAGTTCACTCACGATCGCCGCGTTATAACGACGCGCCCGAAAAGTATTCGCCGGCAGGGCGTCCACCACCGGCAGGCAGGTGGGGTCCAGCGCCAACTTCCACTGTTCATTGAAAATTTCATAGACTTTTTCCTTCGGGAGAGTATCGGCCGCCACCCCGACCTTCAAACTCCCGGTGAGTTTCTCGGTCACCTGTTTCTGGCCCGTAGTCGTCTCCCGGTTTCCCAAAATGCCGACAACCCGCACCGCCGCGTAAGCTTCGGTGGGCGCGATTTTCATGACGTCGCCGGACATAGCATGGTGGAGACGACCCGACTCGAACAGGGACTGCATGTAGAGAAACTGCTTGCTATCACATTTCTCACGAATGTCCTGCAGCGAGTTGTCTAACTGCTGCTGCTGAGCCGCCGTGGGGAAACCAATCCCGGCTTCCGCTTGGGCGCGGACCTGGCGGTCCAAGTGTTCCGCGACATGCTGGTTAGCGGCTGCCATCCTGTTTCCGACGGAAAGAAAGGTATAAAACTTGAACTCCGATGTCTGGAAGGGAAACGAACTTCGGAAGGAAGTCTGAGAGGTCTAGCAAGTACTGGCGAAGCGAAGGTGAAAATGATAAACAAGTATGTCCCTGGAATGATGAATGGAGCTAAATGACTAGAAGAGAAAACTTTTTGATGCTTCTCTTGGTATGAAAGGACACTTCGCACGCACTAAAGATTACAACTGCAGGCGATTTCACTTGTCGGGGCTGTTAGTGTGGAGATTTTGGATCTAGATCTACGTTTTGGCTTTATAAATATCTTGCAGGAGCTTTTAAAATTTGCAAAGATAATAGTGCTGGGCGTGGGAACTGAAGGCTGTTACTAGCTTGCGACTTATCACTTGCAGCGCGCCATCAGAAAGAGGTGCTTCTTGGTGTTTCAATGCTGGCTACACCTAATCGAGACTATCTTCCTGCGCCGCAACTCAGCGTTCTCATATTGACCGATTGACGTTGACAAAATTTTTAGTCCGTATGACAAAAATAGAGCAGGATACCGAAACTTACATCATTCACCCCACACTGAAACTAACACGCCCAGCGTCATGGCGCACGACAGCCTGCACAAGTGACCGAGACCCTGAACCGAAGCCGGTTTCTCAGTGCGGAGACGAAAGTATTCCAACACTTTCCGGCAAAATCCAGCAAAAATGGCTGTCCCCCGACTATATTCAGCTTAACGAGTGATGCCGAGGACCGAAAACAAAAACTGGCATAGGTCATGTGGTTACCGACACCTATGCGCGAGATCGTAGATGGCTAACATCAAGTAATCAAGGCTGAAAACTATTACCAATTTTCCTCACTGGCTACTGGGGATCGAGATCTGAAACGACTAGTAGCTTCTGCAGTGGCACACAGAGTTACAGGCCCTATGCAGAAGAAACACAAACACCTGACTTCTTGCAGGTGAGGATCGGAAACCACTACTAAGGTTTACCAACAAAGGCCTCCGGCTAGTCATTGAGGCCTTTAGGGAGCGGCCGAATCCACTAACACACCGGGAAATTTCTTTTTCATGATAGTTTCGTGCGAAACTGTGCGAAGTTTCAATGTGTAGTGTAGTCAGTTTCGCTTCATCCCGGTGCTAATGCATGTCGGCCGCATAATAGGCCAACGCGGGAGACAAACGCTATCGGGAGAAGTAACCGCCTGGTTGCGGTACCGCTGGGCGGAGGCAATTGCCTGCCACCCTCCAATGTGCATAATCTTCTCGTCACTTTCACCCGCGTCGGCAGCGCTCATGGCGCCTCCTACGCGCCAGCTCCTTGGGTTGAAAGCCTTGCGCCCACGTAATCCTTCCACCGCGGGGTTCGCTATGCCCGCGAGTCCTAGAAGTTCGTCAAGGCAGTGTGCGTACTGCTGGGGCCGCACACGTCGCATCTGGTTCGACGCGTCCGTCGAAAGGCAATGTACCGGGCACACCGGCACAAAGTTAAAATTGCTCGGAAAATCTCCGCAGCAACATTCGAACGGGACCTCGCGCCCGTGCCCTACTTGATCCGTCTTCGTGGATGTCACGACGTATTTTATCGCCGCGTCGTCAATCGACGTGATTCTATCCGTGAGGACCAACTCCTCCGGCCTCAGCATGCAGAACCAGGCCGCGATTAGCCACTCAACGAAAAACTTGACCGGCAGCTTCAGTCCTCCACCTAAATCGAACTTCGCCGTCTTGCACGCTTCGGCAACCTCAACGAAGTGCAAGACATGCGAAAGGCGAAAGCCAACCTCCGAGTGCGGCTTCTCGGCCACCTGTCTCAACATCCCGCTGTGGGTGCGGAAGGCTGCCGCAACCTCCGGCGCTAGGGGCCGCAGCTTGTCCAACACACTTTTGACGTAGGACATGTAGACGGCCCGCGATTGTCTAAAATCGCTGCAGTAGAGGAAGGCGTCGCCTAAGAGCTCCACCGCATAGGGCGTCACCACCCTCGGGTCTAAGTCGCACTCTATCAGCAGCTCGACGTACTTGGAGTACACTCTTTTGTAACTCTTCAGCGACTTCTCGTTGCATCTGTGATCGATGCTACGCGGCAGCTGTGCCCAGGAAAGGTTGATGATTTGCTGAAGATGGCCCTTCCACCGTGACCCCCCTTCGGGATGAGAGAGGCGGCCATCCGCTTTGTCCCGCTGAACTTCTAACTGCATCCGCTTAACTGCTTCCGCCCAAGAGCACGGCGGGAGCTCTGGGCGCCTGGACTTGTTAACTATTAGCCTACCGGGCAGGTTATCTGCCACCGCCGCTCTTGCCATTTCTCCATCCCTATTCCAGATGGTACTAAATTTATTCGGAGCTGCTTGCGCCGAAATGTCAGACTTTTCTTTGAGCCCGAGCCGTGCCAGCTTGCCCTCATGCTGCGGCGCTCCCGGCTGAGTTTCCTTTTTCGACCGAGATGAGGCTTGCAGTGAGCTACTACTGGACTGGCCGAGCGTAGCTCTTGTGTAGCTACTGCTGGTCTTGAAGCTAAGTGAAGTAAGTCCATCCGCACTAGTGTGCTGTAGCTGTAGCGAGGACGCCCCACTCGCCTGCTCGAAGGAGAAACTTTTATTCTGCTCCGAGTTAAAATGCGCGGCGGCTAGTGCCGCAGGGACAATGTCCTCCAGCAAACCTAAACTGGAGGACGGCGCAACGCTGCCCAGGCTTTTTGTTTTACTGCTTGCGTTGGTCTGGCCACACTGGTCGCGACCTTCTCTTGTATACGACTGCTTTTTTAGTGCTGGCTCCAGCCCAGTGCTACTACTACTACCACTCGACGAGGCTGCCGCGCTTTTTGGTTGTGGCGGCGGTGGGATGGGAGGGCGCTTTACTACTATTGCCCGGGGGTCATTCAGAAAGACTGACAACTGCGGAGGCAGAGGCGGCGGCACTGGTACTTCTGGCCGCACATGCTCCGCGCGGTACTTCTGTTTCGCGGTGCGCATTTTAGGTGTACTTGCCTATGGACGAACTACAAGGGGTGGGTATGTGGGGGGAGAAAAAATTTCTCACAAAAGTTCAGCCAGCTACTGATGGCTTGAACTAGCTATCAATCCCTTACCTATATGATCTGTTTTCAGCCTTGATTACTAACCAATAATTTTCGGTCTGCAGCTTGGACAAAAGGTTTTAGACTTTTTCGGAAAAGAATTACTCCCGTGCTGACAGAATGCTTTCGAGAACAGGTACAGGACGACTCGAAAATCCTGCTACTGTGTCTTGGTTGATGCGACCATTTCAACATTTTTTTTTCCCTTTATGCCTTCTGCTTCTCATTTTGATTCTACATCGGGAAAAATGGTTCTTTGGTCTTCATACAGGGTTGTTGTAAAAAAGCCCCCAGAGTTGTAAGCGTCAGGGAGGCGGTTTCGACACAGTAATTGCTCCACTGGTTTACTCCGACGTCCCCTCGCCTTTGGATTTTATCGAAATTGATGTTACATTTGCATTTCAAACAGCAGGTCGCATCAAGTTATAGCAATAGCTCCGCTGCAACTCGTGCTTCAACCGTCGGTTGTTGCTGCCTATTTGCCGAAGTATATATCATTTTCTTGGAATCTAAAAAATTCGTACTCCTGTACTAATAATCTTACAAACGTCTGAGGTTCGTTGTTCAATCACTTCTTCACTTCTTTTGCTATCTTCTGCTGTAAACAGGTATAAAATTTGAATCATTTGTGCCTCGTGATGTTCGAGTGTCTATAGATGTTTGCTTCTTTTGCTATATTTCGTTTTCCTTTGGTTTCAATTGCATTTAAAAATAGCTACGAGTTAGTTGTAAAAAAAGTGACGCAATATAACAAGACAAGCGCCCCCAAGGCGTACAGCAGTGAATTGATACGGTGAGCAACGTGCGGCATCGTAACGGGCAGGCCGCCACTGTGCATGGACTCACTAGCTCCTACAAGCTGGAGCAAGAAACTAACAACCCAGACCCGCGCGCCCGCCTGCGGGGAGGCATCGCAGCCATTTGGAATGTATGAATAGCAGTGGCTTCGAAAATCACAACGCCCAAGCTAGCTATGCCGGAAACCCGCTGCCCACCCGTGGGCAACCAATCCTGCATCTACAAGTACACCCAGAAGGAGGCACAGCACGCTCCTCACACCAGTCCAACTCGAAAAGCAACAAAACGCGAAACCTGCCCGACAAGTGGGCCTTTCAGACCGCAGGACCGGGCTAGTGGGTAGCCACGCCCCAAATCCATCTCCGACGAGAGGAAACATGGGCCACAAAGTCAAAGAAAAATCGTCCCCGCAAGGGAGCCACGGAGAGTAGCCAGACTGTACCAGACCCGGCCATGCTGGGCCTTTCCACAATGCCGCTGCAAGAGAACTGTGCCTCAGAGAGTGTTGGCGGCGAAGAAAACCGACCCCCGAGGAGGTGAGCCCGAAGCATAGATAGCGACGTAGTCCCCAAGACCTAACCTTGGTCCCCAAAACCAAAACCTTCCTCCAGCTTAGACCCTAGGGCCACCTACCCGTAGTCCCTAGCAGCGGAAACTAACGCAAGCGAAATAAAGGACCCAGGCTACAAGCAAGATTCCAGTGGTGGGGCAAGAGCAATATATACGCCAAAACGTCCCGAGCGAGAAAATGTTGACGCACCCCTGTCCCCGGGCAAACGTCCGCTCCTCTCTACTAGGGAGGGCCGCCTCGAGAGGTGGAAAATGAAGGCAAGAAGGCGCCGCCGGCCGCGCGCTGCGACCAGAGGTTGCAGCAACGGGGGCAGGGACAGTAGCAGCGGAGGAGCCCAAGCGGGCGCTGTATTTAGCCTGAGCAGCAGCAAAGCGAGTCTATAGAACAACGCAAACTTCCCCCCGCTGGGGGTGGCCCTCACTGGCATTGCCCTCACTGGCTATAGAACACTGCAAACTTCCCCCCGCTGGGGGAGGCCCTCACTGGCATTGCCCTCACTGGCTATAGAACACCGCAAACTTCCCCCCGCTGGGGGAGGCCCTCACTGGCATTGCCCTCACTGGCCCGACGCTACCGCAAACATCCCCCCGCTGGGGGAGGCCCTCACTGGCCCTGCGCTAAGAAAAGAAATGAATCCTTCACAGCGCAATCCAAAATCGCAAACGGCAGACAGCGTCTGCTTTGGCTCCTTCCAACAACCCCACTCAAAGGGGCGGAAGACCAATAACTCCAGGCATCAGCTTCTAGGGATCTGCCAGCCCATACGCAAAGAGTTCAGGGGGAAAACTCCCTCCAGTCACTCCTCGAAAATGATCTACCGGGGTAGATATGTCTCTAAAAATAGCTACGAGTTAGTTGTAAAAAAAGTGACGCAACCTTATCGGTGGGAAAAATTGTACAAACGGCAAAGAATACTCATGGTTGCGGTCGTGTGTCGTGATAGAGAATGTTGAGATAAAAAGCTTCTGGTGCTTTGGTATACTGAATAAACTTTCGTTGCTTATTTTTGCAGCTTGCTGATGTTGTGTTTTATTTCAAGATGAATTTAGTCAAAGTTAGAAACGTCCACGAGCGCCCTCTACAGGTTCGTCCTTCCCGTAGTACTACGGTAATATCAAATGTAAAAGTGTCTGGGTCTGGGAACTTGTGATGCTGGGTGGCGTCTCATGATAAGGCTACAAATGCTGGCTCAGCATGACAAGTTTCTGAGCTCCTAGGTGTTGCCTATTCTGCATGACAAACTGCGCTTCTGCATCACAGAAAAACGAAGCTCTTGGGTAACGTGCATGACAGATTTAAGAGTCATGCCAGACAAGCATGACAAACATGAATTCTTCCAGACCCAGACATTTTTCCAGTTGATAGGTAAGCGTAAGCTACAATAATGTCATAATGTCTCAATTGTGAAACCACTCACCCATACACCCCCCTTACCCGTATCGAGTCCGCGGGCGGGTATTACAATGAAAAATGTCCCCACCCCACACTTGGCAGCATTTGTATTGCAAACCTTTCCAATAGAAACATTTCCCGTCTTGTTGTATACCTCAGCATCGCAAATTTTCCATGCTGAATAGCTCAAATTTGTGTTGCGAAGGGGCCCAACAGCAGCCGGATCTGTTATGCACAATGCACCTTGCGCACCTAGATTCTGCATCAGAAAGGCTCGCAATCCTTTCATGCAAGACAAAAAGCTTTCATTTGGAAACTTTGCATGACAAACTTTTGCAAATTCGGGAGTGGGGGCATTCTTCAGTGAAATAGCGGGTGGTAAGTTTTCACAAAAAAGGGGGGCATGCGGTACTTTGGGTTACTCGGCACCATCTTCGTCCCGACAGACCCAAATCTCCTGAACCCCTCCGCCTCCCGTCGCAGCTTTATTACTTTGCCGAGTATCACACGAAAAAAGTGTTACAGTTCTTACATTGTATTTGTATGCAACTTCAGCAACACAAACTTGCTCTGCACTTTTGCAGAGATCATGAAAACTTACAATGCAAAGATCCTAAGGGAATAAAACACGTATGAAAAGAGGCTCGCATGCCTTTATTCCGGCATGACAAAGGGTGTCCGTCTTGTTGCGCGTTCTGCAACACGATGTGTAAGAACTGCAGCACTTTTTTCTTTGCATACCGATCCGCGCCGCCACAATGTTATCAAATGCCAAAATGTCTGGGTCTGGAAGAATGCAAGATTTGTCATGCATATTTCTCATGACCCATGACGCCTGTAATGCATGACCTAGCATCGCAGACTTTTAGAGGGCTTCCTGATGCATCTTCCGCATGAGAAATGCCCTGTCCGTGTAGCACAAACTGCACCCCTCTTGCTGGTCATGCAATACAAATTTTTTTAGAGTCCAAAAACAGCATGACAAGTTGCAACCTTCCAGACCCAGACACTTTTGCAGTTGATAAATGTCGACGAAGAGCAAGTGCCGAAATGTGTCGGACTATCAAACAAAAAAGTTTCGTCGCGATCACTCATGCGCATTTTTGCAATACAAAACTTTCTGTCATGCGTAAAAATGCATCACAGCCAAACTTCATAAAGGATTTGCTCCCTAGTGTTTCTGCAATACAAGGAACAGCTGCGACGCTAAAAAAATTTGTATTCCAAAGCCTGCAAGTTAGTGACTCCGACAAACTTTTTTCTCTCCATACGGACAGCATCAGCGCTAGTATCGAATGCAAATATGATCCCTGGACGTCTGGAAACTTGTGATGCGGAACTCGGGATGATTGCACCACTTGTTCCAAGTGCTGCCAAGCATAGCAAACGTTTATCGCGCTTTCTGTTTCTCGTAGTGCGCATTGCAAGACAAACACGACGTGCGTTTTTGCATGAGAAAAAAGGCACCGCTTTTGCTGGTCATTCAACACAGAAGATTTTGCTGGAATGCAAGACAAGCATCTTCCTCGTTGCCAGACCCAGACATATCATTTGTTGCAATGCATAGCTAGCCTGTCTTGCTGATTCGACAGACGGTCGCAGGCAAGGACAAGCTGTTTATGTAGTAGGGTTATTGCATGCAATACAACTTCTACATGCAGGATCATGTACAACTATTGTCACTTATGCTTTATACAACGTGCAAGAGTACAAACTATGTTATAAAGATATCATATTTGAAGATGTACATGAGGATGTACATGAGAAACTATCGGACGTGCTGTACCGTGTAAACGTCTATCAAATGCAAAAGTGTCTGGGTCTGGAAGAGTCATGCTGTTTTTGCATGACACAGAAGGTCTGGCATGGAAGCTCTAGCATCACAGGTTTCGAGAAGCTTCCGCCATGCCGAATCCGCATGACAAGTCCCCTATTTTGCTGACAGAAAGTGGGCAGCTTTTGCCACGTATGCATGAGAGACTTTTCTGTGTTCTGAAATACGCATTACAAGTTGCATTCTTCCAGACCCAGACATTTTTACAGTTGATAACGTCCTTGCTGTGCACGTCGCCGTGCAGCCTGCTACACGCCCCGAGAAACTCCTGCACCGATACATATCCTATGTAAAAACGCCCCCACCCCATAGTGATAGTTGTCATGCAAATGCGCATGCCCAACATGTTTCTCATGCGGAGACCCATGAGAAGCATTGTCCAGGCGTGTTTTGGAATTTGTGATGCTATAATCAGCATTATAGGCTAGATCTGTGATGCTTCTGACCAACCTAAAACAGGATCACACGACGAGGCCAGACCTGTCATGCGCAACAACCAAAGCTGGCTGATTTGTGTAGCAGATTTCCCATCTTGACTATGGGGTGGGGATGTTTTTGCTCAGGATAATACATCCCCGTTCCCCAGCCTGTCCAGCATCTGCACCAATTCAATCATGTAACCTGCTCAGGTGTTACAATCTCAAACGTCACAATCTGTGATGCAAGAAGTGCATGATCTAAAAACCTACTCCCAAACGATTGCGCATGACAAGTTCCGGAGTCCAAAACCTGACTAGAGTCTGGCGAAGTTTGTATTGCAGAAAGTAGAACGCTCTGCGAGTCTGTCATGCTCATTATGCAAGACATCAAGTCCCAGATTCTAACGTTTGAGATTGTAACGTTTGAGCAGGTCATAAATCACCTCCTCCATTTCTAACTTGCACTTCTCAAACACCTATCAAATGTAAAAATGTCTGGGTCTGGAAGAATGCAACTTGTCATGCTAAATCTGAAGCATGCAAAAATCTGTGTTGCATGAGTACCAAAAGTCGTCCAGTTTTGACCAAGTCGGGCGGGAGTTTCTCATGCAGGATAAGCATGAGAGAGATAGCACAGAATCTGTCATGCTAGGTCCTGCATTCCAGACCTCGTGGGTCATGGAAAAGTTGCATGACAAATCGCGCATTCTTCCAGACCCAGACACTTTTGCATTTGATAACACCTCGAGGCTCTGCGGGTCGGTCAGAAGGTAGTTTTTATCCTGTGCAAAAGTATCGTAGTCGTAGTAATCGCAGTCATGCATTACAAGTCTTTTTCTTAAGGTAAATCCGCATTACAAATTTTATTTCTCATTATTTCCCATGCTGAGGAAATTTGTAATGCATTTATGCAAGTGCGATACTTTTGCAGTTCATAGTTTTGGAGTAAATGCGATTTCGCATAGAAGTGCTCTATCCAAGAAAAAAGGAGCTGTGTATGTGTAACAAATTTCGTAGGAAGAGCGGCACCACAAACTCGCTTCGCATTACAGAGAAATAAACCTGTCATGCGCAGCTAGTATCAGTGGAATAAACACGTCTGAAAGTGGCCTATGACGGCGCACTATATCCAGCATGACAATCGTATAACAGTTTTGCATTTTCTGCATCACAGATTTGCACTCACATAGTTTCTTTCTTGGATATGTTCATGGTCGTGCACAATCCGCTCCTTAATCGGTTATGACAGCGCAGCACAACTCGTGGTTATTATTTTTCCCTCATTTAATATTGTCATATAAAAAAGCCAACTGCGGTTGCTCTGTCTCCTTTGACATAATCTGCATCACACATTCCGGATGATGTTGCGGAAACAATACTTCTACACGTGGCGTGGTACTATATTAGAACTTGTCATCATGATGCACATCATGCTCCAGGTTCGCCGGCACTAAGTACTTCCGTAATGCGGTTCATGCCCTATTTTAAATGAAGGAACAAGACCAAGAGGCCCTCGTTGTGTCCTCTCATATCGGTTCCTGCAGGGCCATAATCTCCGTCTGCCTGACTTTCAAATCGCTCTCGTAGGCGACCTAGAACAATTTTTCATCTCGTGCACAGCGGCCGCAACGTCAACGTGATCCTGCTACTACTAGTCACGCATCAGTATTGCGTTTTCCTTTTCGCATGCAGGGGCGCGCATAACAAAAAATGAACAGCAGGTCGTAGCTAAGCACTTGGCAACTAGTCGAAATGGAAAGTACCTTTTTCGCGGTGTCCAAGCCATACACCGCCAGAGCGACGATGCTTCCTGCCAAGACTTGGATCAGTCCCAGTGTTCCGATCATGTACACAAAGAAAAAGGGGTAGAGCAGGAACGGCACGCGTTCTATCATTGGCCGGATTATGCCCGCGAAGACACCCTTATCGAAGACGACAATCTGAAACAAAGATCCGAACGACCGGATAGACACGCCCCAATAGTCGCGGTATCTGTAGTATGAATTGCAAAAGTACTATCGTACTCGTTCTCGTACTAATCGCATTTATGCATTACAATTTTTTTTGTCAAGTTAAATCCGCATTACACATTTCATTTCTCATGCTGAGAAAATTTGTCATGCGATTTCTAGTACTAGTACGATACTTATTTGCAGTGCATATGTAGCCCGTCGTCTTCATCGCTGTGTACATTACCTCGTGCTCCTTTTTGATCATGCTCGTATAAAAGATGCTCATCACGTTCACGAAGAGCAGGATCAGCATCATGCACCACCCCAGTGTGGACAGAATTTTGCTAGATTTCTATCCTGAGCAAAAACGTCCCCACCCCATAGTCAAGTTGGTAAATCTGCAACACAAGTCTCCAAGTTTTAGGAATTGCGCATGACAAGATTCCATCTGCATAGTGCTGGTTAGCAAGGGAAGCCGCATGAGAAAGCCACTTTCTCATCCTGTTCACAGCATTACAAATGCCAAAACACGATTGAAAATGCCTGTCATGGACGAGATGGGCATTTACAAATCTTTCTGTCATGGCGGATTTGCATGACAACTATGGGGTGGGGACGTTTTTCCACAGGATAACTTCCGGATGAAGAAGGTTTTTTTCGCCTTGCGATCCATATCCAAGAAAAAAACTGTGTTTTATTAGTGGAGCTCTGTTGGGGGAGCAGCTGCAGCATCACACATTTGTGCTGTCGCATGACAGAAAAAACTTGGCATGCGCATCTAGTACGTGAAATCACGCATGCAGAGAGGGGGCTCTGATGGATATAATCCGGCATGACAACTGTACTAACTCTGTTGCATGTTCGGCATCACCGAGTTACACTAAACACAGTTTTTTTCTTGGATAGTCCAGTAGCGGAAAGTAGTAGAACATCTCCCGGGAGTATCGCAAGAAAAAACTGTTTCACGTGTACTAGACCTGTAATGCAGAAAATGCATCACTGAAGTGTTTGTCTTGCTACACATGCAAGACAAGTGATTTTCAGCGGTGTTTTCCCTTCGGATCCTCGCATGGGTAGAGCGAATTTGTAATGCAAAACTTGCAAAATCCTTACAGTGAAACACTTTTTTCTCACGATAGGGATTGGAAAAACCGGATGAACCGGATCACGTAGCCCATCTTCAACCCTATCAAATGCAAAAATGTCTGGGTCTGGAAGAATGCAACTTGTAATGCGTATTTTTTTTTTTTTTTTCTAGGCTTCTAGCGCGTGGATTTTCTTTGGATTTTCTTTTGATTTTTTTTTGGTTTTCTTTTGATTTTCTTTTGATTTTTCTTTTGATTTTTCTTTTGATTTTTCTTTTTCTCGTGATTTTTCTTTTGATTTTTCTTTTATATCCACCGCGCCAGTAGCGGTGGGCGTTTCACGAAGAAGAGCGCGGCTATGTTTGGCGTTCCCGTGGCCTTTGGCCCTACCTTTATTTGATACGTCGCAGCTGCAGTTTCCGTTTCCTTCACGCTGGTTATATCCAATGTCGATGCTGGAGCTGGCATTTCCATTTCGTGCTCTCACCAATTGTTCCTGCCAGTTCTCCATCCCCTCTGCATCCTCATCCTCTTCTGCTAGCAGCAAGCAATATAACGGAAGAAAAGCACAAGACGCCAAGATGCTATTCGTTTTGTTTTATTCAATTTCCAGTGATTACTAAAATGAATTTTCTTAACACGACTTACAGCTGGGAGAAAATTATACAACTAGTACTACTCAGATCATTTAACTTTAACAGCATGTCGAGAGACAAATAACAACCAAGGTAGACATCATTACTCATCATTTTCCATCTCCTCTATCTGTCTATGCGCAAGTATGTAGAACTTCTACTCCTACCACTCTATTCCTTTTCTCAGCCTGTCCCTGCTTGTGTTTTTTGATTTTTCTTCCAAGTGAAAACAAGAACAACTCACGAAGAACGAAAGCAGTGCGATGGCTTACGAGTTTTTACGACTGCGCGATGCGATTGCTGTTTTGCGTAAACGAAGCCGAGGAGAAAGGGTCAACAGAGACGCCAGGTCTTAAACAGTATTTTCTTGCTTCTTTGCGTCAGGGGACTCAGCAACGACGATGCCTACTAAGTACAAGTTTAAGCTACGTGGCTGTTTGGTACAAATTATTCTAGGGTGTCAGCCGTAAGCCTCGAAGTCGCCAAGATCTGACTGTCGAAGGGGAAGCCAGTTACTGTTTTCTCATGCGGGCTGCGCTCGTCTGTTAGGGACCTGGAGGAGATTTTTGCATTCATTTTCAATTTTCATTTTGATGCTGAAGTAGAGGTGTTCACGCATGATATTTAAATAAGTAGTAAATCACATTAGTGCGGGAGTCTCGCACTGTCAGTGTCGTTGTCTTTTGTTGTGGCCTCGATTTCCGAAGCAGTAACTCGATCGCGTGATAGCTGTTAGAAGCCCCCGACAGCTACGTCGCGCGGCGCGGCATGGTGGCGCCGGAGCTTGTGCCGCGAGAGGAGCGTACCAGGGCGCGCCCAGCCCTGCAGGGCTCTGTGGGCACCAGGCGAATTGGGCGGTCGTCCATGCCGGCGACCCTCCCGTGTGGTAGCGGGAGATTCGCGCGCGGCGGGTAGGCCCCGGTCGCGTCTTCCGTGCTCATCGTGCTCGAGATAGGCTGGGGGCGCCAGCGTCGGCGCTGCGTGGGCTGCGTGCACGTACTTCTCGCCGTTGAGGTTGTCGCGGGCCTCCCTTCACCCCACCCTGGGGAGAAAGCAGGTCGGCGTCGGATCTTCCGTTCCGACTACCTTTCACACTTGGAACTAGATACAGGCGCGAACCAGGCGGCCCACACAAGAGACAGACTTTTTCGCCAAAGTCTGTACTTTTCAGTCTAAAGTCGTAGCTGAAAAAGCCTCGTAGCAGCGGGACCAGGCGTGCAGGGCGCTCGAACAAAGTACCAGGTAAACGAAGCCTGCCACCCGCCGTCCCGACTACCTTTCTCTCTTGGGACTGGAGTCAGGTGTGAACCAGGCTGCCCGTACAAGAAACAGAATTTTGATTCAATATCTGTACGCTTCGGTCTAACGTCGAAGCCCAAAACGCCTCGTAGCAGGGGGACAAGGCGTGCTGGGCGCGCGAACAAAGTGTCAGAAAAATGGAGCCTGCCGCCCTACTTTCTAAGAGAAGATAGCCGCTTAGTGTGGTCGAGCGCGTGAATTCCTTCCTGCACGTTCTTCAACATCTACTCTTCCTAAGTATTTATGTATTTTTCATATTTCTATTTATCAAAAAGCTCATAGTTAGTACCTGGCAACTTCTATTTTCCCGCGTTCTGTTTTCTCCTCGGCTCCGTGCGCCAGCTTGATTTTCGTTATATTCCGTTGCTTTTTACATGTACTGCTTAATGAAGGAGAAGAAAAAAAACATGTTTTTCGTATATTTAAACCTGTGAGTTTTTGTTTTTGTGATTCATGAGATTGCTCTAGTGTCAGTGTAAGTATTTCAGTGGTATCTCATCTGTAAAAACTCTTGCCTTGCTCATGCTGCATGCCTTCACATATGAATTTGGTAGCTTTTCATGCTTTTTTACTTCCTTTTCCATTTTCGTCCCGACTTGCTCGATGCAGCTACCTATTCTGTCTCGGAAATATTCATGTGTCAAATTTGTCGCTTCGTCTATTATGAACTTCAAGATCTTTCTGGGATTTTGAAGCAGTTCCCTCCCCAAGGTGGGCGCGCAAAACTTAAAGCCAAAATGGCGCGCGCGCGGCGCCTCTACATTCCTGCACTCAAACAGGGCGTGATCAACTGCGCAGTCGCACAGCCTGTTGCACATTTTGCACCTTTGTTTCATTTTCCCTCCCTCGTAAACGATTTCCTCACACCCCAAGTGTGGCTGGGGGGCGATTCCCAACCACACCCAGAAGTAGACCAACTCCGCCTCGCGTATCGGGAAGACACCCACGGGCGGCCGGAACCCCCCCAAAGACTTCGCGCGCTCGCGCAAGTACTCCGAGGGGGATTGGCAATTTTCCATGTTCTGCGCGAGGATCCTTTTCAGGAAAAGCCGCCGCAGGATCGGCGCAGTGATCATTTTTTTGTAGATCGGCCGCGCCGCTGTGTCCGAAAAGTCCTGGTGCCCGTCTTTCCACATTTCTTTGTAGATATTCGTTAGGAGGTCCGCACAATCGTTCGCCAGCTGCCCCGCGTGTCCGGGTGTCCAACGGAAGTGAAACCATACCTCTTCCTCCTCGTTCGGCCCCTCCCCAATGCATGCGTCTTTTAGTTTTTCCATCTGCTTCATAATTTTGTGGATCATCTCATTACTACCGTCGTTGTAGCACTCCAGTGCCTGCACTATGGAGTTGCTATCTAAGAAAAAATAGAAGTTCCTCAGCATTTTACTCAAGTGCGGGTGTGTTAGGATTTGGCGTTCTATCTTTTCAAGCTGCTGCATTAGCCCTATGCACTCTGCATCAAAAGAATCCGTTGGAATATCACTCAGCGGTGAGTGTATATATGCTCCTGAGATCCAAATCGGATCTGGTAACTCGTCCTCCCCCACTTCTGCCCGAAGCTTCCCCGTCCCATCATCACCAACCGGCTCCCACCACCAACTTGCCCCCGCCCCCACTCCTAAATTTCTTTCTTTGTCCACCAGTCCATCCGTTGCCGTGACAAGATTCCCCTGGGACTTCCGTATTAGCCCCCGCACTAGTGCGTTGTGCGCCCGTGCTACCTTTCCCCGTGCCTCGTCCAGCTCTTTTCCCTGCTTACCTGACAGCTTCCCCAGGCCCATATCCGTCCCAACCCTGTCCATGGACTTCGCATCTAGATTTACGCCCCGCCAAAAAATCTTGCCGATATACAGTCTCTCATGACCAAAATGACTACGCACATCAGGAAAGCCCGTTTTTGCCATGTGCCGAATGGTATCTGTCCACGTTGCATGCTTTTTGTCCATGCCTAGTAAGAATTTTGCTGGGTCGCTGCTATCTGTCTGCCTGAACATAGCCTTGACCTCTTCGCATGGCTCTTTTTGTCGTGGCCATAGCTTCAACTGCGCGCCTTTGTAGAAGAGCATCAAGTTTTCTACTACGAAGAGCGTGTGAATGTCCGGAATTCCTGCACAATGATGCAAAATCGTGTTTGGCGTTTGTTTGGGTAGCATAGCATGCCCCTTCAGGAATTTCGCAGTGTCTTTCTTGATCTGCAGCTTGTTCTGCTTTTTGAAATAGTGAAAAAACGGGATGCTATTCGATAGTATCGCGCTGTATACTATCGAGACATAGGTGTCGATTTTTGCGGTGAGTCTTAAGTTTTTCAATCGTGCTACGCTTGTGTTCTCCTGGATCATCTTCTTTCGCATGATTTCATAGTGGGAGGAGAAATCCCATGTGCCATCATAGAAAAACCCCAAGGACCTACTTGCTTCGCTCACTTCTACCTTCTTATCCACCCCAACATCATAGAAAACAGCTTCAGACTTTGTCTCTTCAAAAAATATGAACTTCTTTCTGCCCGTTCGCACCAGATCCTTTTTGAGTTTTGTCACTGCTTCCATGTCACCGGTTCCGCATTGGCTGTTGTCATCCGAAAACTGCGTCTGTGTGCCGTCTTCATTCAGCTGCGCCATAGTTTGAATTAGTGGCGTGTTGTGTACATTAAAGCAGCCCCCTGAGTAGGGGCTGCCTTGCGGCATCCCCGGAGATAGATACCAGTACCTGTTCCCTGTTTTTATTCTAACTGTTCGGTAACTCAGCCACTGCACTGTGGCTGCCGCTATGTCCTCCGGCACTTCTAACTCATGCATTGTCTCCAGCAATTTCTCATGTGAAACCACATCAAAACCTGCTTCGTTATCATTTAGCAGCAGAAATTTTCTCATGCCTTTTGTTTTCAGTCCTTCTTCTGAAAACAGATACTCGAGAATTGAAATAGCCCCAAACTCTTTGCAAAAGTTTTTTCTGTATGCTAGGGAGTACAGCGGGAGCTTGGGGCTGCTATTTTCAATTCTGCTCTTTCCATTCCATTGGTAGCCCTCTAACCATAAGCACAATCTTCTATCTTGTATAGCTTCCCACACCTTGACTGACTGACTGACTACTGCTAAAATCCGTGGCTTTTCGTGTTAGTTCCGCGTTGGGTTCTATCATGGATGTGCAGTGCTTTGTTATCTCTTGGTCCTGGGAGACCCCTCATTTCCTCACACGATGGGATTGGCTGCAGTCCAGGCTTTCGTTGCGTTGTTCTGTTGGAAAGTGTGGCCCAGTACTGTTGCTTCTTCCATCCCGGCGTTTTCACAGAAGAAGAAGCTTGTTACCCGGAAACTTATGCGCTCGCCACTGTCTGCCAAGACAGAAAAATTGTACTTAGACCTGGACTGTTTCTCCCACACCTTCCCGTTTATTTGCGATAGCAATTTTTTGTTTGCTTCATCAGTCTCACGTCGTTGTTGTTCCAATCTCCGCTGTCTTTCCTCCTCCATTGCTGTTCTTTTTTCCGTTTTTGGGCGTCCCGCTACTGCTCCTCTCTGCTTCTTTATCGGCTTGACCGGTTTCCGTTTTGCTAGTGTCGCTCGTAATGCTACTGCTGTTGGCTTCGTTTCTTTTAACGTTTGCATTGTGAGCCCGAACATGTAAAAGTCGTCTTCTAGCTGGCGACCCCATATCGATTTGCAAAAAAGTTCCTTCTCTATGCGCGAGACGGAACCCTCCGCCTCGTCACCTCTACACGTGTGGGCGACCCAACCTAGACGTCTGGTCGCAACTTCTACTTCTAGGGGCTGCACACCGAGATCGGTGCACAGCTGCAGGCGGTTCTTCTCCTGGTTTTTGTAGTGCCCGCCTAGCACATGCCGCAGCGCACTATCTTGGTAGCGCCGCAGCTGCGTCGCTGCCGCACTAGATATCGCCCAGCATTCCGAGTTATACATGGCGACTGATAGAGACAGGGATCGAAACAGGTCGGACTTCAGGTAAAGAGGGATTGTTTTGTCCCGCCATATCGGCGAGAGCTGCTGCACTACCCCCAGAGCTATCGCGCAGCGTCTTGTTGTTTCTGCGTCTGTACTTCCGTCAAGGGCTATCTCCGTACCGAGGTACTTGAAGCTTGCCACCTGTTCGATGGCTTTGCCCAGGTGGCGCACCGGTTTCCCCTCCTGCACTGCTGTGGGCTTTTGTGCTTGTTTGTTCTTCTGTTCTACTTGCCGCCCGATCCGCAGCGTGCGCAGTTCTTGCATCGTTTTGTTAGGTCTGCAAAAGCCGGTGGCTGTGTGGAAGTGAAGTGCGGTGGCATCCGGGAGGATGTCTCCGCACTTCGGGCATTCGTGCGCGTTTTTATCGGCAATGACATGCCGAATCTGCCCTAGCCGCATCAACCTGATGCTTTCTCCCTCGTTTGTTAGTGCCCAGCCGCTCTGTTTCAGTGTTACTGCTGTTACCCCTCTTGACGGCGTGTCCCACACCACCAGGTGGGTGGGAGCCAGGTCCCCCAGGCCTGCCATCTTTAGTCGCCCTGCTTCTTCTTTCCACTGGTTGTTCCAGTCCTTGCCGCTCCATTCTATCATCCACCCCCAGTCTCCGTCGTGCTGGCATCGCTCCATTTTTGCGCTCGGGTTTTTTCTTTCCTCCACTTCTGGGTTCACCGCCAGGACCTTCGTCTTTTTGGTGTTCAACTCCAACCCGATAAAGCGACACGCGCTAGACAGCTCCTGGAGTGCGAACTCCAGGTCTTTGGCGTTGCTGTCCTTCACGACCAGGTCGTCGACGTAGCCGAGCCACGCCAACGCCTGGGCCTCTGCCTGCTCCCGTGTCCACTTCTGCTCTTCCACCATTGTTGCAATGAACTGTGCGAGAGCCCAGTCCACGCATATGGCGAAGAGGAGTGGGGAGAGGGCTGACCCCTGTCGAATTCCCGACCGCTGTCGGAAAGTCGGGGCGTGTTTGCCTTCGCCTAGTCGTATAGTTACTTTTGCGTTTTGTTCGTACATGTTGTAGATTATTCTGCAGATGTTTTCTGGGACGCCCTGCAGGCGGAGCACGGTAAACATTACATCCCACGACAGCGAGTCGAAGGCTTTCTGGAAGTCTATGAACGCGTAAAGCGCCCGCCTCCCTTCTTTGTTAGACCGCTCCACGTCGCGCAGCAGTTCGAAAACTGCATGTCTGCACGACAGCCCGCGCCGGCACCCTTTTTGTCGCGGGTCCAGCTTTTTGCCTGCGTCTGCTTCGATCCTGCGAAGAATCACGAGACCGAGCAATTTTTCGCCGAGTGTGATCAGCGCGATCGGGCGCCAGTTTGCTGGGTTGGCCTGCACGCCGTCCTTGTGGAGCATGGCGACCACCGCCTCGCCCCACTCTTCCGGGATTTTTTCCCCCGCGAAGATCCGACGCACCAAGGCCGCCAGCACCGACTTGACTGTGTCGCATTCTTTTGCGAATTCCGCCGGGATCGGGCCGGCGAAGGCCCTGCCCGCTTTCAGCTCTTTGAGCGCTGCGGCCACTTCATCCCGCGACGGGACCGCGTCCAGCCCTTCGCACCACGTTGGCCCGGGCTCGTTTCTCTCTATCTCTCTCTCGCACCGCTTCCAGGTTTTTGTTTGCCGGACTTCGTCCGGCGGCTGTGGTCGCGGCTTGCCGAAAATGTCGCCCCAGAAGTCTGTCCAGACCTTGGCCGGGCCTGGCAACTCCTGCGGCCGCTTCCGGCCTCTACCCGCCAGTTGCCGCACTGTGTCGAAAACTACTTTTGTATTTCCGCACGCGTCGGCCTGTTTCAGCGTTTCTATTTTGTTCTGTACCCATGCGGCTTTGTCGGCTTTTACTAGTTTGTTGATCTCCCTTGTCAGCTTGGTAACTTTGCCGGCGCCGCTAGCCTTGGCCTTCCTTCGTTCCTCTATTTTGTTCCAAGTATCTTCCGATATCCATGGCTTTTGCGGCCCACTCGCAGGCGCGAGCTTGCGAAGTTTCTCCAGAGTCGCCCCCAGATCTTTCTCGAACTCCGTCCACCAAGCCCCTGCACTTGTTGGACCGTTTTCGATTTGTTCAAGCACCTCGGGCGTGTACTTGACCGCCAGCCGCTTGCTGGCCTGTTCTGCCTTTTCCTTGCTTCGAATTATTTGCGGGGGAATTTTTCTAGAGGAAGGCTTTTTTATTGCTCCAAGTTTCATCTCCATCACCACCATGCGGTGGTCGCTGTGTGTGAGTGTGCCCTTGATCACTTTTAGTTTTTGAAAGAGGCCGCGATCTCGGTGGGATACGAGGAACCGGTCGTATTCCCTTTGTCGTCTTTCTTCGCTTGTCCACTTTCCGGTGAAAGTGAACCGCTCCCGCCACGGTTTTTTGTGCAAGCTGGAGAGGTCAACAAGCTGCCGCGCTGCTGCTAGCTCGTGCAGCCGCTGCTTGTTGTCTGACTCGACCACAAAGTCGCTAGTCAGGCCGCATTTCCCTACGGCGTATGGGAGTCCCGCATTGATCAGTTCTATTTCCGGATTACCAAGTTCACAATTGTGGTCCCCCCCGAGTACTACTATGTCGTGCTTGCTGAAGGCCCCCAGCTCCCTGTCTAGCATTTCGTAATATTTCTGTTTCTTCTCTGGGTCGGCGGTGTTTGTCGGGGCGTAGACGCTGAGGATATGCAGCATTTTTCCGTACTGGCACTTGATGCTGACCCGCATCATTCTTTCCTGCTGCTCCACGCTTACGTCTGCCACCCGGACTCCCGCCCGAACTAGAATAACGGTGCCCCCTATCGCAGCGCCGGCGGCGTTTGGGGACGCGCCGCCCCCGTACGCCCTGTAACCGCCTGGCCACTGCTCCCCCGTAAGCCATGCCCGAATTCTTGTTTCTTGTAAAAGCAGGATGTCTAGTCCCTGTCGCTTTGCATCTTCTATCAACGTCAGCAGTTCTACGGGCCATCTATCCCGCTGTTCTTCTCGGCGTCCTAGCGTTAGGACGTTGAAAGTTCCAAAGCGCAAAGTGCGTTTTGCCGCATTGCTTCCCCAGTCTCGGCCGGGCTCGCCCCAGCCGGTGCTTGCCGATCCGGCTGCGCCGCGTCGGCCTGCACTGCTGCCTACCCCAGGGAACGCCCCCGGCGTGGGAGCTGACTGCGGTGCAACTGCGTGTGGAGAGGTGCCCGACGGCCTAAAACTATTCTGCATGCTACTGCTCCTGCGCGAGGCGCTACTGCCTCCTTGAGCCATAATTCCGCTCTGGTCTTGGCAGCTGTTTGTGTCCGGTAAAATTCCCGATGCTGGTCTGCGAACACACAAAAACTCCCGGGCTTTTTTCTGGAGGTGAGCTCCTCCCAAATACGTACTGCTTCTTCAAATCTTCTGTGCAAAAAACGCCAATCTTCAATCAGATTTTTTCTTGAGGTTGACTCCTCAGCTGCGTGAGTGAAAAATTAGTGCTGATAACAAATGCTTCTGCCTGCAATTCCGGGTTCGGTTTGGCGATCCGTCCCCAGCGACACACAAGTCGGAAAAAACTGCTTTACTGCGAGGGCATCACGTGTGCCGCAATGATACCCCTGTTAGCCCTTAGTCTTCCTTTTTTGGTTTCCCGCAAACGGGAGAAACTACCGGATTTCCGGTAGTGGAGATATCTTCGATGACTGCTATAAACTGCTTCTTCAAGTTTGTCGTACACAAATCTTAATGTGCCAAATGCACAACTGCATGCAAAGCAGAGCACACACGGCGCCCCGCTTTTTGTCTTTCGCCCGCGCGCCTTCGGGGAAAGAGTGTTTTCTTAATTGGTTGTAAAGATTGCTCGTCGTTGTTCTCCGGTCGTTGGAAAAAGTTACTGCTTGTTTTCGGTTCAAATCATGGTTGCAAGAAGGAAAGGTCGTCCACGTACTCGCCCTGGTTTATTACTTTCTAGTTTCTGTGATGAAGATGAAGGTTTACTGCCCGCCAGCACCAGAGATGCCCCCTGGGGAGCGTCCCGTGATGCCTTTCGCTACCGCCGCGCCACCAAGCACGACCCGCTTCTCGATGCGAGCCGCCTTTTTTCCGTCCTTGGCGTCGGTATCCTTCTTGACCAGCCCCTTGTTGTTCTTGTCCTTTTTCGACTTGTCCTTGCTCTTCTTGCGCCGTTTCACGCGCACCTGCCCATCTTCCATCTCCTCCAACATTTCCTCGTCGCCCGCCGGGGAACCCGAGGGGCTCTGTTCATCATCATCGTCCATTTCCTCATCGCCCGCTTTGTTCTCGTTCTGTTGTTCTTTCTCCTGCCCGCCCTGCGTTTCCGCTTCGCTGGCTTTTTGCAGGTCCTTGTCCGCGCGGTTCTGCAATTTTCGCATGTACCTTTCGAAGTCCTTCGCGCTGCGCACGATGTACTCCTTCACCTGCAGGTCCTGCAGGTACATCTTGGTTACGTTGTCGGAACTCGATTGCACTAAGCAGTTCAGGTCGAAGACCTTGGTATTGCCTTTGCACAGGATCTCCACCCACCCGCTCTTGTGGACGGCGATCGTCCGCACGTGGTCTGGCTTGATTGCGGAAAAACAAGCCTTCATCTCCTGGGCGAGGCGGTAGCTTTCCTCCTTGTCGCTGTCTCCATACACCATCGTCTTGTGCTCGACCAGCTTCATCTTGCCGTCGTCCTGTTCTTCCAGGTATCGGAGAGGTTCGCCCGTGTGAACCCATGCATTTCCGGCGGCCGAAGCGCATTTTTTCAAAATGCCGTCCTTCCAAAGCGCGTAGCGTGCCCCCGCCTCCATGTGCGTGATTGGGTCTTCAATAGTGACGGCGGGTTTTTTCATGTTGCTAGAGCTGGAACTGCTGGCGGCAGCTTTGACGCGTAGCGGGCCGGGCGAGTTCTGCGTTTTCGCTTTCGTGATGTTCGGAATTTCGAGGCCCTGCTCCTCCTCGAGCTTGCGCTCTTTCCAATCCGAGAAGGTCTCGATGCCTTCCAAACCCTTCACCATCAAAATGTGATTTGCTTTCAGCTGCGCCACGTCCAGTTTCAGGCGGTCGTAGTCTTTTGTCGAGGTGGAAGAAGTGGTGGTGGCCTTGCCTTTCCCCTTCTTCTTCCCTTTGCCCTTGTCACTGGTCTGCTTCCCTTTGGCGGATCCGGCTGGCGAGCTGCCGCGAGGCGCATGGTTTTTTGGGTCTCCTTTTGCCATGGTGTCTATGTGGAGTACTTCGAATTTGTAATGCGTGTGAGGTCAACTAAAGAGTTCCGAAATGTGCAACGTGTGTTGATGTTGTGCGAATCAAGTCAAAAACCTAAACGGCGTTTCGGAATTGTATATTGCGTCAGAGAGAGGTAAATCTATTGAGCGGTCAAAAAAAAAGGGCGTACGTAAAAGAGTGTAAAAAAGGGAGCACAGTTCGATCTTCGCAATTGTTTTCGGGCTTTCAGTGTCAGAACCTTTCGACTTTTCTATCTTATTTGTGGAACATCTTTATGATCGGTAGTTTCGTTTTATCTTACACAAAAAATCTAAATCAACTATTTCCAAAGGGCACTGAGGGTGTGTACCAACATTGAAGGCCTACCCCTACGGCGGGGTACTCACCGGTAGGGGATCTTGAGCCAAAATGGCTACGGTTCCCACACCTTAGCATATACTGATAACAAGCTTACAGGTCGAAACAAACTTTCTGAGAAAGCCTGCTCTTCTGTCTTGCCTACAGGTGCTAGGATAATCTCCCGCCCTATTTCCGGAAATGCGTTGTGCTTGACTAACACGTAGTAGCACCTAAATAAGCACTCCCATCCTACCCCATCCAAAGCCTTGACCAGCTCATGCGTAACCCCATCACACCCCGGACTCTTGTTACATTCCAGCTTCCTGATAGCCGCCGCAAACTCTGTCCTGGTCAACTCCCAAAATTGCCCCTCCTTCGCTTTCTGGCGCGACTTCAATCGCGTATCTTTGAAGGTTTTCTTTTTCCACTCGCTCTCATCTGGCACTTCAAAGCCGTTCTTGCTGTAGACCTGTTGCGGTCTCCCTTTGTATTGGGCCGCGAAGTAGTTCACTATTTCGTCGTGGTCGTCAACTGCTTCGCCCGGAAGTGGCTCTACTGTTATTTTCCGCTTCTTTATCTCTTTCATAGCTGCCTCGTTCGTTCGTCTTTCTATCTCCTTCAGGGTAAGCGGTGGACACAGCAAAGCGCTCTGGTTTCCTTTTTCCGTGATATCTTCTCCAGTTGCCCTCTTGAAGTAGATGGCCGCTTTGTCATGCTTGACCAGCTTCGAGGGAAAACCCCCGGTGGTCCAAATTTTCTTTCTTCTTATTTTCTGGTTGATGTGTTCCCACCTTTCCTTTGGTGGTAGGTGGTCCAATTCTGCATCTGAATCCCTTCCCCGCCCTATCTCGTCCTTTTTTGGTTTCTTTCGTGCCCGCTTTTGTGTTCCCTTTACATCACTAGTAGCATCTGTAGCCTTCCTTCCCCGCGAGCAGGGAAGATGCTCTTTTGCTACCTCTAGCATTACTTCCTTTACCAGCTTCAGATCGTTTTGAATCAGCCCTACTTTCCGCTTCTGCCAGTTCTTCCGCATCAGGGGGTGGTCTGCAAGTCTATCACGAAGATCCCGATTGTACGCCGTTACCCATGTTTGTTCCTTCACTGGTATTCCGTTTTCAAACTTGAACTTCAAAAGCTTGCTGGTGTAGTTGCAGTCGCTCCCTCCCCCCCCCGGCTCATCCCGATCATCATCCCCATATTCCCCACCTACTTCTTGCTCCAGCTCCGCTGGCATTGCGTGTCTTTCTTCGTCTACTTCCGGCACAAAAATGCTTGCCACTTCTGGCAAGGCAACCACCGCTCCTTTGATGCTCAGGCGGAGCTCCACCATGCAGTGATCAGAAAGCTGTTCTGAAAACTTGCAATTCTCCAGGCCCCAGCTCCATAGGCTCTCCCCTTCTGCGACGCCGTCAACTATTAGACCGCCGCTCTTAACAACCCCCGCTACATCTTCACTGGAGATTCGCACGTAGCACGCACGTTCATCTGCTCTTTCCTTGTTTACCTCAAAAACCCCTTCCCATTCTAGTTCAGCCTCGTCTGGGCTAATACTATTCTGCTCTTGACTAGTATCTGCGTCAACGGCTCCAATGTTTGTCTTTCTCTTCTTCCGCAGGTGTTCTTCTGAGCACGCATCATTCTCTTCTGCTATTCCTTTTCCCCCTTCAAGGATTTGGGTTGCTTGTTTTCCATCGCTAGTCTCCGTTTCCATTGCGTCAAAGTTGTATGGCAAGTACGTTACGAACCTTGGTTTTTCAAAAGTCTCCTTGCCGAAAACCATCACGTCTGGCGCTGTTGCGCATTCACCATGTACCCTCGTTGCCTGCCCTTTCACATTAGCGCAACAGAAGCCCCTACCCTCTTCCCCTTCTAGCCATTTTGTCAGCGTTGTTCCGTTTGGGTTGTTTTTGTAGTCCCAGTTCAAGTGCCTTGCATTCAGGTCCCCAATAATAATCCCCGCTCCTATCCCTAGGTGTGTTGCGTCTAGTTTTGCATGCTTGGCGTAAAGCTTTTTGACTTCAAATACAACGCTGTTCATTTCCACCAAGACATGAATAATCTCGCACCCATCGACGTCGTCCACTTCTAGTATTTTCACTAGCCTTACACTAGATCTAACTGCCAAAATGGATGACCCGCTTTTTCTCTTCTTTTTTGCATCACCCCCCTCGTGCTTCCGTGGGCAGAAGATAATGTGATACCCCAGGGCAATAAGCTGGTGAATCAGCCATGACTTATCTATCGAGTCAAGGTTGGTTTCATCCAGCCCCAGAAAATGCGGCTCAATGTCTTCCACATATTTCAAGATGTAGCTGTCGACGTTTTTTGTTCTTAGTGACTGAACATTCATCGACGAGGATACCGCCTGCCCCCATAGTGGCTCATCAAGAATGCAATTTGTAAGCGCTACTTTTTGGTCCCATGCTAGCGTTCCTAGCTCGTAGTGCTTACTCGAGCTAAGATAGCTATACCTATCTAGGGCCTCATGCGCCAAAATATGGGATCGCATACAGGCAACATGGGCGCTGCAGCGCCTGCATTGTGTGCGGGCTCTTCCCTCTGCTAAGGCTGCACGGGAATTTGCCGACTCACGCACACAGGTGTGCGTATGCCTGTCAATAAAATCGCAGGAGTCAGCATTACAGACCTGGCAGAGCCCACACGCGAACACTCCCTTGTTCCCGTGTGGGGCAATCATTTGGTCTCTTTTTGGCTTGTTCAGCCAGTCTATGTCCACCATGCGCGGCTTCACTTCGTCACAAAAAATGTCAGTCTCCATAATTTTTGACTTCGTGTTTTTCGTTGTAGTTAGTGGCTCTGTTGTGCTTGCTACACTTACCACTCTAAAAACATTTTCTGCCAGTACCTTTTTATCCGAAGTCGTGCCTGCGTCTCCATCTCGATCTCTTTCCGGGCAGGTTAGCTGGTGGCTGTTGTGCTTCGTTTTTGCGTGCTTGTGCGTGACCTCCCTCGCCATGTTTACCCGGTAGCACCACTTGCACACACAGAGCAGGTCCCCGATGTCTCGTTTTTCTTCCAGGTGTCGGCACAGCGCATCCTCTAGCTCGGCGTCGTTCTGCAAGCTCTCGTTCCAAATTCTTGCTCGTAGTCCCACCTTCACCTGCCCTCCCTGGTCCTCCTGATCCACTTCTGCGCCCATATCTGTTCTTTTTTCTTTCTTACTTCATTACTTAGTGTCTACATATGTATACAAGCGAGAAAAAAGAAAAAATCGAAACCACCACTTTACTCTTCACTACAGTTTTACTAATGTTTCTATATCGTCTACTTTGTAATCTCTATCTCAAAATTACCTCTTTCTACTGCAGTCCTTAGGCATCTTTTTCCCCCTTAAACGACTTACGACCCATGCTATCCCCTTGCTGTACGAAAGAAAAGAAAAAACGAGTTTCCCTGTGTGTTTTTTGATATGGGCACAGCGGGTGGGGGGGGACCTCATGAGTCACCCCCCCGCACACTGCTAAACTGTTGAAGTATCTGCCCCTATAAGTTACATGAGTTTTTTGTTTTTCTTTTGACGAAGAGCTTGGATTTTACGTCCTCGACGAAGTGCTTTACACAACGAAGTGCTTTTGTCAGACGAAGTGCAAATGCTGACAGACGAAGTGCTTTAAAACGAACCTGTCATGCAACTTGTAATGCGTATTTCAGAACACAGAAAAGTCTCTCATGCATACGTAGCAAAAGCTGCCCACTTTCGGTCAGCAAAATAGGGGATTTGTCATGCGGATTCGGCATTGCGGAAGCTTTTCGAAACCTGTGATGCTAGACCTCTAATGCCAGACCTTCTGTGTCATGCAAAAACAGCATGACTCTTCCAGACCCAGACATTTTTACATTTGATAAACCCCCCAAAGTACCCAATAAATATGAAATGGTACACGTCTAAGGCATTCAGCATCAGCGCAACCGTCGCCCACTTAAAGTCCGCAAAGTAGCACAGGCCGAGGATGGAAAACCGGGAAATCGCTTCGAAGCAGATATGAGAGTACACAACCCCTCATCAGCCCCATTTGTCATGCAAAAGTGCCAAATCCTGTCTGAGCCTTTTGGCCACGTGTGCATGGCAAGTTCTGGAAGCAGGAGCAGATTTGTCATGCAAGCGCTGCAGTTTTGAGATGGTTTCTCCTGTTGCTACAAATGCAAGACAAATGAGTGGGGCGGGAGTTGTGCTTTGTCATAGCAGAAGATGAAAAAACACACGAGCTCCATCAGAAAATACATGTACAGGTGCTCGATGGTCTTCTTATCGGGGTTTCGGACGACAAAGTCCGCTTCTAGACCGACAATGACCAGGGAAGCGATAATGACGAGGAGGAGGAACCTGGTTGTATTTGGTAATTTATGAGTTTCTCATGCTGCTCACAGCGACAGAAAAGATTTTGCCATGCGCAAATAAATACTTCTGCAAGTAGAACGTCCTTTCTCCAATGACATCATACCTGTTGAAGTTCCTTCTGTAGGTCCAGTGGGAGTGATTGGCTACTTCGTTGTATTGTGGCCCAACATCCTCCCCGCGCCCGCCATCATCGCCCATGAACATCAGTTGCGATAGCATTTTATGCACGGCAAAAGCATCCTGCGTGGTGCGCGTGCCTTACTACACGCATGACAAATTCATTTTCCTAGAAAGTTGTCATGCTGGACAAGAAATTCCAAAGCAGAATTTGTCAAGCAGTCTTTGATGCAAAGTTTGCATGCGAAGATGCTTTTGCACAGGATAAAGCTCATCATTCGAAACCTCCGCTAGATTGTCCAGACCGGCGAATTCCCTCTGCTATGAACTGCAAATATGTCTGGGTCTGGAACAGTGGAACTTGTAGTGCTGTCTGCGGATTCTAAAAACATCTGTGTTGCATGAGCAGCAAGAGGAGTCCTGTTCTTGGCATGCGGCGAGGGCATTTCTCATGCGTAATTAGCAAAAACGAAGCTGTCAAAAAATCTGTGATGCTAGCACCAGCATCACAAACCTCACGCGTCATGCAAAATGCCAACCCTTCTAGACCCAGACATGTTTGCAGTGGATATCTTCACCTTGGTCACAAAGTGGAAGCAGAAGCGACGGAAATGCCACCTAAAATTTTGTATTGCACAGTTAGGGAAGGAACTAGCTACTTACTACACCTGCGGCTGCGCCGCTTGTCATGCATGGACCAGCACTGCCAAGAAAAAAGAAAAACCTGATATTGATCGGTGAAGAAAGTAAATATGTACTGATTTACTACCTTGCCGCGACCGCATCTGGATCCACGTCCTGCAACGGCACAATGTCCACTTTCTTCTTATCCTCCATTACCCCGGCCAGATCCGACCGGCCGAGCGCGGTGACTGAGTCCGCGGTTAGATCGTTCTGCGATCCCCGTTATCGAGTGCAAAAGTGTCTGCGTCTGAAAGGCAAAGGATGCGAACTTGTGATACATACTTAGATCACACAAAAATATGTCATGCTTGGACAGCAAAAGGACCTCCTTTTCCTGTCGCCGACAGAAGGTTTTTGTCATGCGGATTAGGCATTGGGAAACCGTCTCAAAACCTTGCATGGCCTTGCATGGCACACCTTCTGTGTCAAGCAGACACAGCATCACAAACCTCAGCAACCTTCCAGACCCAGACATATTTGCATTTGGTACCCGTTTTGACCGCATCATAATCGCATTGATATCCAAACCCGACCGCGTGTAACCTGCTCAGGTGTTACAATCTCAAATCGGTTACCATAGAATATGGGAATCTGTGATGCAAGAACTGCATGATCTAGAGTACTCGCACAGGATTGATGCGCATGACAAGTTTCGGAGTGGTCCCAAACCGCAGTAGAATTATCTGTCGAAATTTGATGTATTGCAGAAAGTGGAACGCAGCTGTGTGAGTCTGTCATGCTCATCATGCAAGATGACAAAATCCAGATTCTATTCGCACCGTTTGAGATTGTCACGCTTGAGCAGGCCATACCGAGTCCTTTCGCCTTCTAATTTGTCGGTCACGTTGGAGAACTATGCAAGAAAAAAAATGTGTAAGTGTAAGTCTGTCATGCAAAGCGCGCTACACAGTTACACTTGTCATGCTGGCCACCCATCATGCTCTCTTTTCATACGTGTTTTCAGTTGCTAGCTGTGCATGACAGGATTCTGTGTCATGTAGAACAAGTTTCTCATGCTGTCACCCCATGACACCTACACTCACACAGTTTTTTTCTTGGATAAGAACTCTAACGTCCCGCCACGGTGCAGCTCGGCGATGTCTGTAGTTCTTTTTTTTGCATTGATAAATCTGTCATGCAGAATTCGTTTCCCGCATTCAGCTATTCATGCAGCTCTGTGCATGACAAAAAATGAAGCAGCAGGTACATATACCTTCCACCCCGTCCGTCCTGTCCGCATCCATTTCTTCTTCTACATCTTCCCTGATCTATGGATTGTAAATATGTCTGGGTCCTCTGGAAGAATGCAGAAGTTTGTCATGCAGATTTTCCATGACCCATGAGGTCTGTGATGCATTGACCCTAGCATCAGAGATTCTGGTGCGGGGGCCTTCTGATGTTCATACCGCATGAGAAATGCCCTCTCCGCGTAGCACAAATTGCACCTCTTTTGCTGTTCATGCAAGACAGGTTTTATGTAGAGTCCAAAGGTAGCATCACAAGTTCGCATCCATCCAGACCCAGACATATTTGCAATCCATATGATCCCCCGCTGTACCATCTTCAAGGCTATGCAAAAATGCAAATACATCCGGGTCTAGTCTAGATTTGTCATGCGAATAAATTTCCGCATGCGGCAGAGATCTGTATTGCTGATCAAGGGCATCATGATTGGCGCTTGAAAGACAGTTCTTTATTGTCACACGAAATTTAATAGTATTCTTACGGTTGAATTCGCAATATTAGAAATAAACTTGTCATGCTTTCTCCTGCCGTACAGACAGCCGCATATTCATCTTATGCGAAGCTCAGCAGGATCGAAGAATTCGTGTGCATTTTTTATTTTCCCGACGACGCAGATGATCGATAATTTGCGTTTGATAAACGCATCTCGCTTTTTCCGCTTCTCCTCCCCGCGGAGGATATCGTCCAAATCCATTCTCTGTGCATTGCAAATATGTCTGGGTCTGGAAACTTGCGACGCAGGGAAGGGAATAGTCAGCTCACTGCAATGCGCTGCCAAGCATGACAAGTTTTTTTCATGTTGGTTCTGAGTTGCGTATTCCGCATGAGAAACGGCGTTTTTGCATGACAGGGAGAAGGAGCTCTTCGCGGCCACGCAATACAAAGTGCAGAGTCATGCCAGACTAGCATGACAAATCGCGCATTCTTCCAGACCCAGACATATTTGCAATGCATATTCTCGATTCCGCTTTCCGGAAAGCGAATTTCGGATCTTTGTCTTTGCTACTCGCTTTGCGGGAAGTTAATCTTGACGGGTCATCTATCATTTGTAAAAACGTCCCCACACCAGAGTCAAGATGGGAAATCTGCTAGACAAATCCACAAGGCTTGGCTGTTGCGCATGACAAGTTTGGCCTCGTAGTGTAATCCTGTTTAGCTTGTGGAGAAGCATCACAGATCTAGCCTATTGTGCTGATTGCAGCATTACAAATCACAAACCACGACTAGAAAATGCGTGTCATGAGGTTCCGCTTCCGCATGAGAAATATTTTGAGCATGCAGATTTGCACGACAACTATGGGGTGAGGACGTTTTTACAAATGATATCATCCTCGTCCTCCTCCTCGTCCTATGCAATACAAATTTACATTTACCGCACACGTTGTGGTTCTTGTTCACGTAAAAAATAAATGCATCACAAATTTCCCCAACGTCGACCTAAAGCATGCCGGTTGCAGTCATGCTCCATGGAGATAACGATAACTTTTGTCATTTACAGAAGCACAATTTGTTGAGTTTGTATCTGTACTGGTACTGGCCGTCGAAATTTGCTGTTGATATCAAATCCTCCCCCAGGTCAACGACGTCCTCGACTTCTTTTCCGTTTTCATCATCGTCTGTGGTGAGATCGATCACCTTTCGTCCATTCACCCCGCTAGAAGTACCACGTGATCCACCTTTCGCGGTGGAGCTACTACTGCCCCCCTTTTGCTGCAGATTCGTACCGTTCACTCGTAGTTCCACCCCCTCTTATCACAAGAAAAAAGTGTTACAGTTACACATTTGTTGTAACTTCAGCAACACAAATACTTATTCTCTGTGTGGCAGAGAAACCTTGCAATGCAGAGATCCCAAGGGAAAACACGTACGAATACGAAATGAAGTTCGCAAGCATTTCTTGCATGGCAAAAGCTGTCTGTCTTGCGGCTCCTGCAAGAACACAATGTGTAACTGTAACACTTTGTTCTCACGATACCTCTAGCGCGGGGTTTACTTTCGCGGAACCTGGCCGGCTAAAATTGGGGAGGAACCGGAACAGTTTGGAAGATTGGGGCCTTTGCGGCGGCTGTATCGTAAGGAAAAACTCCCCCTCCTTATATCGAAAAGGGAATTTGTGATGCTGATTTGTGACCACAAATCAGCTTTGTCTTGCGTACAAAGCAAACGACTCCCATGTGACGCATTGCGCAGCGAGTCTGTCATGCGTTTCCGCCTATTTCAGACTTGTTTCTCATGCTCCGCTGCTAGCCGGATGCGTAGTACCCAAATGGACTTTAGAATATGCCGACAAGCTCTTGGCGCAATACAAAGCTCATTTGTGTGCGCAAATCCAGCAACACAAATTGTCTTTTGAATATGGGGTGGGGTATTTTTTCACTTTGATAGGCTGCTGCTGTGTAGTTGTTCCTGCTGCTGACTCACTTTCCCGCGTTCCTGTTCTCTCATCCAAGGTATCAAGTGCAAATATCCCTGGATGTCTGGGAAATTGCGAGATTTGTCATGCTAGTCTGGCATGTCTCTGAACTCCGTATTGCGTGGCCGCGAAGAGCTCCGCTTACCTGTCATGCAAAAACGCAGTTTCTCATGCGGAGTGAGTACGCAGCACAGAAGCGCGAAGCAACTTGTCATGCTTGGCGGCGCATTACAGTGCGTCTGGTATTGACTGACTTACATCTCAAGTTTCCAGACCCAGACATATTTACATTTGATACAAGGGGACCGGCTGCGATCCGGTTTGCGAACCGCCTTCTTTCGCGTATGGATTGTAAAAGTGTCTGGGTCTGGAAGGTTGGAACTTGTAATGCTAGCTTTCCATACCTAGAAAATCTGTATTGCATAAACAAGAAAAGTCGCAGCCTCTTTTGTAATGCAAAAACGCAGCTTCTCATGCGGATTTCCTATGAGAAAGCGTTTTGGGAAGTTGTCATGCCGAACTGCATTCGGAAGCGTTTTCACCATGCACATTTTAGCATCACAAGATTCCAGACCCAGACATTTTTACATTTGATATCGCGGTGGAAGAGTTGTTATCTGGAGGATCATTGCCACCAGATACAGGGTTGGAGTTGTCTTTATCCGAACTGCCGTTATTGCTGCCATTTTGGTGATTCTGCTTTTGTTGGTGAAGATCGCCAGTTGCAGCAGCTGCTGCTGCTCCACCATTTGTTGTGTTGTTGTTTGTGCCGCCACCGTTACTGCCGTTATTTGAAGCATTGTTTATCCCGTTCGTACCGTGATCCTTTATTTCTCCACCCGGATCCGTGTCATTTTCTGTCCAGTGCCTACCGTCGTCCCAGACGTGATAATTATTCTGACTGCTTCTACGAGAACTTCTTATCCAGGGAAAAAACTGTGTTGGTGTAGGTCTCTTGCGGTGCCAACATATACAAATTTGCTCTGCACGAGAGAGATGAAAGCCTGTCATGCAATGCTAGGACGTGAAAACACTAACACACATGAAAAGAGGACTTCATGGGTGTCGGCCGGCATGACAAGTGTAACTGCTTTGCATTTTTTGCATCACAGATTCAATACACTTACACAGTTTATTTTTCCTTGCATACTTCTCCTTCTGTTTTCACTATTTCCTCCCCCTCCCCCAGAATTACTGTTCGACCTGGAATTTAACTTTGCCCGGTAGTCTTGCGAACTGGAGAAATTCGGTCTCGCGGGTCGGTATCCAATGCAAATATCTCTGGACGTCTGGAAGGGTGCAAGGTTTGTCAAGCATGTTTTGCATGATTCCTGACGTCTGTGATGCATTCCCTAGCATCACAGATTTTGCGAGGGCTTCCTGACGCCTATGCCGCATGAGAAATACCCTCTCGCCGCGGCAAAATGTGAACCTCTATTGCTGTTCATGCAATACAGACTTTTTTAAGTATGCAAATGCAGCATCACAAGTTTACATCCTGCCATACCCCCACATATTTGCAATGCATAGTCGGTTTCTCGGGTTCAATTCCGGGGGTGCGGGGACTGGAGGAAACTGTGGGGGCGGAGGATTTTGTATAGCAAGGAATAATCCCCCCTCCCCATGTTGAAAAGGCATCCTTTTGAAAATTTGTGATGCAGATTTGTGGCCACAAAGCCTGTCTGTCTTGCGAGAAGGCAAAGCCAGGCTCTCTGCCACGCTACGCAGGCGATCTGTAATGCTGTAAGGACTAAAGGACAGCCGTCTACCATGCCAGGCGCCTACACCACCAGACCCCTCTCCAGGCTTTGCATCTGCCTGCAGTCCTCTACTGCAAGACAAATCTGATTTGTGTACGCAAATCCAGCATCACAGATTTCCTTTTCGATATGGGGACGAGGGGGGATTTTTCCTTTTGATATTTTGATGCACCGGCCGCCGCGGCCCGGCGGTTTGCGCCCGGCGGAGCTGCTTCTGGTGATGGCGAAAATCGTGCTGTGACAGGTTGTGCTGTTGTTGTTGATAAGATGAGCTATTACTGTTGTCCCCAAAACTACTAGCAGCGTGTATCGCCGCACGGGAGAAGTTGTGACCGTAGAAGTCCTATGAACTGCAAAAGTAAAAGTATCGTGCTCGTATAAATGCATATACAAATTTCCTCAGCATGAGAAATAAAATTTGTAATGGGGATTTACCTTAAGAGAAAGATTTGTAAGGCGTGATTGCAATACGAGTACGATGCTTTTGCACAGGATAAGTCCTCGTCTGACTCGACGTCCACCTGCTGCATGGGTTCCGTATCGCAAGAGAAAACTGTTTCACTGATTGAACTTGTGATGCATGGAATGGAACACAAAACTATTTGTCTTGCTACACATGCAAGGCATTGGATTTTTAAGGGTGTTTTCCCTTGGGAAGTGCGCATGACAAATTTTTGCGCCATGTGTAAACAAACTTGTGATGCAAAACCTGCAAAATCCTTACAGTGAAACAGTTTTTTCGTACGATATTCTGTACTTCTAGCATAGTACTTTCGAGCAGTGGACGACATGGCGGGGTCTTTCACTCTATCGTGTTCTTTCCGCCTTTTTTTGGGACTTTTGTTTATTTGCCGGGAAGAACTTCTAGCTCCTCCTCCTGCGCCGAAGTTGTCTTGCTGGTTTCGATGTTGTTCACGATCTTCATCCGGGAGGTCTCGTTGGTTTTCTTGTCCTCTCCCAGTAGAAGATGAGGATCTTCGCCGGGCTTGCTGGAACTCAAACTCCATCTTTAATACTCCTGTGCCGAGGCCGTGCTATTTCGGACAAATGCTGGACGACAGGGCGACTGTGCTGGTACTAGCCTGTGCCTCTCGTAGCGTACACCACACTCACGCAGGGGCTCTCTCACTTCAACAAAGATGAGTGCAATCATAGGGCCCGCTCACGCGCCATGGTGCTTCCACACTCAACAAGGTTAGTACAACGGACTAATAGTACTCCCAACAGCGACAGCCGCCGGGCCATGCTTAGGTGGAACATGTTTGAACTCAGCCAAATGCGCCATGCTCGCTCCTGCATCTGCATCAGAGGGGGCCATCAATACATAATGCCTTTCCTTCAACTTGCGGCCGCCGTGGCTCTGTGTCGGCGCAACACGATCACCAATCGCGAAGGTTCGAAAATACGCCGCATCAGAGTTTCCCTTTATACCATTCGCGCAGGCACCGCAATGAGAACTGAACGCCCGCGGCCGACGGGCGGCCCGGGCCCCGACAGGGGGCAAGGCGGGCGCCGGGAAAAGCCTGCGCCAAGCGCGCGCAAAGCAAGGGGCGGGGACCGCCGGCCGGGCGGGAAGGCGGCCCGCTGGCCCTCTGCCGGCAGGCCGCGCGGGCTTTGTCTTCGTGCTTGCCACGCCGGGCGGGCTATTTTCGCGGGGGGAGCAATTTGCGCCGAGGGCGGGCGACCCAACATACAAGTTCCGAGACCCGGCATACCGATTTTGCGCTGGAATAAGAATAGAAGTCTGCGCAGCAGCTTGATCCACGTAAAGTAGGCAGAACACCCGCCGGCGGGGGGCCATGCCGCTACGGGGGTGCTGGCCGCCCCGCCGCGTATTCTGGTGGCCCGCCGGATTCTGCTTGGCCCGCCCCAGAGGCGCCGCAATCTGCGCGACCTGAAAAGCAGCCGGCGACAGGGCCCGGCCAAGAATGAAGCAGAGCAGGAAAGCACGGCCGCGCAGAGGCCACGCGCCGGGCATATGCGTCGGCGAACAAAGCCCGGCAGGCGGCTGTCGCGCCGCCGCGCGGTGGCCCCGCTCGGCTTCTGCCGCCCCTCCCCGGACTGACATGGGGCGCCGCGGCGCTTTGTTTGTGGCGGGCGCCCCCGGCTTAACACGCCAAGCGAGCCGGGCGGCGCAACGAAGTACGCCCCTGGGGCTTCGCAATATTCCCAGATCCATCGCGCTTGCTCGTACGTTTTGCCGCTTCCCGCGAACCCACACTGCACGAGAACCCCCTCGAAAAGAGCGCCCCACCATCAACCAAGAGTCGCGCCGCCTGATGCGGGCGCCCCGTCTGCCCCTTTATTGAGCCCCCCACACCAGGGCCAACCGTCCCAGGCCGTCCGGCCGAATGCAAAGCGTTTCGCCTTTCGTCCGAACGGCGGGCGAGGGGTCTCGTTTTTCGTCCGAACGGCGGACAAGCTTTTTCGTTTTTCGTTCGAACGAGGGACAAGGGGCCTCGCTTTTCGTCCGAGTGACAGGCTGGGAACTGTGAAAGCCCAATAGCGCAAGAGCTGCGCGCTGTGCTTGCGCATACGCTACGCAATCCGACACAGCGGCAGCGAGCCACCGCACAGCAACACGCTAGCGACAACAAGCGGGCGGGGCACGAGGTCCGGCCGCCTCGCTTTTCCGCGAATCAAACCGCCCAGGCCCAAGAGGAAGCAAGGCCCGGGAAACATAGCGGGACCCGCGCCGCACCGAGGCGCCACGCAACTGCCGGGCCAATCGCGCCGATCACGGACGCCACGGCGCGGAGCCAAAACCGTGGAGGATGAGCCTCGCCATGGATTTTAACCGCGCCCAGGCAAACGCTGGACCTAGTTGCCCCCGCAAATCTCGGCCCTCAGATGAATGCCCGGACTTGACTCGGCTAAGCAACAGAAACACGGACCACCAGCAGAACAATTGCCATGTTCTCTAATTCACAAAAGGAAAAGAACGGACTGGAACAGCTACAGCAGTGCCTCCAGCTGCTGAATTGCATGAACACGAAGCCGGCCCAGCGCACAGACACGCTCCACACTTGGAGTTTGAAAACAACTGTTCGTCGCGCTCGCGACGCGCGAAGCAATTCATGTTTTTTTACTTTGAATTTGAAAATGAAAGCGTATGAACTTCGCGTCAAGGCATTATTCGGTCTCGCAAAATGAAGAAAACATAACTTCAAGGTCGTCTTCTTGGCAATGAAAACCTAATTGCCAAACTTGTTCCGGCAAATCAAAACAAAAACTACAATCAAGAAAGTCGAATATGATACCTTCAACTTCAAAAGCGGTTCGCACCAGGAAATAAATCACCATTCCATCACAACTCAATTTCGTCCTCCACTTCAATCTCCTCATCGTCACCCTCGGAAAAAGCGTGGTCGTACCGTATGCATTGCAAAAGCATCGCACTCGTACGTAACTGTTGCAGTCATGCATTACAAATCTTGTCCTTACGGTAAATCTCCATTACAAATTTCATTTGTAAAAATGCTGAGCAAATTTGTGATGCGATAATTTCGACTTTTGCACAGGATATATCGCCATCCTAACCGATTTTTGAACCTAATCTCTTGAGACAAATCCTCCTCATCTTCGTCCGACAAGAAGTCTGCTCCTGCTGGGGGAACGACTTCTAAGTGGGCAACAGCACCAGCAGCGGAGGATGATGGTCCTCCATCAGGTCGTCCTTTTTCATCAGCGCTGCGAGTTGTACTACCGCTTGCCGTGTGCGTCTTTACCCTGTCCTGCTTCCGAGCAACCACTTTAGGCGGCTCCGGCTTTGTCGACGAACTATGCTGCTTTGCCTCGTCGCTCCTTTGCTGGTTCTTTGTACGTTGCGAAAGTTCTGGCTGTGCGGTTGTCCTTGTGTTCTTTAGTGGTTTTTGAGAAAGATCATCCTCTTCATCGTCATCCTCCCCTGCCAAATCCTGACCCGCGTCAAACTTCTGCCAAAATTTCCGCATGATCTGCTTCGCATTCTCACCCTGAACCTGATTTGACGCGGAAGAACTTACAACGCCCTTTATTTCATCCCCTCGTTGACCGGAGATCGTCATCGTCCTCGACGTCTTCCCTACTGGACTACTAGCACTGGCATTTTTTGCCGCGAGAACGACCCCCGCAACCTTTTCCCTCTCCTTTTGCAATAAAAAATTCGACACGGCAAACGCTCCGACGCGGGTGGGTGCAGGGGACAAAACTCGTCGCTTATTCGTGTTCCCGTGGTGGTGCATGTTCGTCCCGCTGAGGATTGCGCTAGCGTCACCCTCTGGCTTCTCACCATAGAACATGAAACTCGCACTACTTGTGTTGCTATTCCCGCCAGCAGTGCTCGCCCTGCTTCTCGCACGCTCGCCATTGATCACTGAAATTTCAGAGGGCTGGTCGCCACCTTCTGCGTGGTTCGGACCTGCTCCACCGTCCAGTTCATTTTGATCTCGCTTCGACAAAGAAGATATTACTGGTGCGTTACTACTACTAGCATTCGCTTCTTGCTGTTTCTTCTTTTCCTTCAATTCCTCCTTCTTTTTGTGCACGTCGGCGTATTTCCTTTTTCTCGGTAACGCGGCAAACAGCTTCGAGGGATTCTTCAGATATGACCTGCTCAAACGTTACAATCCCAAACGTTACAATAGAGTCTGGCTTTTGTCTTGCATGAAGAGCATGAGGAACGTATGTAGAGTTGCGCCTTTCGCAATACAGATTTCGCCGGATATCAATGGGGTTTTGGGTGCCGAAACTTGTCATGCGCAAACCTATGAGACTTGGCTAGATGATGCAATTCTTGAAACACAAATTCCAGATTCTATTGTAACGTTTGCGATGGTAACACCTGAGCGGCTTATAAAAGACCGGTTGCACTTCGACTCGACGTGGTTGATGTACTTCCACCTTTGAAGGGGTTTATCAACGCTGCTATTCCACCCCTTGAGGATGTAGTTCCGGATTTGGTTTTATTTGATGCTGTTCCACCTTTGCCCTTGTTCGCCGTTGCTGTTTCTTTGTCCTCTAAAAGTACTCCTTCATTCGTCTCCGCTACCTTTTCCAGCAGCTCCGCGACTTCCGCTGCAGAAGCGGTGGAACTTTCCCGCGACGGTGGTTTTATTTGAATTCTGCCTAAACTACCTGAGCCCACGGTTGCAGGTCCTGATGCTGTTGCTGTGCCGGGCTTGGTTACTGTGTTGTTCCCAGCATTTCGCAGCGCGGCGAATTTCGCCTGCAGTTCTGGCTCAAGTGTGCTCTCCTCCATGAGAAATTCCTCTTCGATTATTTCATCCGCATCGTCCACAACCCCTTCATTCGCCGCCGCACTAGGCCTGCCGTAGCCAAAGTCTCCGTCTGTAATTTCAATCTTCCCCGGAGAAGTCGGGCTGTTGCGGTTCAGAACCCTTGTTGGACTCATATAACCCGCTCAGGTGTTAAAATCTCAAACGTTACAATAGAATCTGGAATTTGTGTTGCAAAATGCGCAACATCTGGCCTACACCCAAAGGAGCGCGCATGACAAGTTTCGGAGCTCCAAACCTCACGAGAATCTGATGAAATTTGTATTGCGAAAAGCCCAAGTCTCTGTATTGTACTGATGCTGTTCATGCAAGACATCAAATTCCAGATCCTATATATGCAACGTTTGAGATTGTATCGTCTGAGCAAGCCATAACTCAACTTCGCCAGCGCCGCGCCCCGTTTCTGCTCATACTGCCGCCGGTAGGAATTTGTTTGTGTTTGTCCCGGCGGGCTGGTGACGGCTGTAATCGTGGCTGCAGTTTTGTTCATTTCGCGGTGTTGGACTGGTGGAGAGCGGAGGTCTTCAAAAAAGGGAAGTGAAGTGTCTTGTTGTGCTGCAGGGAAGAAGTTGGGATTGCTTGTTGAATTTAATACCTCCGCTGGTGGGACATGCACTCCGTCGAAAGAGTTCCGAAAGTTCATGGAATTCCGCACTAAATTCAGGCTTATCACACGAAAAAAGTGTTTCCCTGTAAGGATTTTGCAAGTTTTGCATCACAAGTTTGTTCCGTATGACAGAAAAGATTTGCCATGCAAGGTTCCTAAGGGAAAACACGGCTAAAACCCATTGTCTTGCATGTGTAGCAAGACAAACACTTCTAAGATGCATTTTCTGCATTACAAGTTTACAGTGAAACAGTTTTTCCTTGCGATAAGGTTCTCCGACATTTCAATCTCTTCGTTCGTCTTCGACGCCCCAACGTGCAGTGCGAGTTTCTCAATCTGCAAGCCTGGCGGGGGCTGGAGCTCTTTTTTCCCCGGAGTAAGGGTGCCCAACTGAGTAGAGGCAATTCCACTATTGCCCTGCGCTCGCATTTTTATAGCTGGGCTCCTACTCCGGCCAGGGGGGGAGGTCGTGGGGGAGAGATTTTTTCTGTGGTGGTTTTTGTTTTTCATTTCAGCGGCGCTGGTCACATCTTCTAGCAACTCCTCTTCTAGCATTTCGAATTCATCGCCATATTGCTGTTGGCCCGCGTGGTTCATGACCTCCCTTCGGCTTGTTGTATTAGACATCATCATCATAGTGCTCCCCGGCGCTCCTATCCCACCACTGACCGCGTTTTTCAAAAGCTGGTTCACGCCGAACCGTAGTTTTGACTTCAACAGCGTTGTCAACACGTACATGAGCATTTCCAAACACCCGATTGTCAGCCGCATGTTCCAGGTCAAAGCACCTCCTCCTGCGCTGCTGCTATTTGTTTTACCCCTCGACGTGGCAGCACTGCCGCTCTGATTGCTGTGGTCTTTATTTGTTTCAGTAGTTCCGATGGTAATTGTACCCCCTCCCGCGGCCGTCACCTCCGCCACTGTGGTTTGAAAGTCCTTCCCGAACACCTGGAAATCACTCCGCACGCTATCAGAATGAAAAATGCCCCCACCCCGCAATTTACAAAAGTTTCTCATGCAGAGTTTCCAAATGAAAGATTTTTGTCTGGCATGACAGGACTACGAGCCTTTCTGATGCAGAATCTAGGTGCGCAAGGCATCTTTTGCATAACAGACCCGGCTACTGTTGGGCTCCTTTGCAACACAAATTGGAGCTATTATTTAAGCATGGAAAATTTGTGATGCTAAGATACGCAAGACGGCGAGTGTTTCATTTGGAAAGGTTTGCAATACAGATGCTTCCAGGTTCTGGGTCGTTGGGGGAATTTTTCATTGCAATACACGCAGTATTTCAACCGGATCTTCATCAGATTCGCCGCTTGGATTTCCAATTGCTGGTATTTGGATTGGAACTGCTGTTGGTGGTTTGTAGTAATTTGTTTGGCGGAGGAGGAGTATCGCGATGGAGGAGATGTTGATCCTGTCCTCTCGAAAATATTGGGAGGAGGACTTGTGGCTCTAGAAGGAACGGCACCGCCAGCACCTGCGCCGGAAGTAGTTGCGGTCATGAAAGAAGAAGCTGCCCCGGCTATTATGAGGAAAAATCCCCCCTCCCCATATCGAAGAGGTATGTTTCCGAACATTTGCGTTGCTGATTTGAGACCACAAATCACGTCTGTCTTGCAAGAAGGCAACTCCACAAGCTCCGCAGCATTGTGCAGGCGGTTTGTGATGCTGATGGGCCTACAGCACGGACGTTCCTCATGCTAGTCGCCCAGGCCAAAACCTCTCTACTTAGGCTTAGTATGGGCCTGCATTTCTGTCCAGCAAGACAGATCTGATTTGTGTACGCAAATCCTGCATCAGAAACTTCGTTTTGATATGGGGAGGGGGAATTTTTCCTTTTGATACCGGCGCCCCTGGCGGTGTTATTCGAATTCAACATGGCCGTCCTACTCCGCATCGCTTTCGTCGCTTCCGGGAAAAAATTGTTGTTCAACGAAAGCCTTTCAAACGCGAAGGAGACCATCGCGTTTTTGTTCCGCATGAGCACTTTGTCGAGCAGAAACACGAATTTGTGCGCAAAGGTCGAGCGCATTTCGTCCTGCGCTAAGTAGCTGTTGATTTTCGAATCAATCTGATCCACTTGGGAGAGGTAGTTGTCCACAGTCGTTCGCTATCAAATGCAAAAATATCTGGGTCTGGAAGAGCACAACTTTGTCATGCACATTTTCCATGATCCATGATGTCTGTGATGTATGCCATAGCATCACAAATTTTTTGAGCACTTATCTCCGCGCATCCAGCATGACAAATGCCCTCTCCGCGTAGCCAAATTTGAATCCTCTTGCTGGTCATGCAATACAGGCTTTTTTAGCATCCAAATGCAGCATCGCAAGTTTGGCTCTTCCAGACCCAGGCATTTTTGCATTTGATATTCGCTCCTTCTTCAGTTTGTGTTGCAATTTCAAGTTTTCCGTTTGTAGTTTGGAGGTTTTTTTCAGCAGAAAATTGTTCCACTTTAGCCTTTCCAGAAACGCGTAGGCAAAGCTGTTTCGTCGGGCGTACTGCATGATGTTTTTGATAAAAGTGAGGAGGAAGATCTGCCTGAGTATAACCTGCTCAACTGTTACAAAAATCTCAAATCGGTCACCATAGAATACGGAAATCTGTGATGCAAGAAGAGCAGCATGATCTACCCTACTCCCACAGGATTGCGCATGACAAGTTCTGGAGTTCTTCGGAAGATCCGCAATGGAAAAATCTGGCGAGCTTTGTATTGCAGAAAGTGGAACGCTGTGCGAGTCTGTCATGCTTGTAGCGTTTGAGCAGGTCATACGGAGAAGCTGCGATTTCGACTGGTCGAACAGAATCAAGTCATTATTATCGTGAGGAAAAATCCCCCCTCCTTGTACCAAAAAGGGATGCTTCTGAAGATTTGTCAACATGCTGATTTGTGGACGCGCATCGTCTTTGTATTGCAAGAAGGCCAATCCAGCGACTCCGCCGCATTATGCAGGCGGCTTGTGATGCTATGGGGCCTACAGAGTACACATTTGCCATGCTACGCGCCTACGTCAAAACCCTTCTACTTAGGCTTGGCATGGGCTTGCAGTCCTCTACTGCAAGACAGACCTGATTTGTGTACACAAATCCAGCATCAGAAACTTCCTTTTGATATGGGGAGAGGGAATTTTCCTTTTGATAGTTATTCCTCAGAGATTTCGTCACGGTCAACTCCTCATTTTGTTGGTTGATGAACGTTTGCAATTGCGTCCAATTCGCGTTCGCGAAGCGGGAAGAGAACTGGTAAAACCGCCGCACCACGAGTTGAAACCGGTTTCTCAAAATGCCTTGCAGCGCTTATCCTGTGTAAAAACGTCCCCACAGCATAGCTGTCATGCAAATCTGCATGCTTAAAATGTTTCTCATACGGAGCCCCATGAGAAGCATTTTCTAATGGTGTTTTGAAATTTGTCATGCTCCAATCAGCATGAGAGACTAGATCTGTAATGCTGCTGAACTAGCTCAAACAGCACTACACTACGCGTCCAAATTTGTCATGCGAAACAGCCAAAGCTTGTGGATTTGTCTAGCCGATTCCCCATCTTGACTATGGGGTAGGTACGTTTTTACATATGATAGCGCCTGTCTGAACTTCTGCGTGCCCTGGTTCTTCGCCATCTGGGCTTGGATCAGGTTCAGCTTCTTCTGGTCGAGGGGGGTGGTCGAGGAAGAATTCCCCTGCGCTTCGCGGAGGAAGGATGCAGCGACGGCAGGGTCTTGGTCCAAGGCTTGCAGGAGGACCTATGGGAAAAGAAAAATTTGAAAGTATGAAATCTGTAATGCAGAAAATACATAGAGCAAGTACATTTGTCATGCAGGCCAACCATAGAAGTGTCTTCTTATGCCACAGCGATCTAATATCTTTCCTCGTGTACATGTTGCAGCTCTATCTACTTCGGAAGCCCAAACGGCGAAATGCTGTTTTGCGTGCTCCTGACACAGTGCTCGCACTTTCCTCTTTTCTGCGTGCAACCTGTACAGACGCAAGTTTTGCTGAACTATCTAAACGGAGCAGAATTTAAAACAATGTCGCTATTACACATTACCTGTTCCATATTGCTACTCGCTCGTGCCCCGCTATTCCGCATCCCCGTCGCATTAGAGCCAACCCGTCCCCCACTTCTCGCCCTGGCTGATGACGCCGCGGTTGGGGTATAGTATTTCGAGGCATGGTCGTAACTCGCTTGCAATAAAGACGAATCAACGACGCTGGAAGTATTCAAACTGCGCGCTGCTGGTACTGCTCCCACCGAAACGCCTCTGGTTCCGCCACCTGTAGTTCCTGCCGGTGTCCGGCTAGAGTAGATTCCGGAAGAGGAATATGTTGAGCGCGCGCTGTTCGGAAATATGACTGGCGGCTGCTGCTGCAATAGTACCTGCTGCTGCTGCCCCCGTTGCACCACGCCGGCGACCTGCTGCTGCTGACTCTGCAGTTGTAAATTCAGTTTGTTATTCTCCAAAACTTGCTGGTATTGCCGCATCTGTTCCGCGATGGTTGCGTCGCTTTCTGATGGGAGCAAGACATTCGTGCTGGAGTTCAAACCAACTCGGTTATCCGCGGATAGAGGTTGCACACCGACTCCGGTCGTCGTGGGGCTTCTCGAAGAAGTAGACGCGGCTCCTCGAGTGGACGTTATACCAGTCCCACCTCCTCGGGCGGCCAGGTCGTCTACTCCCGCGCCAGGTGGAGGACTTATGCATTGCAAAAATATCGTACTAGTAGAAACCGCATGACAAATTTCCTCAGCATGAAAAATGAAATTTGTCATGCTGATTGACCTTGGAAATCAGATTTGTAATGCGCGACTGCAATTAGTACGAGTACGATACTTTTGCACAGCATAGGACTACTGCTCCTGTCATTCGCATAGTTGTCGCCGGGAAACAATGGCATGAACGACCCTCGCCCGCCCATCTGCGCGATCAGTGCCTCGTCGTGTAATTTCTTCCTTTTCACTATGGCAGTGCACAACTCCCCCTCCCCCTCATTTGTATAGCATGAACGGCAATACATGCAGCAGCAGAAGTCCCGCTTTTGCATGACAGTCTTGCACTGGAGTGTAGTGCTATTTGGGCTGCCAGAACTTGTCATGCATAATAGTGACAGGAGGGAAACCGTGGATTTGGTATTTTGCATGAGAAATAAGAACGAGGGGGGGTTGTGCACTGTCATATTCACCCTGGCTCGGATATCTGCCATCGCGGAACTCCGCCGCTCCGGTTCGCGCAACAGCGAGGGACGGATCATACTGTTGTTGTCAAAAGACATGTTCCGCGTTTTCAATTTTAGGTCCTCGTGGTAGTATTTCGGTTCTTCGGCTTCGGCCGCTAGCAGTCTGTGCCGCCACGCCTCGGTCGCTTTCTTGATAAAATTCGGCTCGCGTTTCGGACTTTGGCTCGCGGACTGGGTCCCACTCCGCCCACCGCCGCTGCTCTGCGAAACTGCGCGGCGCCGGGTCGGGGAGTTCGGATGGGAAGAGGCCACGGATTGCAGCTCTTCGTGGATGGACATGCGTTTCGCCGGAAGTTGCAACTTGGAAGACGGGGAGGAATCGGCACGGTAGCTGGCATCGTCCATGTAGTACCCACGTTGATCTCCGGAAGTATTGAAACTACCCCCTCTAGTACTCCGCCTGGGCATCAAGTTATTTTCGATCGAAAGTATGGCGCTTTCCTTTTGTAAATGGAAGGCGGAGATGTGCGAGTGCTGGGAAACGAGGACTTTGGATGGCGAATTGGAGGCACTGCTGCTGCTTCTCCTGGTCGTGGACATTTGTAGCTTCGGGCTGACCCCGCCGACGATTCTCAACGGAAGCATGTTGGGCCCGATGAAGGTCGTCGGGAGGTCCGGTCCTGGTGCGGCTTGGTGCTGCAAAAGTTGCTGCTGTTGAGACGAGGAAAATTTGCTCCCGACGTTATTACCTCGCAATTCATCCGAGAGAAAAGTGTGCAGTGGCTGTGATTCTACTGCTTCTTCTCCTTGAAACTTGTCGTAATAATTTTCTGTCACCCTGGAATCAAAGGTAGCCTGCGCAGCTTCTGATCGCGACGATGGAGGGGGTCGCGCTTTCTGCGTGGAAGAAGCCGCGCTTGAAGATGATGGTACCTGCAAATTATTTCGCCCCATAGCTTCGCCTTCTGGACCACTACGACCACCCGCAGTTTTTGTTCTACTAACACCAACCCCGCCCAAACTGCTGCTCCTGCTGGCGTTGGCGGTGGAAGGGGCGCTGGAAGTCGAGCCGGTATGGAAGTGTCAGAATCGAAATTGACAAAAAAGAAAAATTTGCGTTGCATAAAATCGATACCAGTTGCAGCCTCAGTTTGTAAGTGACGCATGACAAATTTCGAGAGCACTCAAATCCAGTCTGTCATGCTGTTTGGGCAAAGAAGACTGCTCCTGTCATGCTACTCTGGCAGCACATTGCATACCCCTAAACAGGCTTACAATCGGAGGTCTCATTTGCCTGCTCCCCAATACAGGCCTCCAGTGCCCTAAATTTTATGCATCACAAATTTTTCGACTTTGCCACTTCGCTCCTGACACATCCGTAGCCGGCGCTTGCAGTGTTCATCTCGGCCTGTCGTTCTTCACTTGTACTATTCGTTGGCTTCTCCACCTGGAATTTCCGTTTGGGCTTGGTGATAGAATTACTTCTATCAAATGCAAAAATGTCTGGGTCTGGAAGACTTCGAGATTTGTCATGCAGGTTTGCCTGACCCGGATTGTCTGGCATGCAAGCCCTAGCATCACAGATTTCGAGCAGGCCTCCCAATGCCTAATGCGCGTGACAAATCCCCTCTTCCGGTAACAAGAAACGGGGCCTTTTGCTGGCCATGCATGACAGAATTTCTCATGATGTAGAATTCGCATCACAAATTGGAATCCTTCCAGACCCAGACATTTTTGCATTTGATAACTTCCTCCTGGTGCACCAGCGCTCGTCATTGAGATGCTCGACCTTGTCCCATTCGGTTTGTTCAACAGCGCATACGCGTTTTGCTCGATTTCCCGCCGGAGGTTCGATGTGCTGCCCGGCGCACCACTACTAGAAGTACTAGCAGACGACTGCTTCACTTCGCTTTGCTGTGCACCAGTGTTTACGCTGCTGCCAACCGCTTGATGGTCCCCTCCACGCGAAACATCCGGCATTACCGTCGGGCTGTTTTTGAAATGCACCACCCTGCTGCCACTGCTGGATCTTCTTCTGTTCCTGACAGGTTCACCCTCTACGTTCTCGTCGTTGCTCTGGAAATTCTCCGCAGTACTGGGCGTCCGGTCCGCATTGAGTATCAGGACGCCGCGCGGAGCGGTGCTAGTTCCACCTGCTCCTGCGGCCTGCTCTGGGGTGGAAGTAGTAGCGCGGCCACCAGGGAAGTTGTAGAAGTCACCTCCAGATGCAACCTGCTGTGTAGTTGCTGATGATACTTCTACCTGGGCAGCAGCGTCGAGACTTGTGGTCAAGACAGATCCTCCTGCTTTGGCTTCTTCTGAAACATTTTTCAAAGGGTCCTCTGGGTTTTCAGCGACTGTTGCTGCTTGCCCAGCTGTGTTTGTGCCACTAGGTGGAAGGATACTTTGTGTAGCTGTTCCAGTTCCTACTACTGCAGATGGTAGTTGTGTCCCGTCGTTACCCCCATGATCTGGCAGAATGTTCACGGTTTGCGTGGGCGTCGCGGAAGAAGAGATGGTGTCCCCGGGAGACGACGAGTCTGCACCACCACGAAGCTGAGAAGTTCCCCCATCATGCTGCAATCCATTTTTACTCGCCCCCTGCGCTTGCTGAGCTCGTCCTGCCACCTGGCCAGATAACAACTGCGGGACAATCCCTCTCGTACTGCTGAAACTGGGCTTGGCCTGGATCCAAGAAGATTCTTGTTGCGTTGGTTCCTCTGATGTTAGTGAGGTCTTGTTGTTCTCTTGGGAGGTCCTCTTCGTAGTTGTGGCCTCAACAACAGGTCCTAGTTCAACATCTCCGGTAAAATGTTCTTCTTGTTCCCTCGGCGGAAAGACGACATGGCCTTCTGTTCCTTGTTCCATGCTCTCCTCCAGAATCTCACTCACCGGTGAGACATCATCTACTGCGGGGACGCCAACTGTGCCGCCTATAATTCCGTTGGCAGCTGCGGCCATCGCTCTATTTGATGCCTCGTCGAGATTTTTTCCTTCTACCGGATGTTGAACTTCGTCTTCTTCTGAAGACAACAGTCCTAGTAGTCCAGAAAGATCGTCGTGCTTCTCCTGTTCGTGGTGTCTACTCAGCAACCGCAAGCGTGCCCAGCTCCGGAAAGTTTTTGACAATAAAATCCCGTCCCGTAGCAGCTCTACAGGGATGGAAGCGGAGCTCTGTCGTATGCAAGAGAAAAACTGTGTAGGTGTAAGTCTGTCATGCAAAGCATGCAACACAGTTCCACTTGTCATGCTAGCCAGCCATGAAGTCCTATTTCATAGATGTTTTCCCGTACTAGTATGTGCATGACAGGATTTCTTTGTCATGCAGCACAAATTTGTCATGCTGTCACCCCAAGACACCTGCACTAACACAGTTTTTTCGTTCCATATGTCGGCTAGTCTGACTTGTGGTGAGATGAACTACACTTGAGGAAGAGATGCGGTTCTGCGGTTTCGCTTGCGGACCACCGGTAGACGTGCTAGTTGGCGAAGCAGCCTTGCTGTCAAATCCAAGCAGCGAGCGCTGCGGCAGATATTGCCGCATGAGATGATATTATCCGTCGGCAGCGATGGTGTCGTGTAGCTAGATCCATTTTTTATGAACAACTTGATTGCTTCTCTCAAAAGTTGTTGGATATGCAGTTCTGTTCAGCTTGGCGCATATAGGACTTTTTCTCCCGCTTAAAATGAAACACTAATTCTCGTTGTCGAAGAGCTGATCTTCATCAGGAGACGGAGTAGTACAATGACTTGATCTGTGCCTTCACATTCACAATGAATGGCTGTACAACCTCTCAACGCAAGCACGACAAAGGGAAGCTCCGCTTCGCCACTAGTAGGAAACGGCACAAGGTAGATTCTCTTCAGCACTCTTGACAATAAATCACTGCCCTTCTGCAGCGGAGCCATAATTGATGTCCGGTTGTTCTTGACACTCGTGATGTAGCTTTCCGCCTGAGAACACTCTTCGAACGCCGTCCCGGTCGCGTCGATTCCACATAGTTAGAAAGAGAATCATGCGTGAAGTGTTTTTGGGCTTTTGAAAAATTTCTTTACATGTTTGACACCATGACGCTGCAACAGTGTGGTCTAGCGACTATGTGGATCATAATCCAGTTTTTCAATAGCGCGATTGTCGTTTTGCAATAAAGCGAGTGGAGTTGTTGCTGTTGTTGTCCTTTCCGACGAGCATCGTCGCAAAAAAATCCTCGTCCTTTCACGAAGCCGCAGCAGCATCTTCCGCCGGTGCTTTTGCGAAGGCATCCAGGGGTGAAAAGTCCCAGCCGTCGTATTCTGCGAGCTTCCCGACTATTGTGTACTTCTTCTTGAAGTGATCCAGCCACGACTTTAAACCTGAGGAAGTTTGGTTTTTTCGTTTTCAAGCTAAGAGTGTTCTACTTGCATGTGCATCAAGAGTTCATTTTTATACAGCAGGTGTAAGTATACTAGTACTAAATACGAAGAGAAGAAAAAGCCATACTCTCCTTGTTCCCATCGGGTAAGTCCTCTAGCTTCCATATCACACAGAAAAAAGCACTAGGCAGGTCAGACATGATTATTTGTAATGCAAAAATAAATACACAAAACAATCTGTCTTGCATGTCCTAAACAGCATGCTATGGCGTTGCCCATGACAGATTTTTCTGCATATTTATTTTTGCATTACATACAAATCTGCCCTGCCTGCTTTTTTCTGTGGGATATTCCAGTCCAGTTTTGCCGCGTCGTCCGGTTTTAAACTCAACATTGCCAGTGAGTACGTCGCGTCCCTTCCGCCCCAAAGCTTGCCGTAACCTGATTTTTGGAAATCGTGTTCTTGACAGAATTGATTTCAAGCTACATTGAGGTGATCTCGATCGATTCCCAACTCAGGATTATGTCGTGGAGTGAAGTGTGGGCCTACGAGTAAAACAGGAATGACAACATATAAACTTCATGCAAAATTACCCCAAACTGGCAGCACTACTGACGGGATATGTAGATTGAGTACCAAAATCCGGCCTAAAGTTGTCGCTCTCTTGTACGTCAAACACCAGTCCGCAGACCCCTATGTACATGCGGTTCTTGTCCCCGTCGTAGTCCCTTAACGTCTGAAAGGTCCATTCGTAATTCGGATCCCTGGACCCCTCTTCCGGCACTGGAAACTGCTTTTTCGGTGGCCTTTCCTGTTCGCCACTTTGCTCAGGCTGGGGTTCCTGTTTACTCGGACTTCCACCGTCCTTTTTTATCAAGTCGGCAACACTGGAGTTTCCCATATTGAATGAGACTAGGATCCAGAGGACCAAGGTAGCCACGAAGACTGAGAGCCCGATGTGCAGGGCAGAGGGGTTACTGGAAAAAAGGTAAGAGGCTGTGGAGGAAAAAATAGCGGTATCAGAGGATGTTGGAGCTGTTGTTGTACTAATTGGGGGCTCCATAGTGGAAACTACTTCACAACTTATTGGGGAGAAGATAGACGAAAAAGAGATACGAGTAAAGTCTGATGGTCGTAATAAAGCGAAAGCTCTAGTATCTACACTCTTGACTTTATGACACTATAGCCGCTAGACAAACAAGTTACAACCCGGAAGGCATATCGGCTCCCAGTATAAATCCTTTTGATAGGTAGAACAGATTCATCTGTCGAGTAGGCACTGGAAGCAGGTTCATCTTCGGGTACAATTCATGAATGAAAGAGAAAGTCCGAGACTTCTCGGGAAAAAAAAATATCGCTCGGCAGAACATAATTCACCACACCCTCCAGTGTGCTTCAAAAACACCTTCCTCTTCGTTCTTCACATGTTGATCGCATTTTGTTAACTAAATTCGAACACAACAGCACCATCTCAGAGTTGGTACGGTAAACGGTCCTACTCGCGAAACAGCTCTCACTTGCAGAGGAGTAGATTACCAATTTGATGTCGCTTGTCCAGTTATGTATACTTTTTCCAAATCTAGTTTCAATCTTTGTCGCTCGCGTACATGTATTCTATTCAAAACACCAGCTGTTTGTATCCAATCGCAGGATCGCAGCGATACAATTGTGCCATGGGTGCAAACATTGGTGGCTGGTTGGCGGGCTCGTATTGGAACGAAGCACCAGAAGAGTCAGCTTTAGCACCGTTCGAAGTGATTCCACCGTAGTTGTTTGCGCAGTACCTCCTGTGCTGCAAAATCGCGTCCTGCAGTTGGTCCCGAATCAGTTCACGCAGTTGTGTTTTTTTCGACGGTTCTTCTTCAAGTGTGCCAGTTGCATTGCTTCCACCTCCGCCAACCAGATTTGCCAAATGGTCAATGCACATCCCGTGCGTTCGTAAGCTGCAAGGTGTGGCCGCGCTGCTCTCATCTACTTCCGGAACAGAAAGGGTTAATACAGCGGCATTTGGTACTAGGTTTTGTGCTCTATTCCTTCTGTTCTTCTTCTCCGCACAATGCAGCCACCAGGATATGGAAGTGTCAGGTTTGAAATCGACAAAGTTGAAATGATTTGTCATGCATAAAACGCAAAGCAGAGAATGCCTGTCTTGCAGAGTAGGCAAGGGAGGCAGATTGCAAGCCTGTTTAGGGGTAGAAATAGAGCTGATAAAGTAGCATGACACAAGGCGTCTTCCTTACCCAAACAGCATTACAAACTGGATTTCGGCTCTACTCAAATTTGTCATGCGCTGCTTGGAAATTGGCCTTGCAACTGGTATCGATTTTATGCATTACAAGTTATTTCAACTTTGTCGATTTCAACTCTGACACATCCATACAGGAACTACCCTCTTTATTCTTGCTCGTCATAATTTCTCCTTCCAGTGGCGTGACCGCTTTGAACTCTAAATTCAATATCAAATGTAAAAGTGTCTGGGTCTGGAAGATTCATGCTGTTTTTGCATGACACAGAAGGTCTGGCATGGAAGCTCTAGCATCACAGGTTTCGAGAAGCTTCCGCAATGCCGAACCCGCATGAGAAATCCCACATTTTGGTGACAGAAAGGGGGCAGCTTTTGCTACTTACCTATGCATGAGAGATTTTTCTGTGTTCGAAAATGCGCATCACAAGTTCGGATCCTTCCAGACCCAGACATTTGTACATTTGATATTCAAGCTCGGCGCACAACTCCCAGTACGGATCACCATGTTTCCGACGTTGCAAACCGGGCAGGGAATATGGAGAGAAAAAAGTTTGTCGCAGTCACTACCTTGCAGGTTTTGCATTACAAATTTTTTCAGCATCACAGCTTTTCTTTGTATTGCAGAAACACTAGGGACATCCCTTATGAAGTTTGGCTGTGATGCATTTTTACGCATGACAGAAAATTTTGCATTGCAAAAATGCGGATGAGTGTTCGTGACGAACTTTTTTTGTTTGATAGGGGATGAATTCCTGCTCTTCTGCATCATCTTCGCCGGTTATTTCATCATCGTCCCCTACCCATGAGTATGCATTGCAAATATGTCTGGGTCTGGGAACTTGTAATGCTGAGTTGCGTAGCATGAAATGGCCAGAAGTGATGGCTCAACATGACAAGTTTCGTCTGAGCTTCTAGGTGTTGCCTTCTATTCTGCATGACAACTGCGTTTCTGCATCACAGAAAAATGGGGCTTTTGGGTAACGTGCATGACAGACGTGAGAGTCTTGCTAGCCGAGCAAGACAAATCTCGCACTCTTCCAGACCCAGACATATTTGCAGTTGATAATGAGTCCGCCTGTTCTAGAAGTTCCATCTCCTCCGCGGCTAGCTGATCCTGAATATACAGTAGCTCCTGCTCCCTCTCGTGCTCTTTGATCAGAAACTCTTCGTGATTCCGGCGTAATTCTTGTTGCTCTTCCAGCTTCCAACACTCGTCCTCCTCGATCGCGTGCTCGAGATCTGGTAAAACACTTTCCAAAAAATGCTTCTCGTCCGCGGGGGTCCAAATGTAGCCCGGGCACAGCGTTTGAACCTCTTTCTGAAAATCTTGCTTTAACTGGAAAGTAGAGGTCGATGGGGGAGGCGGGCTCGGGTGGAGTGCGAAAACTTCTACCGATTGCTGGTGCTGTGTGTTGCTTTGATGATTTTTTGCGGTAAAAGTGTTGAAAGCTGCGCCTACTGGTGCAGCAGCTGCGCCCGTGGTTGCAGCAGGAGCAAAAGTGCCAGCACTTCCGAACGGTGCAAACGTCATTCCGCTCGCAGTCGCGCCAGCGAAAGCGTTATGCGTGCTGAAACTACTACTGCCCCCGCTGAAAGGTGGATCTGGATCGTTTCCGTTTGAAACGCTGCCGATGTTTGATGTTCCGAAGCCGGGTGGAGCAGCTGGTGACGCACCTGCAGCTGCACCGAACGCCGGTGCCTTGGTGGAAATAAATGATCCACCGAGAGTCGTTGTAGCAGCTGCGGCTGCTCCACCTCCACCACCCCGCGCCCGTTCCCTAGCTTGCTGTAGCATCTGCTTCCTATTGTTCGCGACTTCTTGGAAAAGTTCGTTTCGCAACTGCGACCGGGTTATGCATTGCAAATATGTCTGGGTCTGGAAAATTGCGATACTTCTCATGCTAGTTTGGCATGACTCTGAACTCTGTATTGCGTGGCCACGAACACCTCCTCTTGTCTGTTATGCAAAAACGATGTTTCTCATGCGGAATACGCAACACAGAGTCACAGGGAAATCTGTCATGCTTGGCGGTGCATTACAGTGTGGTTGTTATTCAGTGACATGCATCACAAGTTTCCAGAGCCAGACATATTTGCACTTGATACGGGTGTGCTCCGAGGAATTGGACTCCATGTAGCGTTGGCGCCATTTGGCGTGCTTGTCCGACGAATTGTCGTGCGTTACCATGATTTCTTGCCTGGCGAAGCTTCTTTTTGCTTCGAGTAGAAATCTGTGTTGTACAACAGCTCCGGTGAAGATTTATTCCTTTGAGTAGTCTGCTCTTCAAAAAGAAGTAATATTGCTAAAGGACAGCTCTGTGGGGGAAGTCATGATGTTGAAGAATTTCGATCCTTGACAGAAAACGCGAACCACTTCTCAAGCGGTACAGATAGAATTAGAGTAGATTCCTTCTTTTAAAAATACTTCTCATGGTCTTCGTTTTCATGAGATGCGTCGCTGCGGGTGAAAATCGGGCAACAAGCGAAAAGCAGAATGAAAGCAACTGCCCAGCTTTCGAACAGCAGTGCTGGTGGAGACAAGATCGACTACACTGGCATCGTGGATAATGCTTCATTCGGTGGAACACAGCAGTAAAAGAAAGTCCAGGTGGTTGCCTTTTACTTCTTTCCTTCATTTTCATCGATAATTTGCAGCTATCACACACACACACAGCACATGGTCCCGCAGCACTAGGCTTTTAGATGAAATTGTCATAGTCATCAACATCACGTCGCAACATGTGCCGCGAGATCGCCAGTGACAGAAACTGAGTTTCATTATACGTTTCTCCAAACGGATACTTTATTACGACCAGTGGAAGTACTACTAGAAGTTCCAGCTCACAAACACACAGCAGGCTGCTCATCCTTCAGTCTGCTCTGAGGTAAGGCATGTAGCTCGTTCTCCTCCGCGGCCGCTGGGTACAGATCAACCTGCGACTGAAATTCTTCTTTCAAAAATCCGTCGTTCACCTTCTCCGGACTGATGCGGAGGTAGTTTTGCTGTTTCTGTTGCGGATATGCCGCATTTTTCCGCTTCTTTATCGATTTGTTCTTCCGCTTTGGCGATCGGGCGGAAGGAGTGGGCGGTGGAGACCCTTTAATAGTGTTCCCGATGACGCGCGTCGTAGTAGAAGTCCCTCCCGGTGTCGCCGCGTAACTGCGAAATTGCTGGCCGCCTTGGTCGCCCTCCTGACTATACTCACGGCTATGGGTTTGGCTGTCGTCGTCTACAGAGATGGAGTTTTGTTCTTTGGTTTCTACTTCTGCATCAATTTCTTCCTCGTCTTCCTCCTCTTCCGGCTGCAGCAGAGAACCTTCCCAAACGGATTTGAACGACAATTCCTGATCCTGGCGTTCCGTGTCTTGCATTACAGCTTGTAGTACTTGTCCTTGACCTCGTCGTTGTCGCTCTCCTCCCCCCACTTTATTCCACAGCTGGTAAACGCTCGCCCCCACGACCGCGGGCACCAAGTACAGCAATGCCGGCTGCCCAAATTCGAAGAAAGCCACCGCGAAATTTGCGCAGCAGAGCCCGAGGAAGTAGCAGAATAGGGTCGGAAAGAACAGATTAGGGGACTTGTTGTTTTCTAGAACTTTTAGTTCCGGTTCCTGCTGATGTTGCTGTAGGTGTAATTGTACGAGCTCGTCGCTAGTAGTGCCATTTCTCCTATCCGCCAGAGCAGCTGTCATCTTGAGGCCCAATCCACCATCTTGCGTAGTACTGTGCAGTTCGAACGCTCGCTTTTCCTTCGCCAAAATCCTTGCTTTCAGATCTACCGCGAGGCAAAAGCTCAACAGAAACCCCGGTAAAGCGATGTCGCCGAGCCCCAGCATGTGGCCCCGGTGTAACGACGAAGACTGTGTCGTTTGCGACACCACGTACTCTGTCAGATCGAAGTTTTCTCCGAAAACCAGCTTCGCATCGGTTTGTAACTGTTCGTGAAAGCCTGGATTGTTCCTCAATATCATCGGGATTTCTTCCTCCGCAACGGCAAACCGGTTCCCGTTCCAAAAAAGCGCGAAACTATGCATTGCAAATATGTCTCGGTCTGCTGGAAGATTGCAACTTGTCATGCTAGATCTGAAATCAGGAAAAAAACTGTGTTGCCAACTTGAGAGCAGGAGCTTTCTCATGTAGTATGGGCATCAGAAAGATCTCACAGAATCTGTCATGCTAGGTTCTACATACCGGACCTCATGGGTCATGGATATCCTGCATGACAGGTCTGGCATTCTTCCAGACCCAGACATATTTGCAATGCATAGAAGCAGACACTCAGCAAGTTTGGCATGTGCATGAGCATGGGTAAGGGTTTCGCGGTGGTATCTATCAACTGCAAAAGTGTCTGGGTCTGGAAACTTGTGATGCTGGTTGAGAAAGACGAGGACGCCTCAATTGACTGGCAAGCATGACAAGTTTTGGAGGTGCTACAGTCTTGGCTTTTCTGCATGACAAAGTGAAAGTGACGAGCTTCTGCATGACAGAAAAGTAGGGCCTTTGGGTAATTGGCATGACAGACTTGAGAGTGATGTCAGACAAGCATGACAAACTTCCATTCTTCCAGCCCCAGACATATTTGCATTTGATAGTATCCTCCCCATCGCTGTTTCCGCCGGTAGCGACCTCCAGCATCACAGATTTGCCGTTGAAAAGGGAACTCGAGCCGAACACCCAGAAGATGTCGAAAAAGAACATGATGGTGAGGAATTGCACGCCGAGCTTCAAAGACGGTATCCTGGCGATTTTCTGTAAATGTACGCAAACGAAGAAACCCATCAAGTTCTGGGAAAGCGCTTCTAAAAGGATGGAAGACGGAGTTTTCAACATTGCTGTGGTGGAGGCTGAAGGGAAACCTATGTTGTTCGAGCTCGACGTGGACGACGTCCCCGGCTCCGCTTGATGCTTACTACCGAAAATTGTCTCCCATTCCCCCGAGGTGACCAAGTAAGACAGGCAAACCACCAATCCGGGCACCAACGCGAGCAAGTCGAGGCAACAGAAGTCGAAGCACTGTCGGGTGGAGAAAAACGGAATCCTTTTTCCAACAATGAAATAAAAAGCCGCTTTGGGTAAAGACTGGTTTTCCCTCCGCCACAACGGTGTTATATTCAAACTGGCCGATCCGCAGCTCCTTCTTCGTGTACCAGTTCTGGTTCTTGCAGAAGCTGATGAAGGCGTAGCAGGAGCAGCTCCTCGATTTTTATTACGGGACGAGTTGTTATTTTTCAACATCAGTAGATGTTGACCTCCTAGTCCAACTGGCGTTCCGGGCTTGCTGTTTTTCAGAGGTGAGTTCTTGTTGAGTATCAAATGCAAAAATGTCTGGGTCTGGAAAATTGGAACTTGTAATGCGTGTCATGCATTCCTGGAAAATCTGTGTTGCATGACCAGCAAAACAGAGGCTTTCTTTGTCATGCGAAAACGCAATTTGTAATGCGCGCTAGGCATCAGCTGACCTCTCAAAAACTTGTCATGCTTGGCTGCCATTGGAAGCGCTTCAATCATGCGCAATTCAGCATCACAAGTTTCCAGACCCAGACATTTTTACATTTGATATTCAGCGGTGTTGAGCAATTTTTCAGCGGCGAGTTTTCCCCTCGGAAGTGCCTGGATCCTATGTAAAAACATCCCCACCCCAGAGTTGTCATGCAGATTTGCAATGACAAGAACATTTGTGATGCGCATCCCTATGATGGGCATTTCCAGTCGTGCTTTGGAATTTGTAATGCTGTAAACAGGATACGTATCTCGATTTGTAATGCGGCTGCCCTTGCTAAGCTGCACTACACTACGGGCTGCAACTTGTCATGCGTGGCGTCCAAAGCTCCTGGATCTGTGTTGCAGAGATCCCAACTTAACTATGGGGTGGGGACATTTTTGCTCAGGATAGACTGCTTATCTGGCTCAGCGTGCTCGGCTTCGGGCTCTGTTGCTCTTTGAACAGTTGCAAGTTTTGCTTTTTCCGCATCAGCGCAATACTATCGTCCGGCGAGTCGTTATCCAAGAAAAAAAGTGTGTAAGTGTAAGTTTCTTTGGCTGACAGCATGACAAATTTGCTCGACATGACAAAGAAAAACTGTCATGCGTGGTTTGTAAGGGAAAACACAAGTAAAAAGAGGACTTCATGCTTGTCTGGCATGACAGGTGTGACTCTGTTGCATGTTCTGCATGACAGAGTTACACTTACACACTTTTTTTCTTGCATAGTCGTCGTTCGGGGTCATCATGATCTGTTCCGCGCCGACGGAGACCCCAACCGCGTTCTCATCGAAGTATGCATTGCAAATACGTCTGGGTGTGGGAAAGTGGCACTTGTATTGCGTGCGCAGGATTTCAGAAAAATATGTATTGCATAAAAGCACTAAAAGCTGCGCCGCAGTTTCGTCACGAAAAATCGCAGTTTGTAATGCGCGCTAAGCATGAAAAAGCGTCTGAAAAATTTGCCATGCTACACTGCTCTTACAGGCAAACTCACTCATGGCCATTCAGCATTACAGGTAGTTTCCAGATCCAAACATATTTGCATTTGATACGAAGCTCGGCTCGTCGATTGGCGTTTCGTCGAAGTTATCGAAGGCGGACGCGGATGGGGTGCAAATATCCCTGGATGTCTGGAAGAATGCAACTTGTGATGCTGTTTGTCGCTTCTACAAAAAATCTGTATTGCATGGGCAGCAAGACGAGGAGTCCAGTAGCTGATCCTAGGCGGGGAGGGCAACATTTCTCATGCGGTAGAAGCATTAGGAAGCCCTCACAAAACCTGTCATGCTAGGGCATGCATCACAGTCATCATGGGTCATGCAAAATGTGCATGACAAACGTTCCAAAGACAAATTTGCAATCCATAACGCGGATGGGGTGGGCTGGATCAGAAAGGACTTCTGCTGGTTTTGGTAGTTATTGAAAAATTTCTTGACGAAATTTTTCCTCCATTTGTTGAACTTGTCCACTTCCTTGGCGATTTTCCAAAGCAAAATTTTCGTTTTCCTCCTGAGCAAACTGTGACTCGCTTGCAACACCCCGACGCAGTAGAAAAGAACGATCTATCCAGGAAAAAAACTGTGTAAGTAAGTGTCACTTTGTAGGAAGAGCAGCATCACAGATTCGTTTTGCATTACAGGGAAAACCTGTCACGCGCGACTAGTATGTGGAAACACGTATGAAAGTAGCCTATGACGCAGATCCAGCATGACAAGTGTAACAGTTTTGCATTTTCTGCATCACAGAGTTACACTAATACACTGTTTTTTTCTTGCATACGATCCCGGTGCGGATGTATTTGATCACAAAAAAGAGCATGGTGAGGAGCAGACTCGCGGTAAGAAAAAAGAAAATCGCGACGTTGAAGCTGATATCAAATGCAAAAGTGTCTGGGTCTGCGGAAGAATGCGCGATTTGTCATGCAGCTTTTCCATGACCAATGAGGTCTGCTATGCAGGACCTAGCATGACAGATTCTGTGCGATCTCTCTCATGCCTATCCTGCATGAGAAACTTCCTCCCGACTTGGTCAAAACTGGACGACTTTTGGTAATCATGCAACACAGATTTTTGTATGCTTCAGATTTAGCATGACAAGTTGCATTCTTCCAGACCCAGACATTTTTACATTTGATAGCTGAACGTCACCGTTTCCTCCGCGGCGAGCTCGTCTGATGCGTCAGAATCGATATCTGCCTCGTCGTCTGTTAGGAAAAAATGCTCCTGGTCTTCTCTACTATTCCTGCCATGTTTATTGTATAACGACCGGTTATTTCTAGTAAAGTCGTCATCTGGACCTCCCTCCCTACTGGCGTTCCTACGCTTCCATTTCCCCCAGCATGATCTTTCGTCATTCAACACCTCCTCCAACCCAGGTCCTAGTACATTCCGATACACGCCTCGTTCGCACGCTACCCACGCGCCGCAGTACACCACAAACGTCGCCCAGAGAGCCAGGAAGACGAAGGTTGGGTCCAAAAGAGTTTTGGCCCTTTCGGACGAGAATGAAAGCGGGTTGTCATTATACCAGATCGTGGAGAGAGTTTGGGTTTCTTCTTCACTAGTGGTCTTCTCTACAGCTCCTGCTTGTTCCGTTGTTCTACTACTTTCAACGTCCACCTCACTGGTTTCTTGTCCTGGGGCCGGTTGTGGTTTTGACGGTGACATAATCATTGATGCAGCTGTGCCGGATGTTGCTCTTGAACTTTCCTCAATCAATCTGAGAAGATTTTTCAGACCATAAAACGGGTGGACGGTGAGTTGTTCGAGATGACCTACTGGCGCTGCTCTGTGTACTGAAGATGCTGATGAGGACGATGATGCCTGTTCTACTTGTTTTCCGCTTGCACCAGCATGTGGTTCTACTTGTGTACTAGTACTATCGAAGTACTTCTTGGTCGTCTTTTGCCCGATGAACAGAACGACTTCAAGGTTTTCTGATGACGCGACTTTTTCGCCCTTATTGCTATTGTCGGGGGAGGTTGAAGATGATGTCTTGCCCAGACCTGCTCTTCCCGCTCCGGCCCCGAACGTACTCTTCGTCACGAGCTCGTACAGCAAATCTCGCTGGTGCTTGTTGTCGCTGGTTATATGTTTAGTGCCATCTCCTCCTGCGCCTTTTTTGAAGACCTCACTGCTCTTCAGGTGGTCTTCCTTTCTAGGGAAGACGTCCGCTGTACAGTTTGTGAAGATGAGGATTTTCGAAGATTTCGGCGTTCTTTTTCCTGCTGTGCTCGTAACAGTACTAGAGGAAGAGGTCTCGTCCTGTGGTGCATCATGGTCCCCATCTTCCCGCAACGCAGCTTCCAGGTCCTTTTCGCATTGGTCTAGTACTTTCGTTGAAACGCTCGCCGATATCGCTTGCTCGCTCGGCAGCGCCACTTTACTGTCGTCTTGGTCTTTGCCAACATTGTCCTGCATGAGCAGCAGTTTTTCGCAATTTTTCAGTTCCGCCGAGAAGTTCACGACTCGAATCGCTTCTCTCTTCGCAGTTGTTGTGGTGCTACCGAAGACCTTTATGCTGGGAATTATTTCACTTGAAGTAGTGCCGTCTTTCGTCATGATCCCATGGTTCTGCTGAGACACTGTTGCGCTGGACGGCCACTTGGAAGATGATGGTGCACCCGTGCTTGAACTGGTCCGATTGCGAAACAAGCCGAGTGTGGCAAACGTTGGCCGTACTAGGCGAGCAGCATTGATGTCCTGCCCGTTTCTCGCTGTAGCCGCGGGCTTCGCTCTTGCGCTTTCGGCCATTTCCAAGCTGACGATCGCGATTTTCTTCTCAAAAACGTAGTGGGAGGCTGCATGTTGGGCCGTCGGCACTGTCGGCACGTTTTCTGTGGGCGAATTCGCGGCGGTGGCGTCTACTGGCTGCACGATCGAACTTTCGAGATGACACAATGCCACACAGAAAGTCGCCAAGACCTTGCTGCCGGTCGTGTGGCGGGACATCGATGGAGGCTTCATTGTCACCGCAGATGAACGTCGGGACATTTCTTGCTTTACTTCATCTATACTTCCAGCACTGGAGGTCCTCTGGGTTTTCGAGGACAGCGCAAAGCGATTTATTTACTCAAACGAACCACCAGCGAACATATTGAATCCAAAAAACGAACTTGGTTTGATAAAACAATCACAGCACTCTAACAATCCGTTTTAGAGCTGCATGGATATCTTCGAAACGCATGAAAGTTACGCAATTTTTTGACCAACGACATTGCGCATACACATTCGATTTTTGGTTGCGTAGGAACAAGAGATCCAAAACCAACATTATACGGGCTACCTAGCACACGGCTACGAGGAGGAAAACCCGACGGTTAAAATGGACAGACTGGTGCTGCGACCGAAAGCGAAATGAATCATATAATTCCAAGTACGAAATAAACCCATGCAGTCTACACGAGCGATGATCTGGTAACCGATACCGAAACTGGCTGATAATCAAAAATTGTATCAATCACGAAGAGCGTCGACAGGCTGTAGCAGAAGCAGTTGTTGTGCCTCGAATTATGAAATACAGCAATTCATTGCAGTTGTACTTTATTCAGAACACCGCCTCTGCCCAGGCCGGCCCTTTACGTGGCCATCCTCATCCTCATCATCTTCCCCGCTGATCATAATTCTGTTCCCATCACATTGTTTCTTGGACTACTAGAAGCAGATCTCCATCTCATATGATGTGTTTACAGTGCGAACGACAGGAGCGGTCGACGATAGAATGGTTCTCCTGCCAGTCTGTGATAGTACACGTCGCCAAGCAGTAGCAAAAGAACCCAGCAGCATGTACAGCAGGAAGCTGCTTTTCTTCCCTTCTATCCTTGCTACCCGAAGATCGTCTCGGACGTGTGATAGTACCGATTGATCCGGTTCACCGTCGTATCTAACGCTGCAATATCAAATGCAAAAATGTCTGGGTCTGAGAGAATGCAGACTTGTCATGCATATTTTGTATGTTGATTGATGCCTCTAATGCATAATCTAGCAACACAGATTTTCGGTAGAGGGATTCCTAATGCCTATTCCGCATCAGAAATGCCCTCTCCGCGTAACACAACCTGGAGTCCTGTTGCAGGTCATGCAAGACAAAGATTTTTTTGGAATCCAAAGATAGCATTACAAGTTGCAATCTTCCAGACCCAGACACTTTTGCAATCCATATGCAAACCCAATCCGCGGCATGTACATCCAGTATGCATTGCAAATGTCCCTGAATGTTGTCCGGATTTGTGATGCGGAACCTCAAGGACAACAGAAATCTGTAATGCAGGAATGCGATTGAAGGTCGACTGACTGTTGATTTCTCGTGCTGGATGTGGTAGTCGTAGACGTAGTTTGTCATGCTAAAAACGCATGAAATCCTCAAGAAATGCTGCGCGGGAAAGTTTCTCATGCTGTTAAGTCGTACAAGCGGCCAGTCTGCAATACATGTGTCAGCAACACAAGTTTCCAGACATCCTGGGATATCGATATTTGCATTTCATATCCAATCGTCCTCGCCCATTTCGCGGTAGAAGATAAACAACGTCTTCCACAAGTTCATCGGTACCGGGACCTGCGCTGCCGTATGCAGAGCAAATTTCTCGGGGTCTGGAAATTTCTGTTGCTGATCCTCGCACCGCAGAGTACTAGCCGCTTGTACCACATAACAGCATCATAAGTTTTCCGACGCTTTTATTGCGGGTTCATTCGTAGAATGCATGACAAACGAAAATGGCTTCCAGAATGACAAAAAAAATGCCCAGGCGACGTAAGTACTCATGCATTACAGATCTTCTTGTCCTTCAGATCCCGCAACACAAATCCAGATCCAGACGTATTTGCAATGCATACGCCGCCGCGTGCGACAAGATCGATCCGACCGCTTGCCGGATAGCAGCGAAGACGACCTAATTTGCGGATAATTGTTCAATTGGCATCAGCATCACAACTGAAGATCGCCTTCTAAAATGTGTGAAAGAAACTACTAGCTGCACCCGATACTCAGTCGGATCAGGAATACCAATACCAGACCACGCATGACAAAAAAGTTCACCGTGTAGCTATGCATACCACGCATGTTACAAAATTCAAGTAAAAAATACCTGAAACGTCCCTGCCGCCCCCGCGACTTTTCCCGCGTAGCTGGCCGCGGTTTGAAAAATCCCCTTTTTACTCGTTTCCGTCGCCTCCCCCTTGTGGGCGTAGTTCCCGCCAAAATTCCGCTTCTCGCTGCTCTTGATGAAGGCGTCGTTGGTACTGGTGCACTTCCATTTGTCGTCGGCTTTGTTCAGTTTCAGCTTTTCTAGGAAAGAAACCTCTTCCCGCAACTCGTCTTCCCAGTTTTCCAATTCAAACTCATCCAGAGTGAACTGCGACCCAGACGGAGAGGACGCCCGATAATTACTGCTGGACATCAGTCCAGCCGACGGATTGATCGCGATGCGGTCGAGGTTGGACCTCTTCAGCGGGCGGGGAGGAACGACCGACGTGGCCTTGGCGGTTACAAATTGCGGCGGAGTGTTTTGTTGCTGGTGTCCTTGATTTGCGCCAGCGGAAGTGGAAATAGCACTAGCACTAGAACTAGCACTCGTCCCTACGACCGTGGTCTTCACCGCCCGTTGCTGCTGCCCGTATTCGTAGTCCTTGTGCGGAATCCGGCCGGCTGACCGGATCAAACTCGCACAGAGGGGGAGGGTGAGAAGAAGCTTTTTCCGTCGTTTAATTGCGAAAGGTGGTGTTAACAACATACGGCAAATGGTGGCGCTTGCAATTCTGGATGATGTAGACGGGGGATTGACGAGTGGTCTGAAGGTTTTCAGATGTTTCTTCGAAATTGCGGCCCTGCTTCGCTTCAACGCAGGGGCAGGAGGTGCGGCTAATTCCCGAACACCGCTTTCATCTGCCCTTCTAAACCGTTGCCCTTCGCCCGCCATCGCTTGTGTCTGGTGTGTTGACGATGCCGACATGATTTTTTGTTTCACGACCGTTTCTTGTCAAAGATAGAACAATTCTTGGAATCTTCAGACTCATCCATTTTAATGCCCAAACCTGGTCAACGTGAAAGCGGATTTTTCGACCACTCCTTTGTCCCCTCTAAGTAGTCTCACTCACCCGAATTCATGTAAGAAGCATACACATGTTTTGCCACGACAGCGCACGCAAACGACAGCTCATCTACGGGGGGCTTTCTGGTCGTGGTGCGTCCGCAGTCTCTACTTAGTGCATCCAGGGTCCAGCTGTTCTCGTTTTACCTCTCTACCCTTTCGATCGAAACCCAACGATAGTGATCAAAGTGCCGAAGGGAACAAGAACATCGACTTCGATATTTGTCTGTTGTTGCAGTTGTACGTGCCTCAAGATCTTTTTTATGGACGAAGCTCTTTCAGCACACAGCACCTATGTACCTACTACAGTTGTCTGGTGTGGTCTTCAGGTAATAATTACCTCGTCGTGTACCATCGCTCGAGTGGTCCACCTCGCAGTTCTGACGAGGCGTGTTCCTAAAAGATAGATAGCTGCACCATATCCATAGCGCAGCGCGTACTCGTCCATAGAATCACCATTCTCGAGGACCCGGAAAAAAGACTGTTTAGGTGATCGTTAGGTGTGCAGTGCCGGCGCAATAATGTTCATCCATTGCATCAACTGCGGAAACTCATCTGCCTCCGAAATTTCTCGCCCCGCATTCCAGACGGTTATGTCCGACACGCGGTCACTCAACCGCCACTCCAGCTCCTCGGTGTCCTCGTTTTTCATTTTCCGCATGACAAAAGCAGCTGCGCTTGTGTTGTTCGTGGAAGATCCTGGAAGTTCTTGCACTTGTGTATTGAGGGGAAAAATCCCCCCTCCCCATATCGAAAAGGTATGTTTGCGAAAATTTGTCTTGCTGATTTGAGACCACAAATCACGTCTGTCTTGCAAGAAGACAACTCCACAGGCTCTGCCGCATTATGCAGGCGGTTTGTGATGCTGTTGGGCCTACAGCGTAGACGTGTCTCATGCTAAGCGCCTAGGCCACAAGCTCTCTACTCAGGCTTGGCAGGAGCCTGCTTTCCTCTACTGCAAGACAGACCTGATTTGTATACGCAAATCCAGCATCAGAAACTTCCTTTTGATATGGGGAGGGGGGATTTTTCCTTGTGATATTGTGCGCCGGGAGAAGATGCTTTATCGTTTTTCGTGTTTGCTGCACCTCCCGAAAAAGAAAACTCCTCCCCTTTCAGTTCCCGGCCACGGAACGAGGCGATTTTCTTCGGGTTTTTTGAAGATTTGCCATCTGAAGCAGCTCCAGTGGCAGGCGCTGCACTAGTACAACTACCCACTTCTTTATCCTTCTCCTGAATAAAGTACGCGGACACGGGTGCAGGACCGTCGTATTCAATGTGGAAGGGAAGACTGTGCACCTCGATAGAAGACGTTTTCTCACCTTCAACTTGCAGTTTCGAGGTGACCTTCGTCAGATTTACAGAAGACGCTGCGTCCTCGCGTTTATTCGAGGGAGAGGGGGACATTTTCGCTTTTTTCTCTGCTCTTGGGTGAAAGAATCAAATCAGGTTCGTCTCTAAAAATGGCAATGAGTGCAAGAAATCTTAAACGCGACCTGCGTCAAGACACACAGGCGTATAAGCGACCTCTGACACAGGTACTATTTTGGAATAGATTATGCGCATTCACGACATAATTGATGTTCGTAAAAGATCTTGTTGAAAGCCGTCATCCTCCTGTCAACACAAGCAGATTGTCTTGTTTCAGAGCCACGGCGAGAGGAAAACGAGTTCTTGTCTTTGTTTACTAATTTGCGGCCTCCTGAGCATGCTGAGTATAACTGTATCTGCACCGCTGGAAGACCTTCTTCAACCACTGCAAACATCGGTTGCGCTTTTGTTCCTGATGAAACACGCGATCACATCTGAAGAAAACGGACACCAAAATCTGCAGCTGCTGTTGCCGACGGCTCGTCTTTTTCCCAAGCAACTTTGAGTACTAGCGTTGGGCTCTTATTCTTTCTTTCCAGCAAAACTTATGAATGTGTGTACAGTATCATCTATTTTTTCCCAAAAACATTTACAAGCAGTCACACGGAGGTCTCCTCATCCAATGAACTTATTTTACGTCAACTTTCATCTTTGTACAGGAATTTTTTTGCGTAGAATTGATAGGCTCCTCGACGACGGCCTGGATGATCATGATCATACAACGTGAAAGAATACAACAAGTTATACTTAATGTCACAAGAAAGAGAAATTCAAAAGTGAAATAAATGAATGACCTTGCAATTGAGAACTGGAATTTCAAATCCAAATGTTAACATGAAAAAGTAGCGTCAAACAGTAGAGCAAATGTATATTGCAATGTAAAATCAAAATAGATCAAGTAAAAAAATGAACAAAATCCAGTTGTGTATGTGTTGCAGTAAAAAATCTGTGGTGCAGAAAAATTGTCCTCATGCAATCAAACAGTCACCTCGTCCGTCCAAGAAGCGTCGCTGTCTTGATAGTCCCCCTCAGTCGTCCTCGGGCTCCTCGACCGGCTTTTCCTCGGTTGTCGTGCTAGTTGGTATCCAGTGTAAAAGCGTCCCTATCCAACAAAAGTTGTGATGCTAAAAATCTACAAGCCTCGAATGTTTCCCATGCGCAGCCCGCCCAAGAGAAGCATTTCTTAATGCTGTCTGGCAGTTTGCCACGCTACAATCAGGGCAAGACGATCGAATTGTGATGCACCTGGTGGTGCACTAGATACGTACACACGATTGCACTGCGAGCACGAGCTTGTCATGCGCGACAGCCAAAAGCTGGTCGGTTTGTGTAGCATGCAAAGTCCCCATCTTTATTCTTAACTATCGGGACGACGCTTTTCCACAGCATAGTCGTGGTTGTGCTGGTAGTCGTACTGCTGGTCGCTCCTTGGTGGTATCAACTGCAAACATCGACCTAGATCTGGAAGGATGCAAAGGCTTGTGATGCAGCTTTGGCATGACCATCCAGGAGGTCAACCATGCACGCCCCAGCATGATGATCACAGGTCCTGAGAAGGTCTCGTCTTCATGTGTAATCCGGCACATGACAAAGCCCCTCTTTCACATTGCTGGCGAGCGGGTGGCCAATAATGTCAATGCGCACTGCAACTTTTTGGTTTCCATTCTATTCATGACACCTTTTTTTATGCTGCAAAATGCGCATCACAAGTTCGCATCCTTCGCCTTCCAGACAACATCCAACGGTATCTATTTGCAGTGGATAGATCCAGGTAGATCCGGATTTGGTCCGTGCACTGGAACCAGAGGTGACCTGTTTTGAAGATGTAGCAGCACGTACTTATTTGGCCAAGACTCCCAACTTATCGACGATTCTTGAGGCGTGATCTATTGCAAACAGGCTCTGATGATCATGCTATAGATTCAGAAAAAAAAAACAACCAGAAAACTCGATACGGGTGATGGTCGTAGAACTGGTGGTGGTCGTCGTAGTAGTGCTAGTCGAGTTCTCAGGACGACGAGACTATGGATTGCAAAAATGTCTGGGTCTGGAAGAGTGCACGGTTTGTCCTGCATGTTTCGCATGACCCGCGATGCCTGTCATGCATGACTTAGCACCACAGATTTTTAGAAGGCTTCCTGATGCCTATTCGGCATGACAAATGCCCTCCCCGCGTAGCACAAACAGGACGCCTCTTGTTGGTCATGCAAACCAAATCTTTTTAGAATCCAAACACAGCATCACAAGTTGCAACCTTGTTCCAGACCCATACATATTTGCATTTGATACAGACTCTGCCGGCACGAAACGTTTCTCGCCACCTTCATCATCGTTGAAATTGCGATCACCATCGGCGTTATCATCGTCGTCATCCTCGTCCCTGCCGAACTTGGCCTGTACTCCAAGGAAAGACACATCGCCCTTTTCCACATTTTTCACATACTCCGCCTTGTTCATCTCGTGGGAGGTCTGGTCCTCTTGGTTGTCATTCCCGGCCTGGTCCTCTTTATTGTCGTTCTTCTGAATTTCATTTAGCTCCCACCCGTCAACCGGCCGGAGGTCTCGCACCGGAGCAGAGGTTGTTGCTGGGTGACGCCACGATCCGCTGCTACAGAACAGCTTCATGTCCTCGGTCAATTTCTCCGGTTCATCCGCTCCCGCTGCGCACACCAGTTTTCCCATCGTCTTGATTGCAGATTTATCAAATGTAAAAATGTCTGGGTCTGGAAACTTGTGATGCTGTGTGGCGTATCATGAGGAGGCCACAATTGCTGGCTCAGCATGACAAGTTTCTGAGCTTCTAGGTGTTGCCTATTCTGCATGACAAACTACGTCTCTGCATGACAGCAAAGTGGTGTGGGGCTCTTTGGTGATGTGCATGACAGATTTAAGAGTCATGCCAGACAAGCATGACAAACTTGCATTCTTCCAGACCCAGACACTTTTGCATTTCATAAGATTTCCCTTTCGCCACCGTTTCCCGCCACGTCTTGTCGTTGTCAGAGGAATGCATTGCAAAAGCATCCATCGTACTAGTATAAACTGCATCACAAATTTTTTCAAGAAGAAAAATGAAACTTGTAATGCTAATCTACCTAAAAAGGGATATTTGTCATGCACGATAGCGATTACTACGAGTACGATACTTTTGCAGTGCATAAGAGGAAGCCGGCACCAACGACGTGTAATTGAGGTAGACTTGGTACAGGTTGTTTGGCCAGTCTTTCCCATCCTGCCCCTCCTCCGGAACATCGACGCCGTCTGCCTCCAGACCGGCCTCAAGCGCGGTCCAGACGGCCAACGCCTTGTCTTTGGGAACAGGTTCATCGGGTCTTACAGTAACATTGAACTCCTCGAAGAAATTCTCGCGAAAGCCCGCAGCACCGTAGGATTTGTCCGTAAAGCCGACCAGGTCGGCCACGTGCACCGGCTGAACAGGTTCTTTGCCGTCGTCCTCGTCGTCATCAACTACATCGTCATCTGTTTTTTGATAGAGAAATTTGGGAAAATGTGCAGAAGATCATCAAGATGGTCATCCAATTTGTTTTTAACAATTGCCCTTATGGTGCTCAACCTCAAAGACCAAAAAGCCCCTTTCTCGCTCTAGTTCATTTTTTCCGTGCGGAGAAGTTATTACAGCTGGAACGACTTGTACTAGTACTACGAAATGTCAGATTATACCGGCGTCGGCATCGTCCTGGTCATCGTCATCGTCATCATCATCATCATCCCCGTTCGCATTCTGTCTGTGAAACAGCTTCGAAAACATCTGCAAGTAGGACTCCGCGGTGCCTTGTTGCCCACTTGCGGTCGTATCGGCTGCATCCTTGGCCCTCTCCTCAGCCTCCCGCTTTTCCTCTTCCCGGGCCTGCCGCGCGTCCTCCTCCACCTCCTCGTGCGACGACGTGGCTGTGGTGGAGTGTTCCCGCGTGGCTGCCTTCTCTGCTCTCTTCGGCACTATCCTGCAGAAAAGAGCCAGCATGCACCTACCAATGTCCAAGTGCAAATGCTCACTGGGTGCGAGGTTTCAAATAATTATGTCTGTTCGACTTCATCGTTAAGCCTTGTTCTGTACTTCATCCTTGTGCTCTTGATGATGATGTTGGCAGTGTGCCCTTTAGCGGACTGCTGCGTGCTACTCCCTCCTCCAGCCCGAGAGCAGCTGAACGCCGATCCTCTATGACGAACAGTTGATCTATACCATAAGGGCGCGGCTGTTATGAGGCTAGGTTTTTTCGGACTTGGGTGTGGGCCTCACTCTCACACACGTCGTTCAGGGGGGAACCAAAAACGCACACACTGTAGCATTCTGCATAAGCGTAGGGCGGATCTGATCAGCGACCGAGCCGAGGCAATAAGCCCTGTTTTTTAGGTCCGGCGCGGGGAGCACTTAAGCTCCACCACGGCTCGGTCACTATAGCTCGAGCGCCGGACCCACTGCGTGCACCATGACGCAGCACATACATGAACGACGTCCCACAGTCAGTGATTACTTCTGGACGAGCTTGGCCAGAAGAAGCACGCACTGACCTCCCAATCCGGCACTTGGATCCTTTCCCTGCTAAGTTTTTGGTTGTAAAGTGAGACCAGGGAACGCCCCCCGGAGACAGCGCGACTCACTTGCCTACTTGCGTACTAGCGCATAGAGCTAACGAGCGGCCCTCAAATCGCTGCCATTCGCCTTTTCGGCTAAAGCAAAAGGGCGGACGAGTGCTCCATACAAAAACACATGTAAAGTAGTCCGTTTTTTGCCACGCACAACCCCACGCCGTGGAGCCGCGCATTATGCAAATTGTGGCCATTCGCTCACTCAGGGATACCCGTAAGCACGCGGCAGGAACTGGCGACGGCGCAGACAAGGAGAACTCCTGGCGACAAGGTCCCACCTTGCGCCAGGGGGAAAGTTGACACGAGTAGGAGGGACGGGCGCGCCATGTGCGTTGACACGCATTTTTTGTTTTCGCTCCTGGGCTTTGCCCTTTGGGTTTTTCGCTCGTTCTTGCCGAACAGAACAACTGCGCCCGGCTGCTTGTAGGTCCCTTTCTGGTGCCTTATGTTTTTCTTTTGCTCTTTGGCTTTCCTTGGTAAAACAGTATCGCTTCCCTGTTTCATGAAGTGGAAGAAGTAGTGTCTGTTTTGCGGTAGAAGTAGTGTCTTTTTTGAAGATGTAGCTTTTTGGAAGAGGTTTACTTTTTGAAGTAGAACAAGTTGCTTGCTCAGAAAAGCGACTTCCATGGTCCTCGTCTGAACTTGGATCCCGGCGAGTCGCGGAAAAGCGACCCTATCTTGGGGCTCTCTTCCCGGCTCTCCTGCGTTTCCTGTGCCGCCTGCTGCTCGGGTGCTGGGTCGTTTCCTGGCGTCGCTGGTTCCGGACTTCGAAGTTCACCCCAGTCCCCCGAGTTGCTCCGCGCCCGTTTGCGGTTTTTCCTTGTCCCTTTCGTGCCTGGGGGCCCCGAGCTCGAGGAGGATGAGCTGGACGCGCTAGGTGGTTCGTCCACCTCCAGCATCTTGCTAAGGGACTTTGCGAGCGCGTCCTCGTCAAGGTGGTCCCAGCCTTGCGGGTGGAATTTGTTTTTTATCTGATCGGCATTTTCTTCCCACCATGGCTGAGCTTCCCCTTTGGCCTGTTTTTCCTGCACCCGTGCTAGTATGCCGCTGCTTGCCTGTGCGCCGTGTGCGGCCGCCTCGCTCAGGTTTTGCGCTTGCTCCTGGTTGCCTAGCAATGCTGCTGTGAGGAATTCCGTGCGCTCGCGCCTGCTCATTTCCGGCCAACGCTGTACCGGTTCGAACTTGAAGGCATCTTCACCATAGTCAAAAGCGGGCCAGTCAGCGTAGCAGTCGTGGTCAGCTACATTCACTACCGTCAGACCGGTAGAGATCACGGGGGGCGGTGTGGCAGTCACCCATGATCTGTCTTCGTCCGCGTCGTACTTACACTGCTTTATTACCACGTGTCCGAGCTTTTGCACCGCTTCGATTCTTTCTACCAGCGCGAGCACAATCCCTAGACCCCTGCGCAGTGGGCCCCGTGTTTTGATCCAGAGCCTGCGGTAGTCTTCTAGCCGGAAGCAGACCTTGGCCGTTTGAGGCCAAGACGCTATGGAATCCATAAGCACTATCGCGTTGTTGCAGTAGGCTGCAAAGCGCTGCTCTTCCTCTCTTTCCTCGGTCTCGAGGTGCGCGCCGTTGGTCTTTGCCGCCAGTACCGGGATACCTTTGCCCATTTTCTCCATTTCGCAGGCTAATGTCGTGCCTACGTCTGTGTGGGCGACTATGGACACTGTCTTCGTAGAGTGTGCCTTCGCTTGTGGGTCGACGAGTTCGGAACGGTCCGGGACTATTCCGCACGCCCGCAGGTCGGAAGAGTGTGGCAGGCGTGTGCTTGCTCCGTCGACAAGTGCTGTAACCAGCGCTAGATCCGCCCGTCGTCGATTTTCGATTGCTGCTCTTGGTACTAGCGCACATAAATAGAATGTCCACGACACCCATGACATTGACATCTCGCTTATTAATTTATCTTTAGATTCTTTCATTCGTACTTCTGCATCAAGCATCTAATACTTGTTGGGACGACGCTGGCCATTTTCTGCGTTTCGAAAATTTTCGCATTGTTTCTTCCGTCGGGTAGAACGGTCCAAACACCTCCACCGCACTGGATGATGGTTGTTCTTCCTCCCCCGGTATGCCATAAAAGAACTGTGCTCGTGTGGATTTTTTGCATGAACATACGCTACAGCAACAGCAAATTTCCTCTGCATGACACAAAAGACTCTTCATGCGCCGATGGTGCGTGCTGAATTCACCATCGACAAAGGGCTATCATGTACATGTTTGTGATGTCGGCGTCAGGGCATTAGCATTACTATTACAAAGAACAACTGCAATATTATAACAGTGCTGACAGTTGGGCTTGTCCTTGTCAACTACATGCAAAACCCTGCATTAATATCGCAAACAGACTTCTCACACTAAATGTTGACCACAGTCTTTTTCTTTCCATAAACGCTCTCGTGATAGCCCACATCGGGAACTCGCCATCGACCACATCTGCGCAAGTATGAAAGTGGACAAGAACTCGAACTCCCACTACCAGCAACTCGTCATCTGCGTCTATCATAATTTCCATGGGATGAAATTGCAAGAAGTACTTAAATTCTGCCGGCTGCCTTTTCGCCCTAACCCTAAGCAGTGATGCGTGACAACCTATAGCACAAGAACTCCAAACAGCAGTAGTACAGTGGGTCGTGCCTAGATTTATTTTTGTCATGCAGAAGCTACTACGTGCCTGCTGAAGAGAGGGACTTCTTCGAATGGATGTCCACTAGCATAGTAATCCTTATGGATGTGGCAGGATTGAAATCGACAAAGTTGAAAGAATTTGTAATGCATAAAATGGATGAAAGTTCTAACCCAGGTTCCAAGTGGCGCATGACAAATTTGGGTAGAACCGAAATCCAGTTTGTAACGCTGTTTGGGTAAGGAAGACGCCTTTTGTCATGCTACTTTAGCACCTCAGTTTCTACCCCTCAACAGGCTTATTATTATTATTATCGAAGCCACAGGTGATGCCGACCACTGTGCACAAACATCGCACGCACAAGGGGCCCATTGGATCTCAGTGCATCGTAGGATCTGTCACGGCAGGATCTCTCGCACCCGGAGTAGGTGCTCTTTCGGTCCCTCTCTCCTATCCCTAGGAGTGCCCTCACGGCTCGGAGGCGCGTCGGACGTAGTGCCTCGCGAACACCAACACCTCCCCACGACTGCCGTTGATTTTCGTCCGATTTGGAATTGCACTGCGTAGCCACAGCAAGCATTTGCATGTCTGGGGGCGCTCAACTCGTGGGCGGTTGTGCGCCGCCAGTGTGTTGCTGTGTGGCCGTTTCAGTGGTGCCACAGGGCTCGCCTGTCGTGGCGCGCTCTTCATAGTACCGACCAACCGGGTGGCCGCGCACTATCAACGGTCGGCGCTATAATTCTCGGTATGGGCTTGGCCGAGCTCGGATAAGGGGCGGCATCCGGGAGGGTGGGGTGGCCAGCCATCTGGGTGGCTGCGCTCCCCTAACGGTAGCGCAGCTGCGCTCGTCGGCGGTGCCACTCGGCTTGCTGCCCGGTCGCGTCCCGCGGACGCGCGAGGTGCAGCTGCGGCACCCGAGCGGCAGGCAACAAACAGCACAGCGGCGGCGTGCCTTTTTGTTGCGGACCTGCGCAGCAGCGCAAGCGCATGGGCCAGGGAGCTGCTTGCTGCTAGCTCTCCGCAGAACAACAAGGCCAGCGCGTATATATGGTCTACTAGGTGACATCATGAGAGGCGGCGGCCCTCATTCACTGGGGCCACTCTTTCAACCTACCAGATCTACTAACCGCTTGCCCTGATAAGCATGCGGCCTGCTTCTCCCCACGTTACGACCGGGAGATCTCCTCAGGCGACGGCCTTCACAGGAGGTCCCTCAACAGGCTTACAATCTGCCTCACTTGCCTATTCTGCAAGGCAGGCACTTTGTGGGCTGCATTTTATGCATGACAAATTCTTTCAACTGTGACGATTTCAATCCTGACACTCCCATAATCCTTCGTTTCACAGTAGTCCTCCAACTCGGTCAAGGTCAGCTTCGTTTTCTGCTGCTCATTATGCGACAAATAAGGAAAAATGCAGAAAATGGACCGGGTACTAAGTACATAAAACGCATGTTGACATCTAATTGTTGCATAATTCCAAGCCTGGACCAAGAACGCCTGTGCACGATCTTCTACGTCTCCTCAAGATATCCAATTATAACCAGATCTAGCGTGGTTGTGGAAGGTAGTCAACACAAGACCGGATTCTACTAGCCGAAGGGCTCTTGTACTAAGCGTGTGAGTACTAAGTCTGCTGCACTGCAAAATTTCATCTCAAAAATATCGGCAGTTTTCTTGTGTCACCTAATATCGAGGACATTGTACTGCACGGTACCAAATTTTGATTTTTTCTCTGGCATACGGAGGCGAAAATCCGGTGACATTGTTCCGTATCAAAATGAAAAATGCCCCCACCCCCGAACTTGGGAGCATTTGTATTGCAAACCTTTCCAAATGAAACACTCGCCCCCTTGCATCTATCAGCATCACAGATTTCCAATCGTGAATAGCAAAAATTTGTATTGCAAAAGACCCCAGCAAGAGTGGCGCTTGTCATGCAAGCGATGCGATACACGCCTAGGCTCTGCATCAGAAAGATTCATACTTCTTTCATGCATGACAAAAAGTTTTCATTTGGAAACTTTGCATCACAAGTTTTTGCGACTTTGGGGGTGGGGGCATTTTTCACTTTAATATTCCGCAGGTACAGTTCTTTTCCACGGTACCAAACTGAGTTGATTCCACCGTTTGCATGATAACTTGCGAGATCTTCATCTTTTACGTTCGCCCATGCTCCGTGCTCGGCATTTTTGTTCGCCAGGTGCTGCTTGAATGTCGTTTCGGCCACATAATTGGTTTTGAACGGATCCATTTTGTTCTTCCCCAGAATTAGCTTCCACAAATTCTGAAAAAGCGGGTACTTCGCGCAGTGGATTTTCGTCTCGCAGAGTATGAATTGCAAAAGTGTCTGGGTCTGGAAGATTGCAACTTGTCATGGTAAATCTGAAGCATGCAAAAATCTGTGTTGCATGAGTGCCATAAAGCTGTCCACTTTTGACCAAGTTGGGCCGGAGTTTCTCATGCAGAATAGGCATGGCAGAGACCTCGCAGAGTCTGTCATGCTAAGTCCCGCATTCCAGACCTCATGGGTCATGGAAAATCTGCATGACAAGTCTACATTCTTCCAGACCCAGACATTTTTGCATTTGATACAGAGCTTTCGCCCGCAAAAGTAGAATTCCTCGTCGGTGAGCGTGAAGTCACTCTCGTCCCTATTGCAAAGAAAAATCCCCCCTCCCCATATTGAAAACATGTCCTTCCGAAAATTTGTAATGCAGATTTGTGGCCACAAATCCTGTCTGTCTTGCCAGAAGGCAAATCCAGAGAGTCCGCCGCGATATGGAGGCGGTTTGTAATGCTGCAAGGCTACAGGGCAGACGTCTGCCATGCTAGGCCCCTACACCAAGAGGCCCCCCCTTAGGCTTGCTGTCTGCGTGCAGTGCTTTCCTGCAAGACAAATGTAATTTGTGTACGCAAATCCAGCATCAGAAATTTCCTTTTGATATGGGGAGGGGGGATTTTTCATTTTGATAGTCCCGTGGGTCACTCGAGGTCAGAGCCCAGCGCATGCTTGCCTCCTTTGCACAGGCTGCGTACAGGTCCGCCACGGTCAGTTCCTCGCCCGAGCCGGCCTCGTCACTGCTCATCTATCCAACATAGAAAAAAAGTGTTTGCGGTTAGTCAACACTTGTTGTCAATTCAGCAACACAATTTTTCTCTGTATGATAGAGAAAACTTGCAATGCTGATATCATAAGTAGGGAAAGTACGTATGAATAACAACGAGGTTCCTATGCATAATATCCGGCATGTTGACAGAGCTTGTCTGCATAATTGCTTGGCCTTGAACACAATGTGTAACTGTAAACACTTTTATTCTTTCCATATCATCAGTTCCGCCAGCAGGGCCCTGTCATCGTCGTCCAAGTACTGGCAGTGCGGCATAATCTTCTTGGTCTGCTGCTCCTGCTGCGCTCCAGCCTGCTGCTGCTGGCCGGAATCTTTGCCCGACACCTCCACTGCACTGGACGCTTTTTCATTTTCCTCCAAGAACGAGTAATCGTGGAAAGAGTGCGTGCCGTCTTCACCGTCGACCACATCCAAGTAGCTATGACAGTGCACAACTCGTCCCCCTCCCTCTCCTTTGTATATCATGAAGGGCAGCACAAGCATCAGCAACAGTGCCGGTCTTGCATCACAAATTTGCACTGGACTGTAGTGTTATTCGGGCTACTACCAGCACTTGTCATGCAAAACAGTGACAGGCGGGAAAGTGTGGAATTGGTGTTTTGCATGAGAAATGAGAACAAGGGGGACGTCGAGTTGTGCACTGTCATAGTAGCTGTTCGAATCACAGTAGTTTTCCAATTCCGTCACAGTGAGCGCTTTCTTATCCTGTGCAAAAGTATCGTACTCGTAGTAATCGCAATCATGCATTACAAATCTCCATACCAAGGCAAAACAGCATGACAAATTCCCTTTGTCATGCTGAGCTAATTAGTATTGCAATTACTACTAGTAGCAGTACGATACTTTTGCAGTTCATATTTCTGCTGCTCGGGCGACCGCACTTCCCCGTTAACATTGTTCCCCCGGTGCTCTTTGAAGGTCGCTTCGGACAAAAATTCTCGCGGCTTGTATTACAATGAAAAATGCTCCCACCCCACACTTGGCAGCATTTGTATTGCAAACATTTCCAATAGAAACATTTCCCTTCTTGCATATCTCAGCATCACAAATTTTCCATGCTGAATAGGTCGAATTTGTGTTGCGAAGGCGCCCAACAGCAGCCGGATCTGTGATGCACAAGGCAGTTTACGCACCTAGATTCTGCATCAGAAAGGCTCGCAATCCTTTCCTGCAAGACCAAAAGCTTTCACTTGGAAACTTTGCATGACAAACTTTTGCAAATTCGCGGGTGGGGGCATTCTTCATTGTAATAGCTTGTCCGTCATGTTCATCCCGAGAATTAGCTCCCACAAATTCTTATCGAGTGCAAATATGTCTGGGTCTGGAAACTTGTGATGCTGAATCGCGCATGATTGAAGCGCTTCCAATGGCAGCCAAGCATGACAAGTTTTTGAGACGCCTGCTAATGCCTAGGACGCATTACAAATTGCGTTTTTGCATGACAAAGGAAGCTTCTCTTTTGCTTCTCATGCAACACAGATTTTTCATAAATGTAAGACGCGCATTACAAGTTCCACTTTTCCAGGCCCAGACATATTTGCCCTGGATAATTCTGGAAATGCTGGAGGTCATCAGTATCGCAGCGGATTTTCGTCTCGCACATCTTTCGTCCGCACATGTGGAATTCCTTGTTGCTGAGCGTGAAGTCGGTCAGAGGCGTTTTCTCCTTCTTTTCACAGGCTGCGTACAGGTCCGCCACGGTCAGTTCCTCGCCCGAGCCGGCTTCGTCACCGCTCATCAGTTCCAGCAGCAGGGCCTTGTCATCGTCATCCAAATACTGGCAGTTCGGCATAATCTTCTTGATCTGCTTCTAGCAAGGAAAAATGCCCCCTCCCCATATCGAAAAGGTATACTTTTCGAAATTTGTGATGCTAAAACAACCGCACCGACATTGCCATTGTCCATTATCACTGGGAAGGCAAGCCTCCGCAGGCGCTTCGAAATTTGTGATGCTGATTTGGGGTCAGAAATCGTGTCTGTCTTGCAAGAAAGACAATCCAGCGACTCCGCCGCATCATGCAGGCGGTTTGTGATGCTATGGGGCCTACAGAGTACACATTTGCCATGCTGCGCGCCTACGTCAAAACCCTTCTACTTAGGCTTGATATGGGCTTGCAGTCCCTTACTGCAAGACAGACTTGATTTGTGTACGCAAATCCAGCATCAGAAATTTCGTTTTGATATGGGGAGGGGGGATCTTTTCCTCTGATACTGCTGCTCCTGCTGCGCTCCAGCCTGCTGGTGCTCCTCCGCCTCCTCTTCCACGTCGCACGCGGCCTGCAGTTCCGGACAGAAGTTTTGGTCCCACCGCGTCTATCAAATGCAAAAGTGTCTGGGAGGTCTGGAAGATTGCGAGGTTTGTCATGCTTGTCTGGCATGACCAAAAAGTTTGTGATGCGTGTCCAAGAAGAGACCCGCCTTTTGCCTGTCATGCAAAAATGCAGTTTGTCATGCGAAAAACGCAACAAAAAGAAGCGCAGATATTTCTCATGCTTGCCTGTGCATTACAGAGCATTCACTATTCCCAACGCAGCATCACAAGTTTCCAGACCCAGACATTTTTGCAGTTGATAGCTTCGCGTTGCAAGTGGGCTCCGACCCGTCTTCGAAGTGCCGAGGCTGGCTGCAGTCGTCGACAAACTCACTGAGCTGCCGAAACGGACTCTCCGGACTGTTGTCAAAGTCGACCAGGAGTTTATCCTTCCTCTGGAATCCTACCTTCAGCGTCTCCGTGATAACGTCCGTGCCGCAGTGGAAGCCCGCACGATACCTGAGGTGTCGGCCCAACCGCTGAAACTGTTGTCCCACGTTATACTCCCTGTCCCCCGACGGCAGCGCCCCGAGTTTGTTTTTCGCGTTATTCAGGTGGTGCAAGCCGACGTTGACTGTGTCCTTCGCCGCGTTGTACGGGTGCTGGACGGTTTCTGTCGCGTTTTGGAAATGCTTCTTCGCCGCGTTGTAGTGGTGCTGGACAGTCTCTGTCGCGTTTTGGAAATTTTCCTTCGCCGCGTTGTAGTGGTGCTGGACGGTTTCTGTCGCGTTCTGCACATGCTCCTTCGCGGTATTGAGGTGGTTCCCGACAGTGTCCAAATGCCCTTTCAGTGTGTTGTAACCCTCTTTCACGTCCTGGACCCGGTTTCCCACTCCACTCAGAAAATCCCCAGCGTCCTCGAGACTAGGCTGACGGCGCTGTTCGTGTTTTTCGACAAACGCGCTTGCAGCAGTAGTTGATGGCCTTCTGCTTGTTTCGCTGCCATCGCGGCGAAGATTTATTCGCTTGGTTTCTTCAGTCTGCTGATGCGCCGCGACGGCGGGAATACGTACAATTGCCCGGTCGGTTTGCAAAAACAAATTTTTCGCGTTTTGCTCGTTCCCCGCCCAAAAGTGCGTCGGCGCTGCGGATTTGGTAGTACTTCTGCGAGCGGCATTTTTTTGAAGCTTGATGTTCCCTCTCCGCTTCATCGCATGTTGTGCTCGCTTCGTCTGCAATACCGCTTCCTTAGCGCCTGATTCCTTCCCGACCGCCTTCCCGAAAACAGCACCCGGTTGTAGCGGGAAAAAGAGGATGAAACCGGAGGTGAGGAAACACCGGGTCAGGATCCTCATGAGGGGCGACTGAGCCGATTTTTTCAAGGAAAACGTTCCTGCAAGCGCCATGGGATGGTGATGTCTTTCGAAGTAGTTGGAAGAAGAACTAGTGCTGGTTTGCTGAACTTTAACTTGTTTCTACCGATATGAAGGAGTTGCGGCTGGTGCACCAGGAACGACTAGAAGTAGGTCTAGTAGATCCAACAGCTCTAGCAGCAGGAACCGAAACCGCCGGTCCTGCTCTATTTTACAAGAACGCTTTCGGATGTATCTACTTCCCCCGAGCCACTAGTTGTTACCCTAGTGGCATAGCATGCTCGCCAACACTGAAAAAAAAAGAGCCTGCCGTTCTTAGAAGTTGCGATGAAGTTGCAAAATTCCTCTACGAGCATGGGAAGAATCAATACGAAGCGTAACGAGGGCGCAACAAATTTACGATAATACGACTGCAATCAAGAAAATAACGTCGACTTCATTCACACGAAAAGCAGCCGCGGCAGCCCACGTTGCTTTGTACTGTGGATTTCGCAGTACTTACTAGCGGGGCTGAACTAGCAAGCAGACCAGTGCATTGATCGGAGATACCAAGCCATTACAGATGAAAGAGAACCGCCGGGGTTCCTGTTTTTTTTCTGACGACTTCAAAAATGAAAGTGTGAGTACTTCTTGAGTATTCAACTTGTTTTCCGTTCCCGGTCATTTCACGAAGTAAGTTTTGACGATCTGCATCTTCGAGAGACGAAACGAAACCCGTGGCAACGAGTTGCGTTCTCTGCTTTCCAAAACTACCCTGATTCGCCGTTTCTTCTGTAGTTCCGTAGGCTCCTGTAGTTATCTTTGGCGCTAATCGGTATGGAAGAATACGACTACGACGGGAGATCGGTGCAAGAAGCAAAACTGCCCACATGTGCCACATGTGTCAAGTTCCTGCACTCGGTTGCTGTCGTACTATCTTAATTCTCTGTTGTCCTGTTATGAGTTTGTAGCATTAGAACATCTTGCAAATATTGTCGTCAGAATAGAACTGCACTTGATCCGACTTCACGCATACCGTGCTAAGTGCAACGAAGATTTGTTGGCTTTGCTCTTTACTTTCTCGAGCAAACAGGGTGCTACGAGCACCAACCAGGCGTGCGAAGCTCGAGATCTTGTACGGACGTCCTTTTAGATATACACATCAACTATCTTATTTACCGAATTAGATTGGTTTCTGGAGTATTGCATGACAAATTCGGTGGCCGTGCATTCCAGCAGCGCAAATTTATCTGGTTTTTCGACAAGAAATAGAGCATCTCGAGTTTGTGCAACACAAAATGAAGAAGTAGAACGTAACGGCAAACCGTCGCACATTTTGAACTTTTTCAAATCTGCATGACAAATTGCTCTTTCTGTCTTGAAAAACACCACACGCGAAAACAATAGGGGAAAGGAGACTTGTATGAGAATCGCTGCTCAAAGACGCTCACGGTAGAGCGAAATGGTGAATCTTCATCATTACTGAACCGTTGTCGAAAGCTCTCAGTTTCTCATGTTGTTGTAGCCCAAAAAACCAAACAAAATGAACAAACTGACGCAGCACACTGGTGCACGGGCCTGCAGCAACTTCTTCTACATCTTCTTCTTCTTCTCGATTGTTGAACAGGAAGACAACAAAACGTCTTCCCGAGCGTGTGAGAGGAAATTAGAATGTTAGATGTGCTGTAACCTGTAACAAGAGAGGTTTTGACGATCTGCATCTTCGAGAGACGAAACGAAGCCCGTGGCAACGAGTTGTTCTCGCCACACGACACGCTACAAGTGCTACAGGGCCATACAGTTGTTCTCGTACGAACAGAAGAATGAACAAACGGCGAGGCGCCAACGAGTCTTCACCTGTTCTTCGTGTAGATCCCCTAGCCTGGTAGGGTACTAACCAATACTCTCAAGTTTTGATGCTTCAAAAAAGTTCTTTGGAAAATGAAACCGAGGTGATGCTGATGTTCCGATCCGGAAGATTCGGGCTTGTTTATCGTTTTCGCCTCCAAGGTCGTGAAGATGCTTGATGTTTTTTTATTCCGATTTTTAATCCAAAAGTTGTTGTTGATAAATCTGCGGTCCTCGTTAGAGATAATGATTTGTGTACTCATCGAAGCGCGACGAACTACGCAGTGGAGTGTGATGAAAACAAGAACTCCGCTCATAAATTTGTACCTGCAAAAGAACGGCGTTTCCGGTCTTCTCGCCCCCCACCCAAACGTGGGTTTTCGACGACTCGACGGCTTCGGCCAGCTGGGCCGCGAGCAGTTGCAGTGCGAGAGTGGTGGATTTAGGCATTTTCTGGGCTTCTTCGGTCAGAACAATGACTTATGTATGAACAATCAAATAAAGACAGGCTCTATTAAACTACTGTGTGCTGTGTAAGTACTACTAGTACTCGAAGCTTATTTTTCCAGCGCCTTATTTTTTGCTCCCGGCAAAAAAAACAAGCTTTTCCTGGATGACATGGACAAACAAGTTCACGATAGCATGGTGATGTAGAGCTAACGACGAACAGCAGTTGTGAAAATGGGCCGCAAGAAATAGCACGAAGGACGAAGGTCGTGACGCACGCAGAAGGCCGCTGGCAGCTCGGACAGTATTGACCAAGCAGTTCTAGCAGTTCCAGAATGCCTACAAGCAATCTTGCACGATGGAATCTGTACTTCACGATTATATGGGACTACTACTAGCAATCTTGCACGATGGAATTTGTACTTCTACTACTGGAATTTGTACTTCACGATGGAATTTGTACATCTACAAGCAATCTTGCACGATTATATGGACTACTTCAGCCAGACGACAGCACGACTATACGAAGATCACCGGCCACGGCCTCAAACAGGCCTTAAGCCTACAGCTTTCAAACGAAGGTAAACGACCTTGCTTCATCGAGCAGAAGAAGCGACGAAAGGGCGAGACTTTTTACTTTTATCCACTTTTGATAGTACGGGCCTACTTCCAAGTACGTTACCCACCCGATGACGCACGAGCCACACGACACACTATGAATGCTACAGGACCAACGTTTGATGTTCTCGTACGAACACAAAAATGAACAAACAGCGAGCCAAGGAGCCTTCACTTTGTTGTTGTTCCCTAGCCTGGTAGGTACTAATACTCTCAAGTTTTGATGCTTCAAAAAAGTTCTTTTGAAAATGAAACCGAGGTGAAGATGTTCCGATATCAAATGTAAAAATGTCTGGGTCTGGAAGATTAGAACTTGTCATGCTAAATCTGAATGATGCAAAAATCTGTGTTGCGTGAGTACTCATCGAAGCGCGACGAACTACGCAGTGGAGTGTGATGAAAACAAGAACTCCGCTCATCTGGGCGACTATTCATTACCCCTCGTCTTCGGACGGAAGTCTTCTTCCGCGCAGGACTCCTCATCCTCTGCAAGTGCCCACATGCGGTGAAGTTTCTTTGTGAAAACAAAATTTAATGTTGTCGCTGGATTTTTGTCTAGACAGTTTGATGTCCATGGTCGTCTTCATGGTCGTGTGTTGATGTTGGTAGGAAGTGTTTACTACTCTCCCCAGCTGCTGGAAGTCCTCGTTCTTGTTGCCACTTTTTGTTCAAGAAGAAGGAAGAAACTGTTGCGAAACACAGCTTGGCTTGTTATTCGTTTATTTTGCACGACGACCTATGCCGCTTATTTCATCGCCGTTCTTCTTCGTTTAATCCAACTACTTGTCTCTTCTTGATCGCCGGCATCAAACGCGGTTCATTTTTCTTGCTGGTGCGCCACAAGCTATCAATCAACACAACACAATCACAAAGCGACGACCTTATTTCCCCATGAATTCCTTCCTCCGTTCCCCGTTCAAACACAAGGAGAAAAATTCGTGTTTCACGGCCTCCTCAGCGTTCACCCGCTTCTTCGGGTCCAGCTGCAGGCACTTCTGCAACAGGTCCGAAAACGCGGAGACTTGTTCCTTACTGCCCTTAATGTTCCGGTCCTGGTCCTTGTTCACGTTGCACTTGTCCAACTCCAAATATTTCACAAAATCCTTCATCCGCAGGTGCGCCGTGGCCATTTTGGTCGCTTTTTCGGACAATAATTTCACCTTGGTCGGCTGGTCCATCGATTTGTCACCCATCTCGTTCTGTATCCTGTGTAAAAACGTCCCCAGCCGAGAGTTGTAATGCAAAACGGCATGCCTACGAATGTTTCTCATGCGCGACCCCAACATGTTGAAGGGCATTATCCGATGCCGTTTGGCTGCAGCTTCTCATGCTGCAATCAGGATGAGAGGGTCGATTTGTCATGCGGCTGCACTAATTATACCTTAAAACCATGACACTACGAAGTAGATCCCAGGTTTGTCATGCGCAACAGCCTAAACTTGTTGATTTGTGTAGCCAAATCCCCGAACTTGACTATCGGGTGAGGGACGTTTTCACGCAGGATATTCTGCAGCGCTTCTTCGTCGTGGAGCAGAAAATCCCCGGTTTTCTTGTCGAAGTGCTCGTGCGCGTAGTCGCCGACAACGAAAGCCGGTGTAACGGAGCCGGACCCGGAGGACTGCCCGTTCTGTTCTCGCTCCTTCTGCAGTTCCTTGTTTTTCTTCTGACAGTACGCGTGACAGACCATTTCCAGTGGGAACCGACCGCACAAATCCATCATCTTCTGGATCATCTTGTTATCCGATGCCCCGGTGAACAGGATTTTCCCCTTCGCGAGCTCGTACAGCGTGCACCCGAAACTCCACATGTCGATGCCGCAATCGTACCGCTGGCCGAGGAAAACCTCTGGTGCGCGGTAGTACCGCGGCTGGATGTTGCGGTCACGAATGGTCTTCTCCTCGTCCATAGCCGCACCGAAATCGGCGATTTTGGCTACTGAGTTGTCCTGGGTGAGGAGAACGTTGTCCGGCTTCAAATCCTATGAATTGCAAAAGTAACGTACTAGTATAATACAAATTGGCTCAGCATTACAAATTAAATTTGTATATGCGGATTTGCCTTAGGAATTAGATTTGTAATGCATAAATGCAATTAATACGAGTACGATACTTTTGCACAGGATAAATCCGCTTGGATGATGCCCTGTCGCTTCAGGGCGCGAAGCCCATACAGAATCTGGATACCCCACCTGTAGTTTTTAGTTTAGTAGTCAATAGGTTTGTTCGTGCTAGGGTTTCTTGAATATGACAAAGGACATGGTAGCGTGTGAACAAGCTGAAATATCAAATTTCAAGTGATACAACTCGAAGAAATTTGATTACAATGATAAACAAAACAAGTATTCTCAAAAAAAAAGTCTCTTTCTCGAATTATAGATGGCAAAACATCAATACAGCGCCACGGTGCTGAGGGGAAAGCCCTTCGCGGAGTCGCTTTGGCCCTTCAGATATCGGTCGTATCATATGTAAAAACGTCTCCATCCCAGGGCTGTCATGCAAGTGCGCAATGACAGCAACATGTGTAATGCGCATCTCCATGAGAGGCGTGTCCGGTCGTGTGTTGGAATTTGTAATGCTGTAACCAGGATGAACAAGCGCGCTTCTCAAGCGGCCTCCCTTGCTAACCAGCACTACACTGCAGATGGAAGCTTGTCATGCACAACTCCCAAAACTTGGAGATTTGTGTTGCAGATTCACCACCTTGACTATGGGGTGGGAACGTTTTTACACAAGATACATCGCTGGCTTTCCTCAAGTCGTGCCGCATCAGGTCGAAGACCATGGCCTGCAGGTCGTGATGGCGAAAGTGTTTGTTTTCGTGCAAATACATCAGAAACTGTGACCCAAACCGGTCCACCCGCGGTCCCTCCGAGCTCATCCGCATCATCCTCTCAATTTCCCGTATCCTGGGTAAAAACGTCCCCACCCCAGAGTTGTCATGCAGATGTGCAATGACAGGAACATTTGTGACGCGCATCCCCATGATAGGCATTTCCAACTGTGTTTAGGAATTTGTGATGCTGGAAACAGCATAAGCAGATGGATTTATGATGCGGCTATCCTTGCCAACCTGCACTACATGACGGACTGGAACTTGTCATGCGTGACTCCCAAAACTTCTAGGTTTGTGTTGCAAAGTCCTCATCTTGACTCTGGGGTGGGGACGTTTTTACTCAGGATATCCCGCATGGCCTGGTTTTGCATCGCCCGCACGTTCCGGATGATTTTCACTGCTACGAAATCTCGATCGTCCTCCCAGTCATCATATCTCCGGTTATTCCCCCGATAGTTGTCTCGGTTGTTTCTGTGTCTATCTCTTCCGACCTTCTTACACTTGAACACTGAGGAATAAACGCCGGTTCCTAACTGCTCCACGGCTTCAAACTCCCCGTTATCGCCGAGCTTCTCCCCGACCTGGCACTTGTAGTACTCCTGCTTGTCGATTGTGGGGTCGTTTTTATTCCGGTTGTTTTCCGGATTCTATCCTGTGTAAAAACGTCCCCACCCCAGAGTTGTCATGCAAATGCGCAATGTCAGGAACATTTGTAATGCGCATCTCCATGAGAGGCATTTCCAGTCGTGTTTTGGCATTTGGAATGCTGTAAACAGGATGAGAAAATGGCTTACTCATGCGGCTTTCCTTGCTAGCCAGCACTACACTGCAGATGGAAACTTGTCATGCAGAACTCCCAAAACTTGAGGATTTGTGTTGCAGACTTCCCATCATGACCATGGTGTGGGGACGTTTTTACTCAGGATAGATTCCTGAACGCGATCATCTCGATGTAGTCGACCTGCTGTTTCGATAACCGCTCCCGCTCCATCTTCAACATCTTATCAAATGCAAAAGTGTCTGGGTCCGGAAACTTGTGATGCTGAGTGGCGTAGCATGAGGAGGCCACAAGTACTGGCTCAGCATGACAAATTTCTGAGCTTGTAGGTGTTGCCTAATCTGCATGACAAACTGCGTCTCCGCATGACAGAAAAATGCGGCTCGTGAGCAACGTGCATGACAGCTTTAAGAGTCATGCCAGACAAGCATGACAAACATGCACTCTTCCAGACCAAGACATTTTTGCATTTGGTACATCTTCGTTTGTTGCAAAATGTTCCCGATATTCAACCGACTTGTGTTCGCGTTGTGCATGACATTGTCCCGGAGAGAGGTGTATGAACTGCAAAAGTATCGTACTCGTATAAATGCATGACAAATTTCCTCAGCATGAGGAAGAAAATTTGTAATGCGGATTTCCCTTAAGAAAAAGATTTGTAATGCATGACTGCAATACGAGTACGATACTTTTGCAATGCATAAGGTGATCGGCATCACATTCCCGTCCCGATCTCGTTTCTCATGCCGGGAACCACGGTGTTGCGTGTCGTCCCTGCTTCTATCCCGGTCTCTGTCGTAATTATGCCCGTTCGACCTGTTTGTTGTTCTGTGTTCATCGGAGTACCGGTTTTCCCGGCTGGGGAGATGTCGCAAGGCGGAGTTCTGCTTGTTATCCGATGGGTAGCCGTGGGACTCTAAGTGTTGGGAAAACCCGCCGGAAATCGACCCCTGAAACATCGACCTGTTTCTGTCCCGGTGGTCTCTATGACTATCCCCGCCTCGTCTGTCGTTGGTACTTCTATCCGCTTGTATGTCCCTTAAACTCAAAACGTTCTCGTAGTGATCCTGTATATCGTTCCCGTCCCCGGACTTGTTATTGCGGTTCTTCGACCTGCGATTATTATCGCGATCTCGTCTTCTACTTCTCGACTTCCTCCTCGATTTATTTCTATCCCGATCCCGACTCCTACTCTTCCGTTTTTTCCTGTCTCTAGAGCGGCTCTTCCGGTTGTGATGTCCACCTTTTCGGTCCCTGTCTCGGTCGCGGGACCGTTTCCTCGTATCAAATGTAAAAGTGTCTGGGTCTGGAAGAGTGCGCGATTTGTCATGCAGCTTTTTCATGACCCATGAGGTCTGGAATGCAGGACCTAGCATGACAGATTCTGTGCGATCTTTCTCATGCCTATCCTGCATGAGAACCTGCCTCCCGACTTGGTCAAAACTGGACGACTTTTGGTATATCCTGCAACACAGATTTTTGCATGCTTCAGATTTAGCATGACAAGATGCATTCTTCCAGACCCAGACATTTTTACATTTGATACCTCGATTTTCGTGAAGACTTTTCCTTGTCGCGATCGTCTTTGTTTTTCTCTGGACGATTATCGTCGCCGCTATCAGCATTGTCGGGAGAGGGTTTATATCAAATGTAAAAATGTCTGGGTCTGGAAGAATGAGCGACTTGTCATGCAGCTTTTCCATGACCCATGAGGTCTGGAATGCAGGACCTAGCATGACAGATTCTGTGCGACCTCTCTCATGCCTATCCTGCATGAGAAACCCCCTCCCGACTTGGTCAAAACTGGACGACTTTTGGTTACATGCAACACAGATTCTTGATTGTTTCAGATTTAGCATGACAAGTTGCATTCTTCCAGACCCAGACATTTTTACACTTGATAGTTTATTGATTTGATCCGTGGTGGAGTTATTGCTCAAGACGTTATTCGTTGTCCCTCCGGTGGACCCCGCGGCGGATTTGCCGTTTGCGTAGGGCTTTTCCTTGTTATCCACGGACTCCAGACTCGCCGAGCTCTGCGAGCCAACCATTTCCACATCGGGGGAGGACATGTTTTGGGGTGGAGGGAGAGGTGGGTCGTCGTCGTTTGATGTTACTACTGGGATACAACCGTTAACGATGAAGATGGGGTAGTTGTACTACTTATCGGCGGAAGGTGTTGCTGGACCGCTGTTTCGTTAGAGCAGCGAATTTGACGTATGGGTGGGGCAGAGACCTGTGATGATGTGAGAGGGAACTAAATGCAGGATCATTACCCATGGAGACGTGACTTACGGTGACAAGTAGATAATGAATATGGACTAATTGCTTGGTCTGAATCTGAACATGCAAAAACAGGTGGAGCCATTAGGTAGTTTCATTCAAATCCGCCCACGAAGAAAGAATATTATTGCACTGATGTGCAAAATACGTATGCACATCAGCCAAGTCACACAAAAAATACCTTCAGAAACCGAGTGCCGGTGCCTCTTGCACTGCTTCTGGGGCTGAACGACCCGGCCGCAGCGTGGAGCTGGAAGGCGTGGCCGTTGCGGAGAGGAATTATCCGGAAGTGGTCCTAGCTGGGCAGGGTTGGAGTAAGTACTTACCCAGGGTCGTCGTCGCCTGGACGCTGCTTTTCGGGGTAGCTTTTCCGCCTCGTCTGTATTACTGGCCGACGAGGTTGTTGGGTCTGTGGTCGAGTTTTTTGTTGCGATACGGAAGAATTATTATCATTTTTGGGGCTTTAACTTTAATATTCAACAAAGCTACAAAATTTTTCGCGTGATCTTCTCAACTACGCCGTAAGCATATGCAAACGAGCAGCATGATCTCTCTGCGTTTTTGACTCGTCTGAATTGCGTAATATTGATGAAGTAGAAGTGTTTTGTCTTCGTCTGCCATTGACTTGCACTTGTATACCCTGTTAATCTGACCCTGGCAACACAAATGGTCCGTACAATCTAACGGAACCATTTGTCCATTCGCTGGCGCCACGAAACACCTTTCGGAGGGAGAAAATGAAAATTTCATCCACTACAGTTGCAAAAAGAAAAATTATCTTTCATGCAAAACCACAATCGCGTTGTCTTTCTTGTTTGCTTCCACTTGTCATGCGACGGCGCATCTTCAAGTAAAAGATCGAACTCAAAAATGCTCATGCATCACGAACAAATCAAAAACAAAAACCATAAAAGAATTATATCAATACGATTTTATTCGCAGCTCGTGAGGACGTTTAGTTAGCAATTCTCCCGCCGCGGGTGGTCAAAGCAGGGCAAATCCAAACCGTGTTTGATGAGCGGCGTTTTGCTTCTGACCTAAATGTTCAGCCCTCTTCATCACAATTGTACCCCGTCGGAGAAAGCTGGCGTGCTCGCCGTTCGCAGACCACGAGGTAGACGGTCTCTATCGGAAAAAGAAAAAGTGTGGAAGAGCACCAAGGTCGCTGTCTTTCTGTATTCTCAGGATGTTGAATATGTAGCTCTCTAATGTCACCGCTGCTGTTCTTCCTCTTGCCCTGCTTGCGAGATGGAAAAGAAATCTGGTACTACTGTTTCCCCTTCGGGTAGATGAAGAAAGTTTCTTTGAAAAAGTTCTTGGCTCTAGACCGCTAGTACTCTCCGGGAGGCGAGGCCATGAGCCGGTGTTTTGGTTTTGTTTTCGAGGAAAACTCAAACCACAGCAAAATACTTTTGGATAAATTCTCAATGTGAAGGAGGTCTCAAAATCAATCAAATAGATCAAACAGGCAAAGCAAGTAGAAATAATACTGGCTATACTTACTTTCAAATTCTGTGGGGATAGATACAGTGCACGAATTCAAATAACAGATGCGTAGTCGTAGCGCGAGCGTATGCAACCTATTGAGAAGTAGCTCAAAGAAAGTAGATCTATACCCTATCAAGAAAATTATATTTCAGTGAAGCTAGAAATGATCCTCGTCGCGGAAAAAAAAAGTGCTCATGGTAGAAACTAGTTTCACTTCCACTTACCTTATCCCTATCTTTCTTTGGGTGGTAAATATCATGGAGAGAAGGGTCCTGAAATGGTGTTGGTGGTTCACATTAGATGGAATCAGGAATTTGAAGGCAAAAAATCGCAGATCGAAATCACTTTTTCATGCGCAACAAATCCAAAAATTGCAGATCTACTTGTTTCATGATCGCAATAAGATGGTATACTCAATTTTGAACGTATTCAGAGTAACTTGGCCTACGATGGGGGTCTTCGCTTTCGTACGTGTTTTTGAAATTTGACACAAAGTTTGAGTGGCACGTCCGCACGGCGTTTGATTTGGCAAAATTTGATGGTAGCCGCCTCTCGGTTGTTAGTAGCTTGCTTTTTGTTTTTGCCTGGACCGAAAAAAAATGAACGAAAAAAGTCGTCTTCCAAAAAATTTTGTTTAATGAACATCAACTACAGCACTGGCGACGTACGGAAATGAAGCCACCAGGCGACGCGTGCGAGTTTTCATGTTTTCCGTTCAAGTACGATCACAGGAATCCAAATCTCGTGCGATTTTCTTGTCGTCTGCGTATTTTCATCACACTAAAGTAGACGACTTTGCTTGCCTTTCTTGAATAAACAACTACTTTTGAGAAGTATGTTGCTCTTTCCTCGTCGTTGATTGCGATTCAGTTATCTCAGATAGCGTGTCCTTACAAATATTCTGACTGACCTCTTTTTTTCTCGACAAAAATTGTTCGTTCAAAAATTTCAAATTCAATCCCAGAGGACTTTATCATCTTATATTTGGTTTTGTTCTCATCTTTACTACAAGTGAGGAATGCTGCGCTTATCTGGTTTTCCAACTAGTCTCCGCAAAACAAAAACTCCGGCGTCTACTTCGGTTGTACAAAAAAAAACTGTTTCTACGCAATCCCGATGTCTTTCTTGTATTGCTTGTAGACTTCCGAAAAGATCTTCACATCCTCTTCAAAAGTTTCCGGCAACAGCGGCCCGAAGGAGAATATCCAAGAAAAAAACATTGTAGGTGCAACTTTTTTGGAGGAACAGCATTACAAATTTGCCTGGCATGGCAGCAAAAACCTGTCACGCGCAGATAGTACGGGAAAACGCCCTTTAATGGACTCTCAGAGGCATGCCAAGCATGACAGACGCAATCAACTTGCATGTTGCGCATCACAAATTTACACTAACAACGTTTTTTTCTTGGATAGAGAACCGGAAGAACCGCAGGTACGGGCTCTGGTAACTCTCGTCCTTCGAATGCGGCCGGGCCATGTCACAGTTCGGCTATCATGAGGAAAAATCCCCCCTCCAAACCTGTGATGCTGATTTGTGAGCACAAGTCAGCTTTGTCTTGCAAGGAGACAAGCGCAGAGGGGTGCGCCGCTTTCTTATGGGACGAGGGACTTGCTCTCATGCGGTTGGGCCTACAGGGCAGGCGTTTGGCATGCTAGACAGCTAGAAGTAGACCCTCACTGTCCTAAACGGGCTGAGGAGTAGTTCACTGCAGTCCTCTGCTGCTAGACAGAACTTATTTGTGTACGCAAATCCAGCAACAGAAACTTCATATTTCGATACAGAGAGAGGGGATTTTTCATCTTGATATCGGCCCCTCGAGAATCGCGGCGCCCTTCTTGAATAGCCGTTTGTTCAGTTCTCGGCAGTCCATGCTATTGTAAGGAAAAATCCCCCCTCCCCTCCATATCGAAAAGGTATGTTTCCGAAGATTTGCGTTGCTGATTTGAGACCATGCGTCGCGTCTGTCTTGCAAGAAGACAAGCGCAGAGGCTGCCGCGCCATTATGGAAGCGGTTTGGTATGCTGTTGCGCCTAGGGGACAGCCGTTTGTAATGCTAAGCAACTAGACCCAAACGCCCCCACCTAGGCCGAAAATCTGGCTGTGCTGCCTTACTGCAACACAAATCGGATTTGTGTACGAGAAAAGCCAGCATCAGAAGTTTCGTTTTGATATGGGGAGGGGGGATTTTTCCTGTTGATACATGCCCTCCGGAAGCTCCAGCCAGTGGTAGAAACCGCCGTTACCTTTTTTTTTTTCGTTCTAGTAATTCACAACGCATTTTCACTAAGCAAACGAAATAACGAGCTACGCATTAATAACGAAACGACCTCTGTCATGCAAACCAAGTACTAGACACAAAAAATAAGTTGTACTCTGTATTGAGTCCAGTAAGTACCAGTGTGGATTTTCAGCCCCAGTTCCTTGAACGCCTCCCCGTACCGCTTCCTTTGCCAGTCGTAGTGCTTCTGCACGGCCTTCCTGGCTTGCGCCACCCGGACGGGTTCGAACAGTTTCACCGCGTAGTGCTGGCTTGGATGGGAGACGCCGCCCATGCCGAAGGAGGAGAAGTTGGACAGAGTTTCGATGTTCTATCCTTTGCAAAAGACGTTGATCGAACACGCACTCGTCCTAGTATCAAATTGCATTGTTGCATGACACATCTTTTTCCTCTACCTAATTCTGCACGACAAATGTCAATGTGCGACACTTTTGCAATGCATATATTTTTCTTCGACGCGATCATCCACCCGATTCGAATCCCGGGACACTGCAACCCCTTGGTGCAAGCTCCGGTGAAGAACAGGTTGCTGTTTTCCAAATCCTCGGCGTAGGCCAAGCCGGAGACCGCGGTATGCATTGCAAATATGTCTGGATCTGGAAAGATGGAACTTGTAATGCTGGTGCTGCATTCCTGTGAGTTCTGTATTGCACGACCAACAAAAGTGGCAGCCTCTCATGTCATACAAAAACGCAGTTTCTCATGCGGAGTTCGTATGAGTAAGTGCTCTGCAAACTTGTCATGCTGTTCTGCATAAGGAAGTGTTTTCATCATGCACATTTTTGCATCACAAATTTCCAGACCCAGGCATAGTTGCATTTGATACGCGGGGTTGTGGTACATTTCGTACGCTTCGTCCAGTTATGCAGGGCAAATATGTTGTATCTCTGGTATTTCCTCTGGATTTGTGTTGCGAGACCTGAAGCACAGGAAGGATATGTGATGCGTAAAACACGACTGGCGATTTTTTTTTGTGATGCCATGAAATTTGTTAAGACGCTCTGCGATGCGAATATCAGCAACGCAAGTTTCTAGAGCTCCCAGACGCAGAAATGATATTTGCCATGCATACTAGCAAAAGACCCTCGCCGTTCTTCTCTGCCAACGTGTGGACCAAATGCTTCAACTATCCACAGAAAGTTTCAATTTCCCGTGCACGACCAAAGTACCAAAAGCAAATGCTTTTTCTGCATGACAAAACTCCCCTTCAATCGTTATCAGCATGACAAGTTGTATAGCAATGCATTTTGTACGTGCGAGGAAAAAAAAAAAATTGTAGTGCATATCAACTCATCACCGCAGCGGACGTGCCCGGTGGGGTTTCCGGGGTTGGAGATGATGGGGAAGATTTTTTTCTTGTAGTTCAAAGTCTTCCTAATTTCGTAGTACTGGTCGTTTGTCGGGCGGAATTCGTTTTCCAGGTTGCACGGGACGACGGTCCAGGAAGTGTTCGTGGCCTGATGTTTCGATGTAGTAGATCACCGGTGTGTGGCATGTGAGATTTCAATTGTGGTGCAGTTTCTCATGCTCTGTGTCTGTTTTGCAAATCATAAAAAACATGCGTCAACAACGCATCTAATCAAGCAAAGCAAACAAAGTCATCATCAAAGCTACTTATAAATACCTCCATAATATCCAGATACGCGGGCCACTCCATGTTGCTGATCCTGACTTCCACATCCTTCTTCAAAAAAGCCAGCACTGTGTAGATGCCCGGTCTGCTATCAAAAGCAAAAATCCCCCCTCCCCATATCGAAAAGGTATGTTTCTGAAAATTTGCGTTGCTGCTTTGAGGTCGCAAATCGCATTTGTATTGCAAGAAGACAAGGGCAGAAGCTTCCGCCCCACTAGGGAAGCGATTTGCCATGCTGTTGGCCCTAAAAGTGACCCACTTGCCATGCTGAACAACTAGACCCATACGGCCCTACCTAGCCTGGGGATTTGGCCGGAGTGCCTCTCTGCAATACAAACCTGATTTGTGTACACAAATCCAGCATCAGAAATTCCGTTTTGATATGGGGAGGGGGGATTTTTCCTTTCGATATCTGCCGCCGGCGAAAATCATGATGTTCTCCTCATCAATCGGCGTCTTGTTCAGGTATGGAAGAAAAAAACTGGGTAAGTGTAAGTCTGTCATGCAAAACATGCAACAGTGTTACAGTTGTCATGCTAGCCAGCCATGACGTCCTATTTTATAAGGTGTTTTGTTTTCACGTACTATCTGTGCATGACAGCATTTCTTTGTCATGCAGAACAAATTTGTCATGCTGTCACCCGAAGACACCCGATACTACACAGTTTCTTCGTTCCATATCAAGTACGTTTCCTTCAATTTCCTCTCCTCATCCGACAACCCCTCGTTGCACTTTGGGTCGTTCACGTAATACTTGTTGTAGTAGTCCGCAATCGTTTTCCGCAGCGCTGGGTGGCCCCAGGCCTTCGGGTAAAACCGGTCTTCGAAAGTCACTTTCATATGCATTGCAAAACAAGTCGTGTCTTCGCACAACCACAACTTCTACACTCGTTCGAGAGAGATACAGGTGGTAGAAGTTGCATTTTACAACTTCTTTGTTCATCCTCAAAAAGGATAGTGGAGTTTGTTATGCAGACTTTTCAGATGCTAAAGCAGTTTTATCATTTTCGGCATAAGTAAAACTCTGCAAGGTAACTACGAGTAGAATCGATACATTTGCAATGGATATTCCACCGAGGACGGCAACTCCGGGCCGTCCGCCGGGTCAGCCGGGTCGCCCATGCATCCTGTGTAAAAACGTCACCACCCCCTAGCTGTCATGCAAGTCGGCATGCTCCAACTGTTTATCATGCGGAGCCCGACGAGAAGCACTCTCTAGTCGTGTTCTGGAATTTGTGATGCTCGAATCAGCATAATGCGCTGGATTTGTGACGCTTCTGCACTAGCTGAGCGCGATTCTTACATTGCGAGCCCAAACTTGTCATGCGAAACAGCCAAAGCTTGTGTATTTTTCTTGCAGGTTTCCCAACTTGACTCTGGTCGTGTGGGATCGTTTTTACTCAGGATACCGTCAGTTTGGTCGTCAGCGGAAAGCCCTGGGACCAGGGGTGGGTTCCCTCCGTGCTATAACAGTGCACAGCTCCCCCTGCTTCCGCTCATTTGTATAGCATGAAAGGCAATAGTACAAGCATCAGCTTCAGCAAGAATGCCGGTTTTGCATGACAAACTTGCACTGGACTGTAGTGCTTTTTGGACTACCAGAACTTGTCATGCAAACCTGTGCCAAGAAGCAAAGCGTGGATTTAGTATTTTGCATGAGAAATGAGAACGAGGGGGACGTGCGCACTGTCATACGTGCCCATGAACGCGCCGAACGAATCCTTGAAGGCGTAGAGGGTTTCGTAAATCCCCATGGGCGGAACGTTGTCGGAGAGGAAAGAAGGAACGGTCATTTTGTACTTGCTGGAGTCGAGCCCGGCGGCCATGGTGTCGCAGTTCGGTTTCCCTTTGTTTCGCGTCGAGGGAGAGAAACAGGAGGGCATGGCTTGATCTCAATAGCGTATTTCGGATTACTAAACGATAACAAGAGCGAAATCGCGCCGGCAACAGCTCTGGTTTGTTCTGCTGATGCGCAAATAGAAATGCACTGCTTTGCGTTCAACAAGATTTGATAATGCTGCGTTCCTGCCTCTTGGCAAATTCCACACCAACACTCGCTGCCCACTCACGGCAAAGATGAAGACGGCGCTCAAGAATGACGGGGCGCTCTTTCCGGACATCAGAAGTGGCTCCTCTCGTTTTTGCCTGTTGTGTTGTTCCTCCTCTGGACCGTGTTTGCACGCCCCGTTGCCTGAACCTGAAGAAAGTGAACACGTTCCGGCGCGGCCATTGCCGCAACATGCATGAGCTGTGCTGCGGTTGCTACGTGCTCTAGCTCTACTGCCTTTGCTTGGGTCGGTGCCATACACTCCCGGCCCCTTACTTGCATAGGTACATTGGCAGCAGCGAAGCGAAACTGGGGCGCCACCCCCCTCCACTCGCGCGGAAATGAGTTGCAAAGACTGAGCCGGAGCGGCGCAGGCGCCCGCCTCCGCCTCCGCCTGATTCTTTTCCCGGCGGGGATGGGTCCCGGCCGGACAGATGGAGGGGCCGTCAACGAATCGCGGCGCCACTAGCCAAAACACGGCGCGGCCCGTTCCGGCCGGACAAGCCCGAAGGCCGGCAAAGGTAAAGCAGCGCCGGCCGGGCCGGTGGAAGAACGGCGCGCGCGCGGCGCCGGTAGTGCGGCGCCCGTGGCGCGCTTCGGAGGGGCAACCTAGGCCAAGCGTTCTTAAATACCGAGCCAAGTGCCTGCGGCCGCCAACGCGCGCGCTGCGTCCTCCGTTATTGCTGTAGGGGCGGTTCCCAATTCGTTTTCTTGTCGGGGCGGCTCGGCCAGTTTCCGCGCGGCCCCATGCTCGGCAGTCGCGCGACAGTCTGATCGATGACCCGGGGGCGTCGCGCGTTACTCACCCCGCGCCCCCCCTGGCCCGCTCCACATTGCGGCAGCTCGCCCCATGCTGTGCAACAAACGCCACAACGTCAACCGCGAAACACGCGTAAGGAGAAGCAACATGCCTGCCCCTTCGCAGCTACTTAAGTTGATTCTGAAGCATTATAAGATATATGCCGCCCACAGCTCTTCTCGTCAGAGTACCACATACACACTCAGTACATCACATTTCTCACCCGTCGCGGATGTGCACTCAGAACGTGAACGTCACACAAACTACTTAAATACTTTCTGCCCAAGTACAAGAAAGTCTTCTCTCTGCTCCTGAACCAGCACTCTCCGTCGCTCTCATTATCAGATCCAGAAACCGGTGCAGAAGAAAAAACAAGACGCGACTTCCACACTCAAGCCCAGTGTATAGTTGAGCATCGCAATAGCTGTAAAGCCATAGATAAATAACGAACCCACTTTGACATAGTCTCGACGCGGAAGGTGCGAGACTGTCCCCTTTTTCGGTGGTTTTTCCGCTGGTCTTGTCTCCTGTTACTTTCCTGCCCCTCTTCGGCGTACTTCCTTCCGAGCGTCGTCGGCTCTACGAGGGCCTCGAGAATAACACGTAAGGGCTGCCTCGAACATGGCGCCCTGCTCTGTGCGGCCTTCCTCACTCGCCCCGGCGCGCGCACTGCGTATTGGTTCACACAACTCGAACGCGCTCGCAATACGGCGCGCCGGCCGGGACCCTAACAACTGCCGCCAAGCACGCCACGCATGGCAGCGCCCGGCGCGCCCGGGTTAGTAGCACCAGAGTCTGTCAGTCGCAGAGGGCCCGCGGCCTGCCGCTGGGCCGCCCCGCTGGCGGGGCGGGCAGCGGGCCATGCGTGCGCGGGGGCAGCGGGGGCACGTGAAAAAGCGCCGCGCAAGCAAGCGCGGGCGCCGGGGCTGGGCGCCGCTGCTGCGGCGAGAGGGCGAGGCTTCCGGGCCGGCGCCTGCGTTGCTTTTCGATGGCGCGCTTAGCAGGGGGCGCCTGTTTCTGCCAAGGTATCCGCGTCGAAGAGTCGCCTTTGACACTCCGCCGGCCTCGCGCGTACTTCGCGCGCCCGCTGGCGCGGCGCTCCTGCCCTTGACACCGTATGGACCAGGCAGCCGGCGCGGCGCAGCGCGAAAAAAGGGCACACGACACAACCAAAGACGCCCGGCCCCACCCCCTGCAAGACGCCCGGCACCGCTCCTCGGCTCTCCATGCAGAGCCGAACAGCAAGCAGTCAAGTTACTTATATTTGAAAGACGTGCTCGTTTGAAAAACTTCAACTCCTCTCTCTGATACCAATGCACGAAACACTGCACTCCACTGCTGCGGCACCCTTTTCTCTCTCTCTCTTTCGTGGTCAGGTTTGCAGGTAACTCTGCAGCAAAGTAGGTCTACTCACGTCGCGTGCTCAACAGAGGTAAGTACTCAATTGGATTGAACAGCCCGAAGAACAAGACAGTGAGGAGGAACTCCCGACTGCTGGAAACCAATTTCCTTGCATATTTTGCCTTTTATGTAATTTGTCTTTTGTTGTTTTCCACGACCTTTCACTTTTTCTCTGCACCTGTTCCTACCATTTTGTTCATCAAACCCAACAGTGTGGAGCTGTTGTCCTGAAGTAGAGTGCAAAGAGCTGTCCACCTCCTCCCGCAGTAGCTTCTAAAAAATCCATCCCTTCGTCCTGTTCAAAAAGTTTAATCTATGTATCTCTCCCCTTCAAAAGCCGTAAGACCATCAATCCAATTGCTTCTCCCCGGCGCGACCAGCACAGTCACAATCTTCCTCTTCTACCTGAGCACAACAGTTCGAGTCTAGCTCGAATATCACCATCACAGTCATCCAAGGCTTTAATGTATTATTATTATCGAAGCCAAGGCTTTAATGTAATGACCGACGTCGTGGTTCTGGATGTTAATTAATAGCCTCCTGTGCAGTAACTTCGTTTTCGTAAAAAGTAAATTTGTAGTTTTGTAGTCTTCTTTGTTCCTGCTGCCAAAAAATTATATGCGTTCCTGCTCCTAATCCTGCACAGCGCAGTATTTCTTGTTCTTCTCAAGCGAGTAGTAAGTGAATCATACACGTACAAATCAAAATTTCAGTACAGTTTTTTGTTTTAATCTTTAAAAAATGCTTTAACAAAAATAACGCCCAAAAAGCACTTCGAGTGACTCGAGGCAACATCATTACGAGGAGTCTTCTACACCTCGGGATCAATCTTCTGGGGCGAAGTGGTGGTGCTGTAATCCGCTTTTCAAACAACTTCGTGCTCCCTTCCGACAACTCTCGCTTCCGATTCGCTGTGAAACCGTGCGGCGGCCCATGTGCTGTCCTGCAGAACACCATCCAACTCGTCCAACCAGAGTCAGACATCGCAGTGCGGGGTTTCAGGAAACAAAATGCGTGGAGTAATTATATGCTGCAGCTTGATATCTTCTTTGTGCGTCACGTGCAGAAAAACGATATTAAGGCACGCCTGTGGAAAAACTGTCGACGTAAGTCTAAAAGTGAGGATGACGGTCAATCAGAAAATGAAAAAACCGCTATGCGCCATTACACTTAGCGGGGTCAAAAGAGATGAAACTACTACAGGACAACTACAGTGCGGGGTGAGCGACAGAGTAGATGCGGGTGCTGCTTGATGATGATGATGTACCCAACTGAAGATATATGTCTATGGCCTGTTGAGACTGGCAGTGAAGGTGCAAGTCTCACGGTCTTTTTTCCCCAGCGATTTTTTTTTATCTTCTTGCGCCGAGCTCTCTGCATCACTGTTGGCTAGGAACTACAGGTAGGATGTTGGCTTAACACTAACTAACTAGCGCTATTACACATATTTATTCCGATCTTCGGGTCATCTTTTTTACTCGCTGCGTCGTGGTACGACCTCCGCAAAAGGCGTGAGATCAGATACTTAAGGGCTATGTGTAGGTAACATTTGAATCTGCTACGCTCTAGAACTAGTAGTTCTGTGTGTTTGATGATAAACTTGAACCAGACCTATGGAAAATCCGCAGCGCGAGGTTTCATTCAGAGAGTGATGAAAAGGACCTAACGCACGGACCCATTTCATCGTTGCAATGACAGCACGAGGACTGCTGCAAGCCCCCATTTCGTTTCTTTGATATTTTGCTGTTTATTTCCAGCTTTTTGGCAGGGTCGTGCAGCTTTTTCTCCAAATAAACTCTGTTCTTCCTGCTCGGTTTTCATCATCTTCTTCTTCACCAACTACAGTACTATCCCGGTGTAGTCCTGATATGAGTCCAAGTAGAAAAACAACGAGTTTTAGGCCGGTATAGCTTCTAGATCTGTCCTCAATCACCCCCGGCGATCACCGCGCCATCGTGCCAGTCCTTCCTTCCCGCGGCCAGGACAATCTGTATCCACCTGCGCGCTTTCTGTTTCTCAATGCTCGCTTCCACCACCGCCTCAATGGCGCCGTAGTGCGCCAAAAACGCGAAGATGACGATATGACCTGCTCAAACGTTAGAATCTAAAACGTTACAATAGAGTCTGGGATTTGTCTTGCGTGATGAGCATGACAGACTCGCAGAGCGTTCCACTTTCTGCAATAGAAATTTCGGCAGATTCTACTGCAGCTTAGGACTCCAGAACCTGTCATGCGCAATTCTGTGACAGTATGTTAGCTCATGCACTTCTTGCATCACAGATTTCCATATTCTATTGTAACGCTTGAGATTGTAACAGCTGAACAAGCCATAGACGAACAGGTGCCAGATCACGTGGTAGAAGGGGTACTGCCGCTGCAGGAAAAAATACACGCCAAACAGTATTGAAAGGAAAAATCCCCCCTCCCCATATCGAAAAGGTATGACTCCGAAAACTTGTATTGCTGATTTGAGGTCACAAATCATATGCATCTTGCAAGAAGACGAGGGCAGGAGCTTTCGCCCCATTATGGAGGCGATTTGTCATGCTGCTGGGCCTAAAGGGGAGCCGTTTGCCATGCTGAGCAACTAGACACATAAGCCCCTATCTAGCCTGGAGATCTGCCCGCAATGCCTCTCTACAATACAAACCTGATTTGTCTACGCAAATCCAGCAGCAGAAACTTCCTTTTGATATGGGGAGGGGGGATTTTTCCTTTTGATAAACAGGTAGAACGCCCCGCCGAGCGCGATTAACGCCTTCGCCCACCAGTAGTGGGATTTTATCCTGTGTAAAAACGTACCCACCCCGGAGTTGTCATGCAGATTTGCAATGACAGGAACACTTGTAATGCGCTTCCCCATGAAAGGCATTTCCAATCGTGTTTCGGCATTTGTAATGCTGTGACCGGGATGAGCAGATGGATTTTTGATGCAGCTGGCCTTGCGAACCTGCACTACGCTACGGACTGCAACTTGTGATGCGTGACCCCCAAAAGCTCTAGGTTTGTGTTGCAAAATCTCCATCTCGACTCTGGTGTGGGGACGTTTTTACACAGCATAGATTTCACGTTTTCGTCACTGGGGACGAGGTTGAAACTCGACAAGTTCCCGTTGTACATTTGCGCCGGATTGTTGTTCCACCCACATTCCTCCGCCGGCCCGACAAAGCACGTCGTTAGCATGTACGGTGCGCCGAGAAACCCCATGACGACGTACATCACTACGACAAAATTCGGGTACCACTTTTTCGCGTGGCACTGAATCGAGATGGTCAAACCGAGGAAGGTGAGAATCAAGTACACCAAAAGGAGAACCAGTGGACCGTACTGTGCTGTTGGGGAAGGTGTGGAATTGGTTCCGGTGAAGCTGTTATTATTTCCGTTGGTCGCACTGCTGCTGCTACTGCTGTCGAAGTACCTACTAGTATACCACATCCCCGGCACAACTGCATTATACGTGTTGTCGCAGCCAATGACGATGATCGGAAAATAGGTCCCTATGGATTGCAAATTTGTCTGGGTCTGGAAGAATGCAAGCCTGTCATGCTCGGCCGGCAATGCAAAAAAGTCTGTCATGCTTGTTGCGCTACAACGCCACTTGTTTGCTATGTAAAAATGCAATTTGTCATGCGCTTAACGCTAGACGTAGCTAGTACACAGAAACTTGTCATGCGCGACTCCGCAATACCGTTTGCGTATCTTTCGGATATTAGCATCACAACTTTCCAGACCCAGCCATATTTGCATCTGATAGTCCCGGCGATTAGGCAATAAATTCCGCTGTGGTCCAGCACCTGCATGGCTTGGTTGCTTCGCACCACGTAGAACAACGCGTGGTAAACGCAACTGTTCAAAAACATTATAAAAGCCGTGAAAAGAAACGTCCCCAGCGCGAAGGTTCCCAGGTTCTGCATGAGGGAGAAATTGTGGGCAGATTGTGCGGCGGGGGACGCGGGATCAAGAAAGTCGTTGTAGTAATCTTGTTGCCAAGGGGGTGGAGGAGGAAAATTGTTGTGGGCCGCGCCATTGTAGTTCTGAAAGACATATGCATTGTAAAAGTATCGTGCTCGTATAAATGCATTACAAATTTCCTCAGCATGAGAAATAAAATTTGTAATGCAGATTTTCCTTCCGGAAACAAGATTTGTGATGCTAAACTTGCAGTTGTACGAGTACGATACTTTTGCACAGGATAAGACGCTGCTGGGCATCTTGTTTTCCATGAAATTCTCGAACTCTCTGATGATCGAAAACTTATCAAATGCAAATATCGTTCTGGGTCTGGGAAGAATGGGATTTGCGATGCTAACTCACGACTATGCAAAAATCTGTGTTGCATGAACAGCAAAAGGCACTCAGAATGTTGCCACCCGCCGGAGAGGTGGTGGGCACTTCTCTCATGCAGGACAGGCATGAGGAAGCCTTCGCAAAAGCTGTGATGCTAGAGCATGCATCACAGAGATCGCGGGTCATGCACGATTTGCATGACAACCTCGCCCAATCTTTCACACCCAGAGGACATATTTGCAAGGCATAAAACAACCGCGTGTACAAAAGCGGGATGACTAAACAGCCGAGCAGGTGGCTGCACGCGTTCAGGATTTCTGACGACATAAAATTCCCGGGAACGATGTTGATGTAGACCTGCGAATTCTTTGCCATGGCGGCGGCGGTATCACATGCAAATATGTCTGGCTCTGGAAACTTGTAATGCCGAGCTGTGAGTAGTGAATTCTCTGCAATGCGCAGCCAAGCATGAGAAATATTTGCGCGGCTTAGTGTTGCGTTTTCCGCATGACGAACTGCGTTTTTGCGTGACAAACACAAGGATCTCTTCTCGGACACGCATCACAAACTTTTCAGTCATGCCAGATAAGCATGACAAGCCCTGCATCCTTTCAGACCCAAACATATTTGCATTCGATAGGCGGATCTTTTCAAATAATTCTCGTGCTCCGGGTCGTGGAGTTCCCCCGGGAGGCAGCAGCAGTATCAAATGTAAAAATGTCTGGGTCTGGAAAAATGCCAGACTTGTCATGCAGGTTTTCCATGACTCGTGAGGTCTGGTATGTAGGACATAGCATGACAGATTCTGTGAGTGTTCTTTCATGCCTATCCTGCATGAGAAACTGCCTCTCGATTAGTCAAAAGTGGACAGCTTTTGGTAATCATGCAACACAGATTTTTACATGATTCAGATTTAGCATGAGAAGTTGCTCTGTTCCAGACCCAGACATTTTTGCATTTGATAAGCAGCAGGGCAGGGCAAAATTCCGCCACCAGGGAGTGGCCGACGGCGCTCCTCCGGTCGTCGTTGTGCCATTTGTTCTGTAGGTCGGGTCACTGTTCTCCTTCTCGTCTTTATCTGCATGATCCCGGTTCAATGTATCGGCAGTATGTCCACCACCGGCGAAAGACGGGCTCTCAAAAGAAGTCGCAGGACCAGCATCGACTTCCTCGCAAAACTCTTCATCATCTTCCTCGTTCACGGTAGCTGTTCCGACAAAACTGGAGGTCACCCCACCAGCCCGGCTAGTTCTACTCCGTATGAACTGCAAAAATGTCTGGGTCTGGAAACTCGTGATGCTAAAATGTGCATGATGAAAACATTTCCGAATGCAGTCCGGCATGACAACTTCCCAAAACGTTTTCTCATAGGCAATCCGCATGAGAAGCTGCGTTTTTGCATGACAAAAGATGCTGCGACTGTTGTTGGTTATGCAATACAGATTTTCTAGGTATGTTGTAAAGCTAGCATTACAAGTTCCAACCTTCCAGAACCAGACATTTTTACAATCCATACTCGGCGCGGCCAGTAAGAAGCTTCTCTCGTCAACATTTTCGACAGCAGTTGTGGTCGTGGCAGCTTTGGAAGTAGAGGATGAGGACAACTGCGCGTTCACTATTTTCGATTGTCCACCTGAAGTACTACTCCCCTTTCTCGTCCTGCTGGTCAACCCACTCCCGCCCACGACCGCGCTCCCGACCGATTCAACAAAGCTCGTTATCCGCTTCATGCCCATGCCCCGCTCGTTCTCAAGGTCGTTCGAACTCAACCCTAGTTCTAAGTCGAACATGTATGCATTGCAAAAATGTCTGGGTCTGGAAGGATGTAACTTGTGCTGCTGTCTTTGGATTCTAAAAAAATCTGTACTGCATGGCCAGCAAGAGGAGTCCAGTTTGGGCTACGCGGCGAGGGCATTTGTCATGCAGAACAGGCATCAGGAAGCCCTCTAAAAGTCTGTAATGCTGGGTCATGCATTACAGGAATCATGGGTCGTGCAAAACATGCATGACAAACCTCGCAATCTTCCAGACCCAGACATATTTGCATTTGATAACATGTTTCGGTCGGCGAAGCTTTTTTTCTGCTTGTAGCTATTCTCCAACACCTCCATTTCCGCGAGATTCTGTGTCAAAATCCCGTCGTTGGTCAAGCTGTACTCTGTCAATTGCAACCTCTCGTTCAAAAAGCCCTGGCGTGAAGTTGTAGAGGACCGCGCAGGAGCGGAGGTCGTCGCAGTGGTAAAAGTACTTTCGGCTTTGTTGTCCAAAATTGCATTTGATGTCGAGGTGAACGTCGGAAGCAAAAGGCTGCTTTTGTCGTTTAAGATTTCCTCCTCTTCCGCCATCCTCAGCACCAGTTCCTCGCACCGTTTTTTCCGGACGGAGAGCGCGGTGACGAACAGCTTCATGTTCTGTTCAGGGAGCAAGTTCTGGGAAATATCCAGATGCACCAAATTCATACACACTGCGACCGCTTCCGCGAGGAGAATCGGGCCGTTGTACTGGAGAGACTGCAAAGCTTCGTCGAAATAATTGTTATATTCCAGCTCTTTACTAGTATCACCGTTCATCGCTCTTGACGGAAGATCAACATCTACTTCTTGTTCTGCTCCGGATCCATTGCCGCCGGGATTGGGCGAAGCAGACGAAACTCCGCCGCGAGCCTCTACTTGCGAAGTGGAGGATATGCCTTTCCGTTCCTTCTTCCTCTGCACTTGAAACTCGTCTCCGATCGCGATCCGGTTTTGTCGCATATTATGCCGCATTACAAAGATGTCTGGGTCTGGATTTGTCATGCGAGTTTCGAAGGACACCAAGGATTTGTGATGCATAAAAACACGACGAACTGAGCAATTTCTTTATCATGCTGAGAATAGGAGCTCAGTTTGTCATGCGTCTTACGAATGAATCTGCAAGAAGCCTCGCAAAATTTCTGATGCTATTTTGCCGTATCAAAGTGGCTACTCTGCAATGCAACCTTCAGCAACGCAAGTTTCCAGACGTTGAGACAAATTTGCAATGCATACATGTCCAAATGCTGCAATTTCGATTTGTGTCGAAATTTTATCACCGCGGTTGCGATGTAGGCGCACCCCTTGCTGTGGATTCCGCAGTTCTGCAAGTTCAACGACTCGATGTTTAACAATTCGGAAAACCCGGAATGCAACAAGGCGCACCCAACGTCACCCATCAAGTCGTAGCCGCAGTGACGGAAATCCAAAGCTTTGACGAATTTTAGGCAATTTGGCATCGCGGAAAAACACTTGAGGAGAGGGCAGAGGGACAGGGGAGACGCGGACTGTTGAAAGTAGGGGTTGGTGTTTGATTATCCTGAGTAAAAACGTACCCACGCCAGAGTTAGGATGAGGATTCTGCAACACAAACCTAGGAGTTTTGTGAGTCACGCATGACAAGCTGAGCTCTGCAGTGTAGTGCAGGTTAGCAAGTGCAGCCGCGTCACAAATCCAGCTGCTCATCCTGTTCACAGCGTCACAAATTCCAAAACACGACTGGAAAGGGCTCTCATGGGGATGCGCATTACAAGTCTTCCTGTCTTTGCAAATCTGCATTACAACTCTGGTGTGGGTACGTTTTTACTCAGGATATTGATGTTGTTGTTCCATTTGCACTTGCACCACCTCCATACCCCTCATTATCGGCGCCGGGGGTGAGAAAATTTGGTCCAGCGAAGATGTTGTTGTTCCCATGATTACTCCCCCCAGTTGTTAAACCGTTGACGGAGAACGAGAGTTCTTCCAAGCCCAACCTGAGTCCTAGCACAATCTGCCCGCTGCAGGGGACGGAGAGCTGGTAGCACTGCTTTTGGTAAAACTCAGCGAGGTCTTTGAAACTGACTTTGCTCTCGTCGATTTTTGTTGTGGTTGTGATGTTATTCGGGGAGGTTGAAGCTGTGGGTCCCCGCTGTTCTTGCGTTTCTTGAACAGCAGTTGTACTAGTACCCCCCTCGCCGTAAACCAGGCTTTGGTCATTCCAGGTCAAAACCCGTCGGCCGTCGAGGTTCAAAACCGAGTCATACGGGGACACAGAAGTAGCAGTAGGAAGAAACGTGGTTGCGAAAGAAGAATCTCCTCTGCCCGCAAGTAAATGACGACCACGACCCGCCGTCGCTGAGGTAGCTGTATTATTTCGCTCGCTATTCAAAACGTCCAAAATTTTATCCGAGGTACTGAAGGGTTTGTTGTTTTTTTCGCTGATATGGTTTGTCGCTGTTGTAGTGGTACTGTTTGCCGTTGTGAAGTCCTCCAGTTCTGTTGCTGGTTGCTGCGTCTGTCGTGCGGTGATGGAAGTGGATTCTTGTCTTGAGGACCCGCCGCCTCGTGGAGGTACTGCTGCAGTAGGACCTCCACCACCCCCGCTGCTAGAAGTAAGAGGCAGCGCAGAGCTGCTGCCATCTTCTTCCCGCGTGCTCCCGGCGGGCAGCTCTCGGTTTATTTCCTTGGGGGGGTCGGTCGTGCGGCCATCTATCCCCCAGAAAAAGACCGACAGGTCATATTTGTAATGCAAAAATAAATAGACAAAAAAATCTGTATTGCATGCCCTAAACAGGATGTTATGGCCTCGCCCATGACAGATTTTCCTGTGTATTTATTTTTGCATTACAAATATGACCTGTCGGTCTTTTTCTGTGGGATACCATCGGTCGTTTTCTTAAACGGTGCAACCGCGCTCATCTTTATTAATATCAGAGTGGGATTGAATATGGCGATACTAAGGACGGATTTTCGAAAAATGTAAAAAAATTTCAGGGGTCGCGCATGTCGCCCGTCCCGTTTGACGGGAATTGCCGGCGCCCCACCTCATGCTTGAGCAAGATAGCCGAAAGGCCCCGCTTTGAGGCAGTGAGAAAGGCAGAGCGGCTTGAGTAGCAGCTGCTGGTGGCCGCATGGCTTCCGGTTCGCTCTGTCGCTTCGTCCGACGAGTGTGGCGCGCAGAGATTGGTCGGAGCGCTGTGCCGGCCGCGGCTACCACAAGAAGGCGCATCAAAATCGGGCTAGCTACCTTTGAGCCCTGCGGCCGCCATACCGTTGCCCCACACGCCGACAACACTCGCCGCCCCTCTGGGGTTTTCTTAAATGGTGCAACCGCGCTCATCTTTAGTATGCAGTGACTATTCGCCAAACATGCGTGTTTGCATTTGTTCGAAATATTGAAAAGTCCTCAATAGATATTGATACGAAACGCCACCTATATGAACATACGCCGCGCCTCCAAATCCCCTCCCCACCTCAGCGCCTGCGCCCGCGAAGCTCACCATGCCCCTACTTCTTTCGCTGTATTCCCATTCTCTGGTACAACTACAAAAAGATTAATCGACACCGGTTAACTTCTGGCTCTTTCCCGCATCGCTGACATGGCCGCCAGGGCACAGCCATTCGCTGAGTTATCAGCTCCCTGCGCGTCTCAATCAAAGTCGGAAGACAGTCTCTGTCTAATCCGAAAAATGAAAACAATCAACATCGGAAGGGTTCCAAAAATGAAACCAAGTAGCCATCTCTGGCCTGGTGACGTAACACAGAAAAACCCAAGCAACTGCCACACACACCATCGCGCGCGGGCAGTCGGAATATGACGTGGGGGGCCTACCCCTACGACACCCGGGCCACAAAGAAGCGGGGCCCGAAGGCGAAACCGCGGCTCTGAGGTTAATTTGTTTTGGGGGAATTCGGATTCTGTTTGCGATTTTCAGCTGGGGGGCAACATGTTGCGAAAATTTTATTTTGTGAAAAAGCGGGCTCAGAAAATTAAATTTCGCAGGTTGGGTGTTTTGACCCAACATGCACCGCAGGTTGGGTCAAAACACCCAACCTGCGAAATTTAATTTTCTGAGCGCGTTTGTTCACGTTTATGGCAGCGGCCGAGGAGGTTCGGCCGCTGCCAGAAACGGTGTCCGTTTTACTCAAACGGTGCCCTCGGTTTTCTTAAATGGTGCAACCGCGCTCATCTTTATTAATATCAGAGATGGATTAATATTTTCTTGGGAAAACAGATGTTATTGTTGAAAAACGTGGCTACGATAAATGGTAACGTGGTGGCTGAAGAAAAAAGTGCATGGTAGTATTTTTACAAAGTTTTTGTACAAGAACTTTCTGTACACTTAACTTTGTTATACTTGTGAAGTATAAACTCCTTTCAAAAAAAGACTCGTGGTCGTGCTAATGATTTGTCGCGCAAAAAGTCAGGGGCTGCGGGTTCGGCTCTCATACGTATGTTGTAATGAAGGACCTACTTGACGTCTTGCGAAGATGCGACCCTTATTCGTTTGGCATTCTTCATATACTTCTGCTTGAAGATCTTCACAAACGGTGTAACTGATCTTATTTTCTCGATTATTGTTTGACTAGCCACACGACGACATCCTTGGAAGAACCGATGAGCATCCTAGTCACAGGTTCGAAGTGTAGATCTGGATCCAGATGGACCTTCTCGATGCAGTTCTTGATGAGTGTTCCCTTTTTCTATACGAGAACGAGATCTCCCACAGATATAATTAACCGGTCAGAATCTTCGATCCGTGATTTCTCAGGAGTTTTTGTTCCCTGTGAAGGTGGTCATCCTTTCGCTTAGGACTGCGCTTGGTAACGCAAGCAGATCGTGCTCGATGTTCATGATCTCCTTCATGCGAGACACACTATTTTCCCCTGGCTTGTTCTTGCGGATCTACTAGATCTTGTTGAACAAGGAACAGACGCCGGTGCACGACGAACATGTTGGAGCATCTTCCAATGGCGGAGAGGAGGAGTCAGTTGTTCATCGATGCTTTTTGATATTTTTCATCATTCGCTGGACTTGAAACAAAATCCGCACAGTATTATTCGCCGTGGTTTATCCACAGAAATGCTTTGTTTTTTCCTTCACTTGTTCCACCTCAAACCCGCAATCATACATTACATTCTATCTCCGCTGCCACAACATCACAGCGCCGTGCTGTGCTTCTTTATGAGACAGACCCTCAACGAGAGGTTATGGGTGTGAAAAAATGGAGTGCAACGTGTAGTCTCGCTCATGCACCAGCGAACAGTATGACTCGTTGTGCTCAGTATCTATACGTTTTACATCTTGCAACACAAATTTCATCCCTGAGATCCAAACGCAGTTATGGAATGAAAGTCGCAATACACTGATTTGCAGCCAATGTAAGAACTCTGTCTCGTGTCTGATTCAGCTACTACATTTTCATCACACAGACACAGTGCATGCAAAACATGCGGAATAACCCAGTTATTTTTCAACATTTCCATAAACTCTGCGCCGTCTGCACTTCTCCCTGAAACACAAAGAGCGCTTTGCTCGCTAGCCGCGTCGCTTCGGTTAGTGTCGCATTGTACATTTTGAAGATTGGTGGGCCGGTTGATGGTGCTGAGTCTTCGTCCTTTGCAGAGGAAGATGTTTTTTCTGCTTTAATACCATTATCCGGCGTTGCTGCACCGGTATTACTTGCGCTGTCTCCTCCCCCGTCTTTTGCTCCTTCGTCTGGACTATTATTGTCCTCTATGATCTGTAGAACGTTGTCCTGTTCCTTGTTCTCCTCGTTTCCGTCTTGGTAGAGCTGGACTTCTTTATCCCTTTTCAACACGCTCCGCAGCTGCCCTCGCTGGGCCTCGTAATGCCCCCACGCATGGTCAATGGACTCGAGGAGGGCTTTCACAGATTGCATTTTTTTGGCTTTATTCTCTCAAGCGGGGAAGGAAGTTGTGCTAAATCGATTCTATCTAATAAGGGCCTCTAGTACTTGCCGAGACTACAACTTCTCGCAAGAGTTGCTGAATCTACATAACGTAGTTTTTACAAAGGGTTTCCTGTAACTAAGGCTGATGTGGACGAGTAGTTGTAATTTTACCAGTGGCAGATGAAGCGGATAGCAGCTTAGCACTGCGAGGCCCTTTGCGAGTGCCGAAAGGGCGCAAAGCGATGCCAATTAAAGTATAGTAAGTCCTGCATCGAGGGAACACGAACGGCCGGCGGGGAAGGACACGCCGAAAACACACTACATCCAAGCGGGCGGGCCAGGTGATCAGAAAAAATCTCGCAGTGCGGACGGCCCGTCAGTCATACCGCAGCCGCGGCGCAGATAGGTGGCCCTCCCACGAAGGGGGGCAGCAGGCAGCCCGGCACAACCAAAGTGGCGGCCGGAGGGCGCCCGGGCCGCCCACCATTAAGTAACTGCCGGAGGGGCAAGCCAGGGAGCCCGCCCTGGCAGTGGCAGGGGCAATTAATTGGCAGGGGCCGGGCAAAAGCGGGGCGAAACAACCAAAGGGGCTAAGAAAGGCCCCCCCCCTGTGGGGCCCGGGGCCTGGGCGCGGGCCGGCTGCCTGGCAAAAAGGCAAAGGCAATGCGCCACAAGCGGGCAAGCGCGACAAGGGGGGCCCACCAGAGCAAGGAAGGGAGCCTAGGCCGGGCGGGATCGATGGGATCCTAAGGGCGCGCGGCGGGCCGCTCCGGCTTTCTCGTTTGGGGTTCTCTTGAATGAGTGCGCAGGCCCACCATGTCAAGTCCACCTCTCCGCAGAGCACCAAGCGCCCGGCGCGCGCGGCCCGTGCCCTCCGGCCTGCCTTTTTCGCCAGGGTAATACGCAGCGGCCCCGGCCCATATTTATTAGGAGCGGGGCGCGGGCTTGCGGGGCGCCGGCGTCGCCGGGTGGCAGGGGCGCCACGCGCGCCCCCGGGCCAAAAGTCAACAACGACCACAAGGAAAGCGGCCCCTGCAGCGATCGCGCACTGCGGCTAAAGACGGCGGCCCGGGCAATAGCAGGAAGCAGCCGCGTTGTGCGTTGGGGCTCATGGACAACTCCGTTTCTTGGCAGCTCCTGGCTCGCTCGGCTTATGGCCTGTCGCACCGTTACGCTGCCCCTTTCCTCTCCTTCTTCATCGGGCTTCCCCCCCGCGCCGAACGGTACCCCCACGATGAACGTGCTGGCCGCCCGGCTTTCTGCCTCCCGGGGCTAGGGCGGCAAAGCGGCCCCTCCCAAGCTTTGCGGCGGCGGGCGCGGCTCGGCCGGCCCCACATGCGTGGCAACGGCGCCACCCCGCGCGCGGGCGGCCGGCCCTGCTCCGCCTGGCACGGGGGAGCCTGGGCTGCTTTATTCCCCTCTACCGCGTGGCACCGAAAACACGCAGCCCGACGAGCGCCACGCCTGCTAGCCCGCCCGGGTGGGCCTTTCGGCCGCCGCGAAGCGCGCGGCCGTGCTCCGCTAGGCCAGTCTGTCGCCCGCGCGACGCCGGCCAACCCGCGAAGCCCTTGGGCCTGCAGGCTACGCACGTTGGAACTGCCGCCCGCAGGCCGCGCGATGTGGGTCGCAAATAACTATAGACCCGCAGCACAGATTTGCGCTGCGCGCAAAACAGACTGGCGCCCACGCAGCGCAGGTTTGTGTCTGCGGCGAGCTGCGCGCAACAAAGATTCGCGCTGCGGCTTCACAGTCAGAGTGGCAGTCGGTTACAAATATGATTTCGGTGAAACATCCTGCGAACGTCATCCCATCATAGAGCGCCGCATGCACCAGCTGGCCCGGCGGGGCCTTGCCGCCCTTCGCCTGAACTCCGACCGACACAGGCGCCGCACCCCTGCGGACCGCGGTCGTCCTGCTTCCCCAGTAGCCTTAAAAGCTTCGCGAAGTGCTAACGTCAATTCTTCCGGGAAGCAGAAAGCTTGCACCGTGCGGTTATGCTTGTCAACGCCAGGGAACACAACAAGACTCCTATCTTCCGTCGCGATCGAACAACAAAACCTGTTCGCGCGAGAGTCACACCTGTGTCACCTCGACCAATCTTCGTCTTTTCATCATTCAACTCCTGCTCACGATCCGAAACGAAACTCGATATATATAAATCACGTACCCATACAACGACAAGAGAGATCGAAAAATCGTCAAAGTAATCAAAGCAATCCGCTGTCTCGAGGACGAGACTTATGTCATCGAATATTTTTACCAATTAATCGCGACAATAAAGCATAGTTCTGAAACTTCTGAAACCTCCGAGGTTGCGAATGTGGATCGACCCTCTCTTGATGTAAAAAATATTTTCCAAAAACTAAGTTACAGCAAAAGCGGGAAGAACTTGTCTTGAGCTTTGTCAAGAACGAAGTCTCCGCTTTTTTTCAAGAAAAATTGTGTCTTTCCCAATACAAAAAGCCTTGAAACAGGAGACCTGAAAGTATAACCAAAAACGAAATTGCTATTGCGGGTTCGGCGACCTACCTCGCACGTATTATTTGACTTTAAAACTTCAATGGAGTGAGTACTTAGGTTTATTTGCAAACTACGAAACTTGTACGAAATTCCGAAAGAGTGAGCCTGGATAGCAGCTATCAATGGTTTATCTTATTTCCTGCTGGATTTTTGTCGTTCATTCAGCACTACAAAACCTGTTTGTCATGCGGTTCTCGCATGCCCTTTCCGCGTCCGATCCCAACCGTTACAACACCAGATACCGCAACCGCACGTCTTCAAAACCGGTTTGCAATTGCGGTCCATCCTCGTGTATCAACTGCAAAAATGTCTAAGTCTGGAAGAATGCAAACTTCTCATGCATATTTTCCTTGCCCCATGAGGTTTGGAATGCAGGACCTAGCATTACAGGTTCTGCGACGCCCCTATCATGCCTTTCCTGCATGACAAACTGCCTCGAAACTTGTTCAAAACTGGACAGCTTTTGGTAGTCATGCAACACAAATTTTTGTACGATCCAGACCTAGCATGACAAGTTCGCATCCTCCCAGACCCAGACATTTTTGCATTTGATATCGTGAGGTATGCGAGTGAAATAAAACCGGTGGAGGTGGAGCTGCACACATTTTTTCTCATGATAGTAATACGCGAAGACCTCTACTACGTAGATGAATTATCAAAATCAATGCACGACGACCTTTTCGCATGACAAAACAACTGCTCACTTTCCGTCAGTAGGCTCTATGTATCTCCAGTCCCATACCCACACACAAATTATACGTGGACCCGGACTCCAGATGACTCGCATCTACCGTGAATTGAAACAGGGTCCCGTTCCAATCCGTCCCATTGTACAGAAAGAACTCAAAACTCGCAGCGGCCGTCCGTTTTCCCGTCCACTTCCGCATCCTCCCATCCTTCGGATAACTTGTTCCCGGGATCTTCGGGTAGCAGTCCAACGCCAGAAATGCTCTGGTCACCCCGGAAAAACACGTGTTGCACACCACAGTTATCAGTTGCGTCAGATTGGCGTACAAACTGGTATTCAGGGATCCGGTCACTCCCGTGACAAGAAATTTCGTTCCCGTGTAGTCGAACGTGGTCAAGGAACTTGTTCTATCAAGCGCAAAAATGTCTGGGTCTGGAAAAGTGTAAACTTGTCATGCAGATTTTTTATGATCGATGTCGTCTGGAGTGCAGGACCTAGCATGACAGATTCTGTGACATCCCTATCATGCCTGTCCTGCATCAGAAACTGCTTCTCAACTTGGTCGAAAGTGGACAGCTTTTGGCACTCATGCAACACAGATTTTTGCATACTTCAGATTCACCATGACAAGTTGCCACCTTCCAGACCCAGACATATTTGCGATTGATATGTTCTGTCGTAATCCACACAAACGTCGTAGCTCCCCCCCGCTTGCAGAGGGCCAAAAGCAACGTCCGCGTAGTAATTTTGTATTCTGGACAAGGCGGGCGTTAAATCGTTGTAAACCAACGTTGCGTCAGTGTTCCTCTTGGGGGTGGAGGGGTAGATACCGTCGGTAATGGACCGTTGGCAGATCAAACCGACGTACAGGGCGTGGATCTCGTCCGCAGTGAGCCCGCATTTGTCGCAGCTGAAGGTTACCTGTGATAGATTATTTGATCCAAAATTTATTTTTATTTCCTGGTGATTCTGATTTTCATTCCTTTTTACTATGTATACTGCTTTCAACCCACATGTCAGCATGACATCGAACAGTAGTATCAAAAGCATCAAACAATGTAGAAGTAAAGTACTCTCTGCGTCCTATTCGTGTCCACGGTACGCAACACATTCGTCTATAACGTGCTCAGGTGCTACAATCTCAAACGTTACAATAGAATATCGAAATCTGTGATGCAAGAGGTGCATTATGTAGCCAACTCTCATAGGATTGCGCATGACAAGTTCCGGAGTTCCAAACCGCACTTCTACAATCTGGCGAAATTTGTATTGCAGAAAGTGGAATGCTGTCCGAGTCTGTCATGCTCGTCATGCAACACAAAATCCAAATTCTTTTGTAACGTTTGAGATTGTAACGTTTGAGCAGGTCATATCGTCAGGTTCAAATTCTCCGAGAAATTCTGCGAGCTCAGTGTCAGATTGGAAAACCCGTCTGTTCCGTTGAAAGAGGAAAACGCCCAGCCCTGGCCCTCCCAAACCGCGGAGTATTCCTGCGGGGTATGGAATTGCAAGCATCGATCTGGGTCTGGGAAGAACTTGTGACGCTGAATTTTTATTGCGGATGAGTGAAACAGTTACTCCGAGAGCAAACCACAACAAGTTTTTGCAACGCTTTCTGAAGATGCGCAGTACGCATGGAAAATTGCGGTTTTGCATAAACAAGAAATGAGGCAACGCTTGTGCTCGTCAACCTGCAACAGAGATTCTACAGGCATGCAAGACACTGAATAGTACAGGCTGAACTTTTTTTATTTACCCAGACCCAGACACATTTGTAATGGATACGGCCCGAACAAGACGGATTCGGAGACGGATTCGACCAAGGGATACGCGTAGTAAATCGTGGAGCCGAAATCGTACGCGAAATTGATGTAAATCGACACGTGTGTGTTCCCGGTATGGCCTGCTCAAACGCTACAACTTCAAACGTTGCAATAGAGTCTGGATTTTGTATTGCATGAAGAGCATGAGGAACGTGTAGAGAATTGTGCTTTTCGCAAAACAAATTTCGACGGATTTCAGGTGGGTGTGGGATTTCGGAACTTGTCATGCGCAATCCTATGGGAGTACACTAGATAATAAATGCATTTCTTGCATCACAGCTTTCCAGATTCATCTATTGTAGCGTTTGAGATTGTAACACCTGAGAGGGTTATATCCGATCAGCGTGTCGTTTAACGACGGAAAGCCGGCGGAAATGGATAACCCGCTCCTTGTCTCGGCAGAGGAGAAAAACGAATCCGCAACGGCGGACGTGTTCACCGCGGTGCAGATCAAATGGTTGCGACCTACCTGTAGCTGGGTATCGGGGAAGGGGACTTGTATGCATTGCAAAAGTATCGTGGTCGTATAAATGCACTAATTAGCTCAGCAGCATCATCATCATCATTGAGACGAACCCCCTGTGGTCGTCCTCACGGTGTCGTCTTGGCCCTAGGCTGTTTAGGACGGCTGTTGGTTGTGTCCGGCAAGAGGACATCTCTGCGTGGACAAATGTTGGTAATGTCCAGCAAGAGCGCTGCCGTGGCCCGTTTTCTGCCGGTTTTTGGCTTTCGCCAGGAATACCCGCAACGCCGCCCGTGGATAGTGAAACCCATGGCAGGCTTTCGCCAGGCGGTTCCGAGGAGGCCCTCCTCTTGGCACAATGTCGGTGAGATACCAAATTGCACCCCCCGGAAGCGAATGATGAGCCGATCAGCATGAAAAATAAAATTTGTAATGTGGATTTACCATGAGAAAAAGATTTGTAATGCTACGAGTACGGTACTTCTGCACAGGATAACTTGCACGAAATACCGGTACGTGTTAGAAACGACAACCTATCCTGAGTAAAAACGTACCCACACCATAGTTGTCATGCAAATCTGCATGCTTAAAATGTTTGTCATGCGGAGCCCCATGAGAAGCAGTTTCTAGCTGTGTTTTGCAATTTGTCATGCTCCAATCAGCATGGTATGCTAGGTCTGTGATGCTGCTGAGCTAGCTCAAACAGCACTACACTACGAATCCAAATTTGTGATGCAAAACAGCCAAAACTTGTGGATTTGTCTAGCCGATTCCCCATCTTGACTATGGTGTGGGTACGTTTTTACTCAGGATACAACCAATTCCTTCCTCAACTTCTGCAGATTTGGGGTGTTAGTCGCCGTATTTATGAATTGCAAAAGTGTCTGGGTCTGGGAGATTGCGAGATTTGTCATGCTAGTCTGGCATGACTCTGGGATCTGTATTGCGTGGCAACCAAGAGCTCCTCTTTTGTGTCATGCAACCTGGCTGCTTCTCATGCGGAATACGCAACACAGAGCCACGGAAAAATCAGTCATGCTTGGCGGTGCATTACAGTGCGCTTACTTTTCACTGACATGCATCACAAATTTGCAGACCCAGACATATTTGCATTTCATAGTGTTCGCGATTAACCCATACCCGTCCTCGCAGCTCTCCGCCGAGAGATAAGCGTAGGTCTCATCCGCCACCTGCTCGCAACCGTTGCTATATCAGAAGGAAAAACGCCCCCACCCCAGAACTACAACTTGGGAGCATTTGTATTGCAAACCTGTCCAATGGAAACACTCGCCGTCTTGCATGCGTCAGCATCACAGATTTTCAAGCGTAATTACTAGCAAAAATCTGTATTGCAAAAGATCCCAGCAAGAGCGGCGCTTATCATGCAAGCGATACTGTATACGACTGGACTCTGCATCAGAGAGATTCATTCGTAGTCCTTTCATGCAAGACAAAAAGTTTTCATTTGGAAACCTCGCATCACAAATTACTGCAACCTTCGGGGTCGTGGGGGCATTTTTCATTGTAATATGCTACACAAGTAGATCTCCACCTCGATCGGCGTGTTCGACCGATAAGTTAAAGTCGCGACCGGGGTTATCACAGGAAAAAAGTGTTACAGCTAAATACACATTTGTTGTAATTTCAGCATCACAAAGTTGCTCTGAATGGCAAAGAAAACTTCTAATGCGCAGACTACAAGGGAAAACACGCACAAAATGAAGCCGGCAAGCATTTCCTGCATGACAGAGGTTGCTTGCCTTGCTGGTCTCGCATCAGGGTGTGTAACTGTAACATTTTTTTCTCACGATAGGGGTTCCCTGGATCGGGTGGACGTAAATTTTCCACCCGCTAGGCCCGTAGCTGTTCGCGTTCACCGCGTTTGTCGCGGTACTTGACGGGTACCGTAGACACAGCCCGTATTCCCGCCCAACGGTTAAATCCGTTGCGTTTATGCCGCTAAACGCGTAAAAGTTCAAGCCGACGAAATTAGCCGGCTCCATGGTCAACAGATTTGAGACCCGCTTGGATTCGCTGCAGTCCGTGAACGAATCGGCCAAATATGCATTGCAAGAGTGTCTGGGTGTGGAAAAGTGGAACTTGTGTTGCATGTCTTACATTCGTAAAAAATCTGTATTGCATAGCCAGCAAAGCAGGCGCCACTCTTGCGTCATGCAAAAAGCAGTTTGTCATGCGTCCTACGCATCAGACGGCGTTAAGTGAACTTGTTATGCTTGGCTGCACTTGAGAGCGCCAGAGTTATCCAGACTTTAGCATTACAAGTTAAAGTTTCCTGACCCAGAGAGACATATTTGCAGTTCATAGCAAAAACCCGGTGACAAATTTGCTGCACGTTCCGGGGAGACACCGGAAGTAAACAACTTGTAAATCCGACTTGTACCCGGTATACATTGCAAAAATGTCTGGGTCTGGAAGATTGCTGAGGTTTGTGATGCTGTGTCTGCTTGGCACAGAAGGTGTGCCATGCAAGGCCTAGCATCGCAGGTTTTGACGCATCGCAGGTTTTGACGCATCGCAGGTTTTGACGCATCACAGGTTTTGACGCGTTTCCCGATGCTTAATCCGCATGACAAACGCCTTCTTCCGGCGACAGGAAAAGGAGCTCCCTTTGCTGTCTAAGCATGACAGATTTTTGAGTGATCCAAGTATGCATCACAAGTTCGCATCCTTCCAGACCCAGACATTTTTGCATTTGGTACACGGATGTTGTCTGCAATAAATCAATCGACTGGGTGAACACGTTGAAGCCGGAAAACCGCATCGGCTGGGTCGTTCTGGTTCCGATATTCAGTTCGTTCGTCGCCGCGGTGGGGGCGAAAATTTCGTTTGCGTAGCTGTTTCCACTCGTCGCGGAGGCCGGGCTCGAGCCAAACACCGTATCCCCGTCCATGTCGATGCAGAGTTGGTAAAATTTCCCTAGTTCAAAGCTCATCCCCGGGGAGGAGGACGTGGTGAGTAAGTCTTGCTGGAGTTATACTGTGAAAAAATACTATCGTACTCGTAGTAAAAATCTTCTTCTTCGCAATCATGCAATACAAATCTCCATCCCAAGGTCGTAAAACAGCATGACAAATTTCATTTGTCCTGCTGAGCGAGTTTGTAATGCGATAATTTCTACTAGCACGATAGTACCTTTGCAATGCGTAGGAGTTTGAAGCTGTTGATAGAGGACAGAGAGTTGGACAGCTTTTTCGCCCCATTCATTTGAATTTGCGTTGACCCCGAGGAAGACGTTCCGGTATTGTAAGCGGTTAGATTCCCCTCGGAAATTTGCATCTTCTCGGCGGTCAGCCCCTCCTGTGCACAGTTTTCCGCTAGAAACGCCACAGAATTCGCGTCTGTGCAGTTCGTATCAACTGCAAATATGGTCTGGGAGATCGCGAGACTTGATGTCATGCTAGTCTGGTATGACTCTGAACTTTGTATTGCGTGGCAGCGAAGAGCTGCTCATGTTTGTAATGCAAAGCCGCAGCTTCTCATGCGGAGTACGCAACTCAGAACTACGGAAAAAACTTGTTAAGCTTGGCAGCGCATTACAGTGTGCTCACTATTCCCTTCCTCGCATCACAAGTTTCCAGACACAGACTTATTTGCACTTCGTAGTTCGGGCAGACGAAATGTAAATCGGCTTTGTCCTGGTACAGAACGGACACGTCGGTGGAAATCACCGGCGTCATGTATGACAGTGCACAACTGCTCCCCTATCGCATGAACAGCAATACAAACGCCCGCACATGTGGAGCCTGTGCATGACAGGTTCATGCGCATAATTGAGTACTGTTTGGGCTTCCAGATGAATCTGCCATGCAAACAGTACCACACGGCAGCGCTTGGATTTGGTACTTTTATTATACTTACATGACAAATGAGGGGAAGAGGGAGTTGCTCACTGTCATATCATGTACAGCAAATACATTAAGTCGCCGTAGAAGAAGTTCGCGGAATTATTAGTGTTCAAATCCACGCACAATCGGTAGTCGTACCCCTCAAGCAAATGATCCACTAAAAACGGAAAAAACGTCCGGCTGGACGAATTTTCGTACGGCGCTGCGTTTTGGTACAGCACGTTGTTAAAGTCCGAAAACCGTATCTCCGTCGATTCCGTTTGTACCCCGGTAATTTGTGTTGCGTTTCCCCCACCGTCTCTCACGTTGCACCTCGTGTAGAAACTGTTGAGTAAGTAAGCTTCGGTGAAATTCGTACAGCCGAGGCAAGTGATATTAACCTCCACCATCTTTCTACTACTCAGAATGTTGTCGGGTGGGAATTGCTGGTTGTAAAAATCAGGGTACGAACTTGACAAAGCCGCGACCCAGTCCTGGTTTTTCGGCAGCATTTTATCCGCATCGACGAAGGGGATTTCCGCGGTGTAAACTAAGTGCCCAGTGGACCCCATGAACTTTGGGCCCTTGAACCCGTCTAAATCTGTACAGAGGGAGAAATGCCGGCCGTTGACAAGCTTCCGGGTGTTTAACCGCAGTTGGAAGAGTGTTCCGTTGTAGGTTTGGGATAACTGGGAGGAGAACACTGCGGAGGAATCGAACGTGGTATTGGCGTACGAAATTGTCGCCGTAGTCGGGTTATCAAATGCAAAATATGTCGTCTGGGTCTGGGATATTGCCAGGTTTGTCATGCTAGTCTGGCATGACTCTGAACTCTGTATTGCGTGTCCGCGAAAAGCTCCTCTCGCCTGTCATGCAAGCACGCAGTTTCTCATGCGGAGTACGCAAGTCAGCACCACGGAAAAACTTGTCATGCTTGGCAGCGCATTACACTGTAGTCAGTATTCCCATCCTTGCGTCACAAGTTTCCAGACCCAGACATATTTGCGGTTGATATGTGTCGTTTGACGCTGAGCTACTGCTCGTTTCACCACTACTCGAGGATGCCAACATATCCAAGAAAAAAACTGTGTTAGTGTAAGTCTTTTGGGAAAACAGCATCACAAGTTTGTCTGCCATGACAGGACAAACTTGTTATGCGCAGATACAAAGGGAAAACACATAGGAAGCGAGCCGGTCATGCATCTCGAGCATGACAAGTGTAACTGTTTGGCATTTTCTGCATCACAGATTTACACTTACGCAGTTTTTTTCTTGCATACAACAACCGTTCCCGGATCTTCTGCGTGTCTAAATAACTGTATTGTGAGGGAAAGTCTCCCCTCCCCATACCAAAGCGGGACACTGTCATGCTGATTTGTGGCCACAAGTCGTCTCTGTATTGCAAGAAGGCAAAGCACCAAACGCAAACCCCGCCGCGTTCTGCAGGCAATTTGTAATGCGGTATGAACTACAGCGATCACCCCTGCCTTGCTAGGTGCCTACACCAAAGCGCCCCCACTCAGGCTTTGCATCTGCCTGCAGTCCTCTACTGCAAGACACAGCCGATCTGTGTACACAAATTCCGCATCACAGACTTCCATTTCGATATGGGGACGGGGGATTTTTCCTTTTGATAAACTGATCCGGAACGGCACCACCTCCGTCGCCTCCGTGATGTTATTCATCGGGACGGAATCCGTCACTGACTCATCACAAGTCGTCGACAAATACGCCATGGAATCTGTGCTGCACGCGTTCGTCATGGTGGTGGAATCCTGCCCGGTTTGCTGATTCGGATGGCAGTACAAACTCAGATCCGCGTACGCCATCGTAAGTCCAATCACCAAACCGGTGGTAATCAAAGTTGTGACCCCCGACACGAACACCGTCAAGCCAGTGTCGCCGAAGGACCTCTTCGACTGCATCGAAGTCACGCCCGCTGGTGGGACGCCCAGGTCTAAGTATCATGAGCAAAAATCCCCCCTCCCCACATCACAAACGAAATTTGTGATGCTGATCTGTGGCCACCAATCAGCTTCGTCATGCAGTAGAGGACTGCAGGCCTATATCGCGCCGGAGTGGAGAGGTTTTGGCCTAGGCGCTTAGCATGGGGAACGTCTATGCCGTAGGCCCAATAGCATTACAAACCGCCTGCATAATGGGGCGGAGCCTGTGGTGCTGCTTTCTTGCATCACAGACGCGATTTGTGGTCACAAATCAGCAGGACAAATTTTCTGAGGCGTGCCTTATCGATATGAGGGGGGGGATTTTTCCTCGCAATACTAAGCAGAGTCGGTACATCCCGCCTTGGGTGAGGGTCGACGCGTCGAACGTTATCCTGAGTAAAAACGTACCCACGCCAGAGTTGTCATGCAGATTTGCCATGACAGGAACATTTGTGATGCGCAACCCCATGACAGGCATTTTCAATCGTGTTTGGGAACTTGTAATGCTGTAAAAAGGATCAGAAGGTCGATTTTTGATGCGGCTTTCCTTGCTAACTTGCACTACCTTACGGACTGAAACTTGTCATGCGTGACTCCTAAAAATCCTAGGTTTGTGTTGCAAAATCCCCATCCTGACTCTGGTGAGGGTACGTTTTTACTCAGGATAAAAGTGAAGTCAAATTTGTTGCTCAAATCCGGATTTGTCGTCACCACAGTGCTCACCGCCTGCTTCGCTTCCACTACGGATGATAGTTCCCCCGCGTAACTATCAACTGCAAAAATGTCTGGGTCCGGAAAGTTGTGATGCAAGTCCGGGAACAATAAAGTTCTCTTTATTGCGCCGCCAAGCATGACAAGTTTTTTCGTGTTTCTGCGCTGCGTATTTCGCATGAAAAACTGCGCTTTTGCCTGACAGGCATGAGGACCTGCTCTTGGTGGCCACGCAATACAGACTGCAGAGTCATGCTAGACTAGCATGACAAATCTCGCATTCTTCCAGACCCAGACACTTTTACAGTTGATAGTAACGCGGGTAGACCAAATTGGTCGAGTCGAAGCCGGAGAGAAGTGTCTCACAAAGTGTATGCATTGCAACTATCCCTGGATGTCTGGAGGATGGTAACTGAACCCTGTCATGGTAAGTCTGAAGCATACAAAAAATCTGTGTTGCATGAGTGCCAAAAGCTGTCCGCTTTCGACCAAAAGTTGGGACGGAGTTTCTCATGAAGGATAGGGATTGCAGAAACCTCGCAGAGTCTGTCATGCTAAGTCCCGCATTCCAGACCTTATGGGTGGTCATGAAAAATCTGCATGACAAGATAGTTCCACTCTTCCAGACCCAGACATTTTTGCATTTGATAAAGCGGTTGCAGTTGCACTTTCTGCAGAACTAGATACCCTTTTGTGACCCCCGGTGTGCACAGTATCCCTTTTTCCGTGTTGGGATTGCTATCCGGTAGACCGCCTCCGCAAGTCGCCCGGACCGTTTGGTTTGCTTCGGAAAAAATCGACGGGGCAAAGGATTCTCTCTCTTCCACCACTAATTTCCCGGTTATCGGGGAAACAAACAACTCCACCCCGGAATACCCGTAACTCATCGGCTATCCCAGGAAAAAAGTGTTACAGTTACACATTTGTAGTCAATTCAGCAAAACAAATTTCTCTGCATGAATGAGAGAAAACTTGTAATGCAGAAATCCTATGAAACGAGGCTTCTATGCAAAAGCGGCATGACAGAGCTGGTCTGCCTTGCTTGGCCTGCAACACAATCTGTAACTGTAACACTTTTTTCTTGGGATATCGGCCCGCCCTTCCCGTCCAAATCGATGCAGAGGCTGTACTATCCAGGAAAAAAACGATTTTTCATCTGGGTGTAACTTTTTTGGAGGACCAGCATCACAAATCTGTCTGGCATCCGAGCAAAAACCTGTCATGCGCAGATTGTACGTGAAAACGCGCTTGAATGGACCTCTCAATGCATGCCCAGCATGACAGCCGCAATCACTTTGCATGTTGCGCATTACAACAAAGTTACACTATACGAATGCTCTTTTCATCTTTGATATGTACGTCTTCCCGATGATTAAGTGCGAAGTATCGAACACAAAGTCGAAATACCCCGTCATCTTCCGCACATCCGCTAACTCTATTGCGAGGAAAAATCCCCCCTCCCCATATCGAAAAGGAAACTTGTGATGCTGGATTTGCGTACACAAGTCGACTTCTATTGCTAGAAGGCCAAAAGACGCAGCTGTTGCCTGAATTGCAGGCAGTTTGTCATGCTGTTTCCCGCTTCCAGTTGCCTCCTGTGGTCATGCTGAAGATGCAAGGCTTTCCCACGCCAGCCAGCACTACAGTCCGCATCTTTTGCCTTCTAGCATGACAACGTGATTTGTGATAGCAAATCATGCTACACAAATCTCCGTTTTAGTATGGGGTGGGGGCTTTTTTCACTTCGATAAACTCCACGGCGGATTTGTTGACTGCGTAAGCCCCCTCCGTCCGGTTCAGGAGCTCAGCGGAGATCCCCACCGGTTTCAAAACGTTCACTATCGTAAGGAAAAATCCCCCCTCCCCACATTGAAAAGGTAATGTCTCCGAAAATTTGCGTTGCTGCTTTGAGGTCACAGATCACATTTGTCTTGCAAGAAGACAAGGGCAGAAGCTTCCGCCATATTATGGACGCGATTTGTCATGCTGTTGGGCCTAAAGCGGAGCCGTTTGCCATGCTGCACAACTAGACCCATACGCCCCCACCTAGCCTGGGGATCTGGCCGCAATGCCTCTCTGCAATACAAAGCTGATTTGTGTACACAAATCCAGCATCAGAGATTCCGTTTTGATATGGGGAGGGGGGATTTTTCCGTTCGATATTCACCTCCGCCGGAACTGTGTAGCGCTGCTCGCACGCCTGATCCCCGATGTAGGCTGTGGTGGCGTAGACAGAAGTGGACACCGCTAGGTTCACGCCGTCCGGGTCCGTGGTGTAGGAGTTGGTCCCTGTGGAATCTTGTAGCAAATCTAGCACCCCGGAGAATTTCTCGTCGTAGTACGAGACTTCGATGTCCGTGCCGTTCGTGTAGTTTTTCGTGACCATCTGCTCTTCGATCGAATACGTTGTTGTCGTGGTGTTGTCCTATCCTGAGTAAAAACGTCCCCACCCCAGAGTTGTCATGCCAATGCGCAATGACAAAAACATTTGTAATGCGCAGCTTCATATGAGGCATTTCTAGTTGTGTTTTGGCATTTGTAATGCTGTAGCCAGGATGAGAAAATGGCTCTCACATGCGGCTTCCCTTGCCAACCAGCACTGCACCGCAGAGGGAAACTTGTCATGCACAGCTCCCAAAACTTGGAGATTTGTTTTGCTAGATTCCCAACTTGACTATGGGGTGGCGACGTTTTTGCTTAGGATATGTCCCCGTTATCCGTCACTGTCGTTACGGTGACATTCTCCAGAACATCGTAAAAAACGTAGATTGGCACGGTGGTCAGCCGGGTTCGCGTCACGTTGATCTCCGCTCGGTCCTCGAGTGGCCGGCACGCCGGGCAGTTGACCTCGAACTTCGAGGCCAATTGCTGGAAAATGGTGGTGGTCGCTAGGAGCACCGGGGTGAGATAAACGGTGAGCAACGTGTCGCCGTAGACCAGAGAGTTGGAGGTAGTGGAAAGTAGAACCGAATCGGAAGTGGTTGCGGTCACACTATCTCCGTCCTTATCGACACAGATGTGGTAGTAGAATCCCGCGGTTAACCTCCTCGCGTCGATTTGGAACTCCACGTGGTTCTGGACATTCGCTACCCCGGTGCTGGTAGACAGGTATTTTTCCTTCGTCGAGTTGTAAACCACCGCGCCTAGACTGTTCGTCTCCGAGGGGAGTAGAGTGCTCAACGGGAGGCCGGATTCCGTCTGGAAACAAGCCGTGAAAACTATTGAAAGGAACAATCCCCCCTCCCCATATCAAAACATTATGAAAAAGGAAACTTGTGATGCTGATTTGTGACCACAAATCAACTTGTATTGCTAGAAGGCGAAAATACGCAGTAGCTCCTTCGTTTGCAGGAAATTTGTCATGCTGTTTCCCGTTTCCAGTTGCTTCCTGTCATGCTCAAGACGCAAAGCTTTCCCACGCCAGCCAGCACTAAAATCTGCATCTCTTCCCTTCTAGCATGACAGCGCGATTTGTGATCACAAATCATGCTATACAAATCTCGCTTTGAGTATGGGGTGGGGAGATTTTTCCTTTTGATAAAAACCGGGAACTGCGAGGCCAAGTACGCGGTCGTCACGCCGGGAATGCAATATCAAGTGCAAAAGTGTCTGGGTCTGGAAGGTGGCAACTTGTCATGGCAAATCTGAAGCATGCAAAAATCTGTGTTGCATGAGTGCCACACGCTGTCCACTTTTGACCATAGTTGGAAAGGAGTTTGTCATGCAGGATAGGCATGACAGAGACTTCGCAGAGTCTGTCATGCTAAGTCCCGCATTCCAGACCTCGTGGGTCATGGAAAATCCGCAAGACAAGTCTAAGTACACTTTTCCAGACCCAGACATTTTTGCATTTCATATGCAAGTCGGGCACTCAAAAGTGATGACTTGGTCCAGTTTCTGCTCGAAGTACCGCAGCCGATTTTCCATGTTGATCGCGGGGGTCGTGTGGACGTAGAGCTGGGAAAACCCGGATTCCAAAGCCTCCTGCCCGGTGATCAAGCACAGCTTCCAATAGCCCCCGGTTAAAACGGCGGAGGTGTCTAACGTCAACTTAAACAGCGTGTTGGATCCGTAAGAAACAGACTTGCTGCCGTCGATGATGTTTTTCGAGATGATGGAAGCAGCTACCTCATTATCAAATGTAAAAATGTCTGGGTCTGGAAGAATGGAAGGCTTGTCATGCTTGTCTGGCATGACCCATGATGCTTGTAATGCATGACCCAGCATCACAGATTTTTGGAAAGCTTCCTGATGTCATTTCTGCATGACAAGTGCCCTCCTCGCGTAGCACAAATGTGGCTCCTCTTGCTGGTCATGCAATACAGATTTTTTTAGAGTCCAAAGTTAGCATCACAAGTTCCAACTTTCCAGACCCAGACATTTTTGCATTTCATACTCATTCACCAGCTCCAACTTCGTGTTTCCAATCGTCGTGATCTTACCCGGATCCCCGGCCTGGCAGTTTGTCCCGAGATACGCGGTGGTGTTTTCCGTGCATCTATGCATTGCAAATATGTGGTTTGGGTCTGGAAGATTGCACCTTGTCATGCCAAGTCTCGATTGGAAAAAAATTTGTGTTGCATGGTTACAAAACATCTAAAGTTGATGTCCACGTTTGAACAATTTCTTGAGAGGAAGTTTCTCATGCAGGCTAGGCATGAGAAAGATTTCAAAGATGAATCTGTCATGCTTCGTCCTTTACACCAGACCTCATGAATCATGGAAAACCCGCATGACAAGTCTCGCAATCTTCCAGACGACCCTGACATATTATTGCATTTGATAACATCCGGTCGGACAGTGGATGAAGAGCTCCTGGTTCTGATCCGATAAAATATCGCAAGAAAAAACTGCTTCGCTGTGAACTTGTGACGCATAGAATGGAACACAGAACTATTTGTCTTGCTACACCTGTAAGGCATTGGATTTTTCAGCGTGTTTTCCCTTGGAAAGCGCGCATGGCAAATTTTCTGTGTCATGTGTAGCAAACTTGTGATGCGGATCTTGCAAAAGAAACCATCACAGTGAAACAGTTTTTTCGTGGGATAAAAAATCACGTTGGAGTACTGTTTGATCCAGTTATCCGACCGTTTAAACAAATTCGATTTGCCCTGCGCGTCGTCAATTGCTTGGTAAAACGTCGCGGATTCCCCGGAGTCCGACCGCATTTCCCCCGTCGCGGGGTCGACCGTGATGACCCCGGGGGTGGAGTAGGATTCCGCATTGTAGATGAAAGTCTGGTTGATCTGGTCGCTGCGCCACTTCAAATTCGGCGGGGAAATGTACACGAATTGCTGCGCGTCCCCGGATATGAACTGCAAATGCATCGCACTACGTAAGTAGAAACTGCATCACAAACTGGCTCAGCATTTTTGCAAATGGAACTTGCCATGCTGATTTGACCTAGGAAAAGAATTTGTCATGCATAGCTGCAAGAATATAGAAGTACTACTTACGAGTGCGCTACTTTTACACTGCATACCGGAGGCTAACGCGGTCGCCGTGCCGTCCAGATCCGTGCAGATCGTGTAGTAGGAGCCCACGGTCAAGGCAGAGGCATCGACAGTGACCGACCACAACTTCGTCGTGCTCGTCGTGCTCTGCAACACAAACGGCGCGAAGCCGGAGGAACTGGCGCCCTGAGACACCTGCCCCGCGTCGAAATCCGTAGTGTTATCAAATGCAAAAGTGTCTGGGTCTGGAAGAGTGCATGTTTGTCATGCTTGTCTGGCATGACTCTTAAATCTGTCATGCACGTTACCCAAGACCTCCATTTTTCTCTGATGCAGAAACGCAGTTTGTCATGCAGAATAGGCAACACCTAGTAGCTCGGAAACTTGTCATGCTGAGCCAGCACTTGTGGCCTCATCATGAGACGCCTTCCAGCATCACAAGTTTCCAGACCCAGACATTTTTACATTTGATAGGTGTCGCAACCGACGGATTTCGCTGCCAAGTACAAGGTGGTCGCGGAGGTGCACACCGAGCAATAGACCGTGAACTGCTGGCTCGGCAGCGCCGGGATACTGGTGTCAAACGCGAGCGTCGCGCCCGTGATGTAGGTGGATAATTCCGTGTATCCAAAGGGCAACGTCCCGTTCCGCCCGTCTAAATCCAAGCAGACCTTGTACCGGTTCCCACTCGTCAGTAGTGCAGCGTCCAAAGTCGCCTGAAAAGTCGTACTCGACGCCGACCCGACCTGGTCGAGTAGAACGGCGTTCGTCGTGACTGGCGCGCTTGCGGTGTGCGATCCGTCGTTTGTGAAGATGTCGCAGTCGTCGGCGGAAGTTAAGTAAACTGACGTCTGCTGATCCAGGCAGTCCGCGCAACGGAACTGCACGACTTGGTTCGCCTGCTGGATGATTCCCGGCGTGAGAATGTCGATGTCGAGGACGTACACTTGCAAATATCCTGTGCAAAAGTTGTATCATACTCGTACTAATCGCAATCATGCATTACAAATTTCCATCCCAAGGCAAAACAGCATGACAAATTCCATTTGTCATGCTGGCCGAATTTGTGTTGCAATTTCTACTAGTACGATGCTTTTGCAATGCATAGCAAAAACATGTCGGCGAAATATTTTTCTGTGTTAATCCCGTCGTAGTCCATGCACAATCGGTAAACTTGACCCTTCCGCAAGGGGCTGGCGTCAAACATGCTGTACCACTGGCCCGCCTGGTTTTGCCACGCTGCGGTCGCGGTTCGGAATTCCCCGTCCGCTGTCATCACCCCCGTGTTCAAATCGTATTCGCACTTCCCGTAGAGGTGAACCAAGTACACCCTAATTTCTGTCGCCTGCCCGCCAAACGGCGTGATGTAATTCACCCGCTGGCTCGCTTGCGGCAAAAGCCGCCTACTCCCGGTCTTCAAGGCGGTAACCATATGCATTGCAAATATGTCTGGGTCTGGAAGGATGCAAGGTCTGTCATGCTTGCCAGGCATGACTGAAGAGCTTGTGATGCGTGTTCAAGAAGAGACCACTTTGATTGTCATGCAGCGATGCAGTTTGTCATGCGGAAAGCGCAACACTAAGCAGCGCAGACATTTCTCATGCTTGGCTGTGCATTATAGAGCGTTCACTATTCCCAACCCAGCATTAAAAGTTTCCAGACCCAGCCCACATATTTGCATTTGATAAACCAATGACAGGAACAGCTTCGCACCCGTGTCGCCGTAGTACAGTGTGTAGCTCGCGCCGTTCTATTACAATGAAAAATGCCCCCTCTCACAACGGAAATCTGTGATGCAGATTTGTGGTCACAAATCAGCTCTGTGATGCTAGAAGGCAAAAGATGGGGACTGTACTAGTGCTGGCTAGCGTGGGCAAGCCTTGCATCTCCCGCATGACAGGAGGCGACTGGAAGTGGGAAACAGCATGACAATATATGCCTGTAGTTCAGCCCACAGCTGAATCTCTTGGCCTTCTAGCAATACAAGTCGATTTGTGTACCCAAATACAGCAGCACAAATTTCGCTTCCGATATTGGGCATTTTTCCTTTTGATACGTTGTAAAAGGTTGTTAAGTCCCCGTCTAAATCCATGCAGAGAATGTACAGCTCTCCCTGGTAGAACGGCCGGGCGTCGATATCAAATGTAGATATGTCTGGGTCTGGAAGATTGCTGAGGTTTGTCATGCTTGTCTGGCATGACCAGAAAGTTTGTGATGCGTGTCCAAGAAGATACCCTTTTGCCTGTCATGCAAAAACGCGGTTTGTCATGCGAAAAACGCAACAGAAAGAAGCGCAGACATTTCTCATGCTTGGCTGTGCATTACAGAGCATTCACTATTCCCAACGCAGCATTACAAGTTTCCAGACCCAGACATTTTTACATTTGATAGTCAAAGGTGAGTGACCACTGGTATGTGTCTGCGTTCACGAGTGTGATCAAAGCCTATCAAAGTGAAAAATCCCCCCACCCCATACTCGAACTAGAAATTTGCGATGCAGATTTGTGGTCGCAAATCAGCTTTGTGATGCTAGAAGGGAAAAGATGCGGACTGTAGTGCTGGTTGGCGTGGGAATAAACCTTTGCATCTTCAGCATGACAGGGGGCAGCTGGAAGTGGGAAACAGCATGACAATATATGCCTGCAACCGAGGCCACAGCTGCGTCTCTTGGCCTTCTAGCATTACAAGTCGATTTGTGTACTCAAATACAGCAAAACAAATTTCGTTTTCGATATGGGGAGGGGGGATTTTTCCTTTTGATAAAGCTGGGGCGTTGTTTTCGTTTCCCGTATTGTCCACTCTGGGTCTCTATGCAATGCAAATTTGTCGGGGTCTGGAAGGATGCGAACTTGTGATGCATGTTGCGGATCGTACAAACATCTGTGTTGCGTGACTTGCAAAAGGTGCCCATTTCTGGCCATGGTGAGAGGGCATTTCTCATGCAGAACAGGCATCACCAATGGGGCTGCAAATCATGTGATACTAGAATCTGCATTCCAGGCTTGGTGGAGATTGGATAAACTGCATGACAAATCTCGGGATCTTCCAGACCCAAACATATATTTGCATTTGATAGTCTCGTCGTCCCGGTTCTCGTATCGTGACACCCGGTTGGCTCATCCCCCCGCTGCCGCGTTAAATACGCGTAGGTGTTCGTCGTGCAGCCGAAACACGTGAAAGTGATCGTTTGCGCGTCCTGTGTGGGCACGGCGCCGATGTGCTCGGTGGGGATTGGGCTGTTGTAGATTTTGTAGCTACTGTGCCCCACCGTGTGGGTATCCCCGATGCCGTCCTGGTCGACGCAAAGCCAGTAATGGCCCCCGACTAGCATTTTATCCGTCGAGAACTCCACGTCGTACTTGTAATTGTGCAGCGTGTAGTTCAAATCGCGCTGTAACAGCCCCGTCTTCGTTATTATCCCGGCCAAGTTCGGATCGCCGGCGAGCAGATTGTCGGATAACACCCTCTATGCATTGCAAAAGTACTATCGTACTAGTAGAAATTGCAATAGAAATTTACTTCGCATTACAAATTAAATTTGTAATGCGGATTTGCCTTACGAAAAAGATTTGCAATGCATAACTGCAATTAGTACGGGTACGATACTTTTGCACAGGATACCCTCGGATCTGAATTCGTTTCGAAGTAATCCGGACAGGAGTATGAATTGCAAATATCCCCGGATCATGTCTAGAAGGTCGCAACTTGTGATGCGCATTTCAGATCCCATAAAAATCTGTCTTGCATAAACAGCAAAAGCTGCCTATAATTTTTGGTCATGTATTGAGAGCGGATTTCTCATGCACAGTACGCATCGTGAAGCTCTAGAATAACGACCTGTGATGCTGGTTCCTGCATGCCAGACACTTTGGGTCATGCAAAACCTGCATTACAACAAACATCTGCATTTATCCAGACATCCAGGGATTATATTTGCAGTGCATAAGGAACGCGAGGGCGCGAAGGTCAAGTAGCTCATGGTGACGTTGTCTTGACACGTTGGGCAGTTGATCTTCAATTTGGATAATTTCGTCGTTTGGTCAAAAAAGGTGGAAGCGACGTTTGAGTATCAAATGCAAAAGCATCGTACTAGTAGAAATCGCATGACTAATTCCCTCAGCATGAAAAATGGAATTTGTAATGCGGATTTTGGTTAAGAAGGAGATTTGTAATGCATGGCTGCGATTACTACGAGTGCAATACTTTTGCACAGGATATTGAGGCGAGTCCAGCAACCGCGGTTTCGTACACAGAGTTCGTGTATGCATTGCAAATTTGTCTGGGTCTGGAAGGAGATGAAACTTCTGATGCTGCATTTGGATACTACCAAAATCTGTATTGCATCATGAACAGCAAAAGAGGTCCAGTTTTTGCCACGGCGAGCTGGCATTTCTCATGCAGTATAGGCATCCGGAAGCCCTCAGAAAATCTGTGATGCTAGGGCGTGCATCACAGACGTCAAGAGTCATGCAAAATGTGCATGACAAACCTTGCATCCTTCCAGACGCAGACATATTTGCATTTGATATCGTGGAGTAACTCGGCTGGATCGCGAGCATTGCTGTGGTGTAGTGAAGGCTGATGTAGGGGGTCACGAAGAACTGAAAACCAGAATCCCCGAAATTCTTCGGGTTCCCGCTGCCCTCCTGGTCGAGGCACAGGTGGTAAAAAAACCCGGTGTCTAAATTACTGCAATCCAACTCCGTCTCCATGGTGCCCGAGGGGTCCCCGGAAAACTGCTGACTACTATCCAGTGTAAAAGTGTCTGGGTCTAGGAGAGCCATGCTGTTTTTGCATGACACAGAAGGTCTGGCATGGAAGCTCTAGCATCACAGGTTTCGAGAAGCTTCCGCTATGCCGAATCCGCATGACAGATCCCCCATTTTGGTGACAGAAAGTGGGCAGCTTTTGCTACCTATGCATGAGAGATTTTTCTGTGTTCTGAAATGCGCATCACAAGTTTGTATTCTTCCAGACCCAAACATATTTACAATCCATAACTACTGGACCTCGTCGACCCAAGAGCGGTGATTTGGTTGTACCCAGATCCGTATCAAATGTAAAAATGTCTGGGTCTGGAAGAGTCCATGTTTGTCATGCGTGTCTGGCATGACTCTCAAATCCGTCATGCACGTTACCCAAGAGCGCCACTTTTCTGTCACGCAGAAACGCAGTTTGTCATGCAGAATAGGCAACAGCTAGAAGCTCAGAAACTTCTCATGCTGAGCCAGCACTTGTGGCCTCCTCATGATACGCCACCCAGCATCACAAGTTTCCAGACCCAGACATTTTTACATTTGATAATCCGACACTGGTGTCGCACCCGTTTAGGTCTAAATACACCGTGGTCTCCGAGCTATGACAGTGCACAACTCTCCCTCCCCCTCACTTGTCATGCAAAATTCCAAATCCAGTTATCGCTGCCGTGTGGCGCTGCTTGCATGACGAATTGTTCCGGAAGCCTGAACAGTACTGCAATAGGTGCGCAAATTTGTGATGCGTAGGCTCCACGCGTGCTGGTGCTTGTATTGCTGTCCATGCTATACAAATGAGGGAGAGGGGGAATAGTTGTGCACTCTCATACGAGCTAATCACCGAACTCGACGTGCCGGTGAAAAAGAGCTTCTGATATTACAATGAAAAGTGCCCCCCACCCCTGAAATTGCAAAAATTTGTGATGCGAAGTTTCCAAATGAAAACTTTTTGTCATGCATGAAAGGAGTATGAATCTCTCCGATGCAGAGTCTCGGCGTGTATCGCATCGCTTGGATGACAAGCGCCGATCTTGCTGGGGTCTTTTGCAATACAAATTTTTGCTATTCACGATTGGAAACCTGTGATGCTGATAGATGCAAGAGGGCGAATATTTCATTTGGAAAGTTTTGCAATACAAATGCTCCCAAGTTCGGGGGTGGGGGCATTTTTCATTGTAATACCTGAAACTGCTTCTTCGGCACGGAGCGGATCTCGCTTCGTTTGTTTGTCGCCGTGAGCAAATTTCTGATGTAAATCGGAAATCCAGATTCCCCCCAGGGTGCGACCGTCGTGTACCCGTCTAAATCAATACACAGAACGTAGGCGTTGCCGACTGTGAGTAGTGCTGCGTCCAGTGCTATCACGAAAAAACTGTGTTAGTGTAAACTTTCTTTGGCTGGCAGCATCACAAATTTGCTTTACATACCTGTCATGCGTGGCTTGTAAGGGAAAACACACATGAACAGAGGACTTCATGGTTGTCTGGCATGACAGGTGTAACTCTGTTGCATGTTCTGCATTACAGAGTTACACTTACACAGTTTTTTTCTTGCATAAGTGCAGCGAAAAATTCCGCGGCGTTTAACGGGTTCTGCACGAGATTCACGTCGGACCCATATGCTGTGCAAAAGTACTTATCCGATGCAGTTCGTAGCAATTGCACTCATGCATTACAAATCTTTTTCTGTGGGTGTGCCCGCATTACAAATTCCATTTCTCATGCGGAGCAAATTACTTGTCATGCGATTTCTACTAGTACGATAGTACTTTTGGAATTCATAACCCAGATGTGCCGGCCACCGGTGTATTCAACCCATCTAACACGTCCTTGTTGCAACTGGTGTCGACGTGTATTCTCGTGTTCGCACTGCAGCCCGACCCGTCCCAACACGTCACGGTCAAAATGTTCACCGCGTGGGTGTTACTCGCTTTCTCAATCGCGCCGTGGTTGCTGAGGGTTTTGAACGGCGAGATGTAAATGTCGTAGCCCGTGTCCCCAAAGTACGCTGGACCGTGCGGCCCGTCTATGTCCTGGCAAACTCGATAGTACCAGCCCGCGCGGAGATCGGTCGCGTCAAAAATCGCGGTGTACATATTGCTGCCGATAGAGGTTAAATTCGTACTCGCGGAGTTCGCGGTGGGGTTTGCCTGCTTCACCCCACCGTTATCCGTTCGGTCGCAGTCGAATTCGCCCAAGTAAACCGTGGAGTTTATCACACAGAAAAAACAAAAAGCACACAGGTCACATTTGTAATGCAAAAATAAATACACAAAAACATCTGTATTGCATATCCTAAACAGCACGCTACGGGGGGGCCCCCTATGACATTTTTTTCTATGTATTTGTTTTTGCATCACAAACACGACCTTACTGCTTTTTCGTGTGGGATAGAGTTCTCGGTACAGGTCGGCGTGTCTGCGGCCGAGCAGGTGAAGGTCAAAGTCTGGTTGTTGGTCTTCTTAATCACAAACTTATCCACCGCAAGAATGGAGTTTGTGTACAGCCGCAACCCCGTGTCGCCCATCGCGCGCACAAACGCTTCGCCATCGGTATCCGTATCCTGTGTAAAAAAGTCCCCACCCCAGCGTTGTCATGCAAATGCGCAATGACAAGAACATTTGTAATGCGCAGCTCCATAAGAGGCATTTCCAGTCGTGTTTTGGAATTTGTGATGCTGTAAACAGGATGAGAGAACGGCTTTCTCATGCGGCTTCCCTTGCTAACCAGCACTACAATGCAGAGGCAAACTTGTCATGCGCAACTCCCAAAACTTGGGGATTTGTGTAGCAGATTTCCCATCTGGACTATGCGGTGAAGGCGTTTTTACTCAGGATAATCCGTGCAGACGTTGTAATTCTCCCCCGGGGTCAAAGGTCTGGAGTCGATAAACTGCCGGGTGTTTTCCAGAGCGGAAGACCCCGCGTTGCCGACTAGCAGGACACTCGTTGAGGAGAATCCGTCGACGCCGAGTAACCGCTGGTTTCCACCGATCCTGGTGAAATCACATTCCCTATTGTGCGGAAAAGTCCCCCCTTCCCATACTGAAAAGGTATGCGCCTAAAAATTTGCGATGCTGACTTGTGACCACAACTCCTGCCTCTCTTGCAAGGGGGCAAATCCAAAGAATCCGCCGTCTTAATATGGAGGAGATTTGTAATGCTGTTACGGCTACATGGAGGCCCTCTGCTATGCTAAGCACCCACACCAAAACACCCCTGCACAGGCGTAGGCTTTGCCTGCGTTGCCTCACTGCAAGACAGAGCTGATCTGTGTACACAAATCCAGCAACAGAAATTTCCGTTTCAATATGGGAAGGCGGGATTTTTCACTTGGATACTCCCTCGCTACGTGCAGTTCCGTCAAATCTGCCTCCGGGTTGCAGTGGTCGCAGTACAGCTGGATCAACACTCTCGTCACCGGCGCAATCGCCCGGGGCTCGACGCGCCAGACCGTGGAAATGTAAACATTATACCCACTGTAGCCGACGCCTAAACTGGGCGACGTCCCGTCCAGGTCGATGCAGATTTTGTAAAACTGCCCCGCCCGGAGAATCGATGGGTATCCAATGCAAATATCCCTGGACGTCTGGAACCTTGTAATGCTGAGCTGCGAATAGTGAACGCTCTGTAATGCAAAGCCAAGCATCACGGGAAAGATTTGCGCGGCTTGGTGTTGCGTTTTCCGCATGACAAACTGCGTCACGAGCAAAAGGGTCTCTTCCTACAGACGCATCACAAACTCTTCAGTCATGCCAGACAAGCATTATAGACAAACATTGCATCCTTCCAGACATCCAGGGTAGATATTTGCAATGCATAATGTGTAGATCGGCTTCATTTCAAACGTCGTCGACCCGACAGTCACGGGGGTTAACGGGAAGGATTCGGTGTCTATACAAGGAAAAAAGTGCGACAGTTTTTACACATTTGTTCTTGGAGTTTCTGCATCACGAAGTTGCTCGACATGGCAAAGAAAACCTGTGATGCGCAGAGGACTATAAGGGAAAACACGAACGAAATGAGGCTGGCAAGCATTTCCTGCATCACAAAGGTTGCCTGTCTTGCTTGTTTCGCAACACGATGTGTAACTGCAACACTTTTTTCTTTGCATAGTGTTCAAATTCCCCTTTCTTTCCGTGGTTCCAATCACGTTGTTCACGTCGCAAGGCTCGTCGTGCAGAAACGCCGAGTATCAAAAGGAAAACCCCCCCTCCCCATATCGAAAACGAAACTTGTGATGCTGTATTTGAGTACACAAATCGACTTGTAATGCCAGAAGGCCAAGAGCCGCAGTTGTGACCTCGTTTGCAGGCAATTTGTCATGCTGTTTCCCACTTCCAGTTGCTCTCTGTCATGTTGAAGGCGCAAGGCTTTCCCACGCCAGCCAGCACTACACTCCGCATGTCTTTCCTTCTAGCATGACAAAGCTGATTTGTGACCACAAATCTGCATCACAGATTTCCTCTTTGATATGGGGAGGGGGGATTTTTCTTCTTGATACCGAGCCGGAAATCGAGGCAACCGCTAAGTAAGCCAACGTGATCCCGGGCTTGCAGGTCGGGCAAACAAACTGCACGGTTTGGTCGTTGTATTTTTCGTAGATCGCGATCGTGACCATGCTCTGAATCGGGCTCATGTAGAGAATCAGGCCCGATTCCGCGAAGCCATACGTGGTCCCAGCAGCGCCGTCCCGATCCAAACACAGGCGGTACCGCGCCCCTCCCTGCAGTGCGGACGCGTCGATGGTGAACTCGATCCCGCTGTTGGCGGCGTTTCGCACGCCCGTGACCTCTCCTGTTTGGTAAATCCCCGTGGCGTTCACCCCGCCCTGGTACACGTACGCGAGGCAACTTCTGTCCTCGTACGCGTATGCAAAGAAAAAAGTGTTTACAGTTACACACATTATGCTGCAGACCAAGCAGCAGAGACAAGCTCTGTCATGCGCAAAATGCTTTCGAGCCTCGTGTTTTCCCCTATAATCCCTGCATTGCAAGTTTTTCCTCTCATGCTGAGAAAATCTGTGTTGCTAAATTGACAACAAATGTGTAACTGTAAAAACTTTTTTCGTAGGATAACGCGGTGCCCTTGTCGAGCGACAGATAAGCCATCATCGTGCCACCCACACAGGTGGCCTGCGGACACCCGATGGTAATCTTGGTGTTCTGCAACGCGGTCACACTAGACCCGGAAATCGCACCACCAACCGGGAGCTGAAACCCGCCAAACTCTTCCCCAATGCCCTATCAACTGCAAATATTGTCTGGGTCTGGTTGAGTGCAGCTCCTTTGTCATGCAGGTTTTGCATGCGCCATGATGTCTGTGATGTATGCCCTAGCATCTTCACAGAGTTTTATTTGAAGGCTTCTTGCTGATGGTGATGCTCCCTACCCCGCATGACAAATTCCATTTCCGCGTAGCAAAAACTGGTACAACTGGACTCCTTTTGCTGCTCAAGCAATACAAAATATTCTAGAATCCAAATGCAGCATCACATGTTCCACCTTTCCAGACCCAGGTCGATATTTGCAATGCATATCCCCATCACCACCTCGAATCCGGTTTCTTGGAACTGGGTCACCGTCCCGGTTCCGTCTATGCATTGCAAAAGCATCGTACTAGTAGAAATCGCATCACAAATTCGGCCAGCATGACAAATGGAATTTGTCATGCTTTTTTGCCTTGGGATGGAAACCAGCCACCCCCCGGCGAAGGCCGCCGGGGAGGGGGCTGTTCGGTGGAGGTGTTCCGGTGGGGAAGGTGGCGCCAGCATTGAATCGCTGCGCGCCGCTTCACAACCAAATAAAAAAATAAAGCTCGGCCCAAGTTGTGGCATGGGTGGGCCCCATGCCCGGCCTTAGTAGCTGCGCGCCGTGGGAAAATGCGCACAGGAAAGTATTTCCGGGCGCCAACGTTCAAGACGCCACAAGGGCGACGCACCTGCTGCCAGCGCGCGCGGGCGCTGTGGGAAAGAAGTTGCGGCCACCCTAGGTGGCCGACCAGGTTAAGGCGGGGCGCCGCGCCCCCTCTGGGGGACGCAGAGCGGCGCACGCACTTTGAACGGCCGCTCTGATCTGAAAGCGAAAACAATGCAGCGCCCTAGCGAGCTTTTTTAGGGGGCGCCGCGCGCAGACAAGAGAGGTAAAATAGAGGTTCCCGGAGAGGGTCGATGTAGAGGGTCGCTTAGAGGGTCGCCCTATACTGTGGAACCTCTCTGACCCTCTCGACCCTCTCCCCCTACCCTCTACTTGACCCCTACTCAACCTCTACCCACCCTCTTCGGGCGTATAGCGCCGCTATACGGTCCCCTATACTGCGCACCCTCTCCCGACCCTCTCCGTACCCTCTCGCTTTACCTCTCCCCGACCCTCTTGTTTTGGTCGACCCTCTACTTTACCTCTCCGACCCTCTGTCTAACCTCTACGAAACCTCTCCCCAACCTCTATCGGACCCTCTCCGGCCCCAAAGTTTGCCTTATATAAATATATTAATTAGTAATGCATGATTGCGATTACTACGAGTACGATACTTTTGCACAGGATACCGTCTGCGTCGTAGCAAAACTTGTAGATTTTCATGTACGTAAGGAGGTTGATCGCCTCCACTGTGCATTCCCAGTAGCCGAGAACGGTGTTGTACCTGATAGAGTGTTTTTTTTTTTTCTTGCAGCAGGAAATACGTCGCCCCGGTCCGCTTCTTTCTCCGTCGAACGGAAGCGCCGCAAGGAAGATAGAAAACAGCGCAAACATGGAAGCGCCGCAAGTAGATGTTGAGGACCGTCTCTCTATCACTGCATGACTAAGATGAAACTTTTTTCAACGACAAGGCCGCAGGGCATTTTGTAAAAAGTTTCTTCATACCGTATCTGACACTGGTTTGTCTGCCCCAGCCCGGCGGAAATGAATCCGCTGTGTATCAGAAGGAAAGATCCCCCCTCCCGATATCGAGACGAAGTTTCTGATGCTGGATTTCCGTACACAAATGCGCGCTGTCTTGCTATACGGCATCGCAGCCAGATCCTTAGCCTAGGTAGGGGCGTCTGAGAAGTCTAGTTGTTTACCATTACAAACGGCTGTCCCCTAGGCCCAACAGCATGCCAAATCGCTTCCATAATGGCGCGGAAGCCTCTGCACTTGTCTTCTTGCAAGACAGGCGTGATTTGTGGTCTCAAATCAGCAACACAAATTTTCGGAAAAATACCTTTTCGATATGGGGAGAGAGGATTTTTCCTCTCAGTACTCTGACTCGGATCGCACCGCTCGCCCAAGTAGCCCGAGCCCCGTATGGTCAAATCATACCCCGGCATCATGTATCAAATGTATAAAATGTCTGGGTCTGAAAGAGACATGCTGTTTTTGCATGACGCAGAAGGTCTGGCATGGAAGCTCTAGCATCACAGGTTTCGAGAAGCTTCCGCCATGCCGAATCCGCATGACAAGTCCCCCATCTTGGTGACAGAAATAAGTAGGCAGCTTTTGCTAGTACCTATGCATGAGAGATTTTTCTGTGTTCTGAAATGCGCATCACAAGTTTGTACTCTTCCAGACCCAGACATTTTTGCAATGCATATCATGTCCAAAGTTAGTCCCCGGTCGTTTGGCGCGGCCACGTACTTCTTGCGCAGATATTTCACAGGCGAGACCACTAACCGTCGGTGCGACACCTGAAAGGGCATGAAGGTTTTGTACCCGTCAAAGTCCATGCAAATTCGGTACATGCTATGCACCGCAAGCATCCCTGGATGTCTGGAAAAGTTGAATCTGTGTTGCATGTCTTGGATTCCTGTAAAATCTGTATTGCATGACCAACATCAAAAACGAAATTTCCTGCTTCTGTCGTGCAATATTAAAAGCGCAGCTTCTAGTTCTAATGCGCAACTCGCATGCGAAAGCGTAACAAAAAATTGTCATGCCTGGCTGCACTCAGGAGTGTGTTCAATCGTTGCCACTCAGCATCACAACTTTCCAGACATCCTCCAGGGACATTTGCATTCGATACATGCCCCCTACCAGCATCGTCGTGGCGTCCACCCGCATCGTGTACTTGTTTTATCGCAGGAAAAAACTCTTTCACTGTGATGATTTTGCAAGATCTGCATCACAAGTTTGTTACACATGGCACAGAAAATTTGCCATGCGCACTTCCCACGGGAAAACACCCTTAAAAATCCAATGTCTTGCATGTGTAGCAAGACGAATAGTTTTGTGTTCCATTCCATGCATCACAAGTTTACAGTGAAGCGATTTTTTCTTGCGGTATGTTTCCGCTGCCGGTTAACAGAGAACTCCTCGAAACCGTGGTCCCCGAAGGTTCCTTCACGCCGTCAAAGTCCGTGGTGTCGCAGCCGGCAAACTGCCCGAACCGTAAATACGCCGTCGGCCCGGTGGGGCTCGCGGAGTGACAACCCAAGCACTCGAACTCGAAGGATTCGTCTGCCGTCGTGCGCTATGCGTTACAAAAGTATCGCACTCGTACTATTTGCCGAGATGCATTACAAATCTCGTAGCTTAGGTAAATCCGCATTACAAATTTCACTTCTCTTCTCGGAAAAATTTGTCATGCAATTTCTACTAGCGCGATACTTTTGCAATGCATATGCGAATCACAAACAGTCCCGCGTTGTCATCGGTGTAGGCGGGGTTTAACCCGCCGAGATAGACTATCGCGAGGAAAAATCCCCCCTCCCCATATTGACGAGGCACGTTTTCGGAAATTTGTGTTGCTGATTTGTGACCACAAATCGCATCTGTGTTGCAAAAAGGCAACTCCACAGACAGCCGCCGCATTCTACATGCGGTTTGCCATGCTGTTGGGCCTACGCCACGAACGTTTTTCATGCTAAGTGCCTAGGCCGCAACCTGTCTACTCAGGCTTGCTGTGGGCCTGCAGTCCTGCTCTCCAGCAACACAAATCTGATTTGCGTACAACGCAAATCCAGCATCAGAAACTTCGCCTCGATGTGGGGAAGGGGGATTTTTCCTTTTGATATAGACAGACAGCCGGGCAAACCCGTCGACGTAGTCTATCCTGAGTAAAAACGAGGCCCACACCCAAGAGTCAAGATGGCAAAGCTGCTAGACAAATCAACAAGCTTTGGCTGTTGCGCATGACAAGTTTGGGTACGCACAACTGTAGTCGTGTGCTTTACCTAGTGCAGGAGCATCACAAATCTAGCACCTTATGCCGTTTTGCGCATCACAGATTCCAAAACACTACTCGAAAATGCTTCCGGTTCCCTTCTCATGGGGATCCGCATGACAAACATTTTACGCATGCAGATTTGCATGACAACTCTGGGGTGAGGACGTAGTTTTGACGCAGGATATAGTCACTCCCAGATCCGTCCGGATCGAAGCAGAGGAAAAACTCGTTGCCAAACCCGAGACCCATGGTACTTATCAAATGCAAAAATGTCTGGGTCTGGAGGATTCCGAGATTTGTCATGCAGTTTTACCAAGATCCGCCAAGTCTGGAATGGCGGACCTGGCATCACAGGTTCTGCAGCCCCTTGGTGATGCCTATTCTGCATGAGAGATGCCCTCTCAGAATGGCCAGAAGTGGGGACCTTTTGCAAGTCATGCAACACAGATTTCTGCATGATCCGCAACACGCATCACAAGTTCGGATCCTTCCAGACCCAGACATTTTTACAGTTGATAGTACTGATGAAGGTGTGAAACGTGATCCCGTCACCGTTGCTGTATATGACCTGCTCAACCGTTACAATCTCAAACGTTACAATACAGTCTGACCCTTGTCTTGCAGGATGAGCATGACAGACTCGCAGAGCGTCCCGTAATACAAATTTCCCCAGATCGTATTGACGTTTGGGGCTCCGGAACTTCTCATGCGCAATCCTATGAGAGTTGGCTAGATCATGCACTCTTGCATCACAGATTTCCATATTCTATTCGTAACGCTTGAGATTATAACACCTGAGCAAGTTATAGTGTACATATCCAGTTTCGACGAAGACGTTTCGGAATACCCCATCAGAAGCGGATTTGACACCGTGCCGTCGCAGCCCGCGGATTTGAGGAAAATTTGCCAGCTATCAAAAGGAAAAACTCCCCCTCCCCATATCGAAATGGATCTCTGTGCTGCGGGATTTGTGTACACAAATCGGATCTGTCTTGCAATAGAGGACTGCAGACAGACACAAAGCCGGAGGAGGGGCGTTTTGGTGTATGCGCCTAGCAAGGCAGGCATGTCCTCCGTAGGCCATACAGCATTACAGATTGCCTGCAGAACGCGGCGGGGTTTTTGGATATGCCTTCTAGCAATGCAGAGACGATTTGTGGCCTCAAATCAGCATCACAAATTTTGAGAAGTATCCCGCTTTGGTACTTATGAGGAGGGGGGATTTTTCCTCACAATACCAGCTCGTGTCGCAGGTGTTCGGGTGGCACTATCAAGTGTAAAAATGTCTGGGTCTGGAAGAGGAAAAGTTTGTCATGCACATTTTCCCTGATCCATGATGTCTCTGATGTATGCCATAGCATCACAGATTTTTTGAGCGCCTATCGATGCGCATCCTGCATTACAAATGCCCTCTCCGCGTAGCCAAATTTGACTCCTCTTGCTGCTCGTGCAATACAGATTTTTTTAGCATCCAAATGCAGCACCACAAGTTTGGCTCTTCCAGACATAGACATATTTGCAATCCATAGGCACTCGAATGTCACGATGGAGGACTGGGTGGACTGAAACATCCAGGGCGAGAGAATGCGAAACGGGCCGCCCACGTAGACATCCAGGGCGGTGGTTTCAAAGTTGTAGTCCGTGCCGGTGCCGTCGTAATCGACGCAAATCCTGTAGTTGATGCCCGCTTGAAGCAGTGTAGAGTTGACGTTCGCGCCCAGTAGCGCGTTGGACCGCAGCCTTGTGTCAAACACCCCGGTGCGGTTTTCGAAATTCTGCGAGGTGTCTGTGCTCGGCAGAATCAAGTACGCCGGGGCGACGGGACTGGAATACCGGTTGTTCAAATTTCCACCACCAGAAACAAACAAAGCATCAGGGTCGTAATTCTCGCCCGTGTAACTCTGCCCCGTGTTGCAGGACCGGCCGTAGTGCAGGGGCGTCAAATAAATGTACACCGTGATCAAGGTCGTCCCGTTTGGCCAGGAGTAGTTCCCCGGCGGAAAGTCTTCGTAGATGGGATTATCATTGCACACCGTGTGATTGCAATGGAAAATGATCGGCACGCTGTGGTCCCGTTTTATCACTGTTTCTTGCAAGTCTTGCAGCACTGCACCAACCAGCACCAGCCTGGTTTCGTCGTGTATTGCGGTGAGCGAAAAGTAGAGACACTTCAGCAGGATGGAAATCAGACTTGACTTCCGTTGAAACGGCTGGCTGGTCCCGCGGGACCGACGGAGCTTGAAAATGTTGTTCATTTATTTCCAATACGGAATGGCGACAGGCGCCTCCTGGAGGTTCTTGGACTTATCCGCCACAACCGCAGCACTACACGACCCTTTGCTCCGTCAACAAGAACATCGCAGACCACTCTACATCTCGCAAGAAGCCGGACACCCCTGGTGCCGTCCCCCGCTGCCCTCCGAAAAAATAGCTTCGGCCGCGGGTCGTGTTCCGCTCGTGAGAAGCAGCTCCTTCCACGCAAGCAGGCCCGTTCGGCTCTGGTGCAGCAGGAACAAGACCGCTACGTAGAAGACGAGAAGATTTTGACATGCTGGCGAGCAGTAGGACCATTTATTTCAAGAACGCATCAACTTCTTTGAAAATGAAAACCTTCTCTCCTGTCCCTCTTTTCGCTGTTCAAGCTTCGAACACCATCTACAATCTCATTTACTTCTTAATACGTCCCGTATTACAAATTCCCTATCGCAAGTGCAGTTTTTCCCAGTTTCTTATGCTAGTTCCGCAGTCCTAATGAAGCCCGAAAGTGACCGGAGCCATGGCTCAGCTCCTTGAAGATAGTAAGAAAGCCCCAACTCCTTAGAGAGTTCCTGGATGTTGTCTGGAAGATTGCGAGTTTGTCATGCTCGGCTGGCTCTGGCATCACTCTTATTCAACTCTGTGACGCATGAGCAGAAAAAGAGCCCCCCTTGGCGGCGTATTTTTGCAGTGCTGTCTGCCGTACCCATCATTCACGGATTTTTTGCATCACAACTTTCTTCTAGACCCAGATCAATATTCGCAATGCATAACGAATCAACTTCTTTGAAAATGAAAACCTTCTCTTTCAAAAAAATGACCATAGTACAGTACTGCCACAAAAATTCTCTCGACACGCACAGCCAGCACCTCCACCTAATTGGTGATGTCTCTATTGCTTTATGATGTGATGTCGTCGTGTGTAGTCTTACTAGCTAGTTCAGAATCAGAATCAGAATCAGTAGAGGCGACCTCCAGGCAAACAGTTTGTACCAAAACATGCCTGGACCACAGTACTAGACTAGAGTTTTTACTATTTTCCTTCTTACTAGTTCCGCTCGGGACAGCACTTCTCAAGAAGCTACCTCACACTCCTCTACAACTTCCTGCTGAAAATAAGTAAATCGGCAAGAAGAACCTGTAGTGCGGCCGCTTCTGCCGGTTGAGGGCTTGTGATCAACATTTTCCGCGTGAGAAGTACAATGCTGTAACAGACGGATTTCATTTCTTCAAGTACTGCCCGAGTTGTACAGTCGTTGTGACACACTGTGTCATTGAAGGCGCAGGACGGTAAGTACAACAGATAATGGAGATAACAGATAAAGCGGATGGAGGCCCGCACTGGTGGTGACCTATATTCTAGTTTCGAACACTCAAGCAACTTTCCATGTGTCCTTCTCCGTTGGTAATTTTTCGGAAGATGATCATCATCTTCATTCTCATCCTGCTATCCTGCGCGGGGTAAGATTTTTGCATCATCATCATCGAAATGCAGTAAATCGCGTATCAAGACGTCCTGGCCCCACCGGGTGCGGAGTGCGCTTGCAAGACACGCAACAGCGGTGGTCCGGTTTTCTTTTCGTCCGCATTCCACTCGCATTCCAGCAAATCACAGTTGTACGCCCACTATGCATTGCAAATCAATATGTCTGGTTCTGGAAGAATGCGAGCAGACTTGCCATGCTCGGCTAGCATAGCTCTCTTCAAGTCCCTTATGCACGTCACCCAAAAATACAGCCTCGTTTTTCTGTCATGCGGAAACGCAATTTGTCATGCGGAATAGACTACATCTACCGACGGAGAAACTTGTCATGCTGGGCTGGCAATTGCGGCACGACCCCCATCATTCGCCAACCCGCATCACAAGTTTCCAGGGGACCACGGCATATTTGCATTTGATACCCAACCGCCAGTCAATGCGTGAATCACCCCCTGGTGGCAAACGACGCAGATAACCTGCTCTGTATGAATCGCAAATACGTCTGGGTCTGGAAACTTGTGTTGCTAATACTTGCATTGCAGACTGACTGCTTGTACGGCATACCCTCATGAGAAATTGCCCTCGGCTCCTTGCGAATTCATTCGTATTTAGCATTACAAAGTGAGCCACGCAGCACGACAAAAAAGCTGGTCCATCGCAGCCATGCATTACAGATCTTGTTGTCCTCCGAATTTCGCATCACAAATCCAGACCCAGACATATTTGCAATGCATAATCCGGCCGGCTTCGCAATTCCCGCACGAGACTGGGCACGGACTGCTGCTCGCAACTCGGGGTATCGTGCCGAGTGGCGAGCGCCTCTATCACAAGAAACAAGTGTTACAGTTACACATTTGTAAGTAGTGAATTCAGCAACACAAATTTCTCTGCATGAGAGAGAAAACTTGCATGTAATGCAGAAATCCTACGGGAAAACACCTATGAAAAGAAGCTCCTATACCTATGCATATCCGGCATGACAAAGCTTGTCTGTCTTGCTTGGCCTGCATAGACTATGTGTGTAACTGCGACACTTTTTTCTTGCGATAGCCTCGGCGAAGGATCCCGTACCGGACAACTTCGCGGTGGAATAACTGCGTTCGCGGTATGCTTTGCAAAAGTATCGCACTCGTGCTAGAATTAGTACAATTGCGTTTTATGCATTACAAACCGTAGTTGCTAGGGTAAATCCGCATTACAAATTTCATTTCTCATGCTAACGCAATTTGTAATGCCGTTTTTTCTTCATACTAGTAGGTACGATACAACTTTTTCAATCCATACGCGGGGGAGCTCCGCGATTTCTCTACCACGTTTGTATTTTGAACACAACAAGAGTAATTCCTGTTCGTTGCTAAAGGTGTTCACCGGCTCGTGAAACCAGAGTTCCCGGGCGTGCCTGCATACAACCAGCCTCGCTTTGTCGTAGTTTTCCAAGGCGAGAAAAGCGGTCTGGAGCGCCCGCCGCAGCGGGGAAATGAGTACCAACTCCACGTCCTTTAGAATTTTGTTCGGGTCTGCGTGGTATCAAATGGAAAAATGTCTGGGGCTGGGTCTGGAAGAATGCATGTTTGTCATGCTTGTCTGGCATGAGTCTTAAATCTGTCATGCAAGTTACCCAAAAGCTCCATTTTTCTGTGATGCAGAAACGCAGTTTGTCATGCAGAATAGGCAAAACACCTAGAACAGCTCAGAAACTTGTGATGCTGAGCCAGCATTTCTGGCTACATCATGAGACGCCACCCAGCATCACAAGTTTCCAGACATCCAGACATATTTGCATTTGATACGTGGTGTGCCCACGACGAGGCTTGCTCCTCCCCGGTGCGGGTCAAAATTGCGTCGGGAATGTAGTTATGCATTGCAAAAACGAACTGGAACGATGCAACTTGTGATGCTATCTTTGGATTCGAAAAAAATCTGTATTGCATGACAGGCAAGAGGAGTGCAGTTTGTGCTGTGCGGAGAGGGTACTTATTTGTTTCTCATGGGAAAAAGGCCTCAGAATAAAGCCCTCTAAAAATCTGTGAAGATGCTAGGTCATGCATTACAGCCGGCATGGGTCGTGCCAAATATGCATGACAAACTTCGCAATCTTCCAGACCAAGAGGGCATTTTTGCAATGCATAGTAGTCGTTACCAGCGACGTTGTGCTCGCCCTGGCCGTGCCGGAGGAGGAAAATGCGGACGGGATGCATGAGTCTTGCGAGATGGTACGCTTTAATTATGGAGTAAACGTGAGATATCAATTCTAGTCGTGTAAAAATAAGGCGTACCCTTTCTTGTTTCACATATATGAAATAGCTGGGATGTATTTTTAGACTTAGAACAAGCAGATGAGACGAGGTCGTGAGCAGCGCGGCATGGATCTATATTCTTTTCGTCGATTGTTCCTTTATCCGTGGCTTGTGGTGGATCTACAATTCGTACTACTGAAAAACTAAAACAACCGACGTCATCAGCAGGGAAAGCACATCAGCACGGATGTCATGCTTAGTACGTCCTCACTTTCGAACAGGATCGTAGGAGATACTTGCTACTCTTTCTCTCTGTTCTGGTGGGAAACAAGATTTTTCTGATCGCAACTCCACATGATTGATGGGATCGACTGATGGCTTGAACGTTATTACTTAAAAACAAAGAAAAGATGAAACTCTGCTGAGATAACACCAGAGACACGATGTCGAACAAACAACGAACCTCCCAGACAACGAAAGAGACGTGCCTTTGTACTTCTTCTTCAAGAGAAACCTGCACAGCAGTGCCCCGAAGCAGTCAAGCAGAAAGAAAAAATCACTTCACCGTGTGGATCGCTTTGATGCTTTTTTGTACACAATTATAATCAACACAAGTCGCAGTCTCTTGCGTCGTCGCACCTTCTATATTTCGCACATTTTTCTCTTTCGCCTGAACTTCTATGCAAAATTTTTTTCTGTGAACTAGCTACCTTTGGCTGTAAAAGTAATCCTTCGTTAGAATAGAAAATGTCGTGCGCGATGGCTGCTCCAGAGCGGGGAGCAGCAGGACCCTTTTTCAAAAAAGACGTTAGACGTTTATATAGGACCTTTGTCTACTAGTTCTAGTTATCTTCTCTCTACAAGAATCCTTGCCGATACATAGCACTTGATGTCTTTAGCCATGATTCCGGTTCGCGACTTGGTTGAAAATTTTGATGGTTTCTGCGCTGCATTTCCTTCTTTACTGTCGTTGCCAAATTCTATTGTTCCAGCCACACTTCTGGAAGAACCACGGCGCTAGTACATAAAGCAGTCTACTTCTCACGGAGCTCTCACAGAGTTCGTTGTTGATCTCCACGAACTACGCTTGGAAAAATTGACAGTCGAAAATCAATCTTGCTACAGGGAACAAGAGGTAGACGAGTCTACTCTTCCCAAAAACAAAACCACTATACCGGCGCACCGGAAGTAGATGCACCACTAGTCCTAACAGTGCGAGGTATAGTCCCGGCCCCTCCGATAATTCATTTTAGCTTTTTAACTCATCACTGAAACTGCTCTCCGGGAGGCCGTTTCGCTATTTCCTTGCTGTTTTTCTTACTCTTCGCCAAATGGTCCGTCACACTGTTTCCTGCTGGCTCTTCTTCTTCTTCTTCCGCAAGCGTTGGTGGTGTAGTTTTTTCTGTTGCTGGTGTTTCATCTGGTGTAGATGTAGAAGTCTTGTCATTTTTAGGGACTATGTGGAGAGCAGCAGTTGTCCTCCTCGTGCCAAGATCATGATCGTTTTGTAGTTCAGCAGCTTCGACTACAGAGCAACTACTCGCATGATGATCCCCCCGACACGCGGGACTGGAGATACTGATACTGGTTGACACCTCGTCAACGTCGTCGACCGGCGTACTACTGGTACTCTTTACCGCGTAGCGTGTTTTGCTGACTGAGACTGACACAGGAGCTGTGGTTTTATTTTGATTTTGTGCAACAGAAATATTAACTGCAGAAGGAGACCCGGTCACTCCTCCTGTTTTCAGCACGGTGGCATACGACTTTATGTTCATCCTGTTCGTGGCCGCTGGTGCACCACCCGGAGGACTACTACTAGCTGCTTTATTGCCTACTTCAGAAGTTGAAAGAGATGTAGTTGTTTTCACCTGCGACATATCAATTGCACTGCCTCCAATCTTCGCAGGCTTCGCAGATGATTCCTGTAGTACGGTTGGTGCACGACCGCCCCCTGGGGCCTTCCGCTTTATAGTCGAGGTGGTGGCACTTCTCTGTTCTTGCGGCTTCCTCGCCTTCCCAGCAACGTGCCTGCTCGCCGCAACTACAGACGCGTAGGATTTGTTTACCACGGTGTGTATCTTCTTCCCCTCCGAGCTGGAATTAGTACAACTGGTGTTCCTGTTCTTCCCCTTAGAAGTACTCAAAGATACGACCTCGCCGGCAACCAATTCCACCGACCCCGCCGGCGATTTGGGTTGTGACACGACCGACGTCGAGAGACAAGCACTAGCCGGGTGGAAAGCCGGAGCAGCGGGATTCAGCGGGACAGTACTAGAACTGCTTAATTTTGTTCTTGTCGCCCGTGATTCTTGTCGCTGCTTCTTGGCCGTAGAACTTTTAATCGCGGTTCTTGCAGTGGTACTAGTAGATGCGGGATGTTTCATGTTCCTACTCGGGGGCGGGTAGGCTTGGATGCCGTTGTTCTCGTAGCAGGGGGTCTCGAAAAGCATCATCTGCGTATCAAAAAAAAAAACTTCGTCACGATCACTCATGGGCATTTTTGCAATACAAAAGACGCCTGTCATGCGTAAACATGCATCACAGCCAAACTGCATGCGGGATTTCCCTTAGTGGTTCTGCAATACAAGGAATAAAAGCTGTGAAGATGCTAAAAAAAATTTGTAATGCAAAACCTCCAAGTTGGTGACTGTGACAAACTTTTTTCTCTCCATACTGCGGGTCGTGAAAGTAGTACTCCTGCAGCGGAAAAGTGGTGACACTATCCTGTGCAAAAGTATCGCACTCGTAGTAATTGCAATCATGCATTACAAGTTTTTTTCTCAAGGCAAATCCGCATTACAAATTTCATTTCTCACGCTGAGGGAATTTGTCATGCATTTATACGAGTACGATACTTTTGCACTTCATAGACACCGTCGCTCAACAACATCGAGTAGGGATCTATTTTCAACAGACCCTGCTGCTCGTGGTCGTGAGGTGGGATGACCAACATTTCATGAGAATTAATATCCTGCGCCTGATGGGAATTACCGGGCTCCATTTCGGTCGTAAAAACAGCCGGTGCACCACCAGCCGCTCCTGCTCCAGCCGAGATGAAAGAATCACTCAGCCAGTAATTCGCTTGTTGGTAGTAATTGTTCCCACCACCACGAACTACACCTGATGTTCTTTTTCGACATGGCTGGACAGAAGTACTAGATCCGGTCGTACCAGGAGAACTCGTCTTGCTGTTGCTGCTCTCTTGTTGCTGCGCGACTGGCGGTCCTGTCGTCGAAATTTTTGAAGTGGTGGAATTGGCAGAGGAACTCCGCACTAAACTAGTACTATCACTATGATCTGCCGCGTCTTTACTACTGTTCCCACCAGAATTAGTACCCTTCTTGCCACCAGAAGGCACGGAGGCAGCAGCATCTGTGGCTGTTTTCGTGTGTCCCGCAGGTTGAAGTGCTGGGCTCGTGGTCTTCTTGTTGAAAGCAGTAGACGAGGAGGTACTAGCGGATGATGACGTTGTTGCATTTGTCGTGTTGCCGGTAGAACTAGAACCTGTAGCCGCCGCGCCCATCAGTCCGTAGTACGGGTGCTGCAGCAGCAGGGTCGGCGCATACTGATACGTGATGTTATCCAACGGATTATAGTAGCAAATCGGCAGCACCCGGCCGTCTGCCGTCGGAACCACGTGCGGCAGCTGGGTTAGTGGGTTCATCCCCAGGTCGTGCGCAGAAGTAGTAGTACTGTGGTCCCAAGTAGAACTGTCCACCTCCTGTGCAGCCGAAGTAAAAGTACTAGACGAGGCACTACTAGTAGTTGTACTTTGATGCGGCCAGAAGTTGTAGAAAGAATAGTCCATGGCAGTTACCGCACCGGCGTAGCAATCGGCCATCGCAGCGATTGATGTTCCCGCACCGTTATCGTCGAAATAGAAGTTGTTTCTCATCGTCCGTGGCCTGTACGTCCCGTGTGCCTTCCCGCGGAAACGCTTATTCGGATTCTGCTTGCCAGTGGTTTTAGTTTTAGAGGGCGATGATGTTGTTCCCTGCGGTTGTTCTTTATCTGGTTCTTGTTGGTCCAATAAATCTTGTTTCGATACAATTACCGGCTCTATGCCTACTGCCGTGGAAGAAGTAGAAGACTTTTCATCTGCATTAGCTACACTTCTACCAGCGCCGGCTTGTAGTTTTAGCTGTTCTCCACCGCCAACAGAACTAGAAGCATCACGACCAGCTTCTTGTTCGCTCAACAACCCTGTTGAATTTGTCTTCTTTTTCTTGCTTTTCTTCGTTCCGGATCCGGTACTAGCTGCAGCAGGAACAGTAGTCACATTTTTACTAGGAGTTGTTCCTGTGCTGGCACTAGAAGTTATGTTCTCCTGTTCTTCTACTCGCCGCTCCGCATCAGTAGGCGGAGCGGTTTTTTTCCTCTTCTTCTTGTTTTTCCCAGTAATCACGAAACCAGCAACGGACGGCGTTGCTATCGCGGCTGCCGCGGCCGCTGCCGCGCGCATCTGGGCGGCGCAAGCCCGTTCAAAGTGCGCGGCGATTAGGTCCGCATCGTCCTTCTTCTTTTTCTTGCCGTATCCTGAGTAAAAACGTCCCCACCCCAGAACTGTCATGCAAATCCGCATGCCAAAAAAGTCTCTCATGCGAAGCCACACTACTAGCTTTCTCTTGTCGCGTTTTGGGATTTGTGATGCTATAATCAGCGCGATGCGCTAGATCTGTGACGCTGCTTTACTAGCTAAGCAGGATTACAATACGAGGACAAATTTGCCATGCGAAACAATCAGGTGTAGCAGATTCTCCACCTTGACTCTGGGGTCGGGACGTTTTTACTCACAATATGCCACGGTGTCTGTTCTTTTTCCCCGGTAGCGGTACTAGCTGCTGTGGAGGAAAAATTATCGGAGCAGTAGAAGCACTTGTACTTGCACTACCGTCAGGAGCATGAAGATTATCATGTTGACAAGCTTTATTGATGTTGTCCGGCATGATGTTGACAGGTTGCGACTCATGTTGCGTCTGGAGCTGTAGTTGTTCGTATTGTAATTGTTCCAGACCCGCGTTAATAATTCCACCTGAAAGACGTCCAACTTCCCCGACGACCGGAGACTGGTGCTCGAGCAAAGTCGGCTGCTGCTGCTGCTGCTGCTGCATCTGTTCATCTAAAAATCCACTACTTTCGCTCCTCTTCTTATGTCTGTTGCGGTTGCGCTGCTTTTTCGACGCAGCTTTCGAAGTTGCTGCAACAGTTCCGGACGAATCACCTCCAACAAGGAGGTCGTAGTTGTAATTTTCTTGAGATTTTTTATTTTCCTCCAACGCAAAAGGCTGTCTCTTCTCTCCTTCTGCGCGGCTAGAAGTTGAGCTGCTCCCTATCCCGAGAAAAAAGTGTTACAGTTACACACTTGTTGGAGTTTCTGCATCACAAATTTTCTCTGTGTGGTAGAGCAAACTTGTAATGCGAAGATTACAAGGGAAAACAGGAAAGCAACGAAGCTCCGAAGCATTTCCTGCATGAGAAAGGTTGTCTCTGTTGCCAGTCTTGCATGACAATGTGTAACTGTAACACTTTTTTCTTGCGATACTCGTCCCGTCGTTTTCTTTATTCACGTTGACCACGTCGGTCGTGGTGAAAAAAACATCAAATGCTTCCTCTTTATGATCCGGAGAAGGAAGGCTCAGCCCGGGTGGCGGGTTCTTTGCAGTTACAGGTTTATCGTCGATTGTCGTTTGGTTTTCGTCTTTTGTTGTAACAGTTTTTGATGGGGAAGTCGTAGGAGTCGTAGCAGAAGTGGCGGCAACAAGTGCCGGCGGACGAGGACCATCTTTGTTACTACTGTCAACAGCGGCGCTCCTCTCCCCGGGCAGAGGCTCCTCTGGAGCGGGCTCGTTTTGCGGCCAAGCGAATGCGAAGTCGTTTGGAGGTGGCAAAGACATTCTGTAGCTCAGCCGCCTGCTCTTGTTTTCGAAGAGAAATAAAAGCCTTTCTTATTTGAGCAGGGAATCTTCATTCTATAGTCGATATTGAACGTGCGTCGTGGATGGTTGGTTTTTAGTAACCTCGCGAATTATGGTTTACATGCGTGCTTAGAGCCTGACCTTAGCAAGAAAGCGCCGCCTTTTTATTGCGACAACACCGATTCGACCTTGTTGCTTGAGCTGCCCTCATGCGGTACGCTATGCGTACGTCTGGTAAAAAGTACACCTGAACAGCGAGCACACATGAGAGCACACAGTAGCCACCGTACGCAAGCTAAGACTGATTATATCGCACAACAGACCTGCGCAGCCTAGCACCGCCCCACTTGGCGTGAATTTCGCGACGCAGAAACGAAGCGAGCAGGCGGGCGCAACAGCGCTGCCGGCGCTGGCTACCACGAAAGGGAACAGCGCGAAGCGCGACGCGAAGCGCCCTGCCTCACATAAAAGAGAGACCGGGAAGTAGGGAGCAGGGCGGGCGCGACGCCGAAGGGCCGGGGCGCCTCTTGCGCGCGCGGGCGGGTCCCCCTTTTATTTTGGCCAACCCGGCCGGCCAAGCGAAAACGGGGGGGCGCCCACGCACGGGGCTCGAAGCCGAAGGCGCGGGCGGGGGACGGGGGCGGGGCCCCGCGGCCTGTTGTGCCACAGCCGGCCGCCTTCTGGAGCTTGCCGGGGCGGGGGGGCCCCGCAAGCGAAGCGCTATACTTTACCGGCCTTTTCTGTCAATACGGTCATCGTCCCTTGTCCGTCCGGCGGCGCGCCCCTGCGCCCGCCCGGGAGGCCGGGCCGGCAACAAGCCGTCGGGACGCACCCACCGAAGCAGGATGGGCCCGCCCCGCGCCACTTTGGCCCGCGCAAGGAAGGGGGACCCCGCCGGCCCAACCGGCCGCCCGATCCTTTGCCCCAAAGGGCGGCCCTGGTCTTCTCGCGCGCAGGCGCAGAGGCCCGGGAAAGCCTTGCCGCGATCGGAAAGCCCGCCCGGCCGTGATGTTTCTCAGCAAACAGCAAGGGCACAGAAATACCACCTTGCCAGCGGAGTCATAGACAGCCGCACGCGCTTCCTTCAGGACCTGCTCTTCGTTGGGAGTCACGTAAAGCGCAGGGCTGGCAGTTTTTTCGTCGAAGACCCCAGAGCCATGATGGCGCTCCACCATGCTCCAAAAGGCCGGGCCCCAGGGAAGCCCTCTGCGCGTTGGCCGCCAAAACCTGGGGGGGCGGGCCGCGAAGCTTGGGGGAGTGGGCGCACGCCATGCCTTTGGCCGCCCTGCAAACCAACCTCAGGCGGCCCAGCGTCTGCGCTTGGTTTTTTCAGCAGACCCCAGAAGGGCCCCCGGCAATATGCCCCACCAGAATCCGGAGCGGCGCGAACTTGCGCACCAGCCTGGCAAACGACTCGGCCGGGACTGGCGTGCCACGAGCGCAGGGGTGTGCGGGCCGTCACGGTGGCGCCAAGATCCGACGACCCCGGGGCCATCCATGCCATTGACCGAAGGTCGACAGTGGCCGAAGGGCGAAGTCATAGCATGGCCCAAGAACCGCCCCGCGGCGGCGGCAATCGCCCCACATTGTCCCGGCTATTTACTCCGATCATGCCGAGAGTGAAAATGACCCACGCAGGCCGAGTAGCTGCATCGTCGCCGCTCACTCTCTCAAGGTAGTTTGCTCATCTGAGGACAGTGCCTTGGAACACCTACTTCTACAAAAGAAATTCCAAACTGACTCGCTTCCCGTGCAACAACGACGAACTCTGCTGGTGAACCAGCAGCAGTATGCTATGACACAATCACCAGGCAAGTAGTAGAATGCTTTATACAACAATTTTACAGTTTCACAACAACTCTTCTACGTAATTAATACACACGACGATTGCGTCATGCTTTTTCATTGCTTCTTCTCATTTTCTTCAACATGATCTCTGTTCCGATATGGCATTGATCAGACTAGTCTTCCGGCGCGTCTGTACGTAGATACTTGTTTGCTATTCCTATTTTTTCTGCTGCAATATATACGAAAATAAAATCAGGTTTTCTTCACGACGCGACGTTAACTCGCTGCCCGAGCTTTGTCGTATTCACATTCTTATACGTCGCATCAACTTTTGTACTTGCTAATATTCAAAACGACTGTTTTTTGTACTTTTTCTACTTTTGACAATCTTTTGACAATCCATCCTCAACAGAGACTGCTACTGCTCAACGCAAGTAGACTGGTTCTCTTCAATTATACGTGTGAAGTACTTAGATTCCTGGCGTTCTTCTTCTTGCGGTTGTTCTTTGCAAGATACAACTCTTCTTCTTCCTCATCTGCCTATTCCTATTCGTAACAGCTTGTACCTACTATCAAGAAGGAGGAGGAGGAGGAAACCTCTATAGTAAGCTTCTATCTACTAGTCTTTTACTTTCTTAAGCTTAACTATAGGACATAGTTCTGGTATCGACAAGCCGAGCTGGAAATAGATCGGTAAAGGTGGGCAAATAGTCCTTCCGGGTGTGCAAAACCTAGGACTTCAGTGCCACCCATTGTCTTCCTTTTTCCGCTCGAGGCCCGATACCGAGTCTGTACTGCGATCGCCCCACCCAACCCAGCTGCTGCATGCTCAGTGGCTCTCTGGACCTGTTTGTATCTGGACACGTATACTGGAGAGTTTCGGGTTTGTGGCGCTGGAGCGACAACCGGTTGGTGACCTAAGGCCCGTACCCGGAGTGCCCAGACGCCACACCTGTTCGACGAGAGGATGTGAGCCACTGCGCGAGGACGTAGTAATGAGGGGCAACCGCAACAGAGTTACCTGTAGGCTGAAGCCCGCAGCGAGGGTTCGTCGATCCCCCCGCTGTTGTGGTGAACGAGTACAAGAAGTTCTACCTGCGCCCGGCCGGGGCCATCGGCGTAGGTTGCACTTGGTTTTGCAACCAGCAAGAGTGTGTTTTTGAGTTTTGATATCCGGATTTCCTCTCAGGACACGAAGCACTCATAACGAAACTACGAAAGAACAGAAGTGGCACCTCCTCCGGACAGACGCAGGTGCCGCTCCTCTAGTAGAAGTCTTACGCGGGCTGCGTCTGCCACGACCTGCTTTGTGTTTTGGGTGCTGCGCTTCCGTGTAGTACTTCTTTCTTTATTTTTTTTTCTTGCGCTCTATTTTTTACGCGACGGGACCTAGAAATTTTGAGTGGGCATCAGCTGTACTCTTCTTTGCGATTTTTGTCCTTTTCTTCTGTGACGATGGTGCCCGTATTTGGCGTCTTCGTACTTTTCGGTGTGGAAACTCAGACGGAAAACCTCTCTGTGTGTTCGTACTCCTGCTGCGGCCATCCCGGATGCCGTGCGTCACCAGTGTGATTGGAAATGCGTAGTTCCGCTCCTCCCGCACCAACACCCTACGCACCCCGCTCGTGTGACGCACTTTCTCCTTCCTGCTCGCTGCTACGTTGGAGCTTTTTACTGAGGTGTAACTGTTTCATTTTTGTTTTTTATATTTTTGTTTCTTCGTTTTGAACGTGAACTGCTATGGTGTGAAAGATGTTTGCGCGTGTCCTGACTGACTGGTCTTAACTGAAAGAAGCCTACTAAGAAGAGTACTACTGGAAGACTACACGAACATAAAAAATCTAGCGCGATCAAGTAACTATGCTATTCCGTACTCTTTACTTCGGTCCGGGAAACCTTCGCACCTTTCCGAACTTCGGTAGGGAATTACCTCCCCCGACTGCCCCAACACCGGGGGGTTTCTTCGTCTGCTGCAAATCGCTCCGAATCTCGTAGCTCTGTGTCGCCTTTTTCGCCAGACCGGCAAACAGGTGCACATCTTCGGGTTGCACTCGTAGCAGGCGCACCCGCCTTGATTCGCCTCCTCTTCCTAGACCATGTCCACCCACGGCACTAGCCTCACTAGCGCCTTGTGATTCGGCACGACCGAGTCCAATTTCAACTGCTCTTTTTCTTCTTTCGGCTGCTCCGATGTGTCCCGTTGCACGTTCTCCCGGATCGCTTTGCGTAGCGATTCTGGTAGTATTCCCGGTTGGTTTTCAGATGTCATTTCAAGATAGGTCAGTACTTTGCGTGTCATTTGCGTGCTTTTTAGAATTTCGCATCGCTGTTTCATACTCGTTATTTTTGGCAGGCCGAAGCACTTCTCTCTTGCTTCTACAAAATCTGCTTGCTGGCATTCATACAAAAGGTGTACCTACTATCAAGAAACGGAAGATCAAGAGTGTTGTATTGAGAACTACGGAGACGGGGGCTTTTTGAGTATAGTAATTCCACCTCCGGAGAGGCTCCTCCTTCCATTTTTCATTGCCCAAGTTCCAGAACTACTACGAGCAGGCCGTGAAAGCAACGTGCTCGGCAAATTTAAATTCCCCCTCGCCGGCACCGTCGCTCCCGGACCCCCGCAACGTCCGACAGGCCCACGGGTGCTTATGGATGTGTCAGGTTTGAAATCGTCAAAGTTGAAATAGTTTGTCATGCATAAAACGGATACCAGTTAGGCCTACAGTTTGTAGTCGGCGCATGACAAATTTCCCCGATCCTGGAAGCGAGTCTGTCACGCGGCTTAGGGCAAAAGAGCTGCCTTCTGTCATGCTAGTTAGCAGTCCAACTTTTGACCCTTACCAGGACTATAATCTGCCTCCCGTGGGTCCTCTGCAATAGAGTCACTTTTCGTGTCGCATTTTATGCATTACAAATTCTTTCGACTTTGACGATTTCAAACCGGACGCTTCCATAGTGGTTAAATTCCGGGTAGAACCTGGACTGGCACCGGATGCAGAGCGTGGACTGCTGTTTTGCCGGCGGCGCGTTTTCCGGTGTGATCCGATCCCGCGACGTTCGCTCCCCCAGTTCGTACCTGTTTCCGAGAGCAGTAGTAGAAATAATTGGCGCGTTATTCACGGAAGATCATGCGTTCTTTATTCATCAGTCCTCCGTGCTCGCTGTGTGTGAAGCTCGGTTTCTAACGGAGATAACAGACGACTAGTCGTGACCCTGAACCTTGATAGGAAGATCAGTCCAACAGCACATTAAAAATGACAGTACTGCTGTCACAGAAAGACGAATCAGTACTTTTCCTTGTAGCAGATTCCCGTGTGGTCAAGGATGAGAAACTCTCCGACTCTCCGATTTTCGGCCCACTCGCCGACTAAAACACTACCCTTCGTGGACAGGAAAATTCCACTGCCGTTTGCGCGCCCGGCCTGGGAGGATTTATATTATAAAAGTAGATCTTTCTTCACTAGTACAGAAATGGAACAAACAGCAAGTATATGATAAAATTTCATATAGCTTGCTTGTTTCCTGTTTCCAGTTTTTTTCTGTTCGAGTTTGTTCGAGAGGCAAATTATCCGAGAAACAAACAAAAGTACTCTAAACTCCCCCACGTGCTGACTGCCATCTGCCAATACCAACACGCCCCTACCCTCCGGCTTATTGTCCACGGACAGTTCTCCGATGTATTGTCGATTTGACCCCAGCGACATTATCTGCTCCTGCTTCGACGGCAACAGCTTTGAGTGTAATTTCCTCTCTGCGTCCTCAATCCAGGCATGATTGCGCGACTGCTGCTGGTAGCCGGCATTGGACGGGTAACTGCTCTTCGTGTAGTATGAGAGTGGAGCACAACATCGTGTGTCTCACCTCCTGTAGAGAGCAGGTCTTGCAGGACAATTGGTCATGCGAATTATAGTGCCAAAAGGAAAACGCACAGAGGATTTGCATATTTGCAAAATACAAAGGAGGGACGACAGAATAAGTTCTTGATGTACACACTGATATGTAACCCGACGGACCCGCACCCCCTCCTACTCCGCCGCTGCCTATCGGAGGTGGTGGCTGTTTTATTTGACGAAGACAGAGGTGCTGTACTTCTCTTTACTACTCTTTCATGTTCATCATCCGACGTGGTACATGTTTATAAACAAAAGTGAGAGGATTTGTCATGCACCAGCCATGCACGTGGGAGCAGATGTTGACATTTCTTTATCCATCTTCAAATTTCACCATCAAATAAAACTGTACTAGTATAGAATACATTGGCGTTCCCTAAAAGGTGCCACTGATTCCCCGGTGCAGTTGCGGCTTTCACCACCTCCTGGGCCCAGTCCGGGTTATTTGGTATGTTCTTCAGTATCGATTGCATCTCCTTTTCCTTCCCTATCGACATTGCAAGTATGTGGTCTGGGTCTTGAAGGTTCATGCCAGACTTGGAATGCTGAACTCCAACTATACTCCCGAGTTCCGAAACGCATCCTTCGGAGTAGCGCAGAAGTTTCTCATGCGCATTATTATAGGCACTACGGCACTGTTCAAAATAACTCTGTCATGCTTGGCTGCGTATTGACTTCTGTCCGCTTGAAATTGAAATTCACAGATTTTTAGCATGACAAATTGCAAGTAACCCAGACATAATATTTGCAGAATGCATACTCTCCCGCGCGTCGCTATTCCTGGTGAGCTGCCCCAGCTTGGGCGATATTGGGTAATTGTTGTTGGGCTGCCGCAGGAAGGAGGGGTTGTGGTGCGAGGAAGAGGAGCCGACGGCATTACTCTGGTTTACCACCGGTGACCTCCCAAACTCGTCGAAAAGGGACTGCCTGTTGAAAGTTCAAGGTGAGATGAGATGGTTGGTTGGCTTTAATAATATGTCGGAAGGGAATGGAATGCGTGGTGTGCATGACACAACCCATCACAGTACCGATAATTTTATGCATGACAATGAATAAAGCTTCTGTTATAGTACCGTATCGCCGCATTCCGATCTCCGCTGCCCGTGCTGGTTGTGGGTGAATCGAACATGCGACTGACTTCGGGCCTGGTCTGCGTCCCAAAGAGACACCTGATTTGCCTTCGCATGCGACGGAGGTCGACCACGTCTTTTTCTGCTTCGTCGATTTCGTACCTGTGTGTTTTGTGAACCCTGCACGTGCTTGTTTATCTCACCCTGCATGACAAACCAACACTTTACTCCTCTTTGATCTTCTGCGTGACAATAAACTCTTTTTCATCTACTTCTCATCCCTACCTCTCATGCACCAGCAAAAAAGACCAAACTAGTGGGCAAATAAATGTAGCCTGTTCAGTACCACACCCCATCCTCTTCTTTGTCAAACTCGGTGACATTTTTTCCCTCCTTCGCTAAATCAATTTTCCGCCGGATTTGCCTCACCCGATCGACTTCCCTCTCGAACTCGCTGGACGCCACTGACTATCAAATGCAAATACGTCTGGGTCTGGAAGAGTGCAAGATTTGCGATGCAGATTTTTTTACATGACCTCTGATATCATCTGTAATGGATTCCCTAGCATGACATCCTTCTGAGTGCTTCTTTGTCTGTCCCGCATGAGAAATGCCCTGGCCACCTAACAAAAACCTGACTGCTTTTGCTGCTCAGGCAATACAGATTTCTTCGGAATCCAAAAGCAGCATCACAAGTTCAACTTTTCCAGACATCCAGGGATATTTGCACTGGATACCGACATGGGTCTGTCATCGAAATCGTCGTTATGAGCACCAGCAGTCGTCCCCTATCAAAGTGAAAAAAGCCCCCACCCCATATCCAAATGGCAATTTGTGTTGCTGGATTTGTGTACACAAATGAGCTTTCTATTGCAGCAAGAGCGTGGCGGCATATTCTAAGCCCATTTAGGTACTACGCATCCGGCCAGCAGCTGAGGATGAGGAACAAGTTTGACATACTCGCTGCACAATGCGCCACATGGGTGCCGTTTGCCGTGTACTCAAGACAACGCTGATTTGCGGTCACAAATCAGCAACACAAATTTTCTTTTCGATATGGGGAGGGTGGATTTTTCCTTACGATATCCCCACGAAGTCCCCGGGCACCGCGGTGTTTTTACTTGGATTCTGCGAGGCTTATCAAATGCAAAACTGTCTGGGTCTGGAAGAATGCAGGAGTTTGTGATGCAGATTTTGCATGACCCAGGATTGTGTGTGATGCATGCCCTACCATCACCGACTTTTAGAACCCTTCCTGATGCCTACTGCGCATGACAAAGGCCCTCCCCGCGTAGCACAAACTAGACTCCTCTTGCCGGTCATGCAGTACAGATTTTTTTAGAGTCCAAACTTAGCATCACAAGTTCCAACCTTCCAGACCCAGACATATTTGCATTTGATAAAGCTGCGTTCTGTGCGATTAAGGACCGGAGTAAGGGCGACTGCGAGCCCAAGTCTTCTTATCAAATGCAAAAATGTCTGGATCTCGAAGATTGGTGGAACTTGTGATGCTAAAGCTGAATCACGCGAAAATCTGTGTTGCATGATTACCAAATGTTGCCCACTTTTGATCAAGTTGTAAGGCAGTTTTTCATGCAGGATGGGCATGATAGTGATCTCGCGAAACCTGTAATGCTAGGTCCTCCATTACAGATCATATGGGTCATGGAAAACCTGCATGACAAGTCGAGCGAAGTTCCAGACCCAGACAATTTTGCATTTGATACTTCCAATCCCGCCACAATCTCCCGCAGGTCCACGTTGCCGTACGCTTCGGACTATGAACTGCAAAAGTATCGCTATCGTACTCGTATAAATGCATTACAAATTTCCTCAGCATGAGAAATAAAATTTGTAATGCGGATTGACCTTAGCAAAAGGATTTGCAACGCATGACTGCAATACGAGTACGATACTTCTGCACAGGATACGGACGGCATCTGCGGTTCCTGGAGCGACAGTGGGGGTAGCTCCGACAACTCTGGATCGGCGCCCAGCATCTATTGAGAGGAAAAATCCTCCCTCCCCATACTGAAAAGATATATTTTTGGAAATTTGTGATGCTGATTTGTGGTCACAAATCGTGCCTGTCTTGCAAGAAGGCAACTCCACAGACAGCCGCCGCATTGTGCCGGCGGTTTGTCATGCTGTTGGGCCTACAGCGTGGATGTTTTTCATGCTAAGTGCCTAGGCCAAAGCCTCGCTACTCACACTTCGCATGGGCCTCCTGCAGTGCTCTCCAGCAAGACAGCTCGGATTTGTGTACACAAATCCAGCATCAGAAATTTCGTTTTGATATGGCGAGGGGGGATTTTTCCTTTCGATAGCATCTGTTCCTCGCTTGCGGGGTGTATCAGATTGGTTTGCTCCTCGTCCGGCATATGGCGTTCTCAAATGTTACATTCTCAGCTGTTACATGAATCTGTCATGCAAAACACTCATCAGTATCGACATCATCAAGCTGCCTTGCGTGACAAATTTCCGAAGGGCTGAACAGCATCTAAATCTGTGCCAAACCTGTTATGCAAAAGGCGAAATCTTTCCCCTAGCACTTTTGCCATTCTTGCATCACAAATTCATGTAACAGTTCTTGAGAATGTAACAATTGAGAATCCCATACGGCGTAGGGCCCCCTTGCAGCTGCTGTTCCCCGCCCTCCGCCATGCTGTTTCGCAACACCATCTGCAGTTCGACACGGTGTATGAAGTGCAAATGTGTCTGACTCTGGAGAGGGTGAACCTGTATTGCGTGTCTCGCATTCCTGAAAAATCTGTATTGCATGAGCAGAGCAAAAGCAGCGCATTTTCGTCATGCAAAGTCGCAGTTTGTAATGCGTGCTACCCATGAGTGAGCGTTCGAAGAATTTGTTATGCTTCACTGCACTCAATCTCAAAGGCGCACTCATTCATGACCTTTCAGCATTACAAGTTTCCAGATCCAGACATATTATTTGCATTTGATACAGTGGTTGCGCAGTTGCTGCTGCTTCACCAAAAGCTGATTTCGTTGCTCCTGGTTGTCTATCCAGTGCAAAAATATCGATCTGGGTCTGGACAGACGCGACGAATTTGTGTTGCTGAGCCATGCATGATGGCAGAGCGATGTTTTGTACGGCATCTGCGCATCACAAATTTTTCCATTGGTATTGAGGTTTCTACCGTGTTTTGCATGACAAACTGAGTTATTTCACAGCATGACAAAAAGACTTCTGCCCAATCGTATTCATGCATCACAAATGCTCGCTATCCTTCAAATTTCGCATCACAAATCCGGACCCAATCGTATTTGCATTCGATATTGTCGACTAGATGCGTGCCCTCGGTTAGCTGCTGGATCGCGTCCTGCAGTGTGGAAATGATGTTTTGCACTTGGTTCTGCTGCTGCGCAAGGTCGAGGGACTTATTGCTGGCGTTGAATGTGGTCTGCTGGTTTATTATTCCGCCGTCCTCACCTATCGCAAGAAAAAAACTGTGTAAGTGTAAATCTGTGACGCCGAACACGCAACAGAGTTACGCCTGTCATGCCAGACAGCCACGCAGTCCTCTTTTCATGTGTGTTTTCCCTTACAAACCACGCATGACAGGTTTTCTCTGTAATGTAGAGCGAATTTGTGACGCTGTCAGCCAAAAATAGTTACACTAACACAGTTTTTTTCTTGGATATCCCCCTCCCCGGGTAGGGACACATTGACCACCATCTCCTTTTCGTCGTCGTTTTCTATTTTCGTCACTGTTGGCTCCGCCGGTGCAGCCAGGGCAGAGGATTCTGCTTGCTCGTCTGGTGCTGTTTTTGCTGCTCCCTGTTCTCCTGTTGCTGGTTCCCCGTCCTCTCCGGCCGGCTTCTCGTCCTGCTCTCCGTCTGGTGCATTTGTCTCTGGTCCTGGCTCCTTGCTTCCAGAGGCCTCCTCCCCGTCTCCTACTGCCGCTTCGCCTTCCCCTTTGCCCTCATCTCCAGCTGTTGGGTTGTTCTGCTCCGCATCTACTTCACCCTCTGTGGCTTTCGCTTCCGCCTCTACTTGTTGGACCCCATCTGGTGCCGTAGCAGGAGCTTCCTCGCCCGGCTTGGTTTCGCCCTCGTCGGGCTTGGGACTTCTCGCGGACTCTTTTTCGTCGTCGTTTTTTGATTTTTTCTCTTTCGATTTTTTCTTTTATCCTGTGTAAAAGCGTCCCCACGACCCCAGAGTTGTCATGCTGAAAACGTTTGTAATGCGCATCTCCTTGAGAGGCATTTCCAGTCGTGTTTTGGAACTTGTAATGCTGTAGACATCATGAGTAAATGGCTTTCTCATGCGGCTTTCCTTTCTGACCAGCACTCCACTGCAGACGGAAACTTGTCATGCAGAACTCCCAAAACTTGGAGATTTGTGTTGCAGATTTCCCATCTTGACCATACCGCGGGGACGTTTTTACGTAGGATATCTTTTTCTCTTTCTTTTCCTTCTCTCCCTCGTCCTTGTCGGGCGATTTTTCCTTCGATTTTTTCCCTATCCTGTGTAAAAACGTCCCCACGAAAGTCAATAAGTGGGAAGAAAGAACTCTGCAAAAATAAGGACAAATCCAGAAGTTTTAGGAGTCACGCATGTTGCCAAGCTTGTTCCCTCTGTATTGTAGTGCAGCTGCAGGTTACAACTTTTAGCAAGGACACGACGACCCGCGTCACAAATCAATCTATCCCCTTCTCCTGTTTTTTTACAGCTTTACAAATCATTCCAAAGCACGATCGGACACAAATTCGCGTGCAAGTGCGCATTACAAGCATAATTCCTGTAAAATTGCAAATCTGCATGAGAACTCTGGAATCATGGGGACGTTTTTGCTATAGGATATTCTCCTTCTTCTCTTTCTTCGACTTTTTCTCTGGGGATGCCGGCTCCGCTTGATCGTCCCCTGCTGGCTTGTATGCATTGCAAATATCCCTGGATCATGTCTGGAAGAATGCAAGTTTGTCATGCTTGTCTGGCATGAGTCTTAAACCTGTGTTGTGTGAGCAGGAATAAAAGGGTCCCTTGCCTGTCAGGCAAAAAGAACGCAGTTTGCTATGCGGAAAACGACGAAACACCTAGCGCGTCATAAACTTGTCATCCTTGGCTGCGCACTGCAGTGCACGACCTGCCATTCACAGATTTGCATCACAAGTTCTTTCCAGACCCAGACATATAGTATTTGCATTGGATAGCTTGCTGCCAGGGTCTGCTCCCTCCGCCTCGTCCGGCATGCTGGCTTTTCTTCAAAAAAACTACTTCTATGCACTCAAAACAGAGAGTGTTGTGAATTATACGACAAAACTTCAAACAACAAATCCGACAGTAGATGTACAACGATCCTTGAAATATACAATTCGCTCTCTGCTCCTCTAGGTCGTACTAGAAGATCAGTACAAACAAAGCTCTAGGAGAATAATTTTCGAAGTGCTACAACAATCAGTAGGTCGTAAGCTAAGCTGTACAGGCCACAGGAGGCTATAGACAGCAGCGCGTTCGAGGTCAACATCACGCATCTAGAAGATATTTTTACGCCGGCTGCTTTACTTGTTCCCTGAGCTAACCCCAGATGGAGCTCGCGCGGCTGGCTGCAACTGCATCATTGAAAATCAAACTATTTATAAAACCCGAACTTTTAATGTATCCTTGCTCCGAAAAAAATCCCTCATCAGGAGCAGACCCCGCAATCTCGCCTCGATGTATGTTCCATTGAGGTTCATAATTGATCCCTCTACTCTACTCAGGCGGCAAGAAAGACCGTCTGTTCCAACCTCCCTGATGTCCTCTCGGTGCTGGTGCTCTCTGGTGCTTGCTGTTATATTTGACGAAGACAGAGGTGTGCTTCTCTTTACTACTCTTTCATGTTCATCCGACGTACATGAAACATTTCTTTATCCATCTTCAAACTTCACCATCAAATAACCCTGTACTAGTATAGCAGACATTGGCGTTCCCTAAAAGGTGCCACTGGTTCCCCGGTGCAGTTGCGGCTTTCACAACTTCCTGGGCCCAGTCCGGATTATTTGGTATGTTCTTCAGTATCGATTGCATCTCCTTTTCCTTCCTTATCGACATTGAGAGTATGTGGTCTGGGTCTTGAAGGTTCATGCCAGACTTGGAATGCTGAACTCCAACTATACTCCCGAGTTCCGAAATGCATCTTTCGGAGTAGCGCAGAAGTTTCTCGTGCGAATTATTATAGGCACTACGGCACTGTTCAAAGTAACTCTGTCATGCTTGGCTGCGTACTCTAGTCATCTTGAAATTCACAGATTTTTAGCATGACACATTGCAAGTGACCCAGACATACTAATTCGCAGAATGCATATTCTCCCTCGCGTCGCTATTCCTGGTGAGCTGCCCCAGCTTGGGCGATATTGGGTAATTGTTGTTGGGCTGCCGCAGGAAAGAGGGGTTGTGGTGCGAGGAGGAGGAGCCGACGGCATTGCTCTGGTTTACCACCGGTGACCTCCCAAACTCGTCGAAAAGCGACTGCCTGTTGAGTTCAAGGTGAGATGAAATGGTTGGTTAGCTTTACTATGTCGGATTGGAATGGAATGCCTGGTGTGCATGACACATCTCCACTGCCCGTGCTGGTTGTGGGTGAATCGAACATGCGACTGACTTCGGGCCTCGTCTGCGTCCCAAATAGACACCTGATTTGCCTTCGCATGCGACGGAGGTCGACCACGTCTTTTTCTGCTTCGTCGATTTCGTACCTGGGTAGAATTTATTTTGTGGACCGTGCACGTGCTTGTTTATCTCACCCTGCATGACATCAAACCAACACTTTATTCATCTTTGAAGATCTTCTGTGTGACAATAAACTCTTTTTCATCTACTTCTCATCTCTACCTCTCATACACCAGCACAAAAGACCAAACTAGTGGGCAAAAAGTTGTAGGCTGTTCAGTACCACACCCCATCCTCCTCTTTGTCAAACTCTCGTCTGTTCCAACCTCCCTGATGTCCTCTCGGTGCTGGTGCTCAATGCGTGTTAGAAAAACAGAGCCAAACCCTGCCACTCGTCAAAGAGAAACAAATAGAACGTCGCTCAGAAGTTGTGTAATTATATCAAGACGACCACCCCCAACATCCTCAGTGCGAATCAAGCGGAAGAAGCCTACGGCCAGCACGCGTCGCGAATTTGAAAGATATTGTTCCTGGCACTGAAACTCCAGGACCAGTGTCGTCGCCCTGCAGAGCTACAACTTGCACCCCGTCCCAGGGTTCTTGCAGAGCTGGTGAGCGCCGCTCACAAAACAATTGGAAAGCGCGTACTGATGAAATTGAAACCGACCAAGTGAACTGGTGACAGATGAGGAACAATAAACCCACACTTCGTCAAAAGTATTTAGAAGTGGCGCAGCTAAGTTTTTCGGAATATCACTCCTGCAAGGAGGCTACGCAGTTTGCGACTGATGTTTCAATATCACTAGCAGGTCGTGCTGCTCCTCTACGAGTGCAGAAGTTTTTAGACTGCTGCAAAAATTCACTTTTCACATCCGTGGTTTCTGTGTCGGTCCTCGTGTAGGAGCTTTATTTACCAAGGTCGTACTCACTACACAATTCGTACGGAAAAGCAGCAAACCCTGCTCAGAAAAGCAGCAAACCCTGCTCAGGCGGTACTAATTCCTTGTTTTCTATTGGTTCCTTCGTGCACTGCTGGCATTCCGAATCACGCCGAGCAACAGATTGAGCTGTTCCGGCAGTAGGCTCGTGTTTTCCAAAACCCAAGCAAGCGTCGCCGTGGGAAGCACATCTGTCCCCGGCAAAATTTCCTCCGCAAATCCGAGGGCTGCGATGCGGAAGCTGTTGTTAAAGAGCCGGTAGAGCAGGTACGCCTGCACGTATCAAATGCAAAAGTGTCTTGGTCTCGCTGATTCCGAGATTTGTCGCGCTAGTCTGATATGACTCTGAACTCTGTATTGCGTGGCCGCGAAGAGCTCCGCTTGCCTGTCATCCAAAAACGCAGTTTCGCATGCGGAGTACGCAACTCAGTACCGCGGAAAAACTTGTCATGCTGCGCAGCGCATTACAGAGTGCTCACTGTCCCTTCCTTGCACCACAGGTTTCCAGACCCAGACATATTTGCAATGCATAGCACGGGAGCGTAGCTGATGTCTGCCAGCTCCCCAAAACCGGGCAGCAGGAAGGAGGCGACGCCAAACAGGTCGAGCAGAAGGCAAAAAACCAGTTTCAGGAGGACGGTTTGCCTATCAAATGTAAAAATGTCTGGGTCTGGAAGAATGCAACTTGTCATGCTAAATCTGAAGCATGCAAAAATCTGTGTTGCATGATTACCAAAAGTCGTCCAGTTTTGACCAAGTCGGGAGGCAGTTTCTCATGCAGGATAGGCATGAGAAAGATCGCACAGAATGTGTCATGCTAGGTCCTGCATTCCAGACCTCACGGGTCATGAAAAAGCTGCACGACAAATCACGCATTCTTCCAGACCCAGACATACTAACATTTGATATTGCCGGATGTAATTCAGCAGCTGATCGAATTCTGGAGGGAGGAAAAACGGCATGGTGGTCTTACTTTCTTTCTCACATTTCAATGCTTTTCCTGCTCAAGAGAAATGCAACAATAAGCATAGCAAAGTAAGGCTCTTCTTTTTCTTTTCCTTGTTATGTTGTTGCCCCCAAAAAATTTACACTGCCTTTTATACAGCATAGCACTGCTTGTTCCTGGTTTAAAGTGCTAGCCATCGCGCAAGCGGTTCTATCTTGCCTTTCGCAGCAGCATGTGTAGTACCTAAGAACTTCTACTGGCACCTTCGAGGAGGTGCGGCCCCGAGCTGCAAGGGCTTCCAGATCGATATGCAGGTACGACCTCAAAGCACCACGCCGCCAGTAGATCGTGAGCTGCAAGATTGATAAATCTGGAAAAGAACAGCGATAGAAGAAGTACTGACACTGGCTGGGATAGTACTGATTCATTCTGACTGTGCTTTAAAAACTCACACTATTATGATGTGATCAGGTCTCTAAGAAGATGAGATCTTCATCTTGCGTCACAAAAGCAGTGTGCGCCTTTGAAGACCTGGGCACTCATCATTCAGAGGAGATCATCATATCCCGGCTTCACAGAAGTGCGCGACTTTGATCTGGGAGGAGAGGAGCTTCGAACACGCGACGAGGATGTACGCGAATGTAAATAAGCTTCGAACACTATCAAAAGGAAAAATCCCCCCTCCCCATATTGAAGAGTTAGGCTTTCGAAATTTTGTGTTGCTGATTTGAGGTCACAAATCACGTTTGTGTTGCAAGAAGACAAGGGCAACAGCTTCCGTCCCATTATGGAGGCGGTTTGTCATGCTGTTGAGCCAACATCACGGACGCTTTTCATGCTAAGCGCCTAAGTCAAAGCCTCTCTGCTCAGGCTTGATATGGGTCTGCAGTCCTCTCTAGCAAGACAGATGTGATTTGTGTACTCAAATACAGCAACACAAATTCCGCTTTCGATATGGGGAGGGGGGATTTTTCCGCACAATAAACACGCGACGCCAAAACTGCGCTTCTTCCACCTCGCTTTACGACCCGTCTCCTTCCTTGTCTGCTTCTTGATGTTGTGGCGCAATGGGGGAGATATGATAATGTTGACCTTCGAATGTTCTTCTCTTGCTCTTCGTCTACTTCCTGCAAGTGGATAATCAAAAAACTTGTGTCTTGCGCCCCACCTCTAGTACGCTAGGACGTCGCGCGGGATCCGCTCTGCCAAGGAGTTTTTAAAGGGTTTGTTCGGAAAAAAACGTAAAACGTGAATGATAGCACCAGGTCGGATGCAAAAGTAGCACGTCAGAATTCTAGATAATGCTATGTGTCCTTCATCGGGATACGACTGCAGCTCCAAGCAAAACGTCTCACAAGCAGGGCGTGCTACTGTAAATGAGTGCGTCTGTGGTCGTCCACAAGGGTGGGTAGCCAAAAGAAAAAAAGACCCTTGTTTGTCTGTTGGAATGGGAAACGTGCTTTTCTCCTTGAGTGTCGTGCTTCCTTCTCGCGTGGTCAGGACAGATTAGTTAATACTTCAAGATGAAAAACGCGAGCTGGCAAATCTAGGTTTCACGTAGCCTGCTTAGGCCTGAGAAATAAGAGCACAAAATACCGAAAGATGATGGATCAGAGGAAAAGGTAATAAATAAGAGCACAAAATACCGAAAGATGATGGATCAGAGGAAAAGGTAATATGACACTGAAGCTATAAACCACTGCTGCTACGACTCAAAAAGTTGAAACATTGTGTCTTGCTGTTGAAACTGAAAATGTAAACAAAATGAAAACTGTGAAAGAGGTAAGAGACCAAACATAATTTCTTTGCCAAAGAAAAGAAGAAAAAATTAACAATAAAAATCTTTGCGTCAACACAATAAATTTGCCATCGATTATTTTTGACGCTTGGTTTTGTACTTACGTTGAACTTGCATTTCTACTTGCTGGTGGCTCCACTTCGTTTAGTAGTGGTAAGCCGAGTTGCCGTAGACTTGAGGTGCGGCGTTCCAACGCGCTGCTTGCCCGTTATTCGTGTACCCACCGGCAGTGCCATTCCAATCCCATTGTCTCGACCCGCCCGCGTATCCGTGGCCTCCACCGTCCCAAGACTGTCCGACGCCGCCCCACTGCCCGTCCCAGCTTCCTTGCTGCCCGTCCCCATAGTACTGGCCAGCGCCGCCCCACCACTGCGCTTGCGAGGCGGCGCCGCCCCCGCCGCGCGCCGTTCCGGCGAAAGAACTGGGCCCGCCCCAGGACTGCTGGCCGCCTGTTGTCGAAAAATGTTCTTAAAATAATCCTTTGATATTTTGATGTCCCCATACTCAAACGGGGATTTGCGATCATGTACGACTTGTGATAGATGCACAGCACAAATCAAAATTAAAAATTTGTATTGCAGCATCTCGTCACAAAGAAAAAGGATAAAGCAAGGAAAAGGAGTTTTTCGTTTTGATACCGGCGCCCCCGCCTCGCGCCGTTCCGGCGAAGGAGCTTGGCCCGCCCCAGGACTGCGGCCGGCCGGCGCCGGCCGCGGTGCCGCTGAAGGACGAAGGACCGCCCCAGGTGCCGCCGTGCGTGCCCCGGTTGTTCGGCAAACCGCCGGACAGCGTCACGCCGAAGAGCCCGCCTTGCGCCGACGTGTAGTCCGCCTGCTGCACGTTGTAGTGGCTCGCCCAGTCGGAGGCCGCCTGCGCCATCTCCTGCTCTTTTTCCTCCCGCTCCAGCCGCGCCATCGTCAGGGGGTGCAAGTAGCAGACATACAAGTACATGAGCACCACCAGGAGAACGATGCACCCAAAGACGATTTTCCACCACAGTCGTATAGCGCGCTCAGCTGTTACAATACTCAAATCGGTTGCAATAGAATATGGAAATCTGTGATGCAAGAGTGCGAATGATCTAGCCAACTCTCATAGGATTGCGCATGAGAAGTTATCCGGAGCTCCAAACCCCACTACAATTATCTGGCGAAATTTGTATTGCAGAAAGTGGAACGCAGCTCTGCGAGTCTGTCATGCTCATCATGCAAGACGAAACCCCGACTCTATTGCAACGTTTGAAATTGTAACACCTGAGTGGGTCATAAGTTTTTCGTGCTTGTCCCACTTGGACAGCGTGGTGTTTGTTTTGATGTGCGTCTTATCCTATGTAAAAACGCCCCCACCCAATAACATAGCTCTTATGCCATTCTGCATGCTCAAAAGGTTTCCCATGCGGAGCTCAATGGCAAGCCTCTTCTAGTCGTGCTTTGGAATAATTTGCCATGCGCCAATCAGCATAATAGGCTAGATCAGTGATGCTGGTGAGCAAGCTATTTTTAAGTAAACGCGACTACTACACTACGAGGCCAACTTTGTTATGCGCAACAACCTAAGCTGGCTGATTTGTCTAGCAGATATCCCATCTTGACTATGGGAGGATGGGGACGTTTTTACTTAGGATACGTCTCCACCGGGGGTTTGTCCACACAATATCAAATGCAAATGTGTCTGGGTCTGGAAGAATGCAACTTGTGATGCTGTCTTTGGATTCCAAAAAAATCTGTATTGCATGACCAGCAAGAGGAGTCCAGTTTGTGTTACGCGGAGAGGGAATTTCTCATGCGGGATAGGCATTAGAGAGCCCTTGAAAAATCTGTGATGCTAGATCATGCATTACAGGCGTCGCGGATCATGCAGAATCTGCATGACAAACCTGACAACCTTCCAGACCCAGACATTTTTGCAGGCCATACCCAGCTCGTTCCGACAACGCCGGGCTGCGCAAAATACCCGCACTTCGTCGCCCGCACCTGGGCGCTATATCCTGTGTAAAAACATCCCCGTCCCAGAGTTGTCTTGCAGATCTGCAAGCACAAGTGCATTTGTAATGCGCATCCCCATGATAGGCATTCCCGTTCGTGTGTTGGAACTTGTAATGCTGTAAACAGGATAAGCAGATGGATTCGTAATGCGACTCCACCCCTTGCTGAACTGCATTACAATACAGCCTGCAATTTGTCATACGTGGCTGCCAAAACTTCAAGGTTTGTGTTGCACAATCCCCATCGTGACTCTGGGGTGGGGACGTTTTTCCTTTGGATACGTTACTCCCAATCTTCTTGTTGAGCCTTTCCACCAGCTCCACGGTCGTCAGCGCCTTGATTTGCCTCGTCGGGTCCAGCACGGTGTCAAAATAGAAGTCATACTCGGTCACGTTCCATGTCGCCGTGCTGGCCGCCTCGTCGGCGTCTATGCACTGCAAATATGTCAAGTTTGTCATGGAGGTTTTGCATCACCCGGCAGGTCTGCGAAGATGCAGAGCCTCGCACAACAGGTTTTATTCTTGCGGGAGCTTTGCAATGCCTACTCAGCATGAGAAATCTTCTCTCCGCGTGGGCAAAAATTTAAGGTTTTGGTGCTCCTGCATGAGAGAATTTTGTGTGACTGACGATGAGCATGACAAGTTTGCATCTTTCCAGGAGAGAACCTAGACATATTTGCATTCGATAGCGTCGTCGAGCGCGCGACGGGCTGTTTTCCGCAAGCTGTCGCCTCCGGCAACCAGGCTGACCTTTTCCATCACTATGAATGGGTCAGGATCGAAATCAACAAAATCGAAAAATTTGTGATGCATAAAATATTGGGCACTGAAGGCCTGTATTGGGGAGCAGGCAAATGGGACCGATTATCGGCCTGTTTAGGGGTATGCAATGCGCTGCCAGAGTAGCATGACAGGAGGAGTCTTCTTTGCCCAAACAGCATGACAGACTGGGTTTCGGCTCCACCCAAATTTGTCATGCGCCACTTGGAAACTGAGGCTCCAACTGACATCGATTTTGTGCATCACAAATTTTTCGACTTTGTCAATTTCGATTCTGACACTTTCATAATCAGGGGGTAAAAGTTCCCTTGTCCTTCGGGGGGGTCCCCGACGCCGCCGGGAAGATATACCGCCTCCAGCTTTTCCCGCACGAACGCCAGCACCGTGTTTCTGGCTATCAACTGCAAAAATCCCTGGATGTCTGGAAGAATGCAACTTGTCATGCTAAATCTGAAGCATGCAGAAATCTGTGTTGCATGATTACCAAAAGTCGGCCAGTTGTGATCAAGTCGGGAGGGAGTTTCTCATGCAGGGCGGGCATGAGAGAGATCGCAGAGAATCTGTCATGCTAGGTCCTGCATTCCAGACCTCATGAGCCATGGAAAAGCTGCATGACAAATCGCGCACTCTTCCAGTCCCAGACACTTTTGCATTTGATACTGGCGCGTTCCGACTGCCAGTCCGGTAGGGTGGATTTCAGAATCAGGCCGCGCACCAGTATCAAAAGGAAAAACCCCCCCTCCCCATAGTGACAAGGTATGTTTATTTCGAAAATTTCTGTTGCTGATTTGTGACCACAAATGGTGTCTGTCTTGCAAGAAGGCAACTCCACAGACAACCGCCGCATTATGCTGGCGGTTTGTGATGCTGTTGGGCCTACAGCACGGACGTTCTTCATGCTAAGCGTCGAGGCCAAGAAAATCTCTCTACTCAGGCTTGATATGGGCCTGCAGTCCTCTCCAGCAAGACAGATCGGATTTGTGTACACAAATCCAGCATCACAAGTTCCGTTTTGATATGGGGAGGGGGGATTTTTCCTTTCGATAACGAGAAAGGCCTCCTTTTTGCCCCCCACCCGGTTCCGGAGCTGGCAGCACCCCATCACCGTGCACTCCCCGCCGAAGCAAATTGTGCCCGGAAGCTTCGGAACGACTTCCCCTCCCCCGTGCTCTTCGAGCTTTTTCGGGTCCAGGGGCCACATGGCCCCGTATCAAATGCAAATATCGATCTGGGTCTGGAAGATTGCTACATTTGTCATGCACGTCTGACATGGCTCAAGAATCTGTGATGCATGGGCACGAAGCTGTCCTCTTTCCTGTCATGCAAAAACGTAGTTTGCCATGCGGAAGAATCAACACATGATAGGAGCCCAAAAATTTGTCATGCTTGGCTGCGTATTGCAGTGGAACTCTCATTGTTCACTTTTAGCATTACAAGTTTCCAGACCCAGATCGATATTTGCATTCGATACCCCGAAGGCCTCCACGATGTCCTGGCGTTCGCAGTGCTTGTTCTCCACGGTGGCTTTCTCGCACGTCTCGACGCAACAGTAATTGCGGTACTGCTTCCCGTATCAAATGCAAAAATGTCTGGGTCTGGAAGATTCTGAGACTTGTCATGCACAGTTTGCATGACCCATGATGTCTGTGATGCATGCCCTAGCATCACAGGTTTTTTGAGGGATTCTTGATGCCTAATCCGCATGACAGATGCCCTCTCCGCGTAGCAAAAATTAGAATCCTTTTGCTGCTCATGCAACACAAATTTTTTAGGCATCCAAAGGCAGCATCACAAGTTGCGCTCTTCCAGACCCAGACATTTTTGCATTTGATATCCCGACGGTGATATAGGTGGCTTCGGGAGGAAGCTTGTGTGACCGCGTCGCCGGCGCGCCGTACGACCGGAGGCCTCTGGGGTCGATACAAAAGTCCGGTGTGGGGGCTTCAACTCCCAGTGGGATCGTTTCTCCTTCCCTGCTCTGCGCGTAGGACTCAAGGTACCCACTGCAATATCAAATGTAAAAGTGTCTGGGTCTGGATGTCATGCAGATTTTACATGACACATGACGTCTGTAATGCACAACCTGGCATCACAGATTTTTAGTGGGCTTTCTGATGCCTATCTCGCATGAGAACAAATACCCTCTCCATGTAGCACAAACTGGAGCCCTCTTGCTGGGGATGCAATACAGATTCATTTTTGTAAAATGCAGAGACAGCATCACAAGTTGCAATCTTCCAGACCCAGACATTTTTACAGTTGATATGCAAGTCTTGTCCACGCGGACGCTTTCCAGAGCACCGCCGCTGGTGACAGCAACCTCGGCCTCCAGCAATCCGAGGCTGCGGCCTGATCCATCCTCGCGGTCCGGCAAGTCGATGATGACGTACTGTCCTTCGTGCCCCCAGCACTCGATCCTCGCCTTGAGCATATCCTGAGTAAAAACGTACCCACACCATAGTTGTCATGCAACTCTGCATGCTTAAAATGTTTCTCATGCGGAGCCCTATGAGAAGCATTTTCTAATGCGGTTTTGAAATTTGTCATGCTCCAATCAGCACGAGATGCTAGATCTGTAATGCTGCTAAACTAGCTCAAACAGCACTACACTACGCGGACAAACTTGTCATGCCAAACAACCAAAGCTGGCTGATTTGTCTAGCAGATTCCCCATCCTGACTCTGGTGTGGGTACGTTTTTACTCAGGATAGAGCAGGTCGTATGTCCCCTCCGCACCCGGGCCGCCGGTGTCCGACACCTGCCTCTTCTCCCCACTCGCATCAAAGAACACGTTTTTGAACCGGTCGCGCCCTTTGCCGCCGTCGTACGACACCAACTCGCAGAGTTTCGCGTCACTCGCTCCCGCTTCGCCCGGAACGGCGGGGCACGCATCGCCTGCTGACGCGGTCCGGGGCGTGGACGCCACCAAAACCCGGAAGCCCACGTCGTTAAGAGAGGAAGAAATCGTATCTAGGTCTGAATCGTCCAGAAATGTGTTTTCATCAAGCGCTAACGTTGCCGTTGCAAAAAACAGAAAGGCCAGCCTTGAAGTCCGATCTGCGGTATAGAGATCCACATGCCCGACATGCTGCGAAGACCCCAGGTCGATTTGCAGCCAGGGGCACTTCTGCGCGCCCTGGTCCACTCCGGTCTGCGCGAGGGTACCCATTTCTCCGTCGACAAGTCGATCCGCCCCGTTCGGGGTGCTGGTATGAGTATAGGTGCTCGATGCCGTAGCCGATGCCGATGAAGGCTTGGACACCTTTATGGTAGCGAATTCGGCGTAAACTTTTGCCTCGTGCAGCCCCAACACACGCCGTTCGCCGGCGGCCGCCCCCGGCTATCCTGTGTAAAAACGTCCCCGCCTCAGAGTCAAGCTCGGGATCTCGCAACACAAGTGCAGAAGCTTTGGCAGTCACGCATCACAAGTTGCAGTCCGTAGTGTAGTGCAGGCTGGCGAGGACAGCCGCGTTGCAAATCTATCTGCTTATCGTGTTTACAGCATTACAACTTCCAAACGCGATTGAAAATGCCTATCATGGGAAAGCGCATCGCAAACGCTCCTGTCATTGCAAATCTGCATGACAACTCTGGGGTGGAGACGTTTTCACTCAGAATACCGGCAACTCGATGATCACGTACCGGCCGGGCTGGCATCGAATGCAAATATCGATCTGGGTCCGGAAGGATGCAGGGATTGTCATGCACATTCTTTTTACGCATGAGTCCTGATGTCTGTGATGCATACCCTAGCATCACAGATTTTGTGAGAGCTTTCTGATGCCTATACCGCATGAGCAATGCCCTCTCGCTATGGCAAAAACTTCTAAGCCATGTCTTTATTTGCTGTTCATGTTGCAATACAGATTTTTGTAGAATCAAGCTGCAGCATCACAAGTTCGCATCCTCCCAGACCCAGGTCTTCGATATGTACATTTGATAGCTGGCTCTTGCACTCAATCCTCGCCGCAACCAGGTGCCGAAAATCTCCGCGCGGCAGGTCCTGATCAATTGGGCCTCTATTGTACCCCGGAGGACCCTCGTTGACTACGATCACCTCCGACCCATCACCCACTCTTTGGAACCGCCGCTCGCCGGCGCCACCGGCCCACTTCACTGTCTCGCATTCAGCTACATCAGCAACAGCTTCCGGATCCGGGCACGCATCGTCCGCTCCCCACGAGGAAGGATCTCGGGGCGTAGATGAAACCACAACGCGAAATCCCGCGTCCACCAACGAGCCAGCATTTTTTACAGCTTCGAGCGAAATGGCTGAGGCGTCTTCGTTAAGGTCGCTGTACTTGACGTTGAAAAACAAAACGCCCAGCCGCGGAACGGAATTTGACGCAAAGAGGTGCACACTTGTGACGAGTTTTTCAGCCCCCAAACCAATTTGCATCCAGGGGCACCGGCGTCCCGCAGCTTCTGTTCGACCAGTTTCTGCGGCATCCGCTTTGAGCAGCTTGTAGAAAGAGAGATCACTGTCCTGCTGGAGTGCAGCCGCGAAGTCTGCGCTACCCCTGTCGTCAATCAAATTCGCTGCAGCGTAGTCGCTGCGTTCGCTCGACGCCACCGCCGAGCCCGCTAACAGCTCTACTTGCATTTCGTTATCGCGCACGACGGGAACCCGGGTCCTGCAGCACTTCGCATCGGTGCACTCAGTTATCCTGAGTAAAAATGTCCCCACACCATAGTCAAGATGGGGATCGGCTAGACAAGTCCACAAGTTTTGGCTGTTTTGCATGACAAATTTGGACTCGTAGCGCAGTGCTGTTTGAGCTAGCTCAGCAGCATCACAGATCTAGCATACCATGCTGAATGGAGCATGACAAATTGCAAAACACGAATAGAAACTGCTTCTCATGGGGCTCTGCATGAGAAACATTTTCAGCATGCAGATTTGCATTACAACTCTGGGGTGGGGATGTTTTTACACAGGATATCAGTGTCGCTTTCGCTTGTGAAGCAATTGTAGTCCTCCGGGACGAGCCGCGGCACCGTGGACAAATCGCTGCACTCATAATGCCTCGACTGGGCGCCCGGACTTGTTGGAGGAAGAGCAGGTGTGGGGTTCGCGCAGGTCTTCCGCACGCAATCGGAAAAGCCCGTTGCTTTGCCATCGGGGGAATTAACGTGGTTGGCGTGTAAATGGTATCCCTGGGCCGCATTACACTGGCACCCACAAGACGCGACACTGCACCAGTCACCCGCGACCGCCTGGCCTTTGCATTTTTTAGTCTTATCCGCTGCCGCAGCCGGGGCAATAAAAACGCTTCGCGCACCATCTGCCTTTCCGTCCGCCAGGCTTTCGCAAAAGTCTGCACAGGTTTTCTGGCTTATCAAGATGAAAAAATCTCCCTCATCCCTATAGTACTGAAGCTAGATAAACTTAATTTGCCATGCCGCCGACTTTTGTTCACACCAATTTTTTCCCATGCCGATTTGAGCAAGGACACCAGCCCTGTTTTGCGCCACGGCAGCGCAGGGCTCTCCTAGGCCGATGTCGAGCATGACAGACGGGTCGGCCGTGAGCTGAAACGCATACACGCTACACAGGTTGTAGTTGCAGACTTTACAATTCTTCGCGCAACAAGAACTCCTGCTTCTTCCCCTGTATGCAACAAGAGAGACCTGATTTAAGGCCACTAACAGCCAGCATCAGTAGCTTCTAAACCAGGAATGGGGAAGAGGAAATTTTCCGCACAATAACACTTTGGTCTTGCGCTATGTCCTCTTCGGTGCAACACACGGCAGGTTGGCACGCGACAGCGTCGGCGTCGGCAATGGAGGCAGCACAATCGAGGACCTCGTATGAGGGCGCCACCTTGAGAGGATTGAAGTTGTTGGAGCATACACCCTCGTACCCTTGGCACAAATACCGGGTCTTGCAACACTGCGTGACAGTGCACTTGCCCTCCGCGCCACCGGCGCAAACTACCTTGCCCCCGTCGCCAACGGGGTCGCAGCCGTCTTTGAAGGGTACATCTACATCTGCTGCCGTGAATGCAGTAGAACCGCCGCCCGCAGTGGCCTTCGGGTTCTCGCACGTTCTTTGAACGCATGTCTGCGCCAATTGATTCCCGACTGCCACGTATCCACGTTCCTCATCATATGCATTGCAAATGTGTCTGGGTTTCCAAGAATGCAGATATTTGGTTGGTTGATTGGATAGCGCCTGTCCTGGCTGGTGCAGGCACTGCCCTCCGCGATAGTGATGATCTGGAATACTGTCATGCTCATTTTACTTTTTGGATCTGCGTCTGCCAGAAGGTCTGGAATGCACGCAGAATATATAATAACAGGCTCTGCGGAGGCTTCGGCTTTCATCTCACGCCTAGCCTACATGCGGAATGCTTACTCCGAAAAACAAAAATTGCGCATCCTCCCTTAATGCTGATTATCATCAGCGTTGGATCGGCGGTAGAGCTTTTCCGCCGACCGGGTAGTCCATCGCCTATACATATTGGCGAACCCCCGCTGTGGGACTAACTAGGCAGGGTCGACCGTACGGATCCATTCCTTGATGGCTCCCTTGATGCTGATTGTGCAAGGCAGATTTTTCTCCGTTCGTTTCAAAATTAGCATGACAAGTTTGCGTGATCCTACTTCGAAAACCAGTCATATTTGCAACGCATACATCACACGAGCAAGACCCATCGTCCTGGACGGCGAAGCCGGAATCCGTGTCACAAACGCACTCGCATTTCCTCACACTACACCAGCCCATGTCTTTATCTTCGCGGCACCGAGCAGCCTTTTTATCTGCATCGTTCGGCCCCTGGTAGCCCGGCAAGTTGGTACAAAATGTTTGGCAATTGCGAGTACTTCCCTCTTGGCCTTGGGCGGTGACTTCTACACTATTTTCCAAGCAACAAACCCCCGCTGCGTCAGCCACAGGGCAATCACCGGAATTACTGCAGTCGAATCTCGCTTCCAATGGGTATGTCGAGGGCACTACCCGCACCGGCGTAGGGGTGGCAGCAGGGCACTCATAATTTCCACACAGCAACATCCAGAGGAAAAACGTCCCCATCCCAGAGTTGTCATGCAGGGTTGCATCCACAGGAAGATTTGTCACGCGTATCCCCATGAAGCGCATTCGTTGTCATGTTTCGAAGTTGTGATGCTGTAAACAGTATAATAAGCTCATGGCTTTGATATGCGGCAATCCTTGCTAACGTGCCCTACACCACCGATAGGACCTTGTCGTGCGTGACTCCCAAAACTTCCGGATTTGTGATGCACAATTCCCCGCTTGCCTCTGGGGCTCGGGCGTTTTCCCTCAGGATAAGCAACGCGTAATGAGGTGTTCCCCAATGTAAGGAAAGCCGCCCCCTCCCGTACGTTGGGTTGGACCAGTCCTGTATATTACTATGCATTTTGATTTTTTTATTCGTTCTTGAAAACTTTGTTTTTTTGTCGTCAGAACTGGGCCGCGAACAAATTTTGGGGATATAGGTTTCACTCAGAACAATCTTCCGCACAAGGAGTCGCGCGCCACGGTGCAAAAATGCGATTTCGTGCGACGCCTATTTTGGCGAGAGTAATCATGCGACTGCGGCAATTACTTGTGTTTCAAATTTAACCAAAAAGACAGCACGCTAGTTCTTCTCCAATTGCATCAGTACTTTTCCGCATGCCAGGGCTGTGGCCTGCAGGGAGGCGGAGTGCTTCCTTGCATGGATCATCCCATAGTACCCATTTTCATTTATATGCTAATGCATGCCTCATCTCGTCATTTTGTATTTTAATGCACGACAAAGTCAAAGACAACCATTCATTGAACGGGAGGAGTGCTTTCCATGTCGTACTCCGTTGTGCAGTCCGCCAACGATGTTGCGTAGCCCACGCCGCGAAGACTTTTCAAGAAGGCTATCACAACGAAAAGCGTTGGCCCTATCGTCTCCACAGGAAAAAGTTATATCCTTATCAGTGGTGCTGATATCATGACCAGAAGAACAGAATGCATTACCACGACAAATACAGGCGCCGCGGATACAAATATTCAATGCCTCACCAAGAAAGGAAGCGCGTTGTCTGTAAGAAAGGCTCAGTTGTATGGCTAGAGTGATGCGTCAGGTGGTAGTTGCTGTTTGTTCAACTGACTAGCAGACTATGCTTGTTCTGATACACCAAACTTACCTCGCTTGCTGTTCGTGCCTCTTTTCCCCAACAAGCTTCCGAGTAAAAAACGTTCCTGCCTGTACAATTTTCCGGGCATGGCAACACTTCTGGGAGAACTCGGAGGGCCAGCACTGTTTTCAAAGTGATAAAAAAGCCATCATTTTCATTGCACCCGCACTGGCATTCCTTCACACTGCACCAGCCGCCGACGGTAGAGTCAAAGTTTGCGCATTCCTTGTTCAGAAGGTCCGAGGACCCCAGCGGTGCCAGAAACGGTGATCCACCATTTTTGTCGCGCAAATTCTCGCAGAAATTTTGACAGGTCATTGAGCTCTGTGCTTGTGTAGCAGCTCCCTCTTCGAAGCAACAAACGTTATCTGGACAGTTCTTCATGTCGTCTGTACACTTTATCAGGCTATGTGGGTACGACGAGTACAAGTCCACAATCACGGCGCCCCCTCGATCAGCACAAGAGGGATAGACTGGTATCAAGCCGATCTCTGTATTTGACCAATCGCTTTCCGCGGGCTTCTTTTGACACAAATTCATCCTCTTGCAACACTGCTCGGCAGTGCATCTGCCGGTAAGTAGGCCGCTGCAATCAACGTCCGCGGGATTTTCGACTACCTCCCTGCAACCTTGGAACCAGTGCCGGTCTGTATCTTCATCGTGCCTTACCTCCGAGAGTGATGCCTCCAAAAACGGTGTCGGGTGTCCTTCACCAGATACTGTGGCGAACGGGTTGGCGCACGTTCTCTCGATGCATTTGTCCGGTATATCATCTGGACGATCCGAACGCCAAACAAAACTCGGACCCAGGTTTATCACGATGAAAAATGATCCTCCCTCCCAGTTGCCAGCTGATGCGTATCGTGCTGAATTTGTTCACCCGTACAAGTCACTTTGGCACCCGGTCCAGGACAACGGCTGCCGGCACAGGACAACGGTTTCGTCCTGGGCGGCAGTTTGTTGTAGCGTACGAACGGTTTCGCGTGCAGCCAGAGCTGTGTGCTGTCATAGTAAACTGAACAGCAATTATGCACGGCGACCGGCCACATCATAACCACGCAGTGCTTTCTTGTAAAATCGAAAAACCTTTGTACACATATCCAGCAGTACAAATCTCCTTGAGGCGTCGGGAGGGAGCATTTTCTTCCACGATACGATTTTCACACTCATCGGCTGTAGTTGCTGTTCGGACAACCACACCATGGTCGAAAAATGTCGTGAGTGTCAGAAGGTGCGTATGCATTGCAAAAAATACATCATCTCGTGGTCCTGGAACCTTGTGACGCAGAATCGTAGAATGTTGCAACACGACGTCGACGTTGAAGTGAAAACAAGCACAGTGGCAAGTTTTCCGAACGCTCTCAGCCCCGCCGGCAATTGTATCTTACAAGTCTCTCACCGACAATGTTCCCGACCCAGACGTATATTTGCAATGCATACAGTTGTGATGAGGTAAAATAGTAGCGCCGGCAGACCATCCTCTTGCTGCTGCTCATGTTGGACATAGTTCTCTTGCGGTTGCGCAGCACTACTATATTTTGATCAAACAAAAAATCTACACGCGAAAGATTTGCTCTTCATGGTTATTTCCTCCTGCAGCTACGGCGTTGAGAATCTCGTTTTTGATACGGCTGTACTACAACAGGTCGCACTACAGTTCTCACACTAAACCAACGAAGTTTAATGTGCTTTATGTAGGAGGGAGGTGATATTTTTCTTTTGGGAAGAACAAGAAGAAGCTGCGTGGTCATGATAATGCAATCTACACGAATTGGGACCTGTGCTGTCGTGAGGATAAGAATGGCTGTAAAAATAGTTCTTGAGAAACTTTATTACGTCAGGCACGACCGCGAGAAGATAATAAATCGAAGGAGTGTAAGTAGCTGACTTCCAATATCAACGCGACAGCAGCACGCTGAGATGAACGAAATCCAAGTTTCTATAATCTCATATAAATGTGTTTCCACTACTAGGCAACGTGCACAGGAGTGCGTTTCTTTTTCTCCTTGCCGAAACGATGAACAACTACTAGGATAATGATATGTAATCATGTCTCTACCGACACGGCAACTGGTGCGCACATGCAGTGGAGTGATGTACTTAGTCCGCTTACTTCAAGTCGTGACCACGAGGAGTATATACAACTAGGACGATTCATTCACCACTTGAAGGAATAGTAAAAACGTCGAAAGAGCGCGGTATACAAAGAAACTGAGGGGAAGTACGTAGAAGTCGAAGCGGTTGTGTAAGTAGTCTGACTGGAAATATACTAGATGCTGAAAACGCGACAGTGGACGAATGACGTGAACGTTGGGTCGTAGAAGAACGACAAAGACTGGCCACGCACGAACTTGAAAGTCAACATGGGATCATCCTCGTTTGCATTAAAGGAAGACAGAAGTAGATTCGTAATTCTAAGCAAAACTAAAACTTCTTTGGGCACGACAACGAAGATAAATCTATCTATTCACCTGCGACCTTCCGTTGCGGGAGCGAGGAAGTAGTAGTACTAACAAGTACAGAACGCAGGTTAAGGTCATGATGTTCGACGACATTTGGTACGAGTACGATGCTTTCCAGTGACTCACTTCTTACATGCAAAGACGAGTTCATATGTGCGATTTTATTTCAAAGCTACGAAATAAACGCCGAACGAGGACACTAGACGCCATGCACGATCATTATCAGCGTGTCAGATGAAAGTGAAGCCAACCGGGACGAGTCGAACAGGTTTCCTTGCAACTTCTTTTGCTCGTCGTTCTTTTCAGCGGAACACCAGTTCATCTTGGCCCAGCCTTCATTACCGCAATAAAGGGAAAAAGAAAGCAGAAGCACTTCGTCTTTCTATTTCCGCTGGAAAGACAAAGAGAAAACAAGGGTGCATTTCGGGAAGGAAATAGTTTGCGGGTGTTGTAGAAAAGAACCGAAAAACGGCAAACTGAACGAAAATCGAGTCATCAAACCCTAAGAGAAAAGATGATCAACATCTTCTTACTTCGTAGATATTGTAGTATTGAGTGCTGGGTATTTCCTAGTAGAAATTTCACAGGAAGTTCTTTTGGCTTTGCTACTTCTTATTCTGGTGCTTCATAGTAAATCACCTCTTCGCTGTCAAAAATGCGAACAAGCCTCAGGGCCGTCGTCGTGGAAAAAGCATTGCCACAAAAATGGCCCTGAGGTCGGAACATTTTGTGTTCTAGCGGAACTTGCGGCACTCGTCGATTTGTTTTCCCTCCGGCGCTATCAAATGTAAAAATGTCTGGGTCTGGAAGGATGCAACTTGTAATGCTGTCTTTGGATTCCAAAAAAATCTGTATTGGATGACCAGCAACAGGACTCCAGTTTGTGTTACGCGGAGAGGGCATTTCTCATGCGGAATAGGCATTAGGAAGCTCTCTAAAAATCTGTGTTGCTAGATCATGCATTAGAGGCGTCAATCATCATACAAAATATGCATGACAAGTCTGCAATCTTCCAGACCCAGACATTTTTACAGTTGATAGGCGCTTTGACCACCTCGATGGTTCCGTCCTCTTTCACCAGGCCGAAATTGACTCCGCCCCACCCCCCGCCACACTCGTCGGTGCAGTAGCCGCCGGCCCCCCCGGAAATGTAGTGCTGCACGTCGTTTTTTGGGTCAAAGTCCTTCGGCCCCTGCGTGGTGTGGGTGTGCCCCGCAAAGAAGAACACCGTTTTTCCCTGGTCGCGCACGGCGCCGTTCAGGTCATTTTCGTTATCAATTGCAAATATGTCTGGGTCTGGAAGGTGGCAACTTGTCATGGTAAATCTGAAGCATGCAAAAATCTGTGCTGCATGCGTGCCAAAAGCTGTCCACTTTTGACCAAGTTGGGAGGGAGTTTCTCATGCAGGATAGGCATGATAGGGATCTCACAGAATGTCTGTCATGCTAAGTCCCGCATTCCAGACCTTATGGGTCAGGGAAAATCTGCATGACAAGTTTGCACTTTTCCAGACCCAGACATTTTTGCACTTGATATTCGTACCACTGTCGCGAATCTCCCGCGTAGTCCCACGGGTAGTGGTTAAACACCACGATGTATGCGTTGCAAATATCCCTGGATGTCTGGAAACTTGTGATGCAAGGAAGGGAGTAGTGAGTACACAACACTCTAATGCGCTACCAAGCATGACAAGTTTTTCCGTAGTTCTGAGTTGCGTAATTCGCATGAGAAATGCGTTTTTGCACGACTGTCAAGTGGAGCTCTTGTTCGCGGTGACGCAACACAGAGCTAGGAGTCATGCCAGACTAGCATGACAAATCTCGGAACTTTCCAGACCCAGACATATTTGCATTTGATACGATGTTCTGTGCCGTTTTTTGCCCCAGGCGGTCGCGCAGCTCGGCCAGGCCCTCCTCCTTGAGCCGCCCCAGCGGACCCTGCGTCGCCCCGCGCCCCCAGGAGCCGAAGGGGTACCCGTAGTGCCACAGATCGTTGCCGTCGGTGCCATATGAATTGCAAATATGTCTGGGTCTGGAAACTTGTGATGCCAAGTGGCGATGACTGAGCACACCCCTGAGTGCAGCCAAGCATGACGAATTTTCAGGGCGCCTTCTCATGTGTAATCCGCATGAGAACCTGCGTTTTTGCATGACAAAGAATTCGCGCTTTTGTCGGTCGCGCAATACAGATTTGACAGGAGTGCAAGACACGCATTACAGATTCCAATTTTTCCAGACCCAGACATTTTTGCACTCGATATGCCAATCAGCGTCAAGTTCAGCTCCTCCTCCCAGGCCGTCACAGAGTAGCTCGCCTTGGGCATGGCCCAGCAGTCCCGGCTGCCGCTCCACTCACTATCCCACGAAAAAACTGTTTCACTGTGATGATTTTGCAATATCTGCATCACCAGTTTGCTACACATGACGCGAAGCACTTGCCATGCGCGCTTCCCAAGGGGAAACACGCTTCAAAATCCAATGTCTTGCAGGTGTAGCAAGACAAATAGCTCTGTGCTCCATTTTCTGCATCACAACTTCACAGTGAAACAGTTTTTTCTTGCGATACTCACGCTTGGGGATGCACTGCTTGCTCGTCCGCACCGTTTCGTAATCGCCGTTTATCTATCAAATGCAAAAATGTTTGGGTCTGGAAATTTGTGATGCAAGTCTCTGAATGGTGGGCGCACTACAATTATATGCAGCCGAGCATGACAAGTTTTTTGCACTGCCATGTGTTTCGTTTTCCGCATGGCAACCTGCGTTTTTGCATGACAGGCAAGAGGCCCCGTTCCTGCTTACGCATCACAGATCTAAGAGGCATGCCACACAAGCATGACGAGTCCTACATTTTTCCAGATCCCGACATTTTTGCAATGCATATTATCTGCCCACAATTCGCCTCCTCCGGGTAGGGCCAGCACCGCTTTTCCCCGGTGTGCCCGTATCATTTGTAAAAACGTTCCCAGCTCCCCAGAGTTGTAATGCAAATCTGCATGCTGAAAATGTTTCTCAGTCGAAGACCCATGAGAAGCAGTCTCTAGTCGCTTTTTGGGATTTGTGATGCGAGGATCAGCGTAGTCCTATAGATCTGTGACGCTGCTGAACAAGCTAAACAGAGTTACACTACGGCGCCAAACTTGTCATGCGCAACAGCAAAAGCTGACAGATTTGCCTAGCAGATTTCGTCCCACCTTGACTCTGGTGTGGGGACGTTTTTACTCAGGATAGCCCGAAATCGTGGTTCCCCAGCACTGCGTACCAGGGTACGCAGGTGAGCTCCTTGTCGTACCGATTCAGCCAGTATCAAATGCAAATATGTCTGGGTCGGGAAGGTTGCAACCTGTCATGCTGAGTCTGGATCATGCAAAAATTTGTATTGCATGATTACCAAAAGATGTCCGCTTTTGACCAGGTGGACAGGGAGTTTCTCATGCGGAATAGGCATGGTAGACACCTCACAGCATCTCTCATGCTCGGTGCTGCATGCCAGGCCTCGTGGGTCATGGAAAACCTGTATCACAAATATTGCATTCTTCCAGACCCAGACATATTTGTACTTCATAGCCAGATATCCTGCAAACTGCCGTCCACAGCGCCGCCGTAGATATTGTCCCCCGCGGCAAGCACAAATTTGAGCAGGTGCGTCATGCCCTTGTCGTTTAGGTAGTTCAGCGCCTCGCGGCCGATTATGCATTGCAAATATGTCTGGGGGTGGAGCAGTGCAACTTGTGATGCTGCATTTGGATGCTAAAAAAAATCTGTATTGCGTGAGCAGCAAGAGGAGTCAAATTTGGCTACACGGATAGGGCATTTGTCATGCGGGATGCGCATCCATAAGCGCTCAAAAAATCTGTGCTGCTAGGGCATGCATAACAGACATCGTGGATCATGGAAAATGTGCATGAGAAACTTGTCCTCTTCCAGACCCAGACATTTTTGCAATTCATACCGATGGCCATCTGGCAGCCGGTGTCCGACTTGGCGCCCGGGGTCCAGCCCCAGTCCGCTATCACCATGAAAACGCCTTTCACCTTCTGCCCGTTGTAGTCCACGTACCGCTCCGGCGGCACGGTTATGCATTGCAAAACTACACGTACTTACTAGTAGAAAAAATTGCATTACTAATTTTCGCAACAAGACAAATGCAATTTGTCATGCGTGTTCGGGTAGACAGTTGGATTTGTCATGCATTACTGCAATTACTTTTACTACGACTACGATACTTTTGCAATGCATACCGGTTTTCCCCGGGTTCGCCTGCACCCCTTGGCAGCGGTCGGGGACCCAGGGCTCCCGTGTAGTGCTGGTACTACTAGTGCTGGACGTGGTAGAGGAGCTCGCCGTTCCTGCGGACAGGGACTGGTCGGGATTCGTACCCCCACCGAAAACTGCCCCCGCTCTGGCCCCGACCAATCCAGCCGCGTCGGGACTTGATACCCCCAAGATAGTATGCATTGCAAAGATGTCTGCGTCCTCTGGAAGAGTGCAAGTTTGTGTTGCTCTGCTAGCATGACTCCCAAAACTGTCATGCGCGTTCTTACGCAAAAGTCCCAATGTTCTGCCATGCAAAAACGCAGTCTGTCATGCTGAATAGATAACACCTTGCAACTCAGAAACTTGTCATGCTGAGCCGTCATAATTTGTGGCGTCTTCAGGATTCGCCGGCCAGCATCACAAGTTTATTCCAGACCCAGAGACATTTGCATTTGATATATGGTAGCGCCGGGCATCGCCGTGTACGCCTGCGGGGCGGCACCAAAGGTGTACTGTGTGCCCCCGCCGCCGCCGGAGCAGTGCTCTTTCCGCGTTTTCATAAGCTCCAGCAGAGATTTATTTTTAGACGGGTAGTAGGTGGTCTTCTTCTTCTTCTTCTTCTTCTTCTGCTTTTGCTCTTTCCTGCCGGAAGTGTTTTTAGACGTAGGGAAAGTCGTTGGAGATGATCTCTTGTTCCCGCCCGTGCTGCCGCTTTCCAGTAGAACCGAGCCGATCGTTTCAACAGAGCGCAACAAATCCTCGTGTTTAATATTCGCCCCCGCGCTTTCGGTCGTTTCCCCGGCCTGCCGCTCTTTTTTCATCTCCCTCTGCAGCAGGAGGTTTTGATTGCGCTTCCGGGGCAAGGAGTCTTGATCTTCTCCTGATGTTTGAGACGTGAAAGAAGTAGCCGCCCGCCCCTTCTTGTCCTCCCCGGCAATCTCCGCGATGGAAGCAGGAGTTGTACTGGGAACGTCAGTAGCCGTCGTGCTGGAAGCAGGAGCTGTACTGGGAACATCAGTAGCCGTGACCGTTCTACTCACTTTCCTCTGGCGGTGCCGCCTCTGCTGCACCTTCGGCAGTAGCAAACCATTTGTGAAAGAATAAAGCGCGTTGGTACCACGGTAAATATTTTCATCGTGCCCGGAAATGAAGAACAGCACTGCGCTGGCCAGGAGCTGCAGTTTCTTTGAGCAGGGGAAGAACGTCAAACGCGTCCGTTTTTTCGTGCTTTTTTGTAGTTCTTCTAGCGAACAAGACAAGCGCTGCTGGTGGTCGCAGCCGGTTCGAGAGTACCGGGGGTTCTCGCCTGGTGCCTGAGGGGGTGCTACTGCGGCCGATACGGATACAAGCAGGCCGTTTACGTTTTTTCTGGTCGCCATTTTTTCTTGTTAAGGTTCGTTGGGTAGACAGGAATTATTATCCCGCGCTCGCCAAAGTAAAAATGCGAGGACCGGTGAAAAAATAAACACATAAATCGAAAGGCGAGTGAAGTTTATCTCCTTCGAAGTCGGGTGGTAACGGAGCACTGCCAAGATGATGGAAGATTCTTCAAAGTCTTCAGTATCGAAGGAGCGAATTTTTATGTGGTCAACTTGTTTTCGGAAGTTAATGGTCAACCTCTTCGTGGGGCAAAACAAGCTGCTACCACGACTCAGTACTATAGTCAATAATACGATGCACGAGAATTATTCGGACGAGGAGCAGCAGTACAGAAACGCATACTTACGACTGCAGGGACGAGGACTGCCGTTGTTGTACTATCAGACACGATACGTGGACTAATAAAATCCATATTAGATTACCTGCGGTCGTGAAATTTATAAAGATCCAACAGAACGGAAGAACGAAAATGGACGATGTGTTGGTCAAGATATCATGATGCACTCGAACGTGTAGATTATTCAATTTACTATTTCTACCGCCACGAGCTGGACGAGGGTGGACGTTAATGATCTGGTAGTAACTACTAACTGCGCTTTTCGAGAACCGCAGCGTCGCTGGCCAGCGCAGAGGAGAAGGACAAAGAACGAACGAAAAAAAATGCTTTGCGCGACGAGAAAGTCCTACTTCAGGATTTTGAAAGCGTGAAAGGAAACGACTTGTTCTTCTGTCTAAGGATGACACCACTATTGAGTTGTTCCTGGCTGACCATATTGAACAAGAACTCCATGCACTACACGTGAACATCGAGACGAACAGGTATAATTGTGACAAAGTTCTTTATCACCGCAAGAAGTTCTTGTTGAGAGCGCGGGCCACGGCCTGGGCAAAATGTAGTTGTACTAGGTCTCGTCGTCACTGTTGATTCAAATATGTGTTTCTTCATGACAAGAACTTCTTCTACTTGGGCTCTTTGTTCAAACACTCAAATTCAATGTCGTTTTCTTCTACTTCGGCAGAGATGTTGTATAAGTAAGTACTTACCCAGAGGGCAAAAGTTTATTTCGCACCACGTCTCAAGAACCAGGTACAACTGCTCGTTCATTTGTTATACTACTTATACTTATTCCCAGTGGCGGTACCCCAAATTGAGATTCCCGGTCTCCAGCCGGTGCTCAAACTCTTCCTGGGCCACTTTCGCCTTTTGGTCTCCGAACCTTTCCTCGCACCACTGTAGCCACTCGCCCCACCGCTCCGTGCGCGCGGCCTCCAGTTCCTCCTCTGTGGCTCCATGGTTCTCCGCGGCGCGCGCGCGGGGCAACTTGGCAAAATAGTCATTCGCCCGCTGGTCGACCGACTCAAAGTAGAGTTCGGAAATCCGGTTTAACTCCTGGGTGTCAAAGTCCATGAAGCAGTATTGTGGGCAAGAATTTCCCCCCGTCCCCGTATTCAAAAGAGAACAAGTCTGTGTTCGTCCTCTACTTGCTCATTTGTGTACACAATAATAAATCAGCTCTGTCATGACTACTTGCAGGAAAGCAACGCCAGTGGTGTCCGCCGGCGGATGGTGCACGACACGATAATTATAATTTCTCAGGCTGTTTAATAGTTTAGGCTTCCAGATGGGCCGGTTGCGTCTGCCATGCGACACATCTACGCCGAGAGGACTACATGATAGATAATGATCGCTACGTGGGCCGCTTAGGATCTGCATGAAGTAAACTTTTTGTGTACCCAAATAGATACTAAACCAGCATCACAATAAATTTCGTTTCAGATCTACTGGGGAGAGGGAAGTAGATTTTTCCTTTTGATAAGCAGTGGTCCAGCCCCCGCCTCCTAAACTCGAAGACCAGCATGCGCCACAACCGGACGGTCACAAACGTCGCTTGTTGCAGGTGCGGGATGCAGGTCTTCCGAAGCAGTTCCACAAACTCGTAGCCGTTGGTGGTGGAGTTTAGTTTCAAATTGTACTCGTCATCGTCGTCGTCTATTATCGTGTCGTTGTTTTCACTGTCCACCGACGTCCATTTTGGCTTCAACGTGCCGTCCGGGTACCTCAGCTGGACCTGATTTTCCAGAATCTGCTGCATCAAATAGTCGCACAGCTCGTTCTATCAAGTGTAAAAATGTCTGGGTCTGGAAGATTGCAAATGTTTGTGATGCAGAGTCTGCGTCACACAGAAGGTCTGTCATGCAAGCCCCAGCAAAACAGGTTTTGAGCAGTTTTCTCAATGCCTAATCCGCATGACAAATCCCTTCTTTCGGAGACCAGAAAGATGGCTACTTTTGCTCCCCGTGCATGACAGATTTTTTCATTGTTCTAAAATGCGCATGACAAGTTGCATCTTTCCAGACCCAGACATTTTTGCAATCCATACGTTCTGCCTCCCGCCCAGAATCTCCTCGCACAGCCGCTCCTGCAGCCATATCAAAAGGAAAAATCCCCCCTCCCCATACTAAACCGGAGATTTGTGTAGCGTGATTTGTGACCACAAATCCTTTTGTCATGCTAGAAGGGAAGAGATGCGCACTGTAGTGCTGGCTGGCGTAGGAAGGCCTAGCGTCTTCAGCACGACAGGAAGCAACTGGAAACGGGAAACAGCATGGCAAACTGCCTACAAACGAGGCAGCAACAGCGTGGCTTGGCGTTCTAGCAATGCAAGTCGATTTGTATACTCAAATACAGCAACACAAATTTCGTTGTCGATATGGGGAGGGGGGATTTTTCCTCACAATAAGCCAGGGCCGGGCCTTCGCGGACAGCACGCAGCTGGCTTTCAGTTCCCACTTGTCGAAGCGAATGGTCATCAGGATGTCGTCCGGGATTTCGTGCGCGCAGAACCGCAACAACGTCTTCCAGCGGGTGGGCTCCGCGACGACTTCCCGTATGACCTGCTCAAGCGTTACAATCTCAACCGTTGCAATAGATTTTGGAAATCTGAGACGCAAGAAGTGCACGATCTAGCCAAGTTCCGGAGTCCCAAACCGCATTACAATCTGCCGAAATTTGTGTTGCAGAAAGTGGAATGTCATGCTCATTATGCAAGACAAATCCCAGATTCGATTGTAACGTCTGAGATTGTAACGTTTGAGCAGGTCATATCCAGATACGGTGGCTTCGGCCGCTTCAGGTCCAGCAACTCTTGCTCCACGTCCTTGCAATCGGTCAAAACTTCCTGCACGCGCCGCCGCTTTTCCAGAACCCGGATTTCCTGTGGGGTTTGTTTTCTTTTTGTATACTTTATCACGACCCTGGCTACTCCTTCGACCTTTGGCAAAGATGGAGAACATCGACTTCATCATAAGTCTCGTCCCTGCGGTGCCCGCAGCTCCCGTGGTGTGCGGGGCACGACAACCACAGCAGGGACGCACAAGATAGAACCTGTCTAGGTAAATACAAGAACGACTAAATAATTGTTGCACATAAAAACAGATGTGCTATCCACAGGAAATTTCCCGTACACGTACAAATGCGGCCTCTGCATGACAAAACTTGACTTCGATCCTAGTTTAGCATGACAAGTTTTACCCTTCAAATTGGTGAAATTTGTGATGCATGTTGTACATGTACAGGAAATTTGTATTGCATATGTGCAGCACAAAAATCATTATACGTCGATCAGAGCGGCTCTTCTTTTGCGGAGCAGAGTCGCGGCTTCCTTCGCGTTTTTCCGTTTTGCTTTATCAACTGCAAAAATGGATGGGTCTGGAAGAATGCCAGACTTGTCATGCAGGTTTCCCATGACCCATGCGGTCTGGTATGAAGGACATAGCATGACAGATTCTGTGAGAGTTCTACCATGCCTATGATCCTGGATGAGAAACTGCCTCTCGATTAGCTCAAAAGTGGACGGCTTTTGGTAATCACGCAACGCAGATTTTTACATGATTCAGATTTAGTACGACAAGTTGTTTTGTTCCAGACCCAAACATTTTTACATTTGATATGCTTTTTCCAAAGCCTCCTCCTTATTCAAAAGCATTTTCCTCCCGCCGCCACCTCCGCCGTGCGCCAGCGCGTGCTGGTTCTCGAGGAAAGCGGTGGAAAGTTTCAGTTGATTCACCTTTTCCGTGTATTGATTCAGCGCGGAGTCTACAAGCGCCTGCTTGTCGGCTATCCTGAGCAAAAATGTCCCCACCCCGAAACTTCTCCGTGCTTTACTTTTGGTCTTTTCCAGTACATAAAACACCCCGTAGTCAAGATGCGAATTCTGCTACACAAATCAACCATCTGTGGCTGTTTCGCATGACAAGTTTGTCGTCGTAGTGCAGTGCTGTTTTAGGTAATTCAGCAGCATCACAGATCTCCTATATCATGCTGATTGGAGCATGACAAATTCCAAAACACGACTCGAAAATGCTTCTCATGGGGCTTTGCATGAGAAATGTTTTCAATATGCACATTGGCATTACAACTCTGGTGTGGGGACATTTTTACTCAGGATATCGGCGGTGGACTTTTCTAGCTCGAATTCCAGCTCCTCCTCCGTCAATTTCGTGTTGTTCGCGGTTAAAAGCCTTTTGGACAGCTCTACTCGGGCGGATTTCTTCCAGGCTGTGACCTTCTTTTCGGTCTGCTCTTCATAAATCACCTTCAGTTGGTAGCACGTCTGCACCGGCGCGTCAACCGCTCCTGGTCCACCGTCTTTGTTGCTCGTTCTACTCTCCACGGTAGTTTTCTTCTTTCTATTTCGCGCCAATGGCTTGGCTTTCGGCTTCGCGGTGGCGGACTTCAGGGCGGGCACGGGCTGTCTACCTCCCGTGGTCGTGGGTTGTGCTGAAGTAGAAAACGCAGTTGTAGCTCCGCCGACTGGTATTGGAAGGAAAAATTTCCCCTCCCCATATCAAAAGAAGATTTCTGATGCGCAATTTGTGTAGACAAATCTACCTGTATTGCTGGAAGCTGAAGAGACACACCCGCGGGTTACCTTTAGACACTTTGTCATGCTGTTCTGGGCAATGCAGTTGGTTCGTGCCATGCTCAAGATGCAAGGCTTTATTTCCGCGCCACCCGGCCCTACAGTCCGCATCTTTTGCCTTCTAGCATGACAACGTGATTTGTGATCACAAATCATGCTACACAAATTCCAACATTGAGTGAGAGGAGGGGGGATTTTTCAGTGTGATAACTGGTTGTTCGTCCTCGTCCTCACTGGACAGGTCGTCGTCCAAATCGGACGCCCTGTCGTCCGTCATGAAGGGGAGCTCCTTGTCGTTCAGTATGAACTGCAAAAGTATCGCACTCGTATAAATGCAAGGCTTGCATTACAACTCTTTGTCTTGAGGTAAATCAGCATTGCAAATTTTATTTCTCACGCTGAGAAAATTTGTAATGCATTCATACGAGTACGATACTTTTGCAGTTCATATTCAGAACCAGGTAGCAAATGTAGGCGTCCACCGCCGCGCCATACTGCACAAAGCAGAAGTCGTCCTCCCGGTGAAAGCCCTTTACGGTGCCGCAGTTCTTCTATGACAGCGCACAACTCCCCCTGCCCCTCATTCGATAGGCGCGAGAAACAGCAATACAAGCATCAGCTAGTATACAGGACTTGCACGACAGATCTGCAAAGGAAAGTAGTGCTAATATCTGGGCTGCCAGAACTTGTCATGCAAAGAACAGTGTCAAGTGGCAAAGCGTGGATTTGGTATTTCGCATTACAAGTGAGGGGGAGGCGGAGGGGTTGTGCACTCTCATATCTTCAGCACTTGATTTAGGAGGAAAACCGTGGGCATCTCCGGATCTAGATTGGCGAGCAACAGCGTCCAGAGGTCCGGCTCGGGAAACGAACCGCGGAGGTTCAGCTGATGTACATTTGAATTTCACTTAAATGGTGCCAGGCACGGTTGCTACAATACGGAGTCGCGGCTGGTGTTGTTATCATGCTAAGAAACAAGTCCAACCTAGGTGAACAAGAACTATGAAATAAACACGCCTGCATGTTGAGAAAGAACAAATGAGTTAGTACAAAAAAAAAATCTCATACAGTACCTTTTCCACTTTCCGTCTCCCTATCCTGTGCAAAAGTATCGTACTCGTAGTAATTGCATTTATGCATTACAAATTTTTTTCTGAAGGTAAATCCGCATGACAAATTTTATTTCTCATGCTGAGGGAATTTGTCATGCATTTATACGAGTACGATACTTTTGCAGTTCATACTCCCTTGATGGTGAAAAAACTGGCCACTTCCGTGGTGGTGTTCCGACTGCGAGTGGGAGCCCTCATGTATCCTGAGTAAAAACGTCTCCACCCCAGAGTTGTAATGCAGATTTGCAAAGACAGGAAGACTTGTAATGCGCATGTCGCCCATGCGAGCCATTTCCAGTCGTGTTTTGGAATTTGTGATGCTGCAAATAGGATGAGGAGCTGGCTTTGTGATGCGGCTGTCCTTGCGAAACTGCACTACAATACAGAGGGCAACTTGTCATGCGTGACTCCCAAAACTTCCGGGTTTGTGTTGCAGATTTCCCATCTTCACTATGGGGTGGGGACATTTTTCCTCACAATATCATGCCCCGAAAAGGAACCGCCCTTTAGCGCGAGTTGGTTGTTGTAATAGTTTTTCCCGTATGAAATACAAAAATGTCTGGGTCTGGAAACTTGTAATGCAGGCTCGCGAACTACAAAGAATGCTCTGTAATGCACGGCCAAGCATGATGAGAAATATTCTCGCGGCTTAGTGTTGCGCTTTCTACATGACACGCTGCGTTTTTGCGTGACAGCCAACAGGGTCTCTTCTTCCACACGCATCACAAAAGCCTTCAGTCATGCCAGACAAGCATGCCAAAGCTTGCATCCTTCCAGACCCCGACATATTTGCATTTGATATCCCGGCGTGGTGGGTTATTTGCCCCGGCTGGTGGCCCCCGCTAGGTCCCACCTGTGGGTTATTGTTGTAGTGGTGCTGATGATGCGCGTGGGCCGCATGGTAATTCTGACCGCCCGGCGTTGGTCCTCCACCCTTGTGATGAACAAAGTCCATGCTGTAATTCTTTCCGCCCTGCTGGGGTCCGTGGTAGGGCGTGCTCTGGCTGGAGCCGCCCTTCTGCATCATTCCTGGCCCTCCCATAGCACCACCAACGCCTCCGCCGGGGGGGGCCCCGTAGGGCCCAGACTTATTGTTTCCGTGCATCATCATCGCTGCGTTTTGCGGATTGTTCCCTGCTCCTCCCATGGCGGGGCCGTAGCCGCCGGGCCCCGAAGCTCCCCCGGCACCGGTTTGCTGGCCGCCTTTGATGTTCCCAAAGTTACTGTGCCCCCCTGGAGGACCACCGAGAGCCGCAAGTCCGCCTTTTTGATTCGGGTTTTGCTGTTGTGGAGGTCCTCCCATCATCATGTTATTCAGGCCTGCACCTCCCTTGCTCGTACTCTCATTCGGACTAGGCTGCTGTTGGTTTGCTGCTGCACCTCCTGTAGTTCCCATGGAAGAAGGAACCCCGCCCTTCTATCGAAGTGAAGAAAGCCCCCTCCCCATATTGAAACGGAAGTTTCTGTTGCTGGATTTGTGTACACAAATCAGCGCTGTATTGCAGCGAGCGCTTGCAGGCATTTCCTAAGCCTGGTTAGGTATGCAAAAGGCTGGCGCTCAGGCATGACAGACAGCTTTGCAGTAGGCAAACGCGCATGACAGGTTGGCTGTGGAATGCGCCACACGGCTCCCATTTGCCTCTTATGCAAGACAAAGCTGATTTGTGGTCACAAATCAGCATCACAAATTTCCATTGTAAGTATGGCGAGGGGGAATTTTTCCTCACGATACTTTCGCGGCGGCCTGCAGGAGCAAGGTGCCCTTGTGCACCAGCATTTGCCCCTTTTCCGGATTTTCCGCGCGCAACCCCTCGCCCTTGCGGACGAGCAGGTCGCCTTTGGTTCGCATCTGGTTCACGTCCATGCCGCCCATATATCCTGTGTGAAAACATCCCCACCCTAGTGTTGTAATGCATATCTGCATGCTCAACATGTTTCTCATGCGAAGACCCACGCAAAGCATTTCGTAGTGGTAGTTTGAGGCTTGTGATGCTCGAATCGGCATGATGTGCTAGATCTGTGATGCTGCTGCACTAGCTAAAGAAGATTACGCTGCGAGCCAAAATCTGTCATGCGCAACAATCAAAGCTCGCTGATTTGTCTTGCAGATTTCACATCTTGATTATGGGGTGGGGACGCTTTTACAAAGGATACCGTGGCAACTGGTGGATTCGCGTTACCTGCGTAGACGGTGAAAAAAATGTGTCTATTTTTGCAAGAACCGTGTGTCGTGTTTTTTGCATTACAAATCTTTTTCGTAAGGTCAGTCCGCATTACAAATTTTGTTTCTCATGCTAAGGTGGAAATTTGTAATGCTAATTTGAAAAACGTTCTAAAAAATACCATCTCCCCCGCCCTGGCCGTTCTGCTGCGGCGCGAAGCCGTCCATTTTCGAAATTTGTGATGCTGGTGGCACTTTACTGAATTTCCTAGATGTTGAGCCGAAACTAGTGTGAAGGTGAAAAATCTACTAGACTATCTGTTCGCGGAGGTCGGGTGGTGAAAGAACTGGTACAATAAATAAGTCGCATTTTTAAAACGAAAAAGAGAAATACGGTTGCTGTGTGGTCGCTGTTGACGCGAAAAGTAAAATGGTAGGAATCAGAACATTGAGTGAAGTCAAAAAATGAAACCAGACCTATTCAGGCGGAAAAGCAGCAGCAACATTGAGAGGCACATCATGGATCTTGTTTTCATCGCATACACGATATATTGAAGCTGGCGTTATTAGGTTTTTCCAACAGATCTGTCTAGTATACTAGAGAGGGATCACCAGCACAAAGTTCTTCCAAGTTAGGCGTGGCCAAAGAGATCTCTACTTTGCGTGGTCGTGTGCTGGCAAATAAAATAAAAGTTTCTTCTGTTGTTCTGAGAAAGAAAAGAACTCGTTTTGCGAAAAACGCTGCTGTTGCAATGAATTGCCCTTCAGCGATCGGATGAACTAGAACTTTTCATATCGCAAAGGAGACCCATGTCCTTTACAGGCCTACGTTTTTGTAGCGGTACCTACGTGGTTCATCTCGCGAAACTTCTTTTCTTTTCGCGCCTGATATTGAATTCAATCATCTGTTGATCAGAATTATGAGACGACACATAGTCTCTAATTTATGTATAGTATCTGCCATTTATTTTCCGAGAAAGCCAAGTTGTGGGCTTGAGTATCGGTATTTGATATTGATGCTAAAAAAATGAAAATCTACAATCAAAATTACGCTCAGGTTTGATTGAAGATCGTGTACCAAGAGGAGACTGAAGCGAAATCTTTGGCTTCGAAAGTGGAACTATCAAATGTAAAAATGTCTGGGTCTGGAAGAGTGCATGTTTGTCATGCTTGTCCGGCATGACTCTCAAATCTGTCATGCACGCTACCCAAGAGCGCCACTTTTCTGTCATGCAGAAACGCAGTCTGTCATGCAGAAGAGGCAACACCTAGAAGCTCAGAAGCTTGTCATGCTGTGCAGGCAGTTGTGGCCTCCTCATGATACGCCACCCAGCATCACAAGTTTCCAGACCCAGACATTTTATCATTTGATAGGAACCTGCTCCTCGTTCAGGGCAGACGACGAGATCTTCATAACGATTCGGTCGCGCTCGAAAAAGTTTATATTACAAGCTTGTAGAAGTTCGTTTTTGCATTTAGATTTAAATTGCGCAGAGATGAACTGGGACAAGAATGTTGTTGCTGCAATTCCTATATACAGCTGCAAAGATCGTGAAGATCGGGAGTTGTTTGAGATAGGAAAATGCTAACCCTCTCTTGATGCAGTACAGTTCTCGCCCTACGCCGGCACCTCCTGTTCCGGAACCCCAGTCGGATACATAGACGACAAACTCTCCGTGACGGCTAATCGTATGTGAAAACGTCCCCGACACGGAGTCAAGTTCTTCTTTGGAACTGTGCAAAACAAATCCAGAAGTTTTAGGAGTCACTGATATGGCAAGAAGTTCCACTCTGTACTGTAGTGCAGTTTTAGGAAGGACAGCCGCATCTTCGCAAAGCCATCTAAGTACTTCCCCTCATTCTGTTTATTGAGCAATACAAATGCCAACTCAAGATGGGAAAAAATACCCCCGATGGGTATGCGCATTTTTACACGGGTCGTTCTAGTAATTGCAAATCTGCATGACAAGTAGTTCCTGTCATTGCAAATCTGCATGACAACTCTGTGGTGGAGACGTTTTTCCTCACAATACCGCTACCGGCCCGGCGTACGGAACGTTTTTTATCTTATCGCCCGGTTTGAGTATCCTGTGCAAAAGTCTCGCACGGGTGCAAATCGCATGACAAATTTCCTCCGCATGGGAACTGAAATTTGCAATGCGGACTTACCCTGAGAAAGAGATTTGTGATGCAGCGCCGTAACACGGCGATTAGTACGAGTGCGATGCTTTTGCATTTTGCGTATTCAATGGTTTGCACTGGTAGTTTATCAGGCAGTATCAAATGTAAAAGTGTCTGGGTCTGGAAGAATTCATGTTTGTCATGCTTGTCTGGCATGGCTGTTAAATCTGTCATGCACGTTACCCAAGAGCTCCGTTTTTCTGTGATGCAGAAGCGCAGTTTGTCATGCGGAATAGGCAACACCGAGGAGCTCAGAAACTTGTCATGCTGAGCCAGCATTCGGAGCCTCATCATGATGCGCCACCCAGCATCACAAGTTTCCAGACCCAGACATTTTTACATTTGATAGGCAGTCTCGAATCGGCCACCTGGCCACCACCCCGTGGTCCCCCGTTTTCCCGTATGACCGTGCACAACTCCACCTCCACCTCATTTGTCATGCAAGATACCCAATGCACGCCTTGGCTCTTGGTACTGTTTGCATGACAAGTTCACTCTGGCAGCCCAAATAGCAGCTACGCTCCTGGCCAAATTCGTTATGCAAAACCTGTATTCTTGCCGACGTTTGTATTGCTGTTCATGTAATAGTACGCATGAGGGGGAGGGGGAACAACTGTGCACTTTCATATCGTGCCCCACAGCCAGCCTTCGCCCGCCAACAGCATTTCGGAGGATTTTCGCCGGTCGGTGATGAACCACGGCGGATTTAGCCGGTTCCCGACCGGATTCCAATTGCCGCATTTCTTACTTTATGCATTGCAAAAGCAGCCTGCAGCTAGTAGTAATTGTAATTGTAATTCTCGCAACACAAATTTCCGCAGCATAATTGAGAGATTGAATTTGTGATGTGGATTTACCTCAAGAAGGAAAGTTGTAATGCATTGCCGCAATTAGAAGTACGAGCACGATACTTTTGCAATTCATACACTGTCGAACGTGCAGATGTTGTCGTCGTAGCTGGTCTATCAAATGCAAATATCCCTGGATGTGGTCTGGAACAACACTGCAACTTGTCATGCTCAATCAGAATGATGGAAAAATCTGTGTTGCGTGAGTAACAAAAGCTGTCCTCCGCTTTTGGCCAATGATTGAGAGGGAGTTTCTCATGCAGGAAAGGCATGATAGAGACCTAAACGAATCTGTCATGCTCGGTCTCGCATTCCAGACCTCGTGGGTCATGGAAAACTTGCATCTGACAAGTCTTGCAACGTTCCAGACATCCAGGGATATTTGCACTTGATATGGTCTGCAAAAAATCGTACGGTTTTTGCTCCAGACCGTTGTAAAACGCGGCGGAGAGGAGGTTGAGCAAGTGCTTATATCAACTGCAAATATGTCTGGGTCTGGGAGATTGCGAGATTTGTCATGCTATTTGGCATGACACTGAACTCTGTATTGCGTGGCCGCGAAGAGCTCCTCTTGCCTGTCATGCAAAGGCGCAGTTGTTTCTCATGCGAAGTACGCAACTCAGAATCACGGCAAAACTTGTCATGCTGGGCAGCGCATTACAGTGGTTTCGCTATTCCCTTCCGTGCATCACAAGTTTCCAGACCCAGACATATTTGCATTTGATAGCTTACTCCCGATCGCAAATTTGATGTGCGGATAGTTGTTGCCCGCTTCTTTGCTCTATCTAATGCAAATATGTCTGGGTCTGGAATAAATTTGTGATGCAAAAGTATGGATGAGTCTGGTGCTTTCAAGTGCAGCCGCGCATGACAAGTCTATTCGACGCTAACCGCTGTGTCTTCGTATGACAACAGCGTAACGCTTTTGCTGGCTATGCAACACAGATCTTTCAGGAATGCAAAACATGCAACACAAGTTGCAACCTCTTTCAGACCAAGACATATTTGCAATGCATATGCTCCCCTTCACCCCGTGGTGAAAGACGTGAAACATGGAGCACTATCAAGAGGAAAATTCCCCCCTCCCCATATCAAAATGGAAATTTGTGATGCTGCTTTGTGGTCACAAATCACCTTTGTCATGCCTCTAGGGTAATAATAGGAGCCATGTGGCACATTCCGCAGCCAGTCTGTCATGTGCTTTTGACTACTGCAAACCTGTTTGTCATGCGTAATTGCTAGCATTCTGCATACCCAAACTGGCTCAGAAAATGCCGCCAAGCACTTTCTGCAAGACAAATCTGATTTGTGTACAACGCAAATCCAGCATCAGAAACTTCGCTTCGATATGGGGCAGGGGGATTTTTCCTCACAATAAGCACCTTGTCCCGCTAAAAACCCCGTCCGCCGCAAACCCGTGCCACCGGGGTAAAATGCGGATGCCGCCGGTATAACCTGCTCAGGTGTTACAATCTCCAACGTTGCACTACGATCTGAGATCTGTCTTGCATCATGAGCATCACAGACTCTCACACCGTTCCACTTTCTGCAATACAATTTTCGCCAGATTGTACTGGGGTTTGGAGGGCCGGATAACTTCTCATGCGCAATGCTATGAGAGTTAGCTAGATCATGCGCTCGTGCATCACAGATGTCCATAAGTATTCTATTGTAACCGATTTGAGATTGCAACGTTTGAGCGGGTCATAGCCGGAAAGCCACTTAGTTTTACTCGTAGTTCCACCGTCCGCTGCGTCCTCGTCTGCGGTGGCTGCACTACTGCTCCCCATCTTTTGCTGAGCACCAGCATGGGTTTTCCGCGTTAACTTTATTTTCGTTTCCCAATCCCGCGGCGGGCCGAGGAGCATCCTGGGCAAAAGTATCGCACTCGTAGTAATTGCAGTCATGCATTACAAATCTTTTTCTCGAGGTGAATCCGCATTACAAATTTTGTTTCTCATGCTGAGAAAATTTGTAATGCATTTATACGAGTACGATACTTTTGCAATGCATAAGGAGCTGCTTCACGCAGCTGACGAACCGGAAATACGGTTTCAAATCCATCTATGCATTGCAAATACGTAGTCTGGGTCTGGAAGGTTGGAACTTGTGATGCGGATTATGTAATAGGCAAAACTTTGTATTGCATGATCGCCAAATAAAGCTGCCTACTTCGTGCTACTCAAATTGGGAATTGGAATTTCTGATGCAGGATCGGTATCAGAAAGCCGCCGCAAATAAACCTGTAATGCTTTTGCGTGCATTACAGACCATTTGCATAATGCAGAAGATGCATGACAAACAAGGGCCTTCATCCAGACCCAGACAAATTTGCCTTCGATACCATCACAGACGCGGTCAAGTGCTTGTACATGTCGTCGCACTTCTGCCGTCCCTTTAGCCAGTGTCATATGCAAATATGTCTGGGTCTGGAAACTTGTGATGCTAAAATGTGGATGATGGAAACAGTTTTTCGAACGCAACCTAGCATGACAACTTTCCAGAGCGCTTTCTCATAGGCAATCCGTATGAAAAGCTGCGTGGTTTTTGCATGTCCAAAAGAGGCTGCGACTTTTGTTGGTTATGCAATACAGATTTCGTAGGAATGGAAAGCCAGCATCACAAGTTCCAACCTTCCAGACGTCCAGGGATTTTTGCACAGGATAGCCAGAGTGCCTCCGCGAGAAGTTGGTGTATCGCACTATCCTGTGGAAAAACGTCCCCACGATCCCATAGTCAAGACGGGGAATCGGCTAGAGTAATCCACATGCTTTGGCTGTTTTGCATGACAAATTTGGACTCCTAGTGTAGTGCTGAGTGAGGTAGTTCAGCAGCATCACAGATCCAGTATACCATGCTGATTGGAGCATTACAAATTTCAAAACGCAAATAGAAAATGCTTCTCATCTTGGGGCTCCGCATGAGGGACAATCTCAGCATGCAGATTTGCATTACAACTACGGGGTGGGAGTGTTTTTAAATACGATACGCACCCTGGTCCGAAGACGAAAACCCCGGAGGCCGGCGGTGGTAGAATTTCGCCCAGTTTTCTAAAAACTGGGTCGCAAACGGCGTGTTTTTAACGATGTAATTCCCGGCCATAACCTGATAGAATTTGAATGCAGCTCTAAATTTTTTGCAGAACCCGAGTTGAACCACGGCGAAGGATCCGATCGGTGTTGTGTGTCTAGGACGATCAAGACAAAGTATAGACCTGTTGACACTGATTTTCACTTTTGGTTTTGGCATGAGCAACAGCATGACAAAAATAATCAAATGTTGCATATACCTCAAAGTTCCAACTTCGTTCGTAAAACGTCAAGTCCGCTGGATTTTCCAGTGCAAAAGCATCGCGCTCGTAGTAATTGCAATTATGCATTACAAATCTTCATCCCAAGGTAAAACAGCATGACACATTCCATTCCTAATGCTGAGGTAATTTGTAATGCAATTTATTAGTACTAGTACGATGCTTTTGCAATTCATATGGATTTCCGTCTAGCCAGGGCGCCAGGCTTCTCGCTTGGAAAAATGAGTACAGCTCTGGATACACGTTTTTAAACGTGGGATTTGCCTCTCGTATTTTTCAAAATGCGAAACAAATTTTAGGCCATGCACGCCGAATTTATTGCGATTGCTGCAGCCACACAGCAGGCTGACGTCGTGCGCAACAAGTAGAGACAGAATGAAGTCGCCGTCTCTGATGTTCACATAGAACTACGAACGACCACACAACAATAAATCTGGTGACTCCTTCTAATCGATGCTAGAACTCGACAACAATTTTTCACCTGCGATAAAACTCTGCTCCAAACCCGCAACCGCCATGTCGCTATCCACCACGAAATAGTATTCCGGCCCGGGCCCGGCTGCTGGCACCGCGCTGTTGAGCCGCCGCCGGGAGTCTTTGTCACCACCATGATCACTGTTCCCATTCCGAACCACCCCCGACGCGCCGGCCCTACTATTGCTCCCGCCGCCCGTCTGTCGGGCCTTCAGCACTTGCGCGACCGCGCAGTGTTTGCGAAAGAAAAAATCATTGGGGTAGGCCGCGTTGCAGTCCGCGAACCGTTGCGAATTGAGGTTGAGCAGTTCGAACTTGTAGCCGTGTTTTCTTGCGTAGCACTGAATGCTGTACAGCTGGATGAAGTTTTTCCCCGCAAAATTCGCATCCACGACCGGCATATCAAGTGCAAATATGTCTGGGTCTGGAAGAATGCAACTTGTGATGCTGATGCTGCACCTGGATTCCAAAAAAATTTGTCTTGCATGAGCAGCAAAGGGACTGTAAATTTTGCTACGCGGAGAGCGCACTTGTCATGCGGAATAGGCATCAAGACCCCCTCAGAAAATCTGTGACGCTACGGCATGCATCACCGACGCCGTGGCTCATGCAAAACGTGCATGACAAGTCCCAGAATCTTCCAGACCCAGAGATATTTGCAATTGATACGGCATCAGCGTCAGCCGGCCTGCATACTTCTCGTCAATGGTCGAAACCGGGAGCTCGGCCGGTCGCGCGGAGCCGGGTTGCGTTGCCGTTCCTCCTCCTGCGAGGACGTCATACGAATTCTTACCGCCTGAGGACGTCGTCGGCGAGAGAGAGCCTTGGTGATTTCCCCCGGACGCGCCTGCTGCTGCTGCTGTTGCCCCTCCGGTTGCGTCGATTGAGTGAGACGATCGCCTCGAAATGCTTCGGTACAGGCCGGCGGAGGAAGTTGTTCTTTGTTTCCGAGCATCATTGTGAGTAGATTCTCCATATTGATCTCCTGGTTTTCTACCGTTCTTTCCAAACCACGAGGTCGAAGAACCCGATAGTTGTGCCACTCCTCCAGCACGCGCCGGCTTGCTTTCCCTGTTCCGTAGCACTCCGTAAAAGAAGCGCCGGCCGCCGGTGTGCAGGCTGAGATAAACAAACACGCAGGGGAACACCACGAAGGAAAGGTAGAGCATGATCTTGATCAATCTCCGGCTGTCTTTATAAGTTGCGCCGCCGAATAAATCCTTTCTCTATCCCGAGCGAAACCCTCCTACCGAGGGCGTAAGCGGAGCAGCAAAGTGGTGGGCTTCGCCATATTAACCGAAAGCAGCTGTACTTGAGGAGCAGTAGAACTTTTATACGAACAAGAACGGCGCAGTCGAGACATTCATCTTCTTCAATAGCGTTCCTTCGTATTATCGTGCTCAATTTTGCAACGACAGTTAACGAAAAAACCGACAGGTAGTTGTGAAGTGATCCACTCTCTTCATTGCGAAGAGCATGCCTGAACAGATACTCCGATGCGCAGATTTTTTTCCCTGGCACGCCCATGGCGCGCCTCTGGTTTGTTTTCAAAAACGACGCAAAAATTATGTGCAGCAATTTATTCGGAGGAAGCATTTAACTCCGCAATCACTTCGGACCGCATCAAGGATTGCTCTCGCAATGCACTGCTAGTATGCTGCTTTTACCAGTCGTGAGCCCGAGCTGCTGGTGACGCAAGGTAGATACTCAGCTGTAGAAATAGAAGGTTCGTATAGCGCACGGCCGGCAAGGCTATACCATACAACGGAGGCTCCCAACAACCGGACGGACAGTGCCTTGCGCCTGCTACTGCTCGAACGCACACGCGCTCACAACGGCGAGAACGGCATGGGCGATCAAGTCCGTCAGGAAGGAAAACTCGCGGCACGGGCTACGGATCGGCATGCCCCTGCCACTCGTTTGCCCAGCGGCGGGCGCATGCGGTTCCGCAACAGCTGCGGTGGCGTCCTTCCTTACTAATTAGGGGCTTCGAGAATGCAGCCGATCGTCGCCGCGGCGTGTCTATTCGATTCCCGCCGATGGAAAGAGGTCGCTGGAACATGGGAAGAGCGCCCCACAAAGCCATTTGCGTCGCGCCCCAAGGTGCGGCCAGTATAGAAGGGCAAAATCACACTGGAGCTCTTCTAGAATTTTCGAAATCAGGCCTAAGCAAAGGCGTGCGCCATCGGTGTTAGCGGATCGCGCGGCGACGGAAAGCGATAGAGAAACCGCTCCACAACAGTATATATTTCCTGTCTAACAGGCTTTGTGGCCAGAACTGGGAAAACTGACAATGTCCATTTTTTCCATTTTTGTCAAAGTCGCAAAAATTTGTCGGAATCAGCGTGAACGGGGTGTACAAATGGAACAAAAGTGCATAACTGTATGACCTTCACTCATAGCAGACACCTTCTATGCAACACTAAAGGCGCGTCACCATATTTTGAAAAAATCAGCCTTTTCATTTTTTAAATTTTCCACAAATGGGATGCATTTTTCCCAGTGATATCCTGTCTGCTCTTCCAGATCCAAAGAAAATCCTAATATATACAAACCGACACACCACATCTCTCCAATCTTCTTGCGTTTCTTCACAAGTTTCAGTCTATACAAAAACTCAAAAACTTTATTTCTTGCATGTCTAGCTTGGTGTACATTTACATTGATGTGATGACACGAATGTGGACTACTGGCCACGCGAGAAACGATCGTCGAGCCCGCCGACGGGATACCAGCTTCGCAACGCAGACCGGAAGGCGTTTCGCACGTCGAATCCAAACACCACGGGGGAGGGCCGCTCTGCACACCCTCTCTGCACAAACGCCTGAAAGCTAACGAAGCTATCCCTTCTGCGGGAACGAGATCTGAGTGAGCGCCGCGATAGAACCAGAAAACCTGACTATCGGCACTCTATAGTCCACCTCCGTATCACCACACCGAACCACACGAACAGAGATCACTCGAGCTGCAGCTGCTGATGCTGCTACGTACTGCACACCTGTCTGCACATCGTGCTGTCAGCACTTGTAACTGCACACATTTTTTTTTAATAGACTCTACACAAAAATACTAATGTACATGTCGCGACCCAATGTCTAGAAATCCACTTCTTCATCTGAAGAGCGATCACCAGTACGACCTTCTTCTTGCATTACTTGCCAGGCTGCCAAGGCATCGGCCAAGTGTGACACGCCTGGGGACACATCAACTACTAACAGTTTTTTATAATAATCATCCATCCCAAAGCCATCAACAATTTCATCAAATAAATTCGGAAACAGCTTCAACAAAATCGACACTTTTTCGTCCCTGGTAGGATAATCAGCAAGATTGAAGTGCGTAGGGACGCGGGTGTTCCACGGCTTCATATCACCTTCCGCCGCAATCGACCAAAATTCCGCTGTAAGCCGTGTGAACACCCACTTTTGCTCCTTGCTACTTTTGCCTTGTGCTAACAAATTTTGCTGAGCACAAGTATTATCTATGGCGTGATCAAACCTCCTCCCCTGCAGCTCCTTGAAAAAGTACCGCAATGCCAGGGAGGCAACAGCTGTTTCCAACACATTGATCGGGTACAGGCGGTAGGAGGAGTGTAGTTGTGCTGCTGTACACTGCTGTCGGACACACCTGAACCGCCCATCTTTCACCAGGACCGCCGCCAAGACTCCCTTCCGATCGCTCCACTGTGCGTCGGTGTAGAGCAGCAGGCTGCTCGAAGTCGCATCTTCAAACTGCACACTGCGCTTGAGCGGCAAGCTCATCACATGCCTGATGGCGTACAACGCGTTCTTCACATCTTCACACGCCGCGATTTCTTCCCGTGCCAGATGCAGCCTTAACGGCTTCATGATCGGGTTTAAAGACCTATCTGCCACCGCAGCCAAGGAGAAGGTCAATCGGCCTAGCAACGCGTCGGCGGTGGTCATGTCCAAAATCAACGCGTTTATCGCAACATCACAAACCTGCACAATTTGCATCTTCTTTTGCTCGGTCAGCTGCGCAGTAGGATGATCTCCTCTGACATCAAAAAGCAATCCCAATATTTCTAAAAACACGCCCACGTTGATTTTGTCCGTCATCGCCGGCAATCCCAACATCTGCAGCAGTTCCAGGAGCACATCGCGGACCAACTCGCCTAATCCTCGCAACACAAAATTCGGGAAATCATCCACATAATCCTCCGAGTTGATCCCGTAGTGCTTCCTGAGCACACTCCGCAGCAGTTTCCCCGGCCTGCGCCAGCCCGTGACGGAGTGTCTGCTGCCAAAGATGGCAGACACTCCCACGAAGTAAAAATATTTCCGCAGCTCGGGGTGGAAGACGAGGATGGTGTTGTAACAACGATGTTCCGGCTTCACCATCATGTTGCTGTAACACTTCGCAATGTCGAGCAAAACGACGTCGAGCTCGTTTTTTACAACATTCATGGCACGCCGGAATTTCCTGTTCGACATTTCCTCGTCCACGCTGGCGAACGCCGCCTTATCCGCAAACGCCGGCTGCTTTGCTCCTGGTTTTAACAACTCCTCACTGAGCTTCTCCTGCTGTCCGGACACGTATCTGAGAAATTCTTTCTCATACTGCTTTTCCTGCTTCCTGCTCCTCTGCAGTACTTTGCGATTGTGTCGGGCAATCTTTTTACCAGCGCAGGAGGGGTCGCGCGCCACTGCCGCGTTCGCCAAAACGTCGAGTGCCGACGGTATTGGCACTCGACACGGCAGTGGCGAACACTGGCTCGCACTGCACGCCGGGTCTATCAGCCGGACTTTTTTCGCCTGGTGCCGTGGAAGTCTCCGCATGCCATAATAAATGGCTTCTCGCGCAGACTTGTTGGCGCGGATATCATCTGGAACTTCAGGTGGGCCTTCTAAGAGCGCGTATCCCAGCTCGGGCACCACCGCCGTCTCTTTGACGGACTTCTCCCAGACGAGACGAATATCGTCTTCCGACCACGCCGGTTTTGCATGCGCTCCTTCTAGCACTTTGGCGACGATTTTACTGGGTTTAAAAGCGCTGGGGTCGTCGCACATGCGGTCCTTCCTTGCTCTCGGACTCCATGTCGGATCCACCTGGCACTCTCCAATCATGGAGAGGCCATGAAGCCACACGCGCCACGCACAGGGATCGCTGCCGTGGTATCTCTGCCCCAAGAGCTCCCACAAGCCAAGCTTCTGACAAGTCTTGGGCTTGTTGATCCTGCTGTCGATCTGCGAGAAAAGGTCTGCTGATCTCGACGCCGTTTCTTCGTGCCACCTCTTCATCTCCGCATGTGCACGCTTTATTTTGTCTTCCGACATCTGCGCCGGGTCGGGCAGTTGTTGGGCCACATCAAAGGGGTGTTCGCGCAGCATGTCGAACTCCACCCTTTTCATAACCTTATGAACATCGAGTGCCGTGGGCAGCGGCATACTGTTTTCTTTTTCCTCAAGTGACGTGAGTATCGATTTCAATCAAATCAGACGTAGAAAGACTCGGCGACTTCACTTCAGCTCTACTCTGTGTACCAACGCACTCAGTCTTTGCATGTGAAACAAGTGGCATGTGATGATCTACTTTAGTCTTACACTTTGATGAAAATAAACGATGACTAGCTGCTACTTTGTATGAGTAACTTCAATTCTTTGCACACTACTTCTTTGCCCCCAATGCGTACGACTTGCAAATGCTGCGTTTGCGCGACTTTTGAACGATTTGCGACAGTGCTTCCTTGACTCTGGCCAGCTACACGACTTCCAGTTACAACCGACGTCCAAGCTTGACTGCTACTTTGTACACAGCAACCGACGCTCTTGAGGACGTTCACGACGACTGCGTTGCACTTTGGCCACATGGGCAGCAATCTTTCTTGCTGGGGACACACACATATCTGCAGCTCCTAGCTGCAACTACAAGTTCGCACTTGCGCTCACATTTTTTAAAACAAATATGTATCTTCCGTTGCTGTGCATTTCCAACAGTAAGTTTGTGCATGACGATAACAACTTGCTCTGTCATTTATTTTCCAGTATTGACAAATCAACGTCAATCATCATAAACTATACTGTTGCCAGGTCACGTCACTGGATAAAAAATCAGAAAATTGAATTTTTGATAAACAAATCAGTGCACAGCAGCCCGAAAAAAACATGTATAAGTACTCTCATGGAGAGTTAATTACTTTCTAATTTTTATTTTCATTTTTTGAAACGACATTAGCGGAAGCTGCTGTGCGCTGTACATTTGAAAAACTCATAAAAGGCAAGAATCACATTCACACCGCGGCAGCCTCAGCCACCGGCTTGCACCACGACTCGTACTCAATGTCCTTGAGCTTGTCGCTAAACGCGGACTGCAAGTTCTTCCACTCGTTCTGGCTCATGTCGCCCGCCGCCGCGTGGCGAAACCTGCACTCGCTACCGAACTTGCACGAACCCTTGTTCTTGAGAAAGTCGTGGCACCACTTGGCGTTGCCCTTCTTGCCTTTTTTGCCGTTTTTACCCTTACCTGAAGGAATCGCTACACATGCATGACTACCGTGTCAACTTCATGTCTGAACATATGCATGAAAAACAACTGCAAAGACTGTCTCATGACACCACATTGATACCTACCTTTGTTGTTTTTTCCACCACTCTGATAGGGCCCATACGAGTCCCTGAGGTTGGACATTTCTTCCCGCATAGCGGCACGTTCCTCTGCGATCAAAGAGCGGGCTTCGGCCGTAGCCTCCGCCGACGCCTCACGCAGGTTCTTCAAACGCTGCAATTCTTCACCCCAGACCTTGTTGAAACGATTTTCGGCAAAAAAGGTTCTCATACGGCCTCCGAAGGTAGTGCCGGGCTGGGAACTGTCGGGGGTCCACTGCTCCGTCTTGTAGACGATGGTCCCCAGCGCCCTGATGGCGGTCTCCTCGGAGATCGTGGTCTTGGCCAACATGAACTGACTGATGATCTGGCTACGCCTGTCGACCGTAATCAAGGGGTCGCGGTCCCTATGGACCTTGGCCGCCATGGCCGCCAGCAACGCGTTGACCGAGAAAGGGAGGTCCTTGTTGACCTTGGCGGTACCATCCTCCTGAGTCAGCAGCTTCTTGAACTCCTTCATCGTTTTACCTGATAATGAACGATTTGCCCAATTGCATTTCCATGATTGCCACATGTTTTTACACTTGCACAAATAACTTTGCATACCAATTATGCATGCACAACTAATGATCTATACCACTTTCCCACAACGCACGGGAGTTGATGACCTTGGCACACTTGGTGAAGTCGGCCTGGGTGGGCCGTAACTCGGGGACGTCGAGCGACAAGTTCTGGAAACTCTGCTCAATCTGATTGTCTTGTCCGACAATGAAGTCGGTCAACTCCCTGTTGGCAGCACCCGCTGTGATGTGATTTTTTCCATATCGGAAAACGCAACATGCATGTCACATGGACTTCTCATCAGCTCTTACTCATTTTGAAAGAAACATACTACACGCATGCATCATGGCTGCATGAACTCAAACAACAAAGAAAACTATCACACCCTGGGCAACCGCAGCCACCTGCTGCTGTTGGTTAACGTTGACATTGGCCATTTTTTTTACGAAGTGCTAAAAGCTACTTCAACAGAGTTTTGATATCCTCAGAGGTGTAAACGGACTTTTCCTACGGGTGTGTTTTTTTTTTTTTTAATTGAAGCTCAACTGTAACGCAACGAAAACCAGTGACGCGCTGTGACTTGAAATCGTGGCACTTTGATCCCCGGCAGAACCTTTACTGTGCATTTTGCTGAACACGCGGGTGACAGATGTGGAGACTTTCTTGACGCAAGCTGTGCATTCCTATTTTTCTATGCTCTTCACATGCTCTTAAACAAAAAGCCAACATCTTCATGCACTTCATCATTTTGCGTAACCTTAAATGCCGCAGAAGTTCAGAGGGACAAACATGCTCCGACTCACATACGGGATAGATCTTATGTAATACATCAGCATTTGCATGTTAGCCCAGCACACTATCACGCTTCACACTTGCGCTGCTAGCTTCACATTTCTGCACTCTTATTTTTTCAATTTTTCCATCACAATCTCCACACAAAAGCCTCAAGCTGGCATCGCAAGAGCTGCACATCATAGGGCAATGCACGATGACACGAACTGGATCGATCTTCATCAGGTACAGATGCGTAGCACTTCCTATCCTCCAACTATGGCTTGCGGCATCTTTTTCATGCGGAAACGTGCGCTTCATTATCTTAGCAATGTCCAAGTCTTCTCTGCACAGATGTGGCAACACACTTTTGAACTTGCAAACACAGAACTCTGGCGGGTACTTGATGCGCTTCAACTGCTCACAAATGCAAGCGACCCTTACCATGGCGTACTTGTTAACTTTGGTAGAGGCTTCCTGAAAGTTTAGTAACAAATCTCCACTAACATCATATCGCAAAGAGATGAGACCTGTGTCGCCTGTGTTCTTCACGTCCAGCAAAAAGGCTTCACTTTTCCTCAATGCTGCATAAAAAGCCAAGAGCAGAGCCACCGCCTCTTGATGCAACAATTTACTGCACACCCACATTTGGTAGATATGCACTATCGTCATGGGAGACTTCTGCTTTTTCCTGCCTAGAAAGCCTCTACGAACCAGTGTAGAGAGCTCCTTCATCACATTTTCTTTTTCTGTACCGGATAACCTGCAGCGCTCGTCCGCCAAAACATCCTTCACAGCCGGTTGTATGCTTGCATACCCGGCGGCCATACTCGTCCCCACAAACGCCCGCACTGATGGATACGACCACAGGTGGTGCGGGAGATTCTGCGCCACTTTTTCATGCCGTCTAATCCGTGAAGCACGATTGTCATCGGCTTTTTTTGTGGAGGACATCTGGTCCAACTCCGACATCGCCGACTGTAGTAACATGGGGTCCTTGGCGATATCCAACGCCAGAGCCAGCTTGCTCTGCGCTGTCCGCCCCTCCGCCTCCGTACGGGCGTTGAACACTGCGTCGATACTGGCTTGCGCCGTCACCATCTGCTTGACAAACACGTCCTTGGGGACGTCGAGCACGTTGCTGCGCTGAGACGGATCATCTTTCCGTCTACACCTGATGCTGTCGAGCACTGGCTCCCCGTTTTTGTACTGTATGCTGAACCGTAACTGGGAAAGCGTGTTGCTCATCTGCACTGCCTGTGCCTGGTTCAAAATCATCACTCCCTTACTGGTGGGCGTCGGTACTCGTTCTTGCAACTGCTCGTGCGTGAACGTACTGGCAGGAAGCTCTCCTGCACTCGCAAGTAGCTGCGCTGGCAACCTGGTGCCGCTAGCTGCGCAGTCTCGTATGGCTTTCGCTGCCACCCTTTCTCCGAAGGCTTTTTTCATGCTATCGACCGACCGCAGGTTGTCTGCTGCCTGCGCTTCCAACTCTGCCTCCATCGAGGCATCGAAATCATCTTCACTTTCTGACAACATGGCGCGGGTGGGTGGGCAAGAAAAAGCCACCAGCTACGCGAGCTGGAGTTCTTCGAGGTCCTGCTACCCTTGAGCTATATCTATTTGTATGTATACAGGCGCGCGACGCGCAAATACCGCTCGCGTTCAGCGCTCGTACTGGACTACACTCAGATGCACCGGCATGGTCCTGCCGAAATAAAGGCGGCGGGCTCGTCCCTCGCCGCTCTCCTTTATTTCTTGCATGTCTAGCTTGGTGTACATTTACATTGATGTGATGACACGAATGTGGACTACTGGCCACGCGAGAAACGATCGCCGAGCCCGCCGACGGGATACCAGCTTCGCAACGCAGACCGGAAGGCGTTTCGCACGTCGAATCCAAACACCACGGGGGAGGGCCTTTCGCCACCTACGCTCGACCACGAGGAGAGGGCGCCGACTGAGGCGCATCTGGAACTCCCCCACCCCGCTCGACGACGCGAGCGTCTCGAAGACCTACAGCGACGCATGCTGGTGCCGCGTTTTGACATCCTACTACTCGCTCATCGTGAGCTGCACACAACACTGGCTGCGGCGCCTTAGCAAGCATATCTGATGCCCGCTTTCGACAACAACAGGCACGCAGCACTGCCTCTCGACGAGTCGATAAGCAGCGCCACGCGCGCAGCCTGGTGCTAACAGCGAAGCAAGTTCCACCGTCAGACCCGTCACACGAGTGGGGGCGCACCACCGGAGAGGTGATCCTCGCCTGGACGAGAAACTACCGACTCCCCGAGGGCAGCGCTGACGCCATATGCTCTGCAGCCACTGTATCAGCCTACATCCACCTAGGACGCTGCAACACGCATTCGCACCTGTGCACACTTCGCACTAAACCGCACTTCTCTACCTGGCTACCTGCCTGTACACTGTGCTGCCACACTTGTGGACCAGCCTCAATCACAACCTAGCCTCCGTCAGCTGTGCTACCATGGAGCGACGCCGGAGATTAGCGCCGGCAGTGGGCACGGACGGCGAGACCGTGAAACCAAGAAAAAGCCACCAGCTACGCGAGCTGGAGTGCTTCGAGGTCCTGCTACCCTTGAGCTATATCTATTTGCATGCATACAGGCGCGCGGCGCGCAAATACCGCTCGCGTTCAGCGCTCGTACTGGACTACACTCAGATGCACCGGCATGGTCCTGCCGAAATAAAGGCGGCGGGCTCGTCCCTCTAATTGATTTTTTTGAAAATGACTTACTTTCTCACAATATTGATGGCAGGTGGCTTCCGTAAGTGAATAAGTACAAACATAGTAAGTGACTGCGTATCGCAAACACTTCCCATTATGCATTTTTCAGGAATATGCAACACATTTCAAACAAAAATCCTTGGATCGTTTTTTGATATTTTTTATTTTTTGTGGGATTTTAGCGCAGCCCAATGATTTAAAGTGTTATAGCATATCAAGACACGTGAATACATATTATCTATTGACTCTCTGGGACTTTAAAGGCAAATTTTACCACCAGACTTGTAATCCTAAAAAATGTTGAATTTTTCAATTTTTGAAAAATTGACAATTTTGCTGATTTAGATGATGTTCTGCATTTGTATACGAAGATGATTTGTGAAAAGCGCAATGATCTATCTTTATATTGCCGACAGTCTTCACATGATGGCAGCTGATCAACATAATCCGAAAAAATGGACTGGATTAGTTTTTCACTTTTTTGGGAGCCCCCCACTCATGGGTCACCCAGAGGCGTGGAAACCTAGCCAATATGAAGAATGGGCATACACATGCTTAGGGCATCCTCTGGCCACCGTTTCTGTCCGGCTTTTTCGGGTATGTTTACCATGGGAGGAGAAGGCAACTCCGGCGGATTTTGTCACTTATCAAGAGGGCAGCTGGATCAGGCTGCAGCTGGTCTTCTCTGTGGTTCCGCGGATCGGAAGAAACAGCAAAACCGACGGAATAACGTGGCCCGCAGATCTATTTCCGCCTCGGCTCCGAGGCCTGCCTACTGCGGCCCGCAAACGCGGGCGCGGAAAACGTGTGCTGCCCTCTATCCCCAACCAGAAAAACGCCGGCGCGGAGTGCCCCCGCCCCCGTCCATAGGTGGAGGCATCGCTGTCGCCGCTAGGGTGCCGCGCGGCGGTGCTTTGCATCGGATCCCGGGCAAGGGCCAGACCAGCCGCGGCGCGCCATGGCCAAGGCCACCGCAGCAGGCGATACGGGCGCCGAACCGTGCAGCGACGGCGCTAAACTACTCGACCGGGCGTTGGCCGCCGGAAAGGGCACCGGCTGCTTCGGTGGGCTCCCTGGCCCTTTGCCAATTGGGCTGCTAGCTTCGGGCGCGGGCCTTCCGGCCGCCGAGGAAAACAAGGCGCAGAGCCATTTTCAGAGCGCCGCCGGGCGGCGTTTTAAGCGGGCTACCGCGCGCGCGGGTAACCCTTCCCCGCGCGGGCCCAAGGCTGCCGGCTCGGGCGGAGCAGGCGCAAGAGGGCGCGGGGCAATTGCCAAAGCCCCGCCCGGTGGTATTTTGCGCCGGGGCCCCGGCGCGGGCCTTTGCTTACGCCGGGCGCCGCAGCGGCAAGCTGCGCCGGCTTCACATTGTCGCTCGCCGCGAGCGTGCTCTGGTCTGCGGACCTTCTCTGACGGTGCGCCGCGGCCGGCCCTCTCGGGGCGCGCCCCGACTTGAAGTTCTCGAGCGCGCAGCAGGGATGAAGGTGCATTGCCGCCGAACCAGCAAAAGCTGCGAACGCAGGAGAGCGGTCCGGGTTGCGCGGAAAAACCGAACGAACCTTCCCTCCCCAAACCAAGCTGCGCGCCCGGTGCAGCGCTTTAGGTGATGCGGTAGGACAAAAATCGCAAAAGCAGCGGCGCCGCCGCGTGAGACCCAAACTCAGCTCCTCGAGGTTACGGCCACGGCTTAGCTGCACGCCGCGCGCGCCACGACTGCTAAGAGTTTGGTTCTATCAGGGTTTAACATTATTTGCGCTTTTTTTTTGCCGGACTCCAACCGCAGTTTTCTCGTGTACTGAAGCACTTTTACACAGCAATGCTGCGACTTTCAGCGCCCGACCGGGTAGAAGTGGTTTTCAACAAGGGCCGCCTCTCCAGTTCGTTACTCAAAGCAACGCCGTGCTAGAAAGTGAAAAAGGAATAGACTTGCGCACGTACTTATCTTGTGCTCGTCGAAGTAGAAAAACCCCGCATATAATTTTATCGGCTTGGAAAAAGATACTTCCTTACTTACTTGCCCGGGACGAACTTCTTTTGCGCATTGCGCCACGGAGGATTTTTGCAGCGCCGCCCGGCGGCTTTGCAAAGACCATGCCAAGGATTAACATCGCGATGATTCTTATCCCACGAAAAAAGTGCTACAGTTACACATTTGTTGTCAATTCAGCAACGCAAATTCCTCTGCATGAGAGAGAAGACTTGCAATGCAGAAATCCTAAGGGAAAACGCCTATGAAACGAAGCTCCTATGCATATCCGACATGACAGAGCTGGTCTGTCTTGCTTGGCCTGCAACACAGTGTGTATCTTTAACACTTTTTTCTTGCGATAATTCTGCCTGGCAACGGGTGCGACGAGGACACGCTTGTGGGCGCCAACTGGTATCTATGACAATGCACAACTCCCCCTCCTCCTCATTTGTAATGCATGAACGGCAACACAAGCAACGGCAGAAATGGGCCTTCTGCATGACAAATCAACACACGAACTGTAGTACTGTTTCAGGTTCCGAGAGTTGTCATGCAAACAGTGCTTCAGCACAAGTGGTGGATTCGGTATTTTGCATCACAAATGAGGGGGAGGGGGGTTGTGCACTTTCATAGTATCTGTGGCTCGCGCAGCAGCTCCAGACCTGCGTGCCGAACCTGAGTAGCGTGATCTGCAAGCCGATGCCCGATCCAGACGTCGCGCGAGCGAGCGTGTTATCAGCTGCAAAAGTGTCTGGGTCTGGAAACTTGTGATGCTGCGCTGGGGATGGGGAGTGCTCTATAATGCACAGCCACGCATGCGAAATATCTGCGCTTCTTTGTGTTGCGTTTTTCGCATGACAAACTGCGTTTTTGCACGACAGGCAAAAGGGTCTGTCTCTTCTTGGACACGCATCGCAAACTTTTTGGTCATCCCAGACAAGCATGACAAGTCTCGCAGTCTTCCAGACCCAGACATTTTTGCATTTGATACGTGTGGATTCCGTTTGTGGTGAAATCCTTGCGCGAAGAGATCGAGGACCACTTGGCAAACGAATTAGAGGTGGAAGACGTTTCCGAAGTTGTCGGTGCACCAGTCGGTCAAGAACACGGTGCTAGACCTCCACGTAGCACAAAGAAAGCGAACATCTCGCTCCTTCTCCTGGGGCACAGTTCCGGCGCGCAGTGCTTGATGCGCCTGGCGGAGGTGATGGACCCGGCGTTTCTGCGGGAGAATCTATCCATTGCAAATATGTCTGGGTCTGGAAAGGTGGAACTTGTGTTGCATGTCCTGCATTTCTGAAAACTCTGTATTGCATAGCCATCAAACGGGCGACTCTTTTGTGATGCAAAAACGCAGCAGCTTGTCATGCGTGCTACGCATCAGACGGCGCCAACTAAACTTGTCATGCTTGGCTGCACTTTTTGAAAGCACCAGACTCATCCATGCTTTGGCATCACAAATTGCCAGACCCAGACCTATGTACAGTTGATAGAAACTGTGCCCAAATTATAACGACGCGGCCGGTACTAGTTTTGAAGTCCTGTGCACCAAGCCCGTATTCTACCTGATCTCGCCCTGTGTAACGCATCTGAACAACAGCAACGAGCTGGAGTCCGGGTACTATCCCAAACAGCCAAAGTATCACAGGAAAATAAAAGTGTTACAGTTACACACATAGTCTATGCAAGACCGGCAACACAGATAACCTTTCTCATGCAGGAAATACTTGGGAGCCTCATTTCCTTCCTGTTTTATTTCCCTTATGATATTCGCATTACAAGTTTTCCCTGCCACACAGAGAAAATTTGTGATGCAGAGCCTCCAACAAATGTGTAACTGTAACACTTTTTTCTCGTGATATAAACGGACTCCCGGATAAGCCGTGGCAGTGGGAGAGGATGAGGGGAAACGCGGGATATCCAGTGCAAATATATCTGGGTCGGGACCACGACAGGTGGAACTTGTAATGCATGTCTTGCATTCCTGGAAAATCTGTGTTGCAAGAGCAACAAAAGAGCAGCTTCCGTTGTCATGCAAAAACGTAATTTGTGACGCGTCCTAGGCATCAGCAGGCGTGTCCGAAAAAATTTTGTCATGCTTGGCTGCCATTGCAAGCGCTTCAGTCGTCCGCAACTCAGCATGACAAGTTTCCAGACCCAGTCATATTTGCAATGCATGCGGGAAAAATTTTCTCCATTTGCGGGTCGGACGATCCCTTCATACCACGGCGCGAGTTCGACGAGGTTGCGAGCTGCCTGGACCTTGTCATGCGGAACAATCAGCACGGGAATGATCATGGGGACGAAATTACGCCAAACCCGAAGAAGGAAAATAGGAACGGCTTCTACCAGGCCATCGTGTTTGAGAACAAGGGGCACTTCATGCAACAAACCTGTCCGGAGCTGCTGCAATTGCTCGTCCAAGAATTTGCCAGCTGGGATCAACATTGAGAGGGGACCACAACAAGGAGCGCGAAGTGGAATTGAACTGTGTTCGTGGTGATCGAAACTAAGGCTGGATGACTACTTAGTAAAGCGGCTTAAAATAAACTAAAAATATTAATATACGTCCGTGCACATCATCAGAAGCCCCTCGCTTACGAAAACAAAGCGTCACTTTCTTTGCAAAGAGATGAATCGCAGAAAAAGGCACTTGGGTGCCCGAGTGCTTCGCTCTGCCGGTTCGACGAGTCTTCAGATTTGATGTTGTTCAGCCGTGTAAAAAAATTTTCTTGTAACCGAAGCGTGCGCAAGCGCTGTGCGGCCGGTCGTTCGTGATTGGTCTATCTATGCACTACTTGAGGGGATTGATCGAGTCTTCTAGTTGATAGAATTTTCTTTGCTTTATTCCTTACAAATCTCGAAATGAATAAGTACGGGCCGTCTGAGTTCTTTTTTGGAGTAGACGTTTCTTGAGAAGAAAAGAGGCTTCAAAGAAATAACTCAAAGCATCTTTTGCAAGTGACTTTCTTACTTGTGGTGCGTCGATGTTGCCCCCGCGCGTGTGAATAGATAACACACCAGCTTCTAAAAGTGGTCGCACGGAACAGCAGGACAAAACACCAATTGCAGTAAAGCAATTACTAAAGAACCACGAGATCAAGAATGATGGCGCCGATTATACCGCCTCCCACTGGGACCTCCGGAGCAGGTGCGCAATCAGCATCTGGAAGCTCCGTGGCTTTCTCCCCCTCCACCGCCGCTGCCCCCACCCGGATCATCATCTCGCCCAACGGTCGCGTCGAGGCCAAGTTTGAGGACCACACGGGGCTGATTCTGCAGCCTCGGTTGAAAGCGGTGTCTTATTTTGACAAAGTTGGGAAGCGGACCAGGATATGCTGTGCAAAAGTATCGAGCTCGTACTAATTGCAGACATGCATGACAAATCGCCTTCCTTAGCTAAAACAGCATTACCAATTTTATCTGTCACGCTAAGGAAATTTGCAATGCATTTTATAAAATAACACTATAGAATTTTTACTCGGATTTTTCGCCCTTATAGATTATAGGGGCGCCCTTAGAAAATGAATTCTAGAAAAAAGGGCATCTAGAAACTTCCCTTAAGGGGGCCCTTAAGGGAAGCTTCTAAAAGAACACGCGGAAGAAAAAAAAAGGCATCGCGGGGAACAAACATCCTGCAGGTCTTCCACGCGGGCGGTGGTCCGGCCGGTTTTTAGCAGGTCTATTCTGGCTACCCCCAAAGACCGGCCCCGTTTGGGGGGGTAGGGGGGGGGCGATGAAGCTCGGCATGCAAAATGAAAAGGGCGGCCCTTCCCGCATCTGGGGATATATCTGGGGATATATCTGGGGATATATCTGGGGATATATCTGGGCAGAGGTCTTCTCTAGACATCAGGCTGGCAGGGCAGGAAGCCCAAAAGCGGGGGACCGGGCCGAGGCCAAGGCCGGCGGCCGGGGGGGTCGAACGGGGGCGAGCTAGTTAGGAAGAAGCCCCGGAAGCGAAGGCGCGCGCGTCCACTAATGTGGGCCGCTACTAGGGAAGGGCTTCAGTAGCAAGTGCGGGCCCGTTTTGTCATGCTAAAACCGCGGCCCGAAGGGCTTCGAATAGTGGCCGCGTTTCCGCTAGCAGATTCCCAAGAGCGGGACTCTTTCGACTAGTCTTCAGCCCAACGCTCTCCAAGTTTTTTCCTCTTTGTTGTTAGTTTGCTTGGTAGTTGCGTTTAGACTTACTAGGCCACCTATCGCCGGCGTCCTGGACGCCGGCGTAATGGTCTAGTACTAGTGCGATGCTTTTGCATTTCATACAGGACCTTGCTGAACGGGAACATTGAAAACGCGGTCACGGATATCACGAGAAAAAAGTGTTACAGTTACGCACATCGTCTTTGCAGGCCCTGCATGACTGACAACCTCTGTCATGCCAGAAATGCTTTTGGCTTTGAGCCTCGTTTGTTCATACCTGTTTTCCCTTATGATCTTTGCATTCCAAGTTTTCTTTCGCATGCGGAGAAAATTTGTGTTGCTGAATTGACCACAGAAAAATGTGTCACTGTAACACTTTTTTCGTGTGATAACGGAAATCCGGCAGAAACTGGCGTGTTGTGTAAAAATCGCGAACCAGTACCTCCCTGAACCAATCTGCGTACCGCCAGCACCGGGGAACAACTTCTATGGCGGATCTTCACACTCTGCTTCGTCGAGCAGCAGCAATTATAGAAGGCCGCACAACCGCCACACTGCGACTGCGACGAAACTATCAAGCGAGGACGTAGGGAGACAAGCAACAGAAACTACCACTTGCTACCTCGACCGCTACACGAAACAGGAGCACGCACGGTGGCCGTCAGGGACGACGAGAAGTGTCAGTCGAGTTGGGGAACTGACCACACAAATCGCCTCGTCCGACGGGGACACGGTCGTAAAAGTCCACGTGATTACCAGTTCCGCGCGAAACCTTTTTGAAAACGACCCTATTTTGTTGCAACAACAGCGACCACGAGAAGACGAAACTTCTCATGCGGGCGGCGCGTCGGAAGAGAAAGGGCAAGGTGCGACGACGACGAGCAGGACATTGTCTTCCGGTTCTTCACCTTTGCTGCTCCTCGTCGAGGTCGCCTGGCCTTGCTTGATTCCGGACCACCGCTATCCAGTGCAAAGATGACTGGACGTCTGGAAAGGTTGGCTCTGTGTTGAGTGTTTCGAATTCGTGAAAAATCTGTATTGTAGAAGCAGCACGTAAAGCGCCGCACTTTCGTCATGCAAAGTCGCTGACCTTGCAGTGCGCACTGCGCATGAGGACAAAGCGTTTGAAAAATTTTTCATGCGTCATGGACGTCCTGCCCGTAGATCACCAATGTCATGCTTCATTGCACTTGAAGACGCCCTCAATCAATCTTCATGCCCATTCAGCATTACAGGTATTTCCAGACATCCAGGGAAGATATTTGCATTTGATAATCGCACCGTGAAGACGACGACGGATCTGCGGTCAAAAACGACGAAAATCGGCGTCATGTACCAACACGAAAAGATGAAGCAGTACTTTCTCCTATCCTGAGTAAAAACGTCCCCACACGCACACCAGAGTCAAGATGGGGATTTTGCAACACAAACCTAGAACTTTTGGGTGTCACGCATCACAAGTTGCAGGCTGTACTGTCGTGCAGTTTAGCAAGGGAAGCAGCACAAGAAATCCGTCTCCTTATCCTGTTTACAGCATTACAAGTTCCAAAACACGACTAAAAATGCCTCTCCTGGCGATGCGCACTACAAATGTTCCTGTCATTGCAAATCTGCATGACAACTCTGGGGTGGGGATGTTTTTACATAGGATATCTCCTGAATCACGACACTCTTCCACTGTGCTGGCGCTACCCGGTGCGGCTGTGTTTGCAGAAGCTATTGGAGGAACTACTGCAGAGTGGTGTTACAACCACACCTTCTGCGCAACAAGGATCAACAACAGCGGAGGCTACTTCCGACGGAGCACGACCTGCGCAACTACGACAACTCGCGGAACAAAATTTAAATCCTTCACTACGGACGACGCTGCAAGATTTAGCAGCCAGATGCGAGATCAGCTGCAGCGTTGGTGCAGCTCCGGGGGAAGAGCATGCAGAGGTCGTCACCCCGCTACCGTCCGCGATGAAGTTGGAGAAAACCACAAGTGATGTACACTCCTCTGTCTACGCAGACGACCACGTGTCGCCAGTACGCATTGCAAAGATGTTGTCCGGGGCTGGAAAGTTGTTTATGGAAGTTTGGTGGAAAGAACCACAAGCGTCTACTCTCCTCGTGCACAGCCAAGCATGAGAAGTTTGTGCTAAGCTGCTGTGTAGGGGCTGCGTATTGTGCAAATGACAGAGAGCGTTTCGTTTGCACTACAAAGTAGGACAAGCAGAGCCGTTCCGTAGCTAGCATGACAAAGTTTTGAACTCATGTCAGGCAAGCATGACAAAGAACCTGGCTTTCATCTTCCAGACCTGGACAAGAGTTTTCCGAATGCATATCCAGCCAGCCTAGACGAACTGGTGGAGCAGAAGAGCAATTCGCGTGCAGTCCTGGCCGTGTGGGTGAGAAATAATTCCTTGCCGAGCTATATCCCGAGTAAAAACGTCCCCACCCCAGAGTTGTCATGCAATTCTGCATGCCAAAAATGTTTCTCATGCGGAGCCCTATGAGAAGCGTTTTCTATTCGTATTTTGGAATTTGTGATGCTAGAATCAGCATGCTCTGCTAGATCTGTGATGCTTCTGAACTAGCTAAACAGGATTACACTACGAGGACAAACTTGTCATGCCAGACAACCAAGGCTGGTTGATTTGTCTAGCAGATCTTGACTCTGGTGTGGGGACGTTTTTACACAGGATAAGCTACGTGGCTCTACCCGAATACAACAGCACTCCTGGCGGGTCTTCAATAACCAGCTCTTTGACACTTTTTGCGAAGCAGGAGCAAATCTGGGCGATGGAGTGTCTACAGGCAGGAGGTGACTCATTGTCTTCGGTGGTGGAAGTGCTACCCATGAACTGTTACGAATCCTACTCCAACGGCCAGTTTTGGAGGTGCGGTCGGACAAATCGCCGGTTCGTGGCCTCGGAATTCGATTTACCGCTGTTGGCGAACGCGGTTCGGTGGTTTGGCGGCACGGAGGGGAAGAGGGATGGTATACTTGATCTTTGTCCATTCACTTTGCGTCTACTTGTTCGAGCAGAACAACTTTTTTCGGTCTTTTTAGCTTTGATCAATCTACTAGTACTAGCAGGTTCTACTGTTCTTGCGGAAAATCATAGTGCTGGATCTACAAGCAAATCGCTTCATCGTGACATGTTTTTTATCAGTCCCACCACCCCGGCCGTTTTCGGAGCGCAGCCAGGTTTCGTCGCATAGTATCAAAAATGCGTCCACGTCAACGCTGTTGCAGCTGGCTGGCATCACAAACGGGGATTTTCTCACGGAAAAGAACAGAAGCAACCTGCACCTGAAACACGAAATGTCTGTGGAAAATGTCGGGCGGTTTGCGTGTTACGAGTTTTACGAGCCTGCTTATGAGGGTGCACAACTCCCCCTCCCCCCCATTCGTATGGCATCAGCCGCATTACAAACACCAGTACAGGTGGACCCTGTGCATGACAAGTTCATGCGCCGAGTGTGGTACTGTTTGGATTTTTTCCGGAATTTGTCATGCACACGGTCGTGCCACAAGGTAGCAACTGGATTTGGGTTTTTGCATGACAAATGAGGGGTGGGGGGGGGTGTGCACTGTAATGCTGCTGCCGCTACTGCTACTTCTCCGGACGAACGCGGTCATTTCCCTCTCCATCCGCAGGCGAACTACCTGATCCGCGCGAAATATCGTGAGGAAACCAACTGTGTCGGTCTCAAACCTTTGCAGAAGTAGGCCCAGCAACACAAAGTTGGTCAGCGTGATAGACGAGAAAACCTGTGATGCGTCAGGCACAAAGTGGGAAAACAGATACGAAAGAAGGGTTTCTTGCCTGTCGAGCATGACAAACAAGTGTTTCAAGGAAGTTGCGCATTACAAGTTGAGACTGAGACAACTGATTTTTCTCACGATGCGAAATTTCTCGACGGAACGCGAATGGAGTACGAGACGGGGCGGACGGCGAAGTCCCGAAACTATCCTGTGTAAAAACGTACTTCCCGCCCGACCAGATTTGTCATGCATATTTGCATGCGCGATACATCTCTTGTGCGGCCTCCCATAGGTAGTCGGCATTTTCCATCTGTGGTACTGGAGTCAGGAGGAGCCGGTGGCTTTGTGATGCTGCTTTTGTAGGTAAGCAAACCTACGCTGCGCCTCCAGGTTTGTTATAGGCATTTGATGTGTAGCGCGTCTTGTTCCCACTACAGACTGCAGCGTGGGTCGTACGTCTTTGCCGAGGATAGATATCAAAAGGAAAAATCCCTCCTCCCCATATCGAAAACGAAATTTGTGATGCTGGATTTGAGTACACAAATCAGATTTGTCTTGCTGAAGAGGACTGCAGGCCCACATCAAGCCTGAGTAGAGAGGTTTTGGCCTAGGCGCTTAGCATGAGAAACGTCTGCGCTGTAGGCCAAACAGCATCACAAACGAATCGCCTGCATAATGCGGCGGGGCCTGTGGAATTGCCTTCTTGCAAGACAGAGATCATTTGTGGTCGCAAATCAGCATTGCAAATTTTCTGCGACGTACCTTTTCGATATAGGGAGGGGGGATGTTTCCCCGGGATAATAGAAGCGAGTTTGTCATCACGACGGTGGAGAAGGGTATGGAAGCGTCAGGATCGAAATTAACAAAATCGAAATAATTTGTGATGCATAAAATCGATACCAGTTGGAGCCTCAGTTTCTAAGTGGCGCATGACAAATTTTGGGAGCACCAAAACCCAGTCTGTCATGCTGTGTAGGCAAAGAAGATTGCGCCTGTCATGCTACTCTGGCAGTACATGTATAGGGCTAAACAGGCTTGCGATCGGTCTCATTTGCCTCCTCTCCAACACAGGCCTTGCGGGCCCTACATTTTATGCATTGCAAATTTTTCGATTATGTCGATTTCGATCCTGACACTCCCATAAAGGGCCGGATGGTTCGGTCGTTTTCCAACCAGATCGCGCTGGAAAAGGAGTTTCTCGAGTACGTGCGCGCGTGCAAGGTTTTTGATATCGTAAGAAAAAAGTGTTACACTTACACAACGTGATAGAAGCCAAGCAAGACAGACAACCTCTGTCATGCAGAAAATGCTTACCAGCGCCAGCCTCATTTCGTGCGTGTTTTCCGTTATAGTCTGCGCATCACAGGTTTTCGTTGCCATGTCGAGCAACTTTGTGATGATGAAACTCCAACAAATCTGTAACTGTAATACTTTTTTCCTGTGATCTTTGAGTATCAAGTGCTAGTGAAGTCGGAAGAGCAAAAGCAAAACTCCCCCTTGCGGAAAACCGCCGGCGCCATCTCGAACGAAACGTTTGCGAACATCGACTGTGTGGGGCTGGCGCGACGTGAGCTGATCCGGTGCCAGGCGGAGCTGGTATTACAGTGCACAACTCCCCCTCGTTCACATTTCTCATGCAGAATACCAATTCCACGCTTTCCCTCCTGTCACTATTATGCATGACAAGTTCTGGTAGCCCAAGTAGCACTACGATCTAGTACCAAATTGTCATGCAAAACCGGCTGTCTTGCTGATGCTTGTATTGCCGTTCATGCTATACAAATGAGGGCGCGGCGGGGAAGCTGTGCACTGTCATAGCTGTTGGGCCGGAACGCAAAGGACGACGTGGCGGCTGCGGCGGTGTTGGCAAGCAAGAACATTTCTTCTTCTAATAGCGCGGGATTAGTTATGCCGACCATGCAAGGAAGCAGTAGAGAACATCAAACGCAGATGATGAACAAATCGCTCCTAAATCTGTCCGCAACTTCTACCATGGGCACTTCTGTCATGCAAAATTTTTCAACGTCTCAACAGCTAAATCGCCACTATAACCAGAGTGACAGTCTGTTGTCAGATGTGTTTGAGAGGAACCAGAAAATGCTGGCGTCTCTGGAAGGGGACTTCCGGATTTATGGGAAGTAGAACGACGAATCTGTGTCTGCTCACCGAGATAAAATGAATTTACGCGATGCACACGTGAGTCGCAATTTTCGCTGCTGTTGGGTTAATAGAATGAGATAGAGAGCCGAACTGAGGAATAAATCGGTGCTTGTTCCTCTCGCAGAGGAAACTTCATCTGTTGAAAAGAAGGAGTGCGCGTCTCTCTGTTTGCCGTGACAGAATGAAACACTTGTAGTCCTCTTGTCGCCGCTACCGTTTGATGTTCTGAGGTGCAACTTTTGAGGCCACATGAACCGGTTTGTCTGTACTAGCTGTTGTAGCAGGTGGAGTCGTTGAACCTCGTCGAGAAGACAGTGCTTATTCACTCCAGTCGGTGCTCATGAGAGGAGGTTCTCTGGGCAAGTGTTGTATACCATATAGTTTCAACATCTCGGTCAACATCGTCCCCCCGAAGCCTCGGCATGAAAATTTGGCTTGAGGAAATAATAAAGTAGACGAGATTACTTCTGACAAAATCGGAAGGACTTGTGGTGAAAACTGTAATGCGTCTTGAGAAGTACTGGTACTGGAGTATCTCTATCTACGTATCTATACCACAGCGCAGCTCTCGGTGCAGCATCTCGCGTGACAGCAGTGTCGGGTTGCTTGTTTTTGCAGGATGACCGAAAAAATCTTCGTCCGGTCGGTTTTGCGTCAGAACTGAATCTTTGAACAGACAATTCGGTACTTCTCTGATAACGAGCACTAGCTCAATTTAGGTGTTTGTACTTGCAGTCAGGACAGAATAAAAAATGGACGACCAATGGACGGAATAGCAGTAGAGCTCTGGGTGTAATTATCTTTCGGAACAGTAAAGGTAGAGTATCGCGTGAAGAACGTGTTTGACTTTAATGTCGAATTGTCCTTGTGAGGAGCATGTGTATGCAGCTTTTAATAACTCGATCGATGATTATTTCAGCATCTCGACGACACAGCCACTGCTACTCTCAAGCACGAGTTTAATAAATATCCCTACTGCACCAACGAGCTCTTTGATTGCAAGATCTACCCGCCTCTCCTCCTTAGAGTTCTAAAGGTAACTGCACTTCTACCGACAGCACGACCTTCCTACTTTCTCAGCAAAAGATCTTTTACCTTGAAGTCAAGTATTACCTAGTAGATCGCAGCTACTCCACGTTCTCAACTACCGTCTGCTTCGCAGAGTCATTATTTCACTGGTCGATATTACTAAACGAGGACGAGGAGCACTAGCCGAAACTGTAGTAAAAAAAGTAGAACACTCGTCACAAATTTAAAATCCGCACGGGTGTTTCTAGAATCACAAAGTTGGAAGGACTAGAGAGAGGTCTAAGCAGAAGAAGGAGCTGCTTCTATCGCAAGAAAGGCACGACAAGACACGCACGACAAGATTTTCGATCTTTTTTAGTCTTCTCGAGTTGAAATTGTAAAACAGCGACAACAAGGACAACAACAACAAAAAAGAAACGTGCGACAATTCAATTTATTCACTTACTAACTCTACTAGGCTGGGATGCATGACAAATGAGCTACGGGACGACTTCCACACGACCTGCACGATAGCACTGCATTTTTAGCATCACAAATAATACTCGCGTTGCTCTTATAGCATCAGAAATTTGTTATCATTTCCTCAGCAGTAGAAAACAAGATGAACGATGCGGAAAAGGACCGGTTCCAGGAGCTGAAGGACAGTATGGGAGGAGAAAGAGAAAAATTTGTGATGCTAGTTTCAGCTACAAATGCGCAACCTGTCATGCTGTACTCGCATGATCATAGCGGATCTTGTTGTTCACGACGAGACGGCGATGGATTAGCATAGGAAAAAATTTGTCATGCATACAGCGTACATACTATTTCAACTTCGGCTGTCTTTGATAGCATGACAAATAAATTGTTTCTCTCGTCCTCCATAACCGAAGCAAAGACGAACAAGGATGCTATGACGAAGGAGGAGCGGGCCCAGTTCCGCGAGCTAAAAGCAAAAAAGGACAGCCTAGGTACTTGCTACGAATGTTTTTTTAAATATCAAATTTGTGTTGCATGACAAGCATATGTACTAGAGAATTTGTGCTGCATGATGACAAGCTGCATATGTACAAAACTAAACATACACTGTTCATCATCATCTGCGTTCAAAATAAATCGCATGAGAAATACTGAGTTATCAACCTTTCTCCAGATACCGCAAGACAGACGTCCAAGCTCCTCAGCTCCAGCCCAGACGATGAGGAAGAGGTCAGCAACAAGCGGCCAAGAGCCCGCGGGGGCAAGAAGGCCGAAACCGTGACGACAGAAGAGCAAATAGAACCAGAAAACCGGTGGTGGGCGAGTCTGGACGACGACGACGCGGAGGGGCTGCAAAAGGAGACAATAAAATGGAACACCTTGGAGCACCACGGTACAGAACATTTGATAGACTTAGGGTTCATCTTGTCGCAACACAAATTTCAGATGAAATCTCCATAAGTAATACAGCTCGGGTCACGACTTATTTCTGATGATTGCGCACGACCACCTAGTGAGTTTATCTTTTCGGAAAAAATCCTCGTGGGAATATATTCCTTGCGCATGATGGATGCGCATGAAAACTGGAATTTTGATTTCATACGGGATCACGTCGATGTGGATGTGTGAAATTCCAAAAAAAAAATCAAGGTATCCTCTTCCCGGCCGATTATGAGCCGCATAAAGTCCCCTTGATGTACGGTCCCGGCGAGAAGGGCGAGTTCCAGCGCAAGCAGCCCATCACGCTGCCGCCCGAAGTCGAAGAAATGGCGACCTACTGGGCGGCGAACATGGGCCTCCCCTCCGAAACGAGCGACATTTTCATCAACAATTTCTGGAGCGAGTTTACCGAGAAGATAAAAGAGGCGTCGAAGGCGGACCCCAAGTGGCGGGACCTGCCCAGCAAAATCACCCACTTCCGGCAGTGCGACTTTTCCAAAATCAAGGAAAAATTAAACGCGGACCGGGACGCGCGGAAAGCGATGACGAAGGAAGAGAAGGAAGCGGAAAAAGATATGAAGGCCAAAGCGGAGGAACAGTAAATTAATAGGATATTACTTTTGATAGGTTTATTTGTCATGCGTGTCATGCAAAAATGATGGGTTTTGTCATGCGGGGGTCATGCAAAAATGAAAGAAACCTCCAAAAATCGAACGCAGGTTCCGCTACTGCCTCATCGACGGGTACCGAGAGAAAGTCGGCACGCTTATGAACTGCAAATATGTCTGGGTCTGAAAGGTTAGAACTTGTCATGCTAAATCTGAATCACGCAAAAATCTGTGTTGCATGATTACCAAATGCTGCCCACTTTTGATGAAGTTGAGCGGCAGTTTCTCATGCAGGACAGGCATGATAGTGATCTCACGGAATCTGTCATGCTAGGTCCTCCATTACAGATCATATGGGTCATGGAAAACCTGCATGACAAGTCGCGCAAAGTTCCAGACCCAGACACTTTTGCAGTTGATAACGCTGCGCGTGGAACCACCAGGGCTTTTCAAGGGCCGGGGCGAGCACCCGAAGCAGGGGAAGCTTATTCAGGAAAAAAACTGTGTAAGTGTAACTTTGTAAAGAAGATCAGCATCACAAATTCGTTTTGCATAATATAGGGAAAATAACCTGTCATGCGCCGCTAGTATCAGTGGAAACTACACCTATGAAAGTGGCCTATGAAGACGCACCTTTAGCATGACAAGTGTATTAAACAGTTTAGCACTTCCTGCATCACAGACTTACACTTACACAGTTTTTTTCTTGCATAAAGCTGAAAGACAGAATAATGCCGGAAAACGTCACCATGAACTGCGACAACTGCTATCAAATGTAAAAATCCCTGGAGATCTGGAAGAATGCAACTTGTGATGCTAACTTTGGATTCCAAAAAAATCTGTATTGCATGACCAGCAAGAGGCGCCCAGTTTGTGCTACGCGGGGAGGGCATTTGTCATGCGGGATAGGCATCAGGAAGGGTTCTAAGAATCTGTGATGGTAGGGCATACATCACAAACAATCCTGAGTCATGCAAAATATGCATGACAAACCTGGCAACTTTCCAGACCCAGACATTTTTACATTTGATAACTGCCTCCCCCCGCCGATATGTACCGTGCCGGGACGGGCCTGGGAGCAGGTGGTGCACGACGACAGTGTCAATTTATCCAAGCGAGAAAAATCTGGAAGCAGGTGGCAACTTGTCATGGTAAATCTGAATCCTGTAAAATAAATCTGTGTTGCATGATGATTAGTACCAAAAGCTGTCCACTTTTGACCAAGTTAGGATGGAGTTTCTCATCGACAGGATTGGCATGATAGGGATCTCACAGAATGTCTGTCATGCTAAGAGCCGCATGCCAGACCTCATGGGTGGTCATGGAAAATCTGCATGACAAGTTTACACTTTTCCAGGGATTTTTGCACTTGATAGAGTTGGCTGGGGTACTACAAGCAAGAAACCGACGAAAAGGAAATGACGAAATACATACAGGTATAATTTTTCATAAAGGATTATTCTTTGTCATGGGGAAACTCAATGCTGGTGGTTCTCTGTCATGCGGAAATAGCATCACAAAACACCAATCACAAAACTCAGATGGACAAGACATCGGAGATGAAGACCAAGCCAGATCTGATGAAATACGAGCGGGCCATATGGATTGCAAATGTGTCTGGATGTCTGGAAACTTGTAATGCTAAAGGTGAATGATAGACGCACTGGAATACGGAGCTATGCATGACAAATTTTTTGGCTGCCATGTCTTACGTATTCCGCATGGCAAGCTGCGTTCTTGCATGACAGGCAAGAGGCCTTTTTCGTGCCTATGCAACACAGATGCCCGAGTCATGCCAGACAAGCATGACAAACTTGCATTCTTCCAGCAGACCCAGACATTTTTGCATTCGATAGGCCAGGCGGCTCTGCAAGATTGTGGGGGACATCCGCAAGGACTATCAGTACAAGCTGACGAGCGGAGACACTTTGCTGAAGAAGCAGATCGGCACCGCGGCCTATTTTATCGACCGATTAGCCTTGCGAGTTGGTGGGGAGAAAAACACCGACGAGGAGGCGGACACAGTTGGCTGCTGCTCCCTCCTATCAATTGCAAACATGTTGTCTGGGTCTGGAAGATTCTGCGACTTGTTATGCACGTTTTGCATGAGCCACGATGTCCGTAATGCATGCCCTAGCATCACAGATTTTTTGCGGGCTTCTTCATGCCTACTCCGCATGACAAATGCCCTCTCCGCGTAGCAAAAATTGCATTCCCTTTGCTGCGCAGGCAATGTAAATTTTCTTCGGAATTATCCAAATGCAGCATCACAAGTTTTGCAGTTCTTCCAGACCCTGACATTTTTGCAGTTGATACCTCCGGGTCGAGCACGTCAAGCTGGACTTTGACAGCTACAAGGCCAACCCCAATCGGTATTCTGAGGAAAATCGTCCCCGCCCCAGAGTTGTCATGTAAATGTGCATGTCAAAAAAGTTTCGCATGCGGCGCTTCATGAGAAGCATTGATTTCTGGTCGTGTTTTGGAATTTGTGATGCTATAACCAGCGCGATAGGCTAGATCTGTGATGCAGCTTCTGAGCTACCTAGACAGGATTACACTACGAGGATAAACTTGTCATGCGAACCAACCAAAGCTGGTTGATTTGTCTTGCAGATTTCCCATCTTGACTCTGGTGTGGGGACGTTTTTACTCAGGATAACCGGCCGAAGGTGACCCTAGACTTCCTCGGGAAGGACTCCATCCGGTATTTGAACGAGGTCAACGTGCTATGGATTGCAAAAATGTCTGGGTCCTCTGGAAGATTGCAACTTGTCATGCTAAATCCGAATCATGCATAAATCTGTGTTGCATGAGTGTCAAAAGCTGTCCCCTTTTGACCTAGTTGAGAGGGAGTTTCTCATGCGGGAGCGGCATGGTAGAGACCTCAAAGAATCTGTCATGCTGGGTCTCGCATTCCAGACCTCATGGGTCATGGAGAGCCTGCATCACAAATCTTGTATTCTTCCAGACCCAGACATTTTTGCCTTTGATACGTGCCACCCAGCGTTTTCAAGAATTATGTAAAGTGCACCTGCTCGTCGTCCCCCTCATTTGTCATGATCCAAAAATGCCATAGAGTTCTGAGCCTGTCTGAGTCTACTTTTGGCTCCTGTGCTCGCATCACAAGTTCATCTGGAAGGAGCCCAAACTGTTGTAAGCTCCGACGTGCGTGGACTTGTAATGCAAAGACGGTATTTTTTTTTTATTTTTAGCTGGTTTCTGTTACTACAAGTACAAGACCAAGAGCAGTCCAAAGGAGGGGAAGGGGGGGGGTTGTGCACTTTCATAAATACCTCGCGGCGTTCATGAAGAACAAGCAGAAATCAGACGAACTGTTTAACCAAATAAGCCCCAGCGACGTCAACAATTACCTCCAGGAATTCATGCCGGACTTGACGGCAAAGGTACTCACATGGCTATTTTTTTGTCATGCAAAGTGTCGTACTATTTATTTCTCGATAGTCGTGTTATTATATTTTTACAGTGGTCGTGAAAATAAATTTATACGAATGACGAAATCAATTTTTTTTGTCGTTATATTTTTCATCAGGTGTTCCGTACCTACAATGCGTCTTTTACGCTTGAGCAGCAGCTCGCGTTATACGACAAGGGGAAGAATGGCAGCAGCACCCAAGAGCTGATCGCTTTCTACAACGACGCAAACCGCAAAGTGGCCGTTTTGTGCAACCACCAGAAAGCGGTGGCAAAAACGCACGGCGAGGGGGTAGAGAAGCTGAACCACAAGTACAGAGAACACATGATCAAACTGGAGTATCTGAACGAGCACAAGGAAAAATACCTAGACCAGAACATCTCTGCGCCCGAGAGCCTGGACGAGTACGAAGCCTTTGCCAATTATGCAAGTGTCAGGATTGCAATCGACAAAGTTGAAATAACTTGTAATGCATAAAATGGCTGCCAGTTGTTGTAACCCAGTTTCCAAGTGTCGCATGACAAATTTGGGCAGAATTGAAATCCAGTTTGTCATGTTGTTTGGGTAAGGGAGACGCCTTTTGTCATGCCTCTTTGGCAGCGCTATTTCTACCCCGCAACAGGCTTACAATCTGCCTCCCTTGGTGCCTACTCTGCAAGACAGGCACTCTGTGGGTTGCATTTTATGCATGACAAACTATTTCAACTTTGACGATTTCGATTCTGACGCTTCCATACCGAGGCGCGGTCGTTCATGCACGAGCGGAATACCCAGATTAAAGAGGCCAACTATGCATTGCAAAAATGTCTGGGTCTGGAAGGATGCAACTTGTGATGCAACCTTTGGACTCTACAGAAAATCTGTATTGCATGAACAGCAAAAGAAAGTCCAGCTTGTTGCTACTCGGAGAGGGCATTTCTCATGCGGTAGGGGCATCAGAAAGTCCTCGCAGAGTCTGTGATGCTACGGCATGCATCACAGACATCATGGGTCATGCAAAATTTGCATCACAAACTTCTGCATTCTTCCAGGCCCAGACATATTTGCATTTGATGCCAACGCGGACGCGAGTAATCCGAAAAAGGAAAAGGAGCTGACGATAGACACCTTGGTGAAAGCGAAACTGCCCTCGTCCGTCGACGCTTGCGTGAAGCAAATCGGGCAACAAATGGAGCGCGTGAAGAAGGCGAAGCACGAAATCGAGATGAAGGAAGGAATATGAATTGCAAAAGTATCGTACTAGTAGAAATCGCATGACAAATTTTATCAGCATGATGAGGAATGGAATTTGTGATGCGGGTTCACCCAAAGAAGAAGAAGATTTGTGATGCATGACTGCATTTGCTACGAGTACGATACTTTTGCACAGGATAAGGAAACAAGAACGTTTCCCTGACGACGTCAAAAATCAACTACATGGACCCGAGGATAACCATCGCCTTCTGCATATGCATTACAAACATCTTTGGGTCTGGAAGAACAAGAATCCGGTGAACTTGTCATGCAAACTTAGGATAGTTTTTACGCATGAATTCCAAAGGCTGTCCACTTTTTGCTACGGAAATTATCGCGAGTTTCTCATGCAGACTGGGCATCAGGAGACCTGGACAAGAGTGGTATTATGCTTTTGCGCGCATAATACACAATTCCAGAGCAGCTATGTGGTCCAAAAGATGCATGACAAAGAACTTGCGTCGAAATCTTTTTCTTTCAGACCCAAAAGTATTTGCGTTCCATACTGCAAGCGCGTGAATCTCGACGTGAACAAGGTCTTTAGCAAGACCATCCTGCAGAAGTTCCCCTGGGCCATGGACGTCGTGAAGGAGTACAAATTTGTCAAGGACGCAGGGCAGAACAAGCGTGTCGCGCAGGGCAACGGAGTCGCGAATGGGGAGCCGGGACTGAAAAAACAGAGGGTCATGTAGGAAGGAACGATCTACCGTTCTGAATGTTCTTGGGACCAAGTCGATAGACATAGAAGAAGAGTCGGCAGGTGCTGTTGAGTTCGTAAACTTCTGCCTTCGCATAATCCGGGCTAGTTTTAGCTCCGTGAGTAGATGAACCGCAGCTGCGACTTGGTGGAGAGATGATGCAATACTTGGACAATTGAAAACTACAACAAGAAATCTGAAGACGGCAACATCAAAAAGACACGACTCTATCCTATCGGAAAAAAGCACGGCTACCCCTATCGGAAAAAACAAGCACCGTGGAGCAAAAGCTCTGTGTGTATTGAAACATTTTTTCAAAATTCTTACTCTCGTAGTTCTATTAATACCACTCTATTTCATCACATAATCCACTCGAGAATATATCGTCGAACAATTTGAAAAATCCTCGTCGGAAGCGAAGCAATCGATGTTAAGGTCAAAAAAAGCAACCGGATGTTGTTGGAACAACAAGTAGACAAAAGATCCATGTTTATCTTTTTATCGACTCGGAATCATTATAACCGATAATCCTAAAAAATCCTAATCCTAAACCAGTTGTCTGTTCTGAATCTTCTTCATGGAGGTTGTGGAAGTTCTCCGCCCTTCTATCTTCGCGCATAATCATCTGTAGTTCGAATTATGCCGCTGCTCGAGGGCGGGGTAGTAGATCTACAGCTTAGAGTACTTACACGATGAGCTTATCTCTACGGAGGACGAAGTAGAAGACCGGCCCCCGCGGGGGTAAGTAGTTGCATTGTTTCTCGGTATGTTTTAGAATGTTAAAACAGCACTACTTGTTGCGCTTCATCTCTTTCTACGGCTGTACTTGTACCAAAAATGAAAAATCACCATGGATGAAGGAAAGGCAAAATAAATGTGCTTGACTGCTGTACTAGAGGTCGAAGAATATGTTGCGAAGCAGGACGAAACTCCGAAGGCGAAATTCATGCGAAATGTAAACCACGCCGCGTTGAATCTTTATTGTACATAGGCTATTTGGCCAGCACTTCTACAACGCGTGAATCAAGAAGAAAAAGCATCAAAATGTTGGCCGCGCGCCAAGCGACGTCGAAAGCGGCGGCGCAACGGAAATTTCGTCGATGCTGTTGCTGCACCAGGGCAGAACAACAAGAAAAATGGTAGCCACACGACACCACCGCGCACCAAAAGATGACATCGGTGTAAGCAAAGCGACTACTTAGAATTTTGAGAAAAGCAAGGCGGTTGGTGTCGGTACAGGAATCAACAATACCCTGCCGTCTGTCCTCTACCCCACTCGGTTCTTTCCCGCCACTTCCGTTTCTTCATTCGACATTCGTGCATCTTCCTTCGGTAATATAGTGAAAAAACATTGAAATCCTCTCGGTTCGTCCATAGTACGTTGACATAATAATTTCCTTCGTCGGTCGTGTATGGACTAGAGTACAACTCGTATTTCAACTTTCGAGGTTCGGTTTTTTGAGGTCTTGTTCCGCTGCTTTGCTTTACTCAAAAACTGCGGTCGCACGCTACACAAAAACCTGTCGCTTCGGTTTCGTGCAGTAAATGCTTGCTTGTGATCTCTTCGGCTCGAAGGAAGTAAAGGAGGCCGGCAGTATATCGATGCTGGCAGTATCTCGATGTAGTATCGTGGTACTTGCTATCTAGTGTATTCTCGTGCCTAGTGAAGTTGTTGTGAAGATAGTAGTAGTCGTCCACCTGGTGTATTACGTGCAAGGCTCGTTGTCGTTCAAGTCTAAATACCCTTATAGAAGAAGTTCTGCATCATGGGTATTAATCCATACACCGCATGGAAATTTCAATTCGACTTTCAATCCAAACAGCGACTGCTCATTTTCCACCCCGGAAGCGGCAGTTTAATTGACCCGTGGAAAATTTTGTTTTATTCGAAAAATTTGATTAAATAATACACCTCCCCCGGTAGTTCGAGTTTTTGCATCGTTTTGACGGAAAAAGAAAACATTTCCGAAAAGTACAATAACCCCATTCGAGAGGTACAAAACTTGCTTTTCATCTCGTACTCAACCAAGAATCCACACTACTTGTCACTAACATCAGCTACTGCTATTCATATTCACTTCTTTCTTCTGCAAAACTATCATGGCCGCGAATACAATTCTTCTGACATGGTACGACTCACTTTTCCAAAGGATAAGGTGAAGATGCCGCGGACAGCACCACCAGTGAGAGCGGTCGCTACGACCAGCTTGCTGATGGCGGCGTTGCTGCGGGTCACACACTTCGCCGTGCTGTTTGCAACGGCGTCGTGGGGCGCTCGTACGCAAGATCAACCAGTACCTATCCGAAGTGAAGAAAACGTCCCCACTCGGTAGTCAAGCACAAGACGGAAGATTTGCTACAGAAGGCAAAAGGTTTTGGATGACTTGCTTGCCGCGCATGAGAACTTTGGATGTACTCTGGTGTAGTCGTGGTCAGTTGGCGGTTCTTATCCAGTTCTGGTGTGGTCGCGCAGTCGCGTCACAAATCGATTTCTTCTTCTTCATCCTGATTGCAGCATGACCAGATTATACTTAGCAGTAGAAATAAATGCGCATCTTCATGGAAAGCCGCACGACAAATATCCTGAGTAGGGGTATGCTTGCAGATTTGCATGATATAGTCTGGGGGGGGGACGTTCTCACTCAGGATATAGATTTCCATACGCGCGGCTGAACAGTTCTTGCGAGACGAGATGAACGATCTTGAGAGACTTGCTTACAAACTTGCTGAGGATAACGAATGGTTGGCCGATACGGTGCGGAACGATCTCGAAGTCGTGAGAGAGGAATGCGCAGGCCCCGAAGCCTGTCTATATTATACGGGCAGGGTGGCAGGTCTCGCCGAGAATGTAAGGACACACGACGCGACATTAAGGTGGGCTTACCAGAATGCCGAAGGTGCCGGTCAGAACACTCTAGCTGTATCCCGTGCAAAAGCATCGTAGTCGATCCAGTTTTTGCAGTCATGCGTCACAAACACTCCTTCTAGACCAAATTAGAATTCCCAAGACGAATTTGCTTTTTTCGTTCTTCCAAACTCTGTTCTTCAAGCAAACAAACAAAATTTGTCATGCATATTTTCGAATGCGCATCCGTTTACTTACTTCATCTTCTTACGAAATCGACATAAATGACTTTGCTCTGCTTTTCTTGCTTACTGATCAGTAGATGGCCGCCGCCGCGCGGGCGCCCTGCCGGTAGATTTCCGAAAATTCATGCAATCTATAGATACCAGCAGTACGACTCCTGCGATTCTTTTGCAATGCATACACTCAACACTTTGAAGGCCTGCACCGCAAGACCTTACCCCTTCTCGAGCAGGTCCGGGAGATGCAACACCTGCTATCGGAGCGAAAAACTGTAAAGCTGTAATGCATTCTATTTAGCACACAATAAGAAAATAAGAAAAAGAACATAGAATCCCAGACACAAGGATAAGAACAACCTGGAAATGGTGCAACAAGAAAGTGTCTTTGATTTGCCCATGTGTATTTTGATTTACCCACGTGTATTATCCTGTTTGGGCAGCACGCAGAGGAAATTTTTTCACTGTCTTTACCATGTGCACAAACGCATTTGTGTTTGTGATGCGAACCCCGGTACAGTGACGCACTTTTTCCCTGCGATAGCGACTGGGACTCGAGTACGACCAGGGCGCGGCCGAAGACTTTGACGCTGAAGACGTATCAGAATGAAAACAAATCCCCCCTTCATCCCACACTCAAGTGAATAAAATTTGTGATGCGGAAATTGAGTTTGTGTCATACCAGAAAACACAAAGCGCTCGGCGTAGGAGTGGGCAGCAGCTAGACGCTTTGCAATTATGGCGCCCCGAATTATAGAATGACGCGTTGTAATCTTCATGGTTCGTGGGCGTCAGGATGAAAATAAAAAGCCTCGCTGTTTTATTGCAAATGTGACCACAAATCTACCCGAGAGGGCATTTTCTCTCTTGAGGATGGGCAGACGGGACTTTTTTTTTTGATAGGGCGAAGCTCCTGGCACCGTTGCACGGGAGATAAAGGAACAGTCGGCAGGGATCGACACTGCCTATGATCAAATTGAGCAGCACTTACAAACGCAGAAAAACCATATCGCTTATTTGGATCGGTGCATCCAGGGCGTCGAGCCGTGTGATCACCTTGTTTCAGGACTCGAGGCTGAAGTGCGCAGCGTCGAACAGGAGCTAGAAGTGCTCGCGAGGGAGGCGGCCGAGCTGCTGGCCGGGCTGGAAAGGAACTTCCCTCGCGTTGCTTCGCAATACTTCGGAAGAAAAAAGCAGCTCGGCCAGTTCCTTGCAGAAGTTCAGCAGGACTTTATGCGCTGCAAATATGTCATGTGGGTCTGGTTCTGGAAGACTGCAACTTTGGAAGATGCTGCTCTTGAAATCTACAAAAATCTGCATTGCGTGAGCAGCAAGACGAGGAGCCCAGTTTTTGCTTCGCCGAGGCGGCATTTCTACTCATGCGGTATACATTGGCATCAGGAACCCCTCGCGATGAAATCTGTGCAGATCATGTGAAAGCATACATAACAGACACGATGGGTCATGCAAAATGTGCATCAGAAAAAGTCGCACTACTCGTCCAGACCCAGACACATTTGCATTTGATAGAGCTTCGCAATATGGAAATGGCACTCCAGCAGCACCGCTTGTCCGATCCCGAAGCGGCTCTCGGCCACGGGCAACAAGAGCATGATCATCTTCTGGAACCACTTGGCGTCGGGGGAGTGCAAAATCTGGATGCAAATGTTGAAGCAACTGCACTGCTCGAACAACTGCGCGCGTGGTCTGAACAAAATAGTCGCTGGGCCGGGATGGTCCCGGGCCAGAGCGAGGATTCCCTGGACGCCGGGAAAAACCTGTACAGCTCCGGATGGAGCTTGCTACGGGATCTGGAGTCTGTACCGCCCAACTTGCTGCAGCCTCAGCAGCTGGAAGATCTTCGTAAAGGGAAGGATGCTTTTCGGGGAGAGCTTGATTTCCTCGAAAACTATCTGAAAGAACGTTTCGGCGTCACGGACGACGAACTTTCGACCCTCGATCCGGAAAACGAATCGCATTTCGCCCCGGCCGCAGGTGCTTCTGAATTCGGTGGCGTGGTTGGAGGCAGAGTTGTCGTTGCGCCGGAAGAACCACCGCCCCGGTCCGGTCCCTTGTCAGCAGCTCCACTCGGATCACCTGGTTTCGCAACCGGCACTTTCACCGGCCCGGGCGGTGCAGATGATTCATTCCCGGAGGACAGCCTGTCGGCGTACGATTCATCATTCCCCGAGGACAGACTGCAGGCGTACGATCCCGCGTCGTCCACCGATCAAGGCGATTACTTTGATGAAGAGCACTATGGATGTGTCAGGATCGAAATTGACAGAATCGAGATGATTTGTCATGCATGAAATGGATCCCAGTTCGATCCCAGTTTCTAAGTGGCGCATGACAAATTTTGGCGGTGCCTAAATACAGTCTGTGATGCTGTTTAGGCAAAGAAGACTGATCCTCTCATGCTGCTTTAGCAGCTCGAGCCATAACCGCAAACAGGCTTACAATCGGCCTCACTTGCCTGCTCTGCAACACACGTATTTCGCGTCGTGCGTTTTATGCATCGCAAATTTTTCGATTTTGTCAATTTCAAACCTGAAACTCCCATAAGCGCAATCTCATCGTCCACGTGGACGTGAACGAGCTTATCCTATTTAAAAACGTCCCCACCCCATAGTTGTAATGCAAATCTGCATGCTGAGAATGTTTCTCATGCGGAGCCCCATGAGAAGCAGTTTCTAGTCGTGTTTTGCAATTTGTCATGCTCCAATCAGCATGGTATGCTAGGTCTGTGATGCTGCCGAACTAGCTCAAACAGCACTACACTACGAATCCAAATTTGTGATGCAAAACAGCCAAAACTTGTGGATTTGTCTAGCCGATTCCCCATCTTGACTATGGTGTGGGGACATTTTTACTCAGGATAGAGCTAGGGGAGCAGGGTGTGAAGCAGTTCATCGGGCAGGAGCAGATATGCATTGCAAATTATATGTCTGGGTCTGGAATAAAGTTGGGACTTGTGATGCTAGCTTTGGATTCTTCTAAAAAAATCTGTATGGCATGACCAGCAAGAGGAGTCCAGTTTGTGCTCGGCGGGGAAGGCATTTGTCATGCGGAATAGGCATCAGGAAGCCCTGTGAAAAATTGCGACGCGAGGTTATGCATTACAGACATCATCCTGGGTCATGCCAAATATGCATGACAAACCTGGCAATCCTCGAGACCCAGACATATTTGCACTTGATAGCAGATCCAGAAATGCAATTTCGACGCGGTTTGGTGGGCCTACAAATCCGAGGAAGCCGTGGCAACATCGCCTGGTGCGCAGGAAAGAACTCGCGTTGTTTACTACTCGTGGATACCAAATGCAAAAATGTCTGGGTCTGGAAACTTGTGATGCAAGGAAGGGAATAGTGAGCTCACTTCAATGCGCCGCCAAGCATGACAAGTTTTTTTTCATGGTTCTGAGTTGCGTATTCCGCATGAGAAGCTGCGTTTTTGCATGACAGGGAGGAGGAGCTCTGTTCGCCCACGCAATACAGAGTTCAGAGTCATGCCAGATTAGCATGACAATGTTCCAGACCCAGACATATTTGCATTTGATAGTGGAAGCTGGTTGAGGACGAGGAGTTCAACCAGGGAGGAGGTATCCAATGCAAATATAATCCCTGGACGTCTGGAAGGATCAAAACTTGTCATGCGAATTTTGGAACAGCCAAAAATGGGTCTTGCATGGTCAGCAAACGATAGCCGCTGTTTGCCCGCGCGAGGAGGCAGAATTTCTCATGCCGGCTAGGCATGAATTCTGAGCCTCCCAAGAAGAATTTCTCATGCTCTGCGTGCATCTGGATCTGCATTCCAGACTTCCGCGCCTATGCGAAAGCTGCATGACAAAAAAAAAAAGTTGCATGACAATCATGTGATTTCTTGTTCCCGACCCAGAGATATAATTTGCCAGTTTGATAGACGGCCTCTCTGCGTGGCATCAGTGGGATGGGGAAAGGAATCAGTGGGAGGTGATTTGGCCGATCTTGCCTGAAAAATTCAGGCAAGAGGAAGTTCAAGCCAAGCCGAGTTACGCGTTGCAACTGGAGCTGCAGCTGAAGTGCGGCATGTGCCAGGGAATTTGGAAGACCGATTATTGTGAGGAAATATCCCCCCACCCCATATCAAAACGAAGTTTCTGATGCTGGATTTGAGTACACAAATCAGGTTTGTCTTGCAGAAAGTGCTTGGCGGCAATTTCTGAGCCTGCTTGGGTATGCAGAAGGCTAGCAATTATGCATGGAAAACAGGTTTGCAGTAGCCGAAAGCGCATGACAGATTGGCTTTGGAATGCGCCACATGGCTCCTATTGCCCTATAGGCAAGACAAAGATGATTTGTGACCACAAATCAGCATCACAAATTTCCACTTCGATATGGGGAGGGGGGATTTTTCCTTTGGATACCGATCTGGCTCTCTACTACGGGAATGTGGTGCGGCGAGAGGACTGTCCGGGAGGTCAAGCGCGGCCGGCACCTCCGCTACCGCAGCCCAAGCCGCGTCCGAAGCCGGCCGCGTCGAGAGGGGGGCAGAATGGCCAAAACCAGCGGACCTCCGTACACACGTCCCTATCCACCGGAAGATGAAGCACTTCTTACTAGAGAGCTATACTAACAGTACGTTTGCAACAAGAACACGACCGGCCAAATTTTTATGTAGAAGAAGGAGTATCAATTTGGTGAAAGTTGCTGATATGTATCATGCGGCCCTCCGCTGCTGGGAGGGCAAGTCAGGGCGCGATTAATACTGCTTGGATGTTGTGTTTCCGCGTTCTTAGCACAAGAAGTTAGAGTGTGGTTGTATGGCGCAAAAGACATGAAAGCGCGGAGTTCGTGGTCCACTGGGTTGTTGTTCATCGGGAGGTTTCATTTTGGGTCACCACGGATATATAATGTAAAAAAAGTTCACGTTGTCAATGGAGGAAGTCGATGTCGTGGTTGTCACAATGACAACATTAATTTTCATTTTGACCCGCCGTGGTCTGCTCTGGCGCAGTAGGTCTCTTCTTGGCTTGGATAGCGACAGCAAAGGGACGCGCGACAGCAAAGGGACGCGGGCAGACGTGACGGTGGGGCGGGAAGCCGAAGTGCTCGCGCTGGTGGGGGTGGACAAGCGCCGTTTCAGGACTATGGAGAAGATTGGCAAAAGAGCGCTGTTATCAACCGTGAGCCATTCGAGGCGCAGCAACGAAAGGAGCAGCAGCAGATGCGGCAACGAGAAGGAGGGCAGCAACTACCCGATGAGGTGGTGTCTGCCGAAGAGTTTGAACTCGCGGGCTCAAGGTCCCGTCTGCCGCGCGACGAAGACCAGCCCATTTTCGATCCGAGAGAGCAGGATGGGTACGACGAGGACGACGAAATAGAGCCTCTCGAGAGCGATCTCGCCGCGCTACGTGGGAAGATCCAGGATGACGAGGTCTCCGCGCTCGATGCCCTGCAGGAACTTGACAAGCTGCATGGAGAAGGTGACAGGGTCTTTGAGTCGATCGATAGGGAGAGGGATGCGGAAGATGACGGTGACGACGACGAGGAAATGGTTGTTCGGGTGGGAAAACTCCTTTATGACGTGGAAGAAGCTCAGCTAGAACGGATGGGCGTGGTCCTCGGGGAATTAGCTGGACCGGGGACCACCGGGGACGACGATGCGGCGGATCTGTGGGGCGAGTTCCTCAAGCTGTATCAACAAACAAAGAACCTGCCGTGCGCGCTCCCGAATTCGGAGTTTGCTGACGGAGAGGAGCAGCGCCTGCTACAGATGTGGCGCCAAGCGCAGCACCTCCGCTCATTGGAGGTCCCTTCCCAAGCCGGCCCGGACGAGCGCCGCGAAGCCGAAAGGTACCTCCTTTTGACGGTGCTGCCCGGCATGGAAAACAAAATTTACGCCAGAAACCCCTTCCGCTAGTGCGCTAGTGCTGTTCAATCAACACCAGTAGACCAGTACTATCCAGACGTAACTGTAGTTGTGTTTGAAAATCTCGCGAGCCTAGGGGCCGCGCCTGCTTTGAATCCGTGGGGGACCACACAGCGCTTCGCGGGTCCGCTGCTCGTGCGTGCTCCCCTACTTATGGGTGCGCGCAGCGGCCGGCAGCCCCGCGGCGGGGCTACATTTACTGCGCCCGCACCGCCGAGGGTTTTGCCACTAGTGAAGAGCGGCATCTTCTGGTGTATATCGGTTTTGCCACTAGGAGAGAGCGCCATCTTCTGGTGTATATATGTTATCTAAGGGAGTGTATAGGCTACTACAGTGATCTAGTACGACTTTCATTTGTGATTCGGCATTGCGATATGTATGCTCGTCTGCGGCCGCCTGCGAGGAAAAGGGCCCTGCTAGTTGGTGTATAGATGAATTGCGCATTTCATGTTGATCCTTTTCTGCTGCTTCCACGCGTCGTGGCGCATCTCTATGATTCTCACTGGACCCTGAAAAGTTCGATTGAATTGCACTTAGCGCAAATAATTTTGTAGTTGCATATTGCCAGCGAATGTTTGGAGAGGCTCGGCCATCGTCTTATCGTACAGGAAAGCACACACGGACCAGAAGAAAATTGCAAAGTCGCGCCTTTCTCTCTGCACTGTACTACGGCCTGGTTATTTCCAGACACAAATACTAGTACCAGGAGAAAAACGCATTTGTGCTGCTGTCTTCCGGGGGTCAGTACCTGTGTAATGCTGAGCCGTACTAACACTAAGTATTAGTATGCTATGTCATGCGGACCAATATGACAAAGCACAAATGTGCCCGGAAAACAAAAATTTTCCAGTCTGAACAGCCAGCAGGGGCTCTGCCAGCTGAAACTGCGCACCAAATTATAGTTTTCCTATTTTGGTATGGGGTGTGGTTTTGCTTTTCTGCAGGATACTAGTTCCGGAGGACGAGGAGGGCGAGCAAGCCGATTTCTCGTGGCTGGAAGAACTGGAAGGAAAGGTGGAGAGCCTCAGTCGTGATCTAACCGAGCTTATCCAAGAAAAAAAGTGTGTAAATGTAAGTTTTTTGCAGGAACAGCATCACAGATTTGTTTTGCATGACAGAGAAAACCTGTCATGCGTAGCTAGTCCGCGAAAACACGTATGAAAATAGCCTTTGACGCACGTCCAGCATGACAAGCGTAACTGTGTTGCAACGGCTGCAACACAAAGTTACACATATTGCACTTACACAGTTTTTTTCTTGCATAGAGCTACTTGAGCATGAGGATCTCTCCGCAGACGCCGCCGAGAGGCAGCTTCAGCAGCTCGGAGGGTTTCGAGAAGTTGCGAAGTCGCTTCTTGAACAGATCGGCAACGCCGAGAAAATGGTCGCACCGGAACTGGATGATCCCGAGGAGCAAGAAGAAGTGCGCACCCGCCTTCACAGCCTCCGCATGCAAAGTCGTGAAGTCGCAGATTCCGCTGAGGACGGAAAGCTGCATATCGCCGTCTTATTGGTGGATCGCGACGTGCATAACGCGCAGAAACCAGGCGAAAGCGACGGGCAGAAGCTCAATGTCCTGGCGGGACGGGTTTCTACCCTCGAGGGCACGATCCGTGGGAAACTACAGGAAGGCGGCGGCCGCAAAGTACTAGTGGCCAGAGGCCAGAAGCCGGCTCCTCTAGAAACTACAGTGAGTGACGAGAGGCGGGATCGTCTAGAGCGTCAGTTGAAGCATTTACTGGCCCTCGGCGCAACGGTCGAATTGACGCAGCGCGGTTATGCCTCATCGGCCGCCGGGGGAAGTGGGGGTCCAGCTCGCCCCGCGGACGGCGGTGAGGGCGATGCGGACGTGGGTTCTCGGGGTGCCGTGCCGCCGCTCTTTGAGACCGACCCTGGCGCACGACGTACCCCATGTTCGCCGCCCGTCGTCCTCCCAACGGCTCTACAACCGCTCGTGACTTTTGCTCAGAACTTGATTTCTACAACTAACATAGTGGTGGCTCGAAAATATGAATAGATTCGAAGGGCATTCCCTCCTGCAGATTTTCTTATAGAACAGCCACCTTCTTCTAGTTCTACAAACAGATTGCAGGCTCATTCTACTTCGTCGTGCCGGCACGACGACGCAGTCGAGTGTCAAACACACGGAGGACTGGCCACAGGTAATTCTAATTTCGCGCGCAAGGGCGTTTGCATGAATAAAGCGAAGTTCTTTAATATCTCAGCTGGCAGCGGAAAAGAACCGGGGGTGCAAAGTCAAGAGGCTTGTGGAGCTTGCGGGACTTCGACGGGGGGGTATGCACGTTTATAAAAGGGAGAGAAGCTGCTGCCGTGGAACGAGCTGATGGCGAGGGGTTTTCTCCGGACCATGTTGTAGTTGATCATGAACAAATGGGGGTGGGAGAGGGTCTACTTCCGGAAGACCGCTCTGGAGAAGCTGGGGAAGATGGGCTTGAGTGGCAGCTTCGTGAGGAAGCCGAGTTCCTTGTCGAGGAGTACAAGAAGAGCGGGTGTCCGGAGGTTCTCGACCCGACGGACGGGGGGCAGCATCTCAAAAAACTGACCACGCACGAGCTCGCAGCCATGTTCCGCTATGCGGACGGCCTGAAGCGTGAATTGCAAGGAGAAGGCATGCACGACGACGACGACGAGGTGGCGACGAAACTAGCACAGTTGAAAGAAGACATTTACCTCAGCAAAATCGTCGGCCCGCGTTCAGCATCAGGGTTCCCGGCACAATTTACTTCTCTCTAGAAAGGCCTCTCAAGAAGTTGTTCTTCGTCTTCCCCGGAAAGCTGCGCCGCACAGACTCCACTTGCGCGTCCACGCGTCATGGATGGAGGACAAGAATCTGCATGTAATTGACATTCAAAAGCTGCTTTGCTAGTCCAAAAAGTTGTATGCCTTTTTGATCAAGATGTCGTTTCTAGTAAGTCTACTACGACCTTTGCGTCATCCTTCTACATCAGCCAGAAGTCCTGATGCATTTCTAATTTGGACAAGTAGAGGAGCTGCGTTCTCGGGCGGGGGTGCTTGGCCTCTCTTCTCACTCGGTAATTGTGCCCGGTACAAATTACGGAACGAGGGTTCATTTTTTCGGCGTGCATACCACTAAAACCTGCGGTGGAGAGATCTTTGACGAGCTTATGAACAAGGGGTACGGTGAGGAGGATTTCGGCATTGTGGATGAATATGAGGTCCTCGAAGCTGTATTCGAGAAAATTTGTCCGGTCCCTGGGGAAGTGGCGCTTCAGATTGGTGACGACGACAAACTTGGCAAGCTCACAACCATGAGCAGAGACGCAGCCTTTTTGCGGTTGCGAGTACCGGACGACTTCGTGCGCAGCGTGGCAGCCCAGGAGCAGGAGGGGAGCTCTTTTTTGCATAGAGCCGACAAGCAGGAGGGCGACGGGGGGCGCGGCGACGGGGAAGGCGCTGAGGACCCGCCGACCCTGCAAGAGGAGCTAGAATGGTTGCAGGATGATATTTATTCGACGATAACCTTGAGCCAGCGTTCACCAAATTGCCTGCCGAGAACGAGACTGAGCGGGCCACGTATGCTTCGTTGTACTAAAGAGCGTTTGCATCATAGCAAGCTTGAGTTGCGGCTTCGCTGCACAAGCGGCTCCGTGAAAAGCATTACTTGCAGCTCCTCCCTGTGTAATATGATCTGCCCCGTTTGCTTCTTGTTTCTGATGCATGCTTCTGTTGAGTGTGTGGCACTTCCTCTCGCGGGCTTTTTTGCTGTGGGCAAATCGTCGTGCCAGGTGTCGCTGGTTATTTGGTTTGCATACGCTCTTCGCTTGTGGTGGTGAGGACGACAAAATCAGGGAGGCGCTCGTTGCTGCAGCTGACGAAGGCTGGCGTTCTGCCACGCTGGCCGAGGTGGTCGACTATCGCAGGGACATCGCGGGCATGTGCACTGGAGAGGGGGAAGGGCAGTGTACCAGCGACGACGACCTCCCGAAGCTTGCAGAGATTTGGCTTCGCATGGTTGGCAAACTTGTGCGGGCAGACAAAATGCGAGCTACGCCGGACGGCGACGAGGCAGACAGGCTGAAGGGCTTAATTGTGGAACTCAGGGAGGGGCTTGACGAAATTTACCCCAGCGAAAACTCCGTCCAGCCACGAAAATTTCCAGGCAGAATAGTCTTGCAAAGCTTTGCCGCGCCCTGGATTAGCCCTTCTCGCCCCAGGCACGAGTCGCGCACGTGCACTGGTCTTAGGTATTTTGGTCTCAGGCTATGAAAACCGACAGGGGGGGCTGCCGTATTTCCAGTTGCAGGATAATCGTGCGTCGCGTTCTGGCGCTAGTACTCAATGCGCTTCAGTGTGCTGTGCGGAAGATGCTGCTAGCCTGCCGCAGACATAAGGCTGAGATGCCCGCGCCAAACGTAGACGTCAGCCAGCATTTCTTGAGGCGCGCTGGCTGTTTTGTGATAATATGACAAAACAAAAGGAGTCGGCTTCTTTTTAAGGCGAAGGTGGTGTTGTTCGTAGTTACCAGTTGCTCCGCCCAACAGGACTGGTATTGTCATATTAAACCTATCATAACCGTATCTACCAGGCCTCCCCATGCCTTGCAAGATATGTTAAACGCTCCCCAGGGAAATTTTCGATTTGCTTTCATACAGACCTGAAGAAAGGTGGGGAGAAGCTTATGAGCCATCTAGCAGAAGAACTGCTTTCTACCGAGTACGGCAATTACCTCACGGAGCACAAGGAATTGGAGAACGAGCTTGGCGGGAGTGCCGAAGAGGGCGACAAAGTCTTTCCACTCATCGGGGCACTCCAGACTGTGGACGCGGCCGAGCAGGCGGTCGAGCGTCTGGGTGAACTTGTTACAGGCTGTGAAGAGCATGTATCCTTTCCTTTCGCTGAGCTCGACGATTTTCGAACGGAGAATGGCTTTCCCAAAATCGACGAACACTGGCGAGCGGCTCGTGGGGTCAGTGGGTTCATCGACAGGCTTTTGTACGAGTATCCCGGCAGCAATTTGGGCTGTGATGAAGGTCTACAAACTCTCTCGCCGCGGAAAAGTCCCGGGGCGGCCTTTTATGGGGATGCGGGCCTTTTTGTTTTTTCTCCGCTCGCCCTCGCTTTGTATTTTTATTGGCGCGCGGGAGTGGTAGTCCGCCGGCGCCGCAAGCCCGGGAAAGTGGCTGCGCCCCTTGTGTGAGGGCCCCCCGCAATAGAGACCGCCTTTGGGGGCCTTCAGTGGTGTGCGCGGTCTGCATATTCCTGGTCGAAGGCGAAGGCCTTTAGGACCGATCGCCGCCTTGCGCGCGCTCTGCTCTTCGTTTCACAGGGCTCGTCTTTTTGCTTCCGCGGCCGCGGCGCTGGCCATGGGTATTCCAAAGTCCTGTTTCTGCTATCTGCATCGGCCAGCGGCGGCTTTTTCCAAAAATGCATGGGGGCGTCAGGGCAGAAAGGCTTACGCGTGCACGCATGAGAGAGGTCGTTGACCATGGCCCAGAGGGCTACCCTTTCATACACCGAGGGGGGCGCTCCTGCTGTGGCTCGGCCCCGCCGAGGATTTCGGCAACTTCCAAAACAGGCTGCGCGAAGCGCAGCAGAATTATGATGCAGCGAATTGCGCAGGCAGTGTCGACGCTGCAGTGCCGGAAGTGTGTGAGAAGCCGCTGAACGTTTTGCACAAGCTTTTGAACGAGGGGCATGGCAAGCAATATATCCTCGAAAACGCAAAAGGAGTGCCGCAATATATGATTGACGAAGCATACAGATTGCGGCGCCAGGTGGATGAAGGCGTAGCTGCGCTAGAGCATCTGCTTGGCGTTGGGCAAGGTCCGCGGCCAAAGCCGAGGTCGGACCATGAGCAAGCCCTTGCACCCGGGGACGCTGAAGACGCCGCGGCCTTTGTGAACGAGCTCGAGGGCACGCTGGCGCCTCTGTGTGGCGGGAAAGACGGGAACTGCGAAGGGCAGGAAGATATCAGCGCCCTCAGAAGCATGCTCCTCGACAAGGTGGAGGTTTGGGCGCGTAAAGTTGACAATGCTCTGGCAGGGGGCCAGGCGGACGAGGACCAGGCCCGAGATCTCCGAACACTCGCCCTGGACCTGGCTGGCGCGCGCGACAGGATATATCCCAATACAGATCAGGGCCCTGGCTCAGTCATGAAATTTGGTAGGCAGGCCATGCCGGGGAAGGGCGTGCCTGGCAAGGTAGCTTGGCTCCCTTTCCTGCGGGCATTTCGGTTTTCTAGGCGCGTGCGCGCGTTGTCCTTTTTGCATGGGCGGAGGGGCTGTCGCTGTTCGCGGCTTTGCCGCGCCTAGTTTCGTTGCTCCTCGCGACGGCACTGTGTGCGTCCGTATTCTTATGTATTCGCTTCGTTTCTCCGGGAGAAGGAAAGCGAAAGCCCTGACATGGCCTGCCGATCCTTCTCATGAGGACAAAGTTCGGGCTTTGCTCCCTGCATACAGTCCTTGCAAAAGGCGGGGACCCGCTTGGGGTCGTTTTACTGGCGGATTTGCAGAAGCAGTTCGACGACCTCCTAGCAGAGTACACAGCTTTAGATCCAGACAGGACGAAGAGCTTCAAGTTCGCGAAGAAGCTGGAAAGCTTTAATGCGGGTGACAAGGCGCAAATGGATTTAAATGGCATCTACGAAATCTGTCTGCAGGACGTGCAAGGCACTCTGCACTGGCTAAAAGACGGACTGGAACATGTGCAACCTGGTGGCTTGGAGGAACTCGGCCGGGAGGTCGAAGTCTTTCTCGACGACCTGAACTATCATTATTCCGGCAAAAGCTTGGTCACAAGGTACTTTCAATCGGCCTTCCGTACTGCTGAGGCTCGCGCCCGCCCTTGGTGCGTTATGTATTTCACAGATTGCTGCGGGCACTTGCGTGTCAGGTTCTTATAATTTTTTGCAGAGCATGGTGGTTCCTTTCATTCGCCAGTAAGTGTGCGCAAGCAAGAAGCGCGGGCTGGCAGACCTTCACCAAGCGAGCCTCTCTTGCATACGTGAGTTACTGCAGTCAGGCTGCTGCTTACTCCAGACACGATGTTTCGGCGCTTTCGGGATGACCTTCGGAATCTGGAGGACGAGTATGCTAACCACTGTGGAAACCCTCCGGCCCCGGATTGCGAGCAGGCTGGCGACTTTCGCTCTGACTTCGAAAGATTTGCTAAGGAGGGCGACTTCTACGAGACAATTCTGCGGGGTGTCCATTTCGATCTACAGACGCCCATTGAGATGGAACGAGCCGTGAATCAAGCTAAGGAGGAGCGCGGTTTTTACGAGATGCGCGCGCTTGCGAAAAGGCTGGCTGCTGATCAACACCACAAAGCGCAGCCCGAGGATGCTGAGGGGGGCGGCGAGTAAGCGTTTCGTAGCGTTTCTAGTTATTGTCGATAGAGTAGGAACAGAAAGGCAAACCGTAGCAGCCAAGCGCCCAAACATAGATGTTGACTGCGAAATGTGTACAAAGACAACTCGGTTTTGCCAGGCGAACTGATGTGCACAAAGACAACTCGGCTTTGAGGCGCCACGTCTTCTGAAGTTGCGCAGGCCGCGGTCTTCTTCCTCGGAATGAACCGCTGCGCGCGCTGCGCTCCAATCAGCACAGCAATATGACAGCAGCTGGCTGAGGCGAGATTGAATCAGGATGGTACGCCGCCTCGAAGCATCAAATGGAATTTTTCGAAAATTAACTTTATACAGGTACAACCCGCCAGTGTAGCGCTGATGCGGCGGGCGAGTGAAACTATTCACGAGGCGGACGGCTTTATTAAGCCACAAACGAATGTGGGCAACACGAATACCGGGGCCATGGAAATTTAGGTGAACGACAGGCGATCATCGGCAAAATGCAGAAAATTCATTATGTCCGGCCAGTACTCGGGCACACAGCAATTTTCTCGGTCCTGTGAACAAGAGTTAGGGCGCTGTTTTTTTACAGAACGCTCAACGCCCCGTCGTGGGGATTTCGGTTTGCAAAAGCGCGCCCCGTAGATTGCGTAGTAGGAAGACAGGTGATCTAGAGTTTTTTTATCGTTTCCGGCGCCCAGCGACTTTTTTTTTTGCGAATTCTTTTTTTCCGTTACCTCGCTTTTTTTTTTTTCTTTTTTTTTTCATTGCCGAGCCCAGCGCCTGCACCGGGGCGCAGGCGCTGGCCGTCTTTTTGCCGCAGTTTCCATGCTGTAGCACGCAAAAGGGGTCCGGGCGCTTTTTTACTGCACAAAGCCCCACCAGGCACAGGTTTGTTCCATTTTCTTTTTTTTTGCTAACCGGATAGAGCGGAACTCGGTCTTCAGGTACTTTTATCCTGAGGGGGCTTGCGCCGGGGTGCTTGCTGGCTCTCCCCAAGTACGGGAGGGGGGTTGCAGGCTAGCATTTTTGGCACAGCACTTTCTTGCCGAGCGCGCTCAGGTGGGAGCCTCAACCAAGGGTGCCCGAAACTGTAGTGTTTTTTTTTAAGGTGCGCGGCGTTTTGATTTCTCTTTTTTGCGACGCATTATTTTGATTTACGACGCGCCATTTTTTTTTTTGATTTTTTTTCTTCACATACAACTAAAGGTAAAGATCGAACTTCGTATGGCTCCAAAGCAGTTCCTTTCTACTCAAAAAACGCAGCAGAAACTAGAAGCGCACTCATGTAGAATACAGCAGAAATAAATCTTCATATACGCACACTAAGCACACGTACGCACGCAACAAGATTTTTCATTTTTCGTTTTTCATAAGTACTTACAAGTAGACACAAATCGAGAACGACCACCAAAAGCCGATGACGAGACACATCAATCAAGTTTTAGTACAGTAGGACGTGGCACACGAAGATTTCATGTTTTCCCCCCCATTGAGACTGACGAATTTCACCAAACGCTTCGGCCCGTTTTCTCAACAGAGCATTTCTCTATAACAATTGAGAAGCGGAGGTGGCAACTCGCTTCAAGCGCGGCAAATGTTCCTTCATCGCCACTATGGGAAGTCTAAGTTGTGGCCTCCTGCCCTGAACCTGAAGAAGTGTTAGCTCGCTCCGGTTCTGGGCGCTGAACACAATGCGCCTCAAGTTTCGGTTGTGATGTTGGCATGGTTCAAAGAAATAAGAAAGTACTTTACAAGGGGTGCTCAATATCAGGCTACTTACATCAGTGTAAGAACTTCTGTGGCGGCACGGTCACAGAACACGAATTTTGGGGGTAGAATTGTTTGCGTTAGAGTGGTCGGTGAGGGAGGAGGACGAGAGAGCATTTTACTACTTTTTTAGGAGTGCCATGGCCTCAGTTCCGAAAGTGGTGCGTGAAGATTTCTTGTTCGCGCCTTTGGCGTTCTTTGAGGCTCTTACACGGGAAAACTGTTTGCATGAATGAAGCCTGCTCTACCCTTGTACCCCCTTCAGATTATTCCATCAACATTGTGCCCAGGCTTTGCGGGTTGGCATAGTCTGTTGGGTATTTAGTTTGCTTGGTCATGGTTTCGCGCCTTTTCCCTCCCTCGTCGGGGGGGGAAGGAAAGGGCCCTCTCCCCCCCCCCGAAGGAAAGGGAACTCTCCCCCCCTTCCGATCCTAACGGATCAAAAAGGATCCGTTTTTTTCTCGGATTCTTAATACGATGTAGGAACCGCCGGATAGGGAGCCGCCCGCCATAATGGATCTTCCCACTTGCCTAGCGGCCACCCGCGTTCCCGGCCCCGGAGCATCGGTAGCACATCCTTGCGCCCTAGTTTTTTACCCATACTAGGATGCTTGGATGAGAGTCACCTTGAGACTCCGCGCCCTGTCACTATGTTCCTCCTGTACTCTGGTACTCCAGATGGTAGTCTCGGTTTGTCCAGTTGGTTCAAGAATGTGCCGATGGTGCAGCTCTCTATGGTCGCTCACGCTTCATAGGTTCTTGTCTTAAATTCCCCCCCTCTGTCGTCCTCCCCAGGAATGACTCGGACATTGCGCACTTTCACTTTCACTTTCACTTTCACTTTCACTTTCACTTTCACTTTCACTTGGCCTCAGTTCCGAAAGTGGTGCGTGAAGATTTGTTTCTACGCCACATGCTAGTTGTACCAGGCCGAGTACAGAAACAGTGCGGCCGCGTCCACCTCTTGTTCTGGACTGCTAATATTTTCAACCTGGAGTAGGAGTTCTTTCACTGTCGTTTCGTGTCCATCGTTCGCAGCAACGTGCTTTTTGTTCCCAGTAGAATGGGACGCAGTAGTTCACAGAGCAAAGTAGAACTAGCTCAAGCCGGCGTCGTATTGCAAAAAACCTTTCGTTCAACGTTCAACACAAATCAAAACGTGCGCCACGTCGGAACATCTTTTAAACGTGCTCTACGACTACGTGTGTCCGTCCATCTTGGCAATGCTGGTCGTATGCCTCGCACTCCAGAAGTACGATCGTATGCCTCGTCCTCTAGTCTGTTAGATGCTAGTACAACGAAGCTCAACTCTCTACTCTTTCCATACGAGCATATACTGAACGCCACCTCTGAACTGCAAACTGGTAGTGACGTTGCGTACAACTGAGGCTAGAAGTCCACCTCCGTACAGTAAAGCATAACCGAAGTAGTACAAGTCCAACAGCATAACCGAAGAACAAGAACTGTAGTCTCGACGTCCAAGAACAGTCTACTGATATTCCAGAAAGTTTCGTCCTCATAATTTTCTTCGCATAATATTCTTACCGAAGTACTTACCAGCACCCCGGACCTGGATGTCATGAATGCTAAATCTACGCTGAACCGAATAAAACCAGTTCCCACTTGTTGAACTTTCTTCTCCCACCAACTTCTAGTGTTTCTACTGTCCCACGTTGCCTCTAGAAATAAGAAGCAGTAAGGAACTTCTGTCGGAAGAAGGAAGTCCTGTAACAGAATCAACAGAAGTGATTGCGTCGTAACAAAAACAAACGGCCTTCACGAGGACAAAAAAAAATGTCGGGCAAGGAGGTCGTCACGACTTTGCCGCAGAAGAAGACCAAGGGTGCAGGGTCGCGGCGGGTTGATGCCGAGGAGGAGCACTTGCGGGATTTGTCGAACGCCATTGTTTATCCTGGAAAAGAATGCACTACAACATCACCTCTCGAGTAGAAGCAGGGAAATGTAATAAGTTGGCAAGGGGGCTTTACTTCGGTCTTGCGATGCATAGAAGCATGACAAACTACACTTCCGCACGAGATGAAAGCAGGTCGTGGTCTTTCGGTTGAAATTGAATCAATAGTAATCAGCATGACAGAATTCCATATCGCTTGCCCCTGCGCATCACAAATACAGTCTGCCATGATTCAGTTTCTCTGGTTGGTGAGAGATGGTGAAGATATGTTTGCCGCGCATAGCAGAACCTCTGCCGAGTACAAAGAAATGACGGGTTTTCGGCAGGAATGCCACGAATATGCATTGCAAATATGTCTGGGTCTGGAAGAGTGTAACTTGTCATGCTACATCTGGATCGTGGAAAAATTTGTGTTGCATGATTACCAAAAGAGGTCCACTTTTGAACAAGTTTAGAGGCAGTTTCTCATGCAGAAAAGGCATGATAGAGATCTCGCAGAACCTGTCATGCTAGGCCGTGCATGCCAGACGGCGGGGGTCATGGAAAACCTGTATGACAAACCTAGCACTCTTCCAGACCCAGACATTTTTGCATTTGATAACGAAGAGGAGGTCGCAAAAATCGTCAAAGTCCGGGGGTTGATCGGTATGTTGGTTTTACAGGTTCATCCTTTCAGGAGTTGCAGTAGAGTACAAGAACTGCAGGTGGATAGATATGAGATGAGATGATCTGTCTGTCATGCAGAAAGACCAGAGTATTTTTTACGATTTGCAATTATGATGCGGGTAAAAGAGCTTTTGCTTTGAAGATGCAGGCGCTTCTCATATTATCGGCACGAGAAACTACCCCGGGATGCTTGTATCCATTTGGCCATCTGCGCTTTGCTTGGTTATGTTTCGGCAGTAGTGATCTGCTGGTGATTACAAATAGAATGGAGCCTTTGGAAGACATGCACCGAAAACAATTTCGCTAAACAGAAAACTTCCCGGACGGGCCGCTGCTGCAGTACCGACGATCGTTGAAGCGCAGCACGAGCAGCCTGTTACTGGACCTTGACATCTATGCATTGCAAATATGATTGGACGATCTGGAACTACGAGAGTGCAAGGTTTTCATGTTTGTCTTGCATCAGAAGTGAAGAGTTTGTGACGCGTCGTGCGTAAGCAGAGACAAAAATACCCGTTTGCTTGACATGCACAAGCGCAGTTTTTCATGCGGAAAACGCAACACCTAGCGGCCGCGCAAATAGTTCTCATGCACGGCTGTGCATCACAGCCCATTCATTATCATTTGTCACAACCCACAATTACATATTTTCCAGACATGATCCGGGAATATTTGCATTGGATAATGGGTACGATATCGCCACGCGGGAGGGGAACAAGAAGCGAGTTGCCCACATGGCCCGGTCCAGTCCCTGGTTCAAGAAAAATTTCGGGCCGTTGGCAAGTACTTTTTTGAAACAAAAATTTTGATTTTCACAAGTTCGCTCCGGGAGAAGAAAAAGAGTTCTATTTTGATGTCATGCTGATTGATGTCGAGCAGGTGAAAAATAGGTTTCTGTTTTTTGCAATATAAAAAAGCCGCTTTGAAAACAACAATTCTTTACGAACTACTTCAAAACAGACATTTCGAAAAACCCCTCCGCTCCGGGATTCCTCACCTTCAACCGGGAAGATGCCCCTGCTCCGGGGAGCCAGCGGGTATTCCATCGCAACAGCATCTACGTCCGCGAGCCCAGCACGTACCTATCGATTGCAAATTTCGATCTGGGTCTGGGAGATTGCGAGACTTGTCATGCTAGTCTGGCATGACTCCGGGATCTGTATTGCGGGGAAACCAAGTACTAGAGCTCCTCTTGATTGTCATGCAAATACACAGTTAATTCTATCGTGCGGAATACGCAACACAGAACCATGAAAATAAAACTTGTCATGCTTGGCGGCGCATTACAGGAGTGTGCTTACTATTCAGTGACTTGCATCACAACTTCCCAGACCCAGACATATTTGCATTTGATAGTACAGGAATCCAGCGCTGACGAAAACGAACTACGCACTGGTCATTCCGCTGGACCAGGACTAAAAAGGGCGGGAATTCATTATAAATGGAGCAGAAGTTGTTGTAGTAGAAGAACAATAAAAGCAGGTAGCACTAGATAGAAGAAGTAGTCTCAGTTCAATCAGTCGTAGCGGTTAGTTGTCTGATTTTCTATGCCACATTACAGTAAGTATCCTTTTCACAATTTCATTTTCATCAGCACATCGACGCATGAGGCACATTTTGCATCAGGGAAGTGTTTATGGGATGGATTCAGCGATTCAAAAGTAGGCGATTCAAAAATTTTTCTTCAACCATTTGACATCTTAAAGTTGTAAAACAAAACGAGACTTATTCTGTCATACGTTTTTGATGTTTTGTTCCCGGTTCCCAGACGCCGCCGAAGAGAGTATGAAGCCAAACATCTAGCTCGCTCTCAACTTGAATTAGATACATAGGCGACATCTGTCACGCAGAAGAAACGAGCGGAATTAAGCAGCCCTACATAGTCAAAAACGAAAGCAGTCAAAAATATAAGTGGCAGCAGCGCTGCTAGGCCGTCCTGGGGAAGACATGCGCGCCACCTGTTTGAAAGGGGCCCCGCGGCCTATCTTCAAACCGAGGCGGATACACCGCCGGACGTAGTTGCTTCTGCTAGGTGGCGGCGGGCAGGGTTTTGGGCCTGCGCTCATGAAAGACCTGGGCCCACCCCAGCATGGCTTGATCGCATTGTTATCATGCGGGCCGCTTTGCCAGCAAACAAAACAACAAGCGCAGCCTGCGACTACTTTGTTGTCTCCACGAAGCCGCAAACCCCGGGCCGAAATGCCTTGGGATAGGAGCGCAAGCTCTAAACCCCACGGCCGCTACGGCGTCGGAGGGTATGTGCCCACGGAAAGCCCCCAAAGAGGGGCAATCTCGTGCGCTATTGCACCGGCCGACGCCGTCGGGGCTCGAGCGCCAACCACGCGAAGGGGGGCCGCTTGAAGGTAAATCACGAGTATGGTTTGGGCGTTTCTGTGTGCTCCATGTGGCTCGAGGAGGTGCATGGGCGAGGCAAGCTAGGCGCGCAAAGGGTCGCGGGGGATCGTGGCGGCCCCGGAGCTAACGGTCGAGCAGTTCGGGCTGTAGAGCGCCACTCCACAGGGGCGCGAAGGGCATGGTGGTGATGGTGGGGGCGCAGAAATGTTGAAAAAAGGCGCCACAGCGCCGCGATTCGGTGAAAATGAATTCGGTTTCGGTTCCCCGACCTGTATCGGTGGTTTTCGTTCATGGAGGGCCTCCATCCGGACCTCTATCTTGGGAACCATCGAGAGCCGGTATCACGACCTGACGCTCGATCCAGATAGAGGTCATTTTGGACCGCTTTTTTCCCCAAAAAAGACCTCATTTGAATCGCTCCCTGCAAAAATCCAGCTTTTGAGTACTGCCCGCTTGATAGTTGCTCCAAAAATACATCTTTCCAGCAATTTTGCTGCACTTTTTGGCTCTTTTGCAATGGCGCAGCGCCTGATGGGCAGCTGCAATGCTTAAAGGCGGCGCCCCATTTTGCTGCCGAAAAAAGCCGAACGTCTTGCCGAAGAGAAATAACGAGAACGACAGGCCACCACCGCGGAAGCTAGCGGAGCTTTTTGATTGATGGCGAGGTTGGCATACGCCTCCCGGACATATCCTTTTCACAATCTCATTTTCATCAGCACATCGACGCATCAGGCACATTTTGCATCAGGGAAGTGTTATTTGCTTTGTATAAAAAAACTACGAGTAGAAATTTCAAAATTTTGCTAGAACGGGCAATGTCGTCGTGTATTATGAAATTTTTTTCCCCTGTATCAGAGCAAACCAGCATCACTCGCAGTCGATTAATATGAGCTTGTAGTTTTCAACATCAACGTTGTCACAGCGCTGTATCCTTCATCTGCATGAAACAGGAAATGACAAAGAGCAAATGTCGCAAGAAGTAGTCGTGTATTATGCTTCAGTCATTCTTTTTATCGGAACCGTAATCCTAATTATGTCATCGTCAAAAAATATATGCAATACATTAAAAACTCCGCGAAGTAAAAATGTTTACTCCTTTTGGCTCCTTTGGCTACCCCTTCCCTGTACTAGACGCGTTTCAAATGAATCGTGGTTCCGTCAATGTTATTTCGGATGAAAAATGTTGGCACTATAAGTAACGCCCACTGTACCTCCAAAACATGACCTCATCGGTCCGGCGGACCTTTGTTCGAAAAAATCCTGGCAGTACTACAGCGCCCATCGCTTTTTTTCAGGCTGCACACTGACTGGTGTGGTGCAGTGTCTGCTCTTTGCGGTTTATTTCCGTGTTCCGCCTTACTTTCTTTGCGAACGAGCCGGTTCGTTTGATTTTGTTGTGGTCACGAAGATAAGGATACACTACCATAATTCTTGTTTCACGATCAACGCTACCGCCGTTCTTTCAGGATCATGCTGTTGAGTGTGGTGTACGCAAGGAACCAGCTTAGTAGTTGTCATTTTGTTTTCCGAAAGTACGACGCTGTCCTACTTGTTTTGTCGCGTCTCGCGTAAGAACATGATCAATCTTATTGTAAGCGCACGTTGCTCCTCTCTAGCGGCATCCCCTCGTGGTTCGCGCATTTTTTGAAACTTTCTGATTCTGATTCTGAGTAAACGTAGTGTGAGTTTACTTGGATCTTTGTCGCTTCGGTGGCTGTACTAGTCGTGTGTTTTTGATTTACAAGGATGGCGCTTATTTTTCTTCTGTGCAAGAACACGCAGCTCGGGCACTGAACATTGACGAGAACAAGTCGTCTTGTTGAAATTACAGGTGGAAGTGCAGCTGCTCATCCGCCCCGCGTGAGCGAGCAATTGCTTTGACCACGGACGACTACGGGGACCAATAGCCGGAGATAATTTTCTAATCATGACCAGCCCCATCTCCCAAGTGGAGAACAACTCCGGGAAAAAGCAGCTGGCGCTGGTGCTGTATCTTCAGCAAAAACATCCCCACCCCAGAGTTGTCATGCAAATGCGCACTGACAGGAGCATTTGATGGAGTGCGCATCTCTATGAGAGGCATTTCCAATCGTGTTTTGGACTTTGTAATGCTGTAAACAGGAAGATGAGAAGCGGGGCTTCTCACACGGCTGCCCTTGCTAACCAGCACTACACTGCAGATGGAGCTTTGTCATGCGCAACTCCCAAAACTTGGAGATTTGTGTTGCAATTTGCCAACTTGACTATGGAGTGGGGACGTTTTTACATAGGATATGCTGCTGGCCGCGGTTTTGCTGGGCCAACTGTACACGTCGCGGGTGCTCTACTTATGCAAAGGGACATCACAGGTTCTGGGCTAGTAAAAGCATTTTTCGTGTTGTGCCTGCTGACTCAGAGCAGCTGCAAAATCCAATAAATTCTGTATTGCAAAAATGCTAGTGTGGATAAAAAATGCAAGTTTCAGGAGTTTGTTGTGCATTTTCGCGACTTAATCTTTTGGCTGGAGAACGAAAAAGTCGAAGAACCCCCCAGATGACCTGTTTGCACTCTGCATAGCAAACGAGCCTTTACAACAACGAGATTCAGTTGGATTGCTGCAGCGCGGACGTTGAGACTCTCTTTGACGAGGACGATGATGGAAGTTACGACGCTGTTGACTCCACATCGCATGGAAATGGAAATTCGGCCCCTGGAGTCCCCGGCGGTCACGCATCCTCCTCCCGCGGACACCAGAGAACGACCAACCCGCCCACCATCATTCCGCGGGTGCAGGACATCGCCACGACGCACCACATATGAAATGCAAGTATGTCTGGGTCCTCTGGAAACTTGTGATGCTGGCTTGGGAATGGTGGACACACTGCAATACGCAGCCAAGCATGACAAGTTCTTGAGCTGCTATGTGTTGCGAGTTCCGCATGGCAAACTGCGCTATTGCATGACAGGCACGCGACTCCCATCCTGCTCATGCAGCACAGAGTTAGGAGTCATGAGCGACAAGCATGACAAACTTCCATTCTACTTCCAGACCCAGACATATTATTTGCAATGCATACCACAGCCCCCAGGTTCGGAAAACCACGCACCGGCCGGTCACGCAAAAGGCATCTGTGCGCCCGGCACGACCAAGTGGCAAAACTGGTAGTAGCAGTGATTCCACCGGAGTAGAAATAAATTCTAACGGAGCGAGCGGCGCTGCGCAGAAAAACACGATTTTAGGCGACAACGCAATACAAAGCATCTTCGGGGATGACGAGGAGGACGGGGTGGTGGGAACAATGGGCACGGAAGGAGAGGGAGAACAAATAACTACAGGACCTGGTACTTCCACGCATATTCACTTTAGATAAGTTCACAACTTCATATATTACTAGCCTCGCGTTCTTTCACTTTTTGCAGAGTCCTCGTGAGGTGGTCAGGCTTCAATGTCCACGCTTATTTCCCTGGACCTTTGCTTCATTTCGATAATATGAAAAGCTTGAATTTTCGTATACAAAGAAACACTCAGCGCAGCATCCTTGTCCTTCGTCTCTGTACAGGTAGCGCGGCCTCTTCACCACCAACTACAGTGCCAGCAGTACAACAAACAACTAGCAGCACAAGCGTACAAATCCTGCACCCAGCAACCCTTTCCCTCCCCGATTACCTCCAAGTGCACGCGGCAAACCGGCTATGCAAGTAGAAAAAAACTGTGTAAGTGTAAATCTGTGATGCAAAAAATGCAAAACAGTTACACTTGCCATGCTGGAAGTGCGTCATAGCCGTGTTTCATACGTGTTTTCACGTGCTATCTGCGCACGACAGGTTTTTTCTGTAATGCAAATCGAATTTGTGATGCTTTGCGTTTGCTGCTGTTTCTACAAAGTTACACTCACACAGTTTTTTTCCTGGATACCGGTTGGGGGTGATTCTGGGAGTATTCTGCGTAAAAACGTCCCCACACCATAGTCAAGTTGGGAATCTAGCAACACAAATCTCCAAGTTTTGTTATAGCTGTGCATGACAAGTTTCTCTCTGCAGTGTAGTGCTGGTTGGCAAAGGTGGAAGCCGCACGAGAAAGCCGCTTTCGCATCCTGTTTACAGCATTCCAAATTCCGAAACACCATTGGAAATGCCTCGTCTCGTGGAGCTGCGCATTACAAATGTTCCTGTCATTGCACATATGCATGACAACTCTGGGGAGGGGACGTTTTTACAGAGGATAGGGAGTCGGAAAAAACTACGCCTTCTCGCTGGACTTGTTGGGAAGGTGGACGTATCCACTGCAAATATGTCTGGGCCTGGAAGACGAGTCTGAGTTTGTGATGCTAGGTCTGATCGACGCAAGAATCTGTATTGCATGACCAGCAAAGCAGGTGCCCAATTTTGGAGTAAGTACTTACGAGAAGCAGGCAACGCTTCTTCTCACACAGACTAGGCGTCGAGGATCCTTCTCAAGAAAATTTGTGATGCTGAGCCCGCACTCTATCTTCTCTTGGTCATGCGAAACCTGGTGCTTCCACACCCAGACGTATTTATTGCTCTGGATAGAGCGAGCTCCATTGGGCTGTATTTAGTGGACCCCTGGATTCACTTGGTGGGATGCGGGGCTGCAAGAAAAGCTGGGAACGCAAATTCTTTCACATTGCAGGAACAAGACGGGCAAAATAAAGCAGCAGTAAAACCATCACCATCTTCTCCCGATTGCACCTTTCCCACCGATAAGCATTGCAAATATGTCTGGGTCTGGAAGATTGCGAGATTTCTCATGCTAGTTTAGCATGACTCAGAACTCTGTATTGCGTGGGGCCAACATCGGAAGATGACCTCGTCTTGTCTGTCATGCAAAAACGATGGTTCTGATGCGGAATACGCAACACAGAGCCACGAGAACATCTGTCATGCTTGGCGGTGCATTACAGTGCGCTTTCTATTCACTGACATGCACCACAAGTTTCCAGACCCCGACATATTTGCACTTGGTAACCGACCAGGAAGCGCAATTGACGTTTGAGTCCGTGTATCCTGTGCAAAAGTATCGTACTCGTATCGCAATCATGCATATACAAATCTTTTTCTTAAGGTGAATCTGCATAATAGATTTCCTGTCTCATGCTGAGGAAATTTGTAATGCATTTATACGAGTGCGATACTTTTGCAGTTCATACCGTGCAGGAGCAGTTTAGCATCAATCCAACTTTTCAGAACCGGCTCTCTTTCGTATGACAGTGAAAATAGCCTCTCCTCCCTCTCATTTGTCATGCAAAGCTCCAAATCGAAGTGCTTCCCTGTGGCACTTTTAGCATGACAGATGATTCCGGAACGACCCCAAACAGTACTACACTAGAACTGCATGAATTTGTCATGCACAGGCTCCACGTGTGCTGGTGTTTGTATTGCTGTTCATGCTTAACAAATGAGGGGGAGGGGGAGTTGTCAGCACTCTCATATTTCGTGCGAGACTTGGCGCACTCTTTCGCAGACACTTTTCGGACCTCGGGGATGAGCAGTCAGTATCCCAAGCAAAAACGTCCCCACCCCGTAGTTGTCATGCTAATTCGCAACTAACCTGAGGCGTTTCTCATGCGCAGCAGCTCCATGAGGAACTATTGTAAAAATGCTACCCCTATCTGGGAGGTAGAGTTTGTCATGCTGGGAAAACAAGAATACGCCATTCGATCTGTGATGCAGTTGCACCACCTAAATCTATCACGAACTTGTCATGCGCAACAGCCAAACCTTCTTGATTTGTGCAGCACGAGCCCCATCTTCACTGTGGGGTGGGAGCGTTTTTCCCTAGGATAGTCAGCTGGGCTTCGTCTTCTTCGACAACGATTACGCAAATTTGGCTCGCGATTTGAACGACTGGGCCGTGCTCAACACGAATTTAGTCCTCGCTGGCACCGGGTTTGGCAATCGGGAGGGAAAAGTGAAGGAGCAGGTAGTATCAAAAGGAAAAATCTCCCCACCCCATATCGAAAACCAAATTTGTGATGCTGTATTTGAGTACACAAATCGACGTGTAATGCTAGAAGGCCAGGAGCCGCCACTGTGGCCTCGTTTGCAGGCCATTTTCCATGCTGTTTCCCACTTCCAGCTGCCTCCTGTCATGCTGAAGATGCAAGGCTTTCCCACGCCACCCAGCACCACTACTGTATTTCCCTTCTAGCATGACAAAGCTGATTTGTGACCACAAATATGCATCACAGATTTCCGTTTTGATATGGGGAGGGGGGATTTTTCTTCTTGATAGGTAGAGACATTCGCGGTCGGCAGGAATATCCGGGAAATCTCGGTTTTGCCGGGGGGCGATGTGTGGATGTTGAGGGTCGTGTGAAGGATAATTTACTACAGCTGTTTCTCCACATCACAGGAGGAGCATGAGAAGTTCTTGATCACATACCAAGATGTTGGTAATGAGTTGTACTTAGCGGAGATTTGTAGTTTCAAGACATGAATCCGATTTGAAATGAACGGTCATAGTACTCTTACTCGCGCACAACAAAAAATCTTCCAGAAACGACACTGGGGCGGCAAATGAAGTAGAAGAAAAACATTTGTTTCGTCTTTACCTCTTTCGTACCGTGGCGTTCTTTCGCGGCGGAGGAAGGCATTCTTTCGCGGCGGAGTACAATGTTCTCGGTTCTTGTCTTATTTTGGTTAGCTTCCGTTCTACCTTTGTTCTGCTCGCTTCTTGATGTACAGGTTTATACGCATGCCTGCGTCACAGAAAAAAGACTCGGTCGTTTTTTTCCGTGGTATTAAATTGTACCAACGATGAAATGCTGAGGAGGGAAGGGAAGTTTAGGCACACGAAGAAGAGCACCAGTAGACTCACACCTATCACCGTGACATTGGTTGACAAGAAACACACTTGCCAGCATGGTTAGCGGTAGGGCAAGGTAAAATTATACGTGAAATAAAGATAGCAACTACATATCACCGCCCACAAAAATGCTGCCGCGTCGGGGAAAAGACCAGCACTCACCCCAGTCGTGCTTTCCAACACGAGGAGGGAACCTTAACCCTTCCTCGCAGCGGCCCCTGCTGGCGGGTCAGGGTTTGTTTGCGCAAATGAATGCAGCGCAGTCGGCAAAAATGTTGCCGAGTGTTAAAGCAGAACCCAGCGTGGTAGGTGATGCGGCAGCTCCGGCGGCTCCCGGCAGTTCCGGCGGTTATGAAATGCAAATATGTCTGGGTCTGGAAACTTGTGATGCTGGCTGGCGAATCCTGAGGACGCCACAAGTAACTGCTCAGCATGACAAGTTTCTGACTTGCTAGGTGTTGCGCATTCTGCATGACAAACCGCGTTCCGGCATGGCAGAAAAGTGGGGCTTTTGGGTAACGAGCATGACAGACTTTGGAGTCATGCTAGCAGAGCATGACAGACCTTCCAGTCTTCCAGACCCAGACATTTTTGCAGTCCATAGCGGTGCTCCAACAGCCATGACGTACGCCGACCTGGCGCCCTCCTCGTATTCTGTGCAAAAGTATCGTACTCGTATTGCAATCATGCATTACAAATTTTTTTCTTAAGGTAAATCCGCATTACAAAATTATATTTCTCATGCTGGGGAAATTTGTATTGCATTTAAATACGAGTGCGATACTTTTGCAATCCATACCTCGCTGTTTGCAGCGAAAGTGGAGTATGGGGTGAAAGAAATGCATTGCTCAGCTGTTTGGAGTAAATCAGATGTGTCTACTACTGTGCACGGATACAGAGACAGAGGGAGAGAGGAAGAACTGAAAAATCTTTCAAAAGTACTGTTTGCATGCCTGAGCTTTGCGTGCAGCTGCACTCTCCGCTTCTTAGCAAAATGAAGTCCCCAGCAGTCGTACTGCATGCCATTTCATTTTTCCAAACATGCTGTAGTCAAACAATTTTTCCCCCCCACACCCCAAACGGACTGCAGACGGGTGCAATCTACTGGGAGACCAACATGAACCCTTTCAACGGGGCCTTTGGGCAGGGAACGTACTAAGTTTTAATGCTCTTTCTGGTTGATGTTTTCGTATTCGTGCGCATGAAAAACACTTTAAGTATCTGTGTGATGCGCGTTGCTGCATGACAAACACGTCCTTCACGCCATCTCAGGTATGGCCAGAAGTGGTCTTGGCAACTATTCGACGACTCGGTGAGGAAAATGTTTGGTTTGGACGAGGACACGCGGATACGGCGGACTGGAGCACGGCTTTGCGTCGTTGAAGCCGAATTTGTCATGCTGATTTAGAATTATGCATTTACTGCTTCGGGAGTGGAGCGCATGACAACTTCGGCTTCTACGAGGTTCTAGCGGTATTTTCCTTTTCATACCTCAACTGCCCGATGGTTTTTCACAACGACGAGGTGTTTGATGTGCATTGCAAAAGCATCGTACTAGTGTAAATCGCATGACAAATTTTATCAGCGTGAGAAATGGAGTCTGTAATGCTGGTTGCCCTTAGGTGAAAAATTTGTAATTCATCACTGCAATTGCTACGAGTACGATACTTTTGCACTGGATATTTGACCGGAGTATGAAATGTTTCCATTCTGAGGTGGACAAGTGTTTCTTCTTTCTGATGCTGATTTTTTTTCGTCATGCCAAGAGACTGAACCAACACCAAAAGGTAGTTCTACTGAACATGCATGGCAGACCGAGCTACGAAAAGAATGGTCAGTCGGAAAACGGAGATCAAAATCGCATGACAAAAAGACTACTTACACTACTTCTCACCAGCTTTATTTCCATACCTCCCTGGGTGCGAGACTATAATGCGACGGACCGAAATTTTTACCAGCTCGTTCCGGCCAAGAAAAAGTGGAACTTCAGGTATAAGTAGTTCGTGAATTACTATATGATGATGATTAGTACTTTTTACCTTTATTTGTGCTACGCATGACAAAGATTCTTTCTCATCCGCTTTTGTGCATGACAAACTACGAATCATTCACTTGTAAATCAGTTTCTTTCCGACCGGTACCAAAAACCCGCTGGAGTGCAAACAGGAAGGCGACATCTCCCGTATGACCTGCTCAAATCGGTTACCATCTCAAACGTTACAATAGAGTCTGGATGTTTGCATGACAGACTCGGACAGCATTCCACTTTCTGCAATACAAATTGCGCCAGATAATTGTAGTGCGGTTTGGGACTCCGACTCCGGAGCTTGTCATGCGCAATCGTCCCGTGGAAGTCGGCTAAATAATGCACCTCGTGCATCACAGATTGATTTCCATATTCTATTGTACCGTTTGAGATTGTTGTAGCACCTGAGCTGGTTATATCCCGCGCGGACGTTTTTACCGGGGTTTTGGCGTCCTGTCTGAAGGTGGATTTGGCACACGCGATGGCCTGAGCTGGTGCGAGGTCCTTGGTCTACTTTAGACAAGTTGTTGAATGGACCACTTGAGGACAAGATGAACAGGTGCTTTTGATGTCTTGCAAAAGTTTCACAGGAAGAACATGATTTCTTTGAGGAATGATTGGATAGGTTCAACGAGGATCGCTGTCAGAGCCGGCGAGACAGAAACAAGCACTAGGTGTGGTCACTGTGCGTGCGCGCATAGCGGGAAAGGCGGCATGGTTGCGAAGTGTTACAATTTTTCGATCTTCTGGTGGCAAAGATCAAAGCAGTTTTGCTTGTCCACGATCGATGTCAAGGACTGTGTACGCCTATCGGTCCTCTAAACTAAGGGACCTCTCGTTCTTCTTACCACTCTCTTCCGGTAGACGTTCTGCTGTCTAGAAGCTTTCGTCGTGCTGCTTAGGAGCTAGCAGCCATGTGCTTGACGAAGGACATCCGGCTCTGTGAGCTGCTATCAGAAATAAAGCAAGCGTTCCGTTCGGATCAAGCAGTTTCTGTCTGACTGTTTCCGAAGATCACGATTCTTTGTTTTTGGAGATCAAGACTTTCAATCCGCTCGTGGTGTTTTCGTCGAACTACGAGAGGATGAAGGTATTTTTCTTGATCGTGATAGTACTGCGCTTTTCTGTTTCATATGATGTTGTACCCTGAATAGTGCACCAGCCACCCCGACTTGTTCTCACGATTGAATTTCAGCTGCAGGAGACCTTGATTTATCACTTTTGCTGCTCCTGCTTCTGATCTTTCCAGCACGATGAGCTCCACTAGCATAATTTTTAAGAACTACACTTATTTTCCAAAACCAGCGGTGCAGTTGCCGCCCAGACGGCGGATTTATTTATTGCGAGCCTCCTCTTCTACTTCCCCGTGGCACGACGCGTTTTCCACGAGTATTTCCGGCGCGCCGTCGTGCCCGAATACCAGGTCGGTATCAACATCTTGCGCTTCTGCAAAATCTGCAGCCCCCACGAGCCCGACGTTCTCCGGACCAGCACCTCGTCGCGGAACGCCGGAAATTTTGCCACTACCCTCCAGACTAACACGTAGTAATGTAGCTTCAGAAGACCACGACGGCATAGTATCAAATGCAAATATAATGTCTGGATGTGGAAATTTGTGTTGCTGACACTCGCAGCATACAGAGGGTACTAGCCGCTTGTACGGCATAGCAGGAGCATCAGAAGTTTGGAAAGGCTTGTTGCTGATTCATTCGGAAAACGCATGACAAACTTCCATCCAGCACGACAAAAAAACTGGCCCATCGCATTCATGCATCACAGATCTTCTTGTCCTTCAATTCTCGCATCACAAATCCAGACATCCAGGGATATGTGCAATGCATACATAGAGGAAGACGATGATGTCTTCGCGGAGCAGGACTACTACCAAGACTACGAGCTGGACGTTTTGGATTCCTCTGTATGATCGCGAGAAAAAACTGTCTCAGTCTCAACTTGTAATGCGGAACTTCCTCGAGACAGTTTTTTGTCATGCTGGAGATGCAAGAAAGACCGATCATCTTTCATATGTGTTAATATCCCTTGCTGTCTAAACGCATCAGAGATTTTTTGTTTCTTGCATCACAGAACTTTGTATTGCTGAGTCTGCAATAAAGGTTTGAGACTGTTGAGACAGGTTTTTCTTACGATGCTCTGTGGTAAAGCTCTACTACCCTTCAGCCTTCAACAGCACGGTAGCCGGAGAAGCATTGACGGCGACTGAAGCTCCTGCAAATGAAGTAGACCAACAAGAAGAAAGTGTGGACGTCGTGGACCCAGTGCAGCGGGGGCCGGAGTACAACTGTGACAGGGTACAACAGGTAGTAGGACACAGTTCTGTTGTCGCCGCAAGAACTTCACCAGCATCCCTTTCTGGCTTGAGACGAGGCGCTGTTGACGAGGACCACAGCGGTCTGTTGCAAATAAAAGGGGAAAAATATCAAATGTAAAAATGTCTGGGTCTGGAAGAATGCAAGTTTGTCATGCTTGTCTGGTATGACTCTTAAATCTGTCATGCACATTACCAAAGAGCCCCACTTTTCTGTCATGCAGAAACGTAGTTTGTCATGCAGAATAGGCAACACCTAGAAGCTCCGAAACTTGTCATGCTGAGCCAGCAACTGTCGCCTCCTCATGATACGCCACACAGCATCACAAGTTTCCAGACCCAGACATTTTTACATTTGATAAAAAAGACCACGGGGTTGAAGATGATTTTCCGAGGACAAAGAGACCAATGGAAGCCACTATCGCGAGGAAAATTGCCCCCACCCCCAAAGTTGCAAAAAATTTGTGATGCATAAGGTTTTCAAATGAAGAACTTTTTATCTATGCGTGAAAGGAGAGTGAACCTTTCTGATGCAGAGTCTAGGCCTGTTTCGCATCGCTTGCATGACAAACGCCGCTCTTGCTGGGATCTTCTGCAATACAAATTTTTGCTATTCACGAGCGGAAATCTGTGATGCTGATAGATGCAAGAGAGCGAGTGTTTCGTTTGGAAAAGTTTGCAATGCAAATGCTTTCAAGTTCGGGGGTAGGGGCAATTTTCATTGTGATAGCCACCAGAGTCGAACTCCTTGACACCGAAGAACCCGGTCCGTACAAAAAACGCCCAGAATACCACGAAAACCGGAAGATTGATACAAGTTGCGTGCAAACGACACCTTCGTACTACGCGGGTGATGGGAATAAAAACACTACTGCGCCTGACAAGAGCAGGAACAAGAATTTATTTCAGACCCACGAAGATCATTTTTCTTCGAAACGGCAGTTTCTCCAATCGGAGCTGGAGCAAGCGAATCGGGCGGGCTCTAGTTCGAGAGCCGCCGTTATCAAAAGGAAAAATCCTCCCTCCCCATATCGAAAAGAAAATTTGTGATGCAGATTTGTGACCACAAATCGAATTGCATTGCTAGAAGGCCAAGAGACGCAGCTGTTCCCTCGTTTGCAGGCAATTTGTCACTCTGTTTCCCGTTTCCAGTTGCTTCCTGTCATGCTGAAGCGCAAGGCTTTCCCACGCCAGCCAGCACTACAATTTGCATCTCTTCCCTTCTAGCATGACAACGTGATTTGTGATCACAAATCATGCTACGCAAATCTCCCTTTGAGTATGGGGAGGGGGGGATTTTTCCTTGCAATAGCCGTCGCGGGGAAAGGATCACCCGGCTCCAGCAGCAGTACTACAGGGTCTTCAACCTCAGTAGAAGCTCTGCAACTATTACATCCGGGTGTAGGCAGAGGGCAAAAAAGGGCGTTAAAATTCCTGGCGAAAGCTGCGGAGATGAACAACGATAGCCGGATTTGTAGTACTATCCTGAGCTGCAAAAACGTTCCCAACCCAGAGTGGTGGTGCAAACCTCATGCTTAAAATGCTTCCCTTTCTGAACCCCATGAGACGCATTTTCTAGTGCTGTTTTGAAATTTGTGAAGCTCGAATCAGCATGAGATGCGAGATTTGTGATGCTGCTGCACTAGCGCAACCGCAACGCGATGACATTGCGAACCCAAACTACCTGTCATGCGCAAGAACAGCCAAAGCGTGTTGATCTTGATTTCTCTATGCAGATTTTCCAACTTGACTGCGGGGCGGGGACGTCGTTTTCGCACAGGATATCATGTAGAAGTGGTTTATGGGACTGTCAGGATCGAAATCGACAAAATCGAAAAATCTGCAATGCATAAAATGTAGAGCACGGATGGCCTGTGTTGGGGAGCAAGCAAATGCGACCGATTGCAAGCCTGTTTAGGGAAAGACGATGTGCTGCCAGAGTAGCATGACAGGAGCAGTCTTCTTTGCCCAAACAGCATGACAGACTGGATTTTGGTGCTTCCGAAATTTGTCATGCGCCACTTGGAAACCGAGGCTCCAACTGGCGTCGATTTTGTGCATCACAAATTATTTCGATTTTGTCAATTTCGATTCTGACACTTTCATACGGTTCTACTCCTGCGAACGCTTCTTCCCTCACCTACCGACAGCGGCAGAAGCGATTAAAACTCGGGACCTGGTTTGACCCGAGCAAGGGGCCGATTCGGGTCCGGGTTCTAGATGTTGACCGCCTCTCGCAGAAGGATTTGCACACGGTATTCAAGTATCAATATCCAGTGCAAGAAATATGTCTGGGTCTGGAAGATTGCCTGGTTTGTCATGCATGCTTTGCATGACCCATGATGCCCGTAATGCATGACCTAGCATCACAGATTTCCTTTAGGGAGCTTTCTGCTGCCTAATCCGCATGAGAAATGCCCTCTCCGCGTAGCACAAACTGCGTTTCTATTGCTGGCCATGCAACACAGATTTTTTTGGAATCGAAAGACAGCATCACAAGTTGCAACCTCAGACACATTTGCAATGCATAATGAACTCGTGAAGTTCATTCCCGCGGAGAAGTGTTTGAAACTGTGTCACCGGATCGCGTTGTTTCGGGAGATATCCTATGTAAAAACGTCCCCACCCCATAATCGCCATGCAGGTCTGCATGCTGGAACATGTTTGTCATGCGCGGCCCCATGAGAAGCATGCTCTAGTCGTGTTTTGGAGTTTGCAATGCTCCAATCAGCATGACAGGCTAGATCTGTGATGCTGCTCCACGAGCTAAGCAGCATCGCACTACGAGACCAAACTTGTCATGCGCAACAACCAAAGCTGGTCGATTTGTCGAGCAGATTTCCCATCGTTCGTGACTATGGAGTGGGGACGTTTTTACTCAGGATAGGAGAAGTACTCGCAACAAAGCTACGAAAACCTGATTCGGCACTGCAGCGAAGATTATTTCGGGACGGTGCACTATGGGGGTGTCAGGATTGAAATCGACAGAGTTGAAATAACTTGTGATGCATAAAATCGATGCCAGTTGTTGGGAGCCCAATTTCGAACTGGTGCATGACAAATTTTCGGAGCACTGGAATCCAATTTGTCATGCTGTTTGGGCACAGAAGACTGCTTTTGTCGTGCTCCTTTAGCAGCTCTAAGTCAAACCCTAAATAGACTGACAATCTGCCTCACTTGCCATCCCGGCAAGACAGGCGCTTCGTGCTTTGCATTTTATGCATGACAAATCAGGTCAACTTTGTCGATTTCAAACCTGAGGCTTCCATATGCACAACGCGGAGTTGACGGCGCTGTTCACGCGGTGTTTTTCTACCATCTCCATCATCGAAGTGGTCGACTACGTGCGGAAATTCGGGCAGTTTTCCAAACCATTCCTCGCCGGGTTGATCGAAAAACAAACGAAGAAACGCGCGTTCGATTTCGTTCGGTATGAGAATCTGCCGAATTGCAAACCGCTTCCGCACCCGATCATCGCAAAGCCTTTTTCCTTGTCGAGTTACTTGTATTGCATGGGGAAATCGGACTGGAAAACCTTCGTCTTAGAGGAGCTGGATATCCTGCGCAAAAGTATCGTACTCGTATTGCAATCGTGCAGTACAAATCTTCTTTTTAAGGTAAATCCGCATTACAAATTTTATGTCTCATGCCGAGGAAATTTGTATTACAAATTTATTCTCATAAATGCATTTAAAATGCATTTATACGAGTGCGATACTTTTGCAGTTCATACTGGAAGAGAAGGGACAAATCACGGCCGGGGACTGCGTGACAGGCTTAACTTCCGAGCGAGAAAACAGGTTGGGAAAGAGCATCGCCGAGGAGATGCGGCTGCTTGGAACTTCTTCTACTACGGGGGAGGACCACGCGACGGAGTACTTTTCATCCTTGCGGAAAATTAGTAGACAAGATGGTCCCGCCCTTGTTGCACAGCTCTTACCTGGGAACATCAAGAAAGGCCCGCATGAAGAAGACACCGTAGAACAACAAGACGAGAAAGCCCTGCTGGTGGAGCAGCGACTCGCCATGCGGGGCATGCCTCCGCGGCCCGACGCCGTGATGGTATCAACTGTAAAAATGTCTGGGTCTGGAAGATTTTGACACCTGTCATGCACGTTTTGCATGAGCCATGATGTCTGTGATGCATACCGTAGCAATACAGACTTTTTGAGGGCTTCTTGATGCCGATTCCGCATGACAAATTTCTTCTCACCGTACCAAAAATTACATTCCCTGTGCTACTCATGCAATACAGATTTTTTTGGAATCCAACTGCAGCATCACAAGTTGCATTCTTCCAGACCCAGACATTTTTGCATTTGATAGATGGCGCATTTGTACAAGGAGCAGGACCATTATGGAAGCGTCAGGATTGAAATTGTCAAAGTTGAAAGAGTTTGTCATGCATAAAATGCAGCCCACAAAGTGCCTGCCTTGCAGAGTAGGCAAGCGAGGCAGATTGTAAGCCTGTTAAGGGGTAGACACTGAGCTGCTAAAGTAGCATGACAAAAGGCGTCATCCTTACCCAAACAGCATGACAAACTGGATTTCGGTTCTACCCAAATTTGTCATGTGCCACTTGGAAACTGGGCCACAACTTTTTATTCATTTTATGCATTACAAGTTATTTCAACTTTGTCGATTTCAATCCTGACACATCCATAAACATCAAATGGTAGATCAGCAGGGGGGCCACCAGGACATCAAGCTGTCTTCCGTCAGTGAAGACGAACTTGAACGAAAGGACGACGAAACCCTGAACATCGCTAGTAGAAGAAGAGGGAGAGGACCTTCAACTGGTGCAAGAACTACCAGCTCAACAACAACGCTGAGCACCCGCTTTCCGCTGCAGTTCACGAAAGTGGAACAACAAGTGGAGCAGAGACGGCGCGAAGAAAGCCAAATCGGCTCATCTTCAAAAACTGGTATTGCGGGCGGGAGCACAACAAGCACCGACGCGACGGCGAGGCGGTTCTTGCCAGACGGACCCAACTATCAAATGCAAATCTGTCTGGGTCTGGAAGAGTGTAAACTTGTCATGCAAATTTTCTATGGCCCATGAATCTGGAATGCGGGACCTAGCATGACAGACTCTGCGAGGTCTCTATCATGCCTCTCCTGCATGAGAAATTCGCTCCCAGCTTGGTCGAAGGTGGGCAGCTTTTGGCACTACAGTGCAACACAGATCTTTGCATGATTCGGACTTAGCTTGACGAGTTGGAATCTTCCAGACCTCTCAGACATATTTGCAATCCATACCAACATAAACAAGGATCATGCAGATGAGGCGCAATTGGTCATCGAGGAAAACGAGCTAAAGCTGCTACCCGGATGCACTACGAAGAATTTCATCCACCCGCCCGAGCGGTCTTGGCGGAACCGGGAGCGGTTTTCGTTTCTGCACAAGGGAAAAGTGTACTATTTGAAACGGAAACTGAGCTTTCGACCGCGTGAAGGAGCAGAAGCGTCAACAGCGAGGCTGCGCACTAGAGGTTTCTCTGACAGAAAACCCACGACAAGCTTCGCTTCTGATAGTTGTACTGCGTTAACTGTTTTTGGGGGCCGAAATGACGAAACTGCTGCTGCTTGTCAACTTGACACCGATGGAACAAAAGTGCCACCTTCTTCTTCTCTCCAAGTAAATTACGAGTGGCAGTCCCGCAAGGCGCTGAATTACTTCCAACCGCGGAAAAGACACCAGAGACACGCGGTGTTGCGGCAACGGCGGAAAGAGAAGCGGGTACTTGGGGCGATGGCGAGGCAAAAATTGCTCGGGTTGGAGAGAAGGATTTGACCGAAGCTCCTGCGGAATAGATGTAGTCCGAGCAGTGTGCTGGTCACAGTTGCATGTAGCACCGGTATTGATTCTATAGTGGCGAAGATCATTGAGGGTGATGGAAAAAGGAGCAGAAATGACGTTTTCAATACTCCACATCACGTGGTCCAAAGAAAAATCAATCGTGTTCGACAACAACGACCGTGCATTTGACAGAGAGAGGGCAAGACGGGCACTGTAACAGAACAACGAGAGTAGAACCAGGTGTTTATCAAGACCAGATATTCTTCATCGTCCACAAGAGCATGACTGGAAGTCTTTTTCAAGCGCAACTTCCCGAGCCATCAGGTCTCGTCCAACAACTCGTCCACCTAGAGGCGCTACTTCTAGCACCCAACCCTGCACGACATAGGTGCTTTGGCTTTTACCACTTGGCTACTACAACTATACTGGAATAATTATTTCATCCAGTTGTTTTCTTTCGCTCGTCGGTCAGGGACGATAGTTCATTCAACGACCATGCAGCCCGCGAGGAAGCAGGCCGCGCGGCAGATCCAGATCAAGATCGTGTCGGACACGGTCTGACCATGGTTATGAATTGCAAAAGCATCGTACTAGTATGAATTGCATTACAAATTTCCTCAGCATGAGAAATGAAATTTGTAATGCTGTTTTACCTTAGGAAGAAGATTTGTCATGCATATTTGCAATTACTACGAGTGCGATACTTTTGCACAGGATAATGGTGTTTCGTCGGCAAACGCCGACTGGAGACCGCGATAAAGGAGTACAATACGACGGCAAATAGAAGTACTACCGCACAAGAACACACACAGCAAACTCCTGCTGAAGATGACCAAGTTGCAACCAACGTGAACTTCAACATCGAATGGTTGCCGTTTCAGCTGAACCCACAGTTTCCCCAAGCCGAAAAGGTACGGAAAAGGGACTACTACGAGCAAAAATTCGGCCCCGACCGGGCGAGCCAGATCATTCCCTACTTGCAGAAGGTGGGGAGAACGGAGGATATAAATTTCAACTACGAGGGCTACACCGGCAACACCTTTAATTCCCTATGCACTACAAAAATGTCTGGGTCTGGAAGGTTGGAACTTGTAATGCTAGCTCTACAATCCTGGGAAATCTGTATTGCATAAGCAACAAAATAAGTCGCAGCCTCTTTTGTCATGCAAAAACGCAGTTTCTCATGCGGATTGCCTATGAGAAAGCGTTTTGGGAAGTTGTCATGCTGGGCTTCATTCGGAAGTTGTTTTCATCATGCACATTTTAGCATCACAAGTTTGCAGACCCAGACATAATTGCATTTGATATTCCCACCGCCTGATCTATTTGGCTTCGCGACCGGAGTACGGCGGGTCTTTGCAATATGGAGGCGTCAGGAGCGAAATGGACAAAGTTGCAATAAAATTTGTGATGCACAAAACCGATGCGAGTTGCTGGAAGCGCACTTTATAAGCGGCGCAAGACTACAAATGTTGGTAGCATCGAAATCCAATTTGTCACGCTGTTTGGGGCGAAGAAGTTTGGTTCTGTCGTGCTGCTTTAGCAGTTCTATTTCTAGTTTCAAAAAGTAAAAGGCTCGTCACAAGAATCCGCCTCACTTGCCACCTCTGGTGCAAGACAGGCATTTTGTGGCTTCCGTTTTGTGCATGACAAACTGTTTCAACCTCGTGGATTTCGGTCCTGACACTCCCATATGCAAAAGCAGGACACGGTCGTGGAGATATGCGTTGCAAAAGTATCGTACTCGTCTAAATGCATTACAAACTTCCTCAGCTGCATGAGAAATAAAAGTTGTAATGCGGATTTACCTCCAGAAAAAAATTTGTAATGCATGATTGCAATTACTACGAGTGCGATACTTTTGCACAGGATAGGAGATGCTTTTCAACAATTTTTTCGAGAAGGAGAACTGGATCGGGGAGTTTGACACGTTGAAAAAGATTATTGTGGCGAAAAAATTTCCTCTCTCCCCATATCGAAAAGAAAATTTGTGATGCTGAGTTGTGACGACAAATCAACTTGTATTGCTAGAGGGCCAAGAGACGCAGCTGCTTCCTCGTTTGCAGGCAATTTGTCACGCTGTTTCCCGTTTCCAGTTGCTTCCTGTCATGCTGAAGACGCAAAGCTTTCCCACGCCAGCCAGAACTACAGTCTTCTGCACCATCTCTTCATCCCTTCTAGCATGACAACGCGACTCGTGATCACACATCATGCTACACAAGTCTCCCTTGGAGGATGGGGAGGGGGGGATTTGATTTTTCCTTTTAATAAAGATCGGACTGGCGGCAAAAATCGAGGCGAAATGGGTCGAGAAATTGGAAAGCGACCCAACGTATCAAATGTAAAAGTGTCTGGGTCTGGAAACTTGTGATGCTCGGTGGCGTCTCATGATGAGGCTACAAATGCTGGCTCAGCATGACAAGTTTCTGAGCTCCTAGGTGTTGCCTACTCTGCATGACAAACTGCGCTTCTGCATCACAGAAAAACGGAGCGCTTGGGCAACGTGCATGACAGATTTAAGAATCACGCCAGAAAAGCATGACAAACATGAACTCTTCCAGACCCAGACATTTTTACATTTGATACAACGTTTTTGGCGTCCGAAGTGCGCACATTGTTGGAAGAAAGCCACAAGGGAAAATACGCGGTCAACGGAGTACCGGCTTTTTTTATCGGGTTGAATAGTAGGAGTTTTGCTGCTAGTGGCCGCGATAATGAAGGTGCACCGAAAAGAACTACGGTTCCTGAAGAAGACCACGATGGCGCATGTTCAGCAGGGGAAATTTTCGAGCCGGTTGTCGCGATCTCGGGGGCCCAGGAACCGGAGAACTTAATCCGAGCTTTTGACAGGGTTTTAAAGATATGCGTTGCGAATATGTCTGGGTCTGTAAGGATGCAAGGTTTGTCATGCTTGTCTGGCATGACGGAAGAGTTTTGTGATGCGTGTCCAAGAAGAGACCCTTTTGCTTGTCATGCAAAACACAGCTTGGCATGCGGAAAGCGCAACACTAAGCCGCGCGAATATTTCTCATGCTTGGCTGTGCATTAGAGAGAATTCACTACTCACAACTCAGCATTACAAGTTTCCTGACCCAGACATATTTGCATTTGATAAAAGAGCACTTCTGAATCGACATCGTCGGGTGGAAGGTAGAATTTCCGAGCGACGTCCCCGCAGTATGGTGAGTACGCGCTGATGCAGTCTTTTTTCAGGCTTTCTTACTCACAAAACCCCGCGCCTTTGTGTAAAGTTTCGAGGTCGGTTGTGGCTCTTTGCAGTAGATGAAATACGGTTTTCAGCACTATTTCAGCATCATTTTAGTAAAACTGAAGTCCTAGCATAAAAACTTCCTCTCTGTGGTTTGTCAGTTTGAAAAATAGTCTAGTGACGACCGTGCTGCTAGTTGAATTTTTCGCACGGTCTGATTTAGTAGACGATGGCACAACAACTGCGCGGGAACTGTTCGAGGAGAGGTGGACAATGATATAATTACGGGGACAGCAGCACAAAAGCAAGGCTGCCGGATTGCTGTACGACCTGAGTCAATTGATTTGACTTCGAAGAATAACATTTGTGCTTCATCATGGTGAAAAGCAAGACTTTTTTTATGGTTTCCTAGCCTGATGATATCACCAGGCAAAGAAGGACGAGCACAGGGTTGTAGTTCGTGGAAGATGATCGTTGTCCTACGTGTTGCAAGTAGGTGGCGCTCTCGAGATCAGCGGTTTTAAACGAATTGATTTGTATTGGGTCCAATAAATTTGCGGATCGTCGTGTCGATCCGAAAGTTCCTTCGCGGCAGCAAAATTGGCTCAAAGGAGGATCTTCGGCCGAAAACTCACGCGGCGCTTTGTGAGGTTGAAGGGAGACGACAACTTTTGTGTCTTTGCGACTAGCTGTATTTGCTTTTCTCATTTCCCTGCAGGCGACAAAGGGTTTTAGTAGCCTGATTCTAGTTCTTCATTCCAGCTCAAGAGCGAGTAGTTGTAGGTGTCAAAAATAAATAGCCGTCGAACATGATGTACTTACTTGTTCCAGCAACTAAGTAGTAGAATTTCCCATTTGTAGTAGATGTAGAATTTCCCATTTTTTCGCACACCTGTATAGTGATCAGATTTGTAAAAGCTGCGAGACATCATTTTTCAAATGCGCGACAACGACCACAAACGGCGGCAGCGGCAGCGGCGCGCCGCCGAGAAGCAGAGCCGGATTCAAAAGATCTTAGATCAAGCGTTGAGCGGACTGCCCAGGTTGGCAGAAATCAGCATCAATTTGGACAATTACCCCGGTAGGACTGGTGCAACTACAGGAACAAGTTCCGATGATTTATTGGAGAGCGCCGGCAAAAATAACGACTTCATTTGTCCCCCTTGCCCACCCGAATCAGGCCTGTCCGATCGGGCACAACGAGGAATTCCTGTTGCTACGGTGGGGGGACGAGACCGCAGAATATTCCCCCGACAAGGCGATGAAGATGCTCTCGAGACGAGGAACGACCCTGCTAGAAGCAACTCTCCATCCCCCTCTTCCGCGCGGTCCTTCAGTACAGATATCGAAGATTTGGACGTTCTTGACGGGGAATCAATCACATCCGAGGAGACGAAAGAAGAACCCTATTCGACGTTTAACACGGCAAAACTGGACCTTTTCCTGGAGTTCCCGGAGATCGAGCTGTCGAGCGAATTCGCGATTCCCTGGGACACGATCCCGAGCTGCTTGACCGGAAGTGGTAGTTTGGAACAGATCTGGGCGGTCTCAGGGGAAGGAGGAGGAGGGGGTAGTGGTGGTCATGGAGCAACAATAGCACAGAAAATACTAACCGGACAAGCTTCAAAAGATGAACAGAGTGCCAATTATACTAAAAACGGGCAGCGCGAAGGAAAACACGAAATTCCTCCTTCTTCCTCTCTATCGAATGCAAAAGCGTCGTACTAGGATAAATTGCATTACAAATTCGCTCAGCATTACAAATGAAACTTGTAATGCTGTTTTCCCTTAAGAGAGAGATTTGTCATGCATAGCAGCAATTACTACGAATACGATACTTTTGCACAGGATACTCACACCTGCTGAAAGCGGAGGCGAAGCGGTTGGAAAAATTTTTGAAGAATATGGATTGCAAAAATGTCTGGGTCTGGAAGATTGCAACTTGTCATGGTAAATCTGAAGCATGCAAAAATCTGTTTTGCATGAGTGCCAAAAGCTGTCCACTTTTGACCAAGTTGGAAGGGAGTTTCTCATGCAGGACAGGCATGGCGGAGACTTCGCAGAGTCTGTCATGCTAAGTCCCGCATTCCAGACCTCATGGGTCATGGAAAATCTGCATGACAAAGCTACACTCTTCCAGACCCAGACATTTTTACATTTGATAAAGAAATTGAAGAAGCAAGTTGCCGATGGCGATATCACGGAAGAGCAGATGGCAGAAAGACTGCAGAAGCACGGGAAACAACAAGGGCTGCGCAGCGACAGCAGTGGCACACCGGAAGTAGTAGAACAGGTCGCTGGTGACAAAAGTTGTAGCAATAACAACTCTGGAGGCGACAGGAGCGCAGTTAGTATAATTCCTGCAGGACGAGCCGCTTCGACTTCTATCGCCACTTCGACAAGAACGTCGAGCGCGCGACTCACTACACCGGTTATGACCGCCGCGCGGGACTTTCGGAAGAAGCAGCAAATTCAGAACATCTACCAAATGATCCGGGAAATGAGGATAGAGGAAAAGACAACTACAGAGGTAGAAACAGACGGGGACCACGAAAATTCTGCCATGCACAGCAGCAACACAAATGACACGAAAATAACGCACTACGATATCGTGGATTTCGGTTGCGGGTCCGGTAACCTCACCCTGCCCCTCGCTTTTCTCCTGCCCAACACGACCTTTCTCCTCCTATCAAATGTAAAAATGTCTGGGTCTGGAAGATTCTGAGACTTGTCATGCATATTTTCCCTGACCCATGATGTCTGTGATGCATGCCTTAGCATCACAGATTTTTTGGGGGCTTCGCGATGCCTTTTCCGCATGACAAATGCCCTCTCCGCGTAGCAAAAATCGCACCCCCTTTGCTGCTCATGCAATACAGATTTTTTTGGAATCCAAATTCAGCATCACAAGTTGCATTCTTCCAGACCCAGACATTTTTACATTTGATACCTCCTCGACAAGAACAAAGAATCCGTGGACCTGGCATATAACCCGCTCAGGTGTTACAATCTCAAACGTTACAATAGAATTTGGAAATCTGTGATGCAAGAATGCATGATCTAGTCAATTCTCATAGGATTGCGCATGACAGGTTCCGGAGCATCAAACCCCACTACAATCTGGCGAAATTTGTATTGCAGAAAGTGAAACGCTCTGCGAACCTGTCATGCTCATCATGCAAGACAAATCTCAGATTCTATTGTAACGTTTGAGATTGTAACGTTTGAGCAAGTCATATGGCAAAAAAGCGGGCGGAGTTTATCAGAATGAAAAACGCCTCCACCCCATTATATTCAAAAGACAATTTGTATTGCTGGATTTGTGTACACAAACAAACATTGTATTGCAGCAAGAGCGTTCTGGCATATGCTAAGCCCAGTTGGGTACAACTACGCATCCGGCTAGCAGCTGAGCATGAGAAACAGGTCGGACATAGGCGAAAAGGCATGACAGAGTCGCTGTAAAATGTGCCAAATGGCGGGTGCCGTTTGCCTTGTACGCAAGACAAAGTTGATTTGTGGCTACAAATCAGCATCCCAAATTTTCTTTTTGATATGGGGATGAGGGATTTTTCCTTACGATAGAGTTGGCGGGTCTGAAAAACGTGAAGGCAGTAGTTTCGGATTTGGCCTTCACGGTGACGAACGACGATTCCCACATTTTAGGAAGAAACGCCTCCTTCTCCCTCGGCCTGGGGCTGCACTGCTGCGGAAATTTCTCTGATTTGGTGCTGGAGATTTGCTTGCTGAAGAACGCGGACTGCGTTTTGGTGCCCTGCTGCCACGGGAAGATATTACAGTTGGATTGCTTCAAGCCGGTGGAAATAATAAATCGCCGTTTTGATCATTACAGGACAGCAAATCAGTTTGAAGATTTCCAGTTCCCCCGATCAAAAACGCTGAGATATCAAGCGCAAATATGTCTGGGTCTGGGAGAATGCATGTTTGTCATGCTTGTCTGGCATAAGCATGACTCTTAAATCTGTCATGCACGTCACCCAAGAGCCCCTTTTTTCTGTCATGCAGAACCGCAGTTTGTCATGCAGAATAGGCAACACCTGGAAGCTCCGAAACTTGTCACGCTGAGCCAGCACGTGTGGCCTCCTCATGATACGCCGCCCAGCATTACAAGTTTCCAGACATCCAGGGATATTTGCAAGGCATATGAGGCACCGCCTGGCCATGTTCCGTCGACAAATGAACAAGCAAAAGACCACCACTTCTACGACAAATCTCGTCGACTACTTTGAGTTATTGACGAAGTCAGCGGATAATCTGGAATGCGAGGAAGCCAAGATGCTTCTGGAGTACGACCGGGCACTGTATGTGATGGAGCGGAACTTCTTGGTCCGTCAACAGCCATATCAAATGCAAAAATGTCTGGGTCTGGAAGGATCCGAACTTGTGATGCTGCATTTGAATTCCAAAAAAATCTGTATTGCATAAGCAGCAAAGGGAATGCAATTTTGGCTACGCGGAGAGGGCATTTGTCATGCGGAATAGGCAACATCACGAAGCCCTCAAAAAGTCTGTGAAGCTAGGGCATGCATCACAGACATCATGGCCCAGGCAAAACGTGCATGACAAGTCTCAGAATCTTCCAGACCCAGACATTTTTGCAATTGATAAGCCAGTAATTGGTGCGATAGAAGAAGAAGGAGGGGCCGGTCGTGGTTCTGAAGACGCTTTGAATGATGTTGATCATAGAATTCGTTCTAGCAGGAATACGAAAAAAACGTATGAGATAGCGTTGAAACGATTATCTCCGCCGACCTGCACTGCGAAGAACCTAGTGCTGCAGGTCATTGGTAAAGCGGCGTGAAGTTATTATTTCTAGGGACTAATCAGAGCGGCACCGCATGAAGATTCACATCGGAGATTAAAACTGAAAAAAACTACAAGGAGCTCCTGCTCTTGTAAAAGCGACATCAAGAACGACATTGAAAATTTCTAATATACGCCGGGGCATACTCAATGATGATGCCTTGTGTAAAAATCGTGAAGATAATATATGCCTAGAAGCGTTGTTTTGATTTTCTGTGTTCATCTTCACGCTAGATCTTCTTTTTTCAGAAACATCCGCTAGTTCAAAAATCTGCGTTTTCTCTGTTCGTTCGAAGAGTCATTCTGTTTTGAGATGCCTCATTGTGCTTGTTCTGACTGTTGAGATAATATTTCTGTTCCGGAAACAAGAACGAACCAACAAATTATCCATAGCGTAGTAGAAGCGTCTGTGTCTCCTCTTTGCTGGAGCTCCTCCGGTTGTACTTATTTCGTGTAGAGATATTATAGCCGAAGTACGGCGGGGTAGGGGAGTAAGTAGATAGAGCTAGAAGTTTAGTTGTTCTGGTAAGTGAATATACCCTGCTGTCCGAAAAAAATTCAAGCAATATCCGTTCGTGTGTAGTGCGGTACAACAACTACCTGTTCTCTCTCTCTCCCTCTGTCACCGTCGTCACATAGTACGATGGCTTGCTCCGGCGTCGTAAAATTTTTCAACCAGGCCAAGGGGTTCGGCTTCATCGAGACAGAACAAGGCGATGTGTTTGTGCACGCAAACGATGTACAGGGCGCGCCATTGCAAGAAGGAGATGAGGTACTTATATAGAATAGAGGGCACTTCTTTTTTGGAATCTGGGACTGGGAAGCATCCCCATCACGGGCGGAGTTATGCCAGTCCCTCGGGGTGCAGCTGATCGAAACGGAGATAAGGGAAAAAAGAATCTCTTGGATCGGTCACGCAGCGCGGGATTCCTCGGGGGAGGGTTCCATCACAAGAATCCGCCGGGAAATCGAAGAAGGCACGCCATGGGGCAAGCTGGCAGCAGCAGATCTAGAGCACTATGGCCTGACGCTGCAAGACCTAGAGCTGCAAAAGCCGGCGGGGCCGGTGGTGCGCGAAATGCTGACAAGGCGCCGGCCGTACGCAACAGCCAAAAAACCCCCAGGAAAAAAGGGGCCGAAGCCGGGGCAGAAGTCCGAACGGGCGCAGGAAATGCAGGCGGAACGCCGAAGAAGGCTGGACCAGCAAAAGGCAGAAGAAGAGCAGGCGCGGGCACAGGTGGCCGCGAGTCTCCACGGGAAAAAGTGGAAACAGATCAGTAACAGGACGGGTTTTTGGGAATTGGAAGACGACCCAGGAATAGTATTCCAGGTGGGCGAGGTTTTCTTCTGCGAAAACACCGGCAAGGAAGAGGTGCAGGTGGCGGGCGTGTGGTTCCAAAAAGAATCTGACGGAACGTACATGGTCAGATAGTTAGGCCACAGCCCCCCACTAGAAGAAGAGCGTGATAACAATACACGCACGGCTACGATACTTTCGACAAATCTCTGAGCGAGGATTACTATTCAGAGACTAGCCCACGCGTTGACTTGACTTGACTTGAGGGCACTTCTTACAAGTGGTAGTGGTGCTTTTTGTCATGCGGAAAAGGAAAAGGAAATCGAAATGGGTTGACGTTGAGACGTAGTTCACCATCAACGTCGAGGTTGCTCCAGCTGTGGAATTTGTCATGCGAACGAGGCATAATTCAAGAAACGTATAGGGAAATATTAAAACGTAAAAATTTGTATTGCAAGAATCTTTCCAAACTAGGTTCATTACGACGAGTCCTTCGACGAAGCAAAGCAGAAGTCAAAGTACTGTGAGGAAAATGAATCCCCCATCCCATATCGGACAGAAAATCTGTGATGCTGGATTTTCGTATACAAATCAGTTTGTAATTGTATTGCTAGAGGGGCAAGAGACGCAGTTCTGGCCTTGTTATTGCGGGTAATTTGTTATGCTGTTTCCCACCTCCAGTTGCCTCCTGTGCCTGTCATGCTGAAAATGCAAGGCCTTTGCCTTCCCACGCGAGCCAGCACTAAAGTCCGCATGTTTTGCGTTTCTAGCGTGAAGACGACATGACTTGCGGCTACTAATCAGCATGACAAGTTTTCAAAAAGAAATTAGCATGACAAGTTCTCAGTTTCACTATTGGGTGGGAGGATATTTCATTTTGATGCAAAGGCCTCAAATGTCACAGGCGGAACAGGCGTAGAGAAGGGCTTCCGAAAAGGCGGGAAGTTCGTATGAACTGCAAAAGTATCGTACTCGTACTAATCGGATTCATGCATTACAAATTTTTTCATTAAGGTACATCCGCATTACAAATTCCACTTCTAATGCTGAGCAAATTTGTAATGCTAATGCAATTTACTTTTGTATCACTAGTACGATGCTTTTGCAGTTCATAGTTTGGAGGATTTGACAATTTTGGTAGAGTATTTTTTTTCTGATTCTGGCTGGTGGCTTTTCACGCAAATAAGTAAATTGGTGTGGTCCCCGTCCCTTAGATTGAGACGCCAAAGCGATCCTTCAAATAAAGTTCTGTCATGTAAGAATACGAAAAGTCTTTTTTCAAATTTAATTTTTCACGCGAAAAGGAAAACATAAACAACTATGTCCACTACACAACTGTCAACTGACACCAAGGTAAGAAAGGCGGCTTCGGCAAGGGTAAAGGCAAGGGCTTCGGCAAGTTTGGCGGCGGGGGCTTTGGTATGCATTGCAAATATGTCGGGGTCTGGAAGGATGCGAACTTGTCATGCTAAATCTGAATCATGCAAAAATCTGTGCTGCATGATTACCAAATGCTGTCCACTTTAGATCAAGTTGGGAGGCAGTTTGTCATGCAGGATAGGCATGATAGTGATCTCACGGAATCTGTCATGCTAGGTCCTCCATTGCAGATCATATGGCTCATGGAAAACCAGCATGACAAGTCTAGCAAAGTTCCAGACCCAGACTTATTTGCATTTGATATTTGGCAAGGGGAAGTTTGGCGGCGGCGGCTTCGGCGGATTTGGGAAGGACAAGGGATTTATGAATTGCAAATATGTCGTCTGGGTCTGGATGAGTGGAAGGTTTGTCATGCAGATTTTGGATAACTCACGATGTCTGTGATGCACGCCGTAGCATGACAGGTTTTGTGAGGGCTTCCTAATGCCTATACCGCATGAGAAATAAGTACCCCCTACTACACGTAGCAGCCAATAGACTTTTCTTGCTGCCCATGCAATACAGACTTTGTTAGAATGGAAAGGCAGCATCACAAGTTGCGTCATAATTTCCAGACACCCAGGGATATTTGCAGTTGATAGGATTCAACAGTGGTGGTTTTGATGGCGGCATGAAGGGCGGGTTTGATCTATCCTGTGTAAAAACGTCCCCAGAATGTCTCTCATGCGGAGCCCCATGAAGCGCATTTTCTAGTGCTGTTTTGAAATTTGTGATGCTCGAATCAGCATGAAACGCTACATTTTTGATGCTGCTGCACTAGCTAAACGGGACAACACTGCGAACTGAAACTTGTCATGCGCAACAGCCAATAAAGCTCAGTGATTTGTCTTGCAGATTTCCCTACCTGAATACCTACGCTTTGGGTTCGTTTTTACATATGATATGATCCCATGATGAAGGGTGGATTCGGCGGACCTCCGGGGGGAATGATGAAGGGCGGCTTCGGACCCGGCCCAGACATGGGTATCGCAAGAAAAAACTGTTTCGCTGTAAACTTGTGATGCAGAAAATGCATCGCAGAAGTGTTCTTTGTCATGCTACACATGTAACAAGACAACGGAGGATTTTCATTTTTGGCAGTGTAGTTTTACCTTAGGAACCTCGCATGGCGAATTTTCTCTGTCGTGTAGAACAAACTTGTGATGCAAAAGCTGCAAAATTATCCTCGCAGTTGTGAAACACTTTTTTCGTACGATAACTGGGATGATGAATCCGATGGGCGTACCGCCGATTGATGGTGGCTTTATCCCGCCGGAGTTTCAGCACTGAACGAAAATTACCTAGGATGATACCTGTGTGTTAGAAACTCACTTTTTTTTTTCCTGCATTAAAAACAACAATTATATCCTTGTGCTTGTCATGTCAACCTCAACCACACAACAACTTGCGTTTTCACGTATGTCATTTTTTGTGCCCTACCCCTACGAGAAGGGAAAATAAATAGGCACAAACCACAACACAACTTTTCTTGTACCAATTAAACTCGCAATTTCTATTCGGATTTTTGTCAGAATATTGATGCATGCCACCTAATTCTGGTGCGCTAGACCTAGGAGAGCACTGACCCCCTGCCTAGGATCTTCACTTTTGTTTGGGAAAACACAAGGCTTGTGCGAATGATAGTAGCCGGTCACACAGCAAATTTTGGTAGGCTTTTAACGAAAGAAGGGGCGGTCTGGTCAAGACAGCGGGGAGTATACGGATAAAGCCCGTTATTTAGAAGAAGGATATACAACAGTTTTGATCGCAGGAGCTGCACTGATTACAGAGCAACAAAAAGGGAGGAAAAACCGCCGGACCAGTCGTGTATGCTTTCCTTTGGAGACAAGCGAGATTTTTTGATGCTGAATCCTTCGCATATCAAGCGCAGCAAGACCACCGGGCATAAATTAGACTCCAAGCTGAAGTTACTTTCGTCCGTGATCTACTACTTACGAGGCTGCGCTTTGAGATAGGCTAGATAAGAATTCCGGCACGTACGTACGTAGTACCTTGAAGATTATACTCATGCAGAGTCTGTTGCTTTGACAAATAAGAACCCTAGCTACAGTTTCCGAGGGGCGGCTGGTTGCTTGCTTACAACGAGGACCCCAGATATTGTGATACGGAATATTTTTCTTGTGTGGTACAGAATTTGAGGAAATAAAATCTATCCTCTGTGTAGAAGAAGTACTGTGCCGATACATCGCAAAGTTCGATTTTGTTGAAAATGAAAACCGGGCGAATATTAAAAGCACTGTAATGTCGTGGTCAACGTGCTAGCTAGTAGCACAGTAGAAGATGTTGACCACTTCTCTAGCGTAGCAAGAGTGCTGTTCGTGGATGCTACTTTGAAACGATTTCGTCGTCAAACACTACAGACAGATACAGAAGAATTCAGACCCGTTTCTTTCATTTTCGTTCAAGAACAGAACAATAAAGTATTTCGTATTTCAGCTGTCGTCACCACTCCCCTTCGTGCAAGTTTGTGTCGTTCCAAAAAAATCGCATCGTGATCGTTCCTGGTCATAATTCTACACTGATTCGTTCTTCTATTGTTTCTTCTTGATTGTGAACTCCGTGCGTCGCATTCCGAGCTCAAGCAGTTGCACCAGCAGGTCGACGTTCTTTTCATCCCGGTTCTAGTAAGTTCTGACTGTCAACTACACGCTCAAATCGTGATTGATTCTCTAAATGGTATGTCGTGTTTCATCCACCAGGCTTTGTTTCGTGGAAGTTGTAATTCCCGCCTTCATCGTTGTACTAGATCAGGTCTTTTACTCAAGTGTTGTATACAAGCACCAAGTTCATCTTCAAGTTTTCCCCACCATATAGTACACTCTGTTCCAGACTAACACTTTTTTAGTAAAAAAACAGCCAGAGAATGAGAAGGAGCCATACCACCATGCGCTTCCATTCCCCTCAAAGTCCCTATCTCAGCTCCTTTTGTAGTTTCGATTCATAAGTATTTTTGCGTCACCACATCCGCATTCCCCCTAACGAGTTTCTACACACCACTTCTTCACGTCAACTACATGTAAAAGAAACTGCATTTCTACTCATCCTTAATCTTATCGCCCATAAAGAAATTTCCCAAATAAAAATAATATAAGGACTATGGGTAAGGGCGCGCGCGGGCTTCCCGCGCATTTGTTGGAGAATCATGACACGGATTCTGAAGATGCCGCCATGCCCACCGCAATCGTCCTGCGCACCAGTAGGAGGGCTTCCAGAGGAAACAGAGACGCTGGTGCGGAAAACAATCAGAATACGAGCGAGGTGGATCCTCATGCCAAGCTCAAAAAATTCCCCCCGTCTACTTCGGACCTGACGAAGCCAAGCAGCTCCGCTTCCGCCGATGCGAAAACTGCACTGGCCTCCGCCAGCGACGACGGGGGAAGTGCAAGGGCGGGTTTATCCTGATTAAAAACGTCCCCACACCAGAGTCAAGATGGGAAATCAGCTAGACAAGTCACACACCTTTGGTTGTTTGGCATGACAAGTTTCGATCCTTGTAGTGTTGTCCTCGATTTAGCTAGTTCAGAAGCACCACAGATCTAGCACATCATGCTGATCCGAGCATCACAAATTCCGAAACAGGAACAGAGAATGCTTCTCATAGGGCTCCGCGTGAGAAACTTTTTTGGCATGCAAAATAGCATGACAACGCTGGGGATGTTTTTCCTCTCAATAGGGATTGCCGAAAACTTTCCTGTCCAGCTTTTCCACGGCAGGCAAACGGCCAAAAACGGGGCTGGAAAAGTGCACGCGGGGGTGTTGCCGGCCGTGTCGGTCTGTCAAGTCGTCCGTGCGTGAAGTATTCCGCATCACCGGCTGGAAGCTCGGTTTGCTCTACGGCATCGCGAATTTTTTTCTCTTCGGACTCGCGACCATTGCGGTTTCTACCTCCTTCATTTGGTCCATGCGGTACCTGCAGATTCCCGGCCCGGAAGTGTCAAATTTGCAGGCGTTTTGCCAGAACACCTTCCTCCTCGCCCCGTTGTTCGCCTTGTTTGTCGAGCGTGCCATGTGGCTGGACCGGCTGTGCCAGCACTTGAAACTGTGCGACTCGATCGTCAATAGTTGCTTCTTTTGCTGCGGGAAACGCGAGCAACACTCGGGCGGCAAGATGGTGGGCGACGCGGTGGACGTGAGCAGTATTCTGAGTAACAACGTCCCCACCCCAGAGTTGTCATGCAAATCTGCATGTCAAAAAAGTTTCTCATGCGGAGCTCCATGACAAGCATTTTCTGGTCGTGTTTTGGAAGTTGTGATGCTAGAATCAGCATGATATGCTAGTTCTGTGATGCTGCGGAACTAGCGAAACAGGATTACGCTATGATGGCAAACTTGTCATGGGGAACAACCAGAGCTAGTTAATTTGTCTAGCAGATTTCCCACCTTGACTCTGGTGTGGGGACGTTTTTGCTCAGGATAAGCACCAGCCCGGTGTCATCATCCCTGCACACCGTGAGCGGACCCAAGTCCGCTCCTGGAAAAGAGAAGTTTGCTTCCGCGGTTGACATATGAATTGCAAAAATGTCTGGTTCCGGAAGCTTGTAATGCTCGGTTGGGAATAGTGAATGCTCTGTAATGCACAGCCAAGCATGAGAGAAATCTGCGCGGCTTAGTATTGCGCTCTCCACATGACAAACTGCGTTTTTGCATGACACGCAAAAGGCTCTCTTCTTGGACACGCATCGCAAACTCTTCTGCGTCATGCCAGACAAGCATGACAAACCTGGCACTCTTCCAGACCCAGACATTTTTGCACTTGATAGGACAAGCCCCGGAAGGTCACGAATTGTATTTGCTTCTCGTTGCTTCTCTTTGGCGTCGTATTCCCGGTCGCGTTGTTCTTCACGAACAAGAGCGAATTATTCTGAGTAAAAACGTCCCTACCTCCCCAGAGTTGTCATGCAAATCTGCATTCCAAAAAAGTTTCTCATGCGGAGCGCCATGAGAGGCATTTTCTAGCCGTGTTTTGGAATTTGTGATGCTATAATCAGTATGTGTATACTAGATCTCTGATGCTGCTGAACTACCTCAAACAGGACTACACTACGAGGACAAATTTGTCATGCCAAACGATCAAAGCTGGCTGATTTGTCTAGCAGCTTTCCCATCTTGACTCTGGTGTGGGGACGTTTTTACAAATGATACGAATACGACGACATTCTAAGTGGATACGAGGGAGGAATGGATGCAGCTCGTAGTTCAGACACGACCGGTGTGCACGCGAATTACGGCTTGGGGCTTTCGCTCGCGCCCGGAGAGGACGAGGAGGATCAGGGGCTGACACTGGAGCAAATGTTGCATCGCCAAACCGCAACTTCCCGGGCATTGAAAAACAAATCCCTGTTCATCCCGCAAGCCATTCTGGTCGCTGCGGGAGTGTCCGACGCGGAATACTTTTTGCTCCAGGAGAAACTGTATCAAATGCAAAAATGTTTGGGTCTGGAAGAATGCAAGTTTGTCATGCTTGGCTGGCATGACTAGAAAATCTGTGTTGCATAGGTACGAAAGAGCCATCTTAACTGTCATGCATAGAGGCAGTTTGCCATGCGGAATACATAAGGTACGGCAGCCACAAAATTTGTGATGCATAGCTGCGTATTGCGGCACGTCTATCATCCACTTTTAGCATTACAAGTTTTCAGACCCAGACATATTTGCATTTGATAAACTAATGAAGGCGGATAAAATTCTCCCGGTCTTCGCTGATAATTTGGAAACCCAGATGTTTGAGGAAAGGCTGGAAGAGACGTTCACCTTGCTCAAGAATGCGCACCAGCGACAGTTGGGGCAAAGCCAAAGCCAGCTTGATGTATCTTCGCACGCGTATGCTGCGCCGGAGCAAAGCAGCGGCGGTGGTGGTGGCGCAACATTCCAAGTTGTTCAACAGAGCCCTCCGGTTCAAAGCAATAGCAAGCTGAACAACAGCACAACAACTGCAACACTTCCAAGTGAAGAACCAAGGGCGGAACAGGATCAGGTTGAGGGAAATGAAGATGAAACAGAAACGACCCAAAGTAAAAACGCGGAGGACAATATCGGAGAATCAAGCGGTGGTACAAGCAGTTCTTTTCTCCTTGATCGCGAGGAGATCCTTAATGATTTTGGAAATTATCACGATGAAATAGCGGCAAATGGTAGAAGACCACAAGACCATGCGGAGGAGGAGGTCGTGTTTGCGGGAACAAATAAGAGACCGAATCTCCGACGGGACGAAGGTAAGCGAAATTCATCTCAGGGACGACTACGGCATACAGCTGCATCAGGAAAGAATAACGTTGAGCACGAGAAGAGCAAACTGCGAGGTGGGGACAAGCACGAGGGTGGAGAAGTAGGAAGTAGTACAACCGGACGAGGAACTTCTAGTACCTTAGAAGTACAACTAGTGGAGCAAAGAAGTAGAATAAAAACCAAGAAGCGCCGGAGACTCCACGCCCACCTCCACGACGCAGTTGTAGAGAGTGAAACCAAAGATGGACTGGAAAAAGCGATGATAAATTCTGCTTCTGACACCAATTTCGCAAGTAGTAGCCTGGCTGTTTCCGCAACCAATTCCCTGGCCCGCCACTTTTCCCTCACCATCGCCTTCACCACCCTGGTATCAAATGTAAAATTGTCTGGGTCTGTAAGAATGCAATTTGTGATGCTGAATTTGGATTCCAAAAAAATCTGTATTGCATGAGCAGCAAAGGGAGTGTAATTTTTGCTACGCGGAGAGGGCATTTGTCATGCGGAATAGGCATCGCGAGGCCCTCAAAAAATCTGTGATGCTAGGGCATGCATCACAGACATCATAGCCCAGGCAAAACATGCACGACAAGTCTCAGAATCTTCCAGACCCAGACATTTTTACATTTGATAGCTGGGGATCTTTCTCGCCAAGGTTTTGCTCGAAGGACGCATGGTGCAGTTAGTCCGTCGCCGGAACAGCAGCAACGCGTATGCAATGCAAATATGGCTGGGTCTGGAACATCAAACTTGTGATGCGGGTTGGACAATCATGAGGACATCTCAACTGACGGCCAAGCATGACAAACTCGTTATGCTAGGTCTTGCGTATTCATATTCTGCATGGCAAGTTGCGCCTCTGCATGACCGAGAATAAGCGGAGCACTTGAAGTTCTTGGGTACCTAACGTGCATGTTGACAGACTCTGAGAGCCATAGTAGGTAACGAGCATGGCAAGCCTCGCGTTCTTCCAGACCCAAACAAATTTGCAATGCATAACGCGATGCTGATCGCGAACTACGGCCAGGCGTGCGCATTGCTCGGGGCCATCGTGGGGTCGGTTCTAATCGGCTGCGGCCTGCTGTTGAGTGGGGCGTTCTTCACATCCTTTGCAGGAGGTTCTTCATCCACTAGCGGACAAGACGAAAGTCGAACATCAGAGCAAACACTATCAAATCCGACTACTCTAGAATCCCAACGGCGACTGGAATTGAATCAGCTATATTTCCTAAAGCACCACGTGAACAACCCTTTCGCGGTGTTACTACTCGGCTCCGGCGCGCTTTTTTTCGTCGCGGTGTTTGTTTTCGCCACCAACTGGCTGCAGGAGGGGGAGAAGAATCCCGGCGGGTTTCAGGCGTTGGAAAAGGTGGACGTGAGCGAATTCAAACTGAAGTCCTTCGGCACCGCGGCGAAGCCCCGCGCTATCAAGTGTAAAAATGTCTGGGTCTGCAAGAATGCGCGATTTGTCATGCAGCTTTTCCATGACCCATGAAGCCTGGAATGCAGGACCTAGCATGACAGATTCTGCGCGATCTCTCTCATGCCTATCCTGCATGAGAAACTCCCTCCCGACTTGGTCAAAACTGGACGACTTTTGGTAATCATGCAACACAGATTTTTGCATGCTTCAGATCTAGCATGACAAGTTGCATTCTTCCAGACCCAGACATTTTTACATTCGATACGCGCGGGGGACTTACCGAAGGGCATGACGCTGGAACAGGTGATATCCTGAGTAAAAACGTTTCCACCCCATATTCAAGATGGGAAGTCTGCTACACAAATCAGCCGGCTTTTGGCTGTTGCGCATGACAAGTTTGGCCGAGCAATATAATCGTACTCAGCTAGTGCTGCAACCGCGTCACAGATCTAGCGCATCATGCTGGTTCGAGCATAACAAAAAATCTCAAAAAGCCACTAGAAAATGCTTCTCATGTTGGGTTTCCGCATGAGAAACTTTGTATGCATGCAGATTTGCATTACAACTCCGGGGTGGGGGCGTTTTTGCATTGGACAGGTCATCCAAATGAACAAGGAAGCGGAAAACAAGGACCAAGGGGCGGCGGGGGCAAATCAGCAGCAGCAGCAAGGTGCGTATTCCACTTCCGAGTCGTCTAATTCGGGGAAAGAGGAGAAGAAGAAGAAGAAAAAGGAAAAGGGCGGCCACCACCATCACCATCATAAAGAGCACGCGGCCCATGCCGAAGGAGAAGCAGTAGATGCGCCAGATAGCAGTGAAAATCAAGTGTTGCAACATCCTGCTAGTACTGGTGGTGCAAGTGCAACGACAGCATCTGCAACTTCTCCTGGTGCTGCCCACATCCCCATGCCGGAGGAGCAGTCTGGGACGTCTGATGAAGCAGGGTCAGAGAAAAATGAGCATCCTCATCAGCCGATCGGAAACCAGGATCTCGCGGATAAGGAGGCGGTGGATAAGATCTTGCAGGACGACGAAGACGAGGTGGAAGCAGGGGATGCACATGCTGATCATGAAGCACATGCTGTTGAACACGGTGTTGAAGCGATGAAGCAGAATGCTGTTGCAACATCTAGTACTTCCGCTCTCGTCAAAAGTAAAAACTTCGCACAAGAGCCAGCCGGTGTCGAGGGGCAAACTAACGCCGACTCGGGGTTGCGAGTAGTTGTAAACACGGGCCAAGGTCTTGTGGGTGTCCAAGTAGCTCCGGAGGAGCAAGTCCTTGTTGGAGCAATGACAGAGCAGCAAACTACAGGGGCTGCAGAGGTAGAAGAACATCAAGACGGCCACTTCACAACCGATGAGGAAGAGATCGAAGAGGAGGAGGAGGAGGAAGAGCCCAACTTTGACCAAATCCAGAAAAAACTCCGGCACTTCCAGCGGGACAAGAAGAGGCGGGCCGAGGCGCAGAGGGAAAAAGAAATATCACATGTAGAAATGTCTGGGTCTGGAAGAATGCAAGTTTGTCATGCTTGTCTGGCATGACTCTTAAATCTGTCATGCACGTTACCCAAGAGCGCCACTTTTCTGTCATGCAGAAACGCAGTCTGTCATGCAGAATAGGCAACACCTAGAAGCTCAGAAACTTCTCATGCTGAGCCAGCACTTGTGGCCTCCTCATGATACGCCACCCAGCATCACAAGTTTCCAGACATCCAGGGATTTTTGCATTTGATAAGAAATGGTGGGAAACCACGTGGATTTGCAAGTGCACGACGAGTATCAAATGTAAAAATGTCTGGGTCTGGAAGAATGCAACTTGTAATGCGTATTTCAGAACACAGACGAGTCTCTCATGCATACGTAGCAAAAGCTCCCACTTTTTGCCAGCAAAGTCGGGGACTTGTCATGCGGATTCGGCATTGCGGAAGGTTCTCGAAACCTGTGATGCTAGAGCTTCCATGCCAGACCTTCTGTGTCATGCAAAAACAGCATGACTCTTCCAGACCCAGACATTTTTACATTTGATAACGAGAATATCAGAGTGCACAACTCCCCTCTGCCCTGATTTGTATATGCAAAATCCGTATCCGAAATCCTATCGCTGCGCTGTGGCACGGTTTGCATGACAAATCTACTCGGAAGTAGCCCAAACAGTACTAGGTTAGGCGCATCAACTTGTCATGCGGAGGCACCATTTGAGCTGGTGTCTGCATTGCTGTTCATGCCATACATTTAAAGAGGAGGGGGAGTTGTGCACTCTCATAGAGAAAGCCTGGGATCTACACCTCCTCGTGTGGGTTTTGGCGATCACCGGCTTATTGCTGATGACCTTGCCGTACTGGGTCTTCTCGAGTTCTCTGGCAAGCAGTAGCAGTAGTAGTGGTAGTGCTAGTTCTGAGATGCTGAGCGCGGCGAATACCGCATCAAGAAGTGTTGACCCCGCAGCTGCTGAGCACGACCAAGATGTTGATCTCCTTTCCGCGAGTTTTTCCGCCGATTTTGACCACGAATCCGGGCGGATTTCCCGCGTCGCAGCCCTCCCCGGGCTCGACAACACGACAAAGCAGCGGATTCCAGCGGCAGCCAACGCGCAGTTTGTTCTTCTGTCCGCCGGGTTGACGACGGTATGCGGCTTAGCGATCGGGTGCATGCTGCTGCCGATCATCAGCCGCGCATTGCTGTATCTGATGATAAAAGGCTGCTTCCACTTCACCTTTACCGGGGTGATTTTCTACTTCCGAATATCCTGAATAAAAACGACGTCCTCACCCCGGAGTTGTCATGCAGATTTGCAATGACAGGAAGATTTGTGATGCGCATCCCCATGATAGGCATTTGCAATCGTGTTTTGGGATTTGTAATGCTGTACACAGCATAAGCACATGGATTTGTAATGCGGATGTCCTTTCCAACCTGCACTACACTACGTGCTGCAAGAACTTGTCATGCGTGACTGCCAAAGCTTCTGGATTTGTGTTGCGAGGGCCCCATCTTGAGACTCTGGTGTGGGGACGTTTTTACTCAGGATACCGAACAAATTACGCGCGGGAGTACGTCGACGGGCCGCACTTCTCGCTGCCGTTTGTCGCCGCAGAATTGCCGGTGCTTTCGAATTATGCATTGCAAATATGTCTGGGCCTGGAAGGGTGGAACTTGTGATGCTGCCTTTGGATTCCAAAAAAATTTGTATTGCATGAGTAGCAAAGGGGATGTAATTTTCGCTACGCGGATAAGGCATTTATCATGCGAAATAGGCATCAAGAACCCCTCGAAAAATCTGTGATGCTACGGCATGCATCACAGACGTCATGGCTCATGCAGAACGTGCATGACAAGTCTCAGAATCTCCACCCAGACCCAGACATTTTTGCATATGATACGAATTTGGCGCAGCTGTTGGTGATGATGCTCCTGGCCAGCCGGGCGCGGAAGGCCATTCCGTACTTAACGTCCAGCCTAACGGGAGAGCACTACGATGAGGGCGGGAAAGAAGATGAGGAAGATCAGGAGCACGGTTCAGACGAGGAAAATGATCTTCACGATGCGCATGAAGACGAGGACCAACATGCTGAAGAAGGAAAAAAAGCACCCTCAACATCACCAAAAAAGTTGCACAAAAACTACGCGAAAGGTGCCCCGGGGGAACAGAACCTCTCTATTAAAAGGAAAAATCCCCCCTCCCCATATCGAAAAGGCATCCTTTTGAAAATTTGTGATGCTGATTTGTGGTCACAAATCAGGTCTGTCTTGCAAGAGAGCAAAGCCGGAGCTTTCGCCGCTTTCCGCAGGCGATTTGTAGTGCTGCTGCACCAACAGGGCAGACGTCTGCCATGCTGAGCGCTCACCTCTAGCCAGCGCCTTCCAGGCTTTTTATCTGCCTGCACTCCTATACTGCAAGACAGAGCTGATTTGTGTACACAAATCCCGCAACACAAACTACCACTTTGATATGGGGAGGGAGCAATTTTTCTTTCGATACTCTCCTCCACGCAACTGATTCTCGTGGCCACCTTCTGCGATTTCGGCAGCCAGATCTTTGCCCTTGTGCTTTACTCTATCCCACGAAAAAACTGTTTCACTGTAAGGGTTTTGCAGGTTTTGCATCACAAGTTTGTTCTACACGACAGAGAAAATTTGCCATGCAAGGTCCCTAGGGGAAAACACAGCTAAAAATCCACTGTCTTGCATGTGTAGCAAGACACACGCTTGTGAGGAGATGCATTTTCTGCATTACAAGTTTACAGTGAAACAGTTTTTTCTTGCGATATACTCCCGCTGGTACTCGCGGTCGGCAACCATGGACGTTATCCTCGTGTTTTGTGAAGAGTTTTGCCACGCGGTGGCCATCGCGTTAAATTTCGTGTTTCTGCACACCCTCGCGGCCAAGGTGAGCCCCGCCGCGGCAAAGAAAACGTTGCTGATTGAGGTGCGGAGCAGAAAAACCGTGACGAGCGGGACTGCCGGACGCATCACGGAGGCGGAAGTTATCCCGCCCTTGGTGCACATCGGCTCGTCGGATCGTTTACATGTTGCAGGGCTGGATGACAGTAGTAGAACTGCGAACCCAGCAATTATTGCTGCCGGCCCTGTCCCGGTGGAGATGATTCACCCGCACGGCAACATGGAGGCTCATGCGCACACAGAAGGAGAAGGAGAACAAAGAGAAGAGAACGGGCCGGTGGCAATTGTTCCAGCCGTAGCGAATAATTACATGCCGGAAGTCGAAGTGGGAGGAGAAGATGAGGGACAAGGAGACAACGACGATGGGAAAGAGGCCCTAGTGTCCGCACCTGACACAACAATATTGGGAAGGGGAGGTCGGTCTCGGTTTATTCCTCGCAAGGCAGAGGGCGAAGCGGCGAATCCGGAAGGGCAGCAGCAGGGGCCACCTGAGGCTCATTTACTTCTAGAGGGGACAAAAAGTAGCAGGAGCAACACCACTGGTGCGACCGGACAACCGATTTCCGCCTCTTCAAACGTCAACTCGTCTCTAGACAGTGTGGCTCTCGCCCGAGAAAATCAAGAGTCGACCTTCATTCACTTCGCCAACAAGAGCGGGGGTAATATGAACTCGACTCAACAGCAACAGCAAGTTCTTCCGCCGCAGGATTATGTTGAACAAACAGCAGTGACAACAACTTCGAATAGTATCAAAATCCCTTCATCAACCTCTACTGACGTTAGTATAGCCGACAAAACAATTGATGTTCCGGAAGAAGTGGTGACAAACAAATTATGCAAAGAAAAAAGTGTTACAGTTACACATTGTGTTGCAGGCCAAGCAAGACTGACAAGCTCTGTCATGCACAAAATGCTTTTAAGCCTCATTTGGTACGTGTTTTCCCTTATGATCTCTGCATTGCAAGTTTTTGTTTTTCCTCCCATGCAGAGAAAATCTGTGTTGCTAAATTGACAACAGATGTGTAACTGTAATACTTTTTTCGTGGGATACAAATCGGTTACCATCTACTACACCAACGCGTACCTGGTCTACGCCATCGTTCTCTCCTGCTTTCTCCTCGGCGAATCTCAGGGTGCAGCCAACGGGGCGATTCTGTGCGAGCTGTTCGGCGTGACGCCGAACTCCGATTTGTACGAGGGGCAGTACAAATTTTCGAAATTTACGTACCCTGAGTAAAAACGTCCCCACCCCATGGTCAAGATGGGAAATCTGCTACACAAATCAGACAGCTTAGCTTGTTGCGCATGACAGGCTCGGCCTCGTAGTGTAATCCTGTTTAGTTCGCTGGACAGCATCATAGACCTAGCCTGTTATGCTGATTGGAGCATTACAAATTCCAAAACTACACTTGGCTAGAATATGCTTCTCATAGGGCTGCGCATGAGAAACATTTTGAGCATGCAGACCTGCATGACAACTATGGGGTGGGTACGTTTTTACTCAGGATATTACGGGGGTCCAAGTGATCGCCATCTGCTGCAACTTATCAAATGCAAAAATGTCTGGGTCTGGAAGGTTCTCAAACTTGTCACGCACGGTTTGCATGAGCCATGATGTCTGTGATGCATGCACTAGCATCACAAGTTTTTTGAGGGATTCTTGATGCCTGCTTATTCCGCATGACAAATGCCCTCTCCGCGTAGCAAAAATTAGACTCCTTTTGCTGCTCATGCAACACAAATTTTTTAGACCTCCAAATGCAGCATCACAAGTTGCATTCTTCCAGACCCAGACATTTTTGCACGTGATACAACTTTATCCCGTTGTTGTTTCTGCGAGCGCTGGTCTCCCCCATCGATAGCAACCACGGCGAGCTGGAAATTAAGAAGTTGTTCCTGAACCAGGGCTCCATTTTGCGAAAATTGATCTACCGCGAGAAGGAAAACACCAGTCTGCAGAAGATCGCGGAGATTCACGTGACCCGGCAGCAGGCCATTGCCATGAATCCGGCGCGCAAATACGCGGAAACAGTCGCGCAGCCGGTCGTTTTGAATCCGTTCGACGAGTACCACATTGGCAACGTGTTCGGCTCCCAACTGCCGTCGTTGCTGCAAGACGAGTCGCAGGCGTTCGCGATCCCGTCCGAGATCGCGTACTGGGATGAGACTTCGCCGCAGGAACGGCGGAAATCGCGGCTGCAGGAATACAAGGCGCACAGCAAGGTCGGATCGGAGTCCGAGGGAATGGACGACTACCACAACATATGGATTGCAAAAGTACTATCGTACTAGGAGTAATCGCATGACAAATTTCCTCAAATGGAGAGGAGTTTGTAATGCAGACTTACCTTGAGAAAAGAAATCTGTGTATGCAATTACCACGAGTACGATACTTTTGCAATGCATACAACATGCCCTCGCAATCCGGCTCCATGTCGATGACTAGTCGGGCACAGCTGCTCGCGTCGAGTACCATGGGTAGTAAGTCGCTGTTATTCGACGAATCCGATCACGGGTTTGCGGACACGGGCCACAACAGGCGGCCGACAGCCACCGGTGGGAGCGGCCTGATGGAGCCGGGGCGGAGGACGGCGGGGGGTCACCACCGGAAAACCTCGGGTTCCCCGTATCAAAAGGAAAAATACCCCCACCCCCGAACTTGGGAGCCTTTGTACTGCAAACCTTGCATCTATTTGTATTCCAAATGAAACATTCGCCGTCTTGCATCTATCAGCATCACAAGTTTCTTATCGTGAATAGCAAAAATTTGTATTGCAAAAGACCCCAGCACGAGCGGCGCTTGTCATGCAAGCGATGCGATCCATGCCTAGACTCAGCATCAGAAAGATTCATACTCCTTTCATGCATGACAAAGAGTTTTCATTTGGAAACTTCGCATCACAAATTTTTGCAATTTCAGGGGTGGGGGGCATTTTTCACTGTAATACCCCGAGTCAGCACTCGCGGGACCCGAGTAAGGCGTCCGTCGCCGGTATCAAATGTAAAAATGTCTGGGTCTGGAAGAATGCATGTTTGTCATGCTTGTCTGGCATGACTCTTAAATCTGTCATGCACATTGCCCAAGAGACGTTTTTTTCTGTCATGTGGAGACGCAGTTTGTCATGCAGAATAGGCAACACCTACAAGCTGAGAAATTTGTCATGCTGAGCCAGCACTTGTGGCCTCCTTGTGCTACGCCACTCAGCATCACAAGTTTCCAGACCCAGACATTTTTACATTTGATAGCCGGGGCGCCGCAGCTGCACCTGGCAGAAGCTGAAATTGGGGAGGGATAGACAGCTGCGCAGTAGTAGATTAGTCTTCAATTTCGAAGAAAGCGAGGCTGGTTGAAGGACTGTCATCGGCGTATGATGTTGTACTTTAGTTAGTTTACACTCAACCTTTTAAACCCTAAAAACAGCATCAAATGGTTTTTGAAAGTAGGCCTAGGATCTTCCCGGTATTGACTCGCAACTATATTTTTTTTAACCACGACTTCTGGCAGAGAGTAGTAACAAAAGATGCTAGAAACAAGAAATCTTTCGCACTTCTACTTTTTTAAGCTCCGTAGTACAAAAGTATAATTGCTACGAAAGATATAGCATTTTCAATTTTCCTCTCTCTACCCCACGGCACACTGAGATGACACGACAAAGGATCGGCGTTTTCTCCTTCTGTTAGATGATTCATCTCCAGGCTCTACATCTACTTCGTCTTTCATCTGTTCCAAAGCTGTACTGCGGTTGTTCAAATTGCTGCACTTTCGCGGTATGTTAATTCGCGCATCGTCGAGTCTTATTTCTCGTAGTCGTTATCGTGTCAAAGGAAGATGATCGTGGTGTAAAAGAGCAACATGTTCGTGGTTCTCGTTATAATTTTCACGGACACTTTCGCGACGAGAGCGACTGCATTTTGAGCGTTGAAAAGCGACGAGAGCAAGCACTCGCTACGGTTTCTGTTTTACATCTCGAATGAACACAACTCGATCATCGATGCAGTCGTCTTTTGCGAAGAACACTAGTAAAAGCAGAAGCCGGCGAAGAAAATCAAACGCAAATCAAGATACCGATCAATTTCAACATGATCTATTGGTGGAACCCTAACGGCGCTTTGTCCCTCGCGTTTTATCAATGGTTCTTTTTATCGTGCGTGTAAGTATGCTATGAGTATCTGAACAAACCTCAATCTCCAAGAGGAGTGCCTCTAAACTAGCACTGTCAAAAATACAACTATGTTGCGCAATATGGAGAGAAAAAAGTTTGTCACAGTCACTATCTTGGGGGTTTTGCATTACAAATTTTTTAGCATCATAGCTTTTCCTTGTATTGCAGAAACACTAAGGGAAATCCCGTATGCTGTTTGGCTGCGATGCATCTTTACGCATGACAGGCATTTTTTGTATTGCAAAAATGCCCATGAGTGATCGTGAAGAACTTTTTTCTTTTGATACGCAACCTTCTCGGCACTTTTCTCGACGACGCATCGGGCCACCAGCCCGACTGCACCCCAGTAGGATGCTCTCGCCATTTGTCAGAGCAGCTTTACCCACCTGCGGGAAAAGTCATGCTGGGAACAACTACAACGAGAACGAGTGGCAGCAGTTGTCACGGCGGAGCAGGAAATCTACATGGAGAAAGTGCGATGATATGGACAGGTGTGGGTGGAACAAGCAGATGCAGATCTAGTACTAGCACCTCTTCCTCTTTCACCTCGTTTTTCGCATCTTCTACTACAACTTCACAGCCGTTCTACGTCCCCCAAAAGAACGGCAGAACTACAGGAAGCCACACCCGAGCTACTTCCACCAGAGCCTCAACCGCCTTCCTCCGGTTTCCGGAAACCTATCCGTCGGCAAACATGCCTCCCGAAGCGGCGGCGAGAAAGTGGGCCGTGATCGCAGCGGACGCGCAGCAACAGGCACAGAAAATTGCGGCAGAGCAAAGCACGTTGGAGCAGATGAGCAGCAGCAACATGGCGAAACTGCAGGTACATATGTGTTTTTTCGTCAGGATGAGAAAGTTGTCATGCAAATCTGTGCATGGTGATGGTACGAACTTGGGTAGTAGCATTTTTACGATACGCAGCCTGCAGCATGACAAATTTTCGAGCTGCTAGGTGTTCGTTCTCTACCCCGCATGGCAAACCCCGTTTTTGCATGGACACCAGCGGGGTCTTTATTGCGATGTGCCTGTGCATGACAGAGAGTTCTTAGATTCAGAGTTGCCATCTTCCAGACCAAGTATGTAAGTAGATCGATATCAATGTGCAATTCATATTAACGACAGACGCTGAACCAGACCGCCCAAACCGCGGCGGAGGCGAGTCAACGGGCAGCCGCTGCGAGTGTCGCGAAAGATTTGGGAATATCAAATGCAAAAATTTCTGGGTCTGGAAGAATGCAGGTTTGTCATGCTTGTCTGGCATGACTCGAGAATCTGTGTTGCATAGGCAGGAAAAAGCCCTCTTACCTGTCATGCAAAAACGCAGTTCGCCATGCGGAATACGTAAGACATGGCAGCCAAGAAATTTGTCATGCGTAGTTGCGTATTGCAGTGCGTCTATCGTTCACTTTGAGCATTACAAGTTTCCAGACCCAGCAGACATTTTTGCAATCCATAGGGAATGTCGGTGGCGGCAACACCGGTGGCAGCGTGAGAAGAAGTTTTGGTCCGATGTGTAGTTAGTCGAGCGCAAACGGTTTTTTCAGTGGAAGAAACTGATACTATATCCGTCTCGAACTTTTGTAGTAGCCGAGTTGTATATGAGTGCGTCCAGCACTGTAACTGTTCTTTCACGACTAAAACAAGAATAATAGTACTTGTTACTTACTCAAAAGCGTTTTATTTCAACTGGACAGGAACTCAATACGACTACGAAACGAAAGTTGCGGTTTCTGTTTCGAAGAAAAATAGTCTATGAAAGATGAATACCGACTAAGTGCCTACACCATTGTCTCTCAAGTGTCGCTTTTCTTAGTATTGCGATTCCTGCTCTCAGAGGTGGATGAACACGGCAAGGTGCTGCAAGTACGAAATGTAGTGCTCTGCCGGCAGCTGCGGTACGGGAAGTAAAGTCTAACCGCAGGAATGATTCTTTTTCTTGTCGGCGTGGTAGGGGTTTCGATACCGATCCTCAATGATACAGTGGCCGATCTACTTCAAGCTCATCTCGATGAAGATACAGCCGATTTTCTCGATGATACAGCAGGAGGAGCAGGAATTAGAGGAATCGACGCCGTTGGTGAGTGGAGGCGACTCGGTTTTCGAATAGTATCGCACTAGTACTTTTCACTTCCATGTGAGGAGCGGGTTAAAGCGTTAAATGAAATCGAAGTGAGCATACAACAACTTCTCGCTCCAAAAAACGACACCCACGACCATAATCGTTGTCTGGCAGAGCCGCAACTTTTTTTCTACTCCTGACCACAACTCCTTCGATCGACTCTACTCTTGTGCACCACAACTCTTTCGATCGACGCCGTTGGTGAGCGGAGGCGACTCGGTTTTCGAATAGCAATATCGCACTTCTAGTTGTACTAGTAGTACTATTTTTTGATAAGTCAGTACCTACTACTTCCATGAGATTGAGATCGACGAGTCACATCGTTAAATAAAGTCGACGTGAAGATGAGCTGCATACACTACAATTCGCTTTAAGAAACGCAACCAGCATCAGCAATCATGTAGATCCGAGTAGTCTTGTAGAGCCACAACTTTTGTTCACACACTCCAGAGGACCACAACTCCTTCGATCGACGCTAGTCAACATCTGCACCATATCAAATGTAAAAGTGTCTGGGTCTGGAAGAATGCAACTTGTGATGCTGCATCTGGATTCCAAAAAAATTTGTATTGCATGAGTACCAACGGAAATGCAACGTTTGCTACGCTGAGAAGGCATTTGTCATGCGGAATACGCATCAAGAAGCCCTAAAAAAATCTGTATTGCTAGGGTATGCATCACAGACATCATGGCTCATGCAAAACGTGCGTGACAAGTGTCAGAATCTTCCAGACCCAGACATTTTTACAGTTGATACACGACGAGCTCGTGTCATCGCTATCTCAGAAGTGAGTTCTTCGAAAAAGCTGCTCTGGTCGTGTTGCGGTGCATCTCAACATCTTTCGGGTGAGGACGGCGCTGCCGGGCCGCGATTTATATATGCCATACATCAGCACAAGAACAATCCCGCTGGAAGTTGTATTGGATAAGTAGAAAGCCAACTTCCTCTCAAACACGCGACCGGACCCGGAGACGCAGCAGATCCGGAGCAGGAACCATCCGAAGACGACCGGAAGTAGGTTTCGGCGGATCGAGCCTGGAAGAAGCAATTCGCGAAAAATACCACCAACGTCATGTCGCAGTTGGATCCCTACAAATTTTCCTTCGTATAGAACATAGATTTGATACTCGACTTCTTTTTTCTTGACTTTTCTCATGCAGATGTAGTCGCACACCAAAAGTATTAAAACCAGCAAAAGTAACGTTTGTAGTTTGTCATGCCAAAATTTATTTCACAAGAAACTGTCAATAACCAGCCCGCCGCCATCCCGGGCGGCGGTTCGTCCCTTCCACCTGCTACCGCCACGATGATGTGGAGCCAAGGCGTCAAAAACGCGTACGAACAAGCACTGTCCGCGCACAACAAGCTAGTTTCGAACGGCCACCTGATCCAGAGTCTGATCGCAAAAATGTCAGCGGCTACGGCGCAAGCTGAACAGGCCAAACTCGCGGCGGAGTCTTCGGCGGCGGCGAGTTTCGCAAGGGACAACGGGTTCGCGGTGGCGGCCGCGACAGCCAGCATGGGCGGCTATGCATCGCAAATTTCGATCGGAATGTCTTGAAATTTGTATTTGTGTTGCGGGCACTTGCATTTTGCAGAGTGGCCGCTTCGATACGGCACGAGCGCATCAGAAATGCTTGTGACAGACTTGTTGCAGATTCATTGGTAAAAAATATCCGCATGACAAACTGAGCTTCACAGCATGACAAAAAATTTGTAGCCAATGAGTCGCATAATTTTATGCATCACAAGTCCTTGTTGTCCTTCAAATCTCGCGTCACAAATCCAGTTCGATCCAGATCGATATTTACAACGCATAGTGCTACTACCGGGTCTTCAACATCTTCAGGTCCTCTGGGAGTTGTCGCGCAGGTGAGTCGGTGTCTGGGGGAGGCGATAATGGTGCTCGCGGGGACCACTTCTACTGCCAGTAGTACGTCGCGGGAAGATGGTGCAGAAGTAGACCAGGGGCACCAGAAGTGCGGTAGCGGTACCAGGGAGCAGGAAGAAATAAACGGGTCAGATGAGGAAGACGACATGGAACAACAGCAGCTGCTGCACACCCGGAGAAGAACGAAAAGATCCTCTTTTTTTCCAGTGCTGGAAGAGGATGTAGCAGTTCTTCACGGACGAACTTCTACACAGAGCACGCTAGGTGAACGTAGGACAATCAGACTGGAGTCGTGGTCCGAGAGAAGTAGCAGAAACGGCTATCCTGTGTAAAAACGTCCCCACCCCAGAGTTGTCATGCAAATCTGCATGCTGAAAATGTTTCTCATGCGGAGCCACATGAGAAGCATTTTCCAGGTGTGTTCTGGAATTTGTCATGCTCCAATCGGCATGATATAGTAGATCTGTGATGCTGCTGAGCTAGCTCAAACAGCACTACACTACGAGCCCAAATTTGTCATGCAAAACGGCCAAAACTTGTGGATTTGTCTAGCCGAGTCCCGATCTTGACTATGGGGTGGGGACGTTTTTACATAGGATAACGGCTATAATGATTCCGAGACGGAAGTAGATGCGAAAAATGGTGATATGAGCCAAGGTTTTTTGTGAAAGAAAGCGAAAGTGATTTACAACTCTTCGGACCTAAAAATGTGTAAGATGTTGGTTTCTCTGCGAACTGCGTGCTGAACTGGTGCTTGATTTCAGGAATCTGTGGTTGCTGATACAATATGTCCAATTTTTCCAGCGGAACAGGCTGGTTTCCACTGATTATCTTCGAAGATGAAACCCCCAGGGCGGGGGCTTGAAGACACCAGTGTTAGGACGCAATCGAAAGCTGCGCTTGCTCTCTGATTCTTGTTCTGTGTCAAACATTGTTACAGTGCTCATCGTGATGAGCTGCAGATTCAAGTTGGACTGAAAATGGAAAGATGATTAATAGGAGCGAACGGCTTCTATTCTGAATTTTACACATCACAGATGAACCAGTAGACCTGTTGTCTACGAATGTACTTTTATGACGCAGAAATAAGAGCGAACAGTGAAGAGGAAGGGAAGGGAGAAGGTGGATGACTGGCATCAAACACCGTCATAGACTTGTTCTTTCGCGTGAGTTCTACAAGTAGTGCCGGTCGTACTGAACATACAATAGTTTTTTATCGCTTTATCCACAAACATAGTACAAACTCTGTCTCTGGAGCGGCCTCGTCTGGAGCGAAAATGATAGAGCGCCAAATAAACAAAGTACACATCCATGTATACTTTACACCTCGGGGGCAGTATATGACTCATTCAGACTGTGGAGACGGATAATTTTAGCAAAAAGTTAGATTAAAAATAAGTTGTTGTAAGCGGACTAACTGTCACATCAAATCTCCCCAAAGATCATAATGTCTGACCCAGCGGGCAAGCAGATGCCGACGCTCTCCAAAGCGTTGGAACAGACCGGCGAATCGAAGCGGTTGCGCGACTACATCGCGGAGAGACTGGTGCAGAGCGTATCCCATGTGGCGAAGTAGCACTTTCGTACTTGTTCATCTTGTGATGCGTACTTGCAAAAACGGGGTTAGATTTCATGCAGTAGTTCTGCATGACAAACCGAGTGTCTACGAGGCGTGGGAAACAGCGTGTACTAAGACACTGCGCAGATAAACACCTTGCACAGCAATTTGTCATGCAGTTCTTCCATGTTGACCGAGTCCTGAAATAGTACGATAAGTTTTGCTATTCGATAGACGGGCTGGCGGGACGACTTGAAGTCCTATGCGGTGGAGTACATCAAGACGAAGGGGTATGGGAGGGAGGAACAAAAAGCCATCACTACCACACTGTGTATGTAAATTTGCAATACAGAAGTATTGCCTGTCATGCGAAAATCTGCATGACGAATTGATGTACTGCCAGAGTGGATCACAACCAGCACGTCGAGTTTGTCATGCTAAACTTACAAAAAAAAGTTTGTCATGCTATGCGTTGTAAGTGCTGCTAGAGTGATGTGATGCTTTTTTCCATTCCATACCGCTGCGGAAAAAATCTCCGTTGAGGACATTGTCGCGGAGATCGCACTATCCAATGCAAATATGTTGTCTGGGTTCTTATCGAAGGTTGCAACTTGTGATGCCGTCCTGGGATTCTAAAAAAATCTGTATTGCATGGCAAGCAAGAGGAGGCCAAAAATTTGCGCTACGCGCAGAGGGCATTTCTCATGCGGGAGAGGCACCATCATGAAGCCCGCTAAAAAGTTGTGATGCTAGGCCATGCATTACAGGCATCATGGGGCATGCAAAATATGCATGACATCTTTTCCGCCACACCCGGACATATTTGCAATGCATACGCACCACGGGGCCGGGCCACCGTGCCGGACTCGCTGAAAGCGGACGTTCTGCAGAAGGTGCGGGATTTCGCGAAGGCGCAGGGACTGCACTATGGATTGTAAAAATGTCTGGGTCTGGAAACTTGTGATGCTGGCTGGCGTATCATGAAGAGGCCACAAGTGCTGGCCCAGCATGACAAGCTTTTGAGCTTCTAGCTGTTGCCTATTCTGCATGACAAACTGCGTTTCCGCATGACAGCAAAGTTGGGCTCTTTGGTAACGTGCGTGACAGATTTAAGAGTCATGCGAGACAAGCATGACAAACATGCACTCTTCCAGACCCAGACAGATTTGCATTTGATATGCACTAAGCTGTGATAAAAGATGAAAACGTCGTTCGTTGCTGAAGAAATAACCGTGCTTTATTTTGAACGTCGACACAAAAGCACCGTGACTGTGACGATGATTTTTATCCACCAGCACGACCGGAAAAATCACTGAGCAGGATAAAATGCACCGTTTGTAAAAATTTCCCCACGTTGTACTAGGAAGAACAATCAGGAAGAATGTTGCGAATTTTAAAGAAGTGTAACCTGCTGTGTTGAGAACGAAAAGATGAAGAACAGCCAAAACAGCTAGCTGCTGCGAGGATTTCGCGGTTATATGCTTTCTTCGATTCGTGAAAAGAAGCAAAATCTTCGTGAGTGTCGTTGTTTGAGATCAGCTTCTGAGCGAACACGAGAAGATAGAAGAAGACTTCTGTATGCCAGAAAGCTCGTTGTATAGCTTAAGAGCTGCAAGCGCTCGGGAGTGAAGTCTTTCGTCGCATCAAAGAAAAACACATCATACCAACCGGAAAAAGAATAAAGAAGTTTTATTACCGAGAATGGTGATCAGTCTTTCCAAGGTTTTTTTTCCAGAAAGTGTTTCCAAAGTGTTTTTTCCAGAAAAGAAAAATAGCAGTTAAAAGCACACGAACGACAAACTTTTGTCGTGGCATTATCTATTCAAAGCAGAATAAAAACAATAAAATGGTCCTCAACTACGGTCGTGTGCTAGATGGCGACGCCCTTGCTGCGGCCGTTCATCCCGCAGAAAACTCCACTAGAATAGCAACACCTGCCGCGTCAACGTGCTTTTTCGCACCGTCTTCGGATGTTGCCGGGATGTTGCCAAATACGAGTACACTGTCATCCGGGAGGACTTCTGTGGCGAAGAGGATACACGACCAGAAGCTCTCGGAAACTACGGCAAGAACTCCAGCTTTTTCACCGTTTTTTAGCGCAGCATCGCCAGGAGGCTCGAAAAATTTTTTCGACGCGCTTCCACGACATCCCTGTCCTCAAGAACTGTCCCGACCAGGATATGCCTTGTGCGGGTCTTACAATCTCAAATCGGTTACTATAGAATATGGAGTTCTGTGATGCAAGAAGTGCGTGGTCCTGCCTCTTGTCACAAGAATGTTGCGCATGACTAGATCTCCTGCGTTCGAAGCTGCTTGCGGCGACGGTGCAAAGGTTTTTGATGAGGTGCAGTCGGGTACGTATGACAAGTTCAGAAACTAGTGCCAAACACACCGAGGATCTGGAAAAATTTGTATTGCGAAAAGCGCAAGGCTCGAATAGATGTTCCTCATGCTCTCGATGCAAGACCAAATCCAGACCGCTCTATGGTAAGCGATTTGAGATTGTAACACCTGAGCGAGGCATACAGGACGATCCAGCAGAACGGCCAGTTCTTTTCTCACGTCCGAGGAGGCTTCGAACCCGCAGCAGATCGCGGACCAAGCCGCGGCTTCCGCGCGGGCGGCCTACGCGGCTTACTTACGGGGAGAGGAGAAAGTAAAGCAGGCGCACGACGCCTTGCTAGCCGCGACCAGTGCCGCGACGATGGCGCAGGTGTCGGCCCTATCAAATGCAAAAGTGTCTGGGTCTGGAAGAGTGCTAGACTTGTCATGCAGGTTTTCCGTGACCCATGAGGTCTGGCATGTAGGACATAGCATGACAGATTCTGTGAGGGCTCCATCATGCCTATCCTGCATGAGAAACTGCCTCGCGATTAGGTCAAAAGTGGACAGCTTTTGGTAAGGATGCAACACGGATTTTTACATCATTCAGATTTAGCATGACAAGTTGCTTTGTTCCAGACCCAGACATAGTTGCAGTTGACACGCCCACAGTGCGCAGGAGGCGGCGACGGCCACCGTGGCTATGAAGCAGGGATACGCGCTATCATAAGGAAAAATCCCCCCTCCCCATATCAAAGCGGAAGTCTGTGATGCAGATTTGTGGTCACAAATCAGCTTTGTGATGCTAGAAGGCAAAAGATGCGGACTGTAGTGCTGTCTAGCGTGGGAAAGCCTTGCAGCTCCAGGATGACAGGAGGCAACTGGAAGTGGGAAACAGCATAACAGATTACCTGCAATTTAGGCCGCAGCTTCGTCTCTTGGCCTTCTAGCAATACAAGTCGATTTGTGTACTCAAATACAGCATCACAAATTCGCGCATCTTCCGTTTCCGATATGGGGTGGGGGCTTTTTTCACTTTGATACGCACGGAACTACCCAGTTGTGATGCCAAGCAATTTTCAGCTTTAGATAAAGGAATGTTTGCAACTACAACGCGTGAAAAATTATAAACTGTTTTGCTGTAAACTAATTGAGCAGACTTGATGACGACCGTCGATCGCAGCAGAGCAGAATCTTCATCCTTGGAACAATACTTCGCCTCGTCGTCGTCTCTGTATGTCTCTATCGTTGTGTCATTTGTTTGAAACACGATGTAGTTGCCCACTTCTACAAGGGGCTGAGGCACTTGCTACAAATTTCGGAAATTCGTTGCTGAGCTGACACTAATATGCGCCCCCGCCGACCGACGCGTTACTTATACGAGCGGGGGAATGCGCCTGCGCGGGGACGCTTTACTTTATTTTCGCCAACAGATTCATTCAACAGCATCTGGAGGTTCTCTCGTCCTCTGCCAATACTAAAAATAAAGCAGTGGTTTTGCTTCGGACAGGTGGTTTCATTCCAAATTTGGAGTTCGTGCAAAGTGAAAATGAAGAGCAAGCGAGAGTCGATCTGCAAGGGCGAAAGTTGTACTTTCGGGGCCTTCATCCCGTCCTCCCGAGAGGAAAAATAAAAGCACGACGAGAGGCTTTGGCTTTCGAGATTGAGAAACTACTCAGCAACGACGCCTCGTGGTCTTTTTTTATTTCGTAGCGTCTTTCAATATGCAGGAGCGGTCGTCGTTCGTCTGTGATGGAGGAGAGATCGAATCTAATTGAACTGAAGCGGTTCTACTTCTTCTTGCGCGAGGTATAATTACGTGTCCCGTACGGACGAACAAGAACAATATGTACACAACCGGGCTGAAGCCACGACTTCTTGAATCAGCTTCCGGAGAAGAAACGGGAGATTTTTAAACATGAATCGTAGCGATAGTAGGACGTAGTCCAGACGCGTTTTTTTGAACTTAATATGATGATATCCAATGGCTTGTGCTATGTGTTTCGACAAGATGATCAGGTAAGGGTAAACTAAGAAATCTCGACTATATCCTTCTTGTGCCTCCTGTTCCTGTGGTCATACAGTCATTGAAGTGAATTTGTAATACCGATTCGGGCAGACGCAGAGGAGCAATGAGGGCCGCGTCGTTTCTGCAGCACGGTGGAAAACTCCTGGGCGACGGCAACGACGGCGTTTTTACCAGCACGGAACAGGATCACGATCCGTACGGCCACAACATTTTTTCTGAGCTTACAACTACGACGAAAAAGACCCGAACTTCAAACCCTAGTACAACTCGCGCTAGTCAACATTGTAATTTGCTGCACCTGACGAAGAATACTGGCAGGAGACTTAGCACATCCTTCAGCGGGACCTCCCGGTCCAGAGTCGACGTGAACGTGGACATTCCAAGAACCGGGATCGGCATTCTGCCGGAACCGCCAGCCGCCGCAGCCATGCAGTGGGCCAAGTACGCACGGGAGGCTTTTGACCAGGTTCGCTCCTCCACGGCGGCAGTCAAGCGCGCGGCCTCGGAAGCCGCGAAGTACGCGGCGGTTGCGAAGCAAGCCAGTGCGATGGCGAACAACCAGCAGATGATGAAGGACCAGGCAGCGGCTGCGGTGGTTGCCGAGACGCTTGGTTACACGGGAGAGCCGGTTGGGGTGCCGACCGCGAACGTGTTCGGGGAGGTACCGCCCTCAGCGCCACCGTACTCTTTCAACTACCCCAACCCACCGCCCCCCAGTAGCATGATGTGAAATGCGAGGGGGGGAGCGGAGTTTTATCTCAGCCTCAGGAATGATAACGATAAAAGGTTTCTTACAATTCGGTTGAACGTTTCTTGTTTAATGCACTTGAACATTCACCTCTTCCGCTTCCGCAAAATAAAGATTATCGTGATCGCCTACACCAACTTGTTAACAATACCAAGTTGTGCCGGACTGAAGATAGCAAATGTAGTATATACGTCGCAAGTCAAATTTCCGACCGCCTCACACTAGGGCGGTGTAGTCAATGGATATAGTCAGCAGCACTGCCTCTCCATCGGCTTGTAACAGTGTTCCCCAAGTGTCCCCTACTTACTTCGTGGTCTCATCGGTTTCCTTTCTGTGTTGCATTTTTGTGGACAAGAAGCGGAGGCCTGATCCGCCCCGTCATCTTGCGTTATCAATCATCGGCCACTTGGTAGGTACGTAGTTGCGCAAGTGCGGGATCGTGCACGGGCAGCATGGAGAAGAAGCCCTCAACTTTTCTATCGGTCATCCTCCCGCAGCACTGGGAGGGTTTTTCTGCAAGCTTTCAGTTCGGGCGGATGGAGTAGGAGCGGTATGGCAAAAGACTCTTGAAGGTGGATGAAGCAGGTCGCGGGAAACCACGAGGAGGGTTTCTGTAAGTGGACATTTTTATTCACGTCAGGAAAACATGATCAAAATTCGGTTATTTGTGAAAGAAATCAGGGCGACTCGTCCAGTTTCGGTCTTTGATTGTTGCAGAGCGCGTTTTTACTTGCTTATGTTGAGCCCGAATGTATGGAACAAATTGAGGTCGGTTTCTTTACACAGAGCTAGCTTAATATCCACAAGGTCAGAAATTCATTCGGCTTGTTCCCGTTCTCCGAGCTTTTTCTTTCACTTTCTCCCCTGTGCTCAACTGGTTCATCAGGATCAACTTTCCTCGCTGACCCTGCAGATTAATTGACTCGTTGTGCAGTAGTATTAGCTCGAAGCTGCACAGGACGACTCGTGAAGCGCACATTTGTATAGTAAACTAGCGTCACGCGCGGATTAATATGCGTCCCGCTATCCTGTAGTCTGATAAGCGATAAGCCGACTCGACTATCCGGATTGTACACTTCGGATTCGCATTCGCTTTGAGAATTTGGAACCCCGGTGATCTGATTTTCCCTCTGCGGCTGCACAAGCATCAGAACTGAAGTTTATGATGGCGTCTGTAGGAATTTCTGCTTCGGTCCCTCCCCTCCTCCCAGGATCGGAGGGGGAAAAACGGGTGCGGTTGACCTGCCAAGCAATTCTGAGGCGAGAGCAGGCGGCGCATCAGGCCCTCTTTGCAGCACCAAGAAGTGCGGTTACCACTCCCACCGCCGGCTTTGCGCGCTCCACGGGGGCAGACAGCATCTTGTTTGAAGGAGACATTTTTATGTCGCAAGACCTCCAGGGGAGGCACCTTGAAGGACCCGGAAGTAGAAACCTCGTCGCTCGTCTCTGCGACTGCCTGAAGCGCGTTTTCGGCCGGACAACTTCTCCTGGAGACGGTAGTACCGATCGCGTGGACGATTTGGATTTCGGTGCTGGTGGTGCCTACAGCGATGACGAAAAGCTGCTGCAAGATGAAGTTGAAATAGAGGAAAAGATAAGAATTCAAATTCGACAGCAGGAGCGCCAAGGCGATATTACTCCAGACTACACCACATCGGCGAGAAGTGGAGCGGACAGCGCGAGGTGGACAGGGAATGAAAGTAGTGTGGTCAGCTGCGCAGTACAAGTTTCCTTCCCGGACCTAGATCGCGAGTTGGCCGCGTTGCTAAACGCCTGCCATTTGAAGCGCAACAACATTCGCCAATCCGGAATCAACACGCCCGCGACCTCCTCCTCACTGCTCACGCAAGAGGGGCAGCTGCTGCGTGCGGTTTTGCGCACCGCAGGTTTGCGGTATGAAATTCTGGGAGGCGGCGCCGAACGGGGTGCGAATGGCGGAAATAGTAAAACATGTACCATCACAACCGAAGAAGATGTCCGTTACGCGCTGCTGAGTTTGCTCTTCGCGCCTAGCAGGGTCGTTTATAATCATCTTGAGAGGGAAAACGAAAACAAGATAAAGAATAGCACGACAAGTAGAACGCTGCAGTTCCCAAATAATGTGCTGACGAAGACGAACAATCTGGTCAACAACCAATGCCAGCCGGCATTACAGACTTGGTACCGAGAGCAACTCCGCCATTGTGTTAAAAATCGTTGGGACGTAAATAAAATTCCGCCGGTCATTTACGGGGCCAGCGAGCTGAACAGACTGAAGTTTTTTGACCTGATATGCAAGAAAAAAACTGTGTAAGTGTAAATCTGTGATGCAGAAAATGCAAAGCAGTTATACTTGTCATGCAGGAAGTCCGTCATAGGCTACTATCATACGTGTTTCCACGTACTAGCTGCGCATGACAGGTTTTTCCTGTAATGCAAAAGAAACGAAGTTGTGATGCTGCTCTTCCTACAAGGTTACACTTACACAGGTTTTTTCTTGGATACCTGAAGATCCGAAATATGCTCGAAACGGGGAACGTGCCGACCATAGGCGGTAATCACGAATTTTTGCTGTACCGGCGCAAGCGGGTCGCTACTGGGATGCGTGGAGTTGGGGGGGAGGGCTACACCAAGTCAGACCAGCACACGCCCTACGGTTTTTTATGAAATGCAAAAGCATCGTACTAGAATAAATCGCATGACAAATTTCCTCAGCATTAGAAATAAAATTTGTAATGCAGGTTTGCCTTAAGAAAGAGATTTGTAATGCATTCCTGCGATTACTACGAGTGCGATACTTTTGCACAGGATACTTTTCCTTTGTCATCGACCTCTCCGCCGGCTCCAGTTCCCTGATTCCGCTCGCCACTAGGATATCCAGTGCAAGCGTGTCTGGGTCTGGAAACTTGTGATGCTAAAATGTGCATGATGAAAACACTTCCGAATACAGTCCAGCATGACAACCTCTCAAAACGCTCTCTCTTAGGCAATCTGCATGAGAGACTGCGTTTTTGCATGACAAAAGAGGCTCTGACTTTTGTTGGTTATGCATTACAGATTTCCCAGGAATGTAGAGCTAGCATTACAAGTTCCAACCTTGTTCCAGGCCCAGACATTTTTGCAGTGCATATAGGACGGTGACCGACTATTATTCTCGCGTAAAGATGATGCCCCCCGAAAGTAACGAGACACGACCTCAGAGCAATCCCCTGACAACTTTCATCGACGTGCACGAAGCTTCTGGCGGTAGTGATTTGCTATTTTCCGCAACGACGAGAACGACTTCTGAAGGCAGTTTTTTGGGTAGAAGTAATGTTGTGCAAAAAGGTTCTGACCGCCTCCACCAGCATGGAGAGGACCCTTGTTCGGAGCAGCCCTCCCCGGCCCCGGCAGATTTTTCTTTGGTCAAAAAGTACCAAAAAGCCGTTTTAAAGGAAGGGCGCGCGGCTGGGCTGCTCGCCGGCTTTGTAGGTGGAGAGGAAGTTGTACTGGAGGGAGCAGCTGATGGGGAGCAAGGCCAGAACAATAATATCCTGTGTAATATTAAAACGTGACACCCAGCACGACCGAATACTTTTTCATGCTAGTCTGCATGCCAAAAGTTATGTTCCTCATGCGTAGGTAAATGCGAAGCATGTGGCTAGTATTGTTGTATTCATTTAAGTTGTCATGCTAGAACCAGGAGAAGGAGAAGCTGTAGCTGATCGACTTCTTATGCAGCTGCACTGGCGAAGCGCCGCTAGCGGTCTAACACTCCGAGCCCTGAGTAGAACTTGTCATGCGCGGCACACAAAGCAGTCTATTTATGCCATGCGCAACACGACGCAAAACTTGTTGATTTGTGTAGCAAAATTCCTATCCATGTATGAGGACTCTAGGGTTGGGGACGACGTTTTCCCTCAGGATAAAGAAGGGGCGTGGATGGTCCATCGAGGTTGATTCTTTTGAGGAAATAGCCACGGTTGCGGCGGAAAAAATGGTGAAGGACCAGCACGAAAATAAAGGCACTGCAATATTAGGAGCCACCAGTGCAAAAACATCTGCGCTTGATGTGAGCCAACCGCAGCGCAGCTCTGCCTTGAAGTCGGTTCCACTTTTGCTCGTCTGGGAACGGGATTCGATGTTTCAGGAGTATCACACGGAAAAACACGACTAGGCAATCACGGAGGTTTGCCATGTAAAACTAGAAGTCAAAAAGTGAGGAGCAATGTATAAATTTAAATGAGCAGGAGAACTACTACACTACCAAGGCGCACCAGGCCGTTGCAGTGCGGCGTGGTTCATCTAGTGCAGATGTAGTATGCAAGACAGAAGCTTTTTTTGTAGGTTATTCATCCCTTCTACTGGGAGTTTCTCTATCGCGAGCTTTCATGTTTGCATCAAAGAACAGAAAGACAGATTCTTTTTTACCCGCTTTTTTGTTTTTCAGTGTGATACCCGCATCGGTGTGTTTGCAGAAAAGATCAACAGACTCTTCGACACGTTCCCCACAAGCGTGCTGCTCTGCGACATCTTGCTAGTATCGAAAGGAAAAAACCCCCCTCCCCATATCAAAACGGAATTTCTGATGCTGGATTTGTGTACACAAATCACTTTTGTATTGCTGGAAGGCATTGCGGCCAGATACCCAGCCTAGGTAGAGGCGTTTGGCTCTAGTTGTTCAGCATGACAAACGGCGCCGCTTTAGGCCCAACAGCATGACAAAACGCCTCCATAATGGGGCGAAAGCCTCTGCCCTCGTCTTCTTGCAACATAAATGCGATTTGTGACCTCAAATCGGCAACGCAAATTTTCGGAAGCATGCCTTTTCAATATGGGGAGGGGGGATTTTTGTTTACGATAGCTAGCGGGAGGTGATCAGAGCTGCAGTAAAACTGCAACTGCTTCGACCAGAATAAATGGGCAGAAGAAGAATTTTTCCGAAAATTTGGAAGTTGGAGCCGAACACAGTGATGTTTCATCGTGGTCCACAGGAGCCCGTGTTGACTACCGCTCCTCATCTGCGGCGCTCCAAGAAGCAGTAGACGACGACGCGCTTTTTGTGCAGGCCATCGGCGCGAATTACTGTAAAACCGAGCCGGTTTTACTCGTTTCCGGTTCTGTATGGAAGTGTCAGGATTGAAATCGACAAAGCTGAAAAAACTTGTAATGCATAAAATCGATAACGATACCAATTTGTATTTGATCTACAGTATCTAGTCGGCGCATGACAAATTTTGTCCGTCTCCGTACCGGAAGCCAGTTGGTCATGCTGTTTAGAGCAAAGGGGCTCCCCTCTGTCATGCTAATCAGCAGCCCAAGGCCCGACCCTTCCCAGCACTACAATCTGCCTCCCTTGCGTCCTCAGCAATACAGGCAAGTTTTGCGTTGCATTTTATGCATGACAAACTACTTGTTTCAAATTTGACGATTTCGATCCTGACACATCCATACTCTGTGTCATCTGGATCTGCTGGTCACGGAGTAGAAGTCGCAGATCATGCGGAGAAGGCGGTGATATGAACTGCAAATATGGATGAGTGCAGGAGTTTGCCATGCAGATTTTGAATGCTCGTGCTCCGCGAGACCTGGGATGCAGACTATCGTAGCATCACAGGTTTAATAAAACTTGGAAATAGGCTTTCATGTCGCAAGGCAATGCATGAAAATTAATATCCCGACGTGTGAGAAAGAGAAATACCGTTTCAGCTTGGCCAAAAACCAGCATCCTGTCTGTGCTAGTAGTAGTACCCGCGCAAGACAAATCTTCCTGGGACCTAGACCTACAGGACGCTGCATCAGAAGTTTCAACCGTACGGACAACATCCAGGAATATTTGCAGTGCATATTGCGACGTGAAGAACAAAAACAATCTTTCCCACGAGATCTCCACCACCGCAGAGCGAACCTACCCACAGCAGTTTATCAAATGCAAATATGTCAGGGTCTGGAAGAGTCATGCTGCTTTTGCATGACACAGAACGTCTGGCATGGAAGCTCTAGCATCACAGGTTTCGAGAAGCTTCCGCAAAAATGCCGAATCTGCATGACAAATGACCTACTCTGGTGACAGCAAGTGACACCAGCTTTTGCTGCTTATGCAGGAGAGATTTTGACATTGACATGTTGCGAAATGCGCATCGCAAGTTTGCACTCTTCCAGACCAAAACACATTTGCAGTTGATACAGTTCACATCAGTGAAGGAGTTTCTGGAGTTTTTCCCCGGCTTGCGGCTGGCAAAGGAGTGGACGGAGAGCGAATTTATCCGGCTTGAAAAACTAAGTACGTACTTACCCACACGACCCGAATTGTGTAAGTATTTGTTTCCGCTACGATTTATTGTTCATCTTCTTACATGTTTATGCTGCCCATCTTCATGAGAGGCACTCTTTGTCTGGCCGTGTTTATTGTAGTTCCAAAGTTCAACTTGTCATGCTCTAGCACTCAGCAATCGCTAGCTGTTCACGATCATTCTGCTGGGTACCTAACTTAGTCATGAACGGCTTCATCTCGCGCTGCTTCACGCTGACTGTCGGGTACTTGCTATGGGTCGTATCGGTTTTTTGGTTTCTCAGGATACGCATTCTGTTTGATTTAGCCGCTGAGGCGGAGCGCAAAAGCGAAAAAGCGTCAACCGTGCAGACAACGGCAGGAGGGACGGGCGGACGAAAACTACGAAGCGAGGATTCATTATCTGGCAATAAAGGAGGTGGACTCTTCGACGACATTGACCTGCGCAGTAGCGGAAGTAGTAGTTGTGCGACCTCCACTGCTGCCTCTAGCAGTGGTCTATTTCTCTCCGACCGAGGAAATAATTTTTACTCGGGGAAGGTTATTACAATGAAAAATGTCCCCTCCCCATATCAAAACGGAAATCTGTGATGCAGATTTGTGGTCACAAATCAGCTTTGTGATCATGCTAGAAGGCAAAAGATGCGGACTGTAGTGCTGTCTAGCGTGGGAAAGCCTTGCAGCTCCAGGATGACAGTAGGCAACTGGAAGTGGGAATAAACAGCATGACAGATTACTTACCTGCAATTGAGGCCGCAGCTTCGTCTCTTGGCCTTCTAGCAATACACTCAAATGCAGCATCACAAATTGGCGCATCTTCCGTTTCCGATATGGGGTGGGGGCTTTTTTCACTTCGATAAAGATGAACAACTCTTACCGGGTTCTGTTGCTGGAAAACAAAACCGGCACCTATCGAAAGCAGCGAAGGAGGTAGCGGGAGGAAGGTATAATTCGCCAGGACTGGTGCCATACTAGAATTTTTCGGCGGGAGAGGACTCGAGACACTTTGATGTGTCCACATGGTTTTACATAATGCCATTTAGATTCACATGCCCTGTTGTACTCATAGGGCAGCACTAGATGAGCTCCTTCACTCTTTTATGATTTAGAATTGCAATTTTGCTTGCCCGCGAAGTAGCGAGGACCGGTCCGCAAGGACTGCTTGGGTTTGCATTTGTGTCCACCGTCACAACGCTCTCACTTGAGTCATTTTTGCTTTGTACAATGTATGTGACCGTTTTTCTCATTTTATTCCAACTGTCGTTCTTTTCCGTGCCTAGCGTTCTTAAATCATTGTACATAAGTGAAGGTAATGAAGTGGAACAAGCGCGCGACATCGACACTGCAGTGAAAAGAAGAAGAACGACAGCACGAGGGGCTTTCGGTTGTGATCGTGCAGAAGTGATAGTACTTTTAGATCATCTACGCAGGAGTAGTTTCAGCATTTATTCGCAACTCCCGTTTCATCAAATGCCACACTGATATCGTATAATAATAATTGTGCTTGTTTACTATTCATCCCAAAAAGAAGGCAGAAGTTTATTCTACTCAGACGAAAGCTGGGTCTGTCTCTGTGCTGAAGCCACGATAAGTTGTGAGTACTCATATACAACGTCGGTGGAAAATTAAAACCGCTTTGACGATGTTCTTCGCGGGTGGGTGCTGGTTTTCGTCAGAAAAACTGTACAACAAGACGAATTCTTTATCGGCCACTGTAGAAGTTGGGTTTATGTCGTCCTGGTTGTCATCGTTTGGAAGGAAAATCGTACTTTTTAATTCGGCACTTATTTCTGTATCATCGGCTTCTTTTTGCATTTGCTTTTGCACCACTTCTAGTTCTACACCTGCTTTACGTGAAAATGATCCAAAGCGTAAGGGCTAGGAAAATCAGACTCGCATAATTTGCAGTCACCTGGGGCTCTTGTTGCGTGGTTCGTTTCCGCTCGGTAAGTACTATTCTCAATCCACTCTGAGGTGACTCAGGAGCCAAAAAGGTAGGTTTATTTTTCGACCTGTATTTAGCTGTTTCTCACGCGGAGTTTTTCACCAGAAAAGGGAAGAGCAACTCAAGCGAACAAAAGTAAACATGAAAGCTAATTACCGGTGAGTGTTTTTTTTGCAAGGACAAAATATCGCGATCGCCAAAAAGAAAAACAAAATACCTAAATAATGCCTACATCAGCCTCTGTGTCGCCTAGTACAACAACGTCCAACACCAAGCCTTGCACCCCAGCGGTTTTAGCGGGTAAATCCAGTTTCTTTTCGCCGATAAGCACCACGGGGGACGCAGTGCGACCAACCTTGTCGTCATGCTCTTCGCCTTTAACGGGGATGAGCGATTTGTCGTGCACCGGGAAAAATAGTTTTGGCTGCAATATGGGAGTAGATCATGTTTGCACTAGTAGTGGCACTACAGTAATATCTTCACTCACTTCCGCAGCTCCCGTGGTCGTGGGGAACGAGAGTCAACTTATGCAATGCAAAAGCATCGTACTAGTATAAATTGCATTAGAAATTAGCCCAGCACTACAAATTAAATTTGTAATGCTGATTGACCTTGAGAAAGAGATTTGTAATGCATCAATGCAATTACTACGAGTACGATACTTTTGCACAGGATACAACTGCGCAACCGACAACTCTCGATCTACAGGGAACTGAAGCAGCCGGGCTACATATCCTGAGCAAAAACGTCCCCGCCCCAGAGTTGTCATGCAAATCTGCATGTGCACAATGTTTCTCATGCGGAGCTCCATGATACGCGTTTTCTATTGCTGTTTCGGAATTTGTGATGCTAGAATCAGAGTGATATGCTAGATCTGTGATGCTGCTGATCTACCTAAACAGGATTACACTACGAGGAGAAAGAACTTCTTGTCATGCGAAACAACCAAAGGTGGTTGATTTGTCTAGCAGATTTGCCATCTTAGCTCTGGAATGGGGACGTCTTTACTCGGGATACTGCATGAGCTGCCAGAAGCGGGCGGAGTTGGTATCATACGAAAAAACTGTTTCACTGTAAGCATTTTGCAAGAATTGCATCACAAGTTTGTTTTACATGACAGCGGAAATTTGCCATGCGGGGTTCCTAAGGGAAAACACAGCTAGAAATCAATTGTCTTGCATGTGTAGCATGACACACACTTCTGCGATCCATTTTCTGCATCACAAGTTTACAGTGAAACAGTTTCTTCTTGCGATAGTTGGCCAACGAGCTGCAGTATGTGGACTCCATGTTGTATCATGACAAAAAAGTGTCACAGTTACACATTGTGTTGCAGACCCAGCATAACAGACAACCTTTGTCATGCCAGAAATGCCTTCGAACCTCGTTTTATACGTGTTTTCCCTTATGATCTTTGCATTGCAAGTTTTACCTCTAATGCGGAGAAAATTTGTGTTGCTGAATTGCCAACAAATATGTAACTGTAACACTTTTTTCGTACGATATGTTGCTGAACCTAGAAATTTACCGTCTGGAACTGCAGCAGCAGCAAGGGTCGTCCTCTTGTTGCGCTGCCCCCGCCTCCGGCGGGTATTATGCCAACGCCGGCTGTAGTAGTGGTGCTTATTTTTATCCGCATCATGATAATTCGCAGATGTTGACCACACAGCCACAGCACTACCACCGCCCGACTTCATCCTCTGTGGTACTCCACCATCATGAAAACCAGCTGCCACAACGAGTGCACTACCTACAAGAACACCAGAAATCACCGCTTGATGCACAACTACGCGCACGACAACATGAACAACTACCTCCATGGGCGGGTCGTCGTACTGGTTCTTTCTCTTTGGTGCAAGAAGCGCAGGACTTTGTTTTGACAGTGCTGCTGAACCTGAAGAGCTTGCTTCTCTTCACACTGCAGAGCCTCTTCTTCCTCGTCGTCTGCACCGCTGTACTGATGGTGTTTGCGAGATTCGACTTCTACTCTGCGATTGTAAGATATTACGGAGCCGTCGGAGGCTCGATGGACGAGATTGCAGCTCCCCGTGCGGTTTTTTGAAAACATTTAGTTTTTCTTTTTGACTTTACTGTCGTTTTGGAAAATGAAAAACACTTGATATGATAGAAGATAAAAATGTGACAACAATAAACTTGGATAATTTTTTGACTGGTCCGGAGAAGACAGACGCCACACATCGAAGAATTTGCGTCGAATAAATGTGAGCTGTTTTCATGTACAATAAAACTAGAAAAGTCTCACACTGACAATATCAAAACAATTTTTCAGTCATCTCACGACGGAGGTTTTTGTCGCGACCGGGATCTGGTCGGCCTTCTGGGCCCTCGTCATCGTTTTCCATGTTCTGCTGTGGTTGCGTTATTTTCCTTGAAAGCAATATGAATGTTGGAGTTCCGGGAGGAAGTAAGGAGGATTTTTACAAAGCGTTCTTCTTACTGAGCGCATAGAGAAACGATGAATGAAGATTTGAGCATTCGGTTGCACAGTCCGGAACGACGACGCGAGGAAGATCAAGTTAAAAAAAGACCAGAACAAGTAAGTTGACGCCCCGGCACCGAGTGCTCTGCTAGAAGTGCTGTATAGTGAGAATCTTACGAATGTTTGTTATACCGACAAAGTGATAGATAGAATAGTTTGTGGACACGACCTTTGTATTCCCGGTCTTTGTACAGTTGTAAAGGTGCCACGAATTATACAAGTGCAACCGCTGCAGCAAGAAAACAAGGAGAAGAACGGCCACAACTAGGCTCCTGATTCCGCCTATTGTTGAAATTGTTCGAAAAATTATGTGATTCGTTCGCTTAGTAGGAAAGAAGTGACAAAGCAGTGGAATCAAAATCATGACCTCCTCGTCCTCCGGTTCTACTGCGCAGGACTCGCAGCCCCGGCGTCTCTCGGAATACTCCTACGTCCCACAATATGGATGTCTCAGGATTGATATCGTCAAAGTTGAAATAGTTTGGCATGCATAAAATCCAGCCCACAAGGTGCCTGTCTTGCAGAGTAGGCAAGTGAGGCAGATTGTAAGCCTGTTGAGGGGTAGAAACTGAGCTGCTGAAGTAGCATGACAAAAGGCGTCTTGCTGACCCAAACAGCATGACACACTGGATTTCGGTTCTACACCAAATTTGTCATGCGCCACTTGGAAACTGGGTCACAACTTTCATTCATTTTATGCATCACAAGTTATTTCAACTTTGTCGATTTCAATGCTGACACATCCATACACAATCCCGACGAAATTCCGTAGACTCTGTTCATCCTGATCGTGGCAGTCGTGCCAATTTCTCCCAGAACTACGCAAATTTTTCTAGTGGTGCAACTGCGAATTCTGCTTCCACTACGACCACGACGTCTGCTCATCATCAACAACCAGCTGGTCGTGCCCCCTCCTCGTCGACCACTCGCGAGGACCAGAGGGGTCGTGCTGCAAACCAGGGGCAGCAGCAGCGTGGTCTCCCGCAGTCGAATTGCAGCAACGCAGAGTCACCTTCCGAGGGATGTTCCTCGTCCTTTCTCCGCATCAAAACGCTCACTTGGAATGTTGCAGGGTTTACTCCGAGCTCCGGCCGGGGTACCGGATCCTCGTCTTCCTCGAACTCTGACAATGAAGTTGACAACTCCTTTTACCGACCCTCGGAGGCCGCAAGCGCGTACGGGGGCCCTGCTAATGGAGGAACACCAGCAAGAACGGGAGCTAGTTCTACTTCATCTTCGCAAGTGGATCATCATCCGACCGCGCTGGTGAAATTGAAGCTGCAGCAGGAACTCAAGCGGGTGATGTTTTCGTCCGCTTCTTCAGACGAAGATTCTTTTGGCGCAGCTAGTGGTAGTCGCACGACAATAAATGCTACTGCGGTAATATCTTCCTCGTCCTTTGGCAGTGTTACAAATGATGTTTCATCTTGTCGTGCGGCAGTCGAGCAACTACCCGACATCATCTTTCTCGGCCTTCAGGAAGTCGTGGAACTGAAAATGAATCCGATGTTCAATTACTACTTCTTCAGCAAGAAATATGGAACAGAAGAATAACTGTGAGTGTAAGTGGGACTCTGTAATGCAAAACTGCAAACGAGGACAGGGCGAGGGACGCTGTTAAAAAGGACACTTGTCATGCTGGACAGTGATGAGCTCCTCTTTTTTACATATGTGATACCCTCACGTACTAGAACTAGCTGTGCATGACAGACTTCTTCTGTCATGCAGATAGCGAATGTGATCTCATGCTGTCACACTGCAGGACTACACCTACGTTACGTACCACAGTTTTCTGTTCCTTTGGATAAGGAAAAGAACAAGCAAACGAATGAAGACCGAACGAAGCTGACCCAATGGGAGGACCATGTGCTTTTCCCGGTGCTGCAGCAAATTTACGTATCCTGAGTGAAAAAGTCCCCACCCCAGAGTTGTCATGCAAATTTGCATGCTGAAAATATTTCTCATGCGGAGCCCCATGAGAGGCATTTTCTAGTCGTGTTTCGGAATTTGTCATGCTCCAATCAGCATCATTTGCTAGATCTGTGATGCTGCTGAACAGTAGCTAAACAGGATTACACTACGAGGCGAAACTTGTCATGCATAACTCTGAAAACTTGGAGATTTGTGTTGCAAATTTCCCATCTTGACTCTGGTGAGGGGACGTTTTTCCTCAGGATATTACGACCAGCAGAATCAGGACGAGAATTTTGCCTACTACATTGCGAAAAAGGAGCAGCTATCAAATGCAAATATGTCTTCGTCTGGAAATTTGTGATGCCAAAACGTGCAGGATGAAAACACTTCCTTATGCAGCAGAGCATGATAAGTTTGCAGAACGCTTTATCATACGCCCTCCGCATGACAAATTGCGTTTTTGCATGACAAGAGAGGCTACGACTTTTGTTAGTCATGCAATACAGATTTTACAGGAATGCAGGGCCAGCATTACAAGTTTCAACTTTCCAGACCCGAACATATTTCCAATGGATAGCAGCTGATCGGCCTGGCGCTGTTTGTGATCGTGAAGCGGAAATTGGTATCAAGCGCAAAAAATGTCTGGGTCTGGAAACTTGTGATGCAAGGAAGGGATTATCGGGCACACTGTAATGCGCGTCCCAGCATGACAAGTTTGTCCGTGGGTCAGAGTTGCGCACCCCGCATGAGAAAGTGCGTTTTTGCATGACAGACAAGAAGACCTCTTCGCGGGCACGCAATACAGAGTTTAGGGTCATGCCAGACTAGCATGACAAGTCTCGCAATTTCCCAGACCCAGATATGTTTGCGGTTCATAATTGGTGGTCAATTTTGTCGACGTCTTCTCCGTGAAAACAGCGGCGTTGGGCTTAGTCGGGACGAAGGGAGCACTCGTGGCGGTAGTCAGCTGCGCGGTAGAGGATGTGGAGAAAAATCATGGAACTACAACAGCGAATAGGAATATTGGGGACGACGTCGAGAGGAATGCTCGAGGTAGCGCGACTACCAGTCGTGGATTGACAGTGAAATCGTCATCTTCAACAGCAGCTTCCAACAGAAAAGCCGCGAGAAGCTACATATGCACTGCAAAAGGCTCGTACTAGTATGAATCGCATGACAAATTTCCTCAGCATGAGAAATATAAATTTGCAGTGCGGATTTAACTTGGCAAAAAAAATTGTAGTGCATAAATGCGATTAGTACGAATGCGATACTTTTGTAATGCATACTACACCGTTGCGGGGATCAACTGCCATCTCCCGTCTGGAGATAAGCCGGAAAGCGTAGAAGAGCGCAAACAGGCGGTCTTGCAAATTTTCGGCGAGCTGGCGGGAAAGGGCGTGCTGGGCGGCGCGGGGCCTGACCCCAATGGCGATCGCGGCCGAAGAAACTCCGGTAACTACAGTGGCCAGCAACTGCAGCAAAATCCACTACAGTCCGGCGCGGATTTCTTCCTCTTTTTCGGGGACTTGAATGCGAGAATGATCGGGGGTAGTACTGGAGCTGCATCTTCGAGCGGCAAAAGAATTAAAAACCCCGACGTGATGATGTCAAATCATGCCACCTACGAACTGAAGCCGGAGGATGTTGCGGCCTACCGAGGTGTTGGATCCCATCAGGCTGTTGCAGGAGCGCCGCCCCAGGCGCCTGCGAACGCCATCACGACGCGCGACGACCTGGCGGCGGTGTTGCGGCCTCTGACCTACCTGGGGGTCTTCCAGGAACCGAAAATTTTCTTCCCGCCCACGTACAAATATTTACGGCAGCACAAAGCAGCGAATGGACCTCCACCTGGAGCATCGAATAGACCTCCGATTCGTCTTCTGCTAGATGCGGGCAAATCCGAACCGGCCTACACCGACCGGATTCTGTACAAAATAATCCGCGAAGACAATTACATATCGCAAGAAAAAAGTGTTACAGATACACACATAGTCTATGCAGGCGAAGCAAGACAGACAAGCTCTGTCATGCCGGATATGCATAGGAGCCCTGTTTCGTACGTAAGCATTTTCCCGCAGGATTTCTGCATTGCAAGTTTTCTTAGTCATGCAGAGAAATTTGTGTTGCTGAATTGACAACAAATAACTGTAACACTTTTTTCGTGTGATATTACAGCACCGGTCCCAGCACTGGTACGAGCGGAAGCGGCAGTAGCAAACGGCCAGAAGTTCTCATCGAAACGTACGACGTGGACATACCGCTCTGGGTCGCTTTATCACATGGGAAAGACCGAAGATGATGCCCTATACCCATAATTTTCATACCCTATGCATAGTCAGGTTCAGGTATAAGTGCAACACAAATCCAGAAGTTCTTCGAGGCCTACGTGGTCGCATGACAAGTTTGGATCTACGTTTCGTGAAAATGCCGCCCGTGTCCTCGCGGAGCCGCATGGGAGATGTGATGTTGGATATGCAAAGATATCATGTGCAAGTGCATGGCAAAAATATAATGAATAATGGGGCGTGTAGGAACATAAACATAGCTTTTTGCGCAGGATACGCTTCGAACGCTGCGACTGACCACTTGCCGGTGAATATCCTGAGTAAAAACGTACCCACACCAGAGTCAGGATGGGGATTTTGCAACACAAACCTAGGAGTGTTGTGAGTCACGCATGACAAGTTGCACTCTGCAGTGTAGTGCAGGTTAGCAAGTGCAGCCGCGTCACAGATTCATCTGCTCATCCTGTTCACAGCATCACAAATTTCAAAACACGATTGGAAATGCCTACCATGGGTATGCGCATCACAAACTTCCGTGTCATTGCAAATCTGCATGACAACTCTGGGGTGGGGACGTTTTTACTCAGGATAGTAAAAAGCTCCATGTGCTTGAAGAACGTGGTCCCTTTGTACAGAATATCCAGTGCAAGAAATATGTCTGGGTTTGGAAGAATGCGCGACTTGTATTGCTCGGCTAGCAAGACTCTCAAGTCTGTGATGCACCGTACCCAAGAGCCCCATTTTTCTGTCGTGCAGAAACGCAGTTTGTCATGCAGAATAGGCAACAGTTACACTTGGAAGCTCAGAAACTTGTCATGCTTAGTCAGCACTTTTGGCCTCTTCATGATATCACAAGTTTCCAGACCCAGACATATTTGCAATGCATACAGAAGTCGCAGCAGCACCAACAGACTCACGGCTGCATCTGCAAACGCGACGTCGAGCAACTTTCCCGCCGCCACCTTGCAACCCCAGGCGAAAGCAGTGCAAGTCCCAAGACCCGGAGGAGTAGCTCCGGTCGCCGGGGGTGGAGCTGGTTCATCTACAACTAACAACCCGAAGATGATGAATATGAATTCCTATGCGTCCTCCTCGTCAAATGCTAGTACAACGCCAGCACAGCGCACTCCTCCCCAAGCCGTTGGCACCAGCACCACGGTGAACAACGCTAAGGTGGTGATTTCCCCAACGCAGCTGTTGTTTCAGCCCTTTTCGTCCCTGAACGCGACGCCCCAAGAGGTGGAGATTCAGTGCACGCCCGCGAACTCGCTGGTGGCCATCTACGCCATTTCTACTACTAGTTCCGCTTCCGATGGCGGGCAGGAGAACAGCGGTGGTGGGAGAAGCGTGATGAACAACTCCTCCTGGTACCGTATTACCACGTATTCCATGAAAGTTTCGGATTTTGGGGCGGAACTGGACATGGCGGCTCCGGAGACGCGGAGTAGTGCGGGAACACATCATGATACAGCTCCCTCCTCCCAGCCAGCGTTGATGCGTCCGATTTGGGTCGGGTACGGGAGTCAGAAGATCAAAATCCAGTGCCTGGCGGACTTTGATGGCGGGGAAGTTCCTACAACAAGAACCGGCAATGGTGCTAGTAGTGGGGCAAATTCAACAGGAGCATTCTTGGGGGTTAATTTGTGCGAAATTTTGTTGGTGAAGCCCATCATAAGAGGTGATCAAGAACTTCAACATGCAGGAGCTTCTGCAAGCAAAAGCGGTCGCGGTCAAAATAGCGTGGGCAGCAGTGGGTCTAGTTATAGTAGTGGTCGAGAAATGATGAACAGCACGAACAGAACTACTTCAGTTTTTGACGATCGCAATGGAGTGTATCTGACGCTCGAACTCATAGGATTTTTCAAGAAGATGCTGTGCAGTTGTGGAGCCTGGTGGTGGGCAGTAGCAACTTGTTGTGTTGTTCTCGCTTTTTGAAGGTTCTCTCCTGCGAATGCTGGTGTGCGAAGTTGTCGGCTCGGCCGAATGTTGTATCGTGTCTCAGTTAGGGGACTGCTTGTGGAGCTGTGGCGCGCTTCCTCCTGCCGTGGGCGGCTGTGCTTAACGGCTGCCAGCCTGTGGCGGGGAAGTTATCAAGGAGAAAAGGCGCGCGCGCCGGAGCCTGCCGAGGACCTCCCACCCCCGCATGCGCTGCCGACAGTGCCAGCGCCCCGCCCCGAAGCTAGCGAGACACCGCGAGAACAGGGACGGGGAGGCCGCCTGTTCGTCGTGTGCGTGGCACGACCTCCGAGGCTTGCCGGCATTTTCGTCGTGTGGCCCGGTTGCGGCGCGGGCCCCTTCGGGGGTCTCGGAATGCCCCCGGCGTCCGGATTTCGGCGAAGGGGTTTACTGTGGGCTTCCATGGCAGGCCGGCGCGCCCCATTTCGAACGAGGCAGGCCGGGGCCGCAGGGCGGGGGGAAGCAAGGCAGCAGGGCCGGCCCTCGCAAATTTTCGAACTTTTGGGCGCCCCCCCTCCGGCCCCCCGACTTGGTGGAGGAGCCGCGGCCGGAGCATTTTCTTCTGGGCACTCGCGAGCTTCCGCGTCTGGCGCCTCGTCGGAAGGTCTGAAGCTGTGGCGCAAGCGCGATCCGCGCCACGTTGTAGCAGCTACGACGTCATGCAGATTGGGCGGGAAGGTGAAGACGATGACGGCGCCCCGGAAGCCCTTGCGACCCCGGGCCACAATGCCGGGGCCGGTATCGGGCCCGGCGCCCACCACAGGTCGGCCGGAGAAAGGTTGTTGCGCGCCTCTGCCGAACGTCTGCGGCGCTGTTTCGTTTTTATATAGAGCGACGCGGCGCGCTGCTACCAGGGTGCGGGTCAGGCGGAGGCCACCCGCGGCCCGTATCAGGACGCCGCGAGGGGTTTTGTAGAATCCGGCGGCCTCCTGGGGGCCGTGCGCGCAGGGGCGTGCCGTTTTTGTGTATTTTGTAAAGCCCGGCCACTGCGCGCGCCTTAGGCACTTACAAAGGCGAACGACCTGCGCGACCTCCGCCACTGTCGAAGACGCCCCCCCTTGCGGCATCGTTGCGGAGCCTGGCGCCCGATTCTCCGGCCGCCCGGCGCCTCTGATGCGCGTGGGCGGGCCGGTGGCCCCACGGCCGGCGGCGGGCGTATTGTGTCGCGGCCGGGGCCTTTGCCTCAGCGACTCCACTCCTGGCCCAACGCCCATGCAACTCGGCGGCAACATGCAACTCGACGGCAACCCGGAACAGCGCGCGGCTGGATGGAGCGCGCCGGCCCCGGACTACCCCGACGCCCCTCCGCTTGCTTGGCGGCATTGGCCGCCCGGTCTTCCTGCGCAAGGCTGCGACCGGGCCCGCCCTGCTCCGGTGGGGCGAGCGGCCCACGCCTGTGGGTGGTGGGTGTGTGGCCTCCGCCCCCCCCCCCCGCTGCGTTCATTCTGCCGGCCTGGCCGGGCCCGGCCCGATTTCTTGGTGGTTCGCTCTGCCCCGGCGCATGTTTGCGCCGGCGGCAGCTGCAGCGCCGGAGGCGCCCTAGCCGGATTGGAGGCCTGCTAGGAAGGCGGCCCTTCATTCTGCTGGAGGCCTAGCTCCGTATGGGCGCATTACATTTTTTTCAGTCTCACCGCAGCGAGGCAGGCTGCCGCCTTGTTGTCTTAGTGTACTTCGGGAAGTGTTGTCTTTTTCTGTCCAGCCAGCCTGGATTGCTTGTTTTCGCGCATTTATGGCGCCTATTTTTTTTCTATTTGTGGCACTGTGGCTGCAGCCTTGATGATTGCGCATTTCTTAAAGATAAAACAAAACGCTTGCTGAGTCCATCAGGCTAAAGTCGCTCTGTTCCTTCTTTTGAATAGCAAAGCGAAATCTTTCAAGCAAAATGAGATGGCGCGACGTTGCACTGCGCAGGCGCCGCCGCCACCCTCCTGCGCCACCATCCTGCCGGCAGTTCTGCAGCATTTCGGCAGCCTCGGTAGCTCCTTCAGCGGACTCTTATCCTGCCCCACCAGTGCGTCCTCCGCCACGCGGATTTCCCACTGCGCCTCCACCCTACTCTTACGGTGGACCACCTGCGAACAAGACAGCACATCGTCAAAACAACGACAAAACGGCGTCAACCCCCACCCCTCCCACAACCAGCAACAGCCACGCAGCCACCAAACTCGCCCTCCACACCCTCAGCGCGCTCCGTAAAACCGGTAAGAGGGACGTGGAAAAGACCCGGATCGCGTGTCAGACGCTTTCCGCAAATCTGCGCTGCTTGTCGGGCGGCGAAGTGCAGACGGTGTGCTCCTTCTATCGTGAGAAAAAAGTGTTACAGTTACACATTCTCATGCAAGGCAAGCAAGACAGGCAACCTCTGTCATGCAGGAAACGCGTGCCAGCCTTATTCCATTAGTGTTTTCCCTTATAGTCTGCGCATTACAAGTTTTTCTTTGCCATGCAGCGAATTTGTGATGCTGAAATTCCGACAAATGTGTACCAAACTGTAACACTTTTTTCCTTGGATACCTTCCTCGCGAGAAATAATGTTGCGGTGCCGGACGGCGCGTTCTTCGTCCTACAGGTGTTGCAGGACGACTGCAACATTTTGCCCGCCTTTCCGGATTTCGCACTCTGCAACGTCTTAAACGCAGCAGTGCGGTTGAAGTTGCATAAGACAACAAGAACGCTGCAAGACGAACCTCCACATGAACCTCTACACCAAAATCAAGATGAAGCAGTTGGGTGTAGAACTAGAAGGGGGCAAGAACATCATTCCCCGCCAAACCGCGAGGCAGATACAGATCAGCGAAAATCCCAGCAGGAGCTGGCGCTGCACTGTAGAAACGTCACCAAGCCAGCCGGTATCTCCGAGTTGCTGCGGTTGATGGACAGAAAACTGGATTTTCCCACGCTCTCGGTGACAGATCTAGCGGTTTTGGTTTTCGCGCTGGGGAAATTGGAGCTGCCGACTACGGTCCCTGCAACATCGCGTGCGTGTGCTGAACCGGTGCCGGTAAGAAGAAGTAGAGGACTTCTACAACAGGATGATAAAAACTCCGATAACTACAACTCAACCGAAATAACATTGGTGAATATCCTCGCCTCTCTGTGGCAGAAGTCCGCGATCGCGATTTTGAACCAGAGTTGCATTCCCGTGGAGTCCTGCGGAATCATTTTGAACTCATACTCCGCTATCCCAACGGCGATACTACTTGTGTCATCAACTACTACACGAGCCTCATTATCATTATCACCTTCTACTCTGCCAAATCTCCGGGACGCTCTGTTCGACCACATCGCGAAACAATATGGCGTTCTCAAATGTTACACTCTCAACTGCTGCATGAATTTGTAATGCAAGAACGGCAGAAGTGAAAGGGGGAAGATTGCGCCTTTTGCATTACAGATTTGGCGCGGATTTAAATGCTGTTTAGCCCTTCGGAGATTTGTCATGCGAAGCAGTTTAATCGGGGCGATTTTGCTGGTAAATTTGCATGACAAATCATGTGACAGTTGAGAATGTATTAACGTTTGAGAGCGCCATAAACAAATTTTGACCGCGAAGCAGGACAGCCTGGCACAGTACCCGAGCACGGTAACTCTGGCAATGAACGCTTTTACCAGGATATTCCACGAAAAAACTGTTTCACTGTGATGGTTTTGCAAGATCCGCATCACAAGTTTGCTTACACATGACACAGAAAATTTGCCATGCGCGCTTTCCAAGGGAAAACACGCTTAAAAATCCGATGCCTTGCAGGTGTAGCAAGACAAATAGTTATTTGTTCCATTCTATGCATCACAAGTTCACAGTGAAACAGTTTTTTCTTGCGATACAGGATTGCGAAAGTAGACTACACAGGAAGGATTGAGGATGCTCATGTGCCGACGAAGACCTCCCAGGAGGAGGACGGAGAGGAAAGAAAACTCCTCGTTCCTGATGCTGCAGCCGCACAGCTCGAGGGCGGTAAAACTTCTTCCACAGTGAGCCTAAACACGGGCCGCGTGCTCCAAGTCCTCGCGAATGTGTTGTGCACGGTCATGAAAAACAAAGCAGATCATGAAGCGGTTGCAAGTCCCGGAGCGGATGCCTCGTCTGCTGGGAGGACCTCTAGTCGCACTAGTTGCACTACGACGACGAGTAGTGCGACGAGCAGTAGAACCGGGGGTTCATTACGTCACGGTAGTGACGTTCACAAGCCGAAAGACCGACGCGCGCACAAAAACAGCAAGCTCCTCCTAATCAACCTTGGCCAGGCGGTGCACAGTTTGGCAAAGTGCGAAGTCTTTCACTCGGAATTGCTCCATTTGGTGGAGGAAAAACTGTTGACGCATTTGACGGCGACGTCCGCAGGTGAATTGCACGATTACCAGTCACAGACACAGCAAAACGCAGAAGAAAAAGATAACACACTGGGCGTGAAAGAAACGGCCAATTTTCTCTGGTCCTTCCACAAGCTTCGGAGTGGGGGCGATGCGCTGTTCGCGAAACTCTTTCTAAAGTTTCACTCTTTGGAAGAAAATTGGGACCCGCAATCGGTCGCGCAGGCTATCGATGTGTGGAGCCGAAGGAACTGTGGGAATGGTACAACTAGCAGCACTTCTTCTTCACGAGGAGGACAATTCATTCGTGCTTGCGCGGAGCATGCAGGATCAGGAGGAACCAGCGAAGAGGGCGTGGGCGGTGTTGTTTGTAATGCGAATCTGCATCGAGGAGAACATCAAGATCAACTCGAGGCGTCGTTCTGGACCTATTGCGAAAACCACATCGAAGAGTTCAATGCGGTTGCTGGATTGCAGGCTGTCACCGGGCTACTGACTTTGAAAAAGAACACGACGACAAGGACGACCAGTGGTCACCACCCGGCAATGGCGGAGGAGAACAGAAATAAAAGTGCTTTGGTTCTTACCACGTTGGTGACAGCAGTGCTGGAGAAGTCGGCGGGAATGAAATTAGTGTCATCTTCCGGTTGTAATGATGTTGAACAAATAGAAGGCGCGTCACCTTTGCGGTTTCTGGAATACAACTTGTTGAAAGGTTTTATCGAAGTTTACGGGGCGGAGAAATTAGTTGGAGTTGTAGCGGAAACTGGAAATAAAGCAACGACGACGTCCGCTAGAGGTTGTAATGCATCATCTTCCGCACACTTATACCTCTTCACCCATTTGACCTCCGCAACTGCGCGGGCGCACGCTGCTTATGTCTGGAAAATGATGGAGGGGTCTTGTGGCAATGATAATGAATTCATTTGAGAGATAAAAATCCGAACATGCAGATCGATGATGTTGTCCTTGAAGATGAGGACCACTTCTTAACTCGACGGTTTGAATATCATATCACGAGGTGTCAAGCACATCATGAAGCGATCGCCTGAATAAAGATAAACTAAATGCATATAGAATGAAATAAAAGTCACGGTCGGTCGTGTCTCCTTTTTTTGTGTACGATGCGATAGTGCAATTGCTAGGGACAACGCCGAGTCAAAAATGCACCAGTACTACGACGCTCAGATTTATAATTCGGTTGTTTTTGTCTGTGCTACAACCGAACGACTTGATATTAGCCGCTCGCTGAGCAGACCTACGCACGAGAACTTTTTTTGCGTTTGCCGTGTTCCAGAAACGTATAGTCTTTTACTTACCGAGATAGGAGGACCACGAGGGAACAAGGAAAAGAGCGAGAGAAACAAAACACCAAGACTGGCCTATGCAACAACTACAGCAGCTTGTTTTTCCAAGACGAGTAGTCATCAACTGTATAATGTGAGGTAAGTGCTTATGTAAAGTAAATAACCAATACCAAGCCGCGCAGCTTCATCTCATGCCTTCTCGGCGAGGAAGGATTTTTTTGCTCCATCATGCAGATGCTGACAAGACTAAGACGGTTAGAATTGGAAAAGGAAAACACGACGTAACACAACAAACTGTAAAAAACAACAGGGAGTGTAGTCTACTGCGGAGATTTTTGTAAAAAGGAAGAAGTTCTTCCAGAACGACTCCAAACCCCCGTACTAGTACCCCGTTTTAAGTGGAATTCTTTGCTATTTTTGCTGAAACAATCACAGTCGGTATCTCAACATACTGATTTTATCATTTTTACGTCTCACGAGCACGACCTCTGCGAGTTCACCTTCTTGTTCGGTAAAACGGCTCTCTTCAATATCCCGGGCAGGATCAAAACCGAGACCGCAGAGCTACCACTAAACCCTTTCTTATAATTACGCATCGGTTTTCATTTTCTGCATCTTGTAGTTCTTACGTCAAGCGTGGTTTTTACGCAAATAAACATCAGAAAAAACGGTTGCAGCAGGTCAAAAAGTAATCTCATAATTTGTAACGAAGAAGAACAAACTCACCATGAGATCTCGTTTGAAGCAGTTGGCACTGTCGTGTGCCTTGTTTGCTACCAATGATTTGAAACTGATCTTTGCCCAGGAGGAGGAGTTATCAAATGTAAAAATGTCTGGGTCTGGAAGATTTCGAGACTTGTCATGCAGGTTTTGCATGAGTCTTGATGTCTGTGATGCGTGCCCTAGCATCACAGATTTTTTGAGGGCTTCTTAATGCCTATTCAACATTACAAATGCCATCTCCGCGTAGCAAAAATCACATTCCCTTTGCTGCTCATGCAATACAGATTTTTTTGCGATCCAAATGCAGCATCACAAGTTCCAATCTTCCAGACCCAGACATTTTTACATTTGATAGGAGTCTTCGGGAGACTCCGAGGGTCCGCCCCCGCCCCCGCCGGCGGAGGAAGAACCGCCGCCGCCCGATATCCTATGTAAAAACGTCCCCAGCACCCCATAGTCATCAAGATGGGAAATCTGCTAGACAAATCAACAAGTTTTGGTTTTTGTGCATGACAAGTCTGGCCTCGTAGTGTCGTTCTGTATGGATTAGTTTCTCAGCATTACAGATGTAACCTATCATGCTGATCCTAGCATGACAAACTCCGAAAGAACACGACTAGAAAACTATGCTTCTCATGGGGCTCCGCATGAGAAATGTGTTCAGCAAATGCAGACTTGCATGACAAGCACTATGGTCTTGTGGGGACGTTCTTACATAGGATACCCGAGGAGCCCCCGGTGGTGGAGGAACCCGAACCCGTCGTGGAGGCGGCGCCCCCACCGCCCCCACCCCCGCCGCCACCACCACCACCCGCGGCGGAGCCGGAGCCGGTGATGCAAGAGGAGGTGCATATCCAACGGAAAAAGACGGGCAGGACAGATTTGTGATGCGAAAATAAATATAGAGAAAAATCTGTCATGCGCGACCCTATAGAACACACAAGATAGAGAGATTTGTTTGCGTAGGTATTTTTGCATTACAAATGATCTGCGCTGCTTGTCTTTTTCTGTGGCATAGTGCAGATCATGGACAAGCTGGCACACGCAACGCAGGAACAGGAGAAGACAAGAGTATATTAAAGTGTTTTCGCATGTAGATTTTGCATCACAGGATGAGTTAGCCATTCCGGCTGCGCATGACAAGTTTCATCTATGTCCTTGCGCGTTCATCTGGTCTACTTATCGAAAAATATGTAATTGAAATTCCGCATGATGACAAAAATATAAATTAGTTGCGCCGCTTGCTACGGGAAAAGGTGGAGGAAAATCAGAAGATGAAGAACGCGGGGCACCACTTATGAAAAGAGAAAAAGCCATAGAAGGACTGTGTTTAGTGCATCAAACAGCATGAATACATCAACATGGTGCAAAAAATTTTTTGCAATGCGGAATGCGCATCACCAAACCTCGTCCGCGGGGTCGCTATAGCTATAGTTTTCTGTCATGCTGTTTGTGCATTAGACAAGCACAAGTTTCTCGATCTTCCTCTCCATACCCCTGGATGGTCGGCAGTTGGCTGTACGGCGATTTGGCGCACGGAATTATCCACGAGGATCACCTGACTGCCCATGGCTGCGCGGACCACTGGTAATTTACTTGTTTACAACTTACACTACGGGCGGAGTTTCAGTTTGTCATGCATGATGCGTTTTCATGAAGGCGTTTGTGATGCATGATCAACATGCGATGGATATAAAATCTCACAACAGCGAAGCGAACAACGAGTGCTACCATTGGGTGTACTACCTGGACTCGGGCCGGTGCGACCTGAAAGTGCTATGGTGTTGGAAAATTTGCTAGCATGAGGAACGAAGATTTTTCATCCAGTTTGTCATGCGATATTGCATGCTGTTGCTGTTGTTCAAGAATCTGTCATGGGCGAATGCACGACGTGCATAGTACTATGTTGCCAATAATTCACTCTTTTACCGTCGTCCTATCCTTGGCATTTGATGCCTTGACAGATTTTTTCCTCCTACAAAAGGAACTGCGTGAGAAATATGTTCGATCGAAACACAATGCTAGCAGAATTTTTCTAATCGATAACTGAACGGTGGCGGTCACAATGCCGATGTGGATCACATGATCGTGGGTATAGAAGTTGTGTTGCAATAATTCAAGGTGAAGTTGTTGTCCTGTGCATGACAAAATCAACTCCCCTTGCAACCCTCCGCATGACAAACACAAACTTCCAACAAAACAGGTCACGCCAAGCGGTTTTTGAACCTGAAGGCGAAGGGGTCGGGCACGGCGGAATTGTGAGGAAAGTGCTATTTGCAGCGCATAGCAGCACATCATCAACTGCAGTTTTTGAAATCAAAGCGACGGGAGCGGCGGGGAGATGAAACCTTCTTCTCAGCTTTCGTCACAGGAGCTTTGACGAGAGTAAAATGAACCTGTTTTTTTCGTACAGCCTTACAGTGAGGAACTACATCATCTTCTCGTACAACAACAGCAACCAGGAGAAAAAAAACCGACACGACCACTTCCTTTCAATCAGAAGTAAAATCTTCAACAGTTTATTGCGACTAGTACTCGGAGTTCTTTTTGTACTAGCGTGAGCAGAATGCTGTACTTGTTTTCGCCGAAGTAACAGTATGACAAGCAACAATCGGCGATGAGGGTTTGTTGACACAAGCGGAGTAGTTTGGAACAGAGCTTGGTTGTGGAAAATGAAGCTGTCGGAGAATATGATGAATGACGCACGTCATCATCAAGCCACAACCACTCGCTTCATCTCATCCTCAAGAAAAAATCGCTGCGATGTTGGAAGCGCGACCTGTCTTTAATCCGGAATAGAACAATTGTCAAATCAATGGAAGACTGAATGCTGCAGCTTTCCTGCAGCAGATGCAGAGGGGAAATTATCTTCGGAGGAGGGATTCGGAGGAGGTGATTTCTGTCTCGGATGGAGGATAGGAGTTGCGCATCTAATATCACCCTTGGACACTTTCACTTTAGCTTGTTCCTGAAACTTGTTCAAAATACAACGCGGAAGATTCATAGTATTTTGTGGAGCAGTTTCAGCCCCTTGCATGTTTTTCTTTTGAAGTATGTACGTTTGCGCATTGTTTGATAGATACCCCAGCAGCTGCACATGAAATATAATACCAACCTTCTCAATAAGTTCTTCGAGCCTCTATTCTTGCAACCAACCCGTACCACGACGGAAAGTAACTCGTATTTTCAACACGTGTGTCAATACTACAAGTAATGAGGGAATAAAACAATTTTAAAAACCTTGAATAACAGTCGAATCATGTTGATCTAATTACACTCAGTCGAGAAGTGGCACCCCGAGGAGATTTGCAATTTCTCGTGCCATAGCTGTGCTATGCCTGTTTTGATAGCCGACCTTCAGCGCAGTTTCGACTGACTGTGTGAACGGTAGGGAAGCGGAAATCATCATCATTCCACCAGTTGATAGTCGTGCGAGTTCTTTTATGTTCAAGGGTAGCGGCTGCGGCGCCTTACGTGCAGGAAGTACTACAGAGTTGTCGTGTTTGACTCTGACTCTGACTCAAATTTGCGATTATGTTCGGTGAAGTTTTGAAAAACCACTATAGTGCCTAGCTGCCGACTTCGGTTCTGTCACGAGCTTTCAGGTTCTGTTCGGTTGTGGTCTAGATTTTTATTCTTTCCAGCTGAGTTTTACTTTTATTGGGATTGACATTGTGATTAGTGGCCGAGGCTTACTGCGCGAAAGCGAGCGACTGGAGAGGGATTTCACTGAGCGGCGCAGATTTTCCACTATCCATGGACGATATTTATTGCCGCGGTGCGATTACTGTGAAAGAATGCGAGATGAAGGATGGGCATGGAGCGAAAGAAGCTTGAATTCTAGAAGACGCACTTGCTTCACTCTGTTCGCATTAGGAAAAGCAGAACTCACGTTTGGGTGACATTTCAAGCAAAATGAAACCGTTTTTTTTCTGTTCAGTAAACAGAACTCGACGTCGCACTATTTTCATTTTGCGATTTGATGCGCAGCAAGTATGTAGCTGTGGTTACACATTCGTGGCTTCCGAAATGATAAAAAAATATGGGGCCACGCCTCACACTGGGGCCGGCAGGGACGTGGCGCGCTAGCGCGTTCCGCGGTGAGGACGGCGATCAACGCTGCTGCCGGGCCTGCGGGAAAGTAGGCCAACCCCGGCCCCGCTACCAGGGGCCCTGTGTGGGCGCCGTTCTTTTTGTTTCTCGGAGCGCGGGGGCTCTTGCCATTATCGCAGGGCGCCTTGCATTGGCGGCGCGCGCGGTGCGCGGAATTCGTTTCAAAAAGCGGAATTCGATCGAGCGAGGGCTGGCTACAGGGGCGAGCGGTCATGTCAGTCGTATTAATCCTCTAGCAAGCGCAAGCAGAGCGCCCCGCGCCCCCTTTGGTTTCCCGCCGCCCGTGGCGTGGCTGCGCCGCCTGAACGCCAGCCGGCCGACTGGCCCCAATTGCCGCCCCAGGTTCCTGCGGGTCCCCCTCCCCGAAGGCGGCCCCAGCTCCCTTTGGGCCCCCCTGGGCAGTGTGTGGCGCACCCGCGTCGCCCCTGTTAATGTTGTCGCGATTTCTACCGCAGCGTCTTGCCCGTGGTGCGCGGGCCGGCAGCGTATGTGGCGCTGGGCTGCCGTCGTGCCCATCGCCCACGGTGGCAGAGTAGCCCGCGGCCCAGTGGTGTTGTGCCCGTCGCCCACCTAGCTGCGCTGTGCCTGTTTTGATACCCGACCTTCTGCGCAGTATCGACTGACCGTTTTAAAGGTAAGGCACAGGAAATCGTCGCTCCGCAGTGGAAGTGGTTGATATGACGAGTGTCAGTTCTTTTATGTTCACGGTGGCTGCCGCCCTCTAGCTACTAGGATAGGCGAAAGGTTAGCAGGCAATAGAGTTGTGGTTTCGCAAATCGTGCCCTGCCTGTGTTCGGTGGTGTTTTGAAACAAAATCATACAACGCACAACTCCCGACTTCGGTTCTCTCACGAGGTTTTACATTTTGTTCGGTAGAAGTAGTCATAGTTTTTTTATTTCCGCTGAGTGCTATTGGTTTTCGTAGCCGGTTGAGAGAAAACGAGCGCGTGGGCAGAGGGATTTGAGGGGGCGACGCAGATGGCTCTCAGGCTACAGATGATGGTCACGTTTGCACCGCCATTATTTGATTTCAACGATGAGGCATAAAGTGACGCAGGAATGGTTCCTGAGCGCACTTCTACCTTTCATTGAGTAAATGAAAATGAATTTCCTCCTTCACCAGCACCATTGGGAGTGAGAGTGAGTTGGTGTGTAACATTAAGAATGGACATGGGCCCGTCTGCCATGGCCCGCCACTTGTGTCCGGCGCGAGCCAGTACTCCTCCGCAAGACTTCCACAGCGCGCGGGGGTTGTGTGGATGTTTCCACCTCGGGCGGCGAGCTCTTCCGCCTCGGGCTGCCAGCCTCTCGGACGAGTGGGCTTTGAAGATGCCAAGGGGTGGGCCGCTGCAATGTTGGCGCACACGTTGCGGCGGGCGCCGTCGCGATCGGCGCCGTACACGTCCTTCATGCAGCAGCAGTTGAGAGCTTCGCCCACCGCCTTACTCTATTGGCTGAGCTGCTGCCGCCCCCTGTCTGCGCCCAGTGGAGGCCGGGGGCCGGTTTTCATTCGTGGGAGAGCCCCCGGCGGCCCTTTGCGGCTCCGGGCAATGTGCGCCCGGTGGCGCTTTTCGGCCGCGTGGCGGCTGCCCCCCGCGCGCTGCGTTGACTGGGCGCCCTGGCCCGGGTTCGATTGTGCGCGGCCAGGCGTTTCGCCGTGCCCCTGTCACTGCGTGCTGAACACCTTGGCCTGCAGCTGGCATTGATGTCTCCAACGTGGCCGGCTTTGCGCTTACTCTCAGGCTGCCGCGGCGGGTGGTTTGCTTGTATTTAAGTATCTGGAAGTAGCAAAGGACGCTCCTCTGTGTGGCGCTGGCTTTGCGTTGTGCCAGTCGCCCATTGTGGCAGGGAACTGGCAGGGGCGACAGGACCCGTTGCCAGTGGCTGGCCCAAGTGAATGCTCGGCCGATTGTATCCTGCCTTCCCTTTGCCGGCTGTCGTGCGTATCGGTAGTTCGCGATTGACACTCGTCCATTCAAAGCTAGCAGAATGAGTGGCTGGCGATTGGGCGTAGATTGCCACGACTGATGATTGGCAAGCATCCGGCCGGAGCTAGCCAAAGTTGTGGCTCTTCACTTGTTGTCGCCGTGTCGGCCCCTGTCGGTAGTGACCTAGTAAATGAGCCGGCGCAATTTCGATAACAGAAACCCGATCAAGCTTCTCCAGAGAGGTGTTGCTCTTCCAGAGAGGCTGCCGAGCATGTTTGTCTTATCAAAAGCGTGCGAATTTGGTGGTGTAGGGTGTGTCCGTAATTTTGAGTCTAGGAGCGATAACCTCTGTATCGCAAGACCGACGACGAAGTGCGTACAAAAAAGAAGTGTGGGGGAGACGAGAGAACTCTTGCAGCCGGCCTTCAATTCTATCTTAGCTCAAATCTATGTTTTTGAGATTTCTAGTTCGTCTAGGATTTTTTTATCGTGCGCCACAGGCAAAAAAAATGGCGGCAGAATCAATGGGCGCGCGCCGCCGGTGGTGTGGCAGCTCCAATCATTGGCGGCCCCGGTGCCATGGCGGCGGGCGCTTTTCGGCGGCGCGGCGCGTGCCGGCTCCTCGGTTGATAGGCCTCCCGGCGGGGGGTAGCAGGCAGTCGAAGTACGGACGCCGCCGCAACAGACCCGGGGGGCGCCGCGCGCGCCTCGCCGGAGGGTCCGGGCCGGTCGTGCATGATCGCTGCAGTATAATTTGCGGAGCGGGCGTGCTTGTGCTAAGGGCGCTCGGAATTTTTTCGGGAGGGCGCGCGCACCAACGGCGACCGATTGCCGGCAGCGCGGGGCCTACCGAATGCGCCCCGCCTGCCCCGTCTGTGGCGGGGCGGGCGGCGCCTGTTTCGCTTTTTCTTCCTTTGCCGCGCGCGCCGGCCCAGCGTATGTTCGCGCCGCCGCGCTTCTGGCCTTGCCGAAGGCAGCCGGGCCGGCGGCTTTTCCTTCGCGGCCGGCGGACCTCTTTCCCGCCCTTCGCAGTGCCCCAGCAGAGCCGTGCGGCGGCGCTTTCCGACCGCGCCGCGCCTGTCCCTCCCCCCTGGGGGCTATTTGGTGGCTGGCTTCGGCGGGATTTGTATGTTGGCGCGCGGGCAGGAGCTGCCTGCGCTGCAGCATTACTGCGGCACCGTCCGCCGAGCGGGCCAGCTGTGCCATTACTAAGCTACCTTCCTTCCTGCGGAGGCCTCGCTGTGACACTACTATCTATGCCAACAGAGCGGTCGGCGGCGGGCCACGCTTCTCGTGCTACTTACAGCTGGTTGAGCTACCTAGCCTTGGCGCTAGGGTCTTTAGGTGTTCAGCAGAGGCGGTCGCATCTTCGAGCAGTTTCTTTTGGTGGAGCCCGACATTTCTTCATTGTGCCAGCGCGATCTTGTTCTATCTTGGTCAATTTGCTGCACAGACTATGTTGCTGTTTCATTTTTTTCCACAGATCCAGATCCCCGGGTTGTTGTGTCCCAGTAGATACAAAGTAGAGCATCAGATAAACTACAGGAGCTCTTGCATCAACCTGCTGCATTGTTCTATCTGTGTATTTTCTATATCCTTTCAAGAGCACCAAGCCTCCGGTCGACCTCGTCTTCTGTGGACATTTTGATGCACACCATTCATGTAAAGTTGTGAGTAGATTGAGATCATTTATTAGGATACGACTTCCAACTACTCTCTTCAAAGACATGGTGTCATCTCCGACGTTGCAATTGAAGGCCGACTTTCACACGACCGAAGAGGACTCCCTGCTCACCACCTCCCGCCACCCGTCCTCGTCTTCAACTCAACCGAAAAGAACTCATCGCGCTGCACCAAAGGCCTGCACTGATTTATCTCCCACAGGAGCCGGCGCAACAAGGATGAGGACGGGGAAACACCCAACCGGCGGCTTGCTCACCACGGCAGCTCTTTTTTCCTTTGCCGCAACTTGTGGCCTCGTCCCCACGACTCTCGTGTCCGCGTCTGTGGCCGACGGTTTGGCCCCGGTTCCACAGGACCTCCGGGAGTTTTCGGGCTTGAAACTGGCGACGGAGGAGTGGATACGCGGTGGAAATATCGATCTGGGTCTGGAACATTTTTGCAACTTGTGAAGATGCGCCGTCCTGTAGATCCCACGGAAACTACTTTTCATCTTGCGCGGGTAGGTGCACGCCTTGCCTGCCAGTTTCGGGCACCATGCTGAAACATTATTTATCTCTCGTGCGGGAAGATAACACTATAGTACTACAAAACCTGTGACGCTGTGCCCTGCATTCCAGGGGACTGCGCGAGCGCGGTGCATTATCCAAAATCTGCATGACAAACTCCTGCAATTATCATCCAGATCACCAGACATATTTTCGTCTGATAGTGGATTAACGGGACCAACGCCACCGGAGTAGTTCCGTTTCAACGGGGCGCTTGGCTGTACGGAGACTACAAAACGGAGATCCCGAACATACCAGACATCGAGACGTGCAGGCAGGCGTGGTAAAGGATATTAGATTTTGATATGTTCTTGTTTTTTCAGGAATAAAACGGAATTGTTTTTGTGGCATCTTCTTCTTCCTGCTCAGATTTGTTTCTACTGTCTGGTGGTACTGCCACCAGTGAATTGAGTTCTCAAATGGCTATACTAGTACGCATGTCCATTCTCGAACAAAAACTACAGCGCCGCAGACAGTTTTTGTTTCCACTGGGTTTGGCGCATTACGGACAAGCGCTGCGATTTTCACATATGAAAAATTGCAAAAGCATCGTACCACGGAGTAATTGCATATACAAATTATCTTAGCCTTGACAAATGGAATTTGTAATGCTGGTTTACCCTGGGATGGAGATTTGTGATGCATGATTGCAATTACTACGAGTCTGCGATACTTTTGCACAGGATGTCACAAGATGGAAGGCGAATTCACCGAAGACGTCGACGACAGCATTGTCGGGCACGTGGGCCACAGACGCGAGCTGCAGGCGGACCAGGGCGATACGGTGAGAAATAGTAAAGCGAAGACTACCACCACAGAAGGAAAATCAGTCACGAGGACCTCGGAGACGAGTGGTGAAGCAGCAACACAGGGAACAAGCGCGGGAGTCGAGGTCGAAGCAGAAGAGAGCTCGGTAGATGAGCGGTCACAGGATTACTTGTGATGAAGATCGCAGCTGTAGTAGTGCACCAGTTTCATGCATTTATTTTCGAGATCCACCACCCCCACCTCCGGAACCGAGTCCGACCTTGAAAGATTCTAGTTGGATTTTGTTTTGGAGATTTTTCAAGAAAGAAACAATAACAAACACATTGGAAAAGCAGCTTCGGCTGTCGTAATCGATTACCGGGAACAACATTTTGAATTTGTGGTTGTTCTTCCCGGGGACGATCTGTGGTGAAGAGAAGCGTCTTTCAAGATTCAGTACCCATGATCAAAACCGAGATCACGATGCTCGTTCCCTCAGTTGTAGAAACGTACGGAAAAAGACACCAGCAAAAAAGGATCCCTTCATCCTCACAAGACCTTCACCTTGTTCACGTTTTGATAAATGCTTCGAAAGCTGCGATGAAAAACGGATCCGTACTTCTAAAATTGAAGCAGGATGAACTCCTCGTGTACTAACTCGATCTTGAATGTTCTGGCTCGTTTCCTACCATCGCAAAAAATCAGATCTTGGTGGTTCACACGACTGCAGATCCGACAGAAGAAGATCTTCATACATACTAGCTGTGAATGGAAAGAAGATGATCTTCTATATAGCTTTGTCATTGTCCTCGACCGCATTCCCAACCTCATTAGAGCAACATCAGACCATCCCTTCAGACCAGGAATGAAAAATTTATAGAGGAAGTTGCCATTGTCATTGTGATTGCCACTGTGAATCGAGGCATCGATAGAGCGAGACTCTCAGCGATAGTGATACATCTTCGCACCCTTTGCAATAAGTAGTTGCACCACGTTTTTTACTCTCTCCACGAAATTGTAGACGAACCTCGCCAAAAACAAAATGACGAACGCTTGCGGAGATGAAAATATCACCTCGTCCTTCACGCTCCGTCTGTTCGGCCTTCCCTTCAAGGCGACGGAGGAGGATTGCAGGGCGTTTGTGGTGGAAAACAGCAAAAGTACGACATCAAATGTGACCACGATTACTATCCAAACCGTCCAGATCGGCGCGAAAAAGCCGAAGAAAAACCAGCCGAAACGAGGCGAAGCCTGGGTGAAAGTTTCTGTTAATGCGGAAGAAGGGAGGATGAAAACAACTACAGATAAACAATCGTTGGTCGAGGCTCTCCACAAGAAGCACATGCAAGACAGATTTATCGAGGTCTCTTTGTTAGAGGAGGATGGTGATGGTGTACCACTTCAAGACCAGAAAGCGGAGGAACAAGAAGTTGACCAAACAGGAAGCTTAGCAGAGCCACAGCCGAAGAAACGAAAGCTTGACAAGTCATCCTCAATAAACCACACGAACGCGGGCTACACAACGACCAACGCCTCTCCTGCGGCGAGTTGCTCGACGGACGATGCGTCCCCTAACATGACAACTGGCGAGGACAAGAACAGCACGGCGGGGAAGATCGCGCTTCGCCTCTTCGGAATCCCATTTACCGCGGAAGCGAAAGACGTGCTGGAGTTTCTGCAAGAAAACTACTACGACAAGGTTGGCAATATTAAAGATGGAGATGAAGATACACAAGCTCATCTGCTCAAGACTTCTATGCCGAAAGAACAAGACGTGTGGGTGGGCACGATCCGGAAGTGGGAGCTAGCGGAAACCGATTGTCAGCCGTGTAAGGGTATCGAGCGCAAATATGTCTGGGTCTGGAAGAACGCAACTTGTGATGCTACATATGGATTCCAAAAAAATCTGTATTGCATGAGCAGCAAGGGGAGTGTAAGTTTTGCTACGGGAAGAGGGTATTATTTGTCATGCGGAATAGGCATCATCTCTGTGATGCTAGGGCATGCATCACAGACATCATGATGGCTCATGCAAAACTCAAAAAAAAAATAAAATTTGCATGACAAGTCTCGGAATCTTCCAGACCCAGACATTTTTGCACTTGATAAAGGGGGAAGCTTGGGTTTACAACTTCCTTCCGAATGAGAAAGCAGGCGCTGCTGCTGATGTGATCAAAATTATCCAGAAGAATATCAGCGACTTGGTAGAGAACAAGTCCATCGGGAGCAGGTTTATCAACTGTTCTTTTATCATATCCTGTGCAAAAGTATCGTACTCGTATAAATGCATTACAAATTTCCTCAGCATGAGAAATAGAATTTGTAACGCAGACTTCCCTTGGAAACAAGATTTGTAATGCAAGACTTGCATTTGTACGAGTATGAGACTTTTGCACAGGATATATCAACACGGAGACCAACGAGGTCACCTGGCACGCCACGGACCCGAAAATGGCGAAAGAACAGTTGGCTGGGAAGCAAGGTGGGAAAAACGCGATGAAAGGGAAAGGCAAGGACGGGAAAGGCGCTGTGTTGTCTGACAAGGGCGAGCGCGATATGGATTGTAAATATGTCTGGTTCTGGAAAGTTGGAACTTGTGATGCTAACCTTGGACTCTAAAAAAATCTGTATTGCATGACCAGCAAGCAGAGGAGTCCAGTTTGTTCCGCGCAGGGATGGCATTTGTCATGCGGAATAGGCATCAAGAAGCTCTCAGAAAATCTGTGATGCTAGAAAATACATCACAGACGTCACGGGCCATGTAAAATCTGCATGACAAGTTGCAACTTTCTAGACCCAGACATTTTTGCATTCCATACGCGAGTTGTTTGTGCGGTTTCTCCCGTACGAAGCGACGGAGGAAGATGTGTCGGAGTTTTTTCAACATGGCCTTGTTGCAAAGCAAGCCGACAGCACGTCAAGTGCAGATGCTGATACAACTTCTACAGAGAACATCATCGAACGCGTGAAGCTGTACAAGAAAGCGGGGATGGGGTTTGTCACCTACAGCAAAAAAGAGTACGCGAGTCAAGCAGTAGAGCTCTTCGACAATGCGAAGTGGAACACGAGGAGTTTGCGGGTGTGTTTGTCCAAAGACAGGGAAGATTTGATGAAGGAAAAAACGGCGAAGGGGAAGGGGAAACAGGGCACTAGTAGCTCGTGGGGTACTAGTAGTAATGCCGACGCAACTTCCTCTACCCATGGCGCTTATGACAACGGATCAAGCGCAGGAACTGAAGTCGAGGACAAAACGAAGTTGTTTCTCTCCGGCCTTCCTTTTGACTGCACGGAGAAGGATGTGAGAACGCTTCTAGCAGCGATCGAACCAAAAATTATGGAAGAAAATCAAAATCTCCATTGCAAAATTGAGCTTTTGGTCGAGAAAGAGCGGTCGAAGTTTCTCGGCAAGGCGATCGCGCAGTTTCAGGAAGAAGATAGGAGTATCGCGGAAAAAATCCAAAAATACGCAAATAATCTGGCAAACGAGCCGGTGATGCTGAAAAACCGGCTGATCCGAATCGCTTTCTGCAGGGAAAAAGCGAAGCCGGACTACAGTAACGCGGATCCGTTGCTTCCAAATGGGTCGAAGAAGAAGGTTTACTACCAGCAGTTGTTCCTGAAATTCCTGCCGTTAGAAGCAAAGGAGTCCGATGTGCAGAATTGGCTCAAGGAAAACGAAATGCGGTTTGAACCTCCAGCGGGAACTGTGGAAGCTGGTATATGTCATCCGGAACCCCAAGACACCAATTCCGTCCGCAGGATCAAACTGTGCAAAGACAGCGACGGCTACAGCAAGGGCATCGGGTTTCTTTTCTTCGAAACGGAGGACGCCGCGTGGGCGGGCATTGAGGCGTTGAACGGGGCGGAATTCTGGGAAAAGCACGTGGAAGTCACGTGGGCGACACGGAACACGAGGTGATAGTGATTTTTTATTTTGGGTGTTGTTTTGAGGATGGACATGGATCTTCTCAGGTGCTGAACTTCTGTGCTCCACCTCTCAACAACAGCACATACTGAACCAGAAGACCTGTCGAATGCAAAAATCATCTTCATCGCGAAGACTCTAAGTTGTACACAGGGGATCTTGCTGCACTGAACGAAGAGAACAAGTGAAATTTACCGAAGGTCGTCGCAAAACTTGTTGCTGAATTGTATGTAGCAGAAGCTTGTTTTACTTAAGTATTTCAATTGTGGAATGCAAACGCCACGACCCTCCTCCTCCAGTGTTCTCGAAAAGCAAAGCCGCAAGGAGAAGCTCTGCAAAGCGATCAGGTAGTACCACTCCGCCCTTGCTCTTTCTGACGAAATCTGTAGGCGGGGCAAGGTGGGGTCTTTAGTTGAAAGCAAACGTCGAAAATCCCTTTCCAGAGAGAAAAAGACTCTACAAGACTGTAATTATTTCCGACGGTACAAAGACTATAGTACCTGTTTTGAAATATACTTTACTGATTCGTAGTGTTCGCATGATCTTCATACAGTGAGAAAATAGATTTTGCGGAGCATTTAAGTTCTACGTTTTGTCGTTGCAGCACTACAAGCTGCATAATAAGTATTCTAATTCTGACGCTCACACCGACCACACGCGTGTTGCATCAAATCGATTTTTCAGCAGTTGAAAAGAAATTCAAGGATGGTCCTCCAAACCATGTCGCCGCGAGGGACATTGCAAGGATGCTGATCTATCCACCTCCTACTACTTGAAGCTGGAACTTCTACACGAGAGGATTGGTTCTGACCACGACGGCGCACATACACATACCAGTTTAGAAACTTCAATCCGCCCGCTCTATTGAACACGGACACCAGCCGTCGGAACAAATAGACGGAGGAATAAACTGGACTTTTTCACCCGAGAACGACCAGTGTAGAAGCAATAAACCTGCTAGAAGTAGTTGCTCGTCGTCCGGAACAACTACATCAGAAAATGATCAAGGTCTTCGGCGTGGGCCGCGGGGCCAAAAAGAAGCAAGACCAGCAGTCCAATAATCAGGAGTCCGGGAATGAGCAATCGGCCACAAGCAACCCTGCAGCAGGATCTGCTTCCCAGTCTTTTGGGGACAAACAACCCGGGGAAATAAGGATGCAGAAGGAGCTGGATGAGCTGGATGTGCCGCCGCAGTGTCAGCTGAACTTCTTGAACAAGAACAACATCATGCACTTTGCGCTCGATGTAAAACCAGAGGAGGGCATGTGGAAGCAAGCTTGTTTCCGGTTTTTGTTCACAATACCTCCACTGTATCTATACCTTTGTTTTGAGAAATGTTGATGTGAAGAAGTGTTTATTTATTTCGAGTAGAGACCCAGCTTCACCTTCAGTTTGTTAGTTCGACTTCGCTGCTCTGCTGGCCATTTGTACATCAAGCAATAGTAGGACAAGGGCCCTATCTAGTCCAGTTTTCTACGCATGACAAATTGAAATTTCTAACATCTGCACTATCCGAAACCTCAGGTACCCCCACGAAGCGCCAAAAGTGAAGTGTGACACGAAGATCTTCCACCCAAATATAGATCTGGAGGGCAACGTGTGCCTGAATATTTTGCGGGAGGAATGGAAACCCGTTTTGTCAATATCGGCGGTGATATACGGTACTATACTTTACTGTAATTTGTGATGCGAATACTGCTTACTAGTTGCAGAGTAGGAAGCATTTGTTTATCCAGCAGGGAATACGATTACGAATACCATAACCATTTTACCCATTCATGCAAATTTCGATTCGCAATCGCACGACGTCAAGATAATATCAACTCGTAAAAACAAGGTATCCTGCACCTTTTCGCCGAGCCAAACGGGAACGACCCGCTGAACCAGGAGGCGAGCAGAATATTTCGGGAGAACCCGGTAGAATTTGAAAGGTTGGTGCAGAGAAGTTTACGGGGCTACATGGTGCAAAATCAACAATTTCCCAGACTCCTTTGACACGAAAAACATGATTTGATGCGACTTTGTTTTCGACTCGTTTTTATCCTCATAGAAGAATTCAACATCTTTCGCGCGACAAAATATCAATGAAGGAAAGCTTATGGTGCATGCAAGCGGTCAGACAAGTGGGAGTGTTTTATATATCAAACAGATTGTTCCTTTGTACATGGTCAGTTTCGACGTTTCGGTTTATGTTCGTGAATGTGATAAAAAGTAAAGTACTTACGTGGCTGGTGCGTCAACATCTCCTCGATTTGGTGATCACTCAACCTTTTCCTACAACAAGGATCAGAAGGTTTGTGCTCGCAATTCTTCGGTTTCATCTCACCAGTTTTTCTTTCTTCGGGCGCAAGACCGTCTTGTCCTCGTTGTTTCCGCTAGAATGCAAAGGCAGTCGAAAGTTGTACTTGAAATTTTGCCCTCCAACCTCTCCCGTTTTTTCGAGAGCGAGCACTTATTCCTGACTTTTTCTCACTTTTTCTCGCGGCAGCACCCATGATGGATGCTAGCTTCCTCCCGCCCCGCTTGCTCCGAGCGGTGGAGGAGCTTTGGAGTGACAGAAAGAATAGCCGGCTCGGGTTCGGACCCTTCGGGCTGGAAAGGTTGAAGGGAGTGAATGGGAGCAGGTCTTGTTCACACAATGAGACCCTGAATTGCAGCAACTCCGCCGCCCTCCTGTCGTTTCTGCAACCAAAGTGCGGGAACAAGATGAACGGCCTTGTCGACGGCAACAAGCGGTATCTCTGCATGCTGCGGGCCGTCTTGAAGGAGATGGCCTTTCATCATAATGGTACTTCTACGGGCAGAGGTCCATCGGGCACCAACACGACCACAATGAGCGCGCGAAAAACGTTTCGTTTCCAAATTCTGCCAGAAATGGAACGCATTTTGGAAGAGTTGTTTGCGCGGACGTTTCTTGTTCTGATTGCACGAAGGAACAATTTCGAGGACGAAACTTCTCCTGAAGAAGATGCGGAGTCCACGACCACCTCCGGGGGAGGACAAGGACTACAGGGCGCTGCTCTAGTACAGCAACCCGTTCTACCACATGACAAAATACGCTTTCATCTCCTCCACACCGCCATTGCGAACAAGTTGAACGCGAAAAGGAGTGCGGAAGTCGTGGACACAGTTGTGGAATTTGTGGAAACGAGTACAACAACGTCGGAGATTTTTGGTCATGCCGCGGGCCCAACGAGTACCACTACTGGAGACAAGGAGCGTAAAATCAATCGTGTTGCTGGACGAGATGAGAAAACTCTTCTGGCAGCCGCAGCTCCTCCTGCTCCCCAGGGTCGTCTTGCTTCTATGCCTACGCAGCAGCAGCTCGGAATAAAGAAGATGAAGAAATTGTCCGAGTTTGTTGTTGGTGTGAAGAGTTCTAGTTCTGCCAGTTCCCTGCTATTGTCCACCCGCATCACAAGTTTAGTGAAAAACGGAGTCATTTTTTACGGACACTGCCGGCTTGGAGGAGAGGATCTTTTATTCCAAGCGCCAGGTACAAGAACGACTTGTGCCTCTAGAACAAGAAGCCTGTCGAGAAACGAAACTGCTTGCGAGCACGACCATGACCACGAGCCTCTACTTTTCGCGGTGCAGGTACTTACCCTGCACGATTTGCAGGACGTTTTTCAGGACTTTTGTCTGCAAAGAACTTCTTGTGAGGAAAGAACCTTCGAAACCACTGGAAAGGAACGTGTACCTCGTCCCGGTACTAGCAGTACAACTCTCAACGGAAACTGTTGGAACTTGGATTTCTTCGAGGCCTACGCAACGGCCTGGGTGAAGCAGCAAACGGCAGAGCTGCTGTTTTCTACAACCGCTAATGTTTATCAAATGTAAAAATGTCTGGGTCTGGAAACTTGTGATGCTGGGTGGCGTCTCATGATGAGGCTACAAATGCTGGCTCAGCATGACAAGTTTCTGAGCTCCTAGGTGTTGCCTATTCTGCATGACAAACTGCGCTTCTGCATCACAGAGAACCGGAGCTCTTGGGTAACGTGCGTGACAGATTTAAGAGTCATGCCAGACAAGCATGACAAGCATGATTTCTTCCAGACCCAGACATTTTTACATTTGATAATGTTGCTACACCTACAACTACTAGCGGAGGCGCAGCAGCAGCGACAACAAGTACGAACACAGCATTAGGTGGGTGGACGATATCAAGCAACTACGGAAACAAGATGAACAAAGCCAGAACTTCGAGGATTCAACGGGTGCTGCTCGTATTGACAAATGAGGAGGAGGAGGACGAGAATGCCAATGCGAGAGATGATTCGCCGACCCGTCTAAATCAAGCCAAGAACGTCAGCGTGGAAAAGGGGACTTCTAAGCGCTCATGTTCTCCCAGAAGTAGGAAAACCGATTTCGAAACCATTCACAAATTGGACAGCCTGGAACTGCTGCTGGCGGCCTTGCGCACTGGAAGTAGATCTTCTTGCACCACCTCTTCTGCGCCGGGTGTTGAAAATTATAGTACAAGAACTTCTTCTATCAAATGCAAAAATGTCTGGGTCTGGAAACTTGTAATGCTGGGTGGCGTATCATGAGGAGGCTACAAGTGCTGGCTCAGCATGACAAGTTTCTGAGCTTCTTGGTGTTGCCTATTCTGCATGACAAACTGCGTTTCTGCATGACAGAAAAGTGGGGGTCTTGGGTAATGTGCATGACAAATTTAAGAGTCATGCGAGACAAGCATGACAAACTTGCATTCTTCCAGACCCAGACATTTTTACAATCCATATCTTCGGCGCTCGTTTTCACCGTGAACAAGGAAAACAGCAGGGGTGACCAATACCACCTGCAAGAACTGGCGCCACTGCTGGAGCGAATTGAGCCGGTGTCGCTTTTTTCAAGTGCGGAAAAGATGCGAAGCAATACCCTGTTCTTCCGGAAGATGAGGAAGGTCGGACACAATTACTTTGCTTTGGAGGATGAAGTGAAGATCGTGGGTGATGAAGAGCTTCAAGTTACTAGAACAATAGGACCAGCAGCGTCACTAGTACCACCAGGCAGCGGTCGCCCCTTATCCTCCTTTCCGACGTACCTGCTTGTCTCCGGGCCGACGGCTGAAGCGCGAGAGCCGGTCGTGCGTCTTGTGAAGAAGCTGCTGGAAATTTATTTAGCAGGTGCGAGGACCACTTGCTCGGTGCAAGAAGAGGTCAAAGACGAAGACGCCAATGTTGAGAAGAAAGAAGGAAAGGACCAGCAGAGCATCGCGGCCGACGATGCTCGAAGAGCACGGAATTATAAACTGCCCGGAATAATTCCAGGCGGCCTGTTTCTGGAGATTTTCTTTCTCCAGCAATTACCGATGGTAGCATCTTCTGCTATTTCTTCCAACAAGACCGAGACCAGCAGCAGTGGTAGGACGACCGCGATGCAGCTTGTGGAAAAGATGCTTTTTTCCGTCCTGGAGCACTTCTGCTGGAACCTGTTTCGGATAGACCTTCCAGTAGTTTCTGCCTCACAATCCGAGGCTCGTTCGGAGATGAATCGGGGACATGACAAGCGGCCGAATTATCGCGCCAGCAGTTCTACTTGTACCGCTACTTCTACTACATTTGATGCCACTGTAAGAACAAGAAATAGAGCATCAAGAGTACTAGAGCAGCGGCCTCATCTACTTCTACCTCAGGAGCCGCCGAGGGAAGTGAAGCGCGCGATGAGGCAGTTGGTGTGCTGCAAGACAGAAGAGGAGAGAAAACTGCTGCCAACCTGGCTTACGCCCTACGTGGTTTTAGCTGCTGTGAGTGGGCCGCGGGGTGGTAAAAACGGCTGCGATGGGGCCGCTGGGGAGGTCGAAAATATATGTGGCACTGATCATACCAGAACGACTGCAGATATAAAGGTGCCGCAACTCGTCCACGTGCAGGTGGTGAACAAGATCCGGCTAGGCAAAACAATTGGACTGCTGGATGAAAATCCTTTCGAGGGCGGGGAGGAACAGGAACAGCCTAGAGCTAGTGCAACGCCGTCGTCGTCCAGCACCCAAGAAGAACTCCATCCCCTGGAGTCAGTTGCGGTAGTGAAGGAAATTTTTGACACTCTACTTCGCACATTGAAGCAGATTGCGCGAACGGAAATGATGTGTTTTGAAGATGGTGTTGGTGATAATGATCACCACAGCGGGCCGGGGTGGGTAGGAGGATATTTGATGTGTGGCATTTATTTGTTCTGCAATACTTTGGTTGTACTACTGCTAGTGTTCGCAGCCCAAATGAGAAGTTCTTGAACGCTATCGTGATTTTTACCTACTAGTCCTCAGAGAGCGAAGTAACGGGCAGCACTGCTCTGAGAGGCAAGGAATACTACGATCGCTGATTTGCAGTTGCACGAAGACCAAGAGGGAGCAATGATTTTTGGCACCGAGTTGTATTGGACGTTTGCATAACACGATCTCTGAACTTTTTGGTTTCGCAGCAGGCGAAAGCAATAAACACTGAAAAGTATAAGGTTACTTTCGGCACGACGTCGCCGGCGTCGCAAAAATGACGGCGCAGCTTCTCCCGGACGTCACGTAAGCGGCGAAGTTCACCTCTCAGCAGGGCGAGTCCCAACGACCACGTCCGGCTGCCGCACTTCTAAGACCGCATTTCTCCGCAAAGATGCGGCCGCTTCGGTTCGCCCTTGCCGCCACGATTTGTGTGTGCGGTAGCAGTTTCTTCGGCCTTGCGGCACGACATGAAGAAGTAGATCTAGCGGCGGCGCGGAAGACGGAACTGTTACAGCGGATTGATGCGACACAAAAGAAGAAGAAGAAGAAGATTTCAGCGCAGCAGGCACAAAGCGGCGTCTTCCCGTTGAAAGGAGCAACTTCGTTCTACTTAAACGGGAAAAATAACAAGAAGTTTTTGGTGAACAAAAGTTTTCTGCAAAAAGAAGGAACAGCTACAGCAAGTGGTGAACAACAGTCCGGAAGGGTAACATCCTCAACTAAGGAGGATCTGCAACACAGCCTCGTCTCCAAAGCCTTCCTCGACGCCATAGGAACTGGTGCCGATGATGATGAGGATACATTATTGGTCGTTCCCTCATCTTCCACCACTTCTACTCTGGGGCAGATCGAGGGAACAAGTCCGGCTAGTAGAGCCGCGGGCAGTGCCAGCTTTTCCCCTAGTATGGATTGCAAAAGTGTCTGGGTCTGGAAGATTTCCAGGTTTGTCATGCATATTTCGCATGGGCTATGAGGCCTGTAATGCATGACCTAGCATGACAGATTTTTTGCGGGTATCTTGATGCCCATCCCGCATGACAAATGCCCTCTCCCCGGAGCAAAAACTGAACGCCTCCTGCCTCTCATGCAATACAGATTTTTTTAGATTCCAAAAATAGCATCACAACTTGCATTCTTCCAGACCCAGACATTTTTGCAATCCATACCTAGTGATACGGCGTGCGTCTCCACGGTGAAGAAAGAAGGAACGTTATTGCGAGGAAAAATCCCCTCTCCCCATACTGAAAAGGCATGCTGCTAAAAATTTGTGATGCTGATTTGTGACCACAAATCCTGTCTCCCTTGCAAGGGGGCAAATGCAAAGAGTCCGCCACTTTATTCCGGCGATTTGTAATGCTGTTACGCTTACATCGAAGGCCTCTGCTATGCTAAGTACCTACACAGAAACGGCCCTACGCAGCCTGCGGCTTTGCCCGCAGTGCCTCGTTGCAAGACAGAGCTGATTTTTGTACACAAATCCAGCAACAGAAGTTTACGTTTCAATATGGGGAGGCGGGATTTTTCATTTTGATGGACTTGTCGGTTGCGATTTTCAACACCTTTTTCGACAGCTAAAGGGAACAATGGAGCTACATCAACGTCTTCCACCTCCTCCTGCCTCGACCAGATGCGGGATTCCGAAGTTGGCTTCACCTGTTATGGCATGCTCAGATGCTACAATCCCAAACGTTAAAAAAGAATCTGGAATTTTTGTTGCATGATGAGCATGACAGACTCGCACAGCATTCCACCTTTTGCAATACAAATTTCGCCAGATTCTACTGCGGATTCGGGCTCGAGAACTTGTCATGCGCAATCCTGTGGGAGTAGGCTAGGTCATGCACTCTTGCATCACAGATTTCCATATTCTATTGTAACATTTGAGATTGTAACACCTGAGCGGTTTATACCTGTATTCACCCGAACGGGGAGGCTAAAAAAATCACCTACGGGAAAAACAGCTACAAGCAGTTTTTCACGCAGTTTGTTTCATCATCTTCAAGAACTACAGCTCAAGAACCGCACGAGCAGGACAACTACACATCGAAATTGTCGGAAGTACTAAACGATGAATTTGACACGGGGAACGCGGATTGTGCGATTTGCGCTCCATTGGAGGATGACGCGAAATTATCCCACGAAAAAACTGTTTCACTGTGATGGTTTTGCAAGATCCGCATCACAAGTTTGCTACACATGACACACAAAATTAGCTATGCGCGCTTTCCAAGGGAAAAAACGCTATAAAAATCCGATGCCTTGCAGGTGTAGCAAGACAAATAGTTCTGTGTTCCATTCTATGCATCACAAGTTCACAGTGAAACAGTTTTTTCTTCCGATAGAAGTATAGCAGGTCGGAAACGACAGCAAGAACCCCTTCCCTTTCAACATCTCCAGACGATGATGCTGCGAAGAAGCCCGCAACTGCGCATCTGTCGCTGTTGCAGCATGACAAAAAATCCTCCTCTTCTTCTCAACATCTTTCCAGAACATCATCAAACTCTTTGCAGCGGCAGTTTGTGTTGCAGCAGGAGGTGGAGATTTTGCGGAAAAGAGTGAAGGACTTCTCGACTCTGTTTTCAAAGCAACTGAAGCCTGTCTTGCAGAGCGGCATTATGGGGTTTAAAACCGTGACCGAAGAGAAGGAGGAAGAAGACTGGGGAGTGGATATGTCTTGATGATAATCTACCTACTTCGATACTAGGAGGTATTTATACAAGGCGAGAATGTTTTATTTTCCAAAGAGCTTTTTTACCGGGTCGGAGGCGTACTAGCTTCTTCATAAATTATGTTGTCATCGCTAAGTGATTGACGATGATCATCTTTTTTCCGCCAGACCGTGCTCTGTGGCTGTGCACTACTTCTTTTGGATCAGGAGAAAGCACCACTACGAGCTGGAACAATCGGTCAGAATTTGGTCCGATGTTCTTTCGCTAGTGTAGTTCGTCTCTGTGAAAATGTCTCAGTCCAGAAAGCTGGTCGTCGTATATCAATCTGGCACCAAAGGGAGACGGAGCGCAGGAGAGATTTTTGACGCAGATGTTGAGTGGTTGTGTAGACACTAGGAGTGAGAGCAGACTTGAAGAACTTTAGGTCGACTATGTGGCCCCGTCTCAACAACTTCTTTGGGCGCGTAAGAGAGCCCGGAGAGTGAAACAATACCGTCGTGTAAATTTCAAGCTTCGTGTCAAGTGTGGTACCTACTTCTGGTTCCTTGCAGCGCTTGTCGTGTCGTTTTTCGACTCGTACAAGATTACTATACAAGAGTTCGCTAGAGAAGTCTCGATTTATTTTTCTTTCAATTGCAATTTTATTCTGGCGTTATTGATTTCGATTTCCTCGCAACTTCATCCTCCGCAGGCCTCCGCTTCGAGTTGGACACTTATTCTCGCAGGAAGTCACTTTTAATTCAGTGTCACACCGAACAATTACTTTGGATAATTCGTCTAGAAGTTTCACTTTCACCCTGTCGTTTTGCTTCACCGGCGGGCACACAGCCAGAATATGTGCAGCCTGAAGGAGTTGAAGACCACACTGCTGCTCTTTCGTGATGTAGTGTGGCTCTAGTTGAGTTGTACTTACTCGTGGGCCACCTCGTCCACCTCCACGACCATGGCCCTCCCCGAGGACCCGAAAGCGAAGCTCCGGGTGAACGCCTTCTCCCGGCTCTGCAGCCGCCACCCACTATGCGTTATGAACTGCAAATATGTCTGGGTCTGGAAGAGTGCCTGACCTGTAATGCTGAATTCCAATGCTCCCAAATGCTGTAATGCGTGTTGCGGAGTAGTGCTGGTTCTGTGTCATGCAAAAAGAACGCAGCTTCTCATGCGTATTACGCACCACAGGAGTGCTCAAAGATTTCTCATGCTTGGCTGCCTACTCTAGTCATGTTGTGACTCTTCATGTATTAGCATCACAACTTTTCAGACCCAGGCATATTTGCACTGGATATGCGTGCAGGCCGGCGTGTTTCTGATGGAAGACCCCTACCTCCCGGGGGACACGAAGCGCAATCCCTACAACTTCTGCAACGGGCCCGAGGCGGTGGAGCAGCTGGGGTTTGTGTTAGACCGGTATTGGGTCTACACTTCCTCTATGCATTGCAAATGTATCGTATTAGCAAAAATTGCATCACAAATTTTTTCAAGAAGAAAAAGGCAATTTGTAATGCTGTTTTACCTTAGGAGGAAGATTCGTCATGGATGTTTGCAACAAGTACTACGAGTGCGATAGTTTTGCAAAGCATACCTTCCTCATCCGGGCAGCAGCAGCAAGGAGCTGATGGCGGCAAGCCCGACGGGTCGCCGGGCGGCGGGGGAAACACTGGAAACACCGGAGGAGCTGGCGGGGGGAGTGGGGGTGGCGAAGCGACCGGAGCCACCGGCGACGGCGCTGGGGGCGATTCCGGCGCGCAGACCTCTGGCGCTTTGGTCACCGGACTACCCGGCGAGGAAAATCTGAACAAAAATTCCGATAACTACAAGGCCATGCAGGCCGGCGTGGACCTGGACACGTACCGGAAGTCGTTTCAGTACAACATTTCCAAGGATTGTCGCACCTCGGTAGAGTTATTCCGCAAGCACGCCATGAAGGTGACCAAACTCGAGCACTACATGCCCATCATCTACAAGTGCGAGACTCGGGCGCGGAACGCGTTCCTCGCTTACGACAAGCAGGACACGTCGAAAATCCTCCATATGCGGTGGTGGCTGTTTATAGCCGTGCAGCGCATGATCGTGGACCGGTTTTCGTTGCGGCGGGATGGGTCGATCTCGGTGGCCAAGGACAACTTCATGCGACTAGACTCCGAGCAGATACACGACGATCAGGAGGTTTCCTACTTTCGCCAGGTCGTGTATGGAAGTGTCAGGTTTGAAATCGACAAAGTTGAGATAATTTCTCATGCATAAATTGCAAGGCATGAAGTGCCTCTCTTGCAGGGATTGCAATTGAGGCCGACAGTCAGCCTGTTTGGGGTCTGCGGTAGAGCTGCTAAAGTAGCATGACAAAAAACGCCTTCTGTCCCTAAACAGCATGACAAACTGGATCTAGACGGTGCCGAAATTTGTCATGCGCCGCTTGGAAATTGGGCTTCCAACTTGTATCGATTTTATGCATGAGAAAGTATTATTTCAACTTTGACGATTTCAATCCTGACACTCCCATATCGTGCGACGGTGTCTGGACGAGTTGGCGAACGATTGGCGGTGGAAAAACATTGTGAACGGAATGATCCACCGCTCGATCCGCCTGTTTGCGGAGGGGAAATTCCAGCTGCCCAGCAATATGAAGTACGTGGCAAACCACAACGCGTCCATCGACTCGCAAACGGGTCTCGTGAAGAAAAAGAAAAACAAAAACTTCATCCACATAAAACAGCAGATTGACGCGATTTGCCAACTCGAATTACTCGTGAAGCTACTCATGGACGACCTGCTTATGAAATGCAAAAGTATCGTACTTGTAGTATAAATTGCATTACAAATTTATTCCTAGCATGACAAATGGAATGTGTCATGCTGTTTTAGCTTAGGAAGGCAACTTGTCATGCATAATTGCGATTACTACGAGTGCGATACTTTTGCACAGCATACTGCTCCTTCCGCTGCAACTGACCGTGACCCCCATCACCCATGCGCAGTACATTTTCGAAAAGTCGTATCGCAAGAAAAAACTGTTTCACTGTAAACTTGTGATGCATAAAATTGAACACAGAACTATTTGTCTTGTGACATGCAAGACAGTGGATTTTTAGCTGTGTTTTCCTTTAGGAACCTTGCATGGCAAATTTTTTCTGTCTGTGTCTGTCATGTAGAACAAACTTGTGATGCAAAACCTGCAAAAGCCTTACAGTGAAACACTTTTTTCTCACGATAAGTGGTTCGTGATTGACAAGGACGCTTTGGAAAAAACGAAAATCCGGCAGGGCGCGCCGCCGTCGAACAAGGCGAAGTTTGGGGCATTTGTGTCCCTTATCGTGAAGCGGGAAAAGAAAGAGGACAAAGCGACAGGGAAAAAAGGCGGTCTTGCTGCCATGCAGGGTGGGAACAAAAGTAGTACACAGAGTCACGGAACAGGCGGTCTTACGCTACCGCTGGGCATGAACAAGGACGGCCAGAAGAAGGTAGAGTTTGAAAACTTGGAGGAACTCGAAGACGAAGACCACTCGCAATCGCCGCTGATATGGATTGCAAATATGTCTGGGTCTGGAAGATTCTAAACTTGTAATGCTGTCTCTGGATTCTAAAAAAATTTGTATTGCATCATGACCAGCAAGAGGACTCCAGTTTGTGCTATGCGGAGAGGGCATTTCTCATGCGGTAGAGGCATCGCAAAGTCCTCTAAAGATCTGTGATGCCAGGGCATGCGTCATAGACATCATGGGTCATTCAAAATATGCATGACAAACCTGGCCATCTTCCAGACCCAGACATTTTTGGAGTTGATAGCTGAACCGCAGACACAACGTGTCGAAGGCCGATATGGCGTTCTCAACTGTTACATTCTGCAGTGTTACATGAACGTGTAATGCAAAATTGCCATCAGCCTCCAGGCGATCAAGGTACTCCGCATGACAAACCGCCCAAGGGCGACGCAGCATGATGAGTACTACGTTCCAAATTTGTAATGCAAAATGCGCAATCCGCCCGTTCTCACTTTTACTGTTCTTGCACCACAGATTCGTGCTGTAACGGTTGAGAATGTAACGTTTGAGAACCCCATAGCCGACCGCATGGCGAAGGATTTGGAGAGGAAGTACTTTGGGGTAAATAACGAAAAAATGAAGCACCTGTCCGAAAACGACATTCGGTTACGCAAAGGCGCTCTGAAACCGCGCATGGTGTCACCAACACGACGGATAGAGCTGCGGCAGGAAGAAGCGGAAAGACAAAAGGCGGAGTTCAAAAATAACGCGGGTGGCGGTACGCTCTGTAAAAACGTCCCCAAATTCCCCAGAGTTCTTGTCATGCGCATCAGCATGCATAAAATGTTTCTCATGCGGAGCTCCATGAGAAGCATTTTCTAGTAGTCGCGTTTTGGAATTTGTGATGCTCAAATCAGCATAGGATGTGAGACTTGTGATGCTGATGCACTAGCCGAACAGGATTACACTATGAGCCCAAAGAACTTGTCATGCGCAACGACCAAAGCTTGTTGATTTGTCTAGCAGTTTTCTCATCCTGACTCTTGGGTGGGGACGTTTTTGCTCAGGATAGGCGGCGCGGCGAAGCTGAATGTCGTACAGGTGAACGAGAAGTATGGTACGCTGGAGATTAAGGACCGCCCCGAGTCTATCCTGTGCAAAAGTATCGTACTCGTATTGCAATCATGCATTACAAATCCTTTTCTTAAGGTCAACCAGCATTACAAATTTTATTTCTCATGCTGAGGAAATTTGTAATGCATTTATACGAGTACGATGCTTTTGCTGTTCATAGAGTTGCTTCTCCCGGACGCCTTAGTTTCCGTTTCCGACAGCGATAAGCAGCTGGACGAACTCTGCAAGTACTTCGCGAAATTGTCAAAACTCACACAATATCAACTGCAAATACGTGTGGGTCCTCTGGAAGACTTGGAACTTGTGATGCAAACTCTGGAGGAACACACAATAATTTGAATTTGTGTTGCGTGAGCGCTAAAAGCTGCCGATTTCTTGGTACGCAAGTAGGAAGTTATTTCTCATGCGGGACCACAGGCATCATGCGGCGCGCTCGACCTGTGATGCTTTTGCCTGCATCAGACGCCATTCGCGTGATCCGAAATATGCATGACAAAAAATCTCGCAATCTTCCAGACCCAGACATGTTTGCACTTGATACACAACTAGCGAGATACGACGTGCGGGACGTTCTCGAGTTGCAAAAAATCCCGTTTTATGCATTGCAAAAGCATCGTACTAGTATGAATTGCATTACAAATTTCCTCAGCATGAGAACAAATGGAACTTGTAATGCTGATCGACCTTAGGGAAAAGAAAAATACTTGTAATGCATAATTGCAATTACTACGAGCACGATGCTTTTGCACTGGATACGTTCCCGCGATTCGAATACCGAGAGTTTCGCGAGTTTAAAAGGATAGATGTGGAACTCTACAACATGACAGAAAACGCGTTACTCCAGTCAGGCTACAACATTTTCACCGAACCAGTACCGTGCAACCTGAAATCCTGGGTGGACAGCGAGATCGTGATATCATGAGGAAAAATCCCCCCTCCCCATATCGAAAACGAAACTTGTCATGCTGTATTTGAGTACACAAATCGACTTGTATTGCTGGAAGGCAAAGAGACGCAGTTGTGGCCTCGCTTGCAGGCAATTTGTCATGCTGTTCCCCTCTTCCAGCTTTCTCCTGTCATGCTGAAGATGCAAGGCTTTCCCACGCAGCCCAGCAGTACAGTCCGCATCTTTTCCCTTCTGGCATGACAAAGCTGATTTGTGACCACAAATCTGCATCACAGACTTCCAATGTGATATGGGGAGAGGGGATTTTTCATTTTGATACGTGAATGTGAAATGCCCGCACTGGGAGGATGAAGACGCGAGATCCGATATCCGGAGTAAAAATCGGTTCCCACGACCGTTTAGTCAACAAGTTGGCAAATCTGCAACACAAATCTCCAAGTTTTGGCTGTCGAGCATGACAAGTCTGGGCTCGTAATGTATTAATCCTGTTTAGCTAGTGCAGCCGCATGCCAAATTGACTACCTTATGCTGATTCCAGCATGTTGACAAACTCCCAAATAGCATTGCGAAATGGCTGTCATGGGGCCCTTCGCATGAGAAACATTTTCAGCATGCAGATTTGCATATACAACAACCTTGGTGCGTGGGGAGGTTTTTCCTCGGGATATCCGACGATAAAACGGCCGAGGACGACTACGAGTTGCAAAACCCCAACATCAAGGACTTTTGTTGGCTGCCGATCAACGGAAAAACGCTGGATTTAGACGTGCCGGGGGACTTTGACGCGAAGCACTTGGCGACCTTCTACGAAACCGACTACATCCACTCTATTCCGCACAGGTGTCCAAAGTACAGCCTCTTTTTCTACGACGAGCCGCGACCAAAGAAGTACGTGAAGATCGACGGAAAATTGTACGAAGTAAATGAAGAAACGGGGCAGATTTTGGACAACTACTTGCCCAAGGAGGAGCGGGCCCGGATAGACAAGACAAGGCAGGATTACAACAAGAAAATTTTGGACTTAAAGGATAAAGAAATGTTCGACCTAGATCGCGACGAAACGTACGACGGGCCGTATTACAATGAAAATGCCCCCACCCCGGAAAGAATTTGCAAAAGTTTCTCATGCAAAGTTTCCAAATGAGTATGAGACCTTTTTGTCTTGCATGAAAGGACTACGAGCCTTGCTGATGCAGAATCTAGGCGCGCAAGGTGTCTTGTGCATAACAGACCCGGCTACTGTTGCGGTCCTTTGCAACACAAATTTGAGATATTTAGCATGGAAAATTGAAATTTGTGATGCTGATACATGCAAGACGGGGAAGGTTCTTTCCATTGGAAAGGTTTGCAATACAAATGCTGCCAAGTTCTGGGGCGGGGGCATTTTTTACTGTAATAGGCCGCCCACGGAGGAGATGCTCGCGCTCCTGGCGGAAATGAACAACGCACTGCAGCCGCACATTATCCAGGGAAAAAACTGTTTCAGTGTGATGGTTTTGCAAGATCCGCATTACAAGTTTGCTACACATGACACAGAAAATTTGTCATGCGCGCTTCCCAAGGGAAAACACGCTAAAAATTCCAATGCCTTGCAGGTGTGGCAAGCCAAATAGTTCTGTGTTCCATTCTATGCATCACAAGTTCACAGTGAAACAGTTTTTCGTTGCATACACATCTACCGCTGGGATTTCAAGAATGAAGTGGTCCAGGAAGAACTCCCCGTTGTAAAGACGGTTGAGAAGAAGGAATCGCAGGAAGAGGAAAGAATAGAAGCTATCCTGAGTAAAAACGTACCCGCACCAGCGTCAGGATGGGGATTTTGCAACACAAACCTAGGAGTTTTGTGAGTCACGCATGACAAGTTGCACTCCGCAGCGTAGTGCAAGTTAGCAAGGGCAGCCGCATCACAGATTCATCTGCTCATCCTGTTCACAGCATCACAAATTCCAAAACACGACTGGAAATGGCTCTCATGCGGATGCGCATTACAAGTCTTCCTGTCTTTGCAAATCTGCATTACAACTCTGGTGTGGGTACGTTTTTACTCAGGATAGAAGCGCGGGGGGAGAAGATAAATCCAGGGGAGTTAGAAGACAGCGACCAGGATGCAGGTATAGCTGTTGTGAGTGAAGAAAACCAATACCAAAATCCATATCTCGCTGTTTTGTTTCGGTAACAAGCATGAGAAAAGAAATTAGTGTGGGATTTTCGTATGACAAGCACAGTGTCAATAACATCAATCAGGTTCTAACGCGCAATCCGAGAAGGAAAAACTGGAATCGGAATTGCAGCAGCTGAACGAAATTTTGAACGAAGGTATGCAAGAAAAACACTGTGTCTGTCATGCGGGACATGCAAGGCAGTACTCACCTGTCATGCTGGGCATGCCTTGCAGGAAGTCCAAAGTCGTGCGCACGCAATGTTTTTCCTTTGGATAGAGCGCCCCCGGTATGAGACCGAGGAGGAAAAGTTTGCCTACAATCAAGTCAAGGAAGGCTACTGGAACCTGCAGCTTTCCCTCCACTTTAACACGAAAATCCAAGAATCCCAGCTCATCCTGACCGCGTTTCCGTTTTGCGTCCGGTTTCACCCTATCAAATGCAAAAGTGTCTGGGTCTGGAAGAGTCATGCTGTTTTTGCATGACACAGAAGGTCTGGCATGGAAGCTCTAGCGTCACAGGTTTCGAGAAGCTTCCGCAATGCCGAACCCGCATGACAAATCCCCCATTTTGGTGACAGAAAGTGGGCAGCTTTTGCTGCCTATGCATGAGAGATTTTTCTGTGTTCTGAAATGCGCATCACAAGTTTGTATTCTTCCAGACCCGGACATATTTGCATTTGATACACCCCTTGAATTTCGTCTACGGGTCCAGTTTTTTCTTGACGGCGTATCCCGTGCAAAAGTATCGTACTCGTAGTAATTGTGTGTATGCATTACAAATCTCTTTCTCAAGGTAAATCAGCATTACAAATTCAATTTGTAATGCTGGGCTAATTTGTAATGCAATTTAAATTTATACTAGTACGATGCTTTTGCACTGCATACGGCGGCGCTGTTCGCGAATTTCGGGACGCGGTTGCGGTATCTCGGCTTGATATCCCACGAAAAAACTGTTTCACTGTGGTGATTTTGCAAGATCTGCATCACAAGTTTGTTTATACACATGACACTGAAAATCTGTCGTGCGGGCTTCCCAAGGGAAAACACGCTTGAAAATCCAATGTCTTGTAGCTGTAGCAAGACAGGCAGTTCTGGGTTCCATTTTCTGCATCACAAGTTCACAGTGAAAAAGTTTTTTCTTGCGATATTTGAACTACTGTGCGGATGTGGACACGAACATTTTGCGCGTGATTTTACTGAAGTGCCCAAACCTGATATCAAACAAGAAAAGTTCGTCACGATCACTCATTCGCATTTTTGCAATACAAAACTTTCTGTCATGCGTGAAAATGCATCACAGCTGCCAAACTTCCGTAGGGATTTCCCCAGTGTTTCTGCAATGCAGAGGAAAGCTGTGATGCCAAAAAAATTTGTGATGCAAAACCTGCAAGGGCAAGCTAGTGACTGTGACCAACTTTTTTCTCGCCAAACCTGATGGTGTTAGACGTCACCGGGATCGTGCGGGAGGGGCACAAAAGGTTGAAGGAGATTATGTTGGCGTTCTCAACTGTTACATTCTCAACTGTTACAATGAATTTGTGATGCAAGAATGGCAAATGTCAAAGGGGTGTCCTTGCGCGTCTCGCATGACAGAGTTGGCGCAGATTTTCAGCCTGTTTGGCTCTTCGAGAATTTGTCATGCGAAGCAGCTTGATCGTATCAATTCTAATTGTGATTTTGCATGACAAATCATGTAACAGCTGAGAATGTAACGTTTGAGAACGCCATAGAGATTCGGGAAAACGGGATGAAATACGAACTAGAAACGCAGACCGACAACAGCCGCTATCACCTGCAAAAATGTCTGGGTCTGGAAACTTGTGATGCTGGATGGCGATGATTGAGCATACTCCTGAGTGCGACCAAGCATGACAAATTTTTCGGACACTTTCTCATGCGTATTGCGCATGAGAAACTGCGCTTTTGCATGACAAAAGAAGGCTCCTTTGCCTCGTCTTGCAATACAGATTTTACACGAATCCAAGCCACGCAATACAGGTTCCACTTTTCCAGACCCAGACATATTTGCATTTGATAGCCGCCCGGGCACGGCAAATCAACCGCAAAGCACGCCGCCCCAGCCCTCGAGCTTCGAGGAGGAAACGGAAGAAGATAGAAAGCTGAAACACGCAAGAAAGGCGTACGCGACGGTGGCAGAGCATGTGGCGAAGAAGAAAATGAACGGGTTACTGAACCGGGAGCAGGGAGGTACAGATACGGTGTTTGTCATGCAGGATTTATTTCGATTTTATTGTTTGTCATGCAAATTTTTTTAAACGACAGACCCGCGCCCGCGGCGCTTCGTAGTACATGCGTTTTCTTCGTACAGTCGAACGATATGAGCATCAGAGCTTCAAAGCCATATAATACTAAAAAACAGAATACGACCGCTTTCACGACCTGCTCCCCGGTATCCCCGTTGACGCCCTCTGCCAACTTGTCGAGCAGCATAAATACTTGAAAGTGCTGATCGCAAATGAGTCCAGGTTGGAGCCCGATTCCGTCTTGAGACTCCTCTACTCCTGTACCGTGATGAACAGCCATTCGCTCGCGCAGCTGCAGTATGCATTGCAAAAGCATCGCACAAGTATGAATTGCATCACAAATTTTTTTGGAAGGAAAAATGGAACTTGTCATGCTGAATTACTTAAAGAAATCACATTTGTCATGGGGGTCTCGCATTTATAGTTATACGAGTGCGATACTTTTGCAATGCATATGCAGTTTGCAAACGCGTACGACTGTATCAAAGCGCCGGAAATCCACGATCCGGACACGTGGGACACGATCATCACTCAACTTGACGACTACGTGTTGAAGCGCGGCGAGCGGTGTGTTGACCGGGGCGAATTCATTGCGTATGAGCAAGGAATCAGCTGGCGGAAGCAGCCGAAGCCCCACACGACTTCTTCCTTGACGCGAGAGGGGTACGGGGAAAAAGCGCCGGTCCCGGTTTCTATCGAGGACATGCAGAAGCACGTGCATTCGATTTCGCAGGACCTGATGGCGTATCAAATGCAAATATGTCTGGGTCTGGAAGATTCCGAAACTTGTCATGCAGATTTTCCACAACCCTTGTCGTCTGGAATGCAGGACCCAGCATGAGAGATTTTGTGAGATCCTCATCATGGCCATTCTGCATGAGAAACTTCCCCTCAACTTGGTCAAAAGTGGCCAACTTTTGGCATTCATGCAACACAGATTTTTGCACGATCCAGAATTAGCATTACAGGTTGCAGCGTTACAGACCCAGACATATTTGCAATGCATATGGCGCAGCGGGACAAAGCCGTGGATGCGAGGTCGAAAATCACGCTGGACGAGATCCATATGAACTGCAAAAGTATCGTACTCGTAGTAATTGCAATCATGCATTACAAATCTCTCTCTTGTCGCAAATCCGCATTACAAATTCCATTTCTCATGCTAAACAAATTTGTGATGCAATTCTAGTACGATGCTTTTGCGGTTCATAATCCACCAGAAAATGCAACGGGTGCATCAGTTGTTACTCCATCCGCAAATTCGCCTGTACGAAGACTTCGCCGACGCACCAGAAGAAGAACTCGATGACGCAGCCTTGCTCGCGGCAGCAGAAGCGGCGGCGGCGGGGTAAGGAGAAGGGAGTGTATCTATTGCCGGGTAAAAATTTGAAGACCTTCAATGATCGTGCTTCCTTGATGAATTCAACAGATTAATGAAAGTCAACTGATGAATTTTACGATTTTTCCAAGCAACATCCACTGTCTGTACGATTTTTCCTTTTAATACGATTTATCAATGCTAAAAGTTTACAACGATGAAAATCAAAATAGTAAACCGGTGATTTTGCTTCGCTAGGGAATCACATGTTGTACAAAAGCTTTGCTGAAGACACGATTCACTTGGATACACAAGAACGTCAAAAATGTATTAAAAAATAGCGCCACCTCCCTGTATTATCTAGATCTCCTCCAGGCTCGTCGCTCTGGTGTGTGAATTGCGTGCCAGCAATCGCGGGCTAAGATTGTACCAGCGATTCCTTAATTGCACAAACACAATGTTTTGCTGACCACCGGCAGCTTTCTTCGTTCGCAGGCGTGGTTCGTCACGTCGTTGCACAACTACTTTTAGCTCTTTCAAACACAAAAAATCTCGCGTTGGTTTCTTCTGCTCCCCGTCACGTTTCGCCTCGACTGTCAAGCGGTACTGACTTTGCTGCGTCTATCGAACAGAATCGTAATCGTTCGTCGTTGTTGAGGGCATTAATAGGGATTATTATCACCTTTCGACGGACCACACGGACAGATGCAACAAGCACCGACGTCGTGTTTGCAGCAAGAGAGGAGCGGCGTATTACTGTGCGAGAAATGAATATTAAGCCGTGCAACGTTTTTCCGAAGCCGAAATGAATCAATGGCTTTTTTGCACCTGTCATGTGAGTAGAACAAAGATAGCAGGTAGAAGGCCATCTTCCCGAAAAGCACAAGCGAGGTATGGATAGTTAAGTATGATGTGTAAAATGTAGGGAATAAAGATAACCACAACGACCACCGGTCGTGAATTTACAACAAGTGTGACGTCGATCATTGCAAAAACAAGATGTCGCCCCCCGCGGTCATGAGCGCATCTCATCTATGCATTGCAAAAGTATCCTACTAGTAGAAATCGCATGACAAAGTTGCTCAGCATGAAAAATGGGATTTGTAATGCGGATTTACCTTTAATAAAAAGATTTGTAATACATGACTGCAATTGGCAACGACAAGTGCGATACTTTTGCACCGGATATCATCTTCCACAGCACAAATCCTCCTCCTCCACCGCCCCGCCAATTTTCCAACCACCCCCGCAGCACATCAACCGGAATGAGCACGTCTACCTCCGGAAGCGTTTTTTGGAGTGCTGCTACGTCCTGCGGGAATACAAGACGAGGGGAAAGGAGGCGTTTTTCCTGCAGTGCGCGGCGAACCTGGACGCCAAGGAGCTACAGCGGCTGGTGCGGATCCAACTCGACCACTGTCCCACCGAGGGGAAGAATTTGTTTTTCGAGTACTTTCCGGAAGATCGACAGGAGGAGAAGGAAGATTGTTTGGAGTTTGTTGACTGGCTGATTGAGATCGGGGAAGAAGAACATGAGGCGAACTTGAAAAAACAACAGGAAAATAGTAAGCGGACGAATCAAGTTATTGCGTCGTCGAAAACTACTACAACAACTGCACAACAAGAAGCTACGTCAACATCGGAACAACAACCGATAGACAGGCGAAATAAGAAAAAGAAATCTTCGCCTACGTCGGAAAAGGAGAAAGAAGCGGAGCTGTTTAAACAAGACGGGTCCCCCTCCCCCAAGAAAATTCACGCCATGGTGTCGCAGTCGAAACGTGAGGAAAGGGAGGGGATGCGCAATCACCTGGGGATCTTGCGGAAGCCGATCGACTATCCACTGCAATAAATATGTCTGGGTCCTCTGAAAGACTGTAAACTTGTCATGCAGGGCTTCCATGACCCCTGAGGTCTGGAATGCGGGACCTAGCGTGACAGACTCTGCGAGGTCTCTTCCATGCCTACCCTGCATGAGAAACTCCCCCCCAAGTTGATCGAACGTGGACAGCTTTTGGTACTCATGCAACACAGATTTTTGCATGATTCGGATTTAGCATGACAAGTTGCAATCTTCGAGACCCAGACATAGTTGCAATCCATATCGACATGGATGCGCATCTGAAGGAGTACCACCCACCATTGCTGAAGCACCTCTCCACCCCGGAGCGTGAGGCCAAACTGAAGCACAAGCCGAAGGTTTTGAGTTTTACCGAACTGGAAATGCGGGTCGAATTGGATAACATCGAATTAGAGAAGAAACTCGCGGAAAAACACGAGAAGAAGCAAAGATTGATGGACCAATTGACCAGGGTGACGCAAGAAGACGTCTTAGCGGTATTCATTTTTCGATCAACACTCTCGATTTTTTCCAGAAGGCATGCAGATTTTCATTTCGGCAAAAAGCACTGCACGTGAAGATTTAAAAGAGGACTACAGCATGAGAAAGGACAAATTTGACTTTGATTTTATACAAGTGCGCGGCAACTCCAACTGCTTACGCATCCTCTACCCAACTACCATCAGACCGCCGCCCGTCTGGAAGCGCGCAAGCAAAAAGCCCGGGACCAAATGACTAAACTGCGGCAACAAAGGGAGGAGATGCAGTTTATTCATCGCAAAACCATCGTACTAAGTAGTATGCAAGAATTGCATAACAAATTTGCGCAGCATGAGAAATGGAATCTGTAATGCTAAATCAGTATACGGAAATCAGATCTGTCATGCATACTTGCAATTGCACGTACGAGCGCAATGCTTTTGCGCAGAATACAGTTGAAGCGGGAACAGGACTACGAAGACAAGATCGAAACCGCGCAAAACCGAAACGCGCATATGCATTGCAAATATCGATCTGGTTCTGGATTTGTGATGCAAAATTTGAAGGACAGCGAGGATTTGTGATGCATAAATACGCTGGACCAGTTTGTTTGTCATGCTGTGAAACTCAGTTTGTCATGCAAAGTTCGGTAGAATAAAGCGCAAAACCACACAACAAATTTGTGATGCGTGGATGCCATACAGAAGATCGCCCTGATGTTATGCAACACTCAGCTACACAAATTCGCTATCGCTGCGTCGATCCAGACCCCGACATATTTGCAGTTGATAGCGCAGTGTCTAAAGCAGAAACACGACGCGGCACGGAATCAATTGGACCGTTGGCGGGAACGGAGCTTGAAAGCGATGGCGATGAGGAAAAGTAATTCAGATTCAAAATAACAGTTGTCAACTTGAACTTTTCTTGCGTTCCGTTGTTTCTTTCACAAACCGGCGCGCAATTCCTTCACTGCACATGTTCTGTACAGGTTCTTTGGCAGCTCCGCAATAAAAATCAACAAATAAGTAATATTAAATTTTTGATTAATATCAGGCGGCCTCCACGCGTCGAGCCAGCCAGATGTCAGTGCGGCCCCCCCACCCCCAGCACCCCCAAAGCATACGGAGAGGAAAAAACGCAACCTGCTTTCTTCCAAACAGAAGTCGCAGAATGCCGAAACTCAGCTTGCGACAAGGATCCGGAAGTTGCAGAATCCCCGACCGGGCTCCGCGCCGGAATACCCCGATCCGGTGTTTCCCGAGTCCCTGCTGCAGGTGGGCGATGTGCGGGCGTTGGTTTCAAATAACGCGAATTCCATATCAAATGCAAAAATGTCTGGGTCTGTTGAGGGTGCAACTTGTCATGCTAAATCTGAATCTTACAAAAGTCTGTGTTGCATGAGTGCCAAGAGCTGTCCACTTTCGAGCACGTTGGGAGGGAGTTTCTCATGCAGGATAGGTATGGCAGATGAGACCTCACAGAGTCTGTCATGCTAGGTCCCGCATTCCAGACCTCTTGGGTCATAGAAAACCTGCATGACAATTTTACACTCTTCCAGACCCAGACATTTTTGCATTTGATATTCCAGTAAGAGCATCAAGGATCTGTTGCTGTATCAGCAAGAGAGACTGGTTTGCAGTAAAGCCGGGATCCACGTGGCGCATCCGAAATGAGAGATTGATAGCCCTGCGCGATGTTAACATATAATCCAACTTCAGCAGCGTGGTCACTCCGGTTTGATGGAAACAAATAAAACCGTTCTTGTTGCAGTAGCAATCTATCAGCACAGAGCACCTGATTTCTGGTTTATCTCTGCATTTTCTGTTTTTGCTATGTTGGGCCGCGGGTTTCGATGTCCTCTTGCGTCGCTGTTCTCACTACGTCACTTCGTTGCCTGAGTGACGTTTTCGTTTCCGCTAGAACTCCTCTAGAGAGTGAGGGGAAGCATGATGTGCCATGACAGTAGAAGTTATTTTTGAGAGGCTTAGGATGAAATTTGAATTTTCCTTTTTTCTTCTGAAGAGCGATGGCGTTGTTTGTAATAACTGTTTTTTGAGAGAAGTCTTGATGCTTTTCTTTTTCCGTTCAGAGAGGCCGCTGGTAGAAATAATCACAGGACGGATATCAACAGCATCTTGCTCGGTATCTCTGTTTCTTCCTTGAGGGATGGCGTGTGCTCGTTTTTTTTGCTCTAGCCATTTTGTTTCCGGGCATTTTTGACCACGAAAATTTCTGTCGGTGAACGAACGTGAAGTTGTCAAGGTGAAATAAATTCTAAACCGCTACTAACTAAAGTAGACCGCGACGCATAGCATCAGCATGTGAGAAGTAGATCGGCGCATAGAAGTACGTTATTTTTTCAAGAAGGGCGTGGGAGAACAACAACAATCAATCATGTTCTTGTCGTGATATAAGCGGTGGCTTTCTCCGGCTGTCAGTGAAAAATCATGTCCGCAACTTCCGCTCAGTCGCAGACGCCTTTTTCGACCAACGATCAACCTCCGGTGCACCAAGCTAGAACAATATCTGTGTCTGCAGCGTCTCCACTTCAGCAAGCTCGACCAGGTGCCGCGCTACCATCCGGCAAGCCCATCGTCACGTCCACGACACTCAGGACGACAGCTGCGTTGCTCCCGGGAGAATTTTTGTCCGCGGCGAAAACTACAGGTAGCGCTGCGAGTTCTTACAACACGCCTGTGACCAGCACCCGAGGTGGACCGACCACAGGATCGGTTGCTCAAAATCTACAACCGGGACGAGGTAGCAGTGCAACGCCCTCTACGAGCACAAGACTTGCACAGCATCCCCAGCAAGTAGTTCCGATTCGCACGGTTACCACCACCCTCGTCCCCGGAGCGATTAACCCGTCCGTAGTACTCTCCACCGCCCCGAACGTGAAAATCGTGAACCACTACAACATATCAAATGCAAATATGTCTGGGTCTGGAAACTTGTGATGCTGCTGGGTGGCGTATCATGAGGACAGGAGGCCACAAGTGCTGGCTCAGCATGACAAGTTTCTGAGCTTCTTCTAGGTGTTGCCTATGCTGCATGACAAACTACGTTTCTACATGACAGAAAAACTGCGCTCTTGGTTGTCGTGCATGACAGATTTGAGAATCATGCCAAACACGCATGACAAACATGCATTCTTCCAGACCCAGACATATTTGCACTTGATACAACAATCCGAGCCTTGTCCAGCGCAGTTCGAGTTCCAGTTGCTCGAGCTCCGCAAGTGGAACATCCGGATCTGCATCCAACAGCGGAACGGCGGCGTCGCTGAACATTCTCCAGAACGTGTATAAATTGCAAAAGCTGCATCGCAGTAGTATGAATCGCATGACAAATTTCTTCACCATGAGAAACGGCATTTGTAATGCGAATTCAACTTAAGAAGGAGATTTGCAATGCGTGGTAGCGATTACTACGGGTACGATGCTTTTGCACAGGATAGCGTGAACCTGCGGTCGATTTCCGTCGATCGAAATCCTTTTTCTGGGACAAGATCCGCATCCGCGCAGTTGGCGAATAGAGCAACTACCAGAGGCGGAGGGCTAGCGAGTTCAAACTTGATCTCCACGACGTCTTCCGCAGCAGCTTCGCCGGTCGTCACTTACAATTACGCAGCGGGAGCTAATAGTACATCAACTCCAGGAGCAACAGCTACAAGAACCCGAGTGGTAAACACAGTTAGAACCACCAGTAGCGCAGGGTCTCTGCAAGAACAGGCGAATAGATTCGTAGGGAGTAGTAGTCCAGCTGCTGCAGGGGGGTACTATCCGCAAAGTACTAAATACCTGCTGCCTCCAGGGTCCGCCCCCGTGCGATCCAGGGTGCTCTCGTCGACGACGGCAACTGCAACTACCAGCTCGGCATCCGCAACGCCACAGGCAGCTGGCGGGGCGAACAGAACTACAATAACCTCCAGACCACGAGGATCTTCTAGTGCAGTCGCTCCCGTGCAAGAAATATTAAACCCGTCGTACTACACGCCGCAACAGAATTACCGGTATTATCCCGAGCAGCGAGAAGGATTGCTAGGAACTACGGCTACATCAATCGTCGGCCCGTCGAGTGCTGTTGGTACTAGTGGTACTAGCATCACAACTTCCTATCCTTCTGGCACAACAACTTCTGGCGTTCTATTAAAAGAATCCGTAGTTTCTGCCGCCCGCATATGGATTGCAAAAATGTCTCTGGAAGAATGGAAGGTCTGTCATGCTCTGCTAGCATGACTCCAAAGTCTGTCGTGCTCGTTACCCAAAAGCCCCACTTTTCTGTCATGCCGAAACGCGGTTTGTCATGCAGAGTACGCAACACCTAGCAAGTCAGAAACTTGTCATGCTGAGCCGTCGCTTGTGGCGTCCTCAGGATTCGCCAACCAGCATCACAGATTTCCAGACGTCCAGGGATATTTGCATTGGATACCGCAAACCTCTGGCAGCAGGCGATCCTGAAGTCCCCACCGCGAAAAGGAGCGACACCAGGCCGTTTATTCCGAGTGATAGTCGTGCAGGGGCGGTGGTCGTTCTGGGTAATAGTACAAGTTCTTCTGACCCACAGGAGAAGCAACAAGAGGCTCTTGCTCCGTCTGCATCGCCAGGAGGTGCTGGTGGAACGGGGAGTGTGATAATCTCACCGTCACCCCCCACCTTACCGTCCCCCGCGACGGACCTCGGGTCGAACCACGGAAGAGCAGAAGAGTTGCAGTTTCTTGCAACAGCCGGTGGAACAAACACGGGCGGGAATAACAACAACACTACCACCGGTCTAGGATTTGCGACCGTGCAGAGCAGTAGTACTACTTCTGCCTCCAGTCGTGCGCCATATATCAACAGACCCGCCCCCGCAGCAGGTACTACTGCAGGTCCTGCTTCTGCTTCGGGTTTAGTAGTACTAAAGAACGGCGGTGGGGGCTCCTCTGGTGCTGCAGCGTCGTCGAGCAGAATGGCGAATTTGCAAGAGACTTCTGCTGTGGACGCCGGTTCATCTACGCAACAGATACAGAACGCACCTGCAGCCGCTTCGAGTTCCTCTCTCTCTATCAAATGTAAAAATGTCTGGTTCTGGAAGATTGCAAGTTTGTCATGCTTGTCTGGCATGATTCGAGAATCTGTGTTGCAGAGGCACGAAATAAAAGGCCCTCTTACCTGTCATGCAAAAGCGCAGTTTGCCATGGGGAAAACGTAAGACGTGGCAGCCAAAAAATTTGTGATGCGTAGCTGCGTATTGTGGTCCGGCTATCATCCACTTTTTGCATCACAAGTTTCCAGACCCAGACATTTTTGCAGTTGATACTCTCCATCTCCTCTCCTCCGAAGGGCTCCGGGCCGCTGTTTCAATGCGCGGTCTGCTCGGGGCTGGTGTACGAATCGCAACTGGAGTACCACATGTCTGTGTGTAAGGAACCGGATGAGCTGCTGGGGGTTACCGGAACGGTTTCAGGTATGTACAACTTAGAGTGGGGTAACAATGAAATCCTTATCCGCCCCCCCGGCGGATAAGCCGGGGGGGGGCCCCCCCC